TTCTTAAACAAAAAACTTTATTTGCCATCATGACTAAAATGAAAAGCTGCTGTAAAAACGGTCCAAAAGGGAATCCTTTTGCCAATTTCTCTTTTGGTGACCAGGTGAGCATGTAACGCTCAGTCAAACCATGGCTCTGCGACAATCTTCACTCTGGAAGCTCTCACATTTGTTTGTTCACACCAAGTCACAGGCTGGCTTAGTGTTATGTGTGAAATGGGCCAATAATTTCTGCAAGCAAGCAAAATAATTTTGCAAGCAAGCAAGCTATTTCATTACATTTGCCTTTCCCTGTCTAACTGTTAACTGATTTCTCTTAAATAAGCCAATGCTTAGCTTCTGTGTCCTGGCATGACATGCCACACCCTGATGCAATGCAGATGTGTCATATCTAGATGGCGACCGATGCTGTCACCGTTTTTACAGCAGCTGATTCTGTCAGATTATAAGACTGGGCAGTTACCACTTCCTCACCTCTCTGAAGAAGTAAACCTGAGCCTTGTTTTACTGCCATACGTCCGGGTTTCCCCCGACACATCTGGGAATAGGGCTGCAAAAATGGCATCCGGGCGTATTTCTGCAGAATTGGCAAAATCCAGACGTATGGCAACCAGGGCTCAACAACTTTGGCCAAACAAACAAACAACCACAACAACTTTGTCCTGATTTTCCCATTTTGGGGAATATAGCAACCCTACTTAATTGGTTTTCTTAGCGAGCCCTCCATGCTATACCTCAATCATATAGGTACCAGTCTATAGCTGTTGGATCAACCCTAGAAGTCTTTAACCTACATTTGTGTCTTTCAGTTTAGGCCCAACATGGCCACTGTCTTCCATGTTAAATGCAAGCTGAGTGGTCTAAATCTTAAGGAAATTTATCAAATACTGACCTTGGCCAGCTCTTGAGTATATTTTTCTTTCTTTGTGCACAAAGTCACCTCACAATGAAGAAAGAGAAGGGAAGTGTTGAATACGGACCTAAACATAAAGCTAAACCGCTTTCTGTCCATTTGTGCATTTTGCATTGGAAAATTAGCTGGGGTGTTGTAGAATGTTACGGATTCATCTTTAGGGCAAATGTTTTCAATAATGGTGTACTCCGACATCTTATCAGGGTATGAATGTGGAGATATAAAGCAGGTTTGGATTGCAAAGCTCAGGGATTTTTCAGCCTTGGTCACAGAAATCTGTAGCAGGAAGAAAACAGAATTTGTAATTAATATGTTACATTTGGCTTTTTCTTAGAAATATCAACATTTTTAATGCTTTGCAGTGCAGGTGTGATAACAGTAGAAAAGTAAATCAGAGATTGCTAGCCTTGGCTTATAGGCATTTGTTCCTTGGACTCACCTGGAAATTCCAGTGAAAATATATCCACCTTTGCCTAATCTCCACTTTATAAATAGCAGAATGCAGAAGCACAGTTAAAAATTTGTTGCATTTGAAATGGTTTCATAGCACTAAGAATCTTTCAAAATCAAGGTGTCTGTAAACACATTTGAATGGCACAATGCAATCAAACTTATTCATGCTAGGAGTCCAATAAAAGGGATTGTAGCAATATATAAAAAGCAGAGATTAGGCTAGGTGTGTTTGACACACACAAACCTTGCACTGGCCTGGGTAACACATAACCCTAAGCCATGGCTTGTTTAGCTTCATTTTGGTTTATCTCCATATCGAAACCCACCGCAGTCAGCTATGGCTTGTTCGTGGACGGCATACCAGAGCCTGAAGATTGGTTATGGATTTTGGGTTACATTAACCATGGCTTCACGTAATGTCAGAACTTTGCTTAATCCTGGTTTGTTTTGGTGGTCCTTTCCAGAGGCTCACATGACTAGGGAGGTGCAAGGCAAGAAACATAACAAAACCAAACGTAGGCAAAACAAGCTACGGTCACTTTGTCAGTTTGACTTATCCTAGGTTGTCTAACAAACCATGGTTAAAACAAGCATGGCTTTGTGTGATGTGCTAATGTAGCGACTGTGCCTTGACAACTGATTCCATACCGCCCCAAATACCCCAACACTGCCTGAGGAATGGCAGTTGTGTTGGAGCTACACCCAACAGTGAAACCATACCATTGTAATTATGGTGCCAGATGTGCTCTGGATATGAAATTACCTTCATATACTAGACATCCAAGGAAGAGCACCTAGAGGAAAGGGCAATTTAATCAGCCTTAAGCTCTATGTCAGAATCAGAATACAAGACAGATGGTTGCTGCTAAGGATAACTAGTTGGCACGAGTATTTGACATGCCACATGAGATGCCCAACTACTGTTTCGAAAAATGGCAGTTTTTCAGAAAAATAAATAAAAAATCTTACTTTGGAAAATTGAAGAGAAAACCCACTTCATCCTCAAGGAAACTTGAGACATAGGTTTTAGAAATTATGACAGCTTTTGGCTGCAATCCTAAACACACTAACTAGGGAGTAAGTGTGCCTTATTGAGCACAGCGGCACTTATTTGAGTAAAGCTGCTTAGGATGGCAGTGCATAACACTTAAAAGGTTTCAGCCTATATTTACTTGCTTCCTTGTTTTCTTTAAGCACTTCTCTGCAACAATAAGAGTTAGAATCTTATGGTGAGTTTATTATTATTATTAAAACATGTGGTATTCTTATAAGGGCAAACAAGAGCCTGAAGACTGCATGAGACCGACCCATTTGAAATAGCAGGTATAGCTAATAAGGGGCCTTCTGGATGTTGTTGGACCACAGCTCCAATCATCCCTGACCCTTGGCCATGCTGGCTGGGGCTGATGGGAGTTGTAGTCCAACATCTTCTGGAGGGGAACACATTGGCTACCTCTGTGTTTGAGAGTTACTTGGAGTAGCACACTACAATGGGGAACTATTATACCTCTACTTGGAACGGTCTCTCATTGAAAGGCAAATATGGGGTATGCATTCTGTGGATTTTTGCCTTCATACAGTTATTAAAGGGGCAAAACTACTGTCCTTTTAAAAAAATGGCAACTGCCAATGGCCTACTTCCATATTATTTGACTTAACTTTTAAATTTTTACTTTGGCCCAAAACTTCCTGCTCTGTCTCATACAGAGAGTAGGCCCATCAGAGAGAAACTGTACATAAAATTGCTATTACGAATCCTTTGCCCTTGTGACAATTCAGGTTATAAATTTAAATAATCAAATTGTCTCAAAAGAAAAGAAACCGAGGAAACCACATATTAAAGGCCATTACTCCAGAGATAGTGAATTAGATGTGCCCTGCGTGTAAATAAAGAAAACCAATCTGTTCAAAGTGTCTGTGCAGAGGAAAGAAACAGAGAGTTCTTGCAGATTATATCACGGACAATTTATTGACTGTAGAGACTAGCATTTTGAAAACAAAACAAAAAAATAATTTCTGTCACTGTGGGATGGGGAACAGATGTCAGGCACAGATATAAATTTTCCACTGTGTAGAAAGACGAAAACAGAGCTTGTGCCAGGACAGGTGATGAAAAAATTAGAACATCTGTCCAACGAACTAACAGTTGGGCCAACTGGAGATCTGGAGTCAGTGGGATTCATCCAATAATGACAAAAGAAATTACCGTTTTTAGTAGTGTAAAAACAAACTGTTTAAAAAACACCCGGCCCATCTGAAGTGTGTTTCAGTGCTGCTTCAGTTTTGTGACCTAGGGCACAATCCACACACATTCTCCATTGCGCTGGCACTGCTCTTTGTGCCAGAGCCGGAAGCTGATTCCCAGCAAAATTCAAGCATATTCAGAGCCTGGGAGAACGCAGATCCCATTTGCCATGCAACAAATTGTTGGTGCTGATGGCAAGATGGACTAGAGCTCTTGCGACAGAGGGCATCCAATATGCAGCTCCTCCCCAGGGGCCGTTCCAACTGCTCCCACAAAAGTATTGCTAGTTGCATGACACAGTGGTACACGCTCCTGATCTCGGGCCTGGAGACAGTGGTGGATGAGGTGTACCAGAGCAGCATTACACAACTCTACAAATGCCACAGCGGGGGTGGGGGGAGTAGGGTGCAATACACAAATGGCAAATGAACTCATTTGTATAGCTGGAAGCTGAGGAAACAATTCAAGTAGGTAAATGGGTTGTTTATTGGGTTGTTTACATTTTTATTTTGATTATATATTTCATGCTTTTAGGTTGTGATTTTACCCTGTGAACCTCCATGAGACCTGTGGGTATAGGGCAGTATACAAATAATAATAATAATAATAATAATAATAATAATAATAATAATAGTAGTAGTAGCAGCAGCAGCAGTAGTAGTAGTAATAGTAAGTTAAAAGTGCACCCAAACATAAAAGTGGAAGCGGTCCTTCCTGTGAATATCTCCCTTCTAATGCATTTAATGGCATTTAAAGGGATTTCCAATAAAGGTCACAATTGTGTGTGGAGCTGGTCTGAGCCCCGGGGCGGGAGTCTTGTTAGAATAAAGCTGTAAACTCAAATATGACAGTGTAAGTCTGGCAGGCCCCCAGCAGGGCCACCAACATATCCTTCTGAGTCCTGGGGCAAGTGTCCCCAGCTGCCCAGCCCCACTTCATGGGCCTGCTGGGAGGGTACCCCTGGGGCCATCATGGGAGGGTGGTCACAACTGCAAGGTAGGCAGAGCCCTCCCACCATTTCTTTCTGAGCTCTAAAATCCAAAACTGTATCCTAGCAGTGTCTGTCACCCCCAGCAGTCGTATTCGTAAAAATCCCATCATTCAGCGACTCCCTCAAGTCTTTTCTGTTTATTTTCTAATGAGAAAGAGAGGAGAGAGGAGAGAGCACTAAAAAAAGTAGTGTGACTGGGTAGGGCTGTTCAGTCAGACATGGGAAATGAAGGAGACATCAGACATTCAGGGGGCACATCACTGAGCCAGCGCGAGTCAAGACCACAGCAGTGCAAATACTTGTTCCACGTGCACACTTGTCCCATGCTGCCCCTTCCAGTTTGTAGGGAAGTACAGTAGTAAGAGGGACGCGGGTGGCGCTGTGGGTTAAACCACAGAGCCTAAGACTTGACAATCAGAAGGTCGGCGGTTTGAATCCCTGCGACGGGGTGAGCTCCCGTCTCGGTCCCTGCTCCTGCCAACCTAGCAGTTCGAAAGCACCCCAAAAAGTGCAAGTAGATAAATAGGTATCACTCTGGCAGGAAGGTAAACGGCGTTTCCGTGCGCTGCTCTGGTTCGCCAGAAGCAGCTTAGTCATGCTGGCCACATGACCCGGAAGCTGTACGCCGGCTCCCTCGGCCAATAAAGCGAGATGAGTGCTGCAACCCCAGAGTCGGCCACGACTGGACCTAATGGTCAGGCGTCCCTTTACCTTTACAGTAGTAAGAGCAGGGCATATACTTGGTTAAGTACTTCCACGCCCAAATCCATAGTGGGCGTAGCCAGATCTGGTATATTGCCTTGTACCTGTCGTCTCTCCAGCTCAGTGCAGTTGTGAGAACTTTTCAAGAGCACGAGAGTCAGTGTGGTGTAATGGTTAGAACCAAACTAGGGATGGTTACATCCGCAAAGCCCAGTCCCTCTCACTCTCGGCCTAATCCATCTCCCAGGGTTGATATGAGGATACAAGGGTGTGAGTGGCAACAGGGAAAGGGGAAGCGCAGCATTATAAATATCTGGATCTCAATCCAGCTTAAGGTCTGGGACAGATAATATCGCTCTCTTGCTGGTGGAATTAAGCCACACTGCTAAACAAAATGGATTCTTATGCTTTGCCGATGGCTCTTTGTACTAATGTTAGAAAAATGTTTTGATTGTGCTTTGCCAAAGAGCCAACCGTCTCCAATGGCTGCTCTTTCACAGAGGTTTCGACGAGGGTGACACACATATTTGCATTATGCTTGCCCACGCTGAGAGGAGTCTTTGGTCTCTGCTACAAAAAGCATTCTCTCTCTCTCTCTCTCTCTCTCTCTCTCTCGTGATCTCTACAATTTCCCTTTTCAGAAACCGCAAGAGAATACATCTGTCTGCCTGAGGCGACAGCACAGTTGCAGCTCAGGGCAGGCAAGAACAGACTTAGCCGAGCTCCCATGTTCTCGGAGAACATTTCATGGATTTCCATTTCTGTCACAGTTCATTACCTCAACAAAAATCTGGCCGTTCTCTGCAACGGAGAAGAACCCTTGGGTTGGAGTACGGAAGAGGCCTGTTTCGTAAAGTTCCATGCCGAAGGTGACGTTGCCGATGCGCGATTCAGGTGAATAGTACTTAGGAGATTTAGGAGCTTTCAGCTGATGGAATGTGCAGTTGAACTAAAGCAAGCAAAACAAATTAAGGATGCAGAGAGGAGAAATAACATCGTGGCTGTGGGGCAGTCATAGGGACAGAGGGATTCATCATCAGGGAAGTCTTGCATAGGGACTTCAAATAGCTCAGTTAGATAGAGCATGGTGCTGATAACACCAAGGTCACAGGTCTGATCCCCATAAGGGGCAGCTGCATTTTTCTACACTGAAGGGGCTGAACTAGAAGATCCTCAAGGTCCCTTCCAACTCTGATCTACGATTCTATGACTTCTGCTTGTGCAATGGGGCTTTCCTCCTCTCCTTCCCCTGTGCACCCCATGGAATGGGCTCTATGGGGGTTGGGGGAGGAGAAGTGGGATTGTTCTACCAGGCAAGCTGCAATGCTCGCGCAGACAGAACAACTGGAGGAGCACGACACTGAATTACACCCATAGTGTTTTGCCAATACATACAATCATCGGCTGCAGCACACTCACATAAAAGGATATAGACCAGTCTATAGAAGTGTTTATTTCAATATTTGGAAATAAATAGTGGTTCACAAAAACAGAAAAATCAAAGTTTTTGCCAAGGCCCAACTATTCCTCCAGTGCTTGATTCAGAAGTGATTCCTTCCTTCTGTTTTGCTTGGCTCTCTAATTTGCCCATGCCTGGTACTACAATGACATCCCCCCCCCACTCCTCTACAGCAATCTAACATGGCTATTTCTGACTTTCATGATAAAAGAAAATCACTCCATCTATTCTATATGTACACAGAACAAAGCAGAAACTTTAAGGGTCCTCACTTTCCTCCAGAGTCCAACAATGGACAACTTTTTTTTTTTGCAGGGAAGGGAGACAGAAAGGAGGACTAAATTGATATGGGCTCATGGCATGCTTTGAGGTTCTTAGGGCACACAATGAAGAGGACAAAAGGCTTATAAAGGATTAAAAATGATAAAATCATGGGGTAGTTGTTACTGCTCACCATGCAAGAAGGGCATGGACAGAAAGCCTCTAGAACTGCTCTGAAAAGGAAGCAAAAAGGCTTGCTTCCTCTGGCTCCTGCGCTTCTCTGGTGTTTTTTTTTTTTTGGGTGGGGGTAGATGAAGGCATATACTGCATAAACATCAGGAGAAGTTTGTGTCTCAGCTCACAACTGCCTGTGCACCACCGGGACAATTTACTCCACACTCTGGAAGTCAAGATCATAGTGAGTTTCGTCCCTGTTCCAAATTTTCTTTATGAAGCCAGATTGTGGATAATTGTTACATACCCGAACAATTTCAGTCCTGCTGGAAATGACGACGTCTGTTTCATCAGTGTCCCCAGGGAATCCATTATCCCCTGATTCCATGTCTTCATAGTCAACCGCCCAACCACTGGCCTCAATTGGTGACGGCACATGGATAACAATCTTTGACAAAGGAAGAAAAGAGTAGAAAATTTGTCGTTCTATCAAAGCTGTTTAGGGAGGAGTTCCACCTCACTTGCCCCCTTGAGTCAGAAACATGGATCAAGAAACGTTGCTGGTGGGAAAAGCTAATCATGTTATCAGGGCACCCTTACAGGGATTACTGTTTAACCCATCTGCACCCTGCTCTTCCAAGGTGATTTCTCCCCTGTTATCCTCACACCCTGTGCAGTAAGTGAGGCTGTGATGTAGTAACTGGTGCGAGATCACCACTGACTTTGTAGGGATTTGAACCCCCATCTTTCCAGTAAGCCCACCACTGAATCTCTAAAGGCAAGCTTGGAGCAAGTAAAAGGAAATACCTTCAGCTTGTTTCCAAATCTGCAGCCTGCTTGAGCAATAAAAGTATTGCAGTCTGGGCACTGGTATGTAGATGAAGATACCAGCAGCCCCAGCTCTGCTTCTGGTAAAGCTATGTACTCAGCATTGTTAACAAGCAATGGCTGACTGGACTGGACTGGTATACACCCTACTTTTCAGTAAATCAGCACAAGATACAACTGAGCCAAGAGTTTTGACATGGCAGTTCTTCTTCTTTTTAAACATACAGACATTTCTAACCCTTCCTTTAAAATAGTTCTTTTGCTTTCTAGTTTTCCTTCTCATTTCTGTATCCTGCTACAACTCCCACACTGGGCTGTGTTAGGCATCTCCTGCCCACTTTTCACATACAAACATTCCCCACATATTCCGTTCCTCTGCATTTCCTGACTATTCAGCTTTTCCTTAACTCAATTTCGTCTGTTTGCTCAGATGTTGGGGTTGTTGCTATCCAAAGGAGCAGTTCTACTGTTTTCAGGCGTTTACTGCGTAATTCTATATCTGCTTTGATGGTGTTGAAACTGGCCTGAGATTCAGTACTCAGAAAAAAAAAATCTGAGCTTTGGATCTTGAGTAAAACTTAAGTCTTGGCATGTTTTGGGTTAACCCACCATCAAAAATGGCGGGGCAACTGCTGAATTGAGATCCAGATGTGCATTTTTCCACAGCCTGTTGATCCATGGTTTTTGGTTGGGTACATCTCTAGATCAACAGCCAGAAGGTCTGGCCAAATAAAGGATTTCTGGAGTTTTTCTCTTTTTAAAATTGGACTAGGTTATGTCTGATCAGGTTGCCTTCACTGTATTTGAGTTGGACAATAAGCCCTTCAGTATATGCCAAAATTGCCACTATGTGCTGAAATCTCATAAGCCAAGAGATGTCCTTTTCTGTTAACCTGAGCTGGCCAACATCTATTCACGATCATAGTGAAAATGTTAAGCTAGTGCTGAAGATAGAAATCTTAGAAGTGGCGTATGATTTCTTGCATACCTGCTTAGCTACTTGGAAAATCAGATTATGAACTTGCGATTCAAATTTCAGGTGCTGAACATATATTAACCGTAATTTAAAATGCACTTAACAAAAACTAGTGTGTGCTAGGTAACCATGCCATACATTTTTCTTTACAATGGAAACTTATTTGAGAGCTGCCAGGTTGATGCGCCAAGTTCAGGCCCTCAAGCAGGCTATTACTTACTGAACCACTGTTCATATGTAACAACAACAACAACAACTGGCTTGAACAGCAATAGGAGAACTGTTACAGATCTAGCCTGATCCTGAGAAAGGAACTAGACGTTATAAGACATGTAAGCTGTCTGTTTCCATCCTAAACACCACTAGATTCAAAAACATTGATCCAGGCTTGTAAATAGCCACTCTCCTGGTTGGAAGAATTGGCTCTAGACGCTCAGGCAAGCCAGCTGGCTTTGCAGCCTTCTCTCGCACTCTTGCAGAAAAGGGGAAGATGTACTGTTTGATGGGTAACCAGACTTCTGCTGTGGAAGTGGCACTGTTTCTCTTCACCTCCCTTCTGGGAGCATGAAAAATCAGTTAAGCATGCCCAGCGCGGCACAGAATCTCTCTGTTCTGAAGGCCCCACACTGGGCTGTCTCTCTACTCATTACATAAATGGAGATCAGTAGTTACTTTGGACCCTCCAGATTTGTCTCTGAAATGTAGTGGGTTCTGTTCTAAACACAGAATAACAGCTAGCAGGTCTTGCCTTGCTTTCTTTCCCAACAATAGGAAGCAGATCCTATTAGCCCAGTTGAGTTTATCTGGCTGGGCAAACACAGTGAAGTTGGATTCTGCATTTCTGCTGGAATAAGTGGGGCAGAAAGAGGATGCAAGCAGAGATGACTAGCTACTTTTGCTTTCCCATTCCATTAGAGAAAAAAATGGATGCCCATGCTCCATCAATGTAAGTTCATTGCTTTCTATCTACTGTGGAAAGCTATTTACCTCCTAAAGTAGGGAAAAAAGCGAGAAGCCATCACTCAAGAAAATATGCCTGAAATTGCATTCATATACATGAAACGACAGGGACTTCTTGCTGTTAAGCCTGCCTTTCTATCATTACATTTTTTTTTACAAGAAATAAAGTATCACCAGGACAACAACAACCCTATGATTGCAAGATACAGACAATTATTTCTGCTGTAATAGACTCACAGAGTTCAGATACACGTTATCCAAGGCATAGGCTATTCGTTGAGTCCCACAATCATGCAGCGATGACTCCAAAATAAAATGGGTCTTGTTTGTCTTAGCTCTACATGTAGGATCCAGCAGAGAGAGTTGTGTACCGATGTAACCGCTAGCCTAAAAAAGGGAGAGATCACGATGCAAAATTACACCCCAAACTACAAATCAGGGCTTTAAATGAAGCATTGGGTTTTTTAAAAATCTGACTATTAAGCATTTTTATTTATCATCTTGCAAAATTCTGTATTAAAATATTGCCCTCCAAAAGTGCAGACTAGTCAGTTTATAGGCTATTCAGTCTGGTGGAAAGGTAAGTATTGTATGCACAAAATAACACACCAGAGCACCACTGCAGTGTTTCATTTTATTGAGAGGTCCGCTGAGATGACTGTCTGTAACTTTAAATGATTTATTTTCCAAAGGGAGAAAAGAAGATAATGCATTTTGGAGCATATTTTAATCATCTTTAAGTTTTGGCTGTGACTTAAACGGGAACAATTGCTTCACAATTCCAGCTGCAGTGAATGCAGTCCTTTGACAGCCTTGGGACAAAAGCAGAGGACTGATCACTGGTTGGGCAGATAATGTCAACCATATGTTCCCTTATAACTGTGGGGTTAATACGCAACACACTCCATAGTTTATTCAATAGTCAAATCACTCTATCCTAGTTTGTTCCAATGTGAAATTAAGAAATCATACCAACCTCCAGTGAGTCTTTTGCTACAGCTACAATCATGGACGTGTCATCACACTTCACCGTCAGGGCAACATGAACGCTACCCTGAACTTCTTCTGGTTCTGAGACTTTTGGAAGGAGGTGCTCAAAGCCACGATTGGTCCTAATTGTGTCCACCATATCAGTTGATGGCAAGTTTCCATCATGATCTCGATGGAAGTGGAAGTCAAAACTAACGCCTTCGCTTGAGGGCGCAAGTGGAGCTGGCAGTGGGTTAACGCCACGCAGCAGCTCCTTCAGCTCTGGTGGGAAATGGTCTTCCTCATCATTCATCTCTTCTAGAGAAAGACAGAAATTTGGAGACATTACGATGTTCCTTTAGTTTCTTGTGACTCTGAGCTAAGCTACGCATGACATCAGGGGTTGCCAGCCTTTTTAAGCCTGTGGGTGCTTTGGGATTTCTGAGTAAGTGTTTTGTGCACTGCTCCTCCACTCACGTCTCCCCTGCAGGATTACACACTACTTTCCCAAGGGATATGGTTAAAAGTTGGATCCAGTGGAAATAATCTGAGCCTTGGAAAACACATTGAGATGTCAGAGGAAGTAAGAAACAGCATCGCTCTTCCAACTTGCTCCTTCAGTTGTATCTACTTTTAAGGAGATTCTAACTAAACATCAGGAAGACCTTTCTGACGGTATGAGCTGCTCGACAGTTGAACGGACTCCCTTGGAAGGTGGCGGACTCTCCTTCCTTGGAGGTTTTTAGCAGGGCTGGATAGGCATCTCATGGATGCCTTAGTTGAGATTCCAGCACTGCAGGGGGTTGGATTAGATCAACCTGGAAGGTCCCTTCCAAACCTGTGATTCTATTACAATAAGGGGCAGTGGCAGGGGGGTTCAGAGACTTTTGTGGGTGACAGGGGAAGACCTCAGGGGTACCATCGCACCCACAGGCACCACATTGGCAAGCCCTGCAGTATGTCAAAAATGCTATTAGATCACTCTGATAGGACCTGCCACTTCTCCTTCTTAACAAAGAAGCATGGGAGGCTTCCAATACATTTTGGCACTGCAGTGAACAGGGAGAGTTGCCATTTCTTGCCGAAGATCCCATGCAGCTGCTGGTTGCCCCCAGAAGGTAATACACGCAGCACTTTCAGGGGCAAATAGCAGACGGGGTGTGGGGCGAGAAAAAAGTCTTCAGAAGGTAGCAGATATCCTTGGTGTCCCTAGCTGAAGCTAGTGACCTTCCTAAAAAATCAAATTGCAAGGCTAGCAACTTTATTTCACGAATGTAACATTCATCCCAGGGGATTAGATCCAAACTTGCCCCTCTGCAAATGAAAGGGCTGCTTCTGTTTGCAGAAGGGCCTTCAATCCGGCAGAGGCTCCCACTGGAGAAACGGGGGTTGGAAGCCATTTTCACCAATTTCCCGTTCCCCCTGCAGCCTCCAGCACCAATTTGGAGCATCCAGTAGGTGGGGTTCTGCTCCCTGGAAGTCTTAATTCAACCTAGTATCTCCCGATCAAAGCATATCTCCCATTACAACTCTCAAGGCTTTAGTGAATCCAAGGCTCTTGAGGGGAGGAAAAGGACCAAGAAGCGTTCAAGAAAAGTGCTGCATACTTGATACAAGCCAGCCTACCCGTGTCCTCAAGGCGTAGATGGAACCTATTAGCAACAGGTGCTTTTGTATAGGAAGTAACTGGATGGTAGCCATGGTCATAAGCCCACGTAATCAAACTCTCATGAGAGGAGGGAATATTGGAAAATATGTTTTTAGTCATCACCATCGAGCGTTCCGTTTCCTTTCCAAAGCCAACACTGTTTGCTGCCTGCGCAGAAAAGGAGATAACATTAGGATTCTGGATGAGGCTTTTCCAAGTCTTGTAAAACCATATGTCAGGAAACTGATATTTTTACCCCTTTCTGGGGTAAAAAATAACATGAAAAGGAACTCCTTTCAACAACTTCTTTTCATCATTTCTGCAGCGAACTTTTCTTCCAGGCAGACTGATTTGGCATCCCACCACAGAATTGTGAAAAGTTTGCCATGGATGAGGCTAAATCCCCACACTTTGCTGGGACAGTATAATTACTTAGAGCCACTGCGTCATGTCAAAATACAACAACCTGTTTTTCTCCCCCCCCCCCCACAATTGCTTCTCAATACAATGATTTTTAGATAAGGGAAAAAAGTTCTTGATAATGTGGAAGGATAACAAGGACTGTAAGTAGCTGTAAGAGCTAAAGCATATCCAGGGCTTGTAGAGGCTGATGTGTAACGGAAATTACATGAAAGCTAATTGAAACAACTTCCATGTTGGGATTGTCCCACTGGCTGTCATGACATGTTAAGGGGCTCATTGCATGGATGGCCTCTACTCTGCTACTGGATGTAACAAATCTAAAATATGCGCTAGACGAGTCAAGGGTTCTCCAGATGTTGTTGGACCAGTACTCCCATAGGAGCCAACTCCTGGGGCCAAGATCCCTTCAGCCAGGCCCACCCAAAGTTAATGGTCATTGCCATTCAAGTGTGTGTGTGTGTGTGTGCGTGTGCGCACGCGCGCACACACACACACACACACTGTATCATGTAATCTACTATGCAGGGAGGGGCTTACCTCCTCCCTCCAATATTTTATTCAAGTTAGCACCCCTCAGTAATCTCAGGGGTAATCTAAGATCATCCAGAAGATAATCGAGTTTAGAAATGTTACACTGAAAACGTTTCAACTTCACACCGGCCCTCCATGGGCAACTGAAATGTTTAGACTGGCCCTTGATTTTACACTGGGGTGGCCAACCTTTTTTTGGTTCCAAGGGCAACATTCACCCTTGGACAGGCTTTCAGGGGTGCATGCAATTGTGGATGTGGATAAAAAGGAGTGTGGACACTCCACAATCTTACATACACACATGGGCTATATGGAGGCCCATTACTGAATTTATTTTAACTACAGCGATGTTAAGTAGTCAATAAACTACCATATTTTTCACTCTATAAGATGCACTCCCCCCAAAAAAAGTATGGGGAAATGTGTGTGCGTCTTATGGAGCGAATGCAGGCTGCACAGCTATCCCTGAAGCCAGGAGAGCAAGATGGATTGGTGCGCACCAATCCCTCTTGCTCTCCTGGCTTCAGCGAAAGCAATGCAAAGCCTCCTGAGCAAAGAGGGAGGAGCACTCCAGCTGCGCTCAAGAGTCTTTGCGTTGCTTTCTTGTTTTCCTCCTCTAAAAACTAGGTGCGCCTTGTGCGGGTGCGTCTTATAGAGCGAAAATACGGTACAGTGGTACCTCAGGTTAAGTACTTAATTCGTTCCGGAGGTCTGTTCTTAACCTGAAACTGTTCTTAACCGGAAGCACCACTTTAGCTAATGGGGCCTCCTGCTGCCGCCGCGCCACCGGAGCACAATTTCTCATCCTGAAGCAAAGCTCTTAACCCAAGGTAATATTTCTGGGTTAGCGGAGTCTGTAACCTGAAACGTATGTAACCTGAAGCGTCTGTAACCCAAGGTACCACTGTATATACTACTGCATAAGATGCCAGTATTTTCTAGCACATAGTAAACAGCAATCGTAGCCTATGGGGGATGAATATGGAAGCCAGTTTTATTGAGTAAAAGCTGCAGGGAAAAGATACCCTTTTCATGTCAAAATGCTTTTTTAAGAATCATGACATGGGTCAACCCGCAAAACACTAAAAAGGCCATGCCTGATTCTTTGTGCACTGAATAATTCGCATTTTTGTGACAATTAATGTTAGCAATATGAATTGTCATCTGAAAAAGAAGAAACGGAACTATTCAAAACCTATGTTTGAAAGCTTCCTCTGATGCTCCTACAGAAGATGCAAAGCAATCTTGAAAACTCTATGTGTTTGAATGGTTTGCTGCAGGTGGTACTGAAAGGAGAGCCATTAACAAAAAGGGTAGCAAATCCTGTTTTGGGGAGTGGGCGGAGGAGGAGTTTCTGCTCTTGAGCTGTGCCTGCCTGCCCTGTTTCTGCCCAAAATACTCAAATCTGGATACAATTTTTTTTACACATGTTTCAAATAAACAGGCAAGTTTGGATTGACCTGCGATTATGACGATCCCTAAATTTTCCGGATTTCCTGCCCTCTCTCTCTCTCTCTTTTAAATGTTAGATAAAACAGCTGAACAAATATTTTTCAGAATATAATTGTCATAACTGGAACCTGCCCGTTTTAAAGAACTGCGTCCCTCTCTATTCATATAGACCCATTAAGATTTAATGTATCCAAATAGGAGCATACAGGGTCTATGTTTATGTTCTGGCACTATTCTGGCCCATAATGTTGGGACGCTTGAATATAAAATAAAAATACATATTCTCAAACTAGACACGGATTTTCCTATGGGTCAGATGCAGTTAATTTGAATTTGGAATGTTACTTTTTAAATCTCTCATCTTCCACTGGTATTTTTGCAGATGGGACTGCTTAGGGCTAATCAAAACAAATTTGGAAAGTAAAAAAGGCTATTCAAAATTTGGATTCATCTCTACCCAGCTTCTTGATGCCTTTGCCCTAGTTTTCTCTGTTCTACATGGTGAGCTGATAGCACCACCTTCAAGCAACGGTCAGTTGTGGCTGGGATGAATAAGACACTTTCTTATTCAGCCAAAAGGGCATCAATGTAAGCCTTTGCTTGAGCTGTTGGCTCAAGGCTCCTTCCAGGGTACATTTTGTACTTAAGAATTATAGGTGATCAATAGAGCAAACCTACATGTGAAATGAAGTTGAACTGCATCCAATGGGGCTCACTCCAAGTTAAGTGTGCAGCGGATCACAACTTTCAGCGAGATCTTGTGTGTACTTGAAGGTGCATCCCACACAAAAGCATGTTTAAGGGCTGCAGCCTCAGTCAAGCCAAAACTGGAGATCACAGGCTCCCTCAAAACTTAAAAGAAACGGGACTTTCCTGTCTATATTCTTTCCTATGATTCTATACATCAGAGCACAACCAACCCAAATTAACTCCTTTAACTTTCTTTACAGGCAACTTAATTTTGCCTCTCAGGACCCCTGCCATTTCCACTGAGTGAAAAAACATGAGCAAAATTGCAGAGGAGTGAAACTGGTCCAGCTAATAAACAAATAATTGGAAGCACAACTTAATTAAGAACGTTAAAAGAAGCTCTGCTGGAACTGATCAAACATCAGGTCTAGCATCCAGTTTCCAACAGTGGCCAGTAAAATACTTCCAAGGTATGAAGTATTGAACGGGGCATCAAAGCAACAGTACACTTTAGTAATGCATTTTAAAGAGTATAAATAGACATCAGAACTTGGCAGCATGCCAGCAGGGCCCAGGAATGTGAAGTGGACTGGGGGGGGGGGTATTGCTGACCCAGCTTCCCAACACAGAGGTGGCTGCCAGAAACTGAGGGTGGGAGGGGAGAGGCAGTGTGGAGGGATCCTTGATGTCATTAGGTCCCTTGGACTTCTATGATTCGAGGAACCTCTACCCTGCAGATCCAATTAGGCCCAGAAGGGGTCCTAATTTGGCTCGTGGGGCCGTTTCCCTCAAACCATGCCTACCTGGCCCACCCCTGATATCATAGGTGATGGCAGGTAGGAGACAGGTAGAGGCGCGGCCTTCACTTTGACATGTGTTTCCAAAAAACACCTGCTTGGAAACACAGTTCAAAGTGCTGTCTCTCAGCGCTCATCGGCTCACAGGATGCGGAAGGAATTAAACTGTGAAGTGTGAAGCTGCTTTGAAATGAAACTTCAAAGGCGTAGATGTCAACCAATGCCATTATGACAGGCAGGGTCCCTGCTCAACCATCAAACTTTGCCTGTGGGGTTTGTGAAGATAAGAATCTTGGCCCACCAGAATGGAAAGGTTCCATGGCTCTGCCTTAACCCATCGGATCTCTCTGGGTACGTTTTTGCTTTTTTAATAAAAGAAACCCTCGGCTAGAATGAGGTGTTAAAGAAAACCAAAAGTGAAAATCTTCATCCAGTGAGATACAAAAGCCAGGAGCTAAATGGCTCCTTAAACCAAGATTATGGGCGCAACAACGGAATGTCTAGGTGCACTTTTTTTATAACAAGAATACAAAGCTGAAAATGAATGAACTGCAGCTAAAATATTATGTTCGTTTTTCACATGGTCTAGTTCTTCCCCTGCCCACCCCCCTAATATTCTTAAGAGGGTCTCTTCTCCAGTCTTCGGAAAGTGGCTGGAAGTGGGGAGGCAGAAAAAGGTCCTCCTTTCCTTCCACTCTGCAATTTTAATCTGAAATCTTAGGTGGAGTACTGCACCCAAAGCTCAGAAATGGCTTGCACGAATGAAATTCCCTGTCGCAAAATGTGCCTAGAACAATGGGAGTTTTGAACACTGTCTCCATCTGCTTGTGAAGAACAGCGTGCAATGAAACATTTGGAAATGACAGAGAGGGCTCTTTTTCAGCCGGAACTCAGTCCTGGCACCTCTCAGGTGGGCGCCATTGCCATTACAGTGGTACCTCAGGTTACATACGCTTCAGGTTACATACGCTTCAGGTTACAGACTCCACTAACCCAGAAATAGTACCTCAGGTTAAGAACTTTGCTTCAGGTTGAGAACAGAAATCATGCAGCAGCGGCGCAGCGGCAGCAGGAGGCCCCATTAGCTAAAGTGGTGCTTCAGGTTAAGAACAGTTTCAGGTTAAGAACGGACCTCCGGAATGAATTAAGTACTTAACCTGAGGTACCACTGTATAAGAGAAAGAAGGGAGGTGTTCATGGTGAGTTCCGGCATCTCTTTTTCAAGAAAAATAGCACTGGTGACAGATGCAATGCACCACCCTCTTAATCGAGCAGCACATTACTCAGTACCCAGGTTGGGTGGGGAGAACCAACAACCAGGATTAGTAGCAAAAGTTGAGGAGATACTCAGAAAATATGTCTGTTATCATGGGCTCACTTCTTCACATAAAAGCCTGAGCTGTTAACAGCACCCGTGCCTCCCTTACAACAAGTCATATCTACTTACAATTGCTTCCAGTTTCCCCTTCACATCATGGGACTTGATGACCCAGTTGACAGACTTTCTGCACTTGAGGATAAGTACAAGATCCCTGACAAGTGTGGTGTCTGGCCGAGATGGTCGAATGTCAATGATGATATCCACCTGGAAAGCACTGGTCGTGGAAAATAAAAAAGAGTGAGGCCCCAGCACGCCAGAAATTTTCAGCTATCAACCTTCTTTCAATCCATCATGTTTCCAGTGTCTGGCCAGCTGATTAAAATGCTGGAGGTTATCCCAGACGGTACAACATGTGCAAAACAGACTGTTACGCCACACATGCTAAAACAATTTTACATAACAATGGAAACAAAAATGCTTTTTAGGCTAATAATTACTGTCCAGCAGCAGCTTTGCTTTCTCAATTAGAGGTTGCTGGTTGCTCATTGCCACTGCTTTGGTGCTGGTTAAAGAGAACCACTCGGAGCTCGTTCTCCCACCCCCGCTATTTCCCCATTTCTTCAGGAAATTTTAAATGTACGTTTCTATCCAATTTATTCCGTTAATTTGGAGCACATGTCACCCTATTGTACCCTAAAATTATAGCTTGGCAGCATTGTTGTGGAAGGAAAAATGGAATAATAAGTGAGAGAAATGCATCTGGTCTGCTGAGCTTTGAAAACAATGGGGACTGCGCAAAAAAGCAAAGTATGTTTGGGCAGTGACGAAGAATGGGACATTTTCAAAACGCAGTTATTAGCTTGGCCCGCTGCTCATCTTCAGGATAATAGAAGCTTAATGTAAATGCATCTGTTCTCGTCACATTACACTTTGTGTCAAATCTGGAGTGCCCTCCCTTCCTTTATTCCTGAAGAGTGAGATGAGGTCTCCTGTGTTCCCCAACCTCCGATACTTGCTGAGGTAGAAGTTAATGAGTATTTCAGGGTGCAATCCTGATAATGGGGAGGGGGGTGAAGCAGCACTTGAACAAGACCTATAAGCCCATGATCAAATGAGGTATCTTTTCAAATATTTAGGTCAGAGCCCAACTTTATCATAGAACCATAGAATCGTAGAATTGGAAGGGCCGTGAGGATCATCTTGTCTGTTATGTACTGAGTTGAATAGGATCCAAAATGCAGCAGTCTGATTGGTCCTAGAACCATAGGATTCAGAATGCAGCAGTCTGATTGGTCCTAGAACAATAGGATCCAGAATGCAGTAGTCTGATTGGTCCTAGAACAATAGGATCCAGAATGCAGTAGTCTGATTGGTCCACAGGAGCCACCCAATCCAGCTCCAGGTGGAAGTGAATCCGCAACCCGATTGGCCTACAGGAGAATCCCGGAATTAGCCAATCATGTGGGGCCCATTGTTTAAATAATGTATATAAAGCAGACATTCTGGGGGAACTTCCATTCCTCCTCACCACTATGAGCTGAACAAAGAGCATGAAATCCACTCTCGACTCCGAGGATACTTCATTGTCCAACCGCCTGCAATGCAGGAATATGCAGCTGTCCCATATGGGGATCAAACCTGCAATCTTGGCACTATCAGCACCACGCTCTGACTGAGCTATTGCCCTCCCTGTAGCAGCCTCTTTGACCTTGATAAAATTTGACACATTGATTTCTAATCTGAAGACAAATTCTGTGACCTGTTTTGACACCCCCATGTGCTAAATAACAGACATATTGAAACTTTTGTTTCAAAGTGCCGCAATCTAAAAGTATTTATGCCAAATAAACTTTTCGGAGTTTTGCTTTTCTCATAGACGGAGGATCTGTTCCTTTAAAGCTGCAGGATGGGCTGAAATAAACAACATTCTTGGCTTGGAGAACGGGCACTTTACCTGTACGGGTTAGAGTCTGGTGTGATTAGTTCAATTATATGAACTTCTCTTTCTTGATCCATGCTGGAGACAATGCATCCCTCTGCTGCCTTGGGTTGCAGGTATCCCGCAAGGTAGTTCAAGGAAATAAAGTTCTTCTCTATATTGCATGTTGCAGGGAAAAACTGATCTAAAGAAGAAGAAGAGATAAAACAAATCATCCTTAATGATCAAATACGATTGTAAAGGTTAAAGCTACCATGTGCCCTTCCCCACTGGATCCCAGCTTAAGGGCTCCCCATTCACCAAGGCTATCATTGCACTACCTTGATTCCATTGTTCCTTTCAATGTGGCCTAAAATGGCTCAGCGTTGCCATAGGAGCAGTAAAGCAGTAAAGGCAGGAATAATGCTTAACCATGTTGATTGGGAATGGTGCAAGACTTCAAATGGGAGGTGGTAGAAAGAAATGTCAACTCCTCACAATCAAAAAAGCATGAGCTCATTCTAAGGCAGATCCATCCTCCTTTGAGATGGGGTTAAGCATAATTTCCTCCTGGGAGTTTATTAGTCTTTGGTTTTCTAACCACAAGCACTAAGATACCTAGCAGGACATCATTTGCAGCAAAGCAGAGACCTTATGGGGCTGTTCCTGTGTGGAAGTGGATCTTCCATCACTTGTTACTCCCTCCCCAAGATAAGGCCTTTTTCCTTGCCTGGGAAAAGAGGTTGCAGGGAAGGGATTGATAGGGAAGTGATAGAGAAAGGGTGCAAAATCCTACTTCGAATTGTGCCCAGAGGGCAATGCACCCTTACTCTAATGGATTTTTGGACGCATCTCTAATAATAATTTGTCCCTCTGTATTAAGCTAAGCACATAAAGGGCGCATACAGGAGGCAGTAGTTAACCATGGTTAACAAACTATAGTTTGCAAGCCCATGTCAAACCATGGTTTCACAGCCACATCAATTACCTGGTCTCCTGATTGTGGAGATGAAGCCAGGCTTGCCCTGGATCCTAGGCTACACCATTTCCTAGACAGGGGCTTAATCAGGCAAAAACAAAACAACCCCCCGCCAAAAAAAACAAAACCCAAACCTGCCCCCCATCCCTTTTGCTCCACATCTCCCCATTCTTCATTATAAGTGTTCTGTGAGAGTCTCAAGTAGCTGTTCTGTGGTCAGAACCACATTCTAAGCCCTTCCTGTACTTTTGTGCACAGCTGATAACCCTCTACGATGTTAATAAATTATAATAAATTGCAGTAATGTTCAAAAGCTGTCTGTAAAACCCTCGTAAAAGCAGTGTTTTGACAAGTCATGCAATTCTACTTGCATCTCAAATTTTGTTTTATTGTTCATGTCCCAAGGCAAGTTTCTAAAACAGTGATAATTACCGTATTTTTCGCAACATTGGGCGCACCGGACTATAGGGCGCACCTAGTTTTTAGACATCCCGCTGGCTGCTTTGGCTTCCTCTTCAGCCCCGCGCAATCTCTCCCTGCCGGGAGAGGCTGCGCATGGCTAAAGACGCCCTGCCGGAGGGGTTGCGCGCAGCTATGGCACAAGCCTGCATTCGCTCCATAGGACGCACACACATTTCCCCTCAGTTTTTGGAGGGGAAAAACTGCGTCCAATGGAGCGAAAAGTACGGTACAGTGCGAGAGGAGTTTATTTCTTGATACTTTCAGTTTCAGCATTTCATTTCATTCACTTTTTTTTTTACTTTAGAAGTGATACTTTCACAAACAAAAAATGTGACATGAATTTTTGAATAATATATGTCAGTTACAAAATTCTGTGTTTCCTGGTGCAGAATCTGAGTTAAACATGGTGCAGTTGTGGGTTGTTGCTTTTTTACACCTAACTATTAAAAAAAACACAACCTATAGTAAAATTTTATCATGATGAATGACTGGCTGTAAACTTCCCTCTATCCACTTTCTCTACAACACGCACAATTCTATACAATTCTATCATGTCACCACCTTTTCTTTAAAATAAACAAAAAGCCTCAAACATTACAATCCTTTCTCTAGGGAAATTGTTCCAGCTGCTGGATCAGATTGGTTGCCTTTCTCTGCACCTTTTCCAGCTTCACAATTCATTTATTTATTAGGCTCAGCGAACAGATCTGTACACAGTATTCCCAAGTGTAGTTGCATCATAGATATGTATAATAAAGGCATTAATGGCAGGGGGTGTCCCCCCCCATCCCTTTCCATACTAAGCGGTATCTGAATGCTCACTTTGCCTTCTTCTCTAGAGGATCCTTCTATGTGAACTATGAGAGATGAAATCTATTTGCGCAGCTTGACGGAGCACTCCTCAAACATCTGTTAAGTACCCTGCCAGATGGGATGCAAAAGCAGTCGCGATTCTGCCAACTCCTCCCACACAAATGAGGGAAAGTGATCCCAAGGTTGACCATGTTGAACTCAAACTAATGTACATAAAGACGCCATGCAAATGTAATTCGCCAGTACTAGTAACGTCATTATTGTTAAACTGAGAAATGGCTTGCCAACGAGTTCTCCAGGAAGAGGAACACAGGTTCTAAGGTGAATCATTAAAAAAAAGAAAGAGTTATTGCATTTGTGTTACGTGTTTCGGCAATCTCTTCTGATACCGTCAACAGCAAGCAAGGGTCTCGACAGCATTTCAGTTTCTTTCAATTGTTCATTTAAACTCTTTGAGATCAAATATTGCCGATATTTTCTAACTTCCATACCGTTTAGCCAACCTGCAGGGCAGACTCATAGCTCAGTGGTAAATCTAGGGTTGCCAAACGTCCATGATTTCCTGGACATAGCTGGGATTCGGCCATCAGAAACAGTGTCCGGGTGTAAATCATGTCCGGGAAAATCTCAACAACTTTTGTGACTGGATTTCCACTTTTTGAAATATGGCAACTCTAGGTAAACCACACGTTCTATATCTAAAATGTCCCAAGTCCAGGCTGGGAAACACTGGAGAGCTACTGCCTATCAGCATAGACAACACTGAGCTAAATGGCTTTCTTTATTGCACTGAATTGAAGTTCCTATCATAGTATGTAAGGAATGGTAAATAGCATGGTATCTGATTTGGATAGGAGGACAGTAGGAGGAACAATTGCCAGAGAATGCACTAGAATTTTGTAATGTAAATACAGTAATAGATACTTCTGTCTTCTATGTATGCTGCCAACTTGCTTCCCTGCAACCAAGACCTGTATACTGAACCCTACTAGTTTCTTTGGGTCACACCTCTGTCTTAATAGGGATGAGAGTGTTTTGCTTCATTCTGTACAAATTAGGTGTTACTATCAGATTCCCAGCCAACACGATCCAAAGTTGGAGCAATCTTGAGTGCTTTTGGCTTGACAATGTGAGGACACTCTTTATGAATATATCAGAACCATGCATCATGTATCAGCTTTCCTTAATAAATTATTATTGCCAAGGGCTATACATCAGCGGTAAGATTTCTTCCCAGCTGGAACTCCTTTTTGAAAAGGTTTAAGTCTAGGATAATGGAGAACCAAAGGGATTACTGTCCAGGAGCTACCAAATGTTGAAAGGAGATAAAGTTTCAGCTCTGAAACTGAAACAATAAGTTAATTGTAGTGGATTTCAAACTATTGTTAACTAATTAATGCTTTGTGAAATCCTTCTGTGCAACAGAGCTTTGGTAGGAAGACAGAAGGAGCAATGGCGAATCAGAAAAAGCTCCAGAATAAATGTGAGAGTAGACAAATAAAAGGGAAAGACCAGCTGACCTGAACAGGCAGAAAAGTGCAGGCAACAATGCAATATGGTAGCTAACTGAAGACTGACATCACACTAATAATACCTTTAGTATGAATTGCTCAAGGTGAAATCTGCCTTGGTGGTCACAAATTGCAAATTGGAAGGAAGACGCCAAATAATGAGTCTGCAGCCACTGTGACATGAAGAAGGATTGTGTATGGGGGAATGCTTTCCCAAAAACGGACAGGATTGCAATTCAATTCCCCATGTACAATCTTACTAGTTTGGAGACACTTACCTTCACCCACTTTGATGTAAACATTTCTGGATATTTTGAGTTCAGTGAAAGATGTTACTGCCCCATATTCCTTTTGGGCCCACTGTAGCAGATGCTTGTTTCCTTGAGGGAGAGGTTTTTCCTCTATTTTTGCCGACAAGGAGAAATTTTCTTTCTCAAACTGCACAATGGAACCTGCTGATACCTGAGGAGAATAGAAACACCTTTTTAATGCGACATCCACATCATGCAGAACTCTCACCCCCACAAAAAGTCATTTAAACTTGTCACACCAAAACCCATTTCTCACAGGGGTTCTTTCCATAACATCTGCTAAACAGGCAATACCGTGAACCATTTGTACAATGCGCTTTCACATTCAACGGAACATAACAACAAAGAACATGAGATTGAATTCTCCTTGTCTTGTTGACAGTGATGAAGAACAAAAGTGTTGTATTGATGAGGCTCCGTTGAAAATAAGAAAAACTATCACTGCTACTTTGACCAAAACAAAGATGTATAAGGGTTTGAAACATGTAAGCCAAAATTTTAGAGATTTTTCCTCCACCATATGCTTAAACCAACGAACAAAACAAAAACTCACATATACTACTCAACAAAGAAGGTCCAGAGAAGATATTTTCACTCATTACTTCAAGGGACACAGGAGATCCCACTTCAGAAAGCCTTTAAGGTACTGTGAAACTGAGCAGTATCTTATGTAATGAAAACTACATGCAAAAGAAGAGGATGGAACTTGAAAAGTATCAGCTACAGATCTAGCTCCCCATCAGAAACAATCAAGGCTCTGAGGCTGAAGAGTCTCCTGCTAAGGAACTAGACCAGGTACAGGACTCCAGAGCTTGCTGCTGGATATCAAGAGACCACTAAGCCTCACATATCTTTAAGGCCAGATTCTGGACTCTCCCCTTTGGACTAAGGAACCTTGCATAGGACCTCACTGTCTGGCAGCACACCAGCTGGGAAGGTATACAATGGAGGAGCACCAGTCTTCAGGACAGAGGGTTGGCCCTTTAGGAATCTAAGGTTAGCAGAAATGCCTGAGAGAGGTAGTCTGAGAGCAAGAGCTTAAAGTGGCTCGGGCGGCCCTCAACCTTTGTTGGAGCAAGTTGTTTACTATTTGTGGTCCTGCAATTTCTAACCTCACCGGCCTTCTCCATGGGATACGGCACCAGACCAGAACATGACAATAGTATTCTAAGTACACCATAGTTTTGTATAACAGCATTATGATATCAGCAATGTCCAGTCCCTTTCCTAAAGATTCCTAAGATGGAATTCACCTTTTTCACAGCTGGGTTGACATTTTCATTGACCTATTCACCTTGAATCCAAAATCCCTTTCCCGGTCAGTCACCATCAGCACAGACTTCATTAGCATATATGTGAAGCTAGGAGGTTTTTTTTGCCTCTGTGTGCGCCACTCACAACGGCTTATATTGAATCACATTTTGATGTCCACTCACAGAGAATTTTTTTGATGGCATAGATATGCCAGAAAGACCCTATTAGGCTATATGTTGCTTTGCTGACAACACAAGAGGGCTTCACTGCTTCCTACCTAGCGTGTCACTTCCTTCACATCTCTGTCGGCCAGGTGATCCTTGAATGGTATAAACTTTTGGCTCATAGTGGATTAAGCAAACAGCTGGATCAGAATAGAAAGGGTTGAAAAAGTACTGGGAGGTAGTGGGCACCAGAGCAGCCCTCTAAAACTTGACTATCACTTCTGCGGATCACTTATTTCAAAAGCTAAACACAGATATGGGATTCAAAAGAGGTTATACACAGGGCACATGGGTTATCTATTTTAAAAGCTATACAGGGAGCTCATTTCCTGCGTTTTCAGCAGTTTATGAGCTATTCAATCCAGCTCCATTCTATCTTGGAGGAAGAAAATATAGGAAAATAGATAAGTTGTCTTTCATGTTGTCAAATCTCACAGAGTGAAGGATTGCATCATAGGAAACTTATTTCAGTGGGAAAGTAGGACCTGTTATGTTCAAGCAGAGCACAGAACTGACAAAGGAAGACAGAGGGATGCAATTGTTTCAGAAGACACATTTTCTTAAGCACCCTGACCAACTGACTTGCCACGGCAGTTCCAAATATCTCCCGGACAACTATGTCAACTGTGTATTGCTCCAAATAACAACATGTTGCAAACAGATTTGAAAACACTTGGCTGACTTCATCTGGAAAAACACAGATGTATTCTTAAACAATAGATACATTTCAGCAAAGCATTGTTTACACAAAACTGCAGGGTACTTTTTAAGTGTAAAAAAGTTGGATGTTGCTGCAGCACAAAATAGTTCCACACAATTAAAAGCCAGGTTTTGTTTAAAGAGATATTTCAATTTAAATTTTTAATTAACACCATCAGCCATTAAAAATGGATATCTATCATTCACAAATGATGTCCCAGAATATGCATTTTTATGATCCATGTTTGTTTGGTTAATAATTAATAATTTTTACCCAACCTCTTTAATGCATATTATCACTCTGCTGTTTTGTCTGGCCTTATGGCTATTATTGACAAATCCCATAAACTGAAGCAAAGGAAAGGTTGTTTTTGTTTGTTTGTTTGTTTTAAAAAGCTTTGTAGCCATGCTTGTGGGTGGTGTTCATAGCTGGGGAAGAAAGGGATAAATTTCTGCTCTCTGTGTCCTGCAATCCTGATGACAAATTGGGCTCATAACTCAGCTGCAATTAAACACGCACAACGAGAAATGATGTTGTACATTACACGTATTTGTAAAGTATAGCTTGACCCTGAGCCTAAGAAAAATGTCAAATGTGAAATACTCCCAATTCTATACTAGGCACAGAATGACCAAATATGACCAATCCTGCTTACAGCTTTCACTGGTGAACTTTTTTTTTTTAAAAAAAATCCAGCATTCTATTATTATGGGTCGTCTCCACTGGGGCCCTATTGTACAGCTTGTCTTGTGAAGAGATGCCTCTTATCCCAAGAGTTCATTTAACCCAGACAAATCACAGAAAGCAGCTTAAGAACCCTTCGCCTCCTGCCAGAATAGTTCCAAAAACTTTAAACTAACCTCTGTTTCAACTCTCGATGATTCCTTTCATTTGTTGCCGCTGGTCATGCGACCACCATAAAACATGTCATAAAAAAAAAAAAATCTATACGACGTAACGCTTCATGCATCATTCTAACAAGGGAAACTACATAAGTATACCCTGTCTTCTATAATGCAAGGGCTCCAAATGTCACTGTTTTACATTTCATTAAACCATCTTCTGGCAGTGCATCACCCGGTAGTCTCAACACGTCTTTCTTAAGCCCCGACAACGTGTGACGTGAACATTTCTCCACTTAGGGAGAGATCTCTGGAATGGAAGCCTTGGTGAACCATTCATTTTCTGTAGTTGCCATCAGGCGTGTGGGTCTGTGAAGGAACTGCAGTACTGGGGAGTGGTGGTGGGGAGAAATCATAAGTACGCCTGAAGACCACATAGCAGGAACAGGTACGTGCAGGTCTACATCCCAACATAAAGAACTGCCAGGTATGCAACATGCATCAACCTGCCTCATTTGCAGCTTCAAGGGGCTCCCCACTGAGACATGGTGGTGACACTTCTTCCTTTTTATAATTATTTTAGCTTTTGTTTCAATTCCACATATTCCAGGACTTTTATCATGCAGGAAGCATTTTGGTACCGGAAATACCCCAAACACAAAGTGTATGAGAATGTGTATTTGGGGAAGGGGGCTGTTGTTTAAACTGATCCATTGACAACAGTCAAGTTGGAACCTGCCAGAGAGATGGTGGCTGATCAGCCAAAATTCCACCTTAAAGAAGAAGTCTTTTATAGTCTGTCCTCTTGAGAAGAGTCAACATCTAGCCTGAGTACACAGAGTCGGTCCAGAACCTCAGCCCTTTACCGTCTAGGGGATTTGCTCAAAGCTGAAGCCCTGACAGCTAACCACGCACAGTAGCTATGAACAGGCCCACGGCTTTCTAGTTTAGACCTGGCAGCTCCCAACAATTGAGTATGTCCAAATTCTGCTACAGCATCAGACAGAAAGCAAACAAATCAAGTAGTAGCCTTAAGGCATCCAGAGATCCAGGCTACATGCGGCTATAGCCTGAGGCTCTGAGGGAGTTATGCTGGCTGCATAAACCACACATTAATAATAACAGCTTGATCCTGTATAGGGCAATCTATGAGAGCAAACAAGGTTTTAACAAACTGCCATCTAATATTTGCGTTGTATTATGTTACCTGAGCCTACACCTCTTCACAGAGAGCATACAGAAGGAACCACATGGTCCATTTGGAAAGCAAAACTGAAATATTTGTTTTGCTGCTGCCTAGAAGAGCTGCCTTTTAAAAATCAGATGCCGCAATCAGTTTGGTGTGTTCTCTTGAGTAGTGTATTCTTCAGTGCTTGAAATCCGAGGTTGCATTTTGGCAAAGTTATTTCCGAGCTAAGTGAGCAAGCTCTAGTTGATATTTTGCTAGGACTTTCTGCCTACCATTTGGAGGATTAAGTCTCCCTTGGAAATAATAATTCCGTGGGGTGATGACTCATCTCTTGCTTCATTTACCTGCGCTGCTTCTCACCCTTGGCTGCCCATCATTGACATGGCATCCCAAGTACCTGCCCTGTCTATTTAAAGATAAGATTGGCAGAAGGAACTATTGGTTTTTGGCCTGTAAGTATAGCACTGCAACACACTGACTGAGCACACGATCCTTTCATTTCACCCTATTTAAAGGGCCACCTGCCCTTTAAGATTAAGGAGAAGAGAGAGACAACTCCTGCATGCACAGTCAGTGTGGCTCAGTGCTGCTGCTTCCAATCTGGAATTACAGGTTAACTGATGCTAATTAATTAAAGCTTGCTTAAAAAAAAAATTGCACGAAGTGTTGCAGTCTGAAATCAAGCAGAGGAAGCAAGAGCAAAGGAGGACTCTGTTGTGCCTGCCAGGTCTCAAAGTTTTACTATGAGGGCTTAAGGCTACATTCAACGAGCCAAGCACGTTATTTTCTTTGGACTGCATTCAAGAAGCTCTTCCAGAGAGGGAAAGAAAAGGCAGCCGTCACTTTTGTTTCACCACTTTTCGTCAAACGTTAACTGCTTCCTCTATAGAACGGATCTGTTTCAGGAGCGTGAGGCTGCTCTCAAAGTATCCAGGACGTGAAGGTACATGTGAACTGTGAAGGTAGCATTCCAAAGCCAACAACTGGACTTGTCTGAAATAACAGGAAGGTGCTTAAGGATTGGCTAAGCTCCTGAGCACCTTTTGACAGAGGCGAGGAGGATATCACGTGACGGCAGAGGAGCATTTCTGAATACCTGCTCGAACAAACAAACGACTCAGGGAATTATTTTGTGAATCTCAACGTTAGGCTATCACCCCAAGAGTATGCCGTTTTAAAACCATGTGCTGGGACAGAGATAGAGAACTTTGCACTGGGTGCAAACTTGGAAATCTGCAGCAACAGAGGGAGGATGAAACTTCCTTTTTGCAGTATGGAGGTGCAGGAGACAGAGAGACCTGTGAACTCTGCAGCATGGAAGCACAATCTCAATGAACTTTCAAATCCAGGTCTAGTGCAGTCAGTGGGATGTTTTGTGTCTGGAATTACGTTTCCCACCTACCCATACTGCTTTGATCCCCTACCTGCCAAGTAAACAGGTATGAGGGAGCTTATACAACAATAGAGTAGAGGGAATCCTGCTATGGTGTGCTGGGGCTCTTAATTCTAACACATTCACTTCCCAGCTGGAGCCCAACATTCTTTAATTCAGCAAGATCCTGTGTTGATGCACAGAAGGTACATACACTGTTCACCTGCAGACTACTTATCCAAAGCTTCATTAACCTGTGACCCCAAAATTCAGGATCCCCTCCCAAACTCATAACAAAGTTTTGTGCTAGTTTAGTGCCGTGTTGTGCTGTGAACCCTATGTTTTGTGCCACCCCAACCCCGAAACTGAGTAACTGACACTCAAACCGGGGACGATAAGAACACCCCAAAACCCAACCTTGTTCGGTTGGCAGCACAAAACTTTGGCATCAGTTGGGGGGGGAATATCCTGAATTTTGGGGTCACAGGTTAATGAATCTCCTAGCCAAGTCAGGTAGCTGGCTAACAACCCCTCTGTCAAGGCTTGTAGTTATGAAAATGTCTCTGCCAATCACTGTAGCCAACTCCATAGAGGCACCATCTTTACTTTTCTAAATGAGCACATGATGCACCTACCAAATGTAACCACACACCAGTCATCACACTGAGCTCCAGATAAGGGCAGTTTTTACACAGGAAGCAGCTCATGTAAGAACCTCCCTATTCTGCTTTTCCTCCCTATTCTTTTTCCTATTGCCTCATTTGATATTCTCAGAATGATCTTTTGGCCAAAAGTGTTCTCCTTCCCAAAATGAGGCAGCTGACCCTTTGCAGACGAGAAATTCTCTAAATCGGAGAACTTTGGCTGGTCCTTGCTGACACAAAAATCTATGAATCAGAAACCTTTGGATGGTCTTTGAAAATATTAATCCACTGGGAAAAAATGGATTCCGTTGAACATGACTAACATGATAAAAACTACACGTTAACAGCAGTCCTTCTACACAAACTCTTTTCTTAGCTCTATGGGTACCTCTTTAGCTAGTAATATGAGATGATGAGTATGTCTGTGCTTCTTATTCCTTTTGTTAACATATGCCTAATACTTATGAGATGCTGTGCTCTCAAAACATGACCTATTAACAATGCAAACGGAGCATTGCTAAGTAGTTACCCCAAAATGGAACAGTTACAAAGAAATAAAGTGACTAAAATGATCTTAAGAGTCTCACAACCCAACCAGAATTGATGGGCTTCATATGCACAATTTTGGGGGCAATATATATTCTTCCTGCTGCTAGATGTCTCCCTCAATTCAGCTGATGCTCTTAACACCTCTGCTGACTGGGGACTTCCTGCTCTTATTGGTGCTTCCAACATTTGACAAGCCTTTGTCATCCCCCTCTGTTGCTGTGTGCAGCTTCAGCTCCACTTGTGTTACAGCAGAGAGACACACTTTAAAAATGTACACAGGGTGAAAGGTTTTGTCTTTCAAACTATGTTACGCTTCGCTCCCAATTGTATACAGCACTGGAATTATTCTTATATTTTATTCCCCATTCTTATGAAGCGGCCTGAGCTTTTCAGCTAACTGTGGCAATGAGGTTTCTAAAATGCATTTTCCCTCCCCTAAGACATGATCGCTGCTGAAACCAGGCTTGATTTCCAACAATTCTGTAGGTAACTTCTCCTTACCCACAAGGAATTGTGACATCTCCTTGGATTGGCCAGTTTCCAATAACTGAGGCACATAGACTGGACTTTGCTGTATCTGAAAGGCCAAGCAAGCTAGATTTTTATTCTAAGTGTTGCAATTTGGGGTTGTTAAAACTTTTGCCACCTCTACAACATGAATGTAGATGCGGTAAGTTGGAATTCCACATGAAGTAAGTAAGAAAGGCTTATCCAGGTCTGATTACCTCAACAACTAATGTGTATGACTCCCCAGGAAGAAGCATCTGTTGGGGTGTAAAGAAAAGAATAAAGGGAGGACTGCTACTATAAGCGAGATTCTAACATGGAAACATGGAAACGGATTCTAACATGGAAATGGATCACTAAGTTTTTTTAAAGTCATTCTGTGGCAGTTCCAAGTGTCCTGGCCCTCATTGGTAGGCAAAGAACTTGAACTACGGATTCAGTTTCTGTCAAAGGTTTTAACGCACAAATCAAATCAGTGCACAGGAAAAGTTCAGGTTGCACAAAGGAACATGTGTAAAGAGGTATTGGCGCATGGCTAAACTCAAGCTAAGACATTGATCCAGCAAGTGACATGGTCCCTGCACCTCTCTTTTGAAGGGCAGGGCGGCCATAGCTCTTAGTGCAACAAGTGGCCAGAGTCTCAAAAGTAGGCAAGGAACTGGGCACTCCTTCAAGTGTGTGGGGTCTTTGAGGTGTCCTGGGAGACAGAGGCAGTTTCATCAGCGGCTCAGTATCTGATTTACTTCAAGTCACCTGCTACAAAGGAGGAGTCTCCTCACTGGCAGGAGGAAGGTGCCACGGGAAGAGAGATGTGTCAGAGGCTGCACCATCTCCAAGGTCTTTGCATCCCCTAAACCACCAGGCTTCTTGCCTGACTCGAACATCTATTGGGGTCCCAATTTCACTCCCCTCATCCCACTAGGACCTGTGCGTCAAGCTCTCATTCCCCAAGCTTCTCCCATTCTTCCACAGGATCTGACCACCCCATCTCCATGATCTTTCCATGGCACTCATAAAGGTGAGAGTGACAATCTCATGGGGTCACCAAGACAGTTCTTAGACAATTAAGAGTGAAATAAAAGGAAATTTCTCAAATATGTGAAGAAACTTCCTGAGATACACATTACAAATGGGTGCTGGAATGGGTGGTGGGTTGCTTAACAGACATGACCAATCTGAATAGAAAGCTACAGAAATAAAGGGAAACAATATCGAAACTAATAGGATTCCATGATCTACCACTTTCTCCCTCCACTAACCAGAAACTCATTGTAGATCCCTGAAAAGACAAAAAATGCTAAATTAAATGTTTGTGGAAAGAAAGTTTATTTCAAACCAGCACATGTTTTTCCCCCAGCAGTTAGATATCATAAATTCATACCAGACTGGAGTTCGTTGCTGACTTTTCTTTAGTTTCCCCAGAAAGAGACAGAATAATCTACGCCCTTGACTCTATGGTTGTTTATGTTCCTTACCATAATCTGGTTTTAAAAGTATGCAGATTGACTGCCAAGGCCATTTTCAGCTTGAGTTATCTGATGAGCAAAAGCCTGCTCAAGAAGGTACAGATCCCCTTATCAGGGACAAAGTGAGCACCTCATTAGGCTGTGTCCCAAGCACTACATTTGAGAGGGGCAACAAATATAATATTCAAGACGGCCCTTTCTGTAATCCAATTCCCACTCCTCGCCACCTCCATTTATGTTATCTCTGCTCATCCTCCCATCTCTACTTCATTATTACATCTAATTAAACTAAGAGGCCAGCCTAGTGCTTCCTGCCAGCAAAGAAGGGGAGAAATAACCAAAGTGGAGCAATTGTTTGCGTTGACAGAATAGCAGAAAATCTGTTGATTTTCTATATAAGTTACAGAAATGTTAAGTGAACAACAAGTCCAGTGCGAACATTCATGAATGTCTGATTTGTTTTAGCTCCCAAGAAGTACTGTATTATATGACCCAAATCTGCTGGTGGTTGCACTAAGGCAGGGGTTGACAATGTGGTGTGCATGGGTGCCAATGTGTCTGCCAGTAGCTCTTATAGCACCAGCAAAAAGTCAAAAGAAATATCCTCTCAAAACTCCACAATGCATGAACAATGCTCAGATTCTGACTGTACTCGCTCAGCCTTTCAGACATCGAAAACATCCCTTAACCCTGCCCACATTTCAGTGGATGTTAGGGCTGGGCATCCTTCCCTCCCTGCTGTACCAAACAGAGATGTGCAAAGAGCTTCTCTCTGTCAGCAAGCCTAGTGGTCATTTTGTTACGGAAGTCTATGGCACTTTCTCAAAATTCCAAATGTGTCCACTGACCCCAGAAAGGTGGGCAAGCCCTGCACCAAGGCAACATCTGTTGGGACTGGAGGTCCCAGTAAACATGGATAAGGAGAGATAGATCAGGGCTGAAGAACCTATGTCCCTCCGGTTGTTACTAGACCCTGAGCTCCCATAAGCCCCAGACAGTCTGGCCAACTGTCAGGGATGATGGGAACTGTAGTCCAGCAACATACGTTGTCCAGATGTTCTCCACTCCTGGGAGAGAACATCTTCCTTCTGGCACTGAGGTGGCTTCGATGTAGATATAGATGGTGATTTAGCAATTGGTAGCTTACTGTGACGTGCAGGCAACTCCTTGGTAATCTGGCTGTCTCATTTGTCCTGCTGCGTGTAAAGAGAGATCTACCATATATCAAAAGGCGTAGATGTGTGTGGTAAATAGTCTGTTACATATGTAAATATATAAGTGCTTTATAGTCAAAGCACTGTAAGAGGCACGCTGATCTAGTTGCATTCATATTTCTAACATGACAGTCAATATACTGAACATGCAGTATGTAGTAAAAATGCTTGGGGCAATGATAATTTCAGTGCATCAGTCAGCAACAATTGCTTATTTTCGTTTATTTGTGTCTGTGTTTTAAAGCAGATAAAAAAAGCTGGTGCATCATATGTTACTTGTAACTGGAACCTAACATAATTACAAGTCCATAATTTCTTGATCATGAACCCTCTCCCCACCTAGTTTTATTCCACTATTCTAGGAAGGTTTAATGAATCCAAGTGCAGAATAAAATCCCAGTTGGAAGCGCTTATATAAACAACACCTTCCATTCTGGCATCCTTAGTTTAGTGGGAGATATTCAAAATATTGGGTTGTAGCCGAATTAACTTTCACCCAGAGTAGACCCATGGAAATTAGTGATGCCCATTAATTTCAATGGGTCTATTCTGAGTAGAACAAACACTGGATATGACCATAGTTAGTGGCCTAAGAAAGTGGCTTTTAATTTCACTTTAAACAGGAATTATTTTTACTTTAAACAGGAATTTAAACAGCTAATTCCACATACTCTAAAGCAGCATAAGGCAGTGGGAAGAAATGAACTGACAAATGAATTAAGCAAAAAAAAAAAAAAATTCAATTACTCTCTGGTTTGGACACAAAAGGAACTTTTTTTAAATCCCATAAAATTATTCACATACAAACTTTAGGAAACGTGACCCCTGTCTTCTTCTTTGACTTGAAATCATATGAAGGTCACTATTTATTCACGTTTTATCACTAGTTCTACATTTCCTACCCTATTCTACCCTCTTCTCCTCTTAGCCTAGTGCTCCGTTCACATCTGGGTTGATTTAACAAGTGATTGGAAATGTAGCCTCCTGATTTCCCGTTAAATACTAGGCACAGGAAAAGAAATAGCACTTGTTTTTCAGTGAGTTTTGACAGCCATCCAAAATCCAGTGCACACCAAAGAGCGGTCTGTGGTTTGATGGCAAGGGCCCAACATTTCTGAAACATATTCTTGGGAGAAGGAAGCAAACCGGGCTTCACCAGAAATAATGACACAGCTTCACTTTATATTTCTAGAAATGGATACAGGACTTTTAATTGCTAGCCTTAAGCAGAGTAACCATTCATTCTTTGCCACAGCGTGTGTGTGCTTTGGATCACCAAATGCACCACGAGCAATCCCTTTAAAGCCAGTAGGATTACTTACCTGTGCAAACATATAGAGTCAGGAACCAATGGTAGATTGCACACCTCTCAAAGGGCTGTACCCTGAGGGACCCTACCCTAAAAAAACCCTTGTACATAACCTTTCTGGAATCAATACTCATGAGCAAGGAATAAGATGTTTCAGTCATGCAGTCAAATGCCCTGATCCAGAATTCTGGGTATGGCAGGGATGCTCATGAATCCCACCCCAATGACATTAGTGACAGGCAGGGACTTGCATCACAGTCCTTAGGCCCACAACATATATGAAGGTAAGGGTGGGGGGTGTAAGAGAGAGACAGAATTTGGAGGTCCCCAAATTTTGGAAAGCCCTCCCCTCCTAGGTGCACCTTGTCGCTGTACAGTCATACCTTGGATTACAGACGCTTCAGGTTGTGTGTTTTCGGGTTGCGCACCGCACCAAACCTGGAAGTATCGGAACAGGTTACCTCTGGGTTTCGGCGCTCGCGCATGTGCAGAACCACTAAATCACGCTTTGCGCATGCGCAGAAGCGCCAAATCGCGACCCGCGCGTGCACAGACACAGCACTGCAGGTTGCGAATGCTGAGGGTTGTAAACGTGCCTCCCGCAACCTGAACGTCCACTGTATACATTCTGATGTCAGGTCAAGGTGCACTTTTTTTGCACAACCTTTGGGGATGGAGGAAGTTATGGCTTAATTGTGTTGAGCTGCATGTAACCAGCCCTGGTCCCATAGAGGGAAGGGTGTGCTATAAAGGCCTTTGAATAAATATTGCTGGCTTTGTGTCAAGAATGTTCAAAATAGTAAACCACTGCACATGCCCTCTGCTGAATGTTTAAACCCACTAATGTCTCTGTGGCCACGGACTGCATGAAGTATCTAAGGAAGATTCATTGTAGTTTCCATAACAAACAGCTGCATTCCAGCAGGAAAGATCTTGAGCCATGAAAGTCAAAGGGCTACCTCCTGAAGCAAAAGTTTCCACCAGCTGAGTAACACCTGCAAAGGCCACCTCTTCGACACTAGAATAAAAAATAAAAAAGCATGGCTTCCTGCCAATACCTTCATGCGCAAACTTGCTTGAAGCGGAAAAAAAAGGAGGGAGGGGAATTAGCAATAGTGCGGCTGGGATTTCCCTTACCCTCCAGGACGGAACAGCAGGTTGGAGATATTTAAATCCTGCGAGGGGGAAAGGAATGGCTTTCTCCCCTATTGCCTTCGAGTATCTCTAGGGTTTAAGGGCACCGCTAATGAAACTGCTTTGCATCAGATGTTTAATTGTTTTGCTCCTTGTGCAAAGACTTTTCTTTTAACTGAAATGCTAAATGGCGAAGAAATCTGCCACAGCTGGATGAGAAGCCAGAACACTGGCCTCCTATGGGTATGTGAATGCAGTACATTATAGATCCTTAATCTGGCAAAGGGTCAGGTTACGTGGTTAAAGTGGTACATGGGAACAGCAGAGGCTTATTCAGTTTGGCCATGCATTCCCAGTGTTGTTTTACAGTAGGTCTATTCAGATTAGACTTACACACCTACATCCACCTCTGCTCCAAGTGAGATTTGGAAAGTAAGGTGGAATCTACACACATATTAAAAGAACGCTGTGAAAATGCTTTTCTAAAAAATGTTTTGAAAAATACATTGAATTTGCCATAGCTCACTGTTGCCATCTAGTGTCACATATTGCACTTTACAACATAAAACGTTTTATTTGCAGCTGTATAGTCAAGTCCAAGAAAGGAAGTTCAAGGAAGAAATAAGGCAGAAACTTGCAAAATTCCAGAAGGCTCTGAAAGATGTTCCATGGAGGCATATAAACCCTGCGATCCAAACCCTACTTTCAAGCAGGATCCCATTTACATGGATCAGGTGATTCCATGCTCAAATATGAATGATATTTCCCCGTTCCAAGTGGTAATTTCTACAGGAATGGAGTAGGTGAACAGGCAGCATGGAACAAAGTGTTTTGTCATGGAACAGTGTTCTGTCATGTGAACTATTACAATCCTATGCATTTCTACCCAGAAATAAGTCCCCCTAGGTTCCTATAAGGCTAAAGCTGAAATCCTATGCGCCCCAATTTGGATTGTATGTATGTGTGCGTGTGTTTCATTTCCAGCACTGCTTGAATGAACAAGTCACCAAAGACCTCAAACAATCTACCCTTCACAGTGATTTACTCCTGCTATTAAATTAATCCCCCTAGTAGAGGAGAACATAACTCACTTCCTAACAAGATGTGAGGGTCTGTGGAGGGGAAGGAACCAACCTAAAGCACATACCAGTTTTTTTCAATGCAAAACAGGTTTTAAAAACCCTCCAAAATCATTATGAATTTGTTCCCTCGTGAATCACATTCAAAAGTACAGTTGTCGACAGGCTGTAGTTCTAGTCAGTCCTCTTCAACATTGTCTACTCACAGAGGACGCACAAAAGGGATAATAAGCGCCCGAGAAAGATTTTACGAGCATGGGTGATAAAAATACAAATAAAATATGTATAAGAACTAATGTCGCTGAAAAATCAAAGATACGATTTGCAATATTGCTAACGGAGGAATTACATATACAGTGGTACCTCGGGTTAAGTACTTAATTCGTTCTGGAGGTCCGTTCTTAACCTGAAACTGTTCTTAACCTGAAGCACCACTTTAGCTAATGGGGCCTCCTGCTGCTGCCACGCCACTGGAGGACGATTTCTGTTCTCAACCTGAAGCAAAGTTCTTAACCTGAAGCATTATTCTGGGTTAGCAGAGTCTGTAACCTGAAGCATATGTAACCTGAAGCGTATGTAACCTGAGGTACCACTGTAGTTCTGTGATTCTTTTCCCCCTCAGAACTCTTTGCTTCTTTTTTTGCTTTGAAAAAATGCAGCAGCTGAAGTTACAATTTGAAGGGGGACTCTGGCCAAAGCGTAGAATGAGGAGGGGGCTTCTTAACCCTTTCCTATCGGCCCATTTCCTCACCCCCTCACCCACGCTTTATCGCTTTAAAATATCTTTTCCGTAACATACAAAAACATACGAGGCTTAGTTCTCACAGAAGGTGGTACGCCTGAAGCATGTCACGCAGGGGATATCATGCCATTGAATGCTTTGAGAACACAAGAAGATCCCCGCTGGACCGGGCCAAAGGTCCACATCTAGTATAGGACTCTGTCCACCCAGTGGCCAACCAGATGCTCATGGGAAGCCCACAAGGTGGACCTGAGCACAAGAGCACTTTCCCCACTGGAGATTCCTAGCAACATGCATTCAGAGGCATGCTGCCTCCAGCAGTGGAGACAGAACATAGTCTTATATTCTCTTTGAGCAGGACCAAACAACGCTCGCTAAATTCCTGCACTCAGAAAACCATTGTGGGAGGGGAAAGGCTAGCCTAGAGCCATTTTCCTTGTCATCTATGTTACAGTTGGCATCTGGATACAAAAATTGTAGAGCTTTTTTTTTTCTTTTTTCTTTTTTGCAAAATCTCCCAAAAGAAAATGAAGTTTTTGAGCTATTTTTTTAGGAAATTTGCCCCAAAAACCTAACACTTCCAGGTTGCCATATGCCCGGGTTTCCCTGGACGCCATTTCCTACAGATGAATCCTGGGTATGTCAAGAGATTCTGGATCTTTGACAGCCCTAATCTATGTGGCAGGGTTTTTTTTAGTGTGGATGCTCACATGGCTATGTGAGCCCCCACCTGCAGTTTGGAACAATTTCATCCAGAAACAGGTTTGACCATCTCATTGAAAACCAGGCCACAAAGAACTGGCCTACCTTACATATGCATGTGAAGGGCTTTGAACACGGTATCATTTAATTGCTATTAATAACCAAAAATGGAATTTCCACGTTCAAAGCTGATTTCTCTGATTATTTGATGCTAGAGACAAAATACGGGAGAAGCTAGCTGAGAGGTTCGTGAGAGGTACCCAGATGGCCTCTGAGACTGGCTTTCCGCTAAGACAGCTCTCATACTGTTATGTGGCAACTTAACTGCAAGATTTTAATTTGGCTGCCAGTTGCTCCAGAATGCCTTTCTTTCAGTCCTTAAAGTATAGGTCCTTTTAGTTCATCATCTTTCTATTAGAAGCTTCATCTCAAAATATTGAGTTTTTGATGGAAAATAACCTCTTCACATTTTTGAATGAAAAAGCAATGTCCTTTTACATTAGCAAGAGAAGCCAAAAAGTCTATGAATCATCCAGCTAAATTCTTCCATAGAGACAGACACAATAATTCTGACATTAGTACATCATGTAAGACACACATATTTCTCTTTATAAACAATGGACTTTCCCCCCCAAAATTAAAGAAATAAAACAAACTGGGAATGTGCAAGGATTCAAAATACTATGTTTTCCAGGATGTAGTGGCATGGAAAGTCTGGCAATCAAGCAAGAAAATATTCAGTACAAGGGTCAGAGTAAGCTTGAATAATTCTGCATCCTAGACATTGGAGGAACTGTGAGGGCAGCACAATCCAGCCTGAGGGTAGACATTTCTGAATGTCTCTGGCTAGTAAGGAGAAATTTTCAATGTGTTTAAGAACTGGTCACACATATTATTCACACATGCATTTTGCAAACTGACACAGAAGTGTGTTGTAAACTGAACTTAATATTGGGAAAAGGGAAAGATGCGAGAAACAAAAACTTACAGAATAGTTCACCTCTGGATCAAACGGCCATCTCAGGGTCAAGATACACAGGGCACTAAACTGATCTTTGAATCCTGTAGTATAGCACCAGGAGGACTGAGCAATGTGATTCCCCCGACCTTCCAATATTTGGCCTGGGTCTCAGGCTCAGCTCACAAGACAATATCCACTTCACAACTCTTCTTCCAGATTAGCTGCCCCAAACCAGAGTTTTCTGTCCCACATGCTCATAGCAGGAATAGTGTAATACTACACTATAAACTGCATTCCAATGAGTTCAGTACATGTGGTAATAACATTTGTTCTCATTACTACATTCTGGATTGTCCGCTGGGTTCCAGATGCAATCTGAGAAAACTCACTCTCTTATTCCAATTCAGGATGAACATCACTTGCCCTATTTCATGTTGTGGGCTGTGCTTTATAAAGCAGGACTGGACCCCGTGCAATTGTTCTACAACCAGCAACAGTAATGTTTGTTTCCGAAATTAGGATGTTAAATAGTGAAGCTTTAAGGACACACCATGAGACATGATATCATAGCCTAAAAATGCAATCCAAACAACCAGTCTGCTCAGCTTTACAAACAGCAAATTTGAATGTCCTGGCAAACTGTGAAGGAGTGATTTACAAAACAGTAGGTAATAGCTGGATCTTTCTCCAGGAGCAACATGCCAGTATTTGAGAAGCACATACATGACTTCATCCTGGGCCTAGTTTTTTGTACCTTTAACAAAACCTCAAATAATAATAATAAAGACTTTCCGCTGTGCACCAAGAGGCTCGTCTCAAAGTGATTAGAGATTTGGTTGCAGACCACACAGAAAGCAAGTTGTTTGTTAGTTAACATTTTCTTCCATGCTCTTGCCTTTGGCATTGCTCCTATCATGCCTTCCAGGGCTTATGATCTGTCACAAGGCCACACAGCCTCTCAGAATAGGAAGCCCACTAGAATCGATGATCACACATTAAGGGCAATGCCATAAACCCCATTTTAAACAAAAGTTCAAATAAATAACTGGAGAGAACTCAAATTGCTTCCACAAGCCACCTAACTGCTCCCAAGAGCCTTTGTTCTGAAACCTGATAACTAGTTAACATTTCTTTCTATCGACATGACTTTCCCTTCCCCTTCTTCGAAAGGAGTACCAGCTAACTGAGTAGGGTCCATTATGAAGTGGCTACAAAGCTTCATGAAGCTCCCAATACTTACAGTGAAAAACCTTGAAATCTCTGGGGCAAGTCTTTCTGTTTTCACCTTCCATACCAGGGGAACGGGAGAGTTCAGTATGAATGCCAATGGCCTCTGGTGAATATGAATTGAAGAAATCGGATTCAAATGTAAGGTGACCTATAAAAAAACCACAAATACACATCAACCAATTAAAATGTGGTCATTATTTGATAAATATTCCAAAAATAATTAATATATAGTGCTTCTTTAACATTTCAAGTGCTTTGTGTACATTTTCTCAGTAATCCTTATACACAGACAAGTTGATAAGATGGTGATGATGATGATGATGGGACTGAGGAAAAGGAATGTGCTTAAGCCCACCTGCTCGGTTCATGACTGATGTGAAATTTGAAATAGTAATGTTCTGGACACTGCCAGGGCTGGGGTGAGGGGTTAGCAATACTGTACATCTGCAGAGCCATCTCAAGGAATTTTGCTATCTGTGGCAGAGCAAAAAAAATTCATGCACACAAACTCAAAGTAGGCACACAGGACTCAAATCTGGTCACGTTATTTTGGCACCTGAAACACACAACCCCACAAGTTCTTCTCCACCTCCCTAGCAGTAAAACGACAGTGTATGTTGCTAATAACAACCAACACAACAACAACTATCTATTATTATTAGCAGCAATTTGCTGCCCTTATAAGAAAACCCAAAATCAGCAGCCTAAGATGGCCACCTTGCTCTGTTTGATGGTATGGCCAGCCATGGGCATCTGCAGGGCAGGGGACCAAGTGCCAACTCCCAGAGCCCCCTACCTTCGCTCCTCCTCGTTACTGTCACTGCCTGCAACCACCTTCTCCAAAGAAGTGAGCAGTGGTTAGGGTTGCTGTTCAAAGTTATCGAGCTTTTTGGGGGAACATCTCTCCCCAAAAACACATTTGGGGGCTTTTCTTGGATCTCAAAACCTGGATGTATGGCAGCCCTGGCAGTGACAGAAGCAAGGGGATGGAGAGGCACCCTCTGCTTGCCTGGCCCTCTCCCTGTGGTTGGTTTGGGCTCAGAGGGACTGGCAAAGAAGCAGTTACAAGAGCAGTGAGGAGAGTGATTAGGAGAGGAATCAACTCTAGACTTCTTCACACATCACACTGAACACAGGTGCAACTGTTTGCATAAAAGAGCTCGTGTACGCTCGCTGATTTGTGCAGCTCAACTATTGAATATACCCCTTGTATACTCTTTAAACGTAACGTGCGAACACCCTTACCACTTACAGATGGGGGTAGAGTTGTGGCAGAGGCATGCTTAAGGCCACCTACTGAGTTCAGAACCGAGGTGGAATTTGAACCCTAATTTCCAAGTTCACAGTTTTGCATTCCTGAGCCTAATCCTCATAAATGGCAGGGAAGCTAGGAAACCTGCTTCTGACTGGGAGGACCGAACCCTCAGCAGAGTGCCCATTTTCTCTTCAAATAACCCAGTCTGCACAGCAATTCCAAAGCCACTGACAATTCAATACTACATTCCCTGACGCCCACAGATTAAGTATAGTCACAATGTCATTATTAGCTGTTCTGCACTGCTGGGAAAAGCCACCATCCTAAAGCCACCGGGGTTCCTGGCTCCTCGGAGCTCAGTTGCCATATGGCCCCCATCATGTCTAAATTTGCTGTTAACAGACTTCTGTGGGCAGGTTTGGAGATTTTGGATGTATGGGCCCCTGGGCAGCCCACAGAGGCACAAGCCTCGTGAGCCCATTGGAGGAAAAGGCAGGAGCGATTCTCCGTTGCAAAGTCTGGCGTGTGGGCTAAACAGCTTTTAGGGAAGAAGTCTAGCAAGCTCAGGATGAGGTCTGCTAATGAAAACAATTCCAGGAAAGAGATGAGATATTTTGGATCTTGCGACAGTGTTCGGGCAAACTTAGAAAGACACCTGCTCAGCAGTAAATAATACTTCAGTTTAACCATTATCCTAAAACCTCTTTCTTCATTGTAAGTGGGCAATCATAGTTTTCTGGCTTGAACTTATCAATGTTTGGAATACTGGGCATATTTTTCCAAATTCTCTTCCCCCACCCCACAACGTACTAACATATTTCCTTCAAGAGCTGTATAAACAAGATAATCTAACTTCCTTCTCACTTCTCTTAAAAAACCAAGCACACACCAGGTGACAGTGGCCATGAAAAAGAGGAAAATTGAGCAACCTGAAGGTACAGGAAGTGTCTGCGATTCCACTGGGAATGACATTTGAGATGAAAGGTTATACAGTGGTACCTCGGGTTACAGACGCTTCAGGTTACAGATGCTTCAGGTTACAGACTCTGCTAACCCAGAAATATTACCTCGGGTTAAGAACTTTGCTTTAGGATGAGAACAGAAATCGTGTAGCAGCGACACAGCGGCAGCAGGAGGCCCCATTAGCTAAAGTGGTACTTCAGGTTAAGAACAGTTTCAGGTTAAGAACAGACCTCCAGAACGAATTAAGTTCTTAACCCGAGGTACCACTGTACCACCAGTTAGTGCAGAGGTAGCCAATATGGTACCTTCCAGATGTTTGAGACTCCAACTACCAGCCCCAGACAGCAAGAGAAATGGTCAGGGACGATGGGAGTTGAGTCCATTTGGAGGGAACCACATTAGCTAGCCTTGGTTTAATGCTATGTGAACTAGCCTAACCTCCTTGCAGGGTCACACACTCCCTCTCCTCCTCCCTTATCTCTGCCACCCACTGTTGTGACAAAGTCATGGCGGCACAGGCACTCTTCAGGGCTATCTTCTGACACTGCTTCCTTCTGAGAAAGGACACTGAGAGAGAAGATGGCCTCAAGTCTGGGAATGCCAGCATTGCCACTGCTAATGTACTGGCAAAGCAATTCAAAAAGGCAGACTGGGGAAGAAGTCGGGAGACTTCCCTGCCTCAGGCGGCACAGTGACTTAGGCCAGCTATCATGCAATCCATCGCCTGTATTCTGAAGATGCACCGAACAGGAAAACATCAATAATATGTGCTTACAAAACAACCAAAACCCACATGCACCATTATTCAAAGGATGATACAAGTACAGTGGTACCTCGGGTTACATACACTTCAGGTTACATACACTTCAGGTTACAGACTCCGATAACCCAGAAATAGTGCTTCAGGTTAAGAACTTTGCTTCAGGATAAGAACAGAAATCGTGCTCCGGCAGCGCAGCGGCAGCAGGAGGCCCCATTAGCTAAAGTGGTGCTTCAGGTTATGAACAGTTTCGGGTTAAGAACGGACCTCCGGAACGAATTAAGTATTTAACCCAAGGTACCACTGTAGTTTTGGTTAAGACGGAAATGGAAGTTTCAGAAAACACTTGTTTCCTCTTTTCCACTATAGATATAGCAGTCAATAAGAAAGAGAAAGGCCTAGTTGTGAGAGAATGTTATAGAATTCACTGAGAGCATTTTGTAACTAATACATCCAGCACAGGAAAAATGGGCATTATCAAGTGAATAATCTTTCAATATAGGCTTTGCATGCCTCTGCAGTTATTAAGACTCTTTCGAAAGAGCGTTGCAGACACATACAATATCAAGGAGGTAAAGACAGCTGCAAACTTTCAGTTTCCCTGGAGATACCAGTTTTTATGGAAGGCTGAGGATCACCACAGCAACCAAACTACAAAAACAGACCAATGGGCTCGTGCCCCATTATTCTGGCAAAGTAATTTGTATTATAGGAACAGTCTGGGGGCACAGATATTGAAAAATGATCAAAGAAGAAAGCACTGTTGAAGTATAATTTGGTTTTGCTGACTTTAAGGCCTCAAATCACAAGTTTACAAAGACCGTTATGAAAGTTAATGCTCAAGGTTTTGTAATGCTGAACTAACCACTGTAGTGTGAAGGGATCCAGATTAATTTTCAGCACATTTTTTCCCAAAACAACCATTACAAATTTGTGCTAATAAACCAGGGCAAAAATATATCAAGTTACAGTACCCATATTGAGGCAGCTGTTCAGAAAAGCATTAAGAGAGAAAATGGACTTTCAAGATGAATGCACTTTTTTTGCTTTGTATCTTCAGATCACAAAACTACTACAGCACTATATGTCTTGAAAATATAAGCATTTTATAAATTTAAGTAGCTGTTCGGGTTGCCAAACAGAAAGTTAATCAATTGCAATGCTTTCTGGGAAAGTCTCTAAAATTGCCTTCCCCGGCATAGTACTCTCCAGATGTTTTAAACTGCAATTCCCATCAGCCCTAGCAAATGGTCAGGGATGATGGGAGTTGTGATAAAAATTAATAAATCTGAAGGGCATATTCATAAAGTCTGCCACACTTCTTCAACGCCTTTCAAACCCTGCCTTGTCACACTTTGGCAACAATTTCACCGATGCCACCTCCTTTATCACAAGTTTGCTACACCACAACTCATAATAAAACATACGTACTGCCAACATATCATTTCTATATTCATAAGCCCCATGCCATTCTCCATGACCCTCTCTTTCCCTTTCAATTTGTAACTTGAGAGTTGGGAGGAAACTGGTTTTCAGGGGCTGGCTTTGGTCGTAGCTTCTCCAACTACTGACTTTTAATTTAGCTATACACTAGATTTTTCACAATGATTGCTCTTAATAAGTTATTTATTCAGTTCTTCTTTTTATTGTTGTTTGTTCAGTCACACGTTTTTGCCCTCATAACCTGCAAGTGTACTATTTTATACTGGACAGAGCTGCTGAAAGGTGAACAATTAAAAAAAAAATTAAATGGGCAACAACCATAGCATGGTTTTATCTTCTCAAGTGTGAAAGATGCAACAACAGTAGTTTATATGGATCTGCTTCACAGGTTCTCTATGCTGCCAACTGATTAAAAAAGAAAACTGATGGTGCATGTAGCCAACCAGAAGCTTCAACTGGGAGCAGAAAGGTTGGCTTTGCCTAGAATGGCTAGGGAGAGAGAGAGAGAGAGTGCGTGCAGCAGGTCTCCTGCACCTTTAATAGTTGTGGTCCCTCTTCTTCAACTGATTACTATTTTTCTTTTCCTATAAACCCATAGACTCCCACAAAATCCCAGTTTGGAAACAGCTAAAAGGATGGTTGTGCTCCCCCTAGCTGTTGGAAGATCTTTCCTTCCAAGCAATTTCAAGAAGCCTAGAAGGGAGACAGGAAAGAAGACAGGCTATGGAGGAAAGGGTTAGCAGCACCTTCCAAATGGCTACATTAGGCCAGGGGCATCAACTGCCAACCCTTGCTACCCTAAATTATTCTGTTTACAGAACTTACATAATGTCCTGAATTCATGTCTGCATTATATAATGTGTCACAAATAATTTTGGTTCCATTCATTTAGATCAGGCTTTCCCAAACTTGGGCCTCCAAGCTGTTTTTGGACTACAACTCCCATAATCCCTAGCTAGCAGGACCAGTGGTTGGGGTGATGGGAACTGTAGTCCAAAAACAGTTGGGGACCCAAGTTTGGGAAACCCTGATTTAGATCTAGATGGTGATGGTAGATTAACAGTATTCAATACTTATAATCTGCTCTGGGATCGGGTTACATTTTTGTTGCTGTAGAGCTTCAGGTTAAAAAAAATATTTAGTAGAATCTGAAACCTCCAGAGTTATGGTATGTCAATGAAGTATCTGTGCACTTTCTTCTAAATCCCATTATTCTCTGATGATTCTTTCAGACACACAAAATACCCCAAAGCCAAACAAAAGGACTCATAAACGTACATGTCCCTGCCCACGCTGTTCATCTTTCCAGCACATGCAACCTCCCCCAAACCAGTCACGGAACGGCAAAGTGAACTGCTAACAATACTTTAGCCTTGAAAGCATTATAGAAAAAAAGTATCTTTCAGTATAGCAAGAAACACATTGTACCACAATGTGAATGCAATTTCCATATGTGGAAATAATAGCATTTGCATTTAACCTTAAACAGATGGTTTACTGAAAGAAGAAACCCACATTTTGACAAGTGCCTATTGGATAGACAAATTGTACCATGGCAAATTGAAGATGCAAAAGATAGGATAATTATTCCCCCACAATAATTGAAAAAAGAGAGATGCATTTCACACAAACATTACTAGCGCCTCACGGAGGCAAGGCTGTAAGAATCCCTTTCCAAAGGCTGTAAGAATCCCTTTCCAGAGAGCTTGTGCCAACACCTGCCAACCTTAAGTTAGTGCCAAGGCCCCAGTGCCTCAGCAGAGCCCATAATAAATGTCCTGGGGCCCCCTTAAAATATATTTCTCCAGCATCCCATGCCAAGAAGTGCTGAGACTTAGCTGCCCTTTTAATTTTCCAAACTCAAATCAGCCCTCCATCAGGGACACCGTGAAAAATTAAGACGGTCTAAACCACTGAGCTTCTTGGGCTTGCCGATCAGAAGGCTGGTGGTTCGAATCCCTGCGACGGGGTGAGCTCCCGTTGCTCGGTCCCTGCTCCTGCCAACCTAGCAGTTCAAAAACACCCCAAAAAGTGCAAGTAGATAAATAGGTACCACTCCGGTGGGAAGGTAAACGACATTTCCGTGCACTGCTCTGGTTTCGGTGTTCCATTCTGCCAGAAGCGGCTAGTCATGCTGGCCACATTATCTGGAAAAACTCTGCGGACAAATGCCAGCTCCCTCAGCCTGTAAAGCGAGATGAGTGCCGCAACCCCAGAGTCGTCTGCGACTGGACTTAACAGTCAGGGGTCCTTTACCTTTTTAAGACCCATCTGCCTGGCGGTGCTTGGAGCACTGTTGCTGTTACTGCAGATTTCCACTAACAGAGATGGGTGACCATCAAGGGGCACTATGCTAAAGGCCCCCTAAAACCTGGAGGAAGCCTTGCAAGGGAAAGGGGAGGATCCTGCCAGGCTACTATTGGCTTCCCCCATCATTTGGTCTGGCAGAGCTGATAAGTTACAGTATCCCACTCTGGCTATTAGATATGCGGTGCTGCAGGACAGCAAGAATCCCTATGCATGAGAACTGTCCCAGTGCTGCAGGGAGTAAGGAGTATGGGCATCAGTCAGAATGAATACAAGTAGCTATTTGAACACCACTTAGCAATTATTTTTGGACACAACTGCCAACTTGCCCAAAATTATGGGCCGACCTCTGTTTGTGTACAATCCTACCATCTTAAAAGCGGATTCCCTCGACCATTTTAAGCTGCTGAGACACAGCTGTAGCCAAGGTGGATTGTGTTTCCTCTTCTGGGCGCAAAAGGAAAAGAATGTGATGTGTTCATGATGGAGTGGTCTGTAACCATGTGATCCCTTCTGCGCACACCTGCGTCCCAATTTAGCCAGCTATTGAAAAGACCACAAAACTGGTACGAGGAGACATGGCTATATATTCAGCAGGAGGAAGGAAACAATAAAACCAGATCTCCTCAAACTACAGCTTGGCATCCCCAAACATACCTGCATGACTGGAACCCAAAAATTATTATGATCTAATCTGGATTCATATCTTTTGATGTCCATATCTAAGAATGTACAATGTTGACATGCTTTGCAGTTAACGTGGCTGCCAGTGGGCAGCCATGCCCACTGCAATATGGGGCAATCAAGACAGGTTGGGGGAGGTGCAAAGAAATGAGTCCTGGAGAGCTGACGTTCTAACCATCAGCTGGGATCACCTGCACTAGAGAGCTCTCTTTTGGGGCTGGAGTAAGTGGCTTGGATTCAAAGCACTATCTCTAGCATTTAATTCTTTTCAGAAGAAGTGGTTTGCATTGAAAGGGCTTTGAATCCAAACTCATTTCTCTGCAGAGTGGGAAATGCTGCTGTTTTTGGAGCATCTCCCTCTACGCAGAGACTTCAAAGGTGCTCCCTTGTAACTGACAGTCAGCTGATTAGGAACCTCTTTGAAGGTGTGTTCCTAGTGTCATTCAGTGGTGCCCTCAGATTGATTGTGAGCCACCTCATTTGAATTTTGATAAGTGTCAGTCCCCTGGCATTATTATGACATCAGGTGACTGAGAGGTGGGTAGATTGGGATTTGGCCCATGGGGGAGATTAGGATCTGGCCCGTCAGCCAGATCTAGCTCCCTATCCATGATCTAGAGAGCTTGGCAAAGGCTACTCTAAAACAGGGTTTCCCAAACTTGGGTCTCCAGCTGTTTTTGGACTACAGTTCCCATCATCCTTAACCACTGGTCCTGATAGCTAGGGATGATGGGAGTTGTAGTCCAAAAACAACTGGAAGACCCAAGTTTGGGAAAGCCTTCTCTAGAATATGCATTCAGTTGAGAGAGGGGTGGGATGGCCAGCTCTTTTCAGCATCATAATTGAGAATGAGCTCTAAAATGTACTTGGTATTCCCCCAGTGGTACGTTATGGAAAAAGATTGGCAATTGTGGCCTTTTAGAAGGAGGTGGTTTGCCATTTATGACTGCCATTCTCATTCTGGAAGCCCAGGAAGCGTCCAACAAATGTCTTAAGTTCCCAGGATCATTCTTTGGAAACTACTTTCCTAAACAGTTTACATCCCACTTTGCTGCCACATTTTGAGTGAACCATCAATCAAAGTTTGGGGTTTTTTTAAGGCTTTTGTTTTAAATTAAAATTTGGAAATGTTTTAGGGCTCCTATAAAGTAAGGAAGCTAAAGGAACTGGCAGAAACATAGACCTGCTAAGTCCTAATTTTGCCACACAATATTGCCAATCTCTTTAGCCCTCAGCTGCTTTCCAATTTCAAGCACCTGCTCTGCAAAAACTACCAGAGATCTGCCAAATTATACAGTATCTTCACACAGCCTTTTACGTTGGGCACACTAATCCGGTCTGGTATAAAAAGCATGCAAAAAGTAATAATGAAAAAGCTAAAGCCTAAGGAAAGCCACATTATTTATTTGGCCCTGTGCATAGTTAAAGATGCATACAATTAATATACTTGGCATAATTGCATCTCTTTCCAAACCTAATTATTTTAGAGAACTTCTCTTTGTAACTGAGAGAAAGGAGTGGGGAAACGAGAGACGAAATGGAGAAAATGGTAGAATAGGATGCCTAGCAGAAACAGAGCAAAAGTGAGGAGGCAGAAATAAGTACCATAACATGAGGATAAAGAGTAAAAATTGTGCTATTATCTGCTCTGAGCACTGGGACTGCTAGCCTGGCCTTTCGCAGCCATTGCCTACGTTTTTCTTTGCTTTTTGACTGCAACACTGAGGATAAGAAATTAGCTTTTTAAAAACCCTGACATCTCAGTTCCCTGACATTCCAATTCCTCAGCAGATACTATGCTTGCAGATTTACAGAAAACACACAGTCCTGCAGCAGTTCTAGCTTTGGGTTAATGGTTACCAGCTTTTTAGTATAACCTGAGCAAATCTAGAAGCATGCATAGTAAGTAAGACTGCAGCCTTAGTCCAGCTTCATCCAGCTGCCCTTTATAATCATGGGGTTTTTAAACCGAACAAACTCTATGTATATATATGAGGCCAGGAGCTGAAGATGAGACTACCAAATCCATTGCTTCTGAGCCTTAATGCAGATATGGATTTGGAAAAGCAAAACAAGATCTCCTGCAAAATCTTTTGGTTTACAAAATGAGCATATAAAACCCCTAACAATCTGTGTGTCTCGGCTCACCACAGCGCACAGAGGTCAAGAGGATTTTTGCACAATCAGAAGCATCCTTGGGAGTCAGGAGCTGCCTCTTTCACATTTTAAAAAAAGAACCCATTAGCTTCTTTTAATTCTATTTAAAGTCACAAGGCCAACTTTTGCCAGCTACCCCACAGAGATCAAGAGACTATTCTCTCAAAAGCTACAGCATGAGGCCTGGCCATCTCATTTTATTTATTTTTTGCAAAACTTTTTTACCACAAAACAGCCCTAGCAGTGGACATTCCAGAACAGAAAGGTGGGGGTAAGTTATTTAAATAAATAAGACTTTACTCTGAAAAATTTACTGCACCCTCTCTCAAATGTTGCAGCCCTTTGCACACTTACTTGCGGGTAAGCCTCACTAAACGCAATAGGACTTCCTTCCTGGGTATAGGTTTGCACTGTAGAGGCCTTCACTCCTATGTGCAGTTCTGCAGAACTGTAGTAGTACCTCCTAAGACAGGGGTGGGAAACCTATTCCTCTCCAGATATTGAGGGACTACAACTTGCATCAGGTCTAACCAGCATGGCCAACGGTGAAGAATGATGGGAGTTCTAGTCCAGCAGCACCCAGAGGATTGCAGGTTTCCCATTCCCAGGTTATCAGGTCATTAAAAATCGTACCAGCCACAGAATGACACCATTAATAGGAATTATGAGAGTTCAGAAGCTTTCAACATGCTATACCCAGTGACTCTGTGCCAGAACTTGCAAGGTACCTGGTGCTTTCTGAACATAAAAAGTTGATACATCTGGAGCTTCTAGACCTGGCAGTCTTGTTGTTTATGTGGGGGAAAGGATCTCTCCTTAAGCTGTCTTAGTTAGATTTGTTGCGACAGAAATACAGGATTCTTTACTCGGAAAACAGAAGCATCTCTGTGAACAGGCATGTTTTTAGAGACAAAAATTCAGACAGTGCTGCCCATTAAGAAATTGTGTAAACACGGCAAGGGAGTTGTTCCATTTGCTAGTGTAGTTTCCAGCGGTGGCAAAGGGGATGTTATCGTTCTGATAAAGCCAGCTTTCCAATGGCATATCCGAGCCAATTCGGCTTTCCATCTTCTTCGTGCCATGTACGTTACAGGCTAGACACGTAACAAAGTGGGGATAGACACTTACGGGGCCTGCAATGAGAAGTGACTGTCCAGGAAAGAGATCCTGGGATCACAACTGATAGCTCAAAGACAATATTGATCCAGTGAGCAGCAGCGGTGTAAAGGGTGTGTTCCATGTTAGGCATAATTAGAAAAGGAAAGGAAATCAAAACTGCCAATATCACACCGCTGCTTCACAAATCTATGATGTTTGATCATACTTGATTTCAGTTTGGGGCACCACAACTCAGAAAGGAGATTGTAGAGCTGAAGAAGGTCCAGAGAAACTGGCAACCAAACTGATCAAGGAACTGGGTCGACTACCTTAAGAGGAAGGTTGTAACATTTGGGGCTTTTATAATTTAGAGAAAAGGGATGAATGCGGGGAGAATGACCAGGGTAAATAAAAGTATCCACAGAAAGTGGACAGAGAGAAGTTTTTCTCCATCTCTCATAATACTAGAACTTGGAGCGACCCAATGAAGTTAAATGTTGGAAGAGGCAGGTCACAAAACAGAAAGTAACTTTTTTCACACAGTACAAACTATGCAATTCACTAAAATTCATGGCTGCCAACCAGAATGGCTTGAAAAAAGGATTTAGACAGAAAGGATAAGCCTCCAGTGTTAAAGGCAGTATGTCTCTGAATACCCATTGCTGGGGAATACAAGTGGAAATAGTACTGCTGAGCCCCTTTCCTGGTTAACCACTGTGAGAACAGGGTGCGAGACTAGAAAGCATTTGCTCTGATCTGGCTCAGCTCTTCCTATATTCAATCAGACTTATTTTCAGGGAAGTACGTGTAGCTTTGCAATCTCACTCCATTACTGAGTGTAAAATGCTGAATAATTTAAAGGTTACTTAAACTAATACCCCTTGACAGGCCACTTAATAAAGAGCAATTTTTGTCTTGGGTTAATTGCAAAATAGCGTTTTTAAGTGACAGTCCCATGGAAGAATATCTGCATTTCTGAAACACCAAAGGTCAAGTCAGTCAACAGATTAGGCATTTCTCCAGCTGTGTATGAAAGAGGTAGATCGTTTCACAGGTGTGTGTTTCAGAAAAGGAAAAACCTCAGTCAAATGCAGGAAATGTCCAATTTAAAATGAAACGCTATGCTGTTAAAATAAAGTACACACACACACACACACACACACACACACACACACTTAGAGCCAGTATGAAAAAGAAGTATATGAGTCATAGGGGACTTGAAAACATTGCAGCTTTAAGAGACTGGGGCCTGGTAAGGGTGTCTATATTTAAGTATTACAGAATGGAAAAAAATGTGGTGTGTATGTTAGAGTAAAAGCCTTGTGCTGCATTGCAGTATTTCTACTGATTCTCTCTCACTTTGGGCTTATCCACACTACTGTTTGCCCTACAGCTTTCCTCTGGGATAACCTGTGATTTAGCACTGGATTGGAGCAAACAGCAATCAGGTTTTCAGTGGATTGCTGTTTGTTCCGATTTATCACTAAAGAGTGAGATTTCCCTGGGGAAAGTAGCAAAACTGCTTGGGCCAGTGCCTAGAAAGCACGGGACAAGTGGAAAACTGCTCGGACAAGTGGAAGTGTGGATGAGCCCTTTATTGTGTAACTCAAGCTTGGGTTATTTGGAGCTATAATTTCAAAGCATTTCTAGTTGCTCTATGTAACAGCAAATCAGGGTGTGCCGCTATTGGCACTTGCAAGTGTGAGACTGCAGTTGGCACACAGTTTCTGCTTGCCACTCCCCCTTCCAACACATGCGAAGGGTGGGGCTAATCAGAAGTTTCCGATTCTGGTTGACAGTCTGCACATCCAAGCACAGCAAATATGGTTTCATCTGATCAAGAGTTTGCCTGCAAACAAGCATCCCAGTCCATAGCCATGGTTTGGAATGCTGTTTTTGCAGGCAAACTTTGGTTTAAGCGGTGGCATACCGTAGTTGCCAGTGAGTAGAAGCTTCTGGTTTTCCCCCCCTTGCACACAAAGGAAGGAGAGAAGAGAGCACACTGCTTGTAAAGTCAGCAACTGCTTGTAACCATGTTTTGCTTGTGCTCAAACACTTTCCTTTCTCCCTTAGGAGGAGATTATAGGCTTCCATCCTTAGTTGGTTTAAGTAACAGTTTTTGGTTTTCATTCTGGCTTGATATATCGGCTTGCTAACTTGTACAAACCAGTTTCCCTAGTTTGGCCAAAGTGGGAAATAGGAATGGAAGCTTTAAATCTTCTCCCTTTGTGCCCAAGCTTCACACAGGCAGCAAGAAACCATGGTTTGTTGTTTCGGTCTGAATTAGGCCAAAGTGTTATTTCACAGCACCCTATCATGACTAGACCTCTAATTAACTATATTAGTAAATGGATTATCGTAGCGTCTAACATCACTGTGCTTCTCCTGGTTTCACTATATTCTTGTGCATCTTTCAGGTTCAACTTATCTCCTACTTTTGACCAGATCTTAATGATAGTTCCAAGCTTTATGAAGCAAATCAGTATATGCAAAACAATTTTTAAAAAAATCTCTTTGGGCTTCTGTATGATCCCATACTCCTCTCTAGCATTTTCTTTAAAATATACATGATTCGTATGCAATTTCTACTGCAGAGAGAGAGAGAGAGAGAGAGAGAGAAACCCAGCTGGGGTTCACTCTGCATGAAAATAATTGGTTATTATCTCTTTTTGAGTAAACTATGATTAGCTCCATGTTTCTGTTGGACATGAAGCTCTAAACAAATAGTCTTTTGGCCCCCATACAACTTCCTCTGAAAATTCTGGTTGGTAAATATGAAAGAGTTTTCAAATTAAATGACCAGTAATTTTCTGAACAGTCTTAGAAAACAACCCAGAAGAGACTTCAGTCCAGAGTAAATAAGATGCAGATGCCACATTAAACAAGACATAATTTTCTGTGTAGGCAGGAATACTGCAACTTACTCAATGGATAAAAGGGGCTATAGATGGCTGTTTCTTCAATATATAGATGTTGCCAAAAAACACTGTGAACTAATCAAGGCAATTAACTGTCTGACATCATTAACTGAATCACAGGACTAGCTGTTGCTGTCCTGATAACAGCAAAAAACTTAGCTGCAATTCTGAATGAGATCAGACAATATTTCCTAATTACTGCATGAGTGAAATAAGCCGTAACACTTTAAAATTAGCTGGATACATTTATGATGATGAGTGCTACAGGATAGGTTTCAACATGCTGCTTCAACTATGATGTTTAGATATTGGAAATGAGTTTTGCCTCCTGGAATTTGGGTTTATTCTTCTTTCTTTTCACTGTTATAACTGATCTGTAGGGTGGCAGTGATTCCATAGTTTCATTATTATCCTGGATCTCCCCATCACAACATAGCATGAATGCAAATCTCTTTCAAAAAGCATATTTTCATAGTTTTGCAAGGAAGGAGAGTCCACATGGCAATCTCACTGGTTGGTAGTTACCCGGGTCTTCCTTTCCCCCCCTTTTTAAGATGGGGACAACATTTGCCAGCCTCCAGTCTGTAGGGACCTCACCTGTTCTCCAATAATTCTCAAAGATAATAGACAAAGTCTCTGAAATTACATCCGCAAGCTCCTTTACTACCCTTGGATGCAGCTCATCAGACCGTGGAGATTTGTACCTCTTTTCCTATCTTGGGCTGCAGCTCCCTCCTTACATTATTTATTCTGTTATCACAAGGTTGGGTATCACTTTCCTTTTGGGGGAAGACGGGGCAAGGTAGGTGTTGAGTAGTTCCGCCTTTTCTCTGTCTTTTCTTCTTCTTCGCCACGCAGAGGACCTACCACTTGTTTCTTCTTCCTCTTACTTCGGACACAGCCAAATAAACCTTTATTATTATTATTTTTAACCTCTCTTGCAAGCCTGAGCTGATTCTGAGCTTTAGCTAGGCTGACTTTCCCCCTGCAACTGTTGGCTACTCGTATATACTCCTCCTTTGTGATTTCCCCTTATTTCTATTTCTTACACATGCCCTTAATTCTCAGCTCACCTGCAAGCCACACCGGTTTCCTTAGATGCCTCCTACTTTTCTTTCTTGTTGGTATTGTCTGTATTTGGGCCTTCAATATTTCTCCTTTTAGAAACTCCCATCCTTCTTGGACTCCCTTCTCACTGAGTATGTCTGACCACGGGATCACACCCAGCAGCTCCTTCAGCTTTTCGAAACTGGTCAATCCCTAACTTCTCTAATTATAATTATCTCAGGAAACATGCTAGAAAAGGCCCTTGTCTGGCTAGCTGCCATTAGCCAAAAGGAGACAATAGTGTGCAAAATGAACCAAAGGTCCAACAGTATTAGCTATCTTCTCAAGTTCATATATGCAATATATGGATTTTAGATGGTAGAAAATTTGTCTGTATAGGAGTTTATGAAATAAGCATCTGCTACCTGCTTCACCAGAAATATCAAGGATCAATTCTATTGTTGGCTTTTTACATCCTGTTTGAAGGTGTACATTAAGCATTGTCATGCTGAGGATGATCACAATTCTAGGTAATTCAGCTGCCAACGTTTGAACAGTTTCCATATGTATAAGCACATAATTTTCTTTAAGACTGCCCATAAGAGATTAATATTTTTGTTATCCTTTTCTCATTTTGATAATAAGCTGTCTGCTTGAAGCTCCAGGCAGTTGAATTTGCTTTTTACTGATTCAAGTTTTCTGTCTGTAATTAAGGAAGATTTAGAAACACATCCTTATGAAAAGAACGAAGAAACCTTTAAATCTTTAAGCAGCTCAGTGGTAAATTTTATTTTTGCTCCTGGGTGTCAATCTCCACAGTATCACACTGCTTTCCCAAGCATTAAGCAGCTACTGAAAAGTTAAGTGTTATTAGAAATTCCTTACACCTGCCGAGAAAAGGAGGTCAGTAAATCTGAGACTTTAGGCAAGTGGATTGAATCAATACATTCCCGGGCAACATTTCGAACGTGTAAGAGGATTAACTGTTCAAGATTTCTTAAGAAGGCTCACAAACTAGGCATAATGTAAACTATCAATATTCTTCCTACAGAAATAGTGAAGGACTCACTGTTGTGAGACCCAACTCCAGTCAAGTTGGGTGGGTAAGGCAAAGTGAGGTAGAGAGAAACTAAGACACAGAGAAGAAAGCCAGAAACAGTACTTGCAGCCACCAGTAAAAGTAGGGTCCCCAAATTGCTCAGACCAGTGGGCAGGCTAGATCTTGAAACCTCTATAGAGCAGGGATGAGGAAGCACCTAGATGTTGTTGGACTACAACACCTAGTCACTGTGGCTGTGCTCTATCTCCAGAGGCAGAGGCAATATGCCTCTGAGCACTAGTTGATGGAAATCACAGGTGGGAAGAGTGCTGTTGTACCCAAGTACGGCTTGTGAGCATCTCATGGGCATCTTGGCATCACCTGTTTTGGACTGGGACATTTATAGTCTATTATCCCTCCACAGCTCAGTTCCCTGTTCATGAGAATCCCAGAAGACGCTCCATTTCCCCTTCAGCCAAAACCCACTCCACAACCTATTAAGGTATTAAGTTATATCTAACCATCTGGAGAATGGGCAATCAGAGGGGTTATACCAAGGTTGGGACCGCTGAAAGCAATACAGGCAGAGAAGTGATGGTGGAAAACACATCCTTAACTTGCCAGCTTTCCCTCTCAGATGCGTGAAAAGGGGTGCCTCTAAAACCAACAGAGGCACTACCATATGGCTTCCTATACTGGAAGAAGTGCCTTAATTCTACCTATTCGCATCCCTGAGATCTCAACAGTCTTTTTAAAAAATACGTATACAGTAGTACCTCATTTCGAATGTAATCCGTTCCGGAAGACCATTTGAGTTCCGAAACATTCGAAAACCGAAATCTCAAAACGGAAATCTCAATACGGAAGCTGCGTTTCCAGTTTGACTTCCGAGGCGCATTCGAAAACCAAAGCATTTATGGTGTTTGAGTTCCAAAACATTCATCAACGGAGATGTTCGAAAACCAAGGTACCACTGTATATACTGTATAGCTCTGTAGGCTACCTTTCTGTGTACAATTCATCCAAGGTGGCTTACACAAAAAAAGTTCAACACAACATCTACAAGATACACAAATACAAAATAAGTCAACACCAGCCCCAAAGTTACTAAGCCAGAAGCAGTAGCAGTAATAATAATAATAATAATAATAATACATATTCTGAAAACATACCCAATTACTTGGGGAGTAAATCATACTAAATTCAATGGGCTTTGCTTCTGAGCAGACATGTATATAATTACACAGCTGACAAGTCTAAGAAATATTTTAAATCTTGATAACCAAAAAACAAAACAAAAACCACTTTTATTCCTCCTCCAAATTGTATCATTTTTTTCAGCACAGCTGCAAAACTGAGGAATCAGGTGGAAAAGACAGTGCTTTAAAATATTTAGCTGGAAAGCCATGCATATGAAGCTGCCTTATACTGAGTCGGAGCCAATGGTCCATCAATACTGCCTATGATTGGCAGTGGCTCTCTGGGATTTCAGACAGGGGACATTCACAGTCCTACCTGGAAAAGCCAGGGCTGGATTTCCATAGAGTAGATATTATAACCTGCGTCTCAGCACCCAGCAAACATTTTTGACGCAACTGTGCAAATACTTCAGCTATACATTGTATGGGCAAAAATCATTTCCATTAATTTTATCACGACCTCTCTGCTTGCAACATATAATCATCATCACCACCATCATCGATGCCCCCAAGTGGTTACATTTGACAGACTTCTGTTTTCCACATATTCGGAGAGAGTGTCAAAAAAACGTTACCACAACATGTTGTATATTTATGAGAACGAGGATAACGGCGGAAGAATGTTTAATGCATGAGGCCTATGAGGGATTTGTTGCAAGAAGGCATTTGCACTCCCTCTCAGCATGTAAAGGCATATGTAATTTAGCAGAACCTGTAATGTGACAAGTTTAAGGAACAAACAAAGCACACACTTCTAACAAGACAACTGGTGAAATGGATTTTCAAATAAGAGCGTCTTCACCATGCTCCCGAGATCACCAGGTGCATGTGCGAGCTTGTTTGCCACCACTTTACATGTTTGCAGGTTATACAAAGAAAAAACAGAATGGAAAATACTGTTTATGTGCCAAGATCTTGGACGCACTGAACAGTCAACTTATAAATCTCTGCCTTTTCTAAACAGAATGCCAGGCAGCAGGAAACAACTCAAGGGATGAAGCATCTCTGTGCTCAAAACAAGGTGATGGAGGCTGTGGTTTTCCTTGAATGAAACCTGGGCACTAAGCCTCAGTTCTTTACAATGAGGATGAAGATAACCTTTGCTCTGCTTTGTTTTCAGCCTTGTATCCTAGAAGCAAAGAATTCTGATCTAGCTCAATTGTTTACAGCCTTCTGCTTTCCACTGTCGCCAGCCAGCCTTTTCCTAGTTTCCTGTTCATTTTCTCAGCAGCCATCCCTAAAGGCTACAACAACCCCACTTTTAGAAGGATACGGGAAATAAAGCAGAGATTGCGGATGTGGAATGTGCTATGCCAGAGTACACAAGAGGCCACTAAACAACACTCTTAAAAAAACAAAACAAAACAGATATGGAAAACACTTCTGGAAAAGCCCCCTTAGGTGAGTTACTACAAAGCAAGGCTTTATCCTCTATATCAACCTGTGGATTTATAGTTCAATATTCATAAATTATGGGACACGGGTGGCGCTGTGGGTTAAACCACAGAACCTAGGACTCGCCGATCAGAAGGTTGGCGGTTTGAATCCCCACGACGGGGTGAGCTCCCGTTGCTCGGTCCCTGCTCCTGCCAACCTAGCAGTTCGAAAGCACATCAAAGTGCAAGTAGATAAATAGGTACCGCTCTGGCGGGAAGGTAAACGGCGTTTCCATGCACTGCTCTGCTTAGTCATGCTGGCCACATGACCTGGAAGCTGTACGCCGGTTCCCTCGGCCAATAAAGTGAGATGAGCGCGGCAACCCCCGAGTCGGCCACGACTGGACCTAATGGTCAGGGGTCCCTTTACCTTTATTCATAAATTGTCTGCTCCAAAGAGAGTGAAATTAAATGGGAGACTCTTTATGGGCTGTAGTTTTGCTTGAAAATTAAAAGGTTTTGGAAAGGGGTGAGAGTGGCCACATTTGCATCTAATACTAAGCCAAACATTGCATGCAGAAGATCTCAAATTCAATTCCAGGCATCTACGGGTAGGGTTGGGAAGAATTCCTGCCTGAAACCCTGGAGAGCCACTGTCAGTCAGTGTAGATAAAACTGAGCTAGTGGACTAGTGGTCTGGGTTGACTAGGTGGACACGGGTGGCGCTGTGGTCTAAACCCCTGAGCCTCTTAGGCTTGCCAATCGGAAGATCAGCAGTTCGAATCCCCGCGATGGAGTGAGCTCCATTGCTCTGTCCCAGCTCCTGCCAACTTAGCAGTTCAAAAGCACGCCAGTGCAAGTAGATAAATAGGTACAGCTGCGGTGGGAAGGTAAACAGTGTTTCTGTGCACTCTGGTTTTCGTCACGGTGTCCTGTTGCGCCAGAACCAGTTTAGATATTCTGGCCACATGATCTGGAAAGCTGTCTGTGGATAAACACCGGCTCCCACGGCCTGAAAGCGAGATGAGCCCTGCAACCCCATAATTACCTTTGACTGAACTTAACTGTCCAGGGGTCCTTTACCTTACCTAGTGGTCTGATTCAGTATATGGCATTTTCCTATGTTCATCTGGTGTTCTCTCCCTCTCTCTCATCCCCGATCCTTTTAGGACCCTCTTAACATGAGCCTCTGGAGCACAGAGGAGCCTCTGGAGCACAGTCTAACATAGAGATGGGTGTGCTTAAAGCATTCCAGCATGATAGAGGTGTACAAAATTATGCAATGATTGTGGCCTTGGTGTTTTTTAGTATGAGAATACTTGAGAGACACTATTCTGATCAGAAATTAGTAGCATGTCTGGGACCTTCCGGTTACTGATCAAAATGATGGTAGGCAAGCTTTTGCAAAAAGAAGTCAGACTACAATTTGGATTGCTTTTCATTTATTCCATTTGTTTATTGCTAAAATTCATATCCACTGTCTCAGCTCACAGAGACCCATGTTGTGGCATACAAATGTATCATATCAAACACAAGGATTTATTTTTATTTTTATTTTTATTTATTATTATTTTTTTTAAAGCTACTAAGAGAACAAATCCAAAAGCCAATTTGGGTAGAATGATGGAATATTTTTGTAGAATCCAAAAGTCAATAGGGGTAGAATGCCCACATGCTATGGCTCTGGCCTTGGCCCATCTCCATCCTACATATTTGTGCTGGCAAATCTTTTGGTGATACTTAAAAAAAAAAGTCCCTGCAACACCAGTATATAATTAATATCCTTGTTTGTGGCATTGTGCTGGCACAGCATTCCATCCTTAGACTATAATACTAAAGACATTTAATTGGAAGCAAGTTCTCCTGAAGGCAGTGGGATACATACTTTGAAGTTTTTCGGCTCAGGGTTCGGATAAAAGCATTTATTTTCGGGTAATGGGCTGCTGAGAATTTTGTTTCCTCCTCCTCCTCCCATTTGATTCTCTCCCCCGTCTACTTTTAAAAACTTCATGTTCAGCTAATACATACAGCTACATCATGGAGTATTTTCTAGGGCATGTGCTAGCGACGTGAGCTGTCATGCGATGAGATATTTCTCTTTCTCTCCAGCAATTCTCTTTTGATCTATTCTCAGAGCAAAACAACACTGAGCAAGTTTAACATCAAGAACATTTCTTCTTTTTGCTTTATTTTTTTCATAGCAACTAGAACAAAAGTTCTTTTGCTAATCCCTCCATATGACGTCTAAATTAATAACTCATTTGCACATTGCACAAGAACGAATGAATTTAGGAGCAATTGCTTTCTGAATGCCATTCTTCACAGGCAGTGAAGATCCATTACCAAGGCTAAAGGCATATGAACTTAAAGATTTGTTTATAGTGATTGTGGCAAAGCTCCAAGTGCATTCAGGATAATTTACAACATAAGCAATTTGGCTTTGAAGAAAGTAAAATCCTCTTCTTGTTAAAAATCTGTTTCTTGTTACCCTTTCCTTTCTTGTATCGTAAATGAAGTTAAACATATTAGAAGTGAGGAATGAACTAACTACTCTGGAAATCTGATGAGTTCCAAGTCCTAGAGCATGTAAAAGGAGTTGATTTTTATTCTTATTCTTTTATTTTATTTGTACCCTGCCCATCTGACTGGGTTGCCCCAGCCACTCTGGGTGGCTTCCAACACATATAAAAACATAATAAAGCATTACATATTAAAAAGTTCCCCGATACAGGGCTGCCTTCAGGTGTCTTCTAAAGGTTATATAGTTACTCATCTCTTTGACATCTGATGAGAGGCTGTTCTACTGGTTGGGTGCCACTACCAAGAAGGCCCTCTGCCTGGAAGATGATTGCCGAATATTTATCAGAGTATTCTCATGTTTTTATTGATTGATTGCACTTTTATCCTACCTATCCTCTAAGGAACTTGAAGTTGTGTACATAATTCCCCTCTTCCCCACTTTATTATCACAACCCTGTAAAGGTAGGCTACGCTGAGAGTGAGTGACTGGGCTAAAGTGGGGGATTTGAACCCTGGTCTCTCAGGTCTTAGTACGCCACAGACTGACTATGGGAAAACACATAGAAGAGAGGCCAGATCCACTGGGTTGTATCCAACATTAGCCCTACTCAAAGCAGGCCCGTTGAAATTAATGGACACGACTAAGTTGTTTTGGGAACAGGGAATCTAAAGCAAGTAAGTGGCAAGCAGAAGAATGCTTGATTCTACCTACCATTTCTCCTCTCCATCTCCCCCTCTCTTTGCAAACGGACATCTGAATCTGTGCTGGGGAGGAAGAACCCCATTTGTGTTTGCTGGAGAAGAAATGGTGACTAACACACGAATGAAAGCATCCCTCTTCCTTACCGCTTCCCCCTCTACATTCCCCCTTTCCCAAAGCACCTTCTTGTTTATAAAACTTAATGTCATCAGGGCCTCTTACACATGGCTACCGCTCATTGCGGCATCATGAGGATCAAATATGGGGATGGGATGCCATTAACACACCCATAGTTCCTTGGAGGAAGAGTGAGATAAAAATATCTTGCTGAGTAACTGTGACTGACTTCAGAGTCCTGCTTCGGCCCAGATCGGTTAAGGAGCCAAGTTTCTGAAGGTCAATGCCGCCATCTTGGTTTGTACTTGATGCAGTGCACGGCCTTGTGACCTTGCAGAATCCAACATGAGGAGTATCCCAGAATCCCATACGATAATGCTAAGATCTCTAATGAAAATGTTACATCGGTGGTTTCTAACACCAGGTAAACTGGCAAAAATGTGTATATCAAAATCGAACAAGTGTTGGAAATGCAAAGAGAAAGAAGGTACTTTCTATCATATGTGGTGGTCTTGCACTAAGCTTAAAGTTTACTGGGAAATGATGTATAATGAATTGAAAAAGATGTTTAAAATAACATTTGTAAAAAAAAACCAAAAGCTTTCCTTCTGGGAATTATAGGGGTAGAACTACCTAAACAGTATAGAAATTTATTCATTTATGCAACTACAGCGGCAAGAATGTTATTTGCCCAAAAATGGAAAGAAGAATGAGTCCTGATGAAAGAAGATTGGATACAAAAACTCATGGACTATGCAGAAATGACGAAACTTACTGGAAAAAATAAGAAATCAAGACAACAAACTTCTTATAAAAGAATGAAAATGGTTTATAAAATATGTACAAATAAATTGTAAACAGATAAGAACATTGGCAGGGTTATTGTAACAACCTGCAATTTCATAAGAGTAAATAATTAAAGTAGATGAATAAACGAATAAGTTAATTTAGAATATGCAGGAAATGATAAATATAAATTTAAGGAATTGCAGAAAGAGGAGGAAGGAGGTTGAGTTTCAAAATGTTAAAATGATTGTAAAACTATTGAAATGTATATAACTGAAAATCACAAATAATTATTTTTTTTAAACAAAAGAGATAATACTAAGATCTCTGGGGTGGTTTCTTACTTAGCTTGCACACCCTGCTCCCCTCTGCTTTGCGCCTGGCTAGCCAGGCCAGAACCACCATACTCAGAACATGATGGTTGCGTGAAGAGTCCTCGAAAGCGGCACATAAGCAACAGCACGATTTCTCCTTCTTACCTCTCTTTCATGGTGGCCAAGGCCTTCTTCAGGGCTCCTGAGATTAAGGACATGAACTTCCTGTGGCAATCCAACGGTCCCTTTGCTTGCGCAGCCGGATAAAACCGTAAAGCTCTCAAGCAAGGCTTGAACTGGGTGGGAGCTATTGACAGGTGACAACACACACTCGTTCGTAGGCACGGGACCTGCAAAGTAAATGACAAATGAACAGGATTTTGAGGGGAAAGGCTAAACTAGATTAGGGCAACATTTAGGCAGTTCTCTCATTGACTGTTGGATAGCAAGCTTTGTTATTATCTGAGCTGTCACAAGGTTTCAAAGTGGTAATACACAAGTTACAAAGAACAACGATAATATGGATTAAAGAAGCAGGGTGTGATCGAGGGGAAATCAAGCATACTCTTCTTTCATTGAAACCAATGTTGAGTGCTTAAGGCTGCAGTCCTATGAACACTTTCCTAGGAATAAGATCCAGGGAAGCAGTGGATTCTCTTAAACCAGTTTAGGATTGTGCTGCCAGGATATAAACCCGTACATACTTTCTTCAGAGTAAAGCCACATTGCCCTCAGAGGGAGTTATTTCTGACAAAGAAGTACAGATTAGAGTGAAAATCATATATTGAATTTATAACTCAAACGTAAACTCAATTAAAACTACGCCCTATAAATTTTAATGAGTTTTACATACAATTATACTTTTAAAATGGTATTTACATTTATTAAATTTATAGCTGTGAGTTTCTTTACATTGTATCCACTGTTACAAAAACAGCCTTCTGCAATGTGCTTTGCGTGGCGATTCCCGCCCCCTCCCACAGATGGAATAAATAAAGACACTGGACGCCAGAATTTAGGTTAATGGGCGAAAAATGGCCACAACTTTATTGATTACAGGTAAGAGCGGTATTCGGCTCACGACCGTAGATCTTTCCAAAGTAGTCCTCGTGGGGAGGTGCGGGTCTAGGATTGACCCCAGTAGCCAAAACTCACTGAGGTGCAGCAGAGAGAGACACAGCGGGTGCGTGAGGCCCTGCTGCGGTTACAAGAAACAGCGGCGCTAGATGAGCCCGGCAATTAATCGGAAGGCTCTGAGCTGCCCGACAGAGGGTTTCCGCTGCTTCGCGCCTGGCTCAGAAACCACGTTGGATCGTTGGTCTGACAATCCGAAAAGAAACGGAGGCTGGCGTTGAGCCTGGGGCGATGGAGCCGGTGTGTCACGAAAAGGAAGGGCTTCCGCGACTCAGAAATTCTCCTCCAAATGGCCGGCGCGGCTGAATGAACCACAGCGCAAAGAACCTGTAAAACCGAAAAAGGAAACACGCGGACCGAAAAAGCAACAAAGAAACAACCAGCCCGTAAGACGAAGACCAAACTGCAGCTGGCTGTAAGAGAGAAAAGGGGCAAGCATGGGCTACCCCAACCTTAAATGAACCCTACTAAGCCTGCCCCCGCCACCAGCCAATTGGCTGGCTCGGTGAATAATGACTACTAATGATTCCCGGGATTCCCCAAGTCCCGCAGGGCTGCAGCCAGCCCCGCGAGGATGTAGGTGGGGCGTGAGCCCGCAACCCCCCCCTCCTTATGTCGGGAGTGGCTTTCCTAGCCTAGATAGCGAATCGACTTTTAATCAATTCATGCTTCTTCTACAACACGTATGGGGCACCCGTGACCTTCCAGATGCGGTTCAACTCCAACTCTCCATCATCCCCGACCACAGGTTATGCTGGCTGAGGGTTATGGGAGTTGGGGGTCCAACAATATCTAGCTGACCACAGCTTTTCCATTCCTATTATAGCCTGGGGTAGCTCAGTTGATAAAGGATGAGACTCTTTATCTCAGGGTCATGGGTTTGAGACCCATGTTGGGCAAAAGATTCCTGCAAGGCAGGGAACTGGACTAGATTACTCTCATGGTCCCTTCCAACTCTACAATTCTTTTCTAAGCTGTACTGATCTTCCAACAGCTAGTGGTGTTCAGCATCTAGGTGTTAGACTAGGACTAAAACAGCAAAGATTCAAAGCCCATCCCATCCAGAAACTGACTGGGTGATAATAGCAAAAGCCTTTCCACTGCCGTATCTTAATCTGTAAAGCAAGAAAGATGACCTCTCCACTCTTATGAAAGGTAAGAGTGCACAGCATTCTGTGCAGCAGAAAGTAATACAACCTCAGATTAAGGTGTTCTTAAGAAAGAAATGAATTTAGGGCAAAATTCTAGAATTTTAAAAGTCAGTGTTGGCATGACTAAGATAAATGGTTATTTATCACATAGCTTCATTGCAAATCCAGAACAAATAACTGCAAAAACACTGTATATTCACTGTATCGCTTTTGATGTTGCACTGATCTAGAACGCAAAAACACCAGTCAGGTTAAGCCGCCTATGCAACAATGCTGCTTTTATCACTAAACAAATGGACATGTCTGGGTGCCTGGTTTATTGCGTCTGACAGCAATTGCCTAAGCTGATAACAGCCCTCTCGCCCAAAACGCAGGGTATATCCTTGCAAATAATCTCTACAACATGGTATAGAACCACACACTTTCACGCTGTGTATAGAGCATTATGGCTGTGGTATAGCAAGACAGCAGGACAGCTGACGTGTGTGGAGGAGTTTGCATATAAAGTACATCTGCAGGAAGCTAAAGCAAGGCAAATGTTTATGGAAAACAGCCCTGTGTCTCCAAATCTATGCACAAGCCTGCAGTGATAGCCAGAGATTTTGTATGTTTTTCATTCCAGAGGTTGCTGAAGAAGTACTGTGGTTTGAGCTCCTACCAGGCACACATCAATGTAAATTAGAGTTTTATTCAGTGTAGCTGAATACAAGTGTGTGTGTGTGTGTGTGTGTGTGTGTGTGTAAGCCATAGTTGAATCTTAGGAACCACCTCTGCCCATAGGAGCTTCCCATCACATCTGCAGCACTGGAGATAATCTGGAGAGGTCTACTCCACATATCACTTCCAAAAGACTTCTGCTCTTAGAGCATTCAGCTTTTTCTGCAGTGGTGCTTCCAGGATGCCCTCACTCAAGTAGGCATGTTGAAAGATGCAACATTTCTGAGTTTCAGGAGGAAGGCAACAGCAGTCAGTGACTTATCTCTCCCATCCCATGTTTTGGTAGTGGGTAGGACAGTGGTTCTCAAAGGGTGTGCCACGTGTGGCAGGAGAGGACAGCAGGTGTATCAGGAAGATCCAAGGGTAATCAAAGAAACATTTAAGCATTTCAGTGTACCATAATATCAAAATACTATAATAACATTCTGGTGTTTAGTTAAGCTGGTTGGAACATGTGTAGAAACCTGCCCTGATTTTGATTCATTGCAAAATAAATTCAAAGTTCATGTTCTTTGTATTGTTTCACATGCATTGTGGCTTTTCCTTATAACTCACTCTCGGATTGATTTGGAGCCGGCTAACAGTGATAATCAGATAAATATGAAGACACAACACTGTGCCATTTAGTTCCATAGCCTCTGAGTCATCTTCCCTTGGCAAAGCACATTCAACATCAAAACAAACCATTTCATGCTGTATCAGCTTCCTTGTCCATTGCCAAACCATCAACCAACTACTATGCAAAATGTGCCAGTGTTTTATTTGAACACCACATCCTGGTCTCCCCCCCCCCCCACTCTAAACCATCCACAACCACTGGCATCTTCCAAAACATATTCACCATTCATAGAAAACCCTCCTTTTTACTTAGCTCAATGTGCCTTCATGGCTTCAGCAAATCATAACTAGCACTTCATTTGATTTTTACCCACCCATTTCAGTGCGGTGGAAATGGCTTCCTTTGGCTATCCTCAAAAATGTTTGAAGTTCAGCTGCCTGGTTAAAGAAAGAATGTCACTACAAACATGTCACTAATCACCCTGGAAACTTTAGACAAAGGGCAGCGTTTTTTTATAAAAAAAAAATCTATGGAAGAAACAGAAAACAAACAAACATCAATTTCACTTTGCCAGTTTTATTTTAATTAATTCATCTAATCAATCAATCAATCAATCAATTAGGAGGATACCTAATACAGGCATTTTTAAATTATAAAACTAAAAACATGACAAGTGTATTAAAAGAAAAGCCCAGGGGAATCCGCTGCCCTTAGCCAAACCCATCTCTTGGTCAAATAGCAGTGTGACTATGATAGGATTTCTTATATAATCTCACTTAAAATTCCCACCATGTAATTTTTAGAGTTGCAATGCTGCTGCTTCTGTAAAAAAATGCAGGGTGGCAGGCTCCCTCTACCTCTAATACCCTTTGTATCCATATCAACTATGCCACAATTCATGCTCAATGAATGAGAAAGACCTAGGGAACCAGCCCTACCTCGCTCTGCTGCTTAACAATGCCTTAAGTCAAGTCAAGCCACTACTGTTGTTTGCAGTAAAATCCCATAGAACTGCCTTATTTTTTTTAAAAAAAATTTTTTTTAAGAAAACAAGTTTTCTCCCTCTTCCCGTCGCTATGTGCTTCTAATAAAAACATGCAGTTCTCATACCAACATCTGGAAATTATTGAATTTAATTTTAGCACCTCGATTTCCCATATCACCAGGCCACTAATGTTTAACGTGTGTTGTGCTGTAATAAAGCAACTACAATGTGGGAAGAGGAGGGATTTTACAACCTTGAGGTCAACATGTAACCGTAGCGGACTTGATTCTAACTCTTAAGAAAGGCCAGTATGCAGTGCGCTCCATTTCCACAGAGAACAAACTCTTCAAGGCTGTCAGCTGAAAAGTGTGACCAAGTCAAACAAATTGCATGGCTATGTGCTGCAACTTCCAGAGCGTGGTAACTATTTTCTACAGGATTCCCCCAAAGCTCCAAGATTGCCCCAGTGAGATCCAGCGAGCACAGGAAGAAACCACAGATGTTTATTAGCAGAACTTCAGAGGAGAGAACATTTAAATGCCATACTGTGTGCATCGCATGAAAGACTCAAGAGCTTTCTTTCAGCTGCTAAAGCAAAACAGGAAACAGCAGGCTTCAGGAGCACCAGGGATATTTGTAGTGTTATTTTTTGAAAAGCTACAAATTGCCATCTACCCAATTCATGGGCCTTTGGGGATCTGGAAGGTACTGGAGGCATTTCATGCCTATAAGCCGCCCCTCATCTGCAAACAAACAAATAAATCTACACTAAATGGCAATGATTGTCTAGAAAGATAAGCTGGATTACAAGTCGTTTTATACTGCGCCTCTCCCTCGACTGATGCAATTGCATATGAGCAACATGGCCCTCTTTTAATGTCTCAGTTCTGCCTTGTGAAAAACATTGTCTTTATATCCTTACATATATGCATATATGTAATGCTTTCTCCCAGATGCCATGGGCAGGGTTTGATGTACTCGTGGCTTGTCATGACCCGACTGGGTGAGCGAGAGAGCACCACCCCCGGCAAGAGTGATCCATCTCTTTCCTGGCAGGAGGTGGGGTGAGTGTCAAAAGGAGAAAAAGAAACTGCAGGAAATATTGTTCCCCCACCACTTTCGCTAGAGTGGATTCAACACCAAGTCTTTAATACAACCAGAATCAACACCGTTCAAGACCTCTTTTTTTTTTTATTACAGTGGTACCTCGGATTAAGAACTTAATTCGTTCCAGAGGTCCGTTCTTAACCTGAAACTGTTCTTAACCTGAAGCACCACTTTAGCTAATGGGGCCTCCCGCTGCTGCCATGCCGCCGGAGCACGATTTCTGTTCTCATCCTGAAGCAAAGTTCTTAACCCGAGGTGCTATTTCTGGGTTAGCGGAGTCTGTAACCTGAAGCGTCTGTAACCTAAGCGTCTGTAACCCGAGGTACCACTGTATTCTGTGGTACACAATATCCGCTGAAACTCCATTTTGAAAGCTAAGGGGAGCTTAACTTGTATATGTGCTTGCTTTTGTCATGCAGGCTTCCCCCAATCTGGTAGCCTCCAGATCTTTTGCACAACAACTTCCATCCTTCCTGGCTATTGGCCATGCTGGCTGGGGCTGAACGGAGTTGTAGTCCAAAACACCAAGTTGGGGAAGGCTGTTTTAATGGTCTGTGGCCATGAACTATGCAATTGTCCAACTCTCTCCACTTACTAGACTGTCCTTCCCAGCACACACCCTAATATTATCAATTTCCTCCAAGGAACTCAAGGTGGCATACATGTTTCCTCTTCCTCCCCATTTTATCCTCACAACAACCCTGTGAGGTAAATTAAGCCAAGAGTGACTGACCCAGCGAGCTAGTGGGGATTTGAACCCTGGTCTCCCAGGTCTAACTATACTCCAACTAGTGTATCACACTGGCTCTCAACTCAACTGCAGTCTGTCTCAGGAAGACACTAGCTTTTTGCAATCTTCTCCGTTTCTAACCATACCTCTGATAATGTTTGCCTCCACAGCGGGCCATAATCAATAGGTACACACATGGGACAGGGTTAAAATGGTCTAATCTTATCAGCAGCTGCTGCTATGCCCTCTTTGTGGAAATAATGACAAATTACTATTTTTTTGGACCTAGAGGAGTTTCAGAATGTTGCTTCTTCTACACATAGCATCCCTTACTTACAAAGTGCCAAGAAAGCAAAGTTGGGGGAGGATAACTTACGGACCAAGGTACAACACTATTACCCGTAATTTGAAAAGAGGTCCCCTTCAAACAAAAGGAGTTTCTGCTTAAAAGGAGAACAAACCTCCTGTGGAGGAGCCCGCATAATGCAGCAATCAAACAGCACATCCAAAGAAGGCTTTCATTATATTTTTAAAGGCATTTCTGCTGAAACAGGAAACACTTTGCCAACATACACAGTACAGTACAAACCTAGATAGAAAGAGAACAACTGCAGTTTAGCTGTTTATTTAAAACGTTTGACAACACACACACATACAAAATAAGGGAACGAATAAGAAACCTGATTGATGCCACTTCTGCTGAGTGCTGCACATGCAATACAGGCCAAGATGCAACATCTGTAGCAGGTAATTAGAAGTCTTGGGGGGCAGATGCACAATGCTCCATACTGTGGCACCCCTCTCTTTGCACTGTTGTGGAGTCCATAAATTACTTTGAAAGTGCTTGCAGGCTCCACATAAGCATCTGGTTGGTCTCTGCGGGAAACAGAATCCTGGACTAGATGGGCCTTTGGTTCTGTTCTTATTTGTTGTTGTATTTTAAAAACCTGTAATTCCTAGATTCACTAGGCTTCTGCTGGCTGTTTCTCAGGATTATATCCCTGCACTTTCTGTAAATGTGCTCAGATGTTATCTCGCACAGCTCTGCCTTGCCAGCCTTAGGGCAAAAAGTTTCAAAGCTCAGTTCTGCAGGAATGAATAGTAAATTTGCAAAGAATCAGCTAGAACCTGGAAGAAGATTGATAAAGATAACAGCTACAGATGCAGTAAAGGGATAATTCGGGCAAGAGTCACTCCCTAAACTGAAAAAAGAAAGAAATAAGTGAGCGAGTTCATCTGAGCACAGGGCCGGCTCCAGGGAGTGTCCTATGGGACACGAGTCGGCCCAGATGGCTAACCAATGTTCAGATCCATTGACACTTGTGTTTCAATAATATGACAGCCTGATTCCCTGGATAAGACCATCTCATCCTGGTATTGCTCAGTTCCAACCTGCTGTCCAAGGTTGACAGGTCCTGGGATGAGGATTCACGGGGTCAAGACAACTCATTGCTTCTCGATAGGTCACAGAAGTAAAACCATTTGCAATGCTGCTCCATAACTCTGTGGCCTCATCCAGGAGGCAGATTGGGGGGTGGAGAGAGAGAGAGAGAGAGAGAGAGAGAGAGAGAGAGAGAGAAATGGCAATTGCCAGCAGGCCAGAGATGGGGATGCATCTTTATCTAGTTTTAAGAGGCTTACTCTCTGAAAACAGATGGCACACACATGCTGTCAGCTCTCCTTACGTTGTTTCTTCTGGTTCCATCTTCTCTCAATCTCTTCCAGACTTCAGTGAGATATTTTAGAGACACTGTCTCCTAGTGGCTACCCTTTTGAGAGCAATGGCATGAATGCTACCAGCTATCTGTGGTAGCAAGTCATCGTTGCCTAAATCAGTGAGTGTCTTTTGTCCTGAATCTCCAATATTTAGCTACATTGGCTTTCCCCTTACTTGCCTCGCTGTCCCCCCCCCCCCGAGCCTTTCATTCACTTCTCCTCTTGACATACTACATTGGACTGCCTGTAACTAAGAATCATGATATGTGCAGGAAGTAATTCCATGTCACATTCCTGCAAATGGAAGGATTTTGGAGACTCTGAAACGCAACACCCATTTACACTCAAGATCCCAATAAAAACAAACCGGGGAGAGGAGGAGGCAAAGCATTTCAGTTATTGAAAATATTTTACTGCAATGAATTGGCGAACCAGGAAATGTCAAGAAAGTGAAAAGGCTCATAAAAGCAGAGATGCTGGACTTAACTCATCGCTTTGACTCATTGTGTAACATTTGTGTCAAGCCTTCCCCCCCCCCCACACCAAACACAAGCATATAACCCCCACCTACAGATAACCCATAAATCTGTCTTTGATTTGAACCTTCTTAACTACAGAAAGGGTAGGAAGCTGGACAGAAAACAATGGATGGAAGTGCTCTGTTTAAGTAACAAGGGCAGGAAACTTTCAGCTAGTTGCACAGTCAAGTTTCCATACTGAAACTCAAGGGAGAAGAAAACCAAACTCCACGGAGCTATCTCTATACAGAGTATAAATAACCCTTAACGGATTTTTAAAGCCATTGTATTTTAACAGAATACTACCAAAAAGCCTCGACCCAATGCGTAGTAGTATTGTTTATTGTACTGCTGAAACTGAGTCATAATAAGCTCATTTGGTAAATTAAAAGACAATAAGTAAGGAAATGCTAGACATTATAAAACCTGCGGCATGAGTCCAGGACTGGATGTGTATTTATTTTTAAACCAAATTGTGCAGGAATTCATAAATCAGCAAACAAAACTCACACACACACACAAAAGTAAACACAGATTGAGCTTCAAGTCTCTCTGCGTGGCTGCAGAAATAAGCACAGGTCTGTACATTCCTTATCCTTAAAAAGGGAGGAAAAAGAAAGGGAGAGAAAGTAGCTGCTCGCTTTCTGCACTGTGGTTACAGTCCTGCAGCCAGAAGTCATTAACACATGACACTGGAAACTAAAAACAAAAGATAAGGGAAGATCACAGGATTTGTCTAGTTTGGTAAAATGCCCAGCAAAAGTACAGATGGAGGTTGTGCGTACCTAAACCTAACAGCTGTGTATTTCAACCTTCACAAAGTCCCACTCTGATATCCATAATTTATTTCCGCAAAACACAGCCTCTGAGGTGAGGATAGCCAACATGGTGCCCTCCAGCTTTTGTAGGAATACAACAGAATACCATCATCCCTGACCACGGGCTGAGGCTGTTGTAGTCCAGCAACGCACGTGGCGCTGTGGTCTAAACCACTGAGCCTCTTTGGCTTGCTGATCGGAAGGTCGGCGGTTCAAATCCCCGTGACAGAGTGAGCTCCCATTGCTCTGTCCAGCTCCTGCCAACCGAGCAGTTTGAAAGCAAGCAAGCAAGTAGATAAATAGGTACTGCTGCGGAGGGAAGGTAAACAGCATTTCCATGCGCTCTGGTTTCCGTCAAGGTGTCCCATTGAGCCAGAAGCGGTTTAGTCATGCTAGCCACATGACCCGGAAATCTGTCTGTGGACAAATGCCGGCTCCCTCAGCCTGAAGCAAGATGAGCGCCGCAATCCCATAGTTGCTTTGACTAGACCTAACCGTCCAGGGATCCTTTACCTTCTTTTCTTAGTCCAGCAACATTATTTCAGCAGAGGGAGGGGCAGGAGAGGAGTCAAGGAGAGGGTGATATGGACCCAATGGAAGGCCTCTGTGGAAGTATGTGCACCCAAGTACACCATTATCTGGTAAGGGAATGTCAGAGAAACAGAATAAAGTGCTGTCCCAATGCAGCCTACATGTCATAATTCTGCTACCAAGTTGACAAGTATGGCGGGTTCTTTGGATGGCAAAAGGAGGAGGACCACTTCTCTCATGGCAGTTTTCAGGCGCAGAGAGACTGTGGAAAACCAATACTTCGCTTTACACAACTTGTGGTTTCCAAAATACAAAGATTCTCCCCTAAGCCTATACATCACCATGTGGGTGTGTGGGTGAAGCCTCCCTGGGTGAACGGGAGAGGAGAGAGAGCTTCAGTTTTCTAATGAATAATAACAAGTTTCCAAGTTCAACTGAAGGCTGAATTCCTATAATTGACCCTTTAAATAGGAGTTAACTCCCATTCGCCAATCTCATTACACCAAACCTGAAAGCTGATCTTGTTTCAAGAGCTTAAACAAAACAAAACCTCCCTCTCTATAATATTCCAAGCTTTAACCTTGTCTCTGAGAAAATGTTTGGCCAAAAGTTAACAAAACAATGACCACCCCCCACCACCAAATTATAAAATAGATCTCCGCTGTGAAATAAAAGAAGAATTAACCCAGCTCAGAGGTCCAGCAGCCCAATCACCAAAGTTAGCTGTCCTGTTGCATTTATTTTGTAGCTTTTTATTTATAACAAACAAGACATGTTATATGCTTATTCACAATTCTTCTGTGTTGACATGTAAGGTTTTAAATTTTAAAAAATGCTAACAAAAATAAGGGGGAAGAAAGCTATTTTTATTTCCCCATCCACCCTTACTGCAATGAATTTTTTTTTTTTTTTTAGAAATCAAAACAGAGAAAATGGACCTATATATTAGCCTGAAATTTGTTGCTCCAATCACTAATAAAATCTGCTTCTCCAGAAATTTTATTAGTTGTAATGCCTTCTTTCATCCTTTTATCAAAAGTTAATTTATGCAAGCAAGCCCATATTCCACATGCTTTCAAGTACTAACTCTGATTTCTGTTTTATTTAGCTGCTTTTCACACCTTGCTAGCTATATCTATAGTTACACACCTACCTTCAAAATATAGAAATGTTTTTAAAATAAAAATAATTGGGAAATAGAAAAGAACAAAGAATATGTTTGGATATGTCCTTTTCTCTCTCTGCACATGTATGTGTGTGTGTACTAGATGCATTATTAAGCTTGAGGAGGAAGGATGTGAAAGGCTGAATTCTTAATCATGTATGGAAACACAAACAGACTCACATTTCCTGAATACAAATCTGAGACTGCATTCAAAGCCTTTGCTTTGTTTCAAGAGTCCAGAATTTATTGGGCACAATCCAGCTCTATAGCTGCATGTCCAAAGACAGTGGGCATTATTCAACCCAGTTTCATTCAGAGTAGGCTCGGTGAAATTAACGGACCTACCTTAGCCATGCTCATTAATTTCAGTGGGTCTGCTCTGAGTAAAAGTTAGCTGAATACAACTCTAGATCCACAGATGGAAGTGCATGATCTCTGCTGGGTAAGAGAATGGTAGCCACATGGGCTGCATTCACAAGTAACACTAGGTCATGAAGTATGGGTTTAGTAAACCATCCTGTGCATGAGTTGTATTCTGGTGCATTTAGCTCCATCACCCCTGCTTTACTTAGCCACTCCCACTTGTATCTTAGTCTAGTTTTTTTCAACCAGTGTGCTGCGGCACCCTGGGGTGTCTTGAATGATGGTCAGGGGTGCTGCAGACAACACTGGCTTCTGTCCCTCTTTCCTTCCTTCCCTCCCTCCTCTGATGCCCTCTCGCGTCTCTGCCTCCCAAAGGCTTGCACAGCTGTTTGTTGCAGCAGCCCTGGCTACAAGCTCCCCACATGAATGGTGCCTCTGGGGCTGGCCAGGGGGTGCTTCCCAGGCCGCTGTGGGACAGTGTGAAGAGGCACCTCTCTTTGGCGCATGGGGTGGCTCAGATACCAGTTGCTTCCCGGAAGACTCCCAAGGAGAGGGGAGAAGAGAGGAGCCTGAAGGAACACTCCACAAGGGAGAGTGTTTGAAAAAGGGCGAGAGGCTGCTGGCTCTGCAAACAAGAGGTGACACAACTGGGCTCCCAAGTCCCACAGAGGTGCCTGCAGAAAGAATGGAGTTGGTCAAAGGAGCCATGGACTCAAAAAGGTTGGAAACATCTATCTTAGTTTCTTAGGCTACACAAAAGTGTAGCAGTAGTAGCTATCACCCTAGGAAAAAATAGTGCAGATTTCTGTCTGGCCCAAGCAGCTGTCCTAACTTAGTCATGGACTTTCCAGGTAGCCTCAGGCAAGTCTCAGAGCTTCAGTTTCCCATTTCTAAAACTGATTGGAATTATCCTTTAGTGGAATTCCCTCTCTCGCTCTCTTTCACACACACACACACACACACACACACAGCTTTGAGCTTCACTTAACCTCAGTGATGCTAACTATTACATAGACTGGTTTATGTCCCTACAGATTTAATGCCCCTGTTTTGCTTTAACACTTCTCCAATATCTTTAGCAAAAAAAGTCTAGCTGAGGAAAAATCACGATGACAAAAATAAGCCCCAAACAACATGCATAATCCCATGTAAAGTTGGTTGTAAAGTAGTTTATATATAATGCTAAGTTTACGCAGCAGTTCAATGCCAAATAAAGCAGCTATTTGGAATATCATGAACATTTAAACTGGTTCTCTCTCCTGTCCCATGCCCCCCGAAACCTTTCATAATTTTTAAAGTGTTTTAAAAGTTGCACAAAGCCAAAAACTGCAAGGTTTCACTCTGTTCAGCGATATATGCAAACATGCTTAAGTCACTTGCAGATTTGACTGGTCTATAGTTAACGTTAAACAGTTCTATTAACAGGGACCTTCAGATATCAAACCATGCTTATCTTTGATACACTGTTCTTGGCCATCTCATCATAAAACATAGGAAAGGGCATTTTCTTAGGCCATATGCTGCAATCCCTGAAACACAGTTTAAGCATCTTTGTTATCATTAAGAAGTATTCAGTCCTCACTTTAGGGACAGGATAAACTGCAAAATAGGATGCCATGATCTGAGCTTAGAAACACCAAAAACACGGACAAATATTTAGAGCCACAGCTGTATTTTCCATTTACAGTAGAAGAGCCACGAGAGAAGGAGCATAAACCATCGTCGGGTTACTATAGCAATATCCCTTCCCCACAGAATTTACCACCACAGTTTAATCCCCGTGGACACTGTGTGTTTCTTAAGTGCCTGAGCACAACAAACATTGGCCCACATTCCCAGCAAAACCATGAACATTTTGAAGGTCAGCAATAAGCAGGGGTTGTTTTCAATTAGAAAGCCTGCTTTGCTGGAAGGCTGCCAGAAAATATATAGCTTAGCATTGGCTTAGTGTATTCAGAACCGGGAAAGAATGTAGGTTTTCCATTTTGACCTGGTAAGCATTCAGCCATGCTTATTTTAGTAGATGGGAAAGGGGGTGGGGAAGAGACTTTATTTTATGGATACTATATAGGCTCAATTACAGAAAAACCTTATGCCAAGTTAGAGGACTTGGCCTATCTATTTTAATTCACAGGCCCATTGGGAAAAAATATATATTGTCCAGATATTTGGGGGTTTCATTTGCCTTTTTTCGACAACAACATGGGGCCCGTTCTTCTTATCGCTGTTTGAAATACTGGGCCAGGGCCAGGCTGCCTTCCCTTGCACCTGTTTTGGACAATTGAGCTATAAAACTGCATCTCCCACTAATTGTTAACAGCTACAGCTGTTCACCTGACAGATAGGAAATCTTGTTTCTACCCTAGTAAACATGGTCGCTTAAGCATTCTTGTTAGTGAGCATGTGATTTATGTTACACCCAAGCACATATATATCATTCTACTCTCAGGAGGTAAGCTCCAGGAATCTGCTGGGTGGGGTGGAGCGGGGAGGAATATGAAGTGTTTGGAGCTTTTATTACATGTAAATATCCATCTGGGAGAATCTTTTTTAATGCCTTGTGGGACAGAACCCCTTCGTCTTAACCTTGGCTACTTTCCAGCATCTATAAGATGAACGGATACGGCTCTTGAGAACAGCATGAGGCCTAAACAGAGTTGGTTTGCCTTGGTGGTGGTTAGCTCCCCCCACCCCCTCTTAGAGGCACTTTTATTCCCCAGCTTCATTTTATTCCTAGATGCAATTTGCTTGACGTTGACATATCTCATTTTGTAACAAACAGAACACAGTTCCCATGGCGCTCCCATTTGCCTCTCTCAGTAAAATGGGCCTCGTGTGAAAAATGAATCCAGACAAGGGACTGGTGATACATGTGCCAGAAACAAACAGCTATTGACGAAATATTTAATTGAAAATCACATACAGATTGGTTCTATTGGTATGAAATCACAGAAGGCTGGCATTTCTCCACGAAGTGTTTTCCTATTATGGCTTTGGTCAGTTTTGTCTCTGAAAATATTAAATTCACCCTTAGCAGTGGCAGAAATCTACTGTCACATTAGGCTACGGTGCAGATGTAACACCCCTAATATCTAATTTTTTTTAAAAAAAATGTAATAAGATCTATATATCACTTAATCAAAATAAACACTACGCAGTTTACATAAAATCACATAAAACGTTGCTAAGAAAATACAAATAAAATCAACAGACTTCATAAGCAGACATAATTTTTTTTTTCAAAAATATAGGTAAAATAAAAAGTTTTAGAAACAATATAACAATCAGATGAAATGTCTGCGTAGGTTTGCCCGAACAGAAACGTTTTTAGCAGATATTGAAAACAGTACAATCATAGAATCATGGAATCCTAGATTTGTATGGTTGGAAGGCACCCCGAGGGTCATCTAGTCTGAACCTCTGCAATGTAGGAATCTCAACTAAAGCACCCATGACAGATGGCCAACCAAACCAAGGTGTACTTTCAAATGTTCAGAGTGCTTCAGATGTAACCCTTACAAGGTAAGTAAGTATTAAGCCTCATTTTGCAGATGGGAAAAGTGAGACTGAAAGAGAATGGCTTGCCTAAGACCACCTAGTAAGTAGAACTAGAAACTTCTGATTTCTATCTCAGTTGCTTAACATCAGGGGCATCATTCTACCATAGGGCCTACTTGAGGCAACTGAAATTACTGAGGCCCACCCACCAGAGGCTCTAAATGGGAAAGGTCGTTTTCTTTTATATCTTCCCCTTCTCACCCACCACATGCCTCTGAAAAATATATATACCCATCTCCTCTAATTTCTTCTCCTTTTCTCCTTTCACAGACCTCCCATCCCTCAGCAATTGGTTGCTTCCTCCATCCCTCCTCCCTGGAACTTTTACAGTCATCTCTTCCTCCTGTAACAACTTCCCTTTCTTCTCCTTGTTCTTCCTATCCCCAGTTCAGATGATGATGATGATGATGATGATAGAAGGAGATCTCCCTGCCCCCACCTCAACCCTGAACGTCTCTGTCTCCCAGCCACTACTAAGCATGCAAAGAGCCGCTGGCATTGATCAAACCCAAAGGCTATGGCACTGTTTGGCAGGCAAGTGAGGTAGCTTTGGACAGGTTGTAGCACTGAGGACCACCTGAAAATGGCCCACTGGATCCACCATGTGAGAAACCCTGTGCTGCGCTGAAGCACCTCTTGATGGTACCCTACAGGCAGAAATGTTTTGACATGGTGGGGAGGGGACAAAGCTCAGTTTAATGTCCTACCTAACTTGCATTCTCAGGAACAAGGTACCACAAGATTTATCTGTGTTTGCAAATCAGCAATTACCGCCCAGTGCTTCTGCGGCATCCGCACACAGCTCTGAGAGGCCAAACCTAAATTACTCAACTTTCTCTCTTCTTTGGGGCTAGGGTTAGGCTTCTGATTAGCTTGGCAATTATATCTGCTCTTTAAACAATGGCCAACGGGGTCTGTAAATCCATGTCATTTTCAAAGAAATCCAAACATTTGGGTTTTGCACACTCAACTTGCGCTACACCAACGGCCTCTTGAGTGGCTGCCTGCTGCTATAAGCTTATGACTTACGAGGCAAAACTAATCCCAAAATGAGAGCAGTTTCTCCTTAGGCAACTACTTCAATGGTTTTACATTTAAAAACATCCAATTAAATTCCTGTTTACCTAACAGTGTGTTTCTTTTTACTGTTATATTAAAAAAAAAAAATCACTCACCACCTCTCCATAAAACCAGGGGTGGGGGGTGGGGTAGGCAGGCAGAATACCATTAAATGCATCACATAGCGAAGAAATGGCAGGTGAAATTAGTAGGAGTTATACAGTAGTGTAAGCCAATGCTGTTGGAACACGTAGAGAGTTTGATTGATTATGGAATGCATACCGTTTATAACCTCGGGACATGCACTGATTGCCCACTCACATTATAGAAAATAATGATGCAGCCATAAAAAACTATGTTTTACCGGGGGTGCGGGGGATGACACAGCTCAAGGTTATTGATCTATTATCTATGTAATAGACGGCTATTCTATTATATGATGTAGCACATAAATTCACTGGGAAACAAAGGTTTTAAGACAGGCAGTACAGCGGGGAAATGGCTGTTTGTAGCATAGCATGTTGCCTTCTTTTGAGCACAGTTCAAGTCATGACAAGCAGCCAAAACTATCCCACATGGAGGCCCAATGCTAGAAACAAAGGAATCCTTTTTAACAAAAAGTCACAGAAAGGTTCATGGATTTTTATTTATTTATTTGTTTATTTAATGTTAGGGCCTCACATTTACAACTGCTTATTATTTTGGAGTTGATAAGTTTAGTTTTGTAGTTATGCTGACCGAAGGTCTCATACAGGATGGACGGTATCAGGTCTAAACTCTCTTATAACTAAATACAAATAAGTACAAAATAAATAACTAGACAGTGCAGTGAGATCATAGCTAGATATCACTTCCGGGTTGGCGCCTCTGGCAATGGTGGATTTCCTCCGATCGGGAGGAATCCGCTCCGTGGAAAACAGGGCCTGAACCGCCATGGCGAGGCGGAGACCCATCAAAAACCACAGGCGGGAGAAGCCTGTGGACGTGGGATTCGGCCGGCACCTTTGCGCCCCCCCCTACTCGCGGGGAAACCCGATTTCGGGGTTCCGGAGCGACGTGGGGTGAGTGGCGCGGTGCCTTGAATCGACTGCTTCTTTCACGGAGTGAAGCCGCATTGCTGCTGCCGGAGAGCGCTGACTTTTTCCTGTGGACAATTGGAGCTTAAATAACTGTCCGTGAGTAGAACGGAAAATTGGAATAAGAAATTTCTTTTAATTTGGCACTGAAGCGGGAAGGTCTAAACAGGAAGTCTGCCTTCCGCTTTTTGTAAATAGATTGAAGCAAAGACACGGCAAGCTAGAGCTTAGAAAATCGTCTGTAAAGGATCAATTTTCATCATTTAAAATTACTGAACCCCCCTTGGAAGCAGGAGAAGAGGGGGGAACTTTTTCTGGACTGATTAAACTTGCAGAAGACAAGTAAAGAAAAGCAATTTTCCACCGTCCTGAACCTGGGAGCGGGGTGTCAGGACAGACGTCTTCGGGAAGTTCATTGACTATAGACAAACGTTTTTGACAGATAGTTAAAAGAAGAGAAACATATTGATTCCATTGTTCCCCTTCGCATCTAAAAGGAACAAAATATTGACAAAATATCTGAAAAAGGAAACTTTGTTGTTAGATTTGCTTTAAAAAAGAGAGAGAGAGAGAGAGAGATGGATACAAATAGAAGCTTTTTCCCCTAGAGGGAGCTTGTGAAACTGTTATTAAATCCGAACTGGGGAGCTTTGCAGCTGCAATAGATTAAGATCGTGGGACCAGACTTTGACCTTCAACAAGAATGTACTCGGAGGCTCTGGTGTTGGCCTTTTGTAAGACAAGTGCTTTATTGGAACAGTTACATGAGAAGATGGATTTGATGACTGTTGGGATCGGAAAGTTTGGACAGGTAGTGGGTACCTATATAGAACCCACTCAGGAATTAATTCAGGAGTGTGCTTTGACAGATCAGATGAGGGAGGAGGTTGTTGCTGGACCTAGTGAGGCAGAGACGGAGGGAACTGTGGCCCAGCAGGAACATGAGTTGTTGGACTTGACGAATGAACCTGGAAAAAGCCAGATTTGGAGAGACAGAGTTCTGTTTGGCTTGGAGATGGGGGGCTGGATAGACCCCCCTATGCAGGGATGTTTTGATCTTTCAAGTCTGGCTTTGGGCCGGGAGGCGTTCGGAGTTGTGCGGGCCCTTAACTTTGGAGGGACTTTGAAACATGCTTTTAAATACCACATGGAGTTCAGTGTTGACTTTGGAAAAGGGGCTGATCTGTCGAGAAGGGACAAAAACATTGTCAAGCTGGAGTCCCCGAGTGAAAGGAGCAGAAGACAAAGTAAAGCACAGGTATAAATATGAAGAAGATCTGCGGATGGGACATGGAAGAGATCCAAGGGCCTCGGATATAAGGTTACCAGGTTGATGGACTAGATGGATGGGATAGAAAGGACTGACAAAACCCGAGACCAGGAGAAAGAGACGTTGGATGAAGATTGGAAGAAAGTTTTAAACAATTTATTTAGGAAAATCTTGTAAAAGTAAAGAGTATTAGAAAAATGTTGGAATGAAATTATTTGGCTTTAGCAGAAATGTTAAAAAGAATTATGTAAGAATATGTCATGGTTAAGAGAATTTGGTATAAATAAGATTTAAGTTTTAAGTTTTAGGGCCTTTTATGGTAAGATAAGGTTAAAATAGATTAAGGTAATTTAATGACAGAATATTATGAAATACGGAAAGGATTTGCTGAGATAATTAACAACTAGAATACAAAAAAGGGAGGTGTGAGGAGGTCGATGAAACAAGGTAATGACAGTTAATGATTTGGGAATATTGGATTTGTTTTTAAATTTTTTGTCTATTTTTGCTTTTTGATTTTGATGTATTATGTGTTTTGTTTTGTTTTTCTCTTTTTGACCTTGTTTTTTTATTGACTCGTATTGTTTAAATGTTACTTGTTTTTTCCTTCTTCTTTTTTTCTTTGTTTCTTTGTAATCTTAAAATTCTCAATAAATATTATTAAAAAAAAAAAAAAAGATCATAGCTAGATATCACCCTTCACCTACCTGGGTGACAACACTTACCTGGGTGACAATAGCACCATCATTCTAAACTGACTCAAAGCAAAGACTCCATCAACCTAATTCCTCCCACAACCTGGTGTGAAGGCATGGGGCTTTCAGTGACAACCTGGATAAGGGAAAGTGGTGGGAGCTCCCCACCCAAGAGCCCCCCAAGGGAGGCCACAGAAGAAGACTTAGATCCCAGATCCTGGTGGTGGGACACTGAAGAGCAGCCTGCAGATGGGATGAGCTGGGAGGTGCTAGAAGCAGGGGGGTTGAGCGTTCAAGAGGAGCCAGAAGGAGGGCCTTTCAGGACAGGGTCAGAGGCTTAGAGTCACAGTGTGAGTGCAGACTCAGTCAGAGAGGAGTCAGAGATTGCCCCTGCTACACAGCAGCAAGACAGTCCCAGTCCTGCTGGCGCGTCTCTCCCTCTGACACCCCGCTCGAGAAGAGTCCTGCACATTGCTGAGCAATGGGCCAGACAGGCCCAGAGGAGGAGTTCACCCCCTTGACACAGCCTTCGTCTGCTTGGGAGGAATCCAGAGGGAAAGTCTAGAGAGGGAAAGACGGAGCTAGTGGTTAGTTTCAGCAACATCTCAGCTGGAATAAGGCAAATCAGAGGACTCTGCTGTGTTGTTATTTTCCGTTAATAAAAAGCTAATTGCATGCCGTGCCTCCCATGCATATGCCTGCCCTGTGGTTGACCTGGCTTGCTTGACAGCTCCTTTACACAGCAACCTTGCTGAAGGAAAACACAGTCTAAGCCTGATGGGTGTCTAGCAGGCTGCCTAGAACCTCCTAAACTCTAACATAGAAGAAATATACATAACCCAGGGATAGGGAACCTTTTCCATGCCAAAGGTCACATTTACTTTTGGACAACGTACTGAAGGAAAAAGTAGAAAGAACAAGAAATATGAAATATACATTAGTACAGTAGGCTCGTTCCTATCCACATTCACACAGCCTTCTATATCCTCCATCCATCCAAGCAAGCAAAAAACAAAAACACTCAGGAAGGATGGGAAGCAGAATGAACCGAGGGATGTGAGCTAGGAGAGTGGATGTGACCTGGGAAGAGTCCCGGGGCCCAGAGAGAGGCCTACAGGACCACTTCCAGGCCTGATATTCCCCACCCCTGACATAATAAACCAACAAATCTGGCTGACAACCTCAGAACCACAGTTGTTTCCGTTTCCACCTAGCCTTTCGGTTCCTTAAATATTGAAAGAGGAAGATGGTTCTCAATCCAACTGACCAATATGAAGCAGAGCCAAACTTAAACCAAACAAGAACTTCAGGGCTTACTTGTAGATTTTCAAAATGGCAGAAATGTGATAGTTAGAACAGACAATAATGCACATCGGTCCACTCCACCTGTATACTAATTGCATGTATGTGGCTCTTTTGAAAATGTGAAGTCCCGTGAACTAACCTAAAATGGAGAGTTAGGTTACTATAATCCCACTTTCCCTACTAACACACACAGGGTTTGAACGTCTGCATAGGATTTGCAATTTTTGCAGGTCCAGATATAGTTAGTTTGTATTCATTTGCAAACACTTCCAGAAAATGGTATATTTACACAAAAGAAGCAACTGAAAAGGAAACCCTAACCATTAAAAAAACACAGCTTAACTTGTAATTATCTCAAAAATCCTTTGGGGGACTGGTCGTGAAATCATGCAAGTAAATTTTTCCTGTTTGGGGATGTGACTCCCTCCAACACAAACTACTTTTTAGAAGTTATCAAGGAAGTCAGATCTTTGAAAAACAAGCCATGTAAGGAATAAACCGACACTCTCTCTTTCCATCTTCCTTGATGCGTGTTTTGTTTAGAAATCACTGCAGCATCAATTTTGGTACTCACTGCTAATACCTCCCACTTCCACAGCTATTAAGTGCAAATGAAAGGAGATGTTTGCCTCCTTCTCCTACTCTTACCCACTTAAAATTAGATACACATCGTTTCCATAACAAGATGAAAACAACATTTACAGGAGACAAAAATGTAACTTTAAAAACTCAATCTGATTTTTGTTAATTTAATGGCCAGCTGTTCTCTTTGCTGTAGTGCAGAAGCTTGTGAACATTTATGGTTAACCAGTTTCACTCTATTTGTCACTTATATTTCCATAACCTTATTAATACACATTCTAATGGAACAATGGTATTTAATATAAGTGCTTCATAGAAGATATACATACCTACAGCCATTAGTGCTGTATGTGGTGGGGCAGGGCAGCCCTCGTAATCGGTGTGGTTTCACAATGGTTATCTCTCTCCACTAAAGAGCTTTATTTTATCTAAAGAGTCTGACAGCCTTTCAGTGTACATCAAAATTGACAACATCCAACCCTGAGGAGGGCAAACTTGGACTGTCACAACATTAAACAAAACAACTTTGGTAGTGGCCATTTCATTCAAGTATAACCTGTTTTCGGGAATGTATAGCTGTCTAAAATTTATCTAATTTGATCTTTAACAACATAGGTCATACACTCGGACACAAAAATTTGGTTTTCTTTAGGAGGCTTGTAAGACAGCAACTTCTTGAAAAGAGAGGCTCGAGAAGCAAGGAAGCAACTTTTGTTATGTTAGGTGACATGAGGCCACTCTCTAGCGGTCAAAGTCAGCTTAATACTGAAGCCAATTAATCTCAGTCTGAAATTTAGCAGCCTGCTAATCTTAGTGAGCAGGTTTACTCATAAAAGCCTACAGACCATTACATTCAAGTCTTCTCTACTTGTACCAGGAGTACCACTGAACTTCACAATCCATCCAAAGTAGCCATGTTGGTCCTAGAGAAAGAGAGATAAAAGCGAGGCACCATCTTCATGGCGTCAACCAGCATTCAAAATGTTGAATGCAGCAAAGAAATCTTAACTTCAGAAACATCAAACTGAGTATTCCTTTCCTATAATCTCATATTGTCATTTTCTCTCACACACCACATAATTTATTGCTCGTGAGGTGGTACAGCATGTTGGTTAAGAGACTGAGCTATGTATAAAGAGGCACAAGTTGAATTCTCATCTCTGCTATGTTCTCATCAATGAAAGCCTCTCTCCCCCCCCCCTTCAGTTCTCCCCACCTTCTACAATATGGGGAATAATTATACTGGTTTACTTTACACTGATAGAGTAACCAACATGGTACCCTCCTCCTGACATTGTTGGACTCCCATCAGTCCTAGTGAGGATGGCCAATAGTCATGAGAAAAGGCACCACATTGGCTCTCCCTGCTCTAGCATGTTACAAGGATTAGGTAATATACACAGAGTGCTGCTTTGAACACTTGTAAGAGTGATACAAGGGACGCGGGTGGCGCTGTGGTCTACACCACAGAGCCTAGGGCTTGCTGATCAGAACTGCCCACCTAGCAGTTCGAAAGCACATCAAAGTGCAAGAAGATAAATAGGTACCACTCCGGTACAGGAAGGTAAATGGCGTTTCTGTGCACTGCTCTGGTTCGCCAGAAGCAGCTTAGTCATGCTGGCTACATGACCCGGAAGCTGTACGCCAGCCAGTAAAGCAAGATGAGTGCCACAACCCCAGAGTTGTCTGCGACTGGACCTAACGGTCAGGGGTCCCTTTACCCATTACCTTTAAGAGTGGTACAATATTATTATTATTATTGTTATTATTATTGAATGTAATTATGAACCAAAGTCCGCTTTTCACTTCCTACGGAATGACAATCACAGCCAGAATGAAGCCTCTTAATTTTAAAAAAGGGGAGTACCATATTTTTCCATCTATAAGATGCCCCCATGTATAAGACACCCCCTATTTTGGGGGACTCAGATTTAAGAAAATGGGGAAAGATGGCCCAGAGTATAAGACGCCCCCTAATTTTTGACATTATTTTTTAGGAAAAAAACCTAGTCTTATACACGGAAAAATGCCATATTGCAGAAAACTTTCTTACACTATTTTATTGTAATTCATGAATTATTATTATTATTATTATTATTATTATTATATACCCTAAGGTGGAAGGACAAAAATAGTCCCGCAAAAATAGACTGGCAGAATAAGCTAACAGATTACGTGGAGCTAGCAATGTTGACTGGAAAGATAAGAAATCAAGATGTCGGATATAAAAGAAGAGTGGGAATACTTCGGCGAATATTTAAAGAAATATAACAATCAGATAAACTTCCAAGTGGGGTTAGATATATGATCAGTAGTTAAAATAAGCAGAAGAATTGTGGTAATTAAGGAGATGCAGCTTAACAAGGACTAAATAAAACCCGACAGAGGGATGTGTGTGGAAGTCAAAGAGTGTAAGATAAATGACAATTGTATAACTGATGTACTAAAATATAATGCATTTTAAAATGTAATTCATGAATTTATATATTACCTTTCACAAAAAATACACAAGGCGGCTTTCACAACATCAACACTATACAAAATAGAATAGAAATGAAACGTACAGTTTACAAAATCCCCAGCCAAAAGCTCATACAAACAGCTGACCAACATCACAGCCCTTAATAAAGCCAAGGGTAATTTTCACTCATTAGGAAGGGAAACAGGGATCCAAACCAAATACAAAACAATCCCTTTTTCACAGCATGTAAAACAGTCCATTCTTGTTGATTTTAGAAAGCTGTGCTATAACTACAATGTTGAGCTTTAATGTTCCATGAGATTATCTAAGAGATAACTGGGCCAATTGTTTTTAAAAGACTGTCTCATTTGACATCCATTTAGAGTCACAAATGAATTAGAGGCATTGCAGGACATAAAAACAGGACTCTGAACAGATTTCTGTGAAAAATCTGTATTGGGAGATATTTACATTACTTACGTTATTTACAAATATATTAACTTTGGCAGCAGGAAGCGGAGATCTGCCCCACACTCACATGCAAAAAATGCCGGTGGCGAATATTAACATTAGATATAAAGATCTTCTTTTTATTAGCTGACATTGCTGTCCCCATCCTGCTTATAACCTCCAACCTAAGAAATTTTGATACACAAAAATGAGGACTCTGTTTAAATGGCAGCAATGAAGATAATGGAAAGTAATTTGAGATCAGGGTGGGAGGTAGCCATAGCGCAAAATCTAAACATTAATTCTGCCCCTTTTTACAGCCACCCCCAAACTAGCCTCTTTAAGCAAGGGCCTATCTGTTAAACCAAGGGTGGAGAATGCGTAGCCCTCCAAATTTTGTTGGACTCCAGCTCCCAGTCCCAGTCAGCATGGCCAACAGTCATGGACAATGGGAGCTGTAGTCCAGCAACACCCGGTGTGTCACAGGTTCCCCACCCTTGCATTACACAGCATTGTTAGGACAGTACAATGAACTGATAAAGTCATAAAGTAAACCCAGAGTGCTTTGAAACCTATTCACTATTCCCTCACAGCTTCGGCTCAAAATGATATCAGGAGCAGGTCTTAAGCTCATGCATGCTCTTTCCCAGATCTGCCATGCTGTTCAAACACTAAGTTTGGATCAAAAGGCTAGGGACATTCTGTGTTCACTTGGCTGTGTTCCATTCATTCATTCATTCATTCATTATTAAATTTCTATACTGCCCTTCAGCCAAGATCACAGGGCGGTTTACAATTTAAAATCACAGTTTCACAGAATTGTAGAGTTGGGAGGGACCATGAGGATCATCTAGTCCAAACCCCTGTAATGCAGGAATCTTTCTTTTTGCATAATGTGGGGCTTGAACCCACAACCCTCATGCTCTACCAACTGAGCTATCCCAAGTGAACCCAAAAATATGTATCATAGTAGCAAACAGAAACAACCCAAACACCTACCCCCCAACACAGTTATTATTTATTGGCAGTTCAAGCACGGCCAAGGAGGAAGGGGAGCAGTGCCCACAAATCTGACACGTGTTTCTGATGGCATCACTTAAGAGATGTTTTCTGGGAAGCTGAGCAAGGAATTAATTTAATCTGAATGTCACATAATAATAATATTCCCCAGGAATTGTTGCCCTGCAGTGGTCTTTTGTCAAACTGGTGCCTCCCAGATGTTGTGGCCTACAATCCTCACCAGCTACCTTAGAAACACACAAGAAAGAGTAGCATCAAATTATTGTTCTCTCTCAACCTCATTTCTCCCCCAACCAGGAGCATGGGAGAGAGAAACAGTATGGAGGAAACGTAACAAAAAAGTTTTGTGGCACCTCAAAGTTATTTGGCACGAGTTTTCATCCTTGCCCTGTTGCACTTTTCCAGTGAGTAATGTCTTTTGGCTGCAGATTGGACATCCTAGTAAATTCAGGACAGTACTCCAGCTTTGGAGGGGATGAATTAGTGTTATGAGTTTTATTCTCTCTTCTCTTTTGGCCTATAAATCATCATCATCAAACTAGAAAGGGGCCACCATCACAAAATGAACTCATTCGTACAAGCCACAGTGATAGCCACCATCTTGAATGGCTTTAAAAGAGGATTAAACAACATGCAGGATAAGGCCACAATGTTCTACTTCCATCAGTAGCACACTAACTCAGGGGCGAGAGAACCGCAAGCAGAGAGAATGTTATTGAACTCAGAACCTGCCTCCAAGCTTCCCATGGGCATCTGGTTGGCACTGTGAGGACAGGATCCTGTTCTGCTCCAATAGGGTTCTCACTAACACTAACTCTGGTCAAGAGTCCTAGCTTATACCTTCCAGAAAACTTTTAACAAAAAGTGAATGCAGAGGTCATGTTTTCTGGCCAACTCACTCATCATATATGCTCATGTGCAGTGGGACACATCTCGGCAGAAATAAACTTACTCCTGGCAGGCAGACACTGTACGATCTGCAAACTTTCAAAAATGGACAAAAAGAAGAAACAGGGGAGGCCTGTTATGCCTTTGCTACATACTATAAGATTTTAACAACACCATTAAACGGTGCAGCACTCAGAAACATTTCATTAGAATTCTTTTCTTCTAAATCATACCAATAAAATCAAGGTTGATCTGGTGTTCATGTGTTGACTTACTCGCATGCCTCTTGCTGCAGATGTACAGTTTTGATCTTGGAAACATAAGGCATGGATGGAAATGGAAATCATCAAGAAGACAGCATATTGCAGATGTTGAGATATATTGGCTACATTGGTTTGGACTTGAGAGATGTAGGTCCAGATTCCTATTTAAGCCACAGGACTTAGTGAGTAACCTTTGACAAACCATGGCCTCTCAACCTAGCCTGCATGACAGGGTTACAGTGTGAACACAAAGCTAGATTGTAATGGAGCCATGTCCTTGGAATAAGAAAGACTAAATGTAATAAACACTGCTACTGCAAAGGCCAGAACATTTATTATATCAATACTTTGAAAAATGGCTTATGATATGGTCTTGTTTTGATTTCTGTACTGGCTCGCAGCTAAGAGATAACGCTAATAGTTTGCTGGTACCATTTTTCTCGTCATACAGCAGCCTCTCTTTCCAGTACTTCTGAATCCTCTACATTGACAAAGGAAAATGTAGCAGGAGCTACAGAAAAAGATGGGAGGAGAACATACTCATTTAACCAGTTACATAACACATCATGTCTAAGCATTTTTAAGAGAACATAGGTAAAACAGCAAGATGGCTACCTTTTTCTTTGTTTTTGCCAAAATAATAAAAATTGTAAAGCCCTTCTAAAAATCTGCAAGGTAACTGGATTGAGAAGAGATCGGATATCAGTGGTTAAAGAACTTAAGAGATGGCAGAGAGGACAATAACGATGAAGGCCCCCGCTATGACCCTCTTGTGCCTAACTCAAAACCATGTGTCCCTCAACAGAAAGGGTTAACACAGCTCCTGTCACTCTCAGACCTCCCTACCCCCAAGTGTACCTATTTTCCAGGGACAGTCCTGGATTTACAGAAGCTGTCCCAGTTTCTGATCTGATTCCGGAATGTCTGGCTTTTCCTTGGGACGTCCCTACTTACATAAGAGAAATTATGAAGGATGTGCACTTTGTGAGAATCTGAGACTGATCCTGAGAACAGGGCCTGTCCTTTATTTTATGTGAAGGCGCTCATTAAAAAAAATTATCTGAAAATATTTTATTATTATTATTTTATGACAGCCCAGTCCAAAGTGGCTTGCTAATAGAACCTGCTCTGAAGCAGGAGCAAAGCAACAGGAAGTCAGAAGGTAGAACATCTGGCAGAACAGAGATAAAAGCCAGGCACAAGTCAAAACGAGCTGAAAGCTGATGTTCTAACGAAGTGAAGGCTTCCAAGTGCTTGAGGGGAGATCTGATGTGTTATCAGAGAGACAAGCTGACCCTTGTCCTGAGTGGGCCAGCAGACTCTCATTCTCTCCCCCAACTGGACTTGTGAGCATAAACCTGGACTCAGAAACGCTTGATACTCACTAGAGACTAAAGACTGACACTGCTTGGCATGTCCTTCCCCCATTAGACAGGTTTATGCCAAATTACGACTCTTCTAGGGTCTGATAAGTACTATGCCAAATTCATTTCCCTGAAAGTGCCAGGGTGAAAATCTGAGGTTCCCAGAGGGAGGGTCAGTTCAGTGGTGGCCACAAGCCATGAGAACAATATGGCTGAGAACATTATTTCAAAGAGGAAAATTGTTGGTAGTAATCCAAAAACAGCAACTGGCATGAGGCAGCATCCAATCAAATCACCACTACCACAAAACACAGGCTTTTTTTTAATTAAAAAAAAAAGATGAATTTTCAAAGACCATAAGGGAAGCCCCAAAACAATTAAATGCTGCTTTAAAATGCATTAGCACCCAAACACAAACCTTCAAACAAACTACCTCCAACATGGTTCTTCAAAGCCAAATTAAATGAGATAACTGCAGCCCCAGGATGAACTGTTTGGGAAATTTTCCACTAATAAATACTCAGATGTCCTAACACTGACATTTATTCAGAAGCAGATGGATGGCCCAGACAACTAAGTCCTCATCAGAATCCTTAATATGAAGCTTAAGCTGGGCTCGGGGCGGGGGGTGCGTTTGTAAATCAAAGGCACTGGGACACATTTCAACTTTGTTATCTGCCAGGCAAGTTACACAGATCTGGACAGTTCACTTGGAACACATGCATCCATTAATACAAATACATATCATATTATGGCATTTATGACCTCCAGACTGGGTTCGCTTCTCTCTTTTGCCTATTAAAACAGAAGACCAGGGTCAACTGTAAACAGAGCTTCATAAAAATGACAGTGCATGCAATACATGAGAATGTGGTAATTGCCTTCCTGGAGCATCCCAAGGTTTATCTGGTCCACCACTCTCCTTATAATGCAGCCGCAAACTTTGCACTTGCTCACATTGCCACACACAGTAGAAGGTCAGTTATGATTCTGCAAAATCAGTCTCTGGACATTTGTGAATGCAGTCACAAAATGCATTTTGGGGAAGCTTTCAACCTACCCTAAGTGCTTTCTTTCTACATTATGCTTTTGTTACCCTTATAGGTCTAGTTTGCACAACACAGTAAGCTACTCTATGGAGCTTGCAATCACTGTACTGAACTCAGTGCTCCCACGCCAAGTGCACTGAGTTCAACGGAGCTCACTCGCAATCACTGTACTCCTCCCTGGTCATTTTTGCTCCCAAGCCAAGTGCACTGAGTTCAACGGAGCTCACTCCCAGTCAAGTGTGTATGGCAGCACTAGGGGAACCTCTGGTCCACATACCTTCCAACATTTCTCAGATGAAAATTGGGACATCCTAAGGAAAAGTGGGACATTCCAGGATCAAAGGAGAAACCAGAATGGTTTCTGTAAATCCAGGACTATCCCTAGAAAATAGGGACTCTTGGAGGGTCTGCAATTGCCACCTGAACCCAGGCTCATGCTTAAGTTCTCTCCTTGCTAAACCAAAGTGTGTTCCACTGCTGAGCCCCTTCCATCGTGGCAACAATATTTCCTCTGTTTATCATTTACATCAACATTATGAATGGGCAAGGCTAAGTGGCCTGGAAGGAGTTTTCAACAAACCTCACCAATGCTATTTGTATATTGCTAAGAATTGGAGATGGGAGCTTTTGCTTTTCACTTGTTAAAATATTTTTTTCCAGCCATGAACCCTTGACTGAATATTACATCAAAATGGGATATTCCGCTTAGAAAGTGATCAACAAACAGCATGGGGGATAAATGCTTAAGAGACCAGCATGGTGACAGTACATACGCAAGTAACTGACAGCTTGTAAAACACTGGCTACCGCACAGGGGAATACACACACCTATCAAACAGCTGGACTGTCTGCAGGAGGAATGAAGTTACACATGAAGTAGTGTAAAAAATATAGCCCCAAGTGTGTTGGCTAGAAATGAAGCATCTGCTGTTGGAAAAACAATTGCTGTCCTGATGTGCTCATTAAAAAATGCTATTGAACTCCCACAGTCCTTGCATATGATAAACTTTTCCACTGGAATATATTTGCCTATGCCAACATTGTTGTTGTCACTGCTCAAGGTTTTGATTATACGGCAAGTATAAAAGGCATCAAGCGCACAGACACCAGCTGTTCTTTTAAAAAAAGAAATCTTTTGTAAATATCAGAAACTGAAAGCCTGCTTCATTTGTGGATTTAGAACCTAATTTTATCATTAACATTATTGGCTAGAATTTTTTTGTTAACATTATTGGCCAGAAATACTGGCTGTTTTTCTTGTACTGATTCTTTTAAGAAGTATAGGCCTTTAGCAAGGAATACATTTATTCATTCTGGATAAGGGCTCTGCACTCCTGCATGAAATGAAATTATTATTACTATTTTATTTCAGTCCTATATCCACTTGCCTGGGAGGAAGTCCATCTCGCTTAATTGGTCTTGCTTTTGTGCAAAGATGCGCACTGTAGCCTCCCAAAATGAAGCCAATCCCTTGCTTGCATTTGATGCCAAATTTAAAACAGGCCAAATGTAAAGCCCATTTGCCAAGGAATAATGAGATGCATCCTTTAAGACTCCCAAATGTTCCTTTGCAGCTGCATCTTTGCATGTCCCACACCTGATGTCATGGGTGTGGCTTGGGGAAAACAACCGCTGCTGATTCCTAAACAATAATAGGATAACTGTCTGCCAGGTCTAATTTTTCCTGTGGGACAGAGGTTCCTGGTGCTTGATGGGTTGCTTTGTAAGTTACATAGGATAAATTGCATTGCAACTTCTGTATTATAAATAGGCACTTTATAAATATGGTGCTATATTCCAGAGTTCTGTTATACTCTATGGAAGGGGTGGGGAACCTCAGGCCCGGGGACCAAAGGCAGCCCTTCGGGACACACACCTCCCCCTGAGTTCATATCCCTTACCAGCCCTGCTTTGCAGCCTCCCTGAGAGTTCTTGCCTGGTTGGAATAGGTCCTTGAACTCTGATAATGCCTCTTGCTTGCATGGATGGAAGATAGAGATAAAAACATGTAATGATGGAGCCTGGCGAGTCTCTCTGGCGAGAGCATTCCACAGTTGGGGAGACAATCCAGCATTCCACAATTGCACCAGTGGAGCTAATCCAGCCTCCTGCCTATGTGTCTGCAGTGTGCTGACCTCACCATCTGGCCCCTCTATCTTCCAGGAAGCAAGTGTTGCAGCTTCACGTTACCTGGAAAAAGCTGCAGTACAGAACAGTACAAGAAGAAGCAGTCCTTGAAATGCCCAGGTTCCAAATTGTTTTAAGGTTTTGTAAGTTATCGCTAGCATCTTGAGCATAGCTCAGAAGCAGATTGTCACCCCCCCCCCCCGCTGCCCTTTCATAGGCAGGTAAAAAACTTTTCTATTTCAGCTGACATTTGAAAACCGACTATTTTTGCCATGCCCTATATTGATTTTCACTGTGCTGCTTTCCTGTCATTTGTGGGGGAGCTTTTGGAGTTTGATTTTGATGGTAAGATTTTACTGGTGCCTATTTTTGTTTTTAACCTTGATTCCCCCTTCCTCCAAAAAAAAAAAAAATCATAGAGATATGCTGCAATAAATGAATAAAAATGCATGCTCTCTTATTTTTGCTAGTTAACAACAAACCATGATTTTTTATCGGAATAACATAATGAAGAACACATTATTTGCACCTGAGCATTTTGCATCTTCAAGTGTATCACTTAGCAGAACTATCAAGGAGAGCAATTACATAGTACAAAGGCTTGTAGCATTTCACAACTCATTTCCTCTCTGGAAATCTCCTCTTGCTTGAGTTTCAGCAGCACTCAAGGAAACCTCAGCAAAAATTTCTTTTTGGCACAAAGTCATACTTCACACAGTATAGGAAGTGGAACAGAAGAACAGCAGCAAAGTAGAAAAGGAAAACCTAAGGATGCGATGCAGAACATCTTTTTTGGCTTGGTGCTCTGGATAGCTTAATAATACACACTGAATACCTAGTTCTACAGAATTCCAAATCCTGAACATACCCCACTGTAGATGTTCTACTGCCCTGTAGTATCATGCTTTTGAGAATTCATCTAGCACAATGTAGTGTCAGATTTAACGAAATGCCCAATTTCCATGTTTACTCAGTGAGCATTCTTATTCATCCTCTGCTGCATCAAAGCCACAGGGGACCAAATCTGCAGGCAAGCTCTGAAAAAACAGAGGAATTTGTCAAGAGCCATTTGGCCAGAATATACCACTAGCAAACCAGAGCGTTACAAAAGCCAAACAAGACATAACTTGCACAATTCTGACACACAGAAACAATACCAACAACCTCAAATTGGGGGGGGGGGGAAATCTTTAATACACGCTTTAAAAGAGGCCAGTGAAAGAACCATATGAACAGGCAAGCAATATCAGAAAACCATGGGGACTCAGACTTAAGAATCTTCAAATACAGAGGTCTAGCTTCCAAGGAAAACAAACACTTCTCTATATCATTTCTAAACCTCTTTTCCAACTTCTGAGGATACTTAAGGCAGGTGATTACAGATATTAGAAGTTAAAATAATCTTGGTGATGTGGGCAGATTAGCTATAAATGCTGGATTCAATAGCCTGCAGGTTCCTTAGAGTCTGATGGTTATTGTCTTTTATGGATCTGCTTCAAGATACAGGTATAAGATACAGCCAATATGGTGCCCTTCAGATGTTGCTGGACTGCAACTCCCATGAGCACCAATTAGCAGGCCCAATGGTCACTGTAGTCAAACAACGTTTGGAGGGCATCTTGTTCATTAACTCTGGAGCATGTCTATTGCTGCATTTGATAACCCGATGTACCAAAACTGGTAAAATTTGACCCATTCATTTTATCACCTTTCAACCTCTCTGCGTGTGCTGATTTCTTATATTAAAAATATACCTCTATCTTTACAGCACCCTGCAAAACATTACTATTTCCTAAATAGTAAAGGGGAGATATTGTTTTTGATTGTTACCTTGTTATGTATTTTTATATTGCAAACTGTCCTATGATCCTTGGATAAAGGGTGGCATGGAAATTTAATAAATAAAAATAATAAAACAAACAAACCTCAAGTCTTTACAAGTTGTTCAAATTAAGTAAGCCATGTAAGATCAGTCACATGCTATTTCTCCCCTCAGGAAAGGAAACAAGTTTGTATCTTTTACTTTCCAATGGAATCTGACTAAATATAATGAAGGAAACAGTGACATAAATTGTTGAGCTTTATTGAACCTGGAAGATGCTCAGCAAGGGGGAGAGAGAGAGAACAAGTGGGTGAACATTTCCTTATCCTCATCCAGTTCCCATGATACAATTAACAATGCTGTTCAAGGGGTTTCTACTATCTTAACTTCTAATTTATTTTGCAAATCCACTCTAGGAAGCCCATGAGGATTTTCCTTCCAGAAAAGCAAATCTAAAAAAAAAGACATCACAGCCGTAAATGGGATGTTTATTTTTATTGTCCATTTCCATGCCAATCGTCACCATGGTGTTGCACGACTTTAGAACTGAGATGCGACACAGTTTCCTTATCAGGACGAAATAACAGAATTGATGAAAGAGGGAAAACAGATTTCAAAAAGGGAAAGCATTACTATCCGTTGTTAAAAGAACTCTGCTATAACAGATATGATTATCTTTCATACACAGACAATTTTAAAAAGAAACAAACCTTATTAGTGTTAGAAGTAAGGAGGACACTATCCCACCGGTTTGGGGGAAACCCACTCTTCAGTATTATTCAGTAACACATAGTAATACTGTTACTATTTAATAATAGTAATACTGTTACTATACAGTATTATCTAATAAGACATGAAGGCTGTTTGGTACCAATCATAATTTGGGGAAATGATGCAACAAGGATGTAAGAACACAAGAGCCTGCTGCATCTGGCGAATGGCTCATCTACTCCAGCATCCTGTTCTCACAGTGGCCAACTAGATATCTGTGGGAAACCCTCAAGCAGACCCCAGCACAAGAGCAATCTCCCCTCCTGTGGTTTCCAGCAACTGGTATTCAGAAGCATTGCTTTCTCTGGCGGTGGAAATAGTGCAGAGCCAGCATGACTGGCAGCACTTAGGGAAACATCAGGAAAACTGGATAAACTGCTGCGTGAATGCAGCCAAAGTCTTAAAGGATGCCACTCTTCAAAGGGGCTCAAAATGGCATACAAGCATGGATTTCCCTTCCCCCTTATCCTCGTAAGAACCACCTTGTAAGGCTATGTTCAAGGTACTGGTGACCTTTGTAAATGAGCTGGGAAACTGAGGACCAAAAACTGTACCAGTTAAATGATTACTCCTCCCCGGCAGCCGAGGTCCACAACCTCCAAGATTGTTTTAGAGAGGGCAAATATTGCAAATACTTTTGGGATGTCTCATGGGAAGCAATTCATAAAAATAATGCTCAAGATATATCCAAGAGGTGAACTTCGTTCCCCCTCCCCAACAACCACTAATTTATTTGTGCTGATGAAATGCAACTTCTGTTTTCCAAAATCATCGAGTAAGATCCTGTCTGAGCCAACTAAATCATTTGTTGATGCAATGGCAAGCAGAAAATAATAATTAAGGCTGGAACCCTAGATATGTCTACTCAGAAGTAATCTCCACTGTGTTCAATGGGCTTACATAATGGGACTGCAGCCTAAAAGAACTTTAGTTCAAATCTCACTTTGGTTATGAACTCAGCTAGTAGCATTGGATAAGCCACCAACTTCTCTGAAGTAAGGGATAGCAATGCTGGCTAACGTTTCAAAGTTGCCATAAGGATAACTGAGATGATGTGTGTAAAGTCCTTTGAGCACTTAAAAATGCTAAGTATTGCTATTAACCATCAATATCCTGCACATCACCTTCAGACACATTTGGCCTACTTTTAAATATTTATCTGTCACCAAATAAGACCATTACAACATCCAGGCATCACGTCGTGTTAACGAATCAAAATAAGCACTGGCTGGATGCCTTCGTTGAAGTTAAACCCTGGAGAAAGTCCCAGAAGGTTTAAACACATTTTTGAAAGAGTATTATTTTCCATGCAATTGATGAAAAAACAAGAGAGAGAAGAGGCCAGCTTGTAATGCACTTTATTGGTCAGACATGTCTTTCCCTGCAGTTGGTCACCATTTCCACAATGAGAACATCTCATATTTAAACGAGACATCCATCCACTGTCCACTGTCTCCCCACTACATCATCTTGGACATCTTGGACACTTCCCCGCTGGACTCTATACTTTTGTGCCAGAACAAAAATCACTTGTGGGCTTCAGAAACAGTTTCAAAACACCATGGATTAGAAATCATATGAACTTACTGCTGGTATGTATTTGAGCCCGCATGCATTTTCATAGTTTTGCTCTAAAACCAAGGTATAGTGTCATGTGTGCAAGCAGGAAAGAGCCTGACCAAAGCCACAGGGCTCTCCCCTGCCTTCGCCCTGTTCCTCCTGTCCAGCTTGGAGAAGGACTTTACTAGCATTTACTTTCAGAGATTCCTGGCTTAACCTTGCATATGAATCAGACATCAGTTTAATGCAAAATCTGCTTACTTGAACAAGTCAGCTTCATGGGCCCAGTTTGCATATGCCATGGTTTATAAACCATGATGTAATTTGATTGTCAAAACCTGGCCCAGCATCTTAACCATGGTTTATTAACCACAAAATCCACACTCAAGAGCCATGGTTTGTTGGTTTATATACCTTGGCTTCCATTAACCTTGCCTTGGTGCTACATGAAATCAGGCCATGGTTGGGAAGTTGATTGCTTTGCAACTGACCAGTGTTTGTTTTAAAGGACACTCTCTGGTTTGCACAGCATAACAAGCCATGATTAATGAAACCTGAAACTAAACACTAGCAAAGTTCTTCAGGCAGCACAGGAAGGGAGGCAGAAGCTCTCAAGCCTGGTGCTTCACTCAGGCTCCTTCCTGTTTGTGCAGATAGCACTAGATCTTGGTTTAGCATTATGTGCAAATGTGGCCAACACAAAGCCAACAAAAAGATGAAAATGTATCAGGACAGCGAAGATTAAAAACTCAAAACCAATTACTTTAAAAACATGAGCAGTTTGGCTGATCTAACACCCATCTAAGGAGAAATGCCTTGGCCTTCCGGTGGCTCACAATCAGGGAGAGGTCAAGGCAGGCGTTTCTCGGAAGGGAGTTCCCAAGCCTAGGCATTACTACAGAGAAAGGTCTCTCTTGTGTCCCAGGCAAACACAACTCAGATGTTGAATGGGATGTGAAGGGGAGTTGCTCCAACAAATCTTAATGAACAGCAAGCACACATGGGTGGAAATGGACCATTCTAAGTACAAAAAAGCAGTTCTGCTGGATCAGACCAAACATCTATATCATTCTATATCACATTTCCCATGGAAGCCACTAACTGCCCACAGGCAGAATACGAACACACCCATTCTGTTAAAATGTGCAGTTTTGCTTGTAGTAGTAGACCATAACAAGGTTCCAAATATTATTTCTTGCAAATGCAGTCACGCCAGGGAACATTTACATTGGTATTGAACTAAATGCCTCCCGGCGATTAAAAAAAATGCAACCTGCAATTAAATCCAAGTGCTTGCAACATCTGGAAGCCCAAATTGACGCTGAGGCCACTTACCTGCAGAGGCTAAACACCCAATCATCAAAGCAAACACTGGAATCATACAACTTGAAGTCATTCTTGCCACACCAGGGGTCTTCGGATCAACTTTCTTTGTAGTTCTTTGTGCCTGGTGGGCACCCTTCTGGGAAAATGTTACAACTATAGGTGCTTTGATAGAGAGTCTTCAGTTACCTGCAAAGAAAAGTTAAAAAATAATACTTGTAAAAGCATGTCTTACAGAGAAATGACTTTCTACACAATGCTATACACAGAGAAACCCAGCACCCTTTAAAAAAGAAAAAGAAAGAAAGCCTTTATACTGAGGAACAATGAAAGAAAAAATAGTTATATTGCAGTCACAGGTTTAATTCTCTCCCAGTGTAACCCAAAACCCATCACTCATTTTGCATTCCACTCACTCATTCACTCACTCTATTTGGCTCCAAGCCAGAGCCTCCAATGCAAAATCCCAAGAACCCCCCCCCTTTTAATTTTTACAAGCACATCTTTCTGGACCTCACTGTTGCGACAGAATACCGTATTTTTTGCTCTATAAGACTCACTTTTTTCCCTCCTAAAAAGTAAGGAGAAATGTGTGTGCGTCTTATGGAGCGAATGCAGGTTGCGCAGCTATCCCAGAAGCCAGAAAAACAAGAGGGGTTGCTGCTTTCACTGCGCAGCGATCCCTCTTGCTGTTCTGGCTTCTGAGATTCAGAATATTTTTTTTCTTGTTTTCCTCCTCCAAAAACTAGGTGCGTCTTGTGGTCTGATGCGTCTTATAGAGCGAAAAATACGGTAAATCTGATCATGGGTGGGCAGCCTTTGATCAAAATTTAGCAGAATCACTAGAGACCAATTCAAGCAGACTTTGAGCCAACTCCTCCTTACGAACCAAACCATGTCATGGCCCTGACTATACTCACTTTGAAATGATTGTGTGCCAAGAAGCTGCCTAACTTTGCCTACCATCAATGATGGCAGCTGGTGCCTCAAAATACAGAATTATCGGCTCTTCTCAGGTTTTCATACACACATCCCTCCAATACATTTTACAAGATTTGCCTTAGGGTTTCCACCTCTCAAAATGAGATGAGGCCATTATGAGATGGAGAGGGGCATTATGTTAGGGTGTGAGGAACGCACTTGGGTGTCCTGAAGCTGTTGCTGGGTCTCAGCTCCTATTATAGCCCCAGCTAGCAAAGTCAACAGTCAGGGATTGGCTGCCCATTCAGGTCCGGCCAAATTCAAGGTGCCAATCCCAGTGCTTAAAGCCCTAAATGACTTAGGCTCCAAACAGCTGTGAGGCCACCTCCTTCTTTTGCTCTTTTGCTGTGGGGGCTCAGCCAGGGCACCTAATGGGGATCTCACAGTCAGATGCAAGGCAGGCTTCTCAGAAGATGATTACACAGCATAGGTTTCCCAAAACTTTATGGGAGGGCAGAAGTTACTCAAAGGTGTGTTTGACAGTGGAACAGACTCCCATGAGAGGTGGTGGACTCTTCTTCCTTCGAGGTTGAGATTCCTGCACTGCAGAGGCTAGACGGCTTGGGGGTTTCTTCCAACTCTATAATTCTATGATTCTAGGTCATCAGTAAGTGCCTCAAGGCTCCTTCAGTTCTGAAAATAGGCCTGAAGCCACAATGAAATGGGTCCAGATAACCCTTTTCCTCCAACCATGCCTGAAGCTGACCAGCCACCACTGCCTTGACAATCTTGCCCATCCACCACCCCAAATAGTTTATAAATGTATAGTTCCATATGTGTCTATAATTCATGGACAGTGAATGAGGCTTCCACCCATTGCAATGTTGAAAAGCAATGCAGTTCATAACCAACAGCTAGTCCATATTTTGTTGTTCCAGAGTAAGGTTCCATGTGATTAGAAAGTATCTTGGCAAATTTGTCTACCCTCACGCTAGAGTAAAGGAAGACTGAGAGGCCACCAGATGCCCGGAGGCTGACCACTGTTGTTAACAGAATGCTAAAATGAACAACGTTGGTCTGAGTGTTTCATGTTTTAAACTGTTCCTCCTGCATAGACACACACACATGCGCCAAGATCTCTTTGCATATGGAAAACGTACAAGTCAGGAAGAAGTGCTTTTAAGCAAGCCTTCTCCCTGACGTGTTAACCGACGCTTCCAGATTCTCTCTCTCCTTCCTACACACTCATACACAAATTAAAACCACAGCACTGCACGTATTCTGCAGAAGAACACTTTGCTGTTGACTTTGGAACAAAATAATGTGTTCTTTACAATCCATTCCAATGTGTAACCGCAGATTTACTGGAAGTTCATCTATGGGTTTCCAAAAGTAAAACATGTGAGCTACATGTGGCCAGATTCTTCTTCTTCTTTGGAAACGTAAAATCCTCTTCCATATAACAAGACTTAAAGTCAATCAACTGACCAAATCAGAACAAATACATGCGCTTATAGAAGAAGTTTTAAAGTGCTCTCATAAACTTACAGAGTGGGTTTCTGGAAAACAATTCTAAGCCCCTAATATTAATTGTTGTTTTGGACTGTGCATTTTAAAAAAAGATTACTTTTCCTGCCCAAGATAGTCATTAGGCAATATATTAAGAAAGCTCTGTGATTTATGATACTACTTGTAGGCTCTCTTGTGTCAAGCATTCAGGGCACAGGCCACAAATTGCAATACTCTGTGTGCCTCCTTCACGGGAGGTCCAGAGGGTGGCAACACAAGAACGGACTTTTTCTGCAGTGGCTCCATTTGTGGAATGCTCTCCTCACGGATGTTCATCTGGCGCCTTCATTATACACCTTTAGGCGCCAGGCAAAAATGTTACTTTTCAACCAGGCCTTTGGACACCTGATACCCTGTTAAATGTGTTGTTAAGGGACATAATTTATTTGCTTTTGCTCTTATTTTTATTATGTATTTTGTATTTTTTATATTGCATTTTTATGTTGTGAACCACCCCAAGATTTGCGGATGAAGGGTGGTACACAAATTTAATAAAGATTAATAATAATAAATTACAAGGAGAGCTGGCAATGACTTTTTAAGGTGTTTATAAGCCCAGAAGATAACCCTAATTTCTCAAACTATTCAGCAGAATAAAGTTCCAACTCTGTGTGGAATCAACTGCACTTACATTTTAAAGGGATGGACTTAACATGTTATTGACCACTCAATGCAGGGATGTCTTAATTCTCATCTGAAAACGCACAAGTGTTTCATAGCAGTGATATATCACACTATCAGTAACGTCTCTGTACAAGTGTCACTGAAATTAAAGAACGATGCATGTGATGACCCTATACTGGAATGTAATCGTCCATTATCTCGGCTCAACAAAACTCCTACAAGGCAGAAGGGGAATGTAAATTTAAACTAAAGAGCAAAAGTTGCTATTTTGGAATAATGTTTTAGAAAAGGAAGAAATATATTCAAGTAGGAAAAACATAAGCAATTATCTGCAACGTTACAGTGTATATGTATCTATCTATAGGAGCAAGTATATATTGTTGCTGTTGCTGAATGAGACAGATTCAAATCTCACCAGTCCCCTAAATCACACTCTTATCTGGCTCCTAATCGAGCACTGATTTTCATGTCTCCTCCCCATGCTTCAGCTGGGTTTTTTGGCTTGCTGTAAATAATAATAATAATCAGACGCCTGGCTTTTTACCTAGTTTTTATGCTGTTCAAAAATAAACCACAAAACGTTGGCAGCAAGAACGAAGGAGAGATGAGGCTTTGTGATTGCCACAAGGACCAACCAATCAGCACTCTGCACAGCCGGCGTTTCTGCTGAAAACAGGAAGCATCAGTTGCTCTGTAACTCAATTATATGAGGAAGGCTGTATTCCTTATGAAAGAAAAGGGCAAGTGTGAATCCATAGTGGTCTCACCAGAGTGCAAACTCTATACATCTCTACACCGCCTTACTGGTCCAGTCAGCATCACACTTATAATGAAAGCTATTCTTGCTTGTTTTTAATCCTTGATATTTTTATTTTGTTTTTAGGTATGCTGTAAGTCAACCCAGAGTGGCTGGGAAAACTTTTCAGAGTTTCAAGATGAATGCTGTAGTAGTAGTAGTAGTAATAGTAATAGTAGTAATAGTAGTAGTAGTAGTAGTAATATTGCAGCATTCATCTTGAAACTCTGAAAAGTCTAAGCTCTGTTTGAACTAAGAGCATTTCCCTCAAATTCAGCATTCATTTTAAGCTCTGCAGTTTAACCACACACACACACACACACACACAAAATAAAAAAATAAAAAGTTGCAAGATGGCAAAAGCCATGGACAATTAACTCCTAGGTCAAAATAGAAAGTTATTTCCTGCACTCTTTGGTTGACATAACTTTTTTAACTCATGTGTCTGAGGTTAGCAGTACTATTTATTTATTTAATGCATTTATATTCCACCTTCCTTCTAAGGAGATCATGGTAGCAAAGAGTCGCCCAATTTTATCCTTGCAATAGCTCTGAGATAGGTTAGGCTAAGAGAGTGTGACTTGCCTCAGGCCATACAGCTGGACTCATTATGAGTAGAAATTTCCAGGGTTCCAATTCGACATTCCAACTGCCACAACACAATTCAATAAAGATAGCTGTGTTTGTTACAGCAAAATGCAGGCCTTCTAAAGACTATATATCTACGGTGCAATCCAAATCATGACTGCTGCAGGGGAGGGCAAAACAAAACAGCAGGATCATCACAGCATCCACCCGCTGGCAAGGACAGGAGGTGGAAGGACAGACCAATTGCTGCACCAGTCTTCGGTCAGGATTGGGCCCAGTGTATTGGCACTATGGGCAGATTGGAATCCAACAGATCTTGGCTCAGCCACTCCCCGCACCTGGAACACTGTGTTTCAGGGCTTTCTGCAGGTTGGTGTTGTGGTGATTCCACTGGAGCCATTTCCAAATGCCCATCTGTTCATGCCATGGGGAGAGGCGAGCAGATCTGGGTGGAAGGATACATCTGCTCTATCCAAGGCCTCCCCTGGCCAAGTGCCAATGGGGTTTGGACTGCAGTGCCCATGTGGCAAATGGTCTCATGGACTAGAGTTCACTTTATCAGATACATGGAATGGTGGGCCTTCATGATGCAAGAAGAAAGAATTGTTGAAATGGCAAAGACACAATTGCCAAAGCAACCTTCACAGTCCCTTGAATAATGCAAAAATGCCAGCTATCATACATGCTACAGTCCATGAATAAAGCATTTTGAAAGCTTTTAAAACTGACACCCATGACCAGTTGCCCAGACAATGAACAGAAGAGAACCAGGAACCAAGAATCACTTGATACAGACGCGCTAAACAGGACACCCTGAATAGGAAAATTGTAGCCGTTGGTTAGATCACTCTTTCCTTAAGGTCAGTACATAATCCAGCAATGCTGTTCTTTGTGGTGCGGAGAGCCTGCTGAAGTGGTGGACAAAAAAGAGGTCATGGGAGATAAAGCAACTCCGTCTCTCGGTAGCAAAGGGCACAACCCTGGCAGCAGTTGGCATCAATGGGGCTTTTACTTGTGAATGTGTTTAGGATTATGGCCGAAGTCAGTCTTTTGTTGCACAGGAAAGAGAGGGCGCTGGAGGGTTACATAGCTCTCATAAAGAAGGTCTGCCAACCCCATCTCCGACCTGTTCACATGCCACAACATTTCTACAAGCGGACCCGTTCACAGTCCCCAGTGATTTCCTCCCTCTCATCAAACCTAAAGAGTCTGCAATATAGAGTGGTCAACAAAAAACCCCACAAAAATTAAGATGTAAAAGTAAGATGTCAGTATCTCAATCCAGTACATATTACCTGACATTCAGCGGCATGGACTACAATGGCACCTTGTATTTATGTGTACTATATATTAAAGGAATCCGCTATAAGACAAGTTCAGTTTCTCCAGTTCCCTGTATTCTCAAGATAAAGTTGTATGATGCTGAAAATCTCATCTTTTGTCTATAGCCAGAAAAAGTGAAAAATGGTGAGAGACCGGTCTGCACCAAGTGCTGTCTTACATTAAAAACTTGCAGAAAGGCAGTCTTTCTACCTTCTGAATGTCATCAAGCTCCAACCAACGTGAATATTATATTCTGTTCTCGTAAACGAAGTCCCTCAAGCCTTCACAGTTTCCTTCCTCTAGTGATTATGGCTACTTGTTCCTATTCCTCCAACTGTTCTAAAACAAAAAAGAACAATAAATATACTTCAGATTACACACTGACCGGACAACCTTTTTTGTCATTTCTAACAGGAACTGGGCATAACTGTCCTACTGGGTCCTTCATTCTCCGCTTTCTGTGCCGTTTCCCAAATGTCACCATCTGTTTCTCGTATTATCTCCTTCCCGTCCCACTTATTTCCCTGCTTTGCTTTCCACCTATTTGCATTCTATCATCTTCTCAGTCTAACTTTTTCTCTGCGGCATGAAAAACAGCTTCCTATTCCTGATCTCCTTATCACAGCAAAGTTCCTAAGGCTCGCTTCCTGTCAGTGTTCATGACCTCCAGCCTCGACTGAGAAAATATCCAGCACAACGCAAGGCTCTTCCCATTCTGCCAGCATTCAATGACAAGCTAAACCAGGGGTAGGCAACTGTGGACCCTCCAGATATTGTTGGACTACAACTTCCATCATCCCTGGTCATTGGCCATGCTAGTTGGGGCTGATGGGAATTGCAGTCCAACTACGTGTGGAGGATCACAGTAGGCCGCCTCTGAGCTTAATTACTTCAAAGCAAACCCTTCCTCTTAGAAGTCACTCTGCTGAACTCATTGACATTACTTAAGTGACATTGTTGACTCATGGCCCTCTAATGCCTTTCTATTTAAAAAAAAATAGAATCAGCTTTTCAGCAAAGTGAAGTAGCTGCTTCATACAGAGATTCTGACATGGTTTCTTGCCTCCAAAGTGATGCCAATCCAAACGCCTTCCAGCATCCCTGACCATTGGCCATCTGGGAGGCATCCAGACCTATGGCCTTGTTCAGATGACCAGCAGGGTACACTGTATGTGTGGAAGAGGTGGAGGAGATGAATCACAGGGGCAGACCCCACCCCTGGCCTCTGAACTGAGCCAATACGCATGGGAGGCCTTAGTTTTTGCAGGGTTCTTGTGCATATACAATTGTGCATGTACAAATTCTGCTCAGAGCTTCAGATGGTTGCATGGAGGGCAGGGGCAGAAGAATGCAAAGAAAGCACTGCTGGCTCAAACCAAGGACCTATCTATCTAATCCAGCATCCTATTTCCCAAAATGGCCAGGGTTATGGGAAACCCTCCAAAAGGGGACAGGAGAGCTAGACCTTTCTCCCACTTTTCTAAATGGCAGGGCGGCACCGCCATTAGTATTTTCTCTTGCCTTTAGAAATAAGGCATTCAGAAGTCGTGTTTAGATGGCAAGCAGGAGCCACTCTGGGGTGGGGGGATCGGATTACACCAACAGGCCCCTGCCTTGGCACCACACATTCAGTCCAACTTCAGATCCTATGCTTGTATAAAGACCCAACAGCTAAGGCGAGTTCCTGCTAAAAGGGAAAAAGAAAGTTGTTCAGTGTTTTATCTAAAGCAGGGGTGGCTAATGTGTGTCCTTCCACATGTGGTTGAACTACAACTCCCATCAGACACAGTAAGCATGGCCAATGGTCAGAGATTATGAGAGCTGAGGTCCAGCAAAGTTCTCAAGTGTATTTATTGTTCCAATGACCTTAGAAACTTTTTAAGTTCATGTGCAGAATGCATATGTTTAGTTATTTAAAATTAAAAATGACTATGGAAGGCATTATAGAAGGAATTGCTTAGCTTTTGATCCTAGTGTACATCTCCTCTTCCCTACACAGTGCTTTAGATTTAGAAACAAGTTTTAGATCCCGCAGCATCCGACCTATTTGCAAAATTCTTAAAACAGAGAGCCAAATAAAAAATGCAGCACAGTGTGTTTAGGAAAGTTAAGCTTCCGATACACATTCTTGCCATGGGTATCTGATCTGAAAAGTGTTGTCCTGCAGGCCCTATTTTTCACAGATGATGAGATAATCACTGAATGCCAGAGCCAGCATCCAATCCAGTTCCAGCGCTCACCTGGGAAATTTAATCCAGATTATCTTCAGAATGTGATTTGCCTACTCCAAACTGGGATTGCATCTGGCATGCCAATTAGACACTCTTAGTTATTTCAAAATACAATTATTACTGGGAATGCAGACATGTGAATCACCTTTAAAGTAAAAGCTATTTTCCCCCAAAGAGAAACTATTAAAATTCAAAAGCTATTTTGCAGGGCTGGCCCTACCATTGGGCATAGTAATGTACTTGCTTCAGACAGCTGTTTTGGGGTGTCATGAAAGGGCAGCAAATTATTAATTACTTAATTTATTGTTTTATTTTTGCTCTCAGGGACGGGGAGAGGTACAGTACTTTTGGGATTTTCTGCCTCAGGCGCAAAATAGCCTGAGCAATCTTGCTATTTTGACTTTTCTTTGCAAAGTGTGTTTGATCATATGCGTAAGGGAGTTCCCCATGGGAAAGTCCCTCACACATCCAAAATCTCCTGGGTGGGCTGCATGTGGTACTTTGAAGTCCCAACTTCAGAATTTTAAAGTGCTCAATCACCTGCTGTTACTGTGATATCAGGTGACTAACAAATGGGAAACCCTCCCCACTTGTGAAGTTTGGCTTGCAAGTCTAGATCCTGATGAGGATCAGGCCCAAAGAGCCAAACAGATTCCCCACCCCTATACAGTGGTACCTCGCAATACGAAAAATGCGCAAGACAAAAGAGTTTTCCGTTTTTTGAGTCGTTCCGCAAGACGAATTTCCCTATGGGCTTGCTTCGCAAGACAAAACGTCTTGCGAGTTCTTGCGAGTTTGTTTCCTTTTTCTTAAAGCCGCTAAGGCGCTTATAGCCGCTAAGCCGCTAATAGCCGTGCTTCGCAAGACGAAAAAACCGCAAGACGAAGAGACTCGCGGAACGGATTAATTTCGTCTTGCGAGGCACCACTGTAATAGGGAAATAAAACAACAACATTTTCAAATATTACTGGAAGATTCTCAGGGAGTAATAATAATCAGCCCATGAGCCTTATTACTCAAAACATAAACAGATTCATAAGCTCTTGGAGGAAAGACTGAACTTTGGCTTTACAAAAGCATTTCACTTTTAGGGAGCTAAAATAGGTTTTTGGTTTTGCCCGATGAGTTGCTCTGACGTCTAAGAATTACTGACATGTTGCTGCTGCGCATATCAGGACATTTCTACAAATCTCGGCTAAAGGCTACGGGAATTGGAGAAATGCCAAGATTAGATGTGTTATGTCACTCACAGTTGTGCCCCCTCCCACGTGACTCTCGTAACTTTTTTGCTCTTTTCTTTTGCTTAATGTATTACTATGTGCTCCATCAAATTACAGGAAGCCACAAAATATACATAATCACATCCTGAAGAGGAAAGCAGCTTTCACTTTTTACTGCCTGCAAACAGCCACCAAATCCATCTTGTTCTCTAACACACACTTTGAATCTATTTTGACAAACCATCCCAAGGACAGTTTAACAAAAGTCTATTTGAAAGCAATATATGGAGGGTAGAGCACATGATCTCCAAGCACACCTGAATTTACCCGTTAACATGTGAGGAAGGGCCATAGTTCAGTGCTAGAAAACACATTTAGCATGCAAAAGGCCCCACGTTCAATCTCTGGGGTCTCCAGTTAGAGCTAGGAAACACCCCAGTCCGCTTCCAATCGGTGTAGTCAATAATGAGCAAGATTGGCCAATAATATGGTTCAATATAAGGCAGCATCCTAGGTTGCTAAGGTTGTCAGGTGGTAGAGCTGGGAGCAGGCCTGCCCCAACCATGAGGCAGGATGAAGCCGCTGCCTCAGGCAGTGGAAGTCCCCGATGCGGCACCCCAATGAGCACTGCTACCTGCCCTGTTGCCTCCACGGCTGGCAGAGAAGTGCACTAATTTCCCATGAGATCTCAGCAAAATCTCACAAGATCTTGTGGTGGACACAAGAACTTGCTGGGAATCGGCACCAGCAGTGGAAGCGGCAGGGAAGGGAAGGGTGACATTTCCCGGTTTTGCCTCAAGCGGCAAAAACAGGATGAGCCACCCCTGGCTGGGAAAGACTTCTACCTGAGACCCTAGAGATGCCCCAGTCACCTGGTGAGCTAACAGGAATATTCAACTTTTTTCAACCTGAGACTGACCTTTAATCCAAACATTAGAGGAATGAGTTTGGTGTTAAAGTCACTGGTTTGATTCGCTTCGGGTCAGGTAGCAAGTCCTAACCTTCTGGTTGAAGAAGAGAGAGCTCGAAGGCCAGACTATAATGCAAACTTCATGTGTAGCTAGGGCATTTCAAAATGCTAGGAGGAACATCCGCTTTCCCTCCCTCATTTGCTATTCTTCCAACACATTACATAGCCATCCTTACATAAGGGGTCAGGGATGGTTTTGCTGTTGGGAGAAAGCATGACTCATGTTCTTAGCTGTGGATCTGGTACATCAATACCTTCTGTACCCACTCTCTCAGTAGCCCTGCCCTTACAGAATCTGCTCAGCAAATGCCCACACCCCCCAGCTTGCCCCTCAAAGGCTGTGCAAGGAGTATGACACAGCCTGTCACAGATGTGCTGTCAGGTTTGGTGCAAACAGATGCAAACTAGTAGTCATTATCTCCAACTTAAATGGAACATACCATTAAATATTTAAATAAATATGTAGGCTTGGCGCAAGCCGCCCCACTATTGCGTGAAAGGGTGGCTAGAAGAGAAACTGGGTTGCACACAACTAAGTGCTACCCAGAACAGATCTATTGAAATTAATTGCCCTAACTTAGTAGTGTTAATTAATTTTAATGTTTTATACAATGCAATAAGAAGAATGATACACACACACATCCCTCTACCCTTTGTTTCCTATTTCGCTGAAGCAACTTGAAGTTTTGTCTAAAAATCATGAACAGAAAAAGGTTCACATTATTTCCAACTACACCTGCCTTCTACAAATTGCACTACCCTTTTATTTGATTTGGCTCAGAACATGACTGTACACACCTAAATTCGTTAATCACCCAACCCCAGATATATTCAGAATATAAGAATACACAGCAAAGGATCTGGATATCCATCACCTTGTGAATAACAAAATCAGCAAAGTCATAGAAGTGGGATAGTTTACTTCTTTTTCTTCCCAGGGTGAAAAGGTCCTTTCTAAGGCACTGCCTCATAACGGTTGATGTAATTAGCTTTCAGAGATAATAAAAGCTCCTAAGATTGTTTAAATAAAGCTTCACTGGGAAACTCCCTATCAGAAAACAAACCATTTTAATCTCTACCAGATTGAAATCAGAAAGGAGGCCAGGTTGCTATAGGAATAAAAAGGCAGTAGTGCAAAGGCTCACACAAAGGAAGTTCACAGATGAGGATGAGACATGTGAATTGGATTGGGCTTTTTTTTATTATTTTGCAACTTGAATTGGTTTTGAACGTGAGCATTGACAAGATGTGCTGAACGTTAGCATTTGCAAAACACACAAATGTTAGAGGTTTGTTTATGGAACAGAAACATAGTCCTTTCATGCCTGTAACAAATAAAACTGCACTTTATTTCTGTGATTAAGAAGAAGACGCTCAACAATAAGATCAAGCGAACCAACTTTCAATAAAGGTTATAACCCAGACGCTAAATGCACATAAGTGTATTAGGAAACTTCTCCCACACATGTGGAAAAGCCTTTTAAGCACAACACCTCTAAAACAATGAGTCAAAAGGTGCTTCCTCTGCATAGAAGTCCCTCCTCCCTCTAACTATGCTCTGAGCTAATCATTTACAAGCCTGGAAGTGAAACAGGCGCTTTGACAGCAAGAAAAGGAAAAGGAGGAGGATGCTTTTATCAAAGGTCGCCCAGAAAGAGGGTTGAAAGGTCTTGCCATCCAAGAAAGAAGGGGAATCCCAAGACAGGAGCTGAAGACCTCCTAGAATCTCTGCATGAGCACGTCTTTAACTAAAACTTGCCTCGGAACTTACAGACCCTCCAAGTGCCCCTATTTTCCAGGGACAGTCCTGGATTTACAGAAGCCATCTAGGTTTCTGATTTGATCCTGGAATGTCCCACTTTTCCTTGGGACATCCCTATTTTCATCAGAGAAATGTTGGAGAGTATGGAGTTATGTGACCCCCCCTGAGCCAAGAAGATAAGTAACTATACAACCTTTAGAAGACATCTGAAGGAAGCCCTGTATATGGAAGTTTGTTTATGTTTAATGTTTTATTATGTTTTTATATACTGTATGTTGAAAGCTTGTTGTTGCTGCTGTTATTCTACAAAATATAAGCGAATCAGAATGAAAGAAAGGGCACTTGGAGCCTCAGAAATAAACTATTAGTATGAGGAAGTAGCTTTCTTTTTTGCCTTGCAGGTCCAGTGAGAAGGGCCAACCAAGTCGGATCTTCATCATCTGCATCAGCATTCAGAGTTAACCGCAGCACCTAAGATCTAAACCAACTAGCACATAGGAAGCCAACATGGTGCCCTTTAAATGTTGTGGATTACATCTCTCATCATTCATTAACTTGCATGGCCAATAGCAAAATTATCTGGAGGACACTATGCTGGATACCCCTGAACTAGCAAGTTGGCTGCTGTTAGTGCTTTCCCCTGATGGCTTAACCATCAGCTTAAATCAGGGGCGGGGACCCTTTTCAGCGCAAGGTTGTGGGTGAGTCCAGAGGTGATAGTGGGGGGGGGGAATTAATGTTATTTCTACCTTCGTACAATACACTAATTTCTATACGCAGTCACACACCCTTCTCTATCCTCAGTCTAGGAAAGTGAGATGCACTATCAGACTTTAAGGGCACATTCCAGCCAGGCAAACATACTTGAGTACAAAGCAAGGCTAGAGGAGGGTGTGGCCTGGGAAGAATTGCTAGGTTCCAGTTAATAGAGGATTCCTGAGGTACCCCATCCCTGTATTACATGGATACTCCCATAGGCAAGCTGTGTCCTCTCCTCTCAGCTGCTCTGTATGTGTCCTAAAGGTCCTATAGATCTCTGGACACAGATCTTGAATATGTGAACTTTGCCTTCATGGTGATTCACTTGTCTCCGTCTAACCACCACCCCAACAGCCACTGGCTTCAATGGGAAAAGCATTTGCAGTATCAAGCCTTCACTAAATCTACACAGCTGCGATGAAATCAGCCAAAGTAAACTCATAGCCAAAACCTCCTCTGTCGTGACTTAACAATGAGGCACAACCTCTCAGAAATGAAATTTTTAAAAGAAAGGAAGAAAGAAAACTAGCTTTATGCAGATCATGACCTTCAGATAAGCTATTCTCTTGCAATCTAAACAGGTCTCCTTCAAGGTCTGGTATAGCAAATTTAATCTCAAATTCTTATCACTAAACCATCCTTGCATGCAGAAACTGAGAAACTGGTCCGGGCCATCTGCTTAAGCTTTAGTTCAATGCTTCCGATTGAAAATGACATTTATCAGAGTGAAAACCCTTTGCCTTTGAAAAAATACATATGCTGTTGAGATGAAGTGTTCCCACAACGTATATGAAGAACTGCAACTGGCATTAATCTACGTATAGTTGAAGGTTAGGGTTTTTTTGCTTATACCGCAAAAAGTTCAGCACAATAACCTTCTAAATGATGAATAAGGGACTTTGCGTACAGCTACACTAGGAGGATACGCACTGCTTTCGGCTGCAATGCATAGATTTTAAAACTTGATGCTCCCAAGGAGAAAATAACGGCATTTTTGATGGAAAGAGACCAAGAAACTGATCCAAAGGTAATCCCCAAAGTGCCTTCAGCATTGTGCTGCTTTTCAGTCCAGTGAAGCTATAAAAGAGCTAATTGCACGTAAGTCATCATACCATTGAATGATGGCCACTACAGAGGCACTATGGTAGGGAGGCAAATGTTTTTCCAATCTGTGGTCCCCATAGGTGGTAGGCCATATTCAAGCCCACACAGACACACACGCATTAACCCACAATGATCTGAAGCCACACATATAAACCCACTCAACAACTCCAAGGGAAAAGCTGCTACTTGAAACACATTTCACATAGCCCAGAATACCCTATTTAGCGACAATGACACTCTCCTTGTCTCCTCACACAATCCAGCCTTTGCACTGCCCACCAACCATGCATTTTGGACTGCTAGATGTTTTCACAATCCCCCCATTCTTGCAAAGGGATGCTGCCCTTGGCACACAACACACACACACACACTTTTTATTCTTTTGCAAACTCTCATACACATGCAGCTGTTTTTAAAGAAGTGAAGAAGCAGTGCAAGGCTGCCTCTCTAAACGTTGCTCTGTCATTCAAGGACAGTTTTTTCCCTAAGCTAAGAGTGAAACTGATCAGACTAGAATCTCGTTGCCATTCAGTCTTCTCAGTTTCAACAGCCCCTTGACTTGCCAGGCTAGAAGAATCAACTGCAATTAGGATAGGAATGCACAAGCATTTCTTCCCACAGTGACTCTGCTCCCTCCCATTCCATTTCTACAGATATCAAGCTACAAGTACTGGATCAGCGCTAGTGTCATTGTACAAAATTAAGGGGGAAGCTGTTCCCAGTGCTCTTCAGAAATACAGTAACTGCCTGCCTGTACCCAGAACCCTCACCATATTGGGGGGAGGGGAAGTTCCCTGAATTAATGTGCAATAGATCTATACTATTTCAAATCTCTAGGGAATCAGTCCTCAAACTGCCTTGCTAGCACATTTTAAAAGTGTAGACCAGGTTTGGTATGTCTGTGGTCCTCCATATATTAAACTACATATCCCATTTTTTCTTACCATTGACCATATTGGCTGTAAGCTGGTGTCCATAACATCTGGAGAACAACAAAGTTCTTCACCCCTGGCCTACTCTGACTGCCAGGGGCTTCCTAGGTTTCAGACAAAGGTGTTTCTCGGCACCTGTTACCTAAGAAACTTTAAACTGGAGGTTCTCAGGATGAAGCCTGAGCTCTTACACATGCAAAATATGTGATCTACAACTGTGTTGTACCCCTCCCATTCTAATAACAGAGAATAATAAATAAATAATCAAAGAGAACAACAATCATTGTCAAAGTGGATCACAAAAACTATGTTTTCTAGAACATCAGTATTTTATAGTCAAAACAACAGCCAAGAAAGGGTAGGAGGTCAGGATAGATCTACATGACAAATGATTACTAGTGACACATACCAACATTTAAAGTCAACATCATGTCAGTTCAATAACACTTGATGAACAGAACTGTGGCATTTGGAGATTATTGTCCTTTTTTAGTAAGCACCATTTGTAGTTTTCAAGATTTACAACACTAGTTAAAATTGTGTGGAATTTTTAACTACATTCAGCAGGGTCTTGAGAGTCTATCACAGAAATCTGGTGCAAAATGTGCTGGCTTTATTACTAGGCACAGACATAAAACATGTTCTGAAAGGAAGAGGTGAGCTACTCTTGGAAGTTGGAGAGACAAAAGCTCCCTCTGGCCCACTACACTCTATGGCTGGATCATGCTGAAGTCAAATCAACCCCTCCCAGCTGATAAGGTTGTGTGCAACTTGTAACTAGTGTTTATTATGAGTGCAAGGAATTAACTCTCATTCTACAACTCTTAGATAATCGGAGTTGTAGTCCAACAACATCTAGCAGGCACCAGATTGAGGAAGGCTGGGAACAGACAATGCTAGGCTAGATTGGGAAATAGTCTGATCTGGTGAAAAGCAGCTTTCTATGTTTCCAATCACAACTTAGCTTTTCCAGGTGTCAAGACCTTTGTTGAACTATATCAAAAATATTTGAATAGAGATCTCATTACCCCTCTGGTTACTTGATTAAAAGCAATTTCATAATAGGTTGCTAGGTTGATTTTCAGAATCAAAGCAGAGTGAAAATAATTGCTTTAACATAATAGATTCAGCACTCCTACCTTGCTCTTCTATCAAGGCATCCAGAGCCACAATCCTGTACTTAACTATTTTTTTTTAATGAGTTTGCTGCCTTTATTTAGTTCTCTGCCCCCCAATAACACTTGATACCTATTAGATAATATGCAGTAGATATAGTAATAAGCTCACAGTGTTAGCTGTTCTTTACATCTTTTTAAATGTTTAAAAACTCTGTAACATTTTAATTGCAAAAAATATCTATGGGAAAACAATAGTATTTATTTTGGCTAGCTCCCATTTAACGTGTCCGTTGCCAGGCATTCAGTTCCTTGCTGTGGCAAAGATTGCTTCTGTTCCACGATTATGGTGCCTCAGTCTTAAAGCAGCTGAGAAATTAAAGCCAATAAATTGCTGGCTTACAGTTCAATCCTATGCATGTATGCTCAGAAGCAAACCCTTTTGTGTTTAATGGTGCTTACACAAAAGAAAGTAGGTATAGGTTTATAACCTTACAGCCCTTGCAAAACAGAAAGTTGTAGCAAAGGATTTTCATCTTTGAACTTGCATTCCCCAGTTGGTCACTAGAGCACAAGGATAGTGACCTTTAGGGCATGCTGCAAAGTTTATCTTTTCTCCCAGGCTTTCTCTGGGAAAAATGGACTCTCTCTCAATCCCAAACTGCACATCTGCGTGCTTTTTAAAAAGCAGATTTGCCACAATCCCATCTAAGCTCTGGGGTAGAGGCTCAATTTTAACATCAAACAGGATGTAGTGGTGAGCCCCCCCCCCCATGTTAAATTCCCTGCTCGCGGGCCATGTTGGCTGGGCTGATGGGAGCTGGGGCTCAACAACAAACATCTGGAGGACACAAAGTTTCAGAAGGCTCCTTAATGTGCAGGTAGAGGTCTTTGCCACTACCTACCTGGTTATTACAATAATTATTTTAACTGGAGAGGCCAGGGACCGAATGTTAAACCTTCTTTATGCACAAAGCCAAAGTCAGGATGCAACCCTGGTCAGACCTCAACCCCAAATGCCTCCTCCATTGATAAGCAAGGAAGCAGGACCCTCTAGAATGTCTCCATACCACCAATGATCCTGAGGAACCATTAGACCTGGACATCCTTACTCCAGACTTAAGACCTCCCCACCAGCTGCTTGGGTTCCTGGCCTGCTCTCAGACCTCCCCTGTGGCCACAAGAGCAGATGAGATGGTGAGCCATGAAAGAACTTAAGAGTGGCTACCAAAGGACCTGGCTAGCTATCTGTAAGGCTATTCAGGAGGGAGGAGCACAAGGAAACTCCTCAGCACCTGACAGGAAGGAGATGGAGCCTCCAGGTCTATATATAAGCTCCCAGTCTGAGCTGCTTCATTGCTGAAGCAATAGCTTCAAGCTCCAGCCTCTCTGACCTGGGGAAGTGGGCCACTATGTGCTCTTCCACTGAGTCACAGTCCCTCCCAACTAAAATAAATAAATACCATTGATTGCATTGTCTTCTTAGAGGACACACATTGCGTACAAGATACAACCAGAAGCATAAAAATTTCAGGGATCAGTCCTGATATTTATTAATATAAAAAAAATGGAGATTGGACGTGGACCTTCTACACACAAAGTCGTATCACCAAGCTACAGCCCTTACCCATCTTTAAGCATCACACTGAACGCTGTTTTCTTTAAGCGTCATAAAAGCCAACCTATCTATCATTTCCACCCAAATGTTTACAATCTGACCCCACGCATATTTACTCAAAAGTCAACTCCCACTGACTTTAATAACACTAGGACAGCACAGTTGATATGCATAGTAACTGTGACAGTATGACATTCACTTTGGCATTGAAAGCAGCTGCACTGATGCTGATGTGAATGTTCAGGGGTCTGTTGAGTTGCACTATTATATTTAACAGATGCTAATGGGATGGCTTTGTAGGGATAAGTGTGACATGGTGAGAACAGCTACCATGAATCAGGTTTTCACTGTCAGACAGCTGAAATGTACTTGCTCTTCTCACCTTGACTAGAAGGAAACTTGGCTTGCTGTTCCTCACTGCATGAATGTATGTTGAGAGAGTTAGAGTGGAAATAATGCTGCTTAATAGTAAAAAGTAGGAACAGGGGATATGGCATGCACATAGTTGTGCCAATGTCTGTTGCTGAAGCCTTAAAGTACAGTACATAGAATTTAGTCCCATTGTTTCCAATAGGACTTACATACAGTTAATGTGTGCACAGGACTGCTTCATATTCAGTTCAATGCGGCTTACTGAGTAAGCCCCATTAAACACAATGTGACTTAATTCTGAGTAGACATACATGGGATGATTCTGTTAATGACTTTGACACACGCCATTCCTAAGCATTTTTAACTGGCACAACAAGGACCAAAACACCACAGAGAATTTTGTTACTGGAGTTTTTCAGCTTTGTTTTATAAAGGAAAGTAAAAGGCATTTAGATGTTGTGCACTAAAATCAGGCAACAAAGAATGATTGAAACATAGCGATCTGGTTCACATTCAGGGAAGAGTTGGTAATGATTTGACTGTAACTACAAACTTCTTCAACTTCAGTGAAGTTGCAAAAGGTCCCAAGGGGGCAGCAAAAAAGTATGATTGTTGAACCTACATTTAGGAGTCAAGTAATAATACAACCTACTTAACTCTGATTCAAGAGTACTAACTGTCAAATCAATCTAAGTTTTGTTTTTGTTTTAAACAGGAAAACAGTGATTCCCTCTTATGCACACTTCATGACAAAGAAATGGTCTAAAGTGAGGGACAGCCTTTTAAAAAATCAGCTGGTTAATTACAGAACACTAAACAACCATACATTGGCTACAAACTTTTGATAGAAACAGTCCAGACATGCAAAGCTGTATTAACTTACAGTGTTATCCCTCTGGATTGAAAGATGTAGCCACAAGAATGAAACAGCAATAATCAGAAGGATATAATTTTGTACAACTCGTCCAAACGACATATTATGCTGGTTGTTGCTCTGTCCAATTCAGTCAATACCACAAAACCACAAATGGCAAACCTACACTCGAAAATTCATAAACCAAACTTGCTCTTGCCGTCCTGGAATGACACTGCCTGGCAGCCCAGCTGTATGCAAGTTTACTCCAAATAACTCACTGTATTCAGTGGATATTACTCCCAAGTAAGTGAACATGAGACTGAGAATGTAACTTTCTTGAACTTTCTTGAACACACTCATTTAAATGCCAATATACTAGTGCTCCCAGGAGAGTTAAAAGGCATGTCCAACTGTCCAATCCTATGCACGTTTACCCAAAAGCAAGCCCCAGCAAGTTCAACTAGGCTTATTCTTAAGTAGGTGTACAGCCTAAGTTTCTGTCCATCCAGAGCTCTTCAATAGTATTCATCCACTTGATTTCATTTATTCCTGGTCCACACCCACAGCACAAAGTTTACAAACCTTCCCGGGATCACACAAAAAGCCTGCAACAAGCTGTGAACAAAACTCACCTAACATTGGTGTTTTAAGAAGTAAAGAAAATGAAGCATTACGCTAAGATGCTTTGGCTACACCATTTAAAAACAGTGATGTATTGCTGTTGTATGGGAGTATGGTCCCAGAAACTTTTTATCAAAATGTAAACACAGCAAGAGCAGCATAGTTCAGATGCTTCACAAATCAAAAGGGAAATCATAGCCAAAAACTCAGAAGCATAATAGTAGCAGTTGCGCAATAGTAAACAACACACAGAACGCCATAAGAACTGCTTTGGGCACGTGCTTGAATGCACAACTGCACAGAATCAAAAAGACAAATTTTAAAAAATGAAATGATGTAAAAGATCAACTTCCATCACAGAGACAGACAATTTCCTACTGTGAACTTCGCTCAAAAGCTCCCACTGAGTCGATGCACTTTTTGGGGGGGGGCAAGGGGGGTTTATTTTAAAAGTATTCCTGCTGCTTTCATTAAAGACCATGCTGCAGATTGTGCAAGGGGACTGACTGATCTGATATGTTGCACGCACACACACACACACACACACACACACCGGTTTTTACTTTTTATTTCATTTTGTTTGTCGGATCTCTAACTGGATTTGCGATGGCTTTTAGCTAAATCCATTAGTGTGTCGCTGTTGTCTTTTTTACAGATTTATTTTCATGAAAGATTTTCTTGACTCTCAAAAGTGCATGCCTTGTCTCTCTTTTTCAGGTTGCACGGTCTTTCTGTTGTTGCCGTGTGTGTGTTTTTAGGACTCACGATATTTCTGTTGTTGTTTGTTGTCTCCCTCGGATCTCCAATCCTGCAAGAGTTCCTGCGCCAAGGAAGCGACTCCTCTCGGCGTATAAGAAGTCGCCTGGCATAAACCAAAACCGTTTGCTCCTCTCAGAAACGAACCTATATATTAAACTACCCCACTCGTGAGGGGTTTCCGATTTTGTTCCCATTAAAAAAAAAATCCACCCCTGCTACCAGGACATGTTTCCCGCGAGGGTGGAAACACAAAACGTGACTTTTCTTCGCGGGAAGATTTCTTCGTCTTATGCTGTTCTCAGGCAGGAAGAAGAGACGGAGGTTGGCCAGCTTCTTCCGAGGGGCTTCAGGTCTTCGGGGCGGGTTGAAGAAGGTGGTTTCGTGGGCCGAAGCGGACACACCGCGCGGCTCAGAAACGTCTCTATCCCGGGACTGCCCCGCATTTGCGTCCACACGGCTCGCCAACCCCCCCCCCGCCATGCCCCACACTCTCCCCACAAACACCCCACACACGCCGGGCTCCTACCTGGCAAATAACCGAAGTTCTCCTCTCGGAGCGCGATGCCCCTTTTCTCCCGGCTCTGCCTCTCCTTCAGTCCGGAGGAAGCGGCGGAGAAGACTCTCCGATGAAGTCTCTCTGAGGAGAACCGGAGGAACGGACGGGAGTGGCGGGCGGCCCCGCCGCTCAGAGCAGAGAAGGCTTCCTATTGGGCGGAGGGGCGGGGCTCGCGGGGGACACGCCCCTCTCGCTCTTTCTCCCCTCGCGCGCATCGTCGGGTCTTTCAGTCCCCTTCGGGGAGCCCCGGAGGGTGGACGGGGTAGCTGTACGCTTGCAGTGGCGCTTTCTCACGGCCTCCAGATTTTTATTTGGGGGTGGGGGGAGAGTCCTCGTGGCGGGAGGAAACGTGGGAAGACCCGGGTCTTTCGGCTTGGGGCTGCGTCTCCGCCGCTACTCCCTCCCTCTCTTCCCGGTCCCGGCTGTTTAAAAACACGTTGTGCAATATTTCAGCTCAGTCTTCCTAAATCCGGACAGCTTCCCTAGCCGTTCCCAGCGGGAACCTCTCTAGGTTAAAAGTCGCCGCCGGACAAGTCGGATTTATCACTTTCTCCAACTCAAAACTTCTGAAATTAGTCATTGCAACATTTGCATCTCCCCCCCCACCCCCCAGGGCATGTCCAGCTGGTGCAGAATTCCGCTGCCAAGTTTGAGTAGAGTTGCCATATTTCAAAACGTAAAAACCAGGACACCCCAAAAGTTGTTTTTAGGAAACCCCCAAAATTGTTGAGATTTTTTTTTTAAGGGCACCCCCAAAATTGTTGAGATATATTTTTTCTTACCAAAACGCCAAATTGACTTGCTAAGATCCAGGACAAAGCGGCACATTTCAGAAATTCCCCCCAGGCGTCATTTCTGCCTTTTAAGGAAACCAACAAAATTGTTGAGTTTTTTTGGGGGGAGGAGTCGCTGAAATTGTTGAGAATTTAAGGAAACCACAAAAATTGTGGAGCTTTTTTTTTAGGGAACCACAAAAATTGTGGAGCTTTGTGGAAACCAACAAAATTCTTCAGCTTTTTTTTAATTAAAAAAAATATCTTTCTTTACACCGACTGCCCTGTCCCCCACCAAGGAAATATTCTGCCAGCGAACCAACTCATTCCTGACCAATGAATTTTAGACTGGTTCTTGGTGGCTTGTTGCGTAGCACAATCCTATGTCTATTCAGGAGCAAACTTCAGTTAAGTTCAAGAGAACTTGCTAGAAAGGCGGTTTAGGATTGCAGCTTTAAAGTCAACACTGCATTCCTGCAGGATTCAATGGGATTTTCATCCTGTGTTGCATAACTGCTACTCCCCCAGACAGGAACTGCACGCAACAAAAGATTCAAATCATTAACAGCTGGATCGTACATGACAATGCAGAACCGAGACTGCAAGTATTTAAACATGATTTATTCTTCGCATCCCCACCACCACGTTAAGATTTCTCCAGTTGCAATAGGGACAGTTAGTTACTCCCAGTACAGAACAAAGTGAATCACCCCCTTGTTTCTCTGTTACAAATCCCCGCTCTGACTTTTCTCTTTAGTTTAATTCAGTTTTTATTATTTTAAATCTAATACAACAATTTATATTCCCGGAACCTTTCCACATAATAAATCCAATCTTTATCTTCCACAAACCTTTCTCATGAAACGGTGTCTCTCACCTCTTCCCATCTTGCCACCCTTTCAGAGCCCCAACCTCATGATGCCCAAATCCCAAAAAGACACAATTAAATTGACAAATAGATAAAAGGAGTGGAGTGATAGGACAGAGGATGGGGGAAGACAGGATTTCCTCCTTCCCCCGCCCCGAGATTCTCCATCAGGTGCTCCAGGTAATCCTTAGAATGCCTAACTCATTAACTTTTACACCCAAAAGTATTCAATGTGACCCTGATATAATATAAACTTAAGTATAATACTGACAGTCAACCTGTACAATAAAGCAGGGATGGGAAACCTCAGAGCAGGTGGCTAAATGCTACCCTCCCAGCCTCTCTCCCTGGCCCTCAGAACCCCTTGGCTGAAAATGCATCCTTGAAATCTGTTCATGTCATTCACTTGGAAGATAGGAAGGGGTATAGAAACTAGCCTATATTACAAAGGTAACATTGACATTAGGCCTTCCACTTTTGCCTCTGGCCCTGCCCACCATTGACTTGTGGCCCTCGGAAGGCTGCCCCAAAGGGAATGCGGCCCTCATGCTGAAAAAGGTTTTCCTGCCCCGGCCTGAATGGCAGAAGCATGCCTGCTGTGCTCCTTTGCATTCTGCCATAGAAGCTTGCCTCCCCGTGTGTCCCAATTTAACCAGTGGTAAAGTAAAGGTAAAGGGACCCCTGACCATTAGGCCCAGTCGTGGATGACTCTGGGGTTGCGGTGCTCATCTCGCTTTATTGGCTGAGGGAGCCGGCGTACAGCTTCCAGGTCATGTGGCCAGCAGGACTAAGCCGCTTCTGGCGAACCAGAGCAGCACACGGAAATGCCGTTTGCCTTCCCGCCAGAGCGGTACCTATTTATCTACTTGCACTTTGACGTGCTTTTGAACTGCTAGGTTGGCAGGAGCAGGGACTGAGCAACGGGAGCTCACCCCGTCGCAGGTATTTGAACCGTCGACCTTCTGATCGGCAAGTCCTAGGCTCTGTGGTTTAACCCACAGCACCACCCGCATCCCTAACCAGCGTTATTCCATCCCAATTTATCCAGCATTAAGCAGTTCTCATTATCCCCTCCCCAAGACCAGGAAACTCCTGGCCACTTTCTTAGGCAGAGTTTTGAAGAAGCACTTGCCTGGAGCAGGACCATTTGTTCCTTGCACTTTTTTAATCCCACTTTTCCTCCAAAACTGCTCAAGGTGGCATAACCTAGTTTTCTTCCTCCCCGTTTTATCTTCACTACAACCCTGTGAGGTAGGTTAGGCAGAGGCCATGACAAGCCTAAGGTCACGTAGTTGACTGAGTGGGGATTTGAACCCTGAACCTTGGTCTCCCATGTCCTAGTGCGACACTCTAACGACAGCACCACACTGGCCCTAGCTCTGGAAGAAGAATATGACACTAAAATCTGCCTAGGAGGAAATTAACTCAGAACAGCGATTGCTGCCGAAGCGTCTCAAAATCAAGTAAGTATAAAAGCCAAATTCCTGGGGAGGCTCCTGTTTCTAATCAATTCTATGCTGACTCATCTTAAGTGAATGACTCACTGCTCCTATTTTGTAGCAATGAAGGAGTAAATGAGCGGACGTCGTCTAGCAGTTAGAACTTGAGCTGCCAAGCAGAACTCCCAGATTGGGTAGAGAGACTTTTTCCGGTGTAATAATGCACGAAGTCTCAGGCATGCCATGCACAGCCCAATCCTGTGGCTATTTATTTGGAAGTAAGGTTCAAACTACATGTTACATTGGAGCTCTGCGTTTGGGCTGCCCAACATAATTTTATTTTTAAATTCAGAGCCTCCCCACCCTTATTTGGATCAGGTCCATGGTACGGGGGGGGGGTCCAACCTTACCCCCCATGCCATTGCTCTAATCCAGCCCCCCCCTTAAATGCTTTTATTAGGGTTGCCATATTCCCAAAAGTGAAAAGCGTTGAGCCTTTTGGGGCTTTGTCCTGGATCTTAGGCAAGTCAGTTGAAAAATTCTGGGTTTGTTTTTTTAGCGTTTTTGTAAAAAAAAAAAAAAGCTCAACAACTTTCTGGGTGTCCTGGTTTTTACTTTTTGAAAAATGGCAACCCTGGTTTTGAATCAGGATCTGCTTCGTTTATGGTTGATGTTGAGAGAGACAGTGTGGTAGAATAACCAGGCTGCTTTGATTTGGCTTGGCTTTGTTTTGGAATATCAGTACAGAACGATCATTTCAGGGGGAAGAGATTCTGATGTAGCCAAAAACAGCAGCACCTGCAAACAAGAGGGAAGGTATCAGCAGGCTTGGGGAAACACCAAGGTTTGAAGGAGTACAAAATTGTCTTCAGTTTAGGGAGGGAACTAGGCTGGGGAACTCCTCACAAAGCACAATGAGAACTGGGTGTACATTGTAGCTACAGAAAAATGAATGACTGAGCAGGGCAGTGTAAATGGAATGGAATTGCAGAATTGTAGCGTTGGAAGGGACCACGAGGCTCATCTAGTCCAACCCCCTGCAATACAGGGATCTTTTGCTCAAGGTAGGACTCGAACACACAACCCTGAGATTAAGAGTCTCAGGCTCTACTATCAGGAATAAGGCATGACTAGCGGTAACCCTAAGCAGACTGATGCAGGTTCCACTTACCGTATTTTTCGCTCTATAAGACGCACCAGACAATAAGACTGGTGTTTTGGAGAAGGATAGTTTTTGGAGAAGGAAAACAAGAAAAAAAATATTCTGAATCCCAGAAGCCATAACAGCAAGAGGGATCGCTGCACAGCAAAAGCAACAATCCCTCTTGCTGTTCTGGCTTCTGGGATAGCTCCATAAGACGCACACACATTTCCTCTTACTTTTTAGGAGGGAAAAAGTGAGTCTTATAGAGCAAAAAATAGGGTATATCCCAATATTTTCCACTCATTTCGCGTCTCCTGTTCTGCGGAATCAGCAGGGGAGCATCATTCCAGATTCATACTTCTAAACTCTTAGGTAAATCTGTGGCAAGGAATACCATATATCAGGCATGTGCTCAGGGTGTGATTTGTGAATAAAACAAGCCCAAGCAAGAATGCCGCCAGAACGAGGGTCGGGCACAAGTTGGGGCCAATCTCTCTCAACTTTCTGTTTTGAACTTGCTGGAACGTTCTGCATGTTGCAGCGTGCCACTGCTCTGCCTTATCACTGCTCTGCTACTTTAGGATGCATAATCTTTCTGTGTGACCAGAGAGGTGTGGGAGAGGAAAGTCCCATGAACTTGAAGTGAAAAGGGTAAGCTGCAGCTGTATCTGCACATTTAAACGTTAAACATTTTCTAGCCTCTAGGACCGTAATCCTAGAGTGTAAACGCATTGAAGGAAATTGGATGATACTCAGAAATCTGATTTGAATTTAAATACTAATTCCTCTGTGTGTGTGTGTGTCTAATTGGAGACTGATGACAATACCGTTGCTTTTTCTTCCATAGAAGAACCCTGTAAAGGATTTCTGATCAAAATGCAAAAATGATGATCCAGACCTTTTTATTCCATGCTTTTGTGAGTTGTAAAACTGCTATAGTTTTTGGTCGGAGTCATTAATAAAGGGCACCTGTGCTAGCCTTAATTCAATTGGGGTTTGTGGCTGCTCCACTTCAGGAATTTTGTGGTATTAGCTTTATTTGTGCATCAGGGCACAGAACCCAGAGGACCGGAACACAGTTCGCTGGCTTCAAATTGACTTCACTTCCAATACTGTGTCCTAACTGTTACTCACAGAATTCCTGGAAAAGATCCAAGTGCTTGTTGAGAGTAAAGTCACAACTGGAAGTTTTTCCATTAATTCGAAACTTGGGGTGCCCCAGGTTACTGGAGGCTTCTTGGAATACACAGTGATGGCTGGTGCCAATTGGGAATGGGCAGCAGGCCAGGAGGCCAACAGCAGGGTAGAGCTAGAGCCAATGACAGATAGAGCCAACTAATTTAAGTTTTATCCTCATCCTCCATCTTTCTTTTCTTCAAATGCTTTCCCTGGGGAAACCCACTGTTTGCTTGATGTTTGTTCCATTCAGCCATAAACAGTGGATTTTCCCTGGGGAAAGTAGTGGACGCGTGCCTAGAAATCATGGGATAATAATAATAATAATAATAATAATTTATTATTTATACCCCACCCGGCTGGGTTTCCCTGGAGCTAAGGGACTAAGGAGCAGGAGGAAGATGACAGGTAGTGCTGCCCCCTAGACTAGTTGCAAGTAAAAAAAATCAGGCAGGTGGGGTGCAGGCTGAGATGGATGTTGATGGGGCAATGCCCCATTTGTCTTAATGGTCCAGGCTTCACTGGGAATATGTAATATTTGTGATTATTTTCAAATATATACCGTATTTTTCGCTCTATAAGACACACTTTTCCCCTCCTAAAAAGTAAGGGGAAATGTGTGTGCGTCTTATGGAGGGAATGCAGGCTGCGCAGCTTTCACTAAAGCCAGGAGAGCAAGAGGGATCAGTGCGCACTGATCCCTCTTGCTCTCCTGGCTTCACTTCGCTGGAGAGGCTCTGCGCAGCTTTCCCTCTTTGCGCAGCGCCCCTTCAGTGAAGCGGCAGGAAAAACGGAGCCCCTTCCATTGCTCCTCCCACTTTGCTGGAGAGGAGCTGAGCAGAGAGGGAGAGAATTTTTTTTTCTTGTTCTCCTCCTCTAAAACTAGGTGCGTCTTATGGTCGGGTGCATCTTACAGAGCGAAAAATACGATAGGTTGAGCCTAGGTGGAAACACGGCTTACAGACTCTAACAGACAGCTAAAGTCCACTGTTCTGGCATCAGATCTCCAGGGAGACACAGTGGGCACCCGGAGATCTCTACTAAACTCAGTTTGTTGTTGATGTGTCTCATTCAAACAGCAATCTTCTTAGTTTCCTCTCTCACACAGTTACCGTACCTTCCTGCACCCAACCCACACCGCCTACTAGAGGGTATTGGAAAGTGGATGAGTCACTTCATCAAACTATCACTTAATCTTCTTGGACCTTCTTAGGTTTTCCATGAAAAACTGCCTCCTAAATATCAGGGCCATCAACACGTTTTTGGGTCAAATTTAAGGTCCTGCAAACACCATACATGTAATGTACTTTTATAGCACATGACTCCCTCCCCCAAAGAATCCTGGGAACTGTAGTTGATCCTTCCTAGCACCTTTAACAAGCTACAGTTCCTGGAATCCTTTGGGGGGGGGGAGTCATGTTTGGGGAATCAAAACTGGATTGTGAACTTCATCACAGCAGCCTTAATGTGTGTGCCAAAGTGATCAAGTCTGAGACCCAGAATCTTTATTTGCAAGGGGATGGAAAACAACCATTAAAGTTCAAAAGCTCTATTTACTAACCAAACTTTTACACAGCTAGGGCATCCTCTCTCTTATGGAGAGCTTATGGCATGGTTTGCAGGAACAGGGCAGTAAGCAATTTTTGGTGATTCCCCATCCCACTTAAATCTGCTCTAGGGGGTTGGAAGGGTGGTTGCAGGGGAAATCACTGAAATTGCTTCCTTTAATGGTCCACTAACAGAAGCCATACCACTAGCTGAGCTTTACTATTGAACACAACCCATTGGGACTTACTTCTATAGTCTTAAAATCAGCAGTTTTAGTTACCGGTATCTGGTGAATTTGATTTTAGGTGTGTCTCTGCCAGAAATTCTTATGCTGCAATTGTTTTTATGATAGAAAAACTATGTTATGGGGCAGCCAATATAAATATAAATATAAATATAAATATAAATATAAATATAAATAAATATAAATATAAATATAAATATAAATATAAATATAAATATAAATACTGTATAGGCAAGTGAATAAATATGCCAATATATAAATACACGTGTTGGAATGATGGTTTTGCAAATGATTAATGAGTTAAAAAGCAGGTGGTTAGTCAATTACAGTGGTACCTCAGGTTAAGTATTTAATTCGTTCTGGAGGTCCATTCTTAACCTGAAACTGTTCTTAACCTGAAGCACCACTTTAGCTAATGGGGCCTCCTGCTGCCGCTGAGCCGCTGCTGCACGATTTCTATTCTCATCCTGAAGCAAAGTTCTTAACCCGAGGTAATATTTCTGGGTTAGTGGAGTCTGTAACCTGAAGCTTATGTAACCTGAAGCATATGTAACCCGAGGTACCACTGTACAAATTATCTAATTGCTTGACAGACTCAGTTGTCATGAGACAGTTGCTAGAGATTGTTTTTATAATATAAACAGCTGCTCAAGTAAAGGTACAGTTTGGTACTATTCTCAATTCTTATTTTCAGTTGAAGCTCAATTCTAGGAATGAAATAGTTCTTTATTAGCATGAATGAGTCTCTCCCATGACCTCCTCACCTTTTAAAAAAATGCTTTTGCCGTCTGAAATTAGTAAGGCTATGCAATAGATATAGATATGGTATTTCGCATACGATCAGTTCTGATTTATGGCATTTGCACGGGAGAGTGACATCACTGAGAGGAGAAATATGCACTTGGAAGAGGCTCCCCAAGAAACAAATTAAATGCTCATTGGGAAAGCTGAGCACATTTTGAAACTGGTGCACTTCTCAAGTTCACCTTTAACTAATGAACATGTTCTCACACAAAGCTGCCTGTCATAAGTGAGATTAACTGAGAATACTTTAGAATGCCACTATTTCGCTGGAATTCATAGCATGACAGCGGAACAATTCCTTCCTTTTATATAATGCCTTTCATTAAATGTCAAAGAGCCGATGTTGGGAGAAATTGGGACGGCAGTGGGGGGGGCATGGGCAATAAGAGAGCCAGAGAGATGGATTTACATTCTCATTGCTACTGATCTTAAAAGGTGCAAATGAGTTCCACAAATGAGCAACACCAGCCTGGGAAAGAAAAACTCCCTGAGGAGTTCATCCTGAAAGAAAAAAGCAATGAAATAAAGGAAAGAGCTTTGCATAATTTTGTTCTGTATGAACTCGGAATCTGACAAGTTGCTGACCACATGCAAATGACTTCGGCTCTGATGTCGTCCTTTGAGTGCACACATGAATCACATCGAAAAGGGTGGCATGAGCAATTGCTTTGCCAAAATCTGAAACAAATCAGCACTCCAGCCTATTTATTATCAGGGATATAAAGTCATCCGTTTCATCAGTAGAGCTAAAAGGTAAAGGACCCCTGGATGGTTAAGTCCAGTCAAAGGCGACTACGGTGTTGCGGTGCTCATCTCGCTTTCAGGTTGAGGGAGCCGGTGTTTGTCCACAGACAGCTTTCCAGGTCATGTGGCCAGCATGACTAAAACGTTTCTGGCGCAACGGGACACAGTGACGGAAACCAGAGCGCACAGAAATGCCGGCTACCTTCCCACTGCAGTGGTATCTATTTATCTACTCACACTGGTGTGCTTTTTTTTTTTTTTTTTAAATATTTTTTATTGCATTTTTCCAGATAGAAATACAAGGTCAGATATACAAAGAAATAACAGAAAAAAGAAAGAAAAAGAAGAAAATCATCTTTTCAAAGCATTTTTCCATAACCAACCGGACTTCCCCGTCCCCCTCACCTTGCGTTCTTTACAATAAAATTTTTCAGCAAATTATAACCTTATTTCGTGCATTCTTTTGTTCTTTCAAATACTTGTGATTTGCGTTTAAAATGCTTATTGTCAATTTACACTAATAATATATATAATGTTCTTTTAAACGTTAGTCCTTTCATTAATTTAGCTTAGTTTCCCATACCTTAATCTTATTGCTGGAGCTGAATTTCCCTAATCATGCGAATTCTTAACATTCATATAACTTATAAAATTTTTGTAAATAATCTTTAAATTTTTTCCAATCCTCCTCCATTGCTTCTTCCTCCAAATCTCGGATCCTGGCAGTCATCTCGGCCAATTCCATGTAGCCCATCAATTGCGTCTGCCACTCTTCCAGTGTGGGTAAATCTTGAGTCTTCCAGTATTTTGCGATAAGAATTCTTGCTGCTGTAGTTGCATACATAAAAAGGTTCTATCCTTCTTTAACACCTTCTGACCGACAATGCCCAGTAGGAAGGCCTCTGGTTTCTTGGGAAAAGTGTACTTAAACACTTTTTTAACTCATTATAGATCATTTCCCAGAAGGCCTTCACTTTTGGGCAAGTCCACCAGAGGTGAAAGAATGTCCCTTCAGCCTCCTTACATTTCCAACATTTATTATCAGACAAATGATATATCTTAGCAAGCTTGACTGGGGTCATGTACCACCTGTATATCATTTTCATAATATTCTCTTTCAAGGCATTACATGCCGTGAATTTCATACCAGTGGTCCATAACCTTTCCCAGTCTTCAAACATAATGTTGTACCCAATGTCCTGAGCCCATTTTATCATGGCTGATTTGACTGTCTCATCCTGAGTGTTCCATTTAAGCAGCAAGATATACATTCTCGAAAGTACCTTGGTCTTTGGTTCCAACAATTCTGTCTCTAGTTTCGATTTTTCCACCTGGAAACCTGTTCTTTTGTCCAACTTAAAAACCTCTTGAATTTGAGCATAGTGAAGCCAATTTTGCACCTTATTCTTTAATTTTTCATAACTCTGCAGCCTCCAAGTTTCTCCTACATTTTCTATAATTTCCCCATATTTCAGCCAACCAACCTCCATATTAGGTTTTTTCCGGGCCTTGGCCTCTGCTGGTGAAAGCCACCTCGGAGTCTTACCCTCTAATAAGTCCTTGTATTTTGTCCAGACCATAAATATTGATTTTCTAACAATGTGATTTTTGAACATTTTATGAACCTTTACCTTGTCGTACCACAAATATGCATGCCAACCAAAAGCATTATCAAACCCTTCCAGATCTAGAACATCAGTGTTCTCAAGAAGTAACCAATCTTTCATCCAGCAGAAGGCCGCAGCTTCATAATATAATCTCAAGTCCGGCAGGGCAAACCCCCCTCTTTCTTTCAAGTCAGTTAGTATTTTAAACTTTATCCGGGGCTTTTTGCCCTGCCAAACAAACTTGGATATATCCTTCTGCCACTTTCCAAAACATTCCACTCTGTCCACAATCTGTAGGGTTTGAAACAAAAATAACATTTTCGGCAATACATTCATTTTTATAGCAGCAATTCGACCCAACAAGGAAAGTTTCAATCTTGACCAGATTTCCAAATCTTTTTGATTTCCAGCCAACATTTTTCATAGTTGTCTTTAAATAGATTCAAATTTTTCGCTGTCAAGTGAACCCCTAGGTATTTCACTTTTTTACCACACTTAGTTCTGTTTCCTTCTGAAACCCATCTATTTCTGAGGGTGTCAAGTTTTTCCCCAAAACCTTAGTTTTTGCTTATTCAACTTAAATCCCGCCACCCGACCAAACTCATGAATCAATTCTAATACTCTTTTTGTACTAGATTCTGGCTCCTGTAATGTTAAAACCAAATCATCTGCAAAAGCTTTCACACACTGGTGTGCTTTTGAATTGCTAGGTTGGCAGAAGCTGGGACAGAGCAACGGGAGCTCATCCCGTCACGCGGATTCGAACCGCCAACCTTCTGATCGGCAAGCCCAAGAGGCTCAGTGGTTTAGACCTCAGCGCCACCCGCCTCTGAGTAGTATGCTATGTGGAAGAAGGCAGATTTTTGTGACGTATCTCATGGTCAACTAGAATGTCTGTGTGCATCTAGATCTGACCTTTAGATGTTTCAGCATAAGCAGCAAAGGGACAAAATAATAACCTTTCCAGCTCTCTGTTGTGTTGTGGACAAATGCCGGTTCCATCGGCCTGAAAGCAAGATGAGCGCTGCAAACCCATAGTTGCCTTTGACTGGACTTAACCATCCAGGGGTCCTTTACCTTTTTTTTTTTTTTAACTACTCAGAGACAGCCACAGAGGCACACTTTGCCACCTTTCCACGGTTGAAGAAGCCGAAAACAAAGCCAGCAGCCCAACCTTTGCCAACATGGTACCCTCTAAATGTTTTGGACTACAACTCCCATCATCCCTGACTATTAACCATGCTGGCTGGGGATGATGGGAGTTGTAGTTCAAAACCCTCGGGGGGGGGGGGCAGGACCAGATTGACAAAGACTGCACTGGCTCAACAGAGTATTTATAATACAGAAATGCTCATTTTTAGTATGTTCTTTTTCTTGAGGAAGTTTACAACAGAAATCAAACAAAAAACCCAATAAAAATCAAACCGGAAAATATTGCTGCATACATTAATATACCTAAATGCATAATATGTGCCACTTTATTTAAAGTAGTCCCACTCATGTCAACTGTGAAAGTATATATCCCGGCATGAAGACATTTTGTTCAGCTATTTTTAACGTGGTTTGTTTCCAAGTGTGAAGTGCTCGCTGACATTTCTGTGAAGGGTGCGAAATAAATGTTAAGTGCTTATTAAAGTATTTCAGTGGGTCTACCGTAGAGTAAACTATTTGAGACCTTTGCAACAACTGAAAGGAATGAGGATAAAAGATAACACACAGGATGATAACGGAGGACAAAAATTAGATTAAAACAAAAAGCAAGTTGACCAGGTTCCTACTTTACAGAGTACAGTCCCCTATTTGAAGGACTGGCCAAGGATGATTCTCTGATTGAATGCATCATCTAGGTTAGGTGTGGGGAACAATTGGCCCTCCAGATGTTGTTGAACTACATAACTTCCATCAGCCCTAGCAAGCAGGGCCAATGGCCAGGGATGATGGGAGTTGTAGTACAGCAAAGGTTCCTCACCCCAACTGGAGGGCAGCTGGAGGGCAGTCTAAAGACAAAAAAAAAAAAGCATAAGAAAGAAAGTCTTTAAATTGCCCATTAGCAGGCAGCAGCAGACTATGCAAGCAGATAGGTTTACTCAAGCAGTATTCCCAACTATGGTAAGATATTTCTGTTTTATTTCTATATTTCTGCTTTAAATCAGAGGTGGGGAAGCGGTGGCCCTCTAGTTTATTATTGTTTGTTGTTGTTGCTGCTGCCGCTGCTGTTGTCGTTGTTGGTTTCTATTGATTTATTGGGTATTTTTGTTGCTCGTATAGTATATTTTGTTTTTTAACATTTGATGCTTTGTTGTGTTTTTATATATGTTGTAAGCCACCCAGAGTGGCTGGGGAAACCCAGCAAGATGGGTGGGATTTAAATAAAAAAAATCATTATCATCATTATTTTTAGTTGTTGTTGTTGGACTACAACTCCCACATGCCCAACCCTTTGCTGATGGAGTCTGTCAATGGTGTTTTCCACAGACACCATTTCCCCTCACTCCTTTGGCTTCTAGGCTGGTAACCAAGAGGCAGGATGATCTGACAGGCCTAGGAGCCTCCTTTGCTGATTCCTACTATGTATCTTTTCGGAAGACGCAATACGAGAGAATGGGCCAGCTACCCTAAGTTGGTGTAGCGTAGTTTGCTAGTGCCCAGGGAGGCCACACGCACCGTGGGGGTGGTGGCGGAGGGTGAATGGAGCCTTCCATGCCAGCCCAGCCCTTGCCGGGTGTTATGTACTGAAGTCAAGGCTGCCAGAACGCACCCCCCCCCAAACAAAGCCAAGTGTGGCTGCGCTGTCACAACCCTTGGATCACCTCAGCCTCACATAGCAGCTCAGGGCTGGCAGGGCGGCATGAGATTAAGATCGGATCCCAGCCTCACAAAGTGGCACAGGGCTGGCAAGGGTAGTGTGAGGAGCCAAATGTGCAGCGCCCCCTAAAACAAATGCGCACGGGGCCCCACCGCCATGCTATGTCCCCCCCCCCCCCCAAGGATGCTGTCTTGTAGCCAGTTTTGAGGAAAGATTCAGCTGACACTTCAGTTGGTTTCTGTCGTGGGCAGGGAGAGAACCATCTTGACTTTCACCTCAAGCAGCAAAAAGTCTTGGGTCAGGACACAAGAGCTTCCCACACTGGAGGAATGGCAGATGAAAATGATGGACTACATGGAATTGGCGGAAATGACTGGTAGAATCCGCGACCAGGGAGAAGAGTCGGTGGAAGAAGATTGGAAGAAATTTAAAGATTATTTACAGAAATATTGCAAAATTAATGAATGTTAGAGTGATGTTGGATTGAAGATAAGTGGCTTCTAGCTGTACAGGTTTTAAAATTATAAATATACCAAGATTAAGGATTAGGATTAAAAAGGTTAAAAGATTGGAAAAATTGGTTTTTAATAGGTAAAAACTTAATGTTATAATATATTAGGATTAAGGATTGGGATTAAAAAGGAGGGAAAGAAATTGCTGGACTAACAAACTGAATTGGAATACAAAAGAGGGAGGTATGAGGAGGTCCGGGAAACAAGTAAATGTAAAAGAAGTTATGAAAAGACGGAATTGTTTTTAATTGTTTTTTCTTTTTCCTTTTTGTATTTTGTATTGTGTATTTTTCTTTTTATTCTTAAATTTTCCTTTTTTATTAATGTGATTCCTTTTCTGTGAAACTTTAATAAATATTTTTTTTTAAAAAAAAGTCTTGGGTCAGCCAACATCAGGCAGGCAGACACACATTCTTCCTTGCAATGCTTTCAATGAAATCATCCCCATTCTCCCGACACCGTAGTTAATTTCTAAAAAGAGATAGACAGATCTGGGAAGTGGCACTGGCAGGGGAGGAGAAGGTTTTTGCAAGCCTGCTCTCTCATCACCGAAAGCCTCACCCAACTTGTTCCGAACTTTAAACCCGCTCCAGCCTTCTACGGGTTTTTATCAAAATGATAATTAACTGAAACTCAATTCTACAACAGAATGTCCCATGGAACGAGTTGTATCGCCTTTGGTGAATTAATTTTAATGCAATTTGTTCCTACCTAAAGTTGTATGCGTCAAAGGTTAAAAGTTCTGCTCGGCTGATTAATGCCTTATGTTGGATATTTATTTTTCCAGGGAATCTATGTGAGTTCATCATCCTGGGGATTATGATTTCCTTCTCTAACAGGCTGATGATCAACGCTAAAGGGGGAGATCGCTGAGAATGCATCATATCAGCTTTCAGCGTCATTGGGAGAGGCTTCGGGGAATCTCAGCGCACAACAATATACAATATGTAACATATTATTACCTATTAAATGCCTGATGTCAGACTATTTCTTGTGTGTGCTGTTTGGTTTGGTTCATGATTGCTATATAGAACATTTTATATCTCAACGTCTATGGGGACGTTAAATTTCATTTGTTCTTGGTAGTGGGCTAGGAAAGGGGTCATAAAGCCTAAGCATATAGGATTACAGTTGCGGAAGACATAAAGTATTTTCCTTATAAGTGTTTTTTTGTTAAACTAGCTCACGAGGAATTTAAGAGAAACATTGGGCCGAAATGCTTCCCAGGGTATAAGCCCCATTGAACTCTTGAGATTTACCTCTGATATTTAGGATTTCTCTCATTTAGGATACACACAATCTCTTTCTTTCTCTTCTCATAATGAATGAGTCATGGATGTTTTTATCATGAGGAGGGCCTGTTATTTTCCACACCTTCAATTCCTCAGTGTGGATTTTGCAGTGGGGAGCAAAGACACAGGTCCTGGCCATGGAAACAGTGTATAGACGGCTGCCACTCAGAAATAATTTTACTGGCTTGAATTGTACCCTTTCTGTATCTCTGCGTGGAAGATGACGAGTGGAGGTTGATGATGACACGAAACAGGACCTTTTCAGTGGCTGGACCAACATTGCGGAAACTCTTGCCTCCACGAAGCAATGAGAATAGCTATAGACAAGTGTGGCTTATAGGGTCATCATGGGTTATAGTCAACTGGGGATGCAGGTGGTGCTGTGGTCTAAACCACTGAGCTTCTTGGGCTTGCTGATCGGAAGATCAGCGGTTTGAATCCCTGCGACTGGGTGAGCTCCCATTTCTCTGTCCCAGCTCCTGCCAAAGTAGCAGTTTGAAAGCACACCAGTGCAAGTAGATAAATAGGTACCACTTCATCGAGAAGGTAAACAGCGTTTCCATGCGCTCTGGCACTCATCACAGTGTCCTGTTGCACCAGAAGTGGTTTAGTCATGCTGGCCACATGACCCGGAAAAGCTGTCTGCGGACAAACACCGGCTCCCTCGGCCTGAAAGCAAGATGAGCGCTGCAACCCCAGAGTCACCTTTGACTGAACTTAACCGCCCAGGAGTCCTTTACCTTTACCTTTTTTACCTATAGTCAACTAACAGTTACTCAATGAATTTAATGGCCTGTTAATGAAATCACGGGTTGTATTCAAGCAACTGAGGCCCATTCATTTCAACAGGTCTATCTAAAGCAGGCATAGGCAAACTCGGCCCTCCAGATGTTTTGGGACTACAACTCCCATCATCTCTAGCTAACAGGACCAGTGGTCAGGGATGATGGGAATTGTAGTCCCAAAACATCTGGAGGGCCGAGTTTGCCTATGTCTGATCTACACTGAGTAAAGATTCGTTGAATGAAACTTTGTGGTTGTTAAGTACTGAAGTTCTCACCCTGGGCCAGCAGGGGGATACTGTAGATAGTTTTCACTCAGGTCCGCGTCAGTTATTTTAGGCGGGAAACCCTGCGTTGTTGTTGCTACACTGTTGACAGCCGGCTGCCTATAAAAGCAGGCCAGCTGAGCTGTTTGCAGCTCAGTTCTGTTCTGGCTTACAAAATAAAGAGCTGCTTTAGAGAAATCGCTGTGTCGTCTGCTATGTCAACCCACAACTTAACAGTGGTATTGTATTTTTATGCTGCAAATCGCCCTGTGATGAAGAGTGGTGTGCAAATTTAATAAATAACAATAATAATTAATAATAACAGGCAGGTTCTGTGATGGATACTATTACATACAATTCCCAGAGAGGTGCATGTGTGAAATGTAAGGTCCAAATAGCTATTTGCTGGTAGATCAATTATTTTCGCCCAGGATTTGGGCCTGAACACTTAGATTATTTATAAGTAAAACGTACGGGGGGGGGGGGGAATGTGTTTGTGTTTATATATGCACACAACTGCAAGAGTTGCTCCGAGTGATGGTTTTCAGTTTACATGTTGATCATGAGTGGGAAGACAGAAATCACTATTGCAGTATATCTAGAATGGCGGAACCACATTTTAAATACATTCATAGCAGGCATATGTGAATGTGCAAGCAGGTAAGCAGTCGAGTGTGTTATTACAAGAGAATATTAAAGAGTGGAAAGGAGCAGGGCTTTCTAGACACTTTTATTAGCTCTGTATCTATAATATACTTCATTTTTATAACAGTTCACTCGTCTTTGCATTTCCAGGTCTTTTATATTTATTGCTTAGACTGGGATTTAGGTAGTGATAAATCTGCCATTCCTATTAAAACTGATGTGCTCTGCTTTGAGTTCATGGGTTAAGGCGGATGACAAATTGATTTTTTAAAAGTTTAGAAGATAAAAAAAAAATGTTTAGAAGGTGTTGCTCAAGTATCTCCTTACAGAAGTCAAATCCCACAAACACGATCAAGTATCACAAATATCCAAAAATGAAATTCACTGTTACTTACCATTTTCTGCAACTAAACATGTATACATGGGATATTTTGAAGGGAGGGGGGAGATGGGAATTTACACATTTGGTATACTTGTGCTTTTGTAGTTTTTTATATGTATAAAAAAAATGCAAACCTAAATATTTTTTTAAAAGAAAACCACTCGGAACCAAATCACCCACATCGTCCCTCCGGTGGGCCAACAGCTCTAGTAAAAAACAACAACTAGGTAGCAGCAGAGAAATGCCAGATTCAGCCAATATATGTTTTGAGGATGGCATCTGCATCAACTACAGTAGGCTTGCAAGTTATGCAGGGATTACATTCTGGGGATCGTGCCTAAAGCTAAAATCACGTATACAGTGGTACCTCGGGTTACATACGCTTCAGGTTACATACGCTTCAGGTTACAGACTCCGCTAACCCAGAAATAGTACCTCGGGTTAAGAACTTTGCTTCAGGATGAGAATAGAAATCGTGCTCTGGCGGCAGCAGGAGGCCCCATTAGCTAAAGTGGTGCTTCAGGTTAAGAACAGTTTCAGGTTAAGTACGGACCTCCGGAACGAATTAAGTACTTAACCCGAGGTACCACTGTACTTAAAACCCAAGTCATCTTCCCCGGAACCCTGCCCTTTTCCCTCCCTCCCTCTTTCTTTCTTTCTTTCTTTCTTTCAATTGTCACACAGATAAAGCTGAATGTGCACAAATTAAATGCATGCAAGTTGCAGGCTCTCCATACTGCAAGCAACACATTTCCCAGGCTCAGTGTCTTCATTTTGTTTTGGATAATTCTGGACAGGCAAATGAATTACCTCTTCGCAGAGCACACAGATAAACGATGGAATTCGCTCCTACCGATGGCCACTAACTTAAACGGCTTTAAAAGAGGATTAGACAAACTCACGGAAAATAAATCTGCACAGTGGCTACTTCCCATTATAGCTATTCTCTGCCTGTACTGCTGGAGGCAGTACTCCTCCAAATACCAGTTATTGTGAATCGCAAGCAAACTTGCACTCAGGTTCCGCTTGTGGGCTTCCCATTGGCGTGTTTGGCTCCTTTTGAGAATAAGATGTTGGACTAGATGAGTCTCTGGCCTGATCCAGCAGTGCTTTCCTTACATTCTTATTTACAGAGCCTTGCCGTCCCGGAGTCTGCGAAGGCAGACTGAAAGCTAGGAAACACAGTTGGCTGTTAACTATTTTTATTAGGTTGGCACAACTCGTGCACATGCCGTGAAACGATTTGACACCTTTCCAACTTTTTCCTTCCTAAGTGCTTTCCTTGGTACTCGGTAGGAAATGTACACGGCGTGCTTGTACGAGCTGATTTGCGTGGCATTTAGGGTTAGGGAATTCTAGAAATAAACCGGCTTCAAATAGATCGCCCTAAGAAATGGACCACAAAATCATCGGTGTGAAGGTGAGAAAAGCCTCAAGTAGGAGTTCAGCTTCCTGCTTTCCACCATGAGAAATTAGGCACAGAAAGGGGAAAGCCAAAGATTTTCTTGAATGTCTTTCAGCTTTTTTTTACTTCCATACTAAATCCCAAAATGCCAGATATATTGATGAGTGTACATATCGTTATGAGTTTGGGGTGGGGAGCAGACTGTATGCCCAAGCTCCCTTCTAATTCCTGGATTCAGCATGGATTCAATTCCTGGAATTGCCAGGCTAGCTTCCTGGTGAGGAACTGGCCCTCTCGAAGTATGAGCCATTAAGGTAACAAAGGAAGAGGCTCTGCGCCAGATAACAACTCACTGGTAGTTAGAAAGACAAAGCCCAGATTGTGTGTAAGCTAGAAGCTGGAAGCAAGGCAGGCTGGGAAGCCAGGGAGTCAGAGCCATGCCTGATTTTTGCTGGAAGCCAAGGCTGTGGCTATGAGAGAAGCAAGACCCTCTGAGGGTGTTAATGTTATGAACCCGGCTCAGGTTGTGCATATGTGTAAATAAACCATATATCCTAAAGACACTGCAGTCTCTGCTGCCCCACATTCAGAGGAAACCAAACTCTTGGATAAGCACCTTGAACCCCTGGGAAAGATGGGAGTTGTCGTCCAAAACATCTGGGGGAAGGTTGCTCAAGCCACCTGCAAACAGTGGCAGACCCATCTATTTGAACAGAAGCCTGCCAGTCATCGACAAAAGTGGAGACAAAAGGATCAAACGTTTGAGGAAAAGGAATGTTTCAGGCAGGGAGCACGTCAAACACCTCTCCTGTCCATGGTTTACCTTCCGGCAGGGTGCCAAGAGAGGAAGTGAGGTTAGCTAGGAGAAAAAGGCTAAGGCAGGATGCAACCTCTGATTGGCCCTTGGGGTTCTCACAAGCCCCACCCCTGCTCCTCGCCCTCCTTTTAGTGTTTCCCCCTGGCTTGAATGCGTCCTTGAATTCTAATAATGCCTCTCGCTTGCCTGAGCGGAGGGCAGAGAGGGGTGTTGAAGTGTAGCGTACAGGACAAAGCTGAAATCTACCATCGTTGCACTTGTGCCTTTGGACCTGCCTGCCACTAGAATCTGGCCCCTGGAAGGAGGTAATGTAACTTTGTGCTGACAAAGACTCCACACTAGAGAGCTATGGGAAGGTGAGTAGCACATGGGTCAGTTCCTTTGGCTCTTGGGGTCTTTTCGCTCTAAGGAGCTAGTTTCCCTACCTGCTGCTCCCCTGTTTTGTATGTGATTGGGGCAAGTCTATATTTAAATGTGAGGTGGGAGTCCTTTGGAGTCCAATTCCCATCAGGCCTAGATGGTAACAACTGGAGAGTCACAGGTCCCCTCACCCGATTTAAAGGCATGTTGTCTTCACTAGGAAGTCAGATAATACTTCAGAGCCTTTTTAAAGAAATAAGAAGAAAACAACTGAAGCCCTGTTACACTTCTGTGTATTTGTTTTACCTTCAGCAGTTCCAGAAACACACATCCAGCTATTTTATTAAGAGTATCTATGTTCCACTTCTAGTTTTGAAAGCATGGACTATTACTGTCCAAAACCAAAGTTTTAGGTTCCAAACGCTAGTATTATATTAAATGTGCCGATACGTAGGTGTTTTGTTTTGGTTTTTTTTTTATAAAAAAGCTGGAACCATATAAGTTTCTTAAGGAGGCAGAAAAGAGGGAGAGCGTTCTGAGCTCATGCTTCTTTTTCCATATGGAGCTACACATGTGGTGAACATCTGTGTAAGTTGTAAACTTGACTTTCCGTACTGCGTGCTCACTGGGGTATACAGGCGCACAACCGCACATCGAGAGAGATCTGAAGCACACACACACACAAAAAGATGTGTGACACGGACAGTATGTAGATATCAGCATTCGGCAACTAAAACTACAGGTCGGAGTGCGCTCTCTTTAATTGATCAGGATGACAGGATCTCTTTTAAAGCTGCTTAACGAAGGAGCCCGCTTTGCAACAAAGCATAACACAAATCCTCGCAGTGGAAAATAGAAGTGTGCGTTAAAAATACATTTTGTCCAATTTTTGGCATTGAATCTGGTTCCATTGGGAAACTGGGCCAGCTTTCAAGAAGCTGGATATTTCTGAGCCTTTCTTTCTTTCTTTCTTTCTTTCTTTCTTTCTTTCTTTCTTTCTTTCTTTGGCACAGTGTCCTAATCAAATATTCCACGTTAATAAGGTACCTTGGCACATGGTGTATGTGACCATTCCTACTCAATGGGACTACTGCAGGCACATTCTTGAGTAAGGACCAGAGCAAGAGACAGGTGGTGAAATTTCCCTGCTTTAGCACAGGAAAATCTAGTTCAAAATGTTCAATCTGTTTCAGAGAAAAACTAGTAGGCTCACACACACAAAAGCCCTATGGATTTCATGGGACTCACTCCCAGGCAAGTGTGCACAGGGATGCTTTCCTTCTATGAGAAGATCGTGGAATCAAGCAAACCTGTGTTCAGATTCATGATAAGAAACAACGGTTTCATTTCAGAATAAAAACTTGCTCAGGAGAAGTTCCGTTGGATTTACTCAGATAACTCTGTAGTTGTTGGCACCCATCTGACTTGAGAGACAATGGAGTGCACCTCCGAGGGTGAAGGCAAATCACTGTTTTAGCAAGCACCTAAGTGACCTCCCTGGGGTGCAAGCCTGGGCAGTGTGTTTGGTTTTGTTTTTTTAATTTTAAATTTTTATTGGAAATTTTATTTACAACATAACATAACCCCCCCACCCACCAATACAGAAATCCACCCTCATTAAACGTGAACATAACATACAATAAGCATAACATACAACAATACAAACAACCAAATAAAAGACTTCCTTTATCCTATATCTGGCCTCCTTATTTACTTCTTATAAGCTGCTTCCTTTATGAATAATTATTAAGATTTTTCTAATTGTAACTTAAATATCCACAAAGTCTCCTGCAGACATTAATCGAAACAAGTCAGGTATGTATTTTAGGGCACTGTTTTGTGAAGTATTCTCTGCATTTTCCCTATGCTTTTTGAAACTCTCGCCTAGTGTGGTCTCTAATTGCCTCTGTTAATCTAGCCAGTTCTATATACTCAGTTTGTCTTGCCATTCCTTTTTTGTTGGCAATTTCTTTTTTGTTAGCAATTAGGATCCTACCTGGGCAGTGTGTTTGGAGGTCCTAGGCTGCCCAGACGACAGCCTCACTGCTGTGGTCCAAAGGAAAGTAGAGCAATATGTTTGGCACCAGGTTCGCTACAGGTGTTGCAGGAAGGAGGCATACAAGACGCTATCCAACCATCTCAGGGACTCCCATTTCAGATTTGTCCAGCTTATACTCCTTAGCCCATTCTTCTCCCCAAGACATCCCGCAAGACAGTGGAGGTTAGGATCAGAGTTTTCCTTCTCTGAGATCGGCTACCTTCCCAGGTTGATGAGCCTCACTTCCCTCTACAGCACATGCAGACCAATTCTTGATCAATGGATCCACTACTGGTCTCATCCACTCAATCCGCCAGAGCCTGTCTTCACGTGCAGGGGAAGTCCCTAACTCACCGAGGGTTTGAGATCCATCTGTAGTAAAGAAGTGGTAATGGTCTAGTGCAGCAACAATCAGAGGTGAGAACTCTCCTTGTATGTATCATAACAATTCTCCATTGCAATAGCAGATTCTAAATAAAAGGGAGGAAGATGGCAGCCTTGGGCCATAGCTCAATGGTATTGCATGAAAAACTCCCCTGTTCAATCCAGGTAAGGCTGGAGAAGACCCATGTCTAAAATCATGGGGACCTACTGCCTGCATATCAATGTTGTTCAGCCTCAGATCCCCATACGCTGTTAGATTTCCAACTCCCATCATTTCCAGACGGTCAAGGATGAAGGGCGTTTTAGTTCACCAACAACTGAGAATCCAAGGCTGAAGAATACTGGTGTAGATAATACTGAACTAGATGACCAAAGGTCTGATCCCCTGTGCAACCAGCTTCCTCATTGTAAAAAGAAATCAAATTATAAAAATGCTATACAAATAGGAGTATGGGCCATTTCAGCTAGTTGTGAACTTGCTCGGCATTGTATTAACCAGGAATTCCCATTATGAGAGCTCATTTATTTTTATTTTGGCCTACGGTCTGATTCCTCTTACTGAACACCAGTAACGGGCAAAAAAATTGACTCTCTGAAAACAAAGAAATCCATATGCTCCACGAAAGTGCACATGTATTCAGCAGTTATTAGCTCTCCTGAAACGTAGCTGTGTTTCACAAATGCAGTGGTTGTCGTTTATTTAATCCATTGTTGATGGATTGGAGAAAGATCAGATTTCCCCTGACTAAGGATTACTCTCTTAGCCAGCATGCAATTTATCAGAACCAATTTCTGCAAATAAGGATCAGCTTTCCTTCCCACAATCCTGACCTTCAGACAGCTTGGTACAGGTGGTATAGGAGAGGTCTCTACTGAGTTAGTAGAAGTTTTGAAATCATTTATATATTACACATGAGTCATATTCTTCCCTCACTTTGCCTATCTATATAGGAAAGTTACATAGGCTGTTGTACGTCAATAATAATAATAATAATAATAATTTTTATTTATACCCCGCCCTCCCCAGCCAAGACCGGGCTCAGGGCGGCTAACACCAGGTATAAAAACAATTGATTAAAATACAACTTAAAAACAAGATTAAAATACATTAAAATGCAGCCTCGTTTCAGTAGAAACTCAAAACAAAAACTTTTTGGGGATGAAAACACCAAATCTTCACCAAGGCCAACTATCCAGGCTGGTCCTACGTGGGCCAGAAAAAAGTCGCCAAATAGGAGTTTCATCACAGAAGGAGAAAGGGAAAAGGAAAGAGGGGAAGGGGATCAAGTTGATTCCAGGCCAAAGGCCAGGCGGAACAACTCTGTCTTACAGGCCCTGCGGAAAGAAATCAGTTCCTGCAGGGCCCTGGTCTCATGAGACAGAGCGTTCCACCAGGCCAGAACCCGTGTTGAAAAGGATGCCATTAGGTCCAATGGCACTAATGCCATTGGACCTAATAGTGTAAAACAGCCTTCTTCAACCTTGGACTAAGGTTACCAGACGTCCCCGTATCCCGGGGACAGTCCCCGGATTTACAAATCAGTCCCCATACAAAATCAATTGAAGTTGAAAAGTGTCCCCAGATTCATTGAAAAAAATCTGGTAATCTTGGACCCCTCCAGTCTAGTCTTTATTGTGGGTCTACTCTGTAACATGTTTTTTTTTACACAGTAACAGTGGATTTATTCAGCTTTAGTTTGTTCTGCAATGCTTCTGCAATTCTGACACATGATTGCTGTCTGGAAGAGTCTCGAGGACAACAAAAATGGGACAAAAAATGAATCAGAACATTTGTGCTGTGAAACGTTATGGGATTTCAGCAGGAAATTATGAGATATGCACTTATTGGAAGTGAAGGGGTGTGCCCAGCTCAAAACCTTTGCAGGCACAAACAGTATTTAAAGTTTGTATTTAAAGCACCAAAGAGCACAAATCATAATGAATGTCGGAAGTGTGTGTGTGCTCTTGGTGTCTTCCAGATGGACTACAACTCCCATCATCCCTAGCCATTAACCATGATGGCTGGGACTAATGGGAGTTCCAACAACCTCCGGAGGACACTGGGTTGAGGACGGCTGGCATAAAATATATCCACTTTTCATAGGCTCATTTGGAGCAAATACATGGAAGAAGGGAAATCAGAATTGCAACCACCATCACTTGCTATTGAACCCTTTTAATTGGAAATGCCAGGGATTCAACTTTTCTACTTACAGCAGATGTACCCTACCACTGAGAGATGGTTCAGGAGGATAGACAGGACCAGAACTGAGGCCAGGAAGGGCAAGGAGAAACTGAGGACCATGTTTCAGACCATTAATCCAGCCTGAAACACAATTTGAGTGCACTCACATATATTGTGGATTCCATGCAAATGAATTGGTGGAAGGCTGCGATTAGTCAGCCAAAGTATCCCTGATTCTTCTTCTCTGGGGAGCTCCCTTGTACCCGCATGAACATGCGGAAATGACTGCAGTTAATTAAATCCCAGTGACATCATTTTATAACATTGCGTGACTCATTGGTTATCAACAAAATCAAGATGCGTATTTCAAATGATCTCATCTGGGAGAGACATTCGCAGGAAGTGTTTGTGCGCTTTTGTTGTTGCTGAAACGGCACTATTGTGTGTTTGCCAGGACAGAAACTCTCCTTCCATCGTTTTAAAACACAGCGATCCCTTTGCTTGAAAAAAGAAATGTTTATCTGGTGAGTGAACCGAGGCCATTTGACTTCAGTGTATTTCATTTCCCCAAACTGGCACCGCTTCTAACCGGGTCCCTTCTCAGACAAATCTAGCCAATAATTAGTTCAAAAATCAGAAAGGTAACGAGCAAAGGAAACTGGAGTTTGGAAACAGGTTTACTGGGCTTTCCACCTGTATCGTGTTGGTCACTGTGAGATTCTGGACTTGATGGGCCTTAAGGGGCCTGATCCAGCCTAGTTCTTCTCATGTTCTTACATAATAGGACAGCAGGACCCATTGGAAGGCAACGTGGGGCACGAGAGGAGGAAGCAGACACAGATACCAAGTTGTGGATGGGAGGGCAGCAAGATCAATTATCCTTTCTGCTCACAGAAACCTGAAATTTGTGCTGCACAGGACAACACTTCATCCTTCTGTTCCAGTTGGATGGACAACCTTAGGGTGTTGGGCAAGATCTGAGGAAATTGGGAAATCAGTCTAAAGCTGCCAGAAAGATCTGGTTGGCCACCATGCGGGGACAAAATGAACAAGGGGTGTTATGTACTGAAGTTCTCACCCTGGGCCAGCAGGGGGATACTGTAGATAGTTCAGGTCCACATATGCAAATAAGGGATTGAAAGTGACGTTCAGTGATTGGATAGTTACAGAAAGTGGTTACTGTTGTGTTCTAGTGGAGCTCTATATAAGCAGGCTGGCTGAACCCTTCAGTTCAGTTCTGTTCTGGCCTGTGAATAAACAAGAGCTGTTTGAAGAATCGCTGTGTCGTCTGATATGTTCACCCACAACTTAACAAGGTGGGTTTTTTATCTTATCCAATGTGGCTCTTATATAACTAGTACTGTATCAATCAGCAGAACAGCCTGGCGCTTGGTCAGATGGGAAAATTGCAGGACCTGGATGAATGCCTTAGGATAGCAGAATCTGATCCTGTGAAGGCCCACTTTATAGAACACTTGGTGGGGTACCTCCATCCCAGAGGTCTAATTCAGCCCAACAGGTCTCCCCATTTGGCCTGCAAGGCTGTTTCAGCAAAGCCACACCCACCTGCCCTACACCTGATGCCAAATATGTCATTAGGTCTGAGGACAGGCAAATCGATAGGGTCTCTAGCAGAACTGGGAAAGACTCCTCCCAGAAACTTTGGCTGGTCAGTGTACACAATACCAAGTGATCTGACTTGAAATTTTGGTGCACACAACAGACGTTTAAAGCACATTCCCCCCTCCCTCATCCTGAGGATGCTGGGAACTGCAGCACTGTGAGGGGAAGACTACATTTTCCAGGATTGTTCCAGCGGGGCAGGGTGTGCTTTAAACATATGCTGTGTATGCAACCTGGGTTTTTATATACAGTGGTACCTCAGGTTAAGAACTTAATTCGTTCTGGAGGTCCTTTCTTAACCTGAAACTGTTCTTAACCTGAAGCACCACATTAGCTAATGGGGCCTCCTGCTGCCGCTACGCCGCTGCTGCATGATTTCTGTTCTCATCCTGAAGCAAAGTTCTTAACCCGAGGTACTGTTTCTGGGTAAGCGTAGTCTGTAACCTGAAGCAGCTGTAACCTGAAGCGTCTGTAACCCAAGGTACCACTGTAGTCAAGCAGAGATTAATTCAGCGACAGGGAACCTGTGGCTACTGTTGGACTACAACCCCCAGTGGACCATTGGGCATGTTGGTTGGGAGTAATGGAAGATGGAATTCAACAGAATCTGGAGAGCCACAGGTCCCACACCCAAAACCTGATGAGAGGTCCTTCAGCTGCAAGGAGTATAAAGGGGCAGGACCTTTGCATGAATTAGTGGTGTTTCTGAGCACCCTACAATTTGTCTTCTCTAGTGAAAACCCATCTGAGAGTGAGCAATCTCGGTGGGCCAATTCAGGCATCTCACCTAAGAGCTTGCAGCTGCCAATGAACAACTTAAGATCTAGTCACTTGTCTACTCACTTGTTGTCCTTCCTAGCACCCCAAGAAAGGTCAACAGAGAGTTCTGCTCTCCTGCCTTTTCCTGGCAACTTCAGGAGCATGGGACAGGTGGCCCAGACTTGAAGGTGGCATCACAAGGGTCACCCCTGGAGCCACCTATGGTCTGGGTCACAACCCTAGGGACGGTGACATCACAATTCAATCCCACAACATTGCCCTTTCTTCTTGTGATCTCAATGCTCCCACAGACACAAACTCCAAAGGATGACGGAGGAAGTCTAAGGTAAGCACAGAGCCCTCAAAAGCAAGAATAATAGCAACGAGTAGTACTTACGATAAGGGACGCGGGTGGCGCTGTGGGTTAAACCACAGAGCCTAGGACTTACCGATCAGAACGTCGGCAGTTCGAATCCCCACGACGGGGTGAGCTCCCGTTGCTCAGCCCTGCTCCTGCCAACCTAGCAGTTTGAAAGCACGTCAAAGTGCAAGCAGATAAATAGGTACTGTTCTGGCGGGAAGGTAAATGGCGTTTCTGTGTGCTGCTCTGGTCCGCCAGAAGCAGCTTAGTCATTCTGGCCACATGACCCGGAAGTTGTACGCCGGCTCCCTCGGACAATAAAGCGAGATGAGCACTGCAGCCCCAGAGTTGGCCACGACTGGACCTAACGGCCAGGGGTCCTTTACTTTAGTACTTAAGATAGTTGAACCATTCCTTTGCGGCTAGCATAGATCTTCACCAGTGCAGGCACTGAGAACAGGGTACATAGATCACAGAACATGGGACACACAACAAGCAGGGATCAAGACTGTTCTGAATTTCCCACAAGAATAGTTTGAACCGTTTAGCACTGTTGCAGGTTTTGGTGGGACATGAGCGGTGCCCGTCTTGCAGGAATAGCAGGATCTAGAGTAACCAGGCAAGGGCTGGTAGAGGCAGGCGAACAGACCAGACCAGAAGGGAATGCCAACCAAAGGGCATGGAGAAACAAGGACCGGGCCATTCATTCATTCTTATCTGTACAAACTGCAGATCAGACAAAATAAGCTGCAGAACAGAACAAGGACAAGCAAGTCCAAAACATATATGCTTATCCTTCATTACAGCATTATTATAACAGCAGTCAGCCGTGTCCACAGTTATGGTGTGATACAAAATAAATGAAAGAAATGGAGACTCAGGGTGAAGGACTGAGTTCAGAGCATGATCTCATTCTCCCCCTTCCCGCTAAATATTTTGGAGCCCCAGCCTATTGCTTTATCTGGAGGAGGGGAATCAGATTCCTATCACCTCATGCTAATAGGGCCAAGAAGTCTCTGAGTCCTGCCATGTCAAGAGAGCTCTCAGGAGGCATGGGCAGGCTGGCTCCCTGTGATCTCCCCACCCAGCAGCTCCCCTCGAAAGCAGAAGAAGAGCGAGCTATGCATGATTTCCCCCTTCCCCACAAACATTTTCAGCCTAGTTTCTGGGCTAGCTTCTACAGCAGTGTTAGAAACTGAGATACAAAAGCTAGGAGCTAAATGGCACCTTAAACCTTGGTTAGGGGCACCACAATGGAATGCCTAGGCGGGCTTTTTTATAACACGAATACAAAGCTGAAAATGAATGAACTGCAGCTAAAATATTATGTTCATTTTAAATATGGTCTAGTCCTTCCCCTGCCCACCCCCTAAATATTCTTAAGAGGGTTTCTTCTCCTGTCTTCAGAGAGTAGCTGGAAGTGGGGAGGCAGAAAAAGGTCCTCCTTTCCTTCCACTCTGCAGTTTTAATCTGAAATCTTAGGCGCAGTACTGCGTCCAGAGCTCAGAAGCTGCTCGCGCTGATGAAATTCCCTGTCGCAAAACGCGCCCAGGACAATGGGAGTTTCGAACGCTATTCTAGAGATGTACCCCAATAATATTGCCATGGAAGCTGATTGGTAGAGACCATGTTTTGTACACTAAAGGCATGGGTAGGTAAACTAAGGCCCGGGGGCCGGATCCGGCTCAATCGCCTTCTAAATCTGGACCGCGGATGGTCCGGGAATCTGCGTGTTTTACATGAGTAGAATGTGTCCTTTTATTTAAAATGCATCTCTGGGTTATTTGTGGGGCCTGCCTGGTGTTTTTACATGAGTAGAATGTGTCCTTTTATTTAAAATGCATCTCTGGGTTACAGTGGTACCTCGGGTTAAGAACTTAATTCATTCTGGAGGTAACCTGAAACTGTTCTTAACCTGAGGTACCACTTTAGCTAATGGGACCTCCTGCTGCCGCTGCGCCACACAATTTCAGTTCTCATCCTGAAGCAAAGTTCTTAAAGTACTATTTCTGGGTTAGCGGAGTCTGTAAGCTGAAGCATCTGTAACCCGAGGTACCACTGTATTTGTGGGGCATAGGAATTCATTCATTCTTTTTTCTTTTCAATATATAGTCCGGTCCCCACAAGGTCTGAGGGACAGTGGACCGGCCCCCTGCTGATAAAGTTTGCTGACCCCTGACTAAAGGTCACTGGTTTGAACTCCAGCAACTCTAGGAAGGTCTGGGGGGAAAGACTCCTTCCCAAAGCCCTGGGAGAGCCATTGTGAGACACTCAGCTAAATGGACCAATAACCTGACTCAGCACAAGGCAACCCTTTAGCTAGGAAATTGCCATGTGTTTTATCTCTGTGTGTGCAAGAATTAGGCATCATATTTTATAGATAGATATCGATAGAGAGATAGGTCACACATACATACATACATACATACATACAAACAAATGAAATGAAGGGCAAGTTCTCTGCTTCAGTCTTCTCCAGTAACCTTTCAGTGGCACCAAAGTACTGTATTTATCTAATGCTCACCAAATTACGTTACGAAAATTAAGGCGCAACTTAGATTCGATGGCACATTTACATTCGCCAACAAATACTTTTTTCGGTTCTAAGCTTCTTAAAACTTAGATTCGATGGCGCATTAGTCTCGAGTAAATATGGTACTCTCAGCCGTACTTAAGTGAAACGAGGAAAGACCAATGGAAGAACAAGTCTCGGCATGTACTCTTGAGTTAAAGGACCCCTGACCATTAGGTCCAGTTGTGGCCAACTCTGGGGTAGTGGTGCTCATCTCGTTTTACTGGCCGAGGGAGCCGGCGTACAGCTTCCGGGTCATGTGGCCAGCATGACTAAGCCGCTTCTGGCGAACCAGAGCAGCGCATGGAAACGGAGTTTACCTTTCCGCCGGAGTGGTACCTATTTATCTACTTGCACTTTGACATGCTTTTGAACTGCTAGGTGGGCAGGAGCAGGGACCGAGCAACGGGAGCTCACCCTGTCGCAGGGATTTGAACCGCCGACCTTCTGATCGGCAAGTCCTAGGCTCTGTGGTTTAACCCACAGCGCCACCCACAACCCGCCAATCCTGGGCCATATACTGGCCAAGTGAGCTGGTCCAAAGGATGCTGGATCTTAAGATTTTGGCTGACCAGGCTTACCAAGATCTGGTGCCTTACTCTGTCTCTTGATTACCTAGAAATCAGTGCTGACAATTACAGTGGTACCTCGGGTTAAATACTTAATTTGTTCCGGAGGTCCGTTCTTAACCTGACACTGTTCTTAACCTGAAGCACCACTTTAACTAATGGGGCCTCCCGCTGCCGCCGCCATGTTCTCATCCTGAAGCAAAGTTCTTAACCCGAGGTACTATTTCCAGGTTAGCGGAGCCTGTAACCTGAAGCATATGTAACCTGAAGCGTATGTAACCCGAGCTACCACTGTAATCCCAGACACGGCATGGGCAAGGGAGAAGCTTGCAAGAATATTTTGACAGTTTAACGTTGCTGATCGCTTAAACCAACTAGACGGCTTTCAATTTTTAAAAAAGCCCATCAGTTACAACAGAGGTGGAGAACTTGTGGCCCTCTAGATGTTTCCGAGCTACCGGGGGTGGGGGTGCGGAAAGAACATATCTATATATAATCACTATGATTGTCTAGGACTGTGGCCAACAAAAGGCTCCACAGCAGACAGCAGTAGAGAATGGTCAGCACTATAAAAGGCACATAAATCAGCTACCTGAAACCATAATTGCGACAGAAAAGAAACAAAACTGAATTTTGAAAACGGTTACCCATATCCACTTTCCTTAACATCGATCGCCTTGCCAAAGCCAAAAGATTAACATACCTGTTTATCCAGGAATATTTGTTTTGTTAATATGATACCTCAACAGTAGAATGGATCAATGTGATACCTACATAGTCAGCTTGCTTGTTTTCTTTACAGGCTAAATTCGAGAACACAAAATTCTTTTTGTTGCTTAAGTGATCTCGGCTATTCAGCCATTCTCAGAATGAAACGAGCATGTGAGCTCCTTAGGTAACATATGGTATTTTATTAATTTAAAAGACTTTAGTTAAACAACTTTTGGTAAATTGAATCCAGCCTAAATTAATTTCCTTCGAATGAGTAAGGTACTTAGTATACCCCATGTCTGTTCAATCTCTCTTGACTTGATTATCCCCCTGCAAATACAACCTTATAAATAATGGCGCTGCAGATATACCAGTGAAAGGGTTTAAGTAGGCAAAAGTGCATCTTTCAGACATATCATTATTTTCAGAATACAGTACCCAAGAAATCACAGTCAGGGAAGGTAAATGTCAGCTGGCCAGCCTTCTCTGAACTATTCATAAATATGTGCTGTCTGCAGCGTTATGTCAAGATAGTCGCTCAAGAAAAGGTTATGGGTTCTTATTAGAGGTGCATGTTAGTTACAGCTACTTGACAGTCACAGCTAAGCATGAGCAATGATTGTGGGATCATGGGGAAAGGAGAGGGGGAAACAGGGACTTACACAAAATGTCGCGCAGCTGAACAGAATGCAGAAAGATCCCCTCGTTGGAAATAACTCACACAAGGACACGGATATTAGGTTTATGTTACTGGGCAAATTTTGGCCACAACTTTATTGAAATTACAGAATGTGAGCGGTATTGGCTTAGGCATTGATTGGACCTGACTAAGTATCTGACTCCTGCCCATTGTGTAGGATGTCCCAGTAAGGGTAAGCCACCGGTAGGGGAGCCCTGTCGATGCGAACCAACTCAAGCCCCCCCAGTTTTCCCGTCGGGGTCGTGTCAAGGCCTTAGCCCCCCAGCCGGGCTTCAGACTAGATCAACACCCCCGGATTCCTTTAATGGAATATCCTTAAGCATGGAGGGGCAGGTGATGGCCACACCTCCCCTCCCACACACAAGGTCAAACAATGCCTAACCGCAACCCTAACAAAGTTGTGACGATTGCTACGAGGTAGGCGAAAACCAAGTGGCCAGTGCCAATTTGCCAAGTGGAAAAATTCCTACCAGGCCCCTCGGACAACCAAGGCGACCAACCGAAGTCCATAGCAAGGCCATTGCCTAACCTGCAAAATAGGGAGGGAGGGAGGGTGATTGAGGAAGCGAGCCAAAGAGGAAGTCCTCTGGCTCGCTCCTCCTTTTAAACGGCCCCTGCCACGTCCCCCCGGCTAGCGGGTTGGCTGGCCGGGCTATGACGTGGCCGGGTTCCCTCAGGCAACGGGGACAAGGTCCCCTGCCCCCGGTGGGTAGTGGGTGGCCATGCGGTCCACCGCAACTCCTCCCGACTGGGAAGTGGAGCGGATATGTGTAAGCTGGCTGGCACTTTGAATTGAACAGTAAATTGGTGCGGCTGAGAGACCAGCGATTTTTGGCACCCCTCGGCCGAAACCGAAAGAACTTGTGACTAAGAGTTTGCACCCAAGTCTGCTTATCTTCTCATCCCTCCTGATCCATTTTACTGTCGCGTTACGTCTTTTTAGATTGCAAGCGTGTGGACAGGGACATTTATTATTTTTTAGTCATATGTACAATGCCCCGGGAGCCTTTTTTGGCTGAATTCTTTGCATAAATGAAGCAGGTTAGGCTGTAGAAGCACAGCCCTGAGGATATGACATTTTCACTGTTGTGGGATTAAACATTCAAAATATGCAAAGGTAGCAGGTAAGGCAGATAAAATACTGTGGTCCACACTGTATTGTTTGTCTTTGGAAAAGAGTTGTTTCACATAAAATTCCAAAGAATGGCTAGCAAATATCACCACCACATTTTCAATCCATAGCACAATCACTCGAAATAAACTGCAAATACCCATACCCTTAGAAAAGCGTATTTCTTACTTAGGTGTGCTGCAATCATTGCCCTTTTTGAATAGATTGAAGCTTACAGCGAATCATATGCAGTGACTTGCATTTGCTTAGCACATGAAACAGAGGCCAACTTCATATAGGGATCCCTTAAAGTAGACATTTTCAACCATTTTGAGTCCATGGCTCCCTTGACCAACTCCATTCTTTCTGCGGCACCCCTGTGGGGCTCAGGAGCCCAGATGTGTCACCCCTTGCCTGCAGAACCGGTAGCCTCTCAGTCTTTTACAAACACCCTCCCTTGTGGAGTGTTCCCTCAGCCTCCTCTCCTCTCCCCTCTCCCTGGGAGTCCTCTGGGCAACTACTGCTGCCACCCCTGGTCTCTGAGCTGCTCTCCCTGCCCCAAAGAGAGGTGGCTCCTCCCACTGCCCCGCAAGGGCCTAGGAAGCAGCCCCTGGCCAGCTCCAGAGTCACTATTCGTCTGGAGAGCTCGCTTCAAGAAACAACTGTTCAAGCCTTTGAGAGGCAGAGACCTGAGAGGGCATCAGAGGAGGGAGGAAAGGAAAGAGGGACAGAGGCCAGTGTTGCCCACGGCACCCCTGACCATCATTTTAGGCACCCCAGGGTGCCACGGCACACTGGTGGAAAACCACTGCCCTAAAGGCATGACAGACATGTACAAGAAGATCTGCAATCAAATGTCCAAACAATTCTGAACCCATGTACGTGGTCAAAACATGTACAGTGGTACCTCGGGTTAAGAACTCAATTCGTTCTGGAGGTCTGTTCTTAACCTGAAACTGTTCTTAACCTGAGGTACCACTAATGGGGCCTCCTGCTGCCACCGCCACACAATTTCTGTTCTCATCCTGAAGCAAAGTTCTTAACCCAAGGTACTATTAGCGGAGTCTGTAACCTGAAGCGTCTGTAACCTGAAGCATCTGTAACCCGAGGTACCACTGTACCCTGTTATCTAGTTACAGTGAATACTGCAGCATGGCAATGGGCATGTGAAATTCTATGAAACTTGCATAGCTCCAGGGGTCTAACTGTACCACATCCTGTTCAGCTCAATATTATTTTACCTGTTCATTAAGATATTCAACTGATCCTTCAGCATGCCTTTTCATCGATATTTAGATTACGGTGGCTGCAGAAGAACAGCACAGTGTATTTATGCTTGGAAAGCATTCACCTGTAAAAGAAAAAAAGAAAAGAAAAGGTACAGGAAGCACAACAACAACAAAAACCTAGCAGCGTGGCTTTTGTTACTCATAGAGAAAGAAAAGCTGTCTAGAACAATTTGTCCTTAATGGCTGTTTTAGCTCAAGAGAGGCCCTGAAGTGAAGAATAAACAAACTGTCAGAGGAACAGCGAGGAAGTCTCTTAAGATCAAGGTTAAGGTTCATTGGTACAACTGCTCTGAGGCAAAACATGACCACATCTTGGATTCATCTTGCCACGCAGATGAATGCAAAGGTACGGATGCAGCGGTTTTTCTTCTCGAAACCTCTGCATCCATTAAACATATCACAATGCTTTTCGCTTTTTCGCCTTTCCAAGGGAAAAGGTAATATTTTATGGAAGTGAAAGATTATTCCGTACAGAGGAATTCAGCCAAGGTTTGGAAAATGGGACAAGATATAGTGGTACCTCAGTTTTCAAACGTCTCCATTGACGAACGTTTCAGTTTTCGAACGCCGTAAACCCGGAAGTAAATGCTTCGGTTTTCAAACATACCTCGAACACGCCTCGTGGCTTCCGTATTGAGTTTTACGTATTGAGTTTTTGGTTTTCAAACGTTCCGGAACTCGGTTACATTTGAAAACTGAGGTACCATTGTATACCCAAAGAAGTGGAACTAACCTAATGGGGGAAACCAAAGCTAGCAAGCAAACCCAACATCCCTAACACTCAAAATATTTTATTAGTTGTGCATCCCAAATACAGATCTTTCCCCACCCCCAACAGCTGCCTAACTGGACATTATTATTTCCCTTTCAATAGAAGCATCCATTATCTACTGCTAGATACTCTCCTTGAAAAAGGCACTCTGAAACATCAGATGGAACACTTTATCCCAAGTATGTATTGATATAAAATAGATGTGAGCCAAAACAAACAAACACACACACACACACACACACACACACACACAGCCTTCGTCTCATCTCATCTTATTTGCTCAAGTTTTTTAACTAGTCATCATTTCGGCATGGCTGCATTGTAAACATTCTGATCAGCCTTGTGCAAAGGAAAACACTTGCCAAAGCATTTAAGGTATAATCAGATCTTTAGCCACTTTTGGAGAGCCACAGGTTGCCTATCCCCCCCCTTTAGTGTTGCACTGTTGCAAGAGAGTTACATGAGAGCTGGGAACTCTGGTTGGATTGCACTATCTTATGTTGAAATAAGCCAAGATCGTCTCTTGCGGGGGTGCAATTAGTGCCAGCACCATCCGTTAAGAGTTTGGGTGTAATCTTCGACACCTCCCTTTCCATGGAGGCGCAGATTGCAGCTACAACAAAGGCGGCATTTTTCCATCTCCGCCAAGCTAAGCAGTTGGCTCCTTATCTCTCTTGCCCTGACCTAGCCACTGTGATCCACGCGACGGTCACCTCCAGACTGGATTATTGTAACTCGCTCTATGTGGGGCTGCCCTTGAGACTGATCCAGAAACTCCAGCGGGTGCAGAATGCTGCAGCAAGACTCCTTACGGGGTCTTCGCTGCGAGATCACATTCACCCGGTGCTATACCAGCTGCACTGGCTCCCGGTGGAGTACAGGATCAGGTTTAAGGTGCTGGTTTTAACCTTTAAAGCCCTATATTGCCTAGGACCCTCGTACCTACAGGACCGCCTCTCCTGATATGCCCCACAGAGAAACGTACGGTCTTCAAATAAAAACATCTTGAAGGTCCCAGGCCACAGAGAAGTTAGGCTGGCCTCAACTAGAGCCAGGGCTTTTTCGGCCGTGGCTCCGATCTGGTGGAACACTCTGTCACAAGAGACCAGGGCCCTGCGGGACTTGACATCTTTCCGCAGGGTCTGCAAGACAGAGCTGTTCCACCAGGCCTTTGGCCAGGGCACAGCCTGACTCCCTCCCTCGGCAATCTTCGCGGAGCTCTGGCCCAATGGTTGCCAGTGGCTTGAATTAATTAATTTTATAATGAATGATTTTAGAGTGTTGTTTGTGCTGTACTTTTGTACTGTTTTATTGTTGTTAGCCGCCCTGAGCCCGGCTTCGGCTGGGGAGGGCGGGATATAAATAAAATTTATTAATTATTATTATTATTATCGTAAACCATGGTTTGAGCCTAGCTTTTTTCAATAAACTACCAAAAGTCTGTCATTTTGAGACATAGTGGTAACATGCGGTAGTTAAAACCAGGAAGCTGATGATTCCAACCTCCTCCTTGCCAGGAGAGAGAAAGTGTGTGAGTTCAACCTCTTTCATGTGTGGCCAGAGCTGTGTCAAATTTGCTAGGCACCTAGGAGGACAAAGTTACATCCATGCTGACCTTGATGACAGAATTATTACAGGTTCAATAGGCTTAATGGATGGAAGGATTTGCCTGGGCAATTGTAGTGGGACAAAGATGGTGACAAGATATTCAGCCCAGATACTGAGGTCCAGCGCCGAGGGCCTTCTGGGGGTTCCCTCCCTGCGAGAAGTGAGGTTACAGGGAACCAGGCAGAGGGCCTTCTCGTGGCGGCGCCCACCCTGTGGAACATCCTCCCATCTGATGTCAAAGAAATAAGCAATTTTAGGAATTTTAGAAAACATCTGAATGCAGCCCTGTTTAGGGAAGTTTTTAATGGTTGATCTTTTATTGTGTTTTTAATATTCTGTTGGGAGTCGCCCAGAGTGGCTGGGGAGGCCCGGCCAAATGGGTGGGGTATAACTAATATATTATTATTATTATTATTATTATTATTATTGCCAACCCTTTGGTTTTGTGGATGGGGGAAGTGCCAAGGCTATTCCACCTCCTCTGCTTTGGCTGCCCTGTCCATGGAGTGACATTTTGAAAAGGAGAGGAGTTAAGAAGTATTGTGCCCATTTGCCTTCTCTTTCTTTTTCTGTGCATGGAAGGACTTATTGAAAGTAGTGGGAGAGAGAAGCTCTCTTGCCCATGGAGGGCTTTAGGAAAGGGGAGGGGAGAAGTGTCAGGCCTGTTTGCCTCCTCTTTGCTTTGCTATCCACCAGCCTGGTGCAGCAAGCAGTGGGAAGCTGCTGCGCCCATGAAGTTTTTGGAAAACGTGTGTGTGGAACGGTGAAGGAAGAACCACAGGATCCACCTGTTTGCTGCTCTACTTTGTTTTGCTGCCTGCCAGTGACATGGAGCAGTAGGCAAGCAGCTACTTTTTGTGTGTGTGTGTGTGTGCATTGGGATGTGGGGGGAGCGTAGGAATTGCCTGTTGCTTGTTTTACTGCCTGTCAGCCATGAGGGGGACTTTTTGAAAGGGGGGGTATGAATGGAAGAAGAAACATAGGAATTGGCCCTTGGCTAGTGTGTTTGTTTTGCTGTCTGCCGGCATGTGGGGCAGGCAGCTACTTGAGAGAGGCCTCAGTTGAATGTGGGGGGAAGGATAAGGCAATTATTTCCTGTTTCTACTGTATGCCATACAGCAGGTATTGTTCTAAATCTGTTTTAGGAGGGGGCACTGCAGAGGCAACCTCATCTTCATTATCTCATTTTTTCCTACTTGTACCAAAGTTTTTTTGGGAAGCAGCATCACATTTACCCTGATTGTTATTCAACTGGTGTGTGTGTGTGTGTGTGTGTGTGTGTGTGTGTGTGTGTGTTTTGTAGGGGTTGGCATCCATTTCAGACGCATCCTTATTATCATCACCACCTTTTCTTCCTGCCAGGTCCACAGCAGGGATTATTTCCAAGTTGTCTGACAAGGGGGCAGCATAGTGCAAAGGCAGAAACATTATACACCCCGAATTTTGACATCGTTACGTTTAGGTGAACAAATAGGGCCACTCAAAATGGCTGCGCACAGAGCCCCACAAGCCATTAATCTGCCACTGGATGTAAAGGAGCATTTCTCCTGTACATAATCTTGCCCGGGCCCTTTTGGCCAGCTGAAGACTCTTCTGGTGATGCCATTTTTGCATGAGATTAGGTCTGTTGCTTGCCAGAAGGTCTTCTCGGCAGTAACACCCCAGCTACGAAAGACTCTCCCCTCAAATCTTTGATTGGCACTAAGCTCTTTTCAGCGTGCTGTTTTGTCCCCGAGAGATAATTGCTTGCACCCTGAGTTATGAGACTATTCTGACCAATGGGCTTAATAGATGGATGGTGGCTGTGTTCCAAAGCGTATTTTGTTCTCCTTTTATAGTGTATCATGTTTTAAAATGTTGCGTTCACCTAATGAGGTCATCCATCTTATAAATAAAAGGGCAGAGCTGTGGGATGCTGCGAGGGATTTACAAAACTATGCAGCGCTCTAACTGATTGGAGAGGATTTGGAGACTGTTTACAAGGCAGTCAGCCGGTTCTGTGGCCTGCGTAGAATCTCCAGCACACACAAGGGCTGCTTTCTCTGCACACTTCAGGGAAATCTATATGTTTCCAGAGCTGCTCGCTTCCCTTCACAAGGCCTTCATCAAAGTGCAAAAGCTAATACAGTCATACCTCTTGTTACGTTCGGTTCAGGTTACGTCTTTTCAGGTTGCATCCCACGGCAACCTGGAAGTACCGAAAAGGGTTACTTCTGGGTTTCGCCGCTCACGCATGCACAGATGCGCAAAATGATGTCACATGCATGTGCAGACGCAGCGAATCACGACCTGAGTGTGCGCAGACGCGGGTTGTGTTCCTTTCAGGTTGCGAACAGGGCTCCGGAACAGATCCCGTTCGCAACCAGAGGTACCACTGTAGTGAGAACAGTTAGAAATTGTAAGGCCGAGTAGGCTTGCTAAGATGTATAAGGTTGAATCATAAGTGCTGGAGATGCAAAGAGGTGGAAGGAACGTTCTTTCACATGTGGTGGACTTGTAAAAGAGTATTGGGAAACAATCCATAATGAATTGGAAAAAATGTTTAGAAGTACTGTTCCAAAAAACACACACGGAAACCAAAAACAGAGTTCTTTTTGTTGGGGATAATTCAGTTTAAATTCCCAGGTGTCAAAAAAGGTTATTTATGTATGCCACTACTACGGCCCGTGTTTTGTTAGCTCAAAAATGGAAAACAAGTGAGGTCCCAACTAAAGAAGAATGGCAACATAAGCTGATGGACTAAGCGCAGCTTGCAGACTTAAAATATAGAATAAGAGAACAAGAAGAACATACGTTTAGAGAAGATTGGAAAACGTTTATTGAATATAAGGGGGGAAATTGTGTCCACTTGAAAACGTTGGCAGCATTAAGATAAATTCAACAGCGTAAATAAGTCTTGATGGATGTAATAATGAAATATGGAATGCTTTAGTTTTTGTAAAATGTGCAGGGATTTATGAACCATGGAAAGAGAAGAAGGGATGTCATTGATATTTTAAGGATGCTTAAATGAGTATTCTAAATTGTAAAACAGAAAACTGAATATTAAAATGTATTTTTTTATATATATAAAAAAGAAATTGTAAGGCCGACACTGGGACACCTGCAGGTTCCAAACCAAGATGCCTTTCAGCTACACTGAGCTCTGCTCTACAGGTAGGTGCGACTGTTTTCCTGGCACCGGGTCTTCCATACATGCAACTTGCCCCTGGATTGGCTCTGTGCAGAAAAGCTCATCTATGCATGGCGTTTGGGAAGGGGCCAATGCAATCTCATTCCCCATCTTCATGTATTGACTGTCTTTATATCAGTCACCCGCACACAGTTTACGTGGAACAAAGCTGAGTGAATGCAAGACTTGGAACTCCCAATGTCTTTTTTCATGTCCATAAACAGCCACTGGGGACAGGGGGGAAATCCAATTTGGACTGGGCTAGGTGTTCTGGTTTGTGAATAAGTTCCGCTTCCTGTTGTGTGTGTTCCGTTTGTAAATTGAGTCTCCCACTGGTAATCAGAGGCTTCCTGTTGAGTCTGTCAGCTGTTGAGTCCCAAGCACCCATGCAACACAGAGGTGATATTTGGTGCTTTTGCTATTTTTTTGAGTTTTTGTTTGTGTGGCTTTTTCGTTTTGACTGTGACTTGTTCTTCGTTTTATGGGACTGGCTTATGACTATGGCTTGCAACTCCATTTTTGTGACTGTGGCTTGCGACTTCGTTTTTGTGACTTGTTTTTGTGACTGTGGAACCCTGTTCAGCTACTGATTGACTTTGTGGCTGCAGAAATGGATAAAAGCCCCCAACTAATGACTATCATCAGTGCACATAAGGAAAAAAATTAATTTTAATTTTTATCATCTACAATACTGTCTTATTTTATAGTACAGTGCATTGATTATTGCTTTCATTTTATGGATCAATGGTCTCGTTAGACAGTAAAATTCATGTTAAATTGCTGTTTTAGGGGTTGTTTTAAAAGTCTGGAATGGATTAATCCATTGTGCATTACTTTCAATGGGAAAGCGTGCCTTGGTTCTAGAACACTTTGGTTTTGGAACAGACTTCTGGAACTAACTTTGGGAACCAAGGTACCACTGTATTTCCCTTCCCTAAAAATGGGTTTCCCGATTCACTTGTTTTAATAGCTTCAAAATAAGTGAAATCCAGTAGTGAGCTGACATCTACTGGCTGAAAGCTGCAAGTTGCATTAAAACACAAAAAACTGCATTCATTTCAAGCAATCCTTTGCAAAGACAGAAATCAGCTGGAGGGATGACACTAACCAGGAAATGCATAAATAAAACAAATAAATAGCAAATGACAATCAAGAAACGAAGAATGCTAATAGCTAAAAAATGAATAATGTTAGTGAGAGAACAGAGAGGAAAACAGAGTTAAGGAACATATTAGCATGTGCTATATTAAATTAGGGTTAATGTCTGTGCTTTAAGTGATCAACAAATAACGTCTTGCAAGGCTTCTACTGTTTTCAGAGAAGCAAAGATTGTGCAGAGACCATTTGCTTTCATTTAACATCTCAGGTTTTGAAATGCTTCAGGTGGTGAATTTTTGCTTGGATCTACCACTCTCAGTTGGGACGCAGGTGGCACTGTGGGTTAAAACCACTGAGCCTAGGGCTTGCCTTGCCGATCAGAAGGTCAGCGGTTCGAATCCCCATGACGGGGTGAGCTCCCATTGCTCTGTCCCTGCTCCTGCCAACCTAGCAGTTCAAAAGCATGTCAAAGTGCAAGTAGATAAATAGGTACCGCTCTGGCGGGAAGGTAAATGGCGTTTCCGTGCGCTGCTCTGGTTTGCCAGAAGCGGCTTAGTCATGCTGGCCACATGACCCGGAAGCTGTACGCCGGCTCCCTCGGCCAGCGAGATGAGCGCCGCAACCCCAGAGTTGGTCATGACTGGACCTAATGGTCAGGGGTCCCTTTACCTTTTACCACTCTCAGTTACTAAAAGTTTCATTTTCAGTGACCTTATTTAGGAAATAATTAAGAAGCAACCAACAATGTACCAACTTGTAAATGTGGCTGATCATCGAATTTCAAAGCTATTGTTAACACAAAAATTGTTTGTAAATGGATCAGTATCTTAGCCTCTGATTTTTGGCAATTCTACATAAACATTCTAGCTTAATACGCACGACACAACACCAAGAATTTTCAAACTTTTCATGGACTATATGCCAATAGATACTACTGTAACTGACATTCCAGAATGTAAAGATTTACACCAAACTGGACTGTACAAACATTTTATACAGCATTACCTTGTAAATCAAATGCACCATAAATCTTTCAAGATAATCCAATAAAAAACAAAAATGTTGTACATTGCACTTTTTGATGGAGGAACTGTGTTCCTAATAAAAGTTTCCTTTTGCAAAACTCAGGAGTATGTCATAGAACAGAGCTAAGCATTTCACAGCTTTTCAGCTATTAATAGGACTCCCAGCTAAAAGGTCCCAATAAATAAAGACACATACGGAAGTCGCAGACACATAAAAAAGATGTCTTATGAATACAGTGGTACCTTGGGTTACATTCGCTTCAGGGTACAGACTCCGCTAACCCAGAAATAGTGCTTCAGGTTAAGAACTTTGCTTCAGGATGAGAACAGAAATCATGCTCTGGCAGCGCAGCAGCAGCAGGAGGCCCCATTAGCTAAAGTGGTGCTTCAGGTTAAGGACAGTTTCAGGTTAAGAACGGACCTCCGGAACAAATTAAGTACTTAACCCGAGGTACCACTGTACATAAATGTGGAACTGACACTGAAAGCCTACCCAAGTATGGAATAAGGCAGACACACAGCTGAGCTGAGAATCATTTCTGCAGTTACTGAATGGTCTCTGGAAAACTCAGACTGGAGCCCACGACAGTGATATGCAACTCTAATTCTGAATCTTCTTTCCACATCCCTGCTGTTTTCATCAACAGACCATGGGAGTCTGTGCAATAGCTGTGCTCATTTGGTCCTGAAATGAGCTATGTGCTGCAATACGATTAGCTGCTTCAGGAAGCTAGAACCAGCCCAATCCTATGCAGATTCAGGCATACCAAAGCCCATCAAAATCTATGGTCTTAGATGTGCCTAACTCTTCATGGGATCGCATTGCTAGCATAACAAAATCGGACACTGTGAATAAATTATTCTATCTGGATGCACTGGGAATCCTTAGCCTGCTGTTGCTCATGGCAGGCGAGGCAATTAGATATTAGAAAACTCACGAGGCATAAATTGACCCCAAACTTACCTTTTAGACCACCAGCAACAAATCTATGGCTATCCAGATGTTGTTAAGGTATGTTTCCGAGCACAATTCAAAGTGTTGGTGCTGACCCTTAAAGCCCTAAACGGCCTCGGTCCAGTATACCTGAAGGAGTGTCTCCACCTCCATCCTTCTGCCCGGACACTGAGGTCCAGTGCCAAGGGCCTTTTGGCGGTTCCCTCACTGCGAGAAGCAAAGCTACAAGGAACCAGGCAGAGGGCCTTCTTGGTAGTGGCGCCCACCCTGTGGAACGCCCTCCCACCAGCTGTCAAAGAGAAAAACAACTACCAGACTTTTAGAAGACATCTGAAGACAGCCCTGTTTAGGGAAGGTTTTAATGTTTGACAGACTATTGTATTTTAATACTTTGTTGGAAGCCGCCCAGAGTGGCTGGGGAAACCCAGCCAGAAGGGCAGGGTATAAATAAATTATTATTACTATTATTACTATTATTATCAACCCTGATGGAGCTGGAGTTCAACAACACCTGGCACATAGCTGTCAACTTACAGATTTGAAAATAAGGGACCAGCAGCCTTGAAAATAAGGGACCTGCAGCCTCACCTGTTCCAGGCACTCCAGTCTTCCTGTCCTCCTGCAGTCTGGTCAAACTCATGCTGGTAGCTCCGAGAACACTGTCCAACCAACTTTGTAACTAGAGGTTCAACTGAATAGAATCTGAATCACATGCACCACAAGGCCTATGCAGCCTCAACTTAAGATGGCTCCCCGGCCTGGCTTTGCACTGCAAAGTTTGCAGCAGCACGTGCAACAAAATGGCGTCCAGCATTCAAAAAACCCCTCAGCTTGCATTAACTAGCCACACACAAGGCATGCAAGCTCCACCCCCCAGTCGTTCTTAGACTTCTTATTGGGTGAGCAACACAGCCAAGCAACACAGTTGGATCCCCCCTCCTCCCTGGCCGGCAGGGAGGAAGGGAGAGGAGCTGCTTCCTTTGAAATTTAAGGGACATAATTTAAGGGACATTTAAGGGACATCCATCAATAAGGGACAGCAGCGGGACATGGCACTGGAATAAGGGACTGTCCCTTCAAATAAGGGACACTTGACAGCTATGATCTGGCAGAAGGCCACAAGTTAGTCACCTCTGAGTTAGGCCCACCCATATCAAGTAGGATAATTCAGTTTGGGGCAGCATGTGCAATCAAGGATGTCCTGGCTTGAAGTCCAGTCTTCTGCCATTTCCCCCAGAATGGAAACATTCCAGATTCAATGTAAATGACACTGAAATAACAACACGCAGGATTGCAACCTTATGAGAATAGCACAGCTCCAGTTAAGCTTAATGGACATAAAATGAGTCTCAAAAGCCCTACTCACAGGCCTACTCGCAAATAGTATAATCTTGGTGTCATGTTCCTAGAAGGAAAGGCTATGTTGTGTTAGATCTATGCACCCTTTACTGTATAGTTCAGAGTTTGGGGCTGCAATCCTATAGCAAACATTATGTGAGTGTAGCTGTTTGGGAGATGGGAGGAAAGGGATCGAGTGTGGCTTGTTACCACGGTTAGCTCAGAGATGGGAGAGAATTGCAGCTGAGGGAGAAGTGTCAGAGTGGACAATTGGGAATGAAAGGGATGAGAGGTTTAGGGAGCCATAAGCTGTCACCCTATGTCCCCTTGCATAGGAGTAAGCCCTCCTGAATGCAACAGGACTAACATTTGAGTAGACATGTATAAAGGTAAAGGGACCCCTGACCGTTAGGTCCAGTCGTGACGGACTCTGGGGTTGTGGCGCTCATCTCGCTTTACTGGCCGAGGGAGCCGGCGTACAGCTTCCGGGTCATGTGGCCAGCATGACTAAGCCACTTCTGGCGAACCAGAGCAGCGCACGGAAACGCCGTTTACCTTCCCACTGGAGTGGTACCTATTTATTTGCACTGGTGTGCTTTCGAACTGCTAGGTTGGTAGGAGCAGGGACCGAGCAACGGGAGCTCACCCCGTCGCAGGGATTCAAACTGCCAACCTTCTGATCAGCAAGTCTTAGGCTCTGTGGTTTAACCCACAGCGCCACCCGCGCCCCTAGACATGTATAGGATTGTGCTAAGAGTGTTCATTCTGCTCTGATTATACAGATTATTGATACTGAGATAAGGGGAACCTGTGGCCCAATTTAAGGTGCTCACACTAGTTTAAAGCCCTAAACAACTCAGACCCCAAAGACCTGACAGCCTCCTCCTCCTTCCCTATAAATCCTCTCAGAGGTTAAGAATGGCAGAGGGGGCCCTACTGGTTGTTTCCCCCACCTCAGAAGGTCAGGGACGTGGTGGCCCCTAAGTCATGGAACTCCCTCCCCGAAGAGATGTGTCTGGCATCTTCATTATGGCATTGTGTTTTCACGGTTATAATCCACCCTGGGACCTTAGGGGGAAGGGCAAGTTGACAACAATAAGGCTGGACTTCAATGGCCGTTATCGCTGACCATTGGGCCATGGTGGCTTGGGGCTGGTGAGAGTTGACTTTTAACAACATCTGGAAGACCACAGGTTCCCCATCTCTGATTTATGGCATTGTACATTTTGTTCATCCAAAATATTAATAACCTGTCATCCAAAACAAATCCTGCACCTGTTTGAGCAAAGTCCTGGAGTGTATTGCTTTCTAAATGAACCTATGTTGGTAGGAGAAGAACACATATGACCCCAGGATATATATTTTTAGACGTAACACCACCCTGCAACTTTTGTCCTGCAGCAAACATTTCCAGCGAGGCTCTCCTGTTTCCACCAAATCTAAACTATCATGGCACGATTGCTATTTGTAACATCATTCCAGAAAGGTTAAAATGACATCGTAGAACACTTTAACTAATCATTGGGCTATGATCTATTACTGGCTCAGTGAATCTAAAGCAACCATCACACTCCTCTGAGTGAAAATGTACCACAGACACAACAAAACAGCAATATCTTATATTCACATCAACAAGGAATCCATTCATGGAGACAGGCATATCATTCTGGATCACATGAATCTCTTTTCAAAAGGTTTGCACTGACAGACCCTGCTTTCCCAACCAGATGGAAAAAATAAGCATTTTAAAAAACCAAATGGGACTGAAATCTCTCCCCACCCTGAAATATAAGTACTTGCCAGCAGAACATGGAAACTGTCCTAACTGCAAAAGACAAATCCCCATTTTGTAATAGGACGCCCTAGAGCAGCAATGGGGACATTTGGCTCTCCTTAGATTGCTGAACTACAGTTCCCAACAGCCCTAGCAAGCATGGCCAACAGTTGGCGCAGGATGGGAGTTGTAGTTCAGCAACATCTGGAGGGACAAAGCATTGCCACACCTGTCCTACAGGAACAATTTAAAACTTCCCAAGTTTAACAGTGCACTCCTACAGGCATTTACTCAGAAGTCAACCACACTCCCTAGTTAAGTCAGTCAAACCTAGGCTGTGTACCTTTACAGCACATTCAAAGGACATTTTTTCCTCTCAAAAGAATTCCGGACCATAGCTGTCAACTTACAGATTTGAAAATAAGGGACCAGCAGCCTTGAAAATAAGGGACCAGCAGCCAAAATAAGGGACCTGCAGCCTCACCTGTTCCAGGCACTCCAGTCTTCCTGTCCTCCTGCAGTCTGGTCAAACTCACGCTGGTAGCTTCGAGAACACTGTCCAACCAACTTTGTAACCAGAGGTTCAACTGAACAGAATCTAAATCACATGCACCACAAGGCCTATGCAGCCTCAACGTAAGATGGCTCCCCGGCCTGGCTTTGCACTGCAAAGTTTGCAGCATCACGTGCAACAAAATGGCGTCCAGCATTCAAAAACCCCCTCAGCTTGCATTAACTAGCCACACACAAGGCATGCAAGCTCCACCCCCCCAGTCGTTCTTAGACTTCTTATTGGGTGAGCAACACAGCCAAGCAACACAGTTGGAGCCTCCCTCCTCCCTGGCCGGCAGGGAGGGAGGGAGAGGAGCTGCTTCCTTTGAAATTTAAGGGACATCATTTAAGGGACATTTAAGGGACATCCATCAATAAGGGACAGCAGCGGGACATGGTGCTGGAATAAGGGACTGTCCCTTCAAAAAAGGGACACTTGACAGCTATGTTCCGGACACTGTAGTTTGTTAAGGATTGCTGGGTGTTGCAACTCTGTGAGGGGTAAACCACAGCACTCAGAGTTCTTTCAGGAAAAGAATACACTTTAAATGTGCTTTAAATGTATGTGTATGCAGCCTGCATATCACCTTTCTGTAAACATTACAATAAACCTTTAAATATATATATATATAAATACATAAACAATAGATTATCCATGACATCTCCCTACTGAAGACAGCTAAAGGAGAAACAGTAAGTGCATTTAGGACTGCAGCCTAAGTCACCAGCTCTTACGTTTCATGCCTTTGCCCCAAACCGACACTAAAATGGAACTTTTATTTCTGATGCCATTTCATTAATGCATAAAAACAGCAGAGGGCCCCATAACCATCTAACTGCAATTGCATTGTTAGATCAGTTCTGGGACAGATCATTACAGATTTAGGCAGCCTCCTCCCAACAGAAACCTTACATACACGACTACAGGGTCTCCAAGTCAATTTGCCCAACCCTTTCTCACAAAGAAGGGGCTTTTAACAAACTCACCAATCAGAGTACATGCATACACATAAGAATGAATTAATGCCATCAGGTGTAGCACCCTTGGCAAATGCTTTGACTGTGCTAATTAGAGCCACCTGGACTTTTCTAGTCAGCAAAATAATTCTGTTTCATAGGTAAGGTTACAAGTTTTGCTTTATATTTTAAAGAGGACTTTTTAAGGAAATGCCAGGAGAGAGAACTACCTGTTGCATTAAACCAGTTGTCTTTAACATTGCTGTGGAACACAATGACAAATTCCAATAAAGGGTGGGCGGGTGCTTTTATTGAAAATATAAATAAAAGAGCATTATTTAGCAATTGTTATGGCGGGAGTCCCATCACAAGCATACATCTGTGAGGCCTTTCTTCCTCTCCTCCATGACATTCTAGACATTATTCCATCCTCCATTTTCTTTATTATTATAAATTTTTATTGGAAATTTTATTTACAACATAACATAACCCCCCACCCCCCAATACAGATATCCACCCTCATTAAATGTGAACGTAACATACAATATGCATAACATACAACAATACAAACAACCAGATAAAATACATTTTCATATTTAACGCTGGTCAGAGATGCACAGTTCACAGCTTCTCCTGGGCAAAGTCAGTGCAGGATTTGTCCCCGAATAGTTGGATCTCATTTGGCTCCCATAACATCAATATAAGCTCTCTGCACAACTTACTTTTGTAAGTAAACGCCATCTAACTTAATGGATGGCTGAATAAACTTGCATCTAAGAAGGCTGCAATAAAAGTTAGATAATCATCCACACAAATTTAGATAATCATCCCTGTAACACTATTACAGGAATAGGAATCAATGCTTACGTTGATTTAATGTAAATCGGGGGAAGTAATGTTTGGACAAGCTATAATCTCCACATCTCCCTTTATTTCCCATAAGCACTACTCTCTGACTTGCTTGCTTAATGAAATAAATTAAGACACACAACCACTCCATATGTAGCTAAACTGAAATACAACTAACATGCTATTCAATTATTCTGGGTAGGTTTTTTCTTTTCTAAAACAAACTAATATGGGAAAATACCTGGGCAGGTGTTGCCATTGTGAAATTACAAACTGCAGATGTGGCTGCAGTGAAAAGGCAAAGGGAAAAGTTCTGATTTGCTGTGCTTCAGAGGTCTGCTTCTTCCTTACAGGTAAGTTGCTGGGCTGGTTCAAGTTATAGCTCTCATTTCCAACTACTTTTATTTTTTATCTCTCTTTATTCCCTGCTGGATCAGAAAATGTGCATGATGACTTGTGGCTTGGCTGCCACTGCTAGGAATGACATAATGAAAAGAAAAATATTTCCTAATTATGAGATGGTTCCATAAATAATCAGATCCACAGTTAGTTTTGCTTGCAAAAGACAAAAGGAGGAACTGATGAAAATATATGTCTTTGCAAACAAAAACAAGCTGTATTGAACTTGGTAGGATATACACATTTACAGTTACCATATGTCCTCTTTTTCCAGGACGCGTCCTCTTCTTTATGGATATGTAAAATGATGGCCACCGGTTCTCCACCATGATTTAGATGTTCAGCTCTGTGCCTTTGGGCAAAGGGTTGGGTGAAATGTCCTCCCCTCTTCCAGCAGCGCCCCAAAATATTTTGTTCTAATCAAAATATTGTCCCTTTCTGGTTTTGGGCTGTTGATATTTACAAACAGGCGCAGCTGCATGGTCTGTATTTGTTACAGACAAGTGAGAAACCCATAGTCTAAACTCTGGCTCCTGGAAGCTAGTGCCAGATCTTCAATGCACCCTAGAGGCAAAGGGCTTAAGTCAATTTACTCACCTTACTTTGGGGGGCCTGTACATCTTATCAGAAGCACAGGCTAGCTCCCACTGTCCCAGAGATGTCTATGACCCTGCTTGTTATGGTGGTTGGTCCCTCTCTGCTTCTGGGTTAGAAGCCACACCCTGTTGGCTCCTCCTGCTTGTGCATAGGAAATATCAGCAGGAATTGTGGGACTTGTAGTTGTTGAGAGACTGTGTTGCATGTTAAGTTCTGGGTGAACATATCAGACGACACAGCGATTCTTCAAACAGCTCTTGTTTATTCACAGGCCAGAAGTGAACTGAACTGAAGGGTTCAGCCAGCCTGCTTATATAGAGCTCCACTAGAACGCAACAGTAACCATTTTCTGTAACTATCCAATCACTGAATGTCACTTTCAATCCCTTATTTGCATATGTGGACCTGAGTGAAAACTATCTACAGTATCCCCCTGCTGGCCCAGGGTGAGAACTTCAGTACATAACATTGCATAAGGAGGCACATTTCTCTCGGTTGACTTTCCCTCTACAAGTGCACCCGAGAAGGGGTACAGCTGGCAGCTTGCTGTTGAGAACCTTGGCTTGGTGTTTTCTTACTCAGCTTCTGCTCAACAATAGGAAATCTTGAAATACCTGGCCACATCATATAGATGGAGGAAAAGCATGACCAAATTGCTTGTCTTACAATTTTGTTTTTCACTTCATCAAAAAGATTCCAGTGCAGTTTAATGCATGAGAGGTTGGGTTTTCTAGGTAAGCAACTTCAAGGTTTGTTGCCCACGTTTTTGCGTGTGATGCATGCAGTGTTCTGACAACTAATTGTAACAACAACCTCCAAAATCTAGTTAAGTTCTGCTGTTGAATGACACGAAACCATGAATTTTATTCCGAGGACTAGCGAGACTTCTTAAAAGTCAGGAACGTTGGTTAAGCCAGCTAGGAAATTGGGAGCATACTGCGCCAAAATACTAAGAGAAAGGAGTAGTAGCTTTGTAGCTAGGAGAAACATGCAACTGTATGGATAAGCACAACTGACCCAATGCTCTACATCAGACTGGAAATGATTCACAATATTGTCCCAAAAACACTTTGGGATGTGACAGCAACTGTTTTGAAGGTTGTTGTAGTACAACAAAGACGTTCTCCCCCAACCAAATGGTATGCAGGCACCTGCCCATCTATATATGAATTAAGTCTGTTGTATGACTCCTTATTGCAATAGCTGTGTTGAACCTAGATTCCCCTAGTGTGCTAGTACCTTAATTAACAGTTGCTTTGAATAAAATTCTATTACGTTTCTTAGAACCTCTTAATCCTCGCTTAATTACAAGCTCAATTTTTCCTCCCAGTACTTTGTTTCTCTGCTGTACCTCCTGAGTGATTGGCTTATGGCAGACTCTGAATCCATAGCCAGATGGCTTGACAAATTGGCTGACAAAAACTCAGTTGTGTACAGAGTTGAAGTTGCAATTAATTTGGGCTTTCTACAATCCATATCTATCTATCTATTTACAGTATATCAGGAATGGGGCACCGATAGCTGGGGTCAAGAAGAGGTGGAAGTCCAAAATCCTCTGCAGAGGCACAGATCCTAATTTGAATATCTGTTGTTGTTGTTGTTGTTGTTGCTGTTGTTGTTGTTTAGTCGTTCAGTGTCCAACTCTTTGTGACCCCATGGACCAGAGCACGCCAGGCACTCCTGTCTCCCTCAGTTTGGTCAAACTCGTGCTGGTAGCTTCGAGAACACTGTCCAACCATCTCGTCCTCTGTCGTCCCCTTCTCCTTGTGCCCTCCATCTTTCCCAACATCAGGGTCTTTTCCAGGGAGTCTTCTCTTCTCATGAGGTGGCCAAAGTATTGGAGTCTCAGCTTCAGGATCTGTCCTTCCAGTGAGCACTCAGGGCTGATTTCCTTCAGAATGGATAGGTTTGATCTTCTTGCAGTCCATGGGACTCTCAAGAGTCTCCTCCAGCACCATAATTCAAAAGCATCAATTCTTCGGTGATCAGCCTTCTTTATGGTCCAGCTCTCACTTCCATACATCACTACTGGTTTGAATATCTATACCCTCTTTTTATGTGACCTCTTTTGCTCATCTTCAAGAAGTATCTCCAGCTACTCGGTTTCTGTGGCAGTATCTTGCCCTAGCTTCTCGAAGAAACTACATGCATGGCAGTTCTGAAGCAGACTTGACAAGTTCATCCAGGATTAAAGATTCTATGGCAGTTAGGAAGACAGTTGAGAGTCCTGGACAAATAGCAAGGAATCTGCATGATTCAGGGTGTGGATGTAAGAAATGGCCTCTTCTGACTCTTAGAAAATAATCTGGCTTTTTAAATAACCCCTTTCCTAGAATGACAAGCCAAGGGACACCAGGTATGGCATGAAAGCAATAGCTGTCCCCCACAGTTTTGTCATCCATCATCTTGCATTCAAACACATGCAACCTCTGGAAACTGGCTGATGATATCCCTTCGTATATTTGTGGATCCATGCAGATATTGTTGGTTTATGCTGTGGGGGGGTAGGTGGGGGTGACAGCTCCTCACTTTATGCAAGAGTTCCTATTTCCTTGGCATCTTCTGAGTGATGAGCCATAAATTTATGTGCCCTTACTTTTTTTCCCCTCCTGAATTTGGGTGGTGTTGTATCTTGAACATGAGAGTGACCTGCCAACGCGTCCATGTCTTGAGTTTGGTTGTAACAAATAAAATAATTCTGATTCTGTGTTGTCCTCATTCAGAATGGCTTTTCTGTGATGCAGCTTTGCTAAGCTCTTGAGAAGTATGTAGGCATCAGCAGTCAAACTTTGGCTGTTAGTGGTTCACTGTCCTAGAGACACTTTTTTTATATATACCAAAAATTTTTAAAAATGGGGATATGAATGGGATAAACTCATGGATGTGTCTGTCAGAATCCTGGGACAGATAGATACAAATACAGTGGTACCTCGGGTTAAGTACTTAATTCGTTCTGGAGGCCCGTTCTTAACCTGAAACTGTTCTTAACCTGAAGCACCACTTTAGCTAATGGGGCCTCCCACTGCTGCTGCGCCGCCACCACGCGATTTCTGTTCTCATCCTGAAGCAAAGTTCTTAACCCAAGGTACTATTTCTGGGTTAGCAGAGTCTGTAACCTGAAGCGTATGTAACCTGAAGCGTCTGTAACCCGAGGTACCACTGTATTACACTTTGGCGAGTCCTACCAGAGAGGCATCCTGACTAACTGATAACAAGGCTAATTTCCTTCCTAGTGTTTGAATTGCTTTAGATGGGTACCCCAAATCCCATACCCCTTCCTGCTTCATGTGCAGCTACCAACGGGCAGTGAATTCTGCCTTCTCCCATTGGCCAGGGGACCAAAGAACTGCTGGAAGGTGCTCTCTGCTCCACAAGCATCATGGCAATGGGTAGATCAACCTGGTCCCATCCATCAGTGAAGAAGAGGCTGCAGATATCTTGTTTGTGTCCCCCCGGTAGAAAACATGCTTGTAAGAAACTTGAAACTAAGAACTAGTGCTTGACTATGCTTTTTTCCTCCCCGCCATCATCCCCTCCTTTTCCTCGTCTTCTTGTATAGTGTATTTTAGACAGTAAGCCTGAGGGCATCTTATTATTGATCATGGTAAACTGCTCTGTGAGCCTTTTGGCTGAAAAGTGAGGTTTTTAAAAATGCAGTACAAAGAGCTACACATGCAGTAGGTTTTTTCCCCCTCCCCCAACATCCCCCAAGTTGACCATAAGAGGGATTGCTGCTCCAGGTATCTCTCACCCTAGTTTTGCCATCCGTAAATGGGTTTTGCTATTGATTCATGCACGAAACGTGTGCGTTTTGTATCGCAGCGAATGATGCCTTTTTGAGGCTTTCCACCTTCTTGAAAACATTGTTTATCTATAATAATAATAATAATAAATTTTTATTTATGCCCCGCCCTTCCCGGTTCAGAAAACCGGGCTCAGGGCGGCTAACAACAAATTTAAAACACTTAATTGATGCAACAAAAAACAGCATAAAATACAGTATAAAACGTGAATAACAATAAATTCAGAATTCAAAAATCAATTTAGGGGGGAAATCCATCCAATAAATATTAGATGATCACCAGGGCTAGCTGGCTAAATTTGTCCTATTTGGGCCAGCGAGGAGACCAGGGGAGAATTAGCTGTTGGATCCCAGAGCGGGTAATCTTCATAAAAAGGAGAGGGAAGGGGAATAAAAGATCAGGCTAAGTTCAAATTGAAAGCCAGGCGGAATAGCTCTGTCTTACAGGCCCTGCAGAAGGAAGTAAAGTAAAGACAAAACAATGAATCAATTCACATGCCGTGGATCGCTTTTCTTGCAGGTTCTCTGACAGAGAGGTTGACCTACAAGGCAACAGATACGCGCTAGAGATCAACATGACTGCCCCAGGTCAGCAGCATACGACAATTGTCAACCCTCCCCCTCCAGAATACATCAATGCCCAAGGAACTGGCCGCTTGACCAATCAGCTTCAGTATTTGCAGAGGGTGCTCATGAGAGCGATGTGGAGACATAACTTCTCCTGGCCGTTTCACCAGCCGGTAGACGCTGCAGGCCTAAACCTCCCGGTAAGAGTTTACTATGCTTAAACAGAAATATGAATAGTTAAGGAAGATGCAGGGATACACGTGTCTGAACTTGTAGCTCATCTTTCAGTGAGAAACTCTGGTGATGCAAGCACATCAGCCTTAAAGGTAAAGGGACCCCTGACCATTAGGTCCAGTTGTGACCGACTCTGGGGTTGCGGCGCTCATCTCAATTTATTGACCGAGGGAGCCGGCATACAGCTTCCGAGTCATGTGACCAGCATGACTAAGCCGCTTCTGGCGAACCAGAGCAGCGCACGGAAACGCCGTTTACATTCCCGCCAGAGCGGTACCTATTTATCTACTTGCACTTTGATGTGCTTTCGAACTGCTAGATGGGCAGGAGCAGGGACCAAACAACGGTAGCTCACTCCGTCGCGGGGATTCGAACCGCCAACCTTCTGATCGGCAAGTCCTAGGCTCTGTGGCAAATTCTTGAACTTCCTCTCTCTCGCTGTTATCACATATGGCAAACTGAAGTAGGTGTTCCTGCATAATAGAGCAGTCTTATCCCTGACCAGGCGGCAAAATGGTATAGCCACTGTTGCTCACATCATCCAGAGGAAAGGTGGGGATACGCATAGCCCTGCTCAGTACAGCACCAGTCTCGATTGTGTGGGAATGTTGTGAACAGTAGGAGAGGATATATTGATTAAATATTATCCTTCTTAACTTACGCTAGTGAGCTGGTAGCAGAGCACATTCCCTTGCACATTGCTGGAAGCAAGTTGGTCGATTTGTTTGAATCTCCTGAGTTAAGCAATCCAGTCTGGCTTGTCCAGATTGGATTTCTTCCTGGTAAATTCCCCTTTTATCCCTCTTAAAAAGAATAAAGCAAAGCAGTCTTCTCTTAAAAGTAATAAGGAGTTTATTCTCATTCAGTTCACAGTAGGTTCCCTGAAGGGCAGGCTTTAGCTTGTAGTTACAGAAGAGCGTGTGGGTTAATCTCATATGGGGACTGAGCCCATGTGCTGCTGGCTGAGAGCCAGCAGACAGCAAAAGGCATCAAGATGGGTCCAGAGAAAAATGGAGGAAACGGAAGGTGGCTGTGTGACCAGACCCTTTATAGGATCTGCCAGGGTCGCACCTGACCACACGCAGGGGTAGGATGCTCCAGACCAGGTGTGACAGGAAGTCGTCCTGGCTGGATCAACATTCCCCTGTGTGTCTACTCTCGGCAAACAGGAAATGTTGTATTTGACTGCTTCGGTGATATTACACCCCACAGATTGGACCCAATGCCATCAGCAGGGTTGGTCTGAAATCTAGTGGATTCTGGACTGGCTCCCGTGAAGTCCCATTTTTGGGGCTTCCTGTGGACCATTGCCCAGTGGGAATCCCTCCAGAGCTCAGCACCAGATGAATGATCACTCCATGGATGGAACATGGTGGAGAGGTTTTGGGCTGGGTGAAAGGAGTTATTTCTGTATCCATCTCACTTGGCATGGTGGATTGGGTTTTTGAATTGCTACTCAAGTGATTTAAGAGGAGGGCGTTTCTTCATGAACATGAGCACACTCCTTGTTAATATAGTTAATATAGTTTTAAAAAGTATCAGTAAAAACGAGAGCAACCATAGATGGTGAGATGCTCTTAGGAATGCAGCTGTTGTGTATTTCTAAATACAAATACACTGCGGTATATAATGCAACTTTTAATGCACAATAATAGAATCTTAATGCCGCAAGGCACCAAATATTAAAACATATCGCTATCAATTATAAATAATTACATCTGATAAAGTATAAGATACTACTGTCAATAAGATTGAAGCAAATTGGCTAGAAATTGTCATGATAAAAGAAAATCACATACATTGTATATGTAGGAAATGGTCTGCAGCAATGTGTGAAAACACCCTAGTTCAATGTGGAGAAGCAACGAAATAATTACAGCTATGTGGTATTTATTCTATTTGATGGCAATTATTTTTTCAGCAGTTGCTATATAAAATAAAAAAAATGAAATCTCTAAGAACTTCTTCATAATGAAGAGTAAGGCTTCTCCCTTAAACACAAATCCATAATTCATACTTGTAAAATAATTAATGTGACTATATTATATATGGCCTTGCCCTCTTAAGTTCCCCTATATTATAATTAGTGCTATCAATCAATTAATCAAAACATTCACAAATTTCACTCTTCAACCTTCTTGGTCCACTATCCAATCAATCAAATTAAAATACATTGTCTCTGAACAAAACCTCTGTATTTTAGATACTGAAGGACGTGTAACATAAATTGAACTGGCAAAAATTCACTCATCGTAGGAAGAAAAGCCCATAATAGCTGCATTTCATTTCCTATTACAGTAACTCATTGGAACTGAAAGAAAGGAAAAGATAGCTGTTAACTTTCAGCAATACCAATTACAAATTTGCTGACCAATTAAAATAGGTCCCTTTTGATTAATCTTAAGTCATCTTCCAGTTTACTGAAAGACTATGTAATCATAACTGATTTTGGTGCTTATCAGTATTCAGCCTTTTCTTTTTTCCTGACTATTTATTGGCTGAACTATAACATGCATACTTCGTCTGTGGCCTTTCTCTTCAAAAATCATTGCAGGGCTTGGATATTGTCAGTGAAGGCTAAACCCCTCAGACACGTTTCTGTTTTTCTTGACAAACTCAAATGGTCAGTTTGTCCAAAAGTGCTTTCAAAGTGAATGTCACCTTACATTTCTGGTGTTGGATTTCCAAAGAAGCTGTCACTTGAGGTTAATATTAGAGGAACTAGCCCTGGGCCTCTTCTGCCTCTTCAGATTTCTAAGGGAGACACTTAAAACGTATTTCATATACATGTAAGAGCATTGTACCATCAACCTTGGCTTGTCATCTATGAACAACTTTTTGGCGAATGCTACAGACAAAATTGTTCCTTATCTGTACCTCTCTACCTGTGGCTGTGTGTCAGTTTCTTCCACTAACTGCTTGTCTGGATTAAAATATACTTATATTTGTTGGGTCTGGGGGTGTATATAAACTAAAATTCAGGGTGCCCCTAGAAACACCCCTAAACTGGGTACGCAGCTACAGTGCATCTGGGTTTTACTTGGCCTTAAGCATCGCGCTGTGGGTTAAACCACAGAGCCTAGGACTTGTCGATCAGAAGGTCAGCGGTTCGAATCCCCGCGACAGGGTGAGCTCCCGTTGCTCAGTCCCTGCTCCTGCCAACCTAGCAGTTCGAAAGTACGTCAAAGTGCAAGTAGATAAATAGGTACCGCTCCAGCGGGAAGGTAACGGCGTTTCTGTGCGCTGCTCTGGTTCGCCAGAAGCGGCTTAGTCATGCTGGCCACATGACCCACCCGGAAGCTGTATGCCGGCTCCCTCGGCCAATAAAGCGAGATGAGCACTGCAACCCCAGAGTCGTCCGTGACTGGATCTAACACTCAGGGGTCCCCTTTACCTTTACCTTTTAAGCATCAACGAGGTGCTGGAGAAGATGTTAAGATCTAGGAACAGTTCTATAGGAATAGTGGGAATAATTCACGAGTTAAATTGTTTTGGAAAGCTGTGTTTTGTTCCTAATTATAGAAGGCACAATCACACCACCCCCGCAATTCATTAGCTGTCCGAAACCTTTCTCCAGAGGAAAAATGTGTTTTCCCTACATCACCACCTGCTTGCTTTAAGAATTGCTCAGATGGTGTGTACTTGACTTTAGCCATATAAATGCCGTTTTTCCTCTTACACCCAATCCACTGCCATAAATTAAGCAGATTTCAGTAAGGCTTTGGACAGTAAGGTTATATTTTGCTCTGAACACCTTTTTTCAATATGCAAAAGTTTTCCCCTCCAAGACACAAGACAGGAGTCTATGGTTACGGCAACTAACTGCGCTTCTAAGTCATGGTACTCTAACATTTCTTTCTCTCTCTCTCTTTAAAAAAAAACCTTCAAACAGGATTATTATAGCATTATTAAAAATCCAATGGACTTGACTACAATTCAGAAACGTCTGGAACACACATGTTACACTTCTGCTGCAGAATGCATTGAAGATTTTAAAACTATGTTTGCAAATTGCTATTTGTATAACAAGGTATGTATGATGTACAGCCAAAGGTGGCAGTTCTTTGGATTTCTTTGCAATGGTCTATAAGGGCTACTTGGGATTATTTAATGTCAGCAGAATCATCAGTTGTTTTCATAAATAATTTTTTGCCCGCCCTTCATCCTAAGGTCCCAGGGTTGGTTACGACAATTTAAAATACAGCCTTTTTAAACAACTTATAGTTGCAAAAGTAGAGTGGATTCTTAAAACAGACATTTAATTGTAATGATGGGATACTCCACTTCTGTTTTCTTTCTTTTTTTACTCTACTCAAATACAGTACCTGAACACCATCAAAAACATGCATAAACATTTGCACACGTCTCCTGCTGCTCCACTTCCTGGCAGTTGTTCCACACACCCCCTCTCAATTATTTGTTATAAAAGGTTTTGTTTCATCAAATCATAGAATTGTAGAGTTGGAAGGGATCCTGAGGATCATCTACTAATCCGATTGGCTGCAGTGCAGGAATAGGCAGCTGTCCCATACAGGGATCAAACCTGCAACCTGGGCGTCACCAGCACCATGCTCTAACCAGCTGAACTATCCAAGTTGGTGTTGTTGCATTTGTGCACCCATTCACCTAAACCAGCGTTTTCCAAACTTGGGACTCCAGCTGTTTTGGGACTGCAATTTCCATCATTCCCTAGCCATTGGTCCTGCTAGCTAGGGATGATGGGAGTTGTAGTCCAAAAACAGCGGGAGACCCAAGTTTGGGAAACCATGACCTGTTCGCTTTGCCTGCTTCTAGAAGCAGCTAAACCAGGCTCCTTCAGTGTCCTGCCTCAACCTGCTTTACATATCCACCTTTCCTATAATCCGCATCAAATTCAGCTGCATATGTATGTTTAAAGGTAAAGGGACCCCTGACCATTAGGTCCAGTCGTGACTGACTGGGGTTGCGGCGCTCATCTCGCTTTATTGGCCGAGGGAGCCGGCGCACAGCTTCCGGGTCATGTGGCCAGCATGACTAAGCTACTTCTGGTGAAACGCACGGAAACGCTGTTTACCTTCCTGCTGGAGTGGTACCTATTTATGTACTTGCACTTTGACGTGCTTTCGAACTGCTAGGTGGGCAGGAGCAGGGACCAAGCAACGGGAGCTCACCCCGTCGCAGGGATTCAAACTGCCGACCTTCTGATCAGCAAGTCCTAGGCTCTGTGGTTTAACCCACAGCACCACCCGGGTACAATTTCAGGAACGAGGCACTTTGCAGGGAATGAAAACCCATGTCTATGTAACCTGTACTTCTAGGATACTAAAAAAAATTGTCCAGTAGCACCTTAGAGACCAACTAAGTTCGTTCTGGGTACAAGCTTTCGTGTGCATGCACACTTCTTCAGATTTCGTGTCCCTGCACACAAAAGCTTATACCCAGAACGAACTTAGTTGGTCTCTAAGGTGCTACTGGACAGTTTTATTTATTTCGACTGCGTCAGACCAAGATGGCTACCTTCCTGAATCTAGAATTCTAGGATACAACTGTTTTGTAGGAGCTGGTGTTATTGGAGTCCTTCAGCTGTTCCTAAGTCAGCTCTTTGCAAAGGGTGGAGACCTCTCGGATGAGCTGCAATGGAAACACAAACCCTGGGATTGCTGCCATAGTGCCCCATTCTCTCTAATGAGCCCTGAGCTCTGTGACTTAAAAAATAAAAACAAACCAGTCCCTGCCCGCTGACTCGCAGCTGAATGTAATGTGAATGTTAGTCTAGCATAACAAGCATCTTGATCTCATGTGTAATGCTTGTCTTGCAGCCCGGTGATGACATTGTTTTCATGGCCCAAGCGTTAGAAAAAGTCTTTCTGCAGAAAGTTGCACAGATGCCTCCCGAGGAGAAAATAGTGGTGGTCAATAAAGGGAGAAGGAAAGGGAAAAGAACAGACGGTAAGAAAAGTAATTGAGTGAAGGTCTGTGACTGGAATGTGGCACCAATGGAAGTGGCCATAAAATATTGCATTCTGGAGAGAAGCTTTTCCAATGGAAAACATCTAAAACAAAGAGTAAACAACTGAGACTTATTTATGGCTGAGGACAAGATTTAGTAGTCAGATTCGACAGAACTGTTGTAGGATAAAGAATATGCTGCTTTCAGGGCTGATTAAATATAGGAAAATCGAACGATTGAAGTGGGAAATCTTACATCTAACACATGAGAGATTAAAACAGGAAATATTGTATCTAAGCTATTGTACCATAGCTTAAGTCTCTGAGCTGGTTCTAGTTGACAAACTTTCTTAAGATTTTCTCCCAATACAGTGGTACCTCTGGTTACGTACTTAATTCGTTCCAGAGGTCCGTTCTTAACCTGAAACTGTTCTTAACCTGAGGTACCACTTTAGCTAATGGGGCCTTCCGCTGCTGCCGCCGCATGATTTCTGTTCTCATCCTGAAGCAAAGTTCTTAACCTGAGGTACTATTTCTGGGTTAGTGGAGTCTGTAACCTGAAGCATATGTAACCTGAAGTGTAACCCGAGGTACCACTGTATCTAAATTAGGTTTAATTCTAGTCTACCACTAAGGAAATAAGGCCAAAAGCAATCAGCGTTTACTATATGACAAAGGGACCTTACAATATTGATATATTGTAATATATATTCAGTGCTGACAATACAAATGTACCTTTTAAATGGTGCATTGTGCTAACTGCTTCCTCTAGTACAGTGTTTTCCAAACTGGGGTCTCCCACTGTTTTTAGACTACAACTCCCATCATCCCTAGCTAGCAAGACTGGTGGTCAGGAATGATGGGAATTGTAGTTCAAAACAGCTGGAGTCTCAAGTTTGGGAAACACTGATCTAGTAGTACTCATCTGACATGTTTAATGCCTTCTCAGTCAAATAAGACCATGATGGATGTTTTAGTTGCTCTAACAGTAGATGGATAATTGGAAAATATGGAAGTACACATATATTGTATTACCATTTGGAACGCTCAAGGGGGAAAAATGCCCAAGAAAAGTATTGCCAATGTTAAATAAATTTTCCTGTTTTTTGTTTTGTTTTTTAATTTAATGGGGCTTATTTATCACTTAATCATCAAAACGGCTAAGCATTTTACATAAAACAATATCATATATTCAAAAACAATGCCCTATATCCATTAGCAATATCAACGATACCAGTAAAATTGAATTTTAAAAAGAATTTGACTGTAGTTTTCAAAATACAAGTGAAATCAGCATTTAAGAAAATGTACCTAATAAAATAAAATTGTGTGGTAAAATAGCTGCCAAAACTATGTGTTTAGTTATAACTGTTTATAGGATGGGTTACTGCAAAAGTTTTGGGTGCACATTGGGTTTATTTTGGGGAGAATCCTATACAGTAATACTAGACTGTTGCCATTTGGGGGTGGAATTCCATCACACACTGGCAAGTTCAGAACGCACAATTCTAGTTGCTTGGGAGGTCTTCTGCAACAAATCTGCTTTCCTAAAAGATCAAGCTTTTTGCAGTAAGTAAAGTGAAGGAGAGATACACTGGAAAAGGTGGGATAACTCTTGCTTAGATGCAACCTCATCTCATCTCCCCACAAACAAATCGGAACGAATACTTACCATACTTTTCGCTCTATAGGACGCACTTTTTACCCTCTAAGGGGAAATGTGTGTGCGTCCTATGGAGCGAATGCAGGCTCCTTGGCTTCAGTGATAGCAACGGGAAGCCTCCGAAGCACAGAGGGAGCGCTCCCTCCGCGCTCCGGAGCCTTCGCGTTGCTTTCGCTGAAGCCTGGAGAGTGAGAGGGGTTGGTGCGCACCGACCCCTCTCGCTCTCCAGGCGTCAGGGATAGCCGCCTGAAGCCTGCGGAGTGCAGCGCGAGTTCTCACTGCGCTCCACAGGCTTCGGGTTCCTTTTGCTGAAGCCAGGAGTGCAAGACTCTCCTGGCTTCAGCAGAGAGGGAGAGCTGCGCAGCGCCCCTTCAGCCAAGCGGGAGGAGAAATGGAAGGGGCTCCGTTTCTCCTGCCGCTTTGCTGAAGGGGCGCTGAGCAGAGAGGGGGAGAATTTTTTTTCTTGCTCTCCTCCTCTAAAACAAGGTGCGTCCTATGGTCGGGTGCGTCCTATAGAGCTTAAAATACGGTACTTAATTAGCTGACATAATCTAAGCTCTCTGCAGACAAATCATGATACAAACTGTGAGTGCTGATACTTATAGAGGAAAAACAGCTCCACCCCTATACACAAGGAAAGTATCGGCATATTCGGAGGGGGGGGGATCCCAAAATTTGCAGAAGTACCTCCAAAAGGCTTCCAGGCTGTGACAGTAGACGAGTTAGCAAAGAATCTTTAAAAAGACCAGTTTTTGGAGCGCTGTTAGGACTCCTTTGCTCATACAGCTTTGCTTAATTTCCTTAGCGCCTGATGCAGGAATCCTGCAACTTAACCAAAGCCAACAGCCAAAACAGGCTAAGAAAGTGAAGCCGCCTCAGATGATGACTCTGGCGCCGCAGCAAAATGCCCCAGAACTGTCACCGGTGACTCCGCCATCAAACGTAATGCCAGCTACTGAAATGGCAGTGAAAGGGGTAGGTTCTAAAAAGGTGGGTGTTTTCCTGGCCATCTGGTGGTATGGCTTTTGGTACAGAGTATAATATGGGTACCAAAATGAAAAGAGGGAAGCTGGAGATGTTTAAAAGAATGGAATCTGACCCCATAAGAAGATGCTTAACACAACAACAGAGATGTTGGCCAGTGGTAAAAAGATGGTAAAGGGACCCCTGACCATTAGGTCCAGTCGTGGACGACTCTGGGGTTGCGGTGCTCTTCTCGCTTTATTTGCCGAGGGAGATTGGCAGGAGCAGGGACCGAGCGACGGGAGCTCACCCCGTCGCGGGGATTCGAACTGCCAACCTTCTGATCTGCAAGACCTAGGCTCTGTGGTTTAACCCACAGCACCACCCGTGTCCCAGTGGTAATTACTGCTAAATATGAACTAAGGCCTCTGAAATAATTCTAGATTTAAATGACTGGAAACAATGGATTTAAAACTAAATTTTATTTTATTTTTTACAATAAGTTTTGTTAGTTTTCAGTTACAATAATCCAGTGGTAGCGTCATCATAACAATGCCAAATTATAATGCAATTACTAATCCCAATCATTCAGATGCCAAATTATATAATTTAGGTGGCCTAAATTGTTTCTGCGTTCCAAAATCTTACTCATCTCAATTACAGTCCATTCAAAATAACAACCCCTTATACAAAAACTGCAGTATTAACAATATCCATTCATCTTGACACATTAAATTATTTAGTTTATAAGTGTAGCATTCAAACAATATCCTTATTCCTCCTGTGTGTGACAATTATTCTATCCGTGGTGTTCTTCCTTGTCCTTGTGAAAGGTTATATCTTATTTTTTCCTAGCCATTGCTGCTCTCCAACATGTCTTGGGCGGAGCTAATAGCCCATTGTTGTTTCAGAAGTTCTCCATTACTCCTTCCCTGTGGTTCATTATTTTACCACTTCAACAAAACTAAATTTTAAGAAGGTGGTGTGGTTCTTGCTGCTACACAACCTATTATTGCCCGGTGCTAATTCGGTATTGTTTCAGAATCTCCATTCATCCCAGTAGCCGGACTCTGGCTTTGCTCACATTATTTCACGATGGCATAACATAATTAGGATCTAAACTATGATTCTACGGCCAACAAATGAATGGATTTTTCTCTGTGGCGCCTAAGAGGGCTCCTGTTGCATCATGGATGGTGGGTCTTGACAAATAACGAAAAATTTAGCAAACCCAGAAGGCAGTCCACAACAACAGCCTAACAACAGTGCAATGCTTGTTGCTGCACAATGGGGGTGTGTGTATGAGATGACATACTGTAGGGCACAGATTAACTCATTTGCGAGGGCCAAACACAAAGTGCTTTAATCTTCCAAAATCATTTTCTTGATGTAGAAGGAGCTACAGGGCCTGTTAAACAAGGAGGGTGCTGTCCAATCTCAGGTGAGAAGGAGTTCCACAGGCCTGGGCCCACTGAAATTGAACAGTGTTGGTTCAAGGCAACAAATAAGTATAAAAAGGAGAATTCCGGAATGCCTAGTTTGGGACAAGTACTCCTTGATGAGAGAACCCCAGCAGAAATTTTAAATCACAACAAAAATATATAGCCAAATATGTTTTCTGTGAACCGCCCTGAGACCTCCAGGTATAGCATATAAACTCAATTAATAATAATAATAATAATAATAGCAAAGAAAAGCATGGAAATATAGTTTGTTAGGCCTTTAAAACAAGCCTTTCCAAGTGAGTTCCTCTTCCCCAGCATAGGAAAAGAAGACATGTTTAGTAAGTTAAAAACTGTTTAGTTACAAACACTTCAAAGGTCAGGTTTATGTGCTTTTCCATATCGGTCAAAAAGGTTGCACAGGCAGTAAAACTTAGTTTAGTTCCAAAGTGGTGAAAGTTCCTAAATTATTGGTATAGGAACTCGAGAGTGGCTTGTGAGAGACATGTGGTCTGAGTTTGGAGCAATTAGCTCAGACCACACATGTTGAACTTCTCAGGTAGACTGGTCAATAGGCTTGATTGCCCATTTCCTCTCAATGTAAGGGAAGTGGACATAGCTAAGCCTGGCAGGACAGCTTACTCTATGGTATTAACCCCTTCATGTACTAATTAGTCTGAAGCATGTTGGTTTATATGAAGGTGGTTATCCCACAGAATGCACAGCTCCTAGTATGAGCCCTGCATCTGAGCCATAGGGGACCACAGTCTCCCCCCAATATCTCAGTGATCATTTTGGTGGTGATGAGTACACTAACCAAGGTGGGGTGAGAACCACCTCACCTGGATACAGTGCAACAACTAAATAATCAGTATGCATTTCCTGTATAAATGGTCTTCTGAAAGGGAAATAAATCTATAGTGAAGTCTTGGTTTTTTTTATCTCCCTCCTAACTTCCTAAAAGATACTAAATATATATCTTAGGTTGAGACCTGCCTATTTCACCCAAGTTCTTGGGAAAAATCTGAAAGGAATTGGCTGAAATAAATAAAGAAGTCTAGCATCATACTGGTCATAGTTGGATTTATAACTGCTTTATTTCAAAGGTTCATCAAACAAATGTGAATGTTGTAGCTGTTTTCTTTATTAAAGCCTGTGTTTCTGTATCAAAAAGGGTGTGAAAAGGAAAGCAGATACCACTACTGCCATCATCACAGCGAGCAGTGAATCCTCTCCATCGCCCAATGAACCCAAAATCATCAAGATCTCCTCTCGGGAAGAACGCGAAGAGTACCTCTCAAAAAGAGACTTGCCAGACTCCCAGCAGCCACTCGAACCCATGAAAAATGTCAGGCTAACAGAACCTCTGAAATACTGTAACGAGATCATTAGAGAAATGTTCTCAAAGCATCACGCAGTGTATGCTTGGCCCTTTTATAAGCCAGTAGACGTTACAGCCTTGGGACTTGAAGACTATCATGATGTTATTAAGCACCCTATGGATCTTGAAACTATTAAAGTGAGTGGGGGGGGCGCAGGGCATAGTGAGTGCATTTGGAGGCTAGTCCTGCGAATTCTTCAAATTTTGACATTTGTATTTTTGGATTTTTAAAGGGTTAAAAAGAAGGCAATTTCTAACAGCCACACAAGCTAGAGTATGGAACAACTGAAGGCTGGCTGTATTATATTTGCAGGGCAGGAGACGAAGTACTGGCAACCCCTATGCCCAAACCATTTCTCATGCTTTCCCCCTGCCCCTTTCCCCTGCTGTACCAATTGGCCCCTCAGCTGCCAACCTGGAGGAGTTAGAGGGTTGTATCCATACCCTAAGTGGCTCTTTGGTAACTAGCTATTGACTGGGCTTTGGTGGAAGCAGCCAAGATGAAAATGTCCAAGGTGGAAGAACCTTTGCATTACGATTGCTCTTAATATCCATCATGCATGCACTGTGTACTAAACACTGAGCAGAAGACTGGCATGATTCCTGCCAGAGGAGTCGATGTACCAGACATGCGTTGGGGAAGGAACATAGGATGATGTGAAGCTGCATTAGTCAGTCTAGCTCAGTACTGACCAGCAGCAGTTCTGAGATTTCGGGCAGAGGTCTCTCCTAGCCCTACCTGGAGATTGAACCTGTGATGTCCTGCATGCAAAGCAGCAAAGTGGTCCACCTCTGAGTGTACGATTGACGCTCATTTGTGGGAGGAAGAGCATCATCAGGGGCTATTAAGAGATGGACGGCTTTTAGAGAGCGCGGAGAAAGGCAGAAAGAGGGAAAGATTTTGTTAAGCGTGGTGAGCAGCAGAATGACCACCAAGGCAGAAACTGAATGTGTGTTTTCAGCATGTAGTGTAATAATAATAATAATAATAATCTGGCTGGGTTTCTCCAGCCACTCTGGGTGGCTCCCAACAGAATTAATGATAATAATAATAAAGTGATAAAACACCAGACATTAAAAACTTCTCAAAACATGGGCTGCCTTCAGATGTCTTCTAAAAGTCAGACAGTTGTTTATTTCTTTGACATCTGGTGGGAGGGCGTTCCACAGGGCGGGCGCCACTACCGAGAAGGCCCTCTGCCTGGTTCCCTGTCACCTCACTTCTTGCAGTGAGGGAACCGCCAGGAGGCCCTCGGAGCTGAACAATGGGGGTGGAGACGCTCTTTCAGGTATACTGTATGCTTTAACGATCACTCTGGCAACTCTATTTCAGTTTAATATGCATTACCAAGCATATTTCCCCCACTTTCCGGAACCTTCTGCAGCTAGTGCAGGAGAAATCACTCTTCCCCCTATGCTGTGAACACATTAGTCCACAGGTGGCAAAAAAATGCAGCATAGCCAAAATAATAAAATTTGTTGCCAACGATCTGTTTGTGATATCTGTATCACCATTTTAAAGTTTTGAGCTCTTCTCTAGAAACATCATAAGATGTAAATGTGTATCGGTCCCTCTTTAAGTTGACTAAACAGTATATACTTGATAAGCCAAGTACAACAGTGGATGGCTGTTAGAACTTGCAATATCCTTATTTGGGCAGATATCTGGGGTTCAGGTCATAATCCCCCACATATTAAATTTATAGGATTAAAATAAATGGTGTCTGTAATTGGCATATGTCGGATATGCATCCCAGAATCTGAATCTTGAGAAACCCTTCTGTTTTCCACAGAAAAAGATGGAGAATTGTGAGTACAAAGATACCCAAGAGTTTGCTGCTGATGTCAGGCTAATGTTTATGAACTGCTACAGATACAACTCTCCGGATCATGAGGTAGTAGCGATGGCAAGAAAACTCCAGGTGAGTGAATTATTGATACTAAAAAGCAGCATTTTTGAAACTCCGCCGAGAACGCAGTTAAGTGCCTTTAAGCAACTGCTGTGCCTTGTTCTGAAACGGCAGAACTGTTAAAACAATCCGAAACTTCATCATGGAGGTTTGTGAGACGGCTAACTTTCTTCTGTTAAGGATGTCTTCGAGATGCTGTTTGCCAGAATTCCAGATGAACCGGCTCCCTGCAGTCCTCTGCTCTACCCCACTGCAAGAAGCACAGCAGCTCTTTCCAGCGGAAGCAGCAGCGATGCCGCCTCTGAGGATTCGGAGGATGAAAGAGCAAGACGTCTTGCAGCGCTCCAGGATCAAGTGAGTGGTGATGCACACATGCGACCTAGCGGCGGTGCGTGCTTGCGATTAGCAGAATGGATGGACCGCTGTATTACCTCTGTTTATTTCTCAGTGTCACAGAATAACCTGCCTAGTTCCTCACCAGCTGTAGCTGAACAAAGCAGTAAAAAAAGAGGCTAACGATATTCCTGATTGCACCAAACAATTAATGTATGTTCAGGGAACCTGATGGGGGGGAAGTGTCAGCTTTGCATTTGAGCCAGGACCAACGACTGGGCTCAACCTCTTCAGCACTTCCAGAGACCTTCCACTGCAGGGAGCAGGTCTAAGTGCAATGGACTCACAACTTAGAGCTGTGAGCACCAAACTCAGTTCCAAAAGTCTGTGGAGCACAGCAGAGTATAAATTACACGAACGACGGCTCTGAAGTATTACTTCTTTATTCTTCTACAGCTACTGCAAAACTAAAATTAAACTACTAAAGACTATCAGAGACGCTGGACTGCATGAGTGTTACAGTTGCTTGAGCAGTCACCTTATCTCTATACAGTGGTACCTCGGGTTAAGTACTTAATTCGTTCCGGAGGTCCATTCTTAACCTGAAACTGTTCTTAACCTGAAGCACCACTTTAGCTAATGGGGCCTCCCACTGCCACCGCACAATTTCTGTTCTCATCCTGAAGCAAAGTTCTTAACCCAAGGTACTATTACTGGGTTAGCGGAGTCCGTAACCTGAAGCGTATGTAACCCGAGGTACCACTGTACAGATAACACTCAGACTCCTACAGGCTGGAGCGGAAGAAGCTATGAGCAAATTCCGCCCCCTCCTTTCTGAAACATTGTCAGCAGATTCTTGCAATGGGAGGGGTGAAATATCCACAGGAAGTACAGTGCATGTTGCTTATTCGCTGCCTCATTTCTGGTAAGCTGCTTCACCCTTTTGGTGTGGTGGTGTTGCAGGACAGCAGAGGCCCCTTTAAGGCCCTGACGTGGGAATCTCGGGTTCAGCCTCCTCTCTGGATAGGTGGCGTGGGCGTAAGCCCACACTGTCCACCGGGAGCTAGATCTTAGCCTGCATTCAGGATTGGCAAATAGGGGTACTATCGTAAAACATCCGTGTGTGTGTGTGTGTGTGGATGTTACACACACACACATAGACAGCCATATAAAAATATGTCGCCGTGAGGATTTTCATTGGAATTTCATCCGGCTAAATAGTGCCATTTGCCACTCTGAGAGATACTGTTGACAAAAACTCAGCCCCCCTTGCAGTTATTTCCGGGTTCATGTCAGACAGATAGAATCCGATATTTTCATTGTGCCCTGATGTTAGACCGCCCAGACAAAAGGATAGCATGTGTTGTGCAATGGACAGTAGAAAAGAATATATTCTTCTGTGTCTGGCACATTCAAAAAACATCCGCAATGTATATCGTTTCTGGAGATGTTTAAATATCTGCACTTGACAAAAGCTGAGGGGAAAACATTCAGATGGGCTAACATGAAGGACTGGAATTATTAATTTTGAAATATAAGGCTTTTTTGTTTTGTTTTTACAAAAAGGCAAAACCCACAATTTCCCGGTTGACTTAAGATCCATGACAAAGTGCCGCCTTTTGGGAATTCCTTCCGGACGTCAATGCCACTCTAAAAATCACAGTACAGTGGTACCTCGGGTTACAGACGCTTCATGTTACAGACTCCGCTAACCCAGAAATAGTACCTCGGGTTAAGAACTTTGCTTCAGGATGAGAACAGAAATTGTGCTCCGGCGGCGTGGTAGCAGCAGGAGGCCCCATTAGCTAAAGTGGTGTTTCAGGTTAAGAACAGTTTCAGGTTAAGAATGGACCTCCAAAACAACCCGAGGTCCTACTGTAGTGTCTGGGATAATCCAGACGTGTAGGAGTCCTGGCTGTATGAAGTTCAAAGAGTGTGATAGGCACCAGATCTGCAACCATGTGGATAATGAACCACACAGAGTCAAGCCCCATTGTGTCGATCTTAAATTAAGGATCTGCCATTACGGAAATTAAGATGGGGATGTTTCAATATCTGTAACACACTTACATTAACACTCATCAGTCGCCTCTCAGTCTAAAAATTGGTTTAATCTAAATGTTATTTCCTTATGTATGACTGCTAGTGTCTGCTACTAAACAGCTTGCTTATTCCCCCATAAATGTAAACTGTAGAAAAGCAAAGCAAAAGATCAATCTTTTCTAGCTGCCTCTCTCTCTCTCTCTCTCTCTCTCTCTCTCTCTCTCTCTCTCTTTTAGTACAGAGTGGGGAACTCGTTATCTCTTTGATATGCTCCCTCTTTGTAGTAGGTTTCCTGCCGACTTTAAAAGATGCATGCAAATATTTTGCGTTTTAGTGCTCCCCCTTTTTCTCTTTTCTTTTAAATAGCTTAAGGCTGTTCACCAGCAGTTGCAAGCTTTGGCTAAAACAACTTTACCCAGACTGAAGAAGAGGAAGAAAGGGAAATCTAAGAAGGAGAAAAGAAAAAACAAAGTCAGGAAGAAGTCAGGCAGTCAAAAGAAGAGAAAGATGAAGAAGCTGAAGAAGAAAATGTCTTTGAACATGTAAGATTGCTTGTGGGTGTGAAATTGTACTTGAAGCTGTTGGCACCGTAGTTAACTCGTTTTTTATTTTCTCTCTTGCAGTCGTTCAAAGAAAATCAAGCAGCAAGATGAGCCAGGACACAAGTCTGAGAACGAGGATAATGCCAAGCCTATGAGTTATGATGAAAAAAGGCAGTTAAGTTTGGACATAAATAAACTCCCAGGAGAGAAGCTTGGCAGAGTGGTTTATATTATTCAGTCGAGAGAACCTTCACTGAGACACTCAAATCCCGATGAAATGGAAATAGATTTTGAAACTCTAAAAGCATCAACTTTAAGGGAACTGGAGAAATACGTTATGGCTTGTTTGAGAAAAAGACCCAAGAAACATTACGGTGCGTCGTGTAATGTACACGAAAACGTTAGGAGAAACTTGCATTTTTTTCCCTAGAGAATTGCTTGGATTCTTGTTCCTGATATTTATTTGCACCCCGCCCCGTTTATTTCATGCAGCAAAAAAATCAAAGGAAGAGTCTGACTTTGAGAAGAAGCAAGAATTGGAAAGGAGGTTGCTGGATGTCAACGGGCAGCTCAACTCCACGAAGCAAAACACAAAACGTAGGTTGAAGCACGGAGGAAGCAGTTTAGAAATAATTGCGTGGAATTCTCTAAAGGGTGGAGATTCTGCAGTCCAATCGCACAGTTGCCGGAACTGGGAAAGGCCATAGCAGTGAGATAAACTATTGCACTGTCCTGTCCGGCAAGCATTACAGGCATTTGTTGTTGTTGTTGTTTAGTCGTGTCCGACTCTTCGTGACCCCATGGACCAGAGCACGCCAGGCACTCCTGTCTTCCACTGCCTCCCACAGTTTGGTCAGACTCATGCTGGTAGCTTCGAGAACACTATCCAACCACCTCAACCTCTGTCGTCCCCTTCTCCTTGTGCCCCCATCTTTCCCAACATCAGGGTCTTTTCCAGGGAGTCTTCTCTTCTCAGACTCAGAGAGCCAGTGTGGTGTAGTGGTTAAGAGCGGTAGACGTGTAATCTGGTGAACCGGGTTCGCGTCTCCGCTCCTCCACCTGCAGCTGCTGGGTGACCTTGGGCCAGTCACACTTCTCTGAAGTCTCTCAGCCCCACTCACCTCACAGAGTGTTTGTTGTGGGGGAGGAAAGGAAAGGACAATGTCAGCCACTTTGAGACTCCTTCGGGTAGTGATAAAGCGGGATATCAAATGCAAACTCTTCTTCTTCTTCTTCTTCTTCTCATGAGGTGGCCAAAGTATTGGAGCCTCAGCTTCACGATCTGTCCTTCCAGTGAGCACTCAGGGCTGATTTCCTTCAGAATGGATAGGTTTGATCTTCTTGCAGTCCATGGGACTCTCAAGAGTCTCCTCCAGCACCATCATTCAAAAGCATCAATTCTCGCCGAAGAATTGAGGCTTTTGAATTACAGGCATAGGAGTGTCAATTAAGCCTAAATCTCTTACAGTGGTGCCCCGCAAGACGAATGCCTCGCAAGACGGAAAACCCGCTAGACGAAAGGGTTTTCCATTTTGGAGGTGCTTCGCAAAACGAATTTCCTATGTGCTTGCTTCGCAAGACGAAAATGTCTTGCGAGTTCCTGCAGGGTTTCCCCCCCCCCTTTTTCCCAAGCCGCTAAACCGCTTATCAGCTGATGGCTAAGCCGCTTAACAGCTGATCGTTAAGCCGCTTATCAGCTTATCGTTAAGCCGCTTATCAGCTGATGGCTAAGCCGCTTATCAGCTGATCGTTAAGCCGCTTATCAGCTGATCGTTAAGCCGCTTATCAGCTGATCCACTAAGCCCGCTAAGCCGCTAATACTGTAGCACTAATCCGCTAAACCGCTAATGGGCTTGCTTCGCAAGACGAAAAAACCCGCAAGACGAAGAGACTCGTGGAACGGATTCTTTTCGTCTTGCGAGGCACCACTGTATTAGTGCCTTGAACGTTGCTGCTTTCACACACGCACACACACACACACACGTACTTCCCCAAGTCCCATGTTATGTTCAGATCTTCTCCCTGTGTTACAGCAGAAAATAATGCCGTATCAAAGACCATTGGAGGGCCAAGTGAAAGCAGCAGCAGCAGCAGCACATCTTCTGACTCCGATAGCACCAGCAATGATTCCAGCTCCTCCAACGGAAGTGATTCTGAATCAGGTGCACTCATTTTCTTTCCCCCCCTCTTTTTTATGAATAAGCTTCTTGAAACAATGTGCCTAGTGAATCTTGCTCTGCTACTTAAACTGGGGGTGGGTCTAAACACAGGAGGAGGAGAAACGCTGTAAGTAAGTCAGAAATTAGATCGAAGAAAGTTCTATGGATAACCGTGTTTTAAAATTTCCTGCTGTCTGGCGCCATCTGGTGTTGCATGTTTATAGCGCATTTAAATCGCTGTTTCTTTCTTAATATAGCTGAGTCCTGGGACTTCTTCCACGCCGGACTCTTATATTGTTAACTGGGAGAGCTAAGTCTGTGTGAGAGAGGACGAGGAGCAGCTTTTTTTCCTCTGTGTGTTTGTGTATGTGTATTTACAACACACACCTGCTGTCCCAATAAGAACAGGTTGCAAGAGTCGTTGCCTAAGGCACTTGTGGGTTGGAAGGACCTGATATAGAAATGGGAGGGAATAATAATAATAATAATAATTTATTATTTGTACCCCACCCATCTTGCTGGGTTTCCCCAGCCACTCTGGGCAGCTTCCAACAAAGATTAAAAATACATTAAAATGTCACACATTAAAAACTTCCCTGAACAGGGCTGCCTTCAGATGTCTTCTAAAAGTCTGGTAGTTGTTGTTCTCTTTGACATCTGATGGGAGGGCGTTCCACAGGGCGGGCGCCACTACCAAGAAGGCCCTCTGCCTGGTTCCCTGTAGCTTTGCTTCTCGCAGTGAGGGAACCGCCAAAAGGCCCTTGGCACTGGACCTCAGTGTCCCGGCTGAACGATGGGGGTGGAGACGCTCCTTCAGGTATACTGGGCCGAGGCCATTTAGGGCTTTAAAGGTCAACACCAACACTTTGAATTGTGCTCAGAAACATACAGAATGACAGAGTGACAAAAGTATCAACAGTGAAAATGTATGTAATGCCAGCATGCGTATCCAAGTCTGAATGTCTAAATTTCTACGTCTTTTACAGAAATGTGCCTGCAGCAAAATGAAAATGGGCAAAAGGATTCATTTTGCAGAGAGCAGCTTAAGGTAAACTCCCCCCCACCCTGGTGCTTATAAAATGTCCTCAAGTCTTCACTTATTCTTTTTCATCCCCTTTGACTGTTCTTTTGCACCTCTTCCTGATATGCTAGCACCTCTGAATGCGATAATTGCATTCAGCAGCATCCTATGCATCCATTTACCTCTAAAGAGATGTCTGATCCTGCCTGAATCTTGTCCTCTCCCACAGTTGAGGACTACCCCCCCCCAATTCTTCTTAGAGTCAGGAACACTTACTTCCGGGTTTGTAGTGTTTTGGTTCCAAGTTGTTTGAGTTCCAAGGTGTTTAATTGTGGGCTAAAACCATAACTATAAAAAGACTGGAACCATAAATATAAAAAGTCTTGGCAAGTAAAAGTCTTTAAGGCAACACAAAAAATGGTCTTAGTTCTTTCAAGAGGGTTTTCCAAATCTGGGGTATCACTCCTGGAAAGGCTCTCTCATTTGTGATGTGCTGGCAACATTTTGCAATGCAGGCAACTCCCCATTTACATGGGGACCATGTTCCAAGGCACCACCTGGGCCAGCCCGATCCGTCCCTCCCCTTTCAGGCACCGAAAATGGCAGGCATGTGCCAATCGCATGCAAATGGGGAGTAGCCTGTACAGGACTGGGTCAGTGAGTAAGATGGTGTAATTTGTTGTTGTTGTTTAGTCGTTTAGTCATGTCCTACTCTTCGTGACCCCATGGACCAGAGCATGCCAGGCACTCCTGTCTTCCACTGCCTCCTGCAGCTTGGTCAAACTCACGTTGGTAGCTTCGAGAACACTGTCCAACCATCTTGTTCTCTGTCGTCCCCTTCTCCTTGTGCCCTCCATCTTTCCCAACATCAGGGTCTTTTCCAGGGAGTCTTCTCTTCTCATGAGGTGGCCAAAGTATTGGAGCCTCAGCTTCAAGATCTGTCCTTCCAGTGAGCACTCAGGGTTGATTTCCTTAAGAATGGATAGGTTTGATCTTCTTGCAGTCCATGGGACTCTCAAGAGTCTCCTCCAGCACCATAATTCAAAAGCATCAATTCTTCGGCGATCAGCCTTCTTTATGGTCCAGCTCTCACTTCCACACATCACTACTGGGAAAACCATAGCTTTAACTATACGGACCTTTGTTGGTGTAAATAGCCCTGTTGAATTCTTCCCTAGATGCCTCTGCTATATCCAAGGATGTCCTGCGCTATTGTCCCCCAGATACGGAACACTTCGCCCACCAGCATGCAGTTTCAGAGATCCACAGAAACGAGGATCGCTCACCAGACACTGCAACATACCCCTCTGAAACCACGAGAACAAAGCATCATCTCTCCTCCAGGTTGGTCTTCTCGGAAAATGTGGCGATTCACAAAAGATGCTCCCCGGTGACTTTTGTAGGGCCGTGACTTGGCTTTCCCCACAGACATGTACTCCGGGGAGGAAGATTGACATATGCACATAGCTTTTAAGTGGTCCCTGTTCCCTTGTGGAATTCCGTGAGCGGTATCCTGGGTTTCATTTCCTTTTGGGTGAGAGAGCGTGGGAGACATGGCGAGGTGTTTTTTTATAATATTTGCTTTATCTACAAGTTGCTTAGAAGTGGAGGCATGGATTTCAGAATAAGCATCAGTTGCCAGCTGAGAACCTACTTATGTGTTGTGTGTTCTGGTAATACAAGTTTAAACAGTAACATAACTTCAGAAGACGCATCAGCTGCCGTTAAGGAAAACTTAAGATTTGTTTTGTCAAAGCCTGAATTTCTATCTAGAATTGGCCAGAGTGACAGGCCCATTCACAGTAATCATGGCAAATCTGCAACGTAGATTTAGCGCTTCCCAGAAGGCCAGAACCTTTCAATTGTATGTCACCCAGCAAGCAGTCAGTCCCCTCTTCACAATCCCATGAGTTTCAACCCAGGCTGCATGGACACCATCCTAAAAGTTTAGAGATCAGTTTTGATTGTCACCCGTGGCTGTGTACATGCTCAAAGAAAAACTGTTTGCTATTTGTGGTGGGAGGCTGCGGCCCTGGCAAAGATCTGCGCTGGGTGACAATTTGTTACGGGATTAAATTTAAGGTGTTCCTATTGTTAAACCACAGAGCCTAAGACTTGCAGATCAGAAGGTCAGCGGTTTGAATCCCCACGATGGGGTGAGCTCCCGTTGCTCGGTTCCTGCTCCTGCCAACCCAGCAGTTCGAAAGCACGTCAAAGTGCAAGTAGATAAATAGGTACCGCTCCAGCGGGAAGGTAAACGGCGTTTCCGTGCGCTGCTCTGGTTCGCCAGAAGTGGCTTAGTCATGCTGGCCACATGACCCGGAAGCTGTACACCGGCTCCCTCGGCCAATAAAGCGAGATGAGCACCGCAACCCCAGAGTTGGCCACAACTGGAGCTAATGGTCAGGGGTCCCTTTACCTTTACCTTTATTGTTATGTACTGCAATACTCTTAAGAGCTTGGGGCCAGTTTACTTAAAGGATCATCTTACCCCAAATGTGTCCATTTGACCATTTCAATTTGTGGAACTGGTACTTTTCCAAGTGGCACCTCATGTTTGTTCAGCCCTTGCAAGACATCCGTATTTTAGCACCTCTCAAACTCTCTGCGTATTAAGATTAGCTTTATTGACTTTATTTTATTTTTTGCCTTTTAAATCTGTTTTGTTTAGGCAAGCCTACCTCATATATAGTGGTGTTATATATTATTTGCTTTTAAAATGGCTATTTCCCCCCCCCCCCCCATATTTTTATATCATACATTATCTAGGGTTGCCATGCTTCCGGAATTTCCCAGACACAGCCAGGATTTGGCCATTGGAAACAGTGCCCGGGCAAAAATGGCTGTAGTTCATCTGGGGAAATTCGGACGTATGGCAGTCCTGTCTGAAGTGTAGATTATGGTGAATATCCTTAAAAAATAGCTCAAAAACTTGAGCTTTTTTTTCAATAGAAATTTAGCAACTTTGTCCCTACTCCCCCCAAAAAGCAACCCTACCTTATATAAATTGATGAGATGTTTTTGAATATGTGGTATATACCTTGCTAATAAGTAAGTCAATACTAAGGTAAAGGTAAAGGACCCCTGGACAGTTAAGTCCAGTCAAAGGCAACTATGGGGTTGCAGCGCTCATCTCGCTTTCATCTCGCTGAGGAAGCCAGCGTTTGTCCACAGACAGCTTTCCAGGTCATGTGGCCAGCATGACTAAACCACTTCTGGCGCAACGGAACACCGTAATGAGTGCCAGAACGCATTGAAACGCTGTTTACCTTCCCGCCGCAGTGGTACCTATTTATCTACTTGCACTTTGACGTGCTTTCAAACTGCTAGGTTGGCAGGAGATGGGACAGAGCAACGGGAGCTCACCCAGTCGCAGGGATTCGAATCGCAGACCTTATGATTGGCAAGCCCAAGAGGCTCAGTGGTTTAGACCACAGCGCCACCCGCGTCCCTGTAATACTAACCAGTAACAAAAGGCATGAGCCAATCTGCAGACTGGTCCACGGGCATCACCCTACAAAGTGCATTTTTAGAGTAAAGAGCCATCCCCAGTGGGATCCCGACTGAAATTACTTAAGTGTGTGCGTGGTTTTCCTCCTCCGAATGCTTGAACCCTTATGTTTGTTCAGCTTGGATTGTTTGCGCATGGCTTCATTAATTGGGTGCTGTACTCTGAGGCAATGGCATTCTTCTGTTTTTATCTTCCCTCCTCTGCTTTTTGCAGGTATAATAGCTGTTGTTTCTCCACTGCACTGTACTCCAGTTCAGCAAGCCACTCAAAGTAGCTTGTTGCCAATGGCAGTCAACCCATCCATTATCCAGTCTCCCCACATGCACTCAAAGGTGAATATCGCTGACAAAATCATTTTTAAAATTGCATTTAACTTTTAAAAAACGCCTAATTATTTGATACTTCTGGTGGTTTGCCTTCACAGAACGTTATTAAAACAGAATACAGTGGTGCCCCGCAAGACGGAAAACTCGCTAGACAAAAGAGTTTTCCGTTTTGGAGGTGCTTCGCAAAACGAATCTCCTATGGGCTTGCTTCGCAAAACGAAAATGTCTTGCGAGTTCCTGCGGGTTTTTTTTCCTCCCCCCCCCCTTTTTCTAAGCCGCTAAGCCGCTTATCCGCTAAGCCGCTAAAAGCCGCTAATAGCGCTAATAGCGCTAATCCGCTAATCCGTCAATGGGCTTGCTTCGCAAGACGAAAAAACCGCTAGACGAAGAGACTCACAGAACGGATTCTTTTCGTCTTGCGAGGCACCACTGTATTTTTTTGTCCCTTGTTGACATAGTTGGCAATATAGTGGATCTGAAGGCTCCCTTCCTTCAGCAGAAGGAGCTTCTTCTGATGGGAGAAGGGGACTTTTGGACCCAACCCAAGGGTTCCAATTCCACCCGGTATTCAATATACAGTTGTACCTTGGATCCCAAACACCTTGCGACTCAAACGTTTTGGCTCTCGAATCCCCCAACCCAGAAGTGAGTGTTCCTGTTTGCGAACATTCTTTGGAACCTGAACATCTGACAGGGCTTCCGTAGCTTCCGATTAGCTGCAGAAGCTTCCTGTTTCCTGCATCCAATCGGAACCTGCGCCTTGGTTTCAGAATGTTTTGGAAGTCAAACAGACTTCCAGAACTGATTCCGTTCGGCTGTATACAGTTGTTAAATTTGAAATAGCTAAGGGAACGTATTGGGATCTAATAAATTTGGATATTATTATTTTTGTTTTTCGTTTTTGTTTAGAGAATATGAGCTCTCCCAAACAGATTTTTGGGTGAAGAAGCCACTGAAAATTAGAGACCTGGTTTTTGCAGAAATAGCTTTATGGAGAGCCATGTAGCCGCTTCAGCCTTTTTGACCTTTTTCTTCCACAATGATGGCTGTTTCTCCAGTACTGAAGGGAAAATGTACATCGTGTGAGAAGCAGGGGGAACTACAAAATGGCGCATGCTGCCCTCCATCTCCAAGAGAACAAAATCCCCGTGGGATGAGGGAGATGGATGACTGACACCTTTCACAGAATATTTCTCTAAAAGACCTTGAATCTTCCTGCAGGTATCTTGTTCTTCCTCTTTGAATAGCCTGCCGGGCAGTAGCAAAGAAAACGGGAAGACATCACTGAATCAGGCGCAGACATCTGCTGTCCATACGCAAGCCTCTTTGGGAACTGTCGGCTCAAAACCGATTAATCAGGAGCAAAGTATGTATTCTGGTCAAGCAAATAGAAACGCGACTGGGATGTAGACTTCAGAATAAATGTTTGTGGGTGTTCCCAGTCCACATAAAGTGGTACAAAGGGGTACAGTGGTACCTCGGGTTACATACACTTCAGGTTACATACACTTCAAGTTACAGACTCTGCTAACCCAGAAATATTACCTCGGGTTAAGAACATTGCTTCAGGATGAGAACAGAAATCGTGCTCCAGCGGCGCGGTGGCAGCAGGAGGCCCCATTAGCTAAAGTGGTGCTTCAGGTTAAGGACAGTTTCAGCTTAAGAACAGACCTCCAGAACAAATTGAGTACTTAACCCGAGGTACCACTGTACTCTGTTTTGTTGGTTTATCTAAATGCTGCGCCACACAGGCAATTGGATAAACAGATGGCCTTGTGGGACTCGCATATGTCAGGGGACTATTTAAAGGGCGATGCAGGCTGTCATCCAGATCTGCTTGAAACAGTTTTGCCGCTGTTTCAGTGAGATGTGGATTATGCAAAGAGGCCAACTGCATGAAAATATGTCCTAAAAGCAAGTGATCACCGTGTAGATTTAATCTGATTGCTATTTAATCCGATTGCTAATATTAACTAATCTTTCAATTTCCAAAGTAGTAGGAAATTCTGGGTGATGCAATGCAATGAAGTGCGTTGCGGATAACTTCTGTAACGTAAAATTCAGCGGAGGGGAAATTCTGTGGATTTCATTGTGAAATATTCAGGCTTCGCGATATACACACCATTCTAATGTTGTCTGAAGGGTTCCGAAGCACTTCCACCTGGAGCTAGATTGGGTGGCTCCTGTGGACCATTCAGACTGCTGCATTCTGGACCCTATTGTTCTAGGACCAATCAGACTGCTGCATTCTGAATCCTATTGTTCTAGGACCAATCAGACTGCTGCCTTTTGGATCCTATTCAACTCAGTACATAACAGTACAGATACCAGATCTGCTCTCTTAGGGTCAATGCAGGTCAGAATCAATGAAAGCAGAATCTTGTATGGCTGGTGGGGTGTTTTTTTTAGATAGGTTACTTTCCTGGTTTAGTGCCGTATCCTAGGGGAAGCTGTTCTCTGGAAAAAGCAAATAACAGTACAGTCTGATATATATTTGCAGCAGCTGACATCACTGACACATACAAGTCGCAAACTTTTGCACAATGAGAGGTGCAAGTGTGACTAAGTTGGGCATCTTTTTGTGCCGTGTACCTTATTCACAGCTTCCTCCTCACAGGCAGCATTTTGCAGGAGACTCAAGAGGAACAGAGGGAAACATAATGTGATTCAGCTCACCCTGTTTTATAGCAATTTTAATTATAGCAATTATTTATAGTCTTAAATAAATGCTTTAAATGATTAATCCTGGTGAGATTTTTATTTGCTCTCAAGTTATGTATGCCCTCTGTATTTGATGGTTTGTTTCCAAGCTAATGCCGCCTCCCTAAATCTGCTCTGGGATTTTATGTAGTGACTTACTCGCCTTTGATAGAGCCCTCTCTTCCCCAACATTTTTCGCATTTTAAATCTTAAAACAAAAGCTTCCAGCGGCGCTCAGAAGCCTATCTACCAATCCTCTTGCCCTCCAGATACTAATTCCTTCAACATATCCAACACCATTGAGTTAAAGTGTACTAGAATTGAAGTTGAATTGAATCTGTTAGGGCTTATCCGCATTTACCTTTCCCCTTGCTGTTTCCAGGCACAGGCCTGCGCTTAAATACTCTGTGTCCAAGCTTCGTCATTGTTGTTTCTGCCCCAGAGCAGATGTAAATTAGGGTTTTCCTCTGATTGCCATTGGCTTTGATGGAGCTTTAAAGAGCTGGTTTTTGCAAGGTTTTCGTGTCAGCGTCACAAGGGCAGGCCCTTTATTTATATAGTTATTTATTTGTATTGGCATTGCAAGAGATTGGAGGATTCAGAGCTTGGCTGGTTGCAATTTGGCTGTTTGCGGAGTGGTTTGTTTGTATGTATGTGGGGGGTGTTGTTGGGTCAGATTAGCCGTATTGATTTGTATGCTGTTGCAGCGGGGGGGGGGGGTTGTGTGGCAGGAATAGGTCAGTACTTTTCCTTGTTTCTTTGTTTGTTTTATAACACACACACACACACACAAAATCTTTAATAAAAACATAATTTAAAATAAATGAAGAGCCAACTTTTTGAGGGAAAAGCTCCAAGGCAAAGAAACACAACAACAACAACAACAACACGCTCAGACACGGACCCTTTAAGTGTGGACCGTGCCTGGAAAAGCTGGAGGAAATGTATGTGTGGATAAGGCCTTAGTGAATTATACTACTGGCAATATTTGTTCTCATCGCCCAGTTCAGTTCTTGGCCATTTGAAGCTCCCTTTTACCTATGGGAGCCAGTAACTCACATCCATCAACATAACACAGAATTTAGTTTTTGGCATACGGTGAGAGAAGTCTTATTTTCCTGATGCCTCTTGATTTCTACCAGTGTGAAACCCGCCTATGGCTACAGCACTGCACCAACGGGTCACCGGGAGGCAGGCAGAAACCATGCGCAAATGGTTCTAACAACCATCATGTATTGCAGTGGTTGGTTATGGGGAGAGAACAGGGCCGCATAATGTTTTGCTTACAATCCTGAACAGTGGTACCTCGGGTTACATACGCTTCAGGTTACATACGCTTCAGGTTACAGACTCCGCTAACCCAGAAATATTACCTCGGGTTAAGAACTTTGCTTCAGGATGAGAACAGAAATCGTGCTCTGGCGGCGCGGTGGCGGCAGGAGGCCCCATTAGCTAAAGTGGTGCTTCAGGTTAAGAACAGTTTCAGGTTAAGAACGGACCTCCGGAACAAATTAAGTACTTAACCCGAGGTACCACTGTAGTAACTCCAGTCCTGAACTACACCTTAATTCAGAGGTTTTCAACCTTTTTGAGTCCATGGCTCCCTTGACCAGCTCCATTCTTTCTGCGGCACCCCTGTGGGGCTCAGCAGCCCAGTTATGTCACCCCTTGCCTGCAGAGCCGGCAGCCCCTCACCCCTTGTGAAGTGTTGCTCTCCTCTCCCCTCTCACTGGGAGTCCTCCGGGCAGCGCCAGAGACACCATTCGCTTGCGGAGCTTGTAGCTAAGGTTGTTGCAACAAACAGCTTTTGGAAGGCAGAGACGCAAGAGGGCATCAGAGGAGGGAGGGAAGGAAAGAGGGACAGAGGCCAATGTTGCCTGCAGCACCCCTGACCGTCATTCAAGGCACTCAAAACACACTGGTTGAAAACCCTCTGCCTTAATTTATCAAATGGTTGCTCTGAAAACTTTGAGGAATAGGGAGGAATATAACTTTCTGAGGATGTTTGTGACACGTGAGCATGCAGCTTCTTTTACTGAGGACTTTCCACTGGCAGCATAGAGACTCTTGCGTGCGTATAATCGGTCGAAAGTGAATTGTGAGCTTTATGCCATCCGTAGGTTTTTTGGGCTGACCTATTTGTTTGGAGAAAGTGGAAGCCGGCTGCCTGGGGAGTTTTATTCCAAATGCAAGGTTACTTAGTAACAGGCTCTTCTCCCCTGGGGAACCTGAGAAAGCGCATCGCAGGGAGGCAGAATGGTCCCTGTTAGGATGGGAGGGAGGAAGGAAACGAGTAATGGGGAATGTGCATCTTCTACACACACTCGAGAAGGCATCCGAAAATAGACAGCTGCAGCCGCACGGGGAGTTCTTGCCCTTCTGCTTACTTGGAAATCGCGCAAAGTAAACAAGGGACAAATAAAACCGTTTCAAGGCTGAGGAGTGGAAACATAGCCTGTGATTCAAATGGATAGAAGCTAAGTTAGAAGCCCTCTGCTTTATTTTCTCCTCTGATAGGAAGAGATTTGGTGGAGGTGTTCTCCGCCCCCTTGAAACTCGCTGCCTTGTCACTCACGGCTTCTGTTTACATTCCAGAATTGAAGACAGGTTTTCCAGATGGTCCATGTGGGCAACGTATGACTGATTCTGCACATGCCGCTGTTGCAGCCAGCTGCTCCGATAACAGCGAGGGCAAAAAAAGGAGAGATGCTAAACCTCAGATTCCTCTAGCAAAGGTAATAATTTGCTGCCTTGTAAGATAACAGTGAAAAGCAGAGGCTGATTTGTGTTGCCAACGAAAGTCGGCCTATGTAGATAGCTGGGGGTGAGAACGGCACCTTTGTCATCAGGCTTTGAATGGGTTTCTAGTGACTATCCCATAAAAGCGCCTACCCCAAAGGGAGCTAGCCAGTGCGCATGTCAGCAATCTTGAGTGCGTGGCTGGACCCAGTCACACCACCCGGTGCCCCATGCTCATAGTTGACAAAGCAATTTGATCTGCTTTTTGATATGTCCAAGAGGACATCTAATAAACACGTCCCTTAGAATGGATTTGTGTTAGCAATTTCGCCTCCCTCCCCCAAAAAGAAAACCCACTGACTAAATATTCAACCCGAGATGGACGTTTAGCTGAACTGCAGGATATGACAAAGGGATCCTGCGATTAGTGGATTCCACAGCCACCATTCATTGGACAGCTGTCAAAATATATCTTGTCCAAAGTGTTACATAATTTTCATGTGATCTGCAGAGAATTCTTGCCTCCCCGGTCAAAAACAGCTTTTGCATGAGTCGAAGGTTGCTTTGACACTAGGGATTTTGACCCCGCTGAGACGTTCCTTTGACACAATCGGCTGGGAACGGAACGGAATTAAAACAGTGGTTCTAAGTGACATTTCATATAGTCCCATTATCCAGTACTATTAAGCTCCTTTGCTTAGAAACAAATCCCATTCATCAAAGGTCCCCTGCAACTGTAATTAGAAGCTTCCTGTAATAATAGCAATATAGGCATCTAATTGCTTCCCATTCACTATTCCATAAGGGATGAATCCCCACTTCGTTAATTTTTCCTCACGGGGGAGAGTGGTGACCAGTAAGTTAGCTCCATTTATCATTCTAGTACACCATTCCCCATTTGGCCTCTGTGAATTTGAGTGATAATTTCTGCAGTCAATTGTTTTTTTCCTGCTTGTTTAGGCTTCGCATGCAGTTCACAATCTTGATCATCTGGAGTAGGGCTGGGGAACATGAAGTAGTAGTAATAATAATAATAATAATTTATAATTTATAATTTATAATTTATAATTTATAATTTATAATTTATAATTTATAATTTATAATTTATTATTTATTATTTATTATTTATTATTTATTATTTATTATTTATTATTTATTATTTATTATTTATTATTTATTTATTACTTATTACTTATTACTTATTACTTATTACTTATTATTTATTTTTATTTTTATTATTTATTATTTATTTTTATTTTTATTTTTATTATTTATTATTTATACCCTGCCCATCTGGCTGAGTTTCCCCAGCCACTCTGGGTGGCTCCCAATCAAGTGTTAAAAACAGTACAGCGTTAAATATTAAAAACTTCCCTGAACAGGGCTGCCTTCAGATGTCTTTTAAAGATAGGATAGCTGCTTATTTCCTTCACATCTGAAGGGAGGGTGTTCCACAGGGTGGGCGCCACTACCGAAAAGGCCCTCTGTCTGGGCCTCCAGATTTTCCTATCGGCTCTGTCCATTCAGCACGTTGTCTGGGACTTGTAGGAGTTGCAATCCAGAAACATCTGCATGGCCTCATGTTCCCCAGCCGTGTTGTGGGGGCCTAAATTGTTCAGGGAGCTTGCACGAGTCCAGCAGGTTTCCCACTATATAAGTTTGTCTCCAAGTGACAAGTTAGCATGTCGGTTCCTGCTCTCTCTCGCACGTGTTTTTAATTGCCCGGTAGGTTATAGCACCTGAATGGGGCTACAGTTCTGTCCTAAACCAAGTGCTGATGAGTTTCTTAAGGTATCATGATTGCAACCACCACCACCACAAAATCCTCTCTGCCTGCTATTTTGCTTTTGCGGTCCTGTCCGAGGTGGAAAACTCTGAACTTGCTTTTGTTTAGAGCTGAGAAATGCTCTTCTGTTTAATTTCAGGACATCAAAGTGAAGCATGCGGATTCCTGGACAAGTTTAGGTAAAATGATCCCTGCGCCGGCCCCAATCAAATCCTCCAATGAAAGCTTCAGGCAGTTCCAAAAAGCAGCGCTAGAGAAAGAAGAAAGTGAGTGGGCAAAGGACCGCAAAAGGCAATTGGAGCAAGCTGAGAGGAAACTGAGAAGCCTCCCTCAGGAAAAAGAGAGGTTTGTAATTCTATATAATTAAATTGAAAGGCTGTATTTCACATGTCCATTTAACTACGCTCATACTGAGTGGTTTCCAACTGGGCTGTTTTGTGGCAATGTGGAACTGATTCCTATTTGAGGGGAAATAATTAGAGGCGATAGCTAGTCACCATGTTGGTAAAATAGCAGCACGGTCTATTGAGTATTATTTTCAAGGTTACTCTGATGTTTGCATATGCCCATGTTTATACTTCATCGATGTGAACTGACTGTTGGCAGAGATGAGTATTTGAGCTTGTTAGTAACTCTGTAGCTGCCGCTCTGCTAGCAAGCATAAAGTAAAATTTAAAATTATGACTTTTCCAAAGTGTCCACGGGTATATCCATTTGGAGACATAACTGGGAAAACTAACTACAAGATCAGTGTTGCCCAAACTTTTGGTACTGAGTTTTTCTGGTTTAAAATTAAGTGCGCATCTTAATCCACACTTGTGAGCTTTATTGGCCAGCACAAACAAGCTTTTTGTTTTCATATCAACAAAGTCGATGTGTGATCAGAGCTGTAACAGAGGGGCTTTTTTTGGACAAGGGCAGCAGTTCTGAGATTTTTTTTTATTGATTTTTTTTTTTTTGCATTGTTGTCAGTTAGGGAATCCCAGTTCATCATTCTTAATCCATCTCTTGCGATGCCACTGCCTATATTTTTGCAGGTGCTGGATAGCGGGGGTGGGGAATCAGTACTGGATGGCACCTCTCTGCTTCCATCAGCAGAGTGGTGGGATACATCTAATATGGCGGATTTTTTGCAGTATACTTCATCCCTTCTTGCAGTACGCTCAGTGGCAGAGCAAGCCGATTGGGTGCCTGGGGTGGCGTGCGTGCCCTGCGCCCAGAGGCGGGGTCAGCCGCCCGTGGGGTGGGGCGAGTCGGGGCAGGACGCTCCGTGGGGCCTCCGAGGAATCTGCCTGCCTCCTCCCATTCATCCCCCCACAGCTGAGGGGGAAGCGGCGGGCAGACAGTCTGGGGCAGTGCAGAGCCTGCAGGTACCCAAGCCACCGCGTCACTCCCAGAAGAGATGCGTGGCTTGGGCGCACTGCAGGCCCCATGGTGAGTGCCGCCCGGCATTTTGTCACCCTCTCAGTGGTGACACCCGGCATGACCCGCACCCCCTTCCTCTGCCCCGAGTACACTGTTTAGGAATTGACATGCAAAATCCTTGCAGATTGTTGGTTACGTTTATTCCTTCAAATGTGAGGTCTGCATCTTTGAATCCATAAGCAACGGGTGTGTTTTTTCCTATATAGAAACAATGGGAAAACAGATTTGAAACCTACTGCAGCAAAAGCGAGCTTTTCCCCTTCAAAAGCAGCGTCCACAAAAGAGCAGCTATGCTTGACACAAAGTCTTCTTGTAGACCATAACTTGGCAAGAAAAATGGAACAAGAGCGTAGGTGGAGAGAAGCGGTAAGTAATTGGTGCATAAATCAGCTTTAACAGTGTCGGTCACATAACAAACTGCAGCAGCTAAGGATCTGCTCTAATAGCTTATTCCTAACTAAATCAATGGGACTTTATTGGCTTAGACCCATCTGAAGAGCCAGCTTAGCAATAGAGGTTGGGTATCACTGACTGCTTTGACTACATGGCACATTAAAGATTGCCAGGGGTTGCTACCTGTTGAAACCTGAATCCAGAAAAGTTCATACATTATCTCTCTGCACGTTTACTCAAAATTAAATTACGCTGAATTATGTGTGCGCCTTGCTCCTGGTTGGGACGCGGGTGGCGCTGTGGTCTAAACCACTGAGCCTAGGGCTTGCTGATCAGAAGGTCAGTGGTTTGAATCCCCACGATGGGGTGAGCTCCCATTGCTGGGTCCCAGCTCCTGCCAACCTAGCAGTTTGAAAGCACGTCAAGTGCAAGTAGATAAACAGGTACCGCTCCGGCGGGAAGGTAAACGGCATTTCTGTGCACTTCTCTGGTTCGCCAGAAGCAGCTTAGTCATGCTGGCCACATGACCCAGAAGCTGTCTGCGGACAAACATCGGCTCCCTTGGCCTATAGAGTGAGGTGAGCACGCAACCCCAGAGTTGTTCCCGACTGGACTTAATGGTCAGGGGTCCCTTTACCTTTACCTTACTCCTGGTTAAGTACCTACACCATTGCAACATAAATAATCCGCCCCGCCCCCATTTAATTGCTTTTTGTTTTTAAATAGATGGTGGGCACCATTGATATGAACTTTCAGAGTGACGTTATGGCAACGTTTGAAGAAACCCTGAAATGAGAAGAAGGAAGGTGGCGTAACTTTGGTTACCGTTCTTTAGAAGTAATGTTGGAGTGCAGAAAAATACTCCATGCACTGCCGGAATACATTTTTTGGTGATAATTCTATCCAAACATTTGTTAATCATTTTTGAAGAGCCAGTATATTACTGTAATAAGTTCAGTTTTTATAAAACTTGCTTCCATTAAAATTGTAAAGCTTGAAAACTTCTCAATGTAAAGGCTTGCTGTAATCCTTAGAGGCAGTTTTCAGTGCCTAGCCTTAGTTTTGAAATACTATTATTTCTGGACTTTTAAGCCTGTTTCAAAATGTTTATTTGATGTGCATGGTACAAAACAAGCCAGGCATTGCTTTCAGGGTTCAAGTTTGGTATTTAAAAGCACCTTGGATGTGTACTGATTTATTTTTTTATGGGTATTTAAACTACTTTGTTTAGCTTTGATTTATTTGGCAAATGTACCAGTATTTAAGTTGAAATGTTATTTGATGTGGCAAGCTAAAATGCCTTTTAGCTCATGTAGTATTGAGGATTTGCATTTTGGATTTCTCCCTACCCATCATTAGAAAAGTAAAACCTAAATAAATCTTCAGTGTCTATTTTCCTTGTAAAAATCTGTAAATATGCAAGTATTTTTTGTTATTTCTAAGTAATAGATTGAATCATTTCCATTTTCTTTTGAATGCACACCTTACAACCGTTTGTATTAGATGCTCAAATGTCTTTCTATTTTACACCTTTCATACGTTAATAAAATAAGTTGTCATAATTGGAGGTTTAGTGGATTTTGTAGTTTCTAACCTATTTTATTGTTCCATTAAAAACAACAACACCCAACTATCAACCAAACATTATTTGTCAAAGTTCCTATAGAACTACATCCTGTAAGTTTAGATTTTTCAGTTACCTACACCTCAGCCCTAAACAGGTTGGCTGAGGCCATATGTATTGATCAACCATGCCACCTAGGACACGGGTGGCACTGTGAGTTAAACCACAGAGCCTAGGACTTGCCAATCAGAATGTTGGCGGTTCGAATCCCCGCGACGAGGTGAGCTCCCGTTGCTCGGTCCCAGCTTCTGCCAACCTAGCAGTTCGAAAGCACGCAGTGCAAGTAGATAAATAGGTACTGCTCTGGCAGGAAGGTAAACGGCGTTTCCATGCACTGCTCTGGTTCGCCAGAAGCAGCTCAGTCATGCTGGCCACATGACCCGGAAGCTGTACGCCAGCTCCCTTGGCCACTAAAGCGAGATGAGCACCACAACCCCAGAGTAGTCTGCGACTGGACCTTAATGTTCAGAGGTACCTTTACCTAGGAATGGCTGTGGGCAGGATTCCTGAATTGCAGAGGGTTGGATGACCCCTGAAGTCCCTTCCAAATCTTCTATGATTCTACATCAAGGAACCTCTCTAGCTTAGAGTCAAACCAGATGTGCATGTCTTATTAAATATGTTCTTGTCTATTTGGCTGTAATGGGACGCGGGTGGGGCTGTGAGTTAAACCACAGAGCCTAGGACTTGCCGATCAGAAGGTCAGTGGTTCGAATCCCCGTGATGGGGTGAGCTCCCATTGCTCGGTCCCTGCTCCTGCCAACCTAGCAGTTTGAAAGCATGTCAAAGTGCAAGTAGATAAATAGGTACCGCTCCAGCGGGAAGGTAAATGGCATTTCCGTGTGCTGCTCTGGTTTGCCAGAGGCAGCTTAGTCATGCTGGCCACATGACCCAGAAGCTGTACGCCGGCTCCCTTGGCCAATAAAGCGAGATGAGCGCCGCAACCCCAGTCGGTCACGACTGGACCTAATGGTCAGGGGTCCCTTTACCTTTATTTGGCAATAAAGTGGGGTCTACCTCTTAATACCAGATGGTACACATGTTGGAGGAGAGTAAAAACCTGACCAGGTGCTCCACCTTCTTCTCATATCATATTTCTCCAGCCCAGCTCATTTCTGGGCAGTATCAGAGCTGGGTAAGGCATGGGTTTTGTTTATCTCTATCATGGGAGTCTTCAACAATACCAGACACGGCCTTGGGTGCCCAGCAAGTAACCCTACCGCTTCCATTCTTTTTATTTTGACTTTTTTATTAGAGGGAATGTATTTATGTTTTTGCTTGCTGTTGTGGGGCAGGTGTTTGTTTTTATTTGTTTTGCAAAGCTCTACCCATATTTTGCCTGTGTTGGAAAGGGCTCTGAGCACCGCCCGTTTTCCCAGTTCTGAATCTGGTATTTTGTGCCACTCAAGCCAGTTTCCTTAGTTTTCTAAGTGTACCCCAGACCCCAGAAGGGTTGGGGGCCACTGCTTTCAATCACATGCTTCCTTTTCGTGTTACTCCCCTCACACCTGCTTTTATAGTCCAGTTGGTGAAGACACACAATATGGTTCCTTGAGGCTGAGGCTTGTGAATGAAGGTTAGAGATGGAAACCTGAAAAGTGCAAGCAAAGCAATCAATTCCCCTATGAGGAAAGGTTAAAACATTTGTGGCTTTCGAGACTGGAAAAAGCCAAGTTAAAAGAATGACAGCTTTGTATAAAATGATGCATGGCATACAGAAAGTGGACGGAGGGAAGCTTTTCTCTCATAACAGCACTGCGAGAACCCATGGTTATGCAAGGAAGCTGAATGTTGCAAGATTCGGGGAGACGAGAGGGTGTTATAGATTTGGGGAGGACCCCCCCAAACCCTATAAATGCTAAGATTACGATTATTTTGGATACAAAGGGAGAATACAAGCGGCAAATGAATTCCTGGGCTGGCCTATGCAAAAGCACGTGCGCGCGCACACACACACACACACACACACACACAAGACCTGGCCACGCTAGGGCCATTAAGCAACAATACAGGGCCACTGAGGGCCATTGGCAATGCAAGAGAACTGTCCTTCCCCACCTGCCAGAGAAGAGAGACAGGGGTTTTGGAAGGGTGTTTGAGGTGACAGGAAAAGGGAGCAAGGGATTCTGGAAAGGAGGAGGAGGAAGAACGGGATGGGATCCATCTCTGAGCAGGCTGGCTGCAGAGCTGACTGGGGAAGATGCCTTGGACTCCAGGGATGCGCTGCTCCAGGGCTGTGGGGGACAAGCGCCTCTTTAAACAACCATGCCGTAAGATCTGGACTCCCTCCTTGCAGACTGAAGGTGTAAACAGGTGAATAAACCCAATTTCTTAAAGCTACAACAGTCTTCATCATGTCTCAATGCTATAAAGCAGCCTTCCTCAACCTGTGGGTCCCCAGATGTTGTTGAACTACAACTCCCATCACCCCTAGCTAGTAAGGCCAGAGCTCAGGGATGATGGGAGTTGTAGTCCAATAACATCTGGGGATTCACAGGTTGAGAACTGCTGCAAGTATAAAGGAACACAGCCCCTGGGCAAGTGCTTGGAACCCCATGGGCTCTTGCCACCACTCAGCATAGAGAGCCACCTGACCTTTGTAACAATAAACTACTACTTTACACAGTGGCAGCTCATAGTTAAGCTAAGGACTTTGCTACCGCAAGATGGTCACCAAGCTGGCTGGCTGGCTATGAAAGAAGATTTATGGAGAATAAGGATATCAGTCATGATGTCTATATATTACCGCTGGTATCAGGGGGGTTATGCTGTTAAATACCAGTTGTTGGGGAACGCATGGAAAAAGTGTTTGACCACTGCAGGAACAGGATACTGGACCAAACACAAAGCTGGACCAAACAGGCCTTTGGCCAGACCCCAGTAGGAATGCCTTTGATGTTCTCAACTCCGTATCATCACCAGCGTATTCCAGGCTTACAGGTCCTCACTGGCTACAACTGATCTCCCTTCTGTCACATTGTCTCCAGATCACGGGAAAAGAAGGCAAGTGCAGTTTATCTGTGCAGTTTGCAAAGAGTAATCAGAACCAGAAGAATCTTTATTTGCATCAGCCGCTAGCCACAGCAATAAAATAAAATAAAATGTACTGAAGATAGAGGTAAAAACTTAACTATACAAAATACATTCTGAAGGTTTGCATCAATAGTCAAATAATAGATCTTACTCTAATTGCCCCTGCTATTTTTTAATTTTTTAAATTTTTTTTGCAGTTTTTGCTGTCACCTGGTTATCTTAATCTGCTAGAAGGAACGACACAGTAGCAATGGTTGATCAACCTGGTCTGGATAGTAGTAGAGGGGTAATAACCTCACTCATCAAATTTTTACAGTGGTACCTCAGGTTAAGTACTTAATTCGTTCCGGAGGTCCGTTCTTAACCTGAAACTGTTCTTAACCTGAAGCACCACTTTAGCTAATGGGGCCTCCTGCTGCCGCTGCGCCACCGGAGCACAATTTCTGTTCTTATCCTGAAGCAAAGTTCTTAACCTGAAGCACTATTTCTGGGTTAGCGGAGTCTGTAACCTGAAGCGTATGTAACCCGGGGTACCACTGTATAAAGAGTTCAAGCTAGAAGCACGTGAGCTACTGACTCAATACTGCCATCTCCACAAGGACATAAGTGTTTTTCCAGCGGAATCTTTTGAAATCGACCCTGTACAGCCGAAGGCAGTGTATTCAATCTTGCATAAGTGAAAGCACGTCTGTTTTTTGGAATTGTTAAATTTTGCAACTGGGGTGCCAACGTGTCAAAATGACTAGGTGGAAAATCAAACTGTGGACAAAATTTCCTTATCGTGGGCAAGTTATTCTTTCGCTCAATATCAATATATAGGCACTGTCTAATTAAATTATTTGCTTTACCGAAGCCCAGTGTTAATAACTGTTGTGGTGATGAACCAGAAAAGGAAAGCTTTCAGTTGACCATTTTAGTCCAAGAGCTCTCATGACTATCTAGCGATACTAAGGGTAGTAGACTGGTGGGGTTTGCCAAGTGTAACTTCTGGAGTGTGCTTCTAGTTTCTTCCTTTCACAGGGTGTTTACCTTGCTTAAAAACATGCTTAAAAAGACACACACACACACACACACACCCCTCTTTGTACGATGCTCTCCTTATTTCAAATGGAAGCCTATTTGGAAGGAGGGGATGAGTATGGTGGTTGCTAGGCAACCCCTGACATTCCTCTATGGCAACCAAGTTTGCAGTCGGGGAAAGCCAGCAATTGTCAGGCAGCAGCCACACACCCTCTCCACATCCCATTGCTCTCGCCCTTCTCTCTTATTTGTTTTGCTTCGATCTTACCTTCCAGGAAAAGTTGCTGCCCAGGCACAACTCGCCCGGTTCGTGCTTTAACAGAAAAGGATGCAACTCGGGAGAACCCACCAAAGGTGAAGCCAGGGACCTCATTGTAACACAGACATTGTAACACAGGCACATACTAGCAGTAACAGGCCAATGGTCCATCAAGTCCACTATCCTGTTCTCACGATGGCAACCAGGAGTCTATGGGAAACCTTCGAACAGGATCTGAGCACAACAGCCCTCTCGCCTCGTGCGGTTTCCAGAAAGGGGCATTTGGGAGCATTACTGTGGAGGCAGTGCATCATACCTGTCAACCGTCCCTTATTTGGCGGGAAACTCCCTTATCCCAGTGCTGTGTCCCGCTGCTGTCCCTTATTGATGATGTCGCTTAAATTTCCTGGGTTTCAAAGGAAGCAGCTCCTCTCCCTCCCTCCCTGCCGGCCAGGGAGGAGGGAGGCTCCAACTGTGTTGCTTGGCTGCATTGCTCACCCAATAAGGAGTCTAAGAACGACTAGGGGGTGGAGCTTGCATGCCCTGTGCCGATCAAATCGGCCGCGTTGCCTGGGGACTCGCCTTTGCTCAGCGCTTCCCAGCGGAGAGGTGATGGTGGTTTTCCTTGCTGCATCCCCTTTGCCGGGTTGCTGCGCTGTGGGAACCACCGCTTGAGGCTTCGTTTGGTTGCTGGCTGGGCTTTCTGCCTTTGGCTCGGAGGCGCTCAGAAGTTGAACATACCTGTGCTTGGAAAATCCCTTATTTTGGCTGCTGATCCCTTATTTTCGAGGCTGCTGGTCCCTTATTTTCAAATCTGTAAGCTGACAGCTATGCAGAGCATAGGCACCATGGCAATGGTCACGGATGATTTTATTCTTTAATTTACATAAGCAACTGGAGGGCCAAAGGTACACAGCAGCAGCAAAGAACCTCTGGCCCCCAAGTCTAATTTGCACCGCCAGTCTTCCCCATTTGATCCCCACCTGCGATACCCAGGACATCTTCTGTGCAGCCAGTTGCGGAGCAAGGAAGGGCGCATTTCTCTGTCCATAGCAGGGTTGATCAGCTGAACAGTGGTGCCTGCAAAGTCTTGCTTTTGCCCGTGCTGTTTGAGTTGATACAGTACCATAGGGCATGGCGCTCATGACCTCAAGGTTGCAGGTTCAATTTCCCATTTGGGACAGTTCTGCATTCCTGCATCGCAGGAAGTCAGGACTCGATGGTCCTCAGGGTCCCTCCCCACTCTATGATATTGTCTTAAGGTGCCGGAAGCCGTTGTTTGATGCAGTGGCCCCACAAGAGTCGTTCTGATTATTAAATGGGAGAGGCGAATTGAATATGACACTTTGCTTTTTATAGGAAAGGAGTCCTAAATGCCACTACATCTCATTAGCTCTGGAAGCTCTCTTACTGGTATATTCTGTTTTAAAACTCTCTCTATATATCTTGCAGATATATATATGGCGGATTATAATTCAATAAAATGTTTTTGGGCTTCCATAAACATTTAACTCCCCACCACAAAAAACCCCCCCAAAATAACAGTCTCTCTCTCTCCCCCTATGCCTGTTTACTCAGGCATTGGTTCGCTGGGCCAGGCCAACAGTGAGGTTAAAGGGCTGCCCCACCTTCAATAAATGTTGTTGTTGTTGTTAATATGATGATGATACACAGTAACAGGGGTGTCAAATATTGGGGGTGGGGGGACACCAGGTAAGCCTCACCCCACAGAATCGATCACATGACATGGTGCACGCACACCATTTGAATGGCAATGCCCATGAACTGGGGGTGGGGGGCTGGAGCCCCACAAATATTTTATTGGAGGGGCAGAGTTGGCTCCTGCGGATCACCGCCGAATAACCCCCGCGAAGCGCGACGACGCAAAATACACTGAATGAAAACCAGCAGTATTATTATTATTATTATTATTATGAACGCACACGCGACACGTAACGGCCCCCCTTCACACGTGCAGCCGGTCTGCGGCCAAGTGACGCGCCTGTGCACGTGCGAGCCGATCCTCCGCGCGCGCGGCGCCCCTCTGAGCCTTCCTTCGGCGAGCCGAGCGAGGGCCGCGGGCTGGAGGCGACGTGCGCGCCGGCAGAAGCGCGGGACTCCTCCTCGGTCTCTTTCGCCTGCCTCCCGCCTCCCCCCGTCTCTCCATCTGGTTCGGTCCTCGCGATGCCGTCGTCGGTTCGTGCCTCCCGCTGGCGCAGCCCATCTCTCCTCCGCTGAAGGGGGGGCGGCGGCGGATGGAGAGATCGAGAGCGCGAGTCGCCTCTCCCGCTTCGTGCCTCCTCGCCTCGCTCTCCCCGGGGCTGGCCATCCTCCCCGGCCGGCTGATGGTGACACTCCGGTCCGTGCTCTTCTGGGCTCTCGTGTACGCTTACTGCGGCCTGTGCGCCTGCAGGGAGCTGCTGAAACTTTTGTGGAGCCTCGGCACGAGGCCGGCCAAGACCTTCCAGTGGCTCATCCGGGAGAACCCGCCGGGCTGCCTCAACGACCCTTGCTGGGGGACTCACTGCTATGTCCGGATCAAGGTAAACAGGAGCTTGCGGGGAGGGACGGCGCCGTCCTCACGAGCTGCGGGGTCTGCGTGTCTGCGGGGAGGGAGCCTCGCTTCTGCTGCCCAGGGCAAAGGGGGCACTCGATCGCCCTCTTCGTGGGAAAGGACAAGCACAGGCAGAAAGAGGCTTGCCTTGCTTTCCTCCTCTCTCTCTCTCTCTCTCTCTCTCTCTCTTTTGCTCCTTCCTTCCCTCCTTCCCAGTTCTGTCGCTGCTGGAAAACAAGGCAGGATGCAGCCCATAGAAAGGGTTGTGTTTGCTCCACAAACACACACATTGCTGCAGATAGATGGGTGCACACACATGTCATCCTGTGCACACCACACACACACACACACACACAACATATATATATATATATATATATATATATATATATATATATATTTGGGGAGGCAGGGGGCGTTATGGAGGAGGCGGGCTTGCAAGCAGCAGTCCATTTCCGAGATGCGAACAGTGAGAATAAGTCGGGGCGTGCGAGCTCTCTGGTGTGTCCTGGTGTTGACGGACCACCCGTTTTGTCTGGTTGTGATGTGCCAAAACCTATAGCGGGTCATGATCTGTGTGGGTCATGATGGGTACAAAGCCACTGTGTGTGACTGGTTTTGACATTCCTGTCTGGAACAGACGCCCCCTGCCCCCCCAAAAGAGAGAGAAAGCCTTGAGAGGAAATGTGAATATAAGCAACCAGTGTGCAGACATGAGAGGCAATGCATTCGAGGTGATTTGCAAACACGCTACTCAACCTTTCGGTAATTGCTTCAGGAAAAAGTCTGGGTGCTTAACTTAACTCCTGGTTTGCCCGATCTTCTTAATCTCCGCAGGCACCGAGTAAAAGTCCAGTATCTGGTCCATATGTGGTATCTGAGGCAGAACTTTTTGGTGAGAAGGCATTGGTGGCTCTCTCTTTAATCAGATTTATTTATAATTTTAAAATGCTTGGAGAGTAGGTACACTCTTCCAGCATGCACACAAAAAGGTCTGCGAGCCCACACTGGGGGGAGTCAAAATTGTCTAGTCTCAAGGCAGAAACTGTGGTGGCGCATGAATCAAATGTCATCTTTGAAGTGCAGAGGCCATGTCCTTGATTCCAGGTCCCAAATTGCTTCAGCAGCATTCATATCTCTTGACTTGCCCTGGATTCATCAACTCAGCATCATCAACTCAGGGAAGAAGGACATTGGTGGGACTAGTTTATTGATTCTTTTGCCCTTCCAAAATGATAAATAGAAGATGCACTATACTCGTCTACAATTGTTTGCAGGCTTCATTTTCTCATTAATAAAAAGTAGCCCATTAGTGTTCCCAGGAGCTGTGAGGAATGAAGACATGACGTGCTTCTGCCTACTGAAAAGAAATACAAGCTAGGTCAGAATGGCAAGGCTAGTTGGTCATCAGATCCAATCCACCCCACTGCTTCTAGTTCTACCCCATGGAGCATCAGAGATCATGGTGTGCTCGACACCCCTTCAGATATTGGCCCCGATCATGCCTCACCTTAATATTTTCCTGCCAAACCTACCCAACTCTTTCAAGCATCTTCCTACAGCTTAATGCATGGATCTTAAGTAGAATTCCACATTGCATACGACTATTAGGGAGGCACAAATCAGAACTTCCTCATGTTGATTTCTTCCTCTCTTACTGCTAACGTATAGAATCAGTTACTCTTTGCCATGATATTAGCATGCTTTGTTGCTTCCGCCACCCCGCCAGCACCAACCAAATGATGTGAGCCAATTCAGATGTGAGGATCCCAACATGGGATGAATGATCCTACACAATGGGGTGGGGGAGAACTTGGCACATGGAATCCACTTTCAGTGACATCCCATGTTCTGTGTAGCAAGCGGTTCTGTCCTTTAAATGGTTCTGAAACTGTATCTTTCCATGCATTGATCCACTACCAAAAGGAAGGAAGGAAACTTAGAAGAGCCGAGGCCAAAGTGCTTCTGGGTCGACCACAAACAGGACATGAGATCAAAGAAAAGTTAGGTTTGCAAGTTTCCTTGCAGTTTGTTGGTAAGAGCTTGAAATGCAGTGGTACTGACGATAATGACTCCCGTTAAGAACTTCACACGCTTGTTGTGAAACATTGCGGGGGAAATATATTGCAGAGTTGGAACTTCGATATGCACTTAATTTCTATAATGCCGTTGAAATTTTCCCTAAGAAAATGAATTAGCAGTATATATCAAAGCATTGTAAGGTATGTAAAAGCACTGTTGATACTTTAAATTGAATTACCCACCCAGTCAGTTAGCAGTAGTTAAGTACCCTTAACTACAATAGAAATAAATTATGTAGATGTAATGGCTGTGGAGAAAATTCCTATAAACGAAAGAATAGAAATCTATGCTCAATCTATAAAACCATAGCTAACTTGAAATTTTAGTGAGAAGTTCTTTTCATGCACATCTAAAATCAAGCAAGTTTTATTTATGGCGATAAAGTATTTAACAGCGAGTCATGTGGCTATTATTCTAAAACTTAGGACATATGCCAATATCTAGAACCCGATGCAAACAAATTTGCATGGCAATTTATTTCCCTTGCTCTGAAATGAACAAAGCAAGTTTTGCAGCCATAAGAGTAAGATGAGGGAGAACCTCTTTCTAGAAGGGTGGCTGGGCTGCAAGGCTGGGACACTCGCATCTCCAGGAAGCACCCTGTTTGAGTGAGTACAAGTGTGCCGTTAAATAGAACTTGCCATGGTTTGTTCTTGTGGCAGCACTGCTAGGCACTTGGGAGCCATAAAACCAGCACAGTGTCAAGTTAAGCACCACTTGCGGGAGTGCCAGCTTGGACCCACAACCGTGGGTGCCAGGGGCTGTGGGTACCATATAGTGTGCATGGCCCTGGAGCCGAAATTTGTGGGTGCTCGGCCCCTTCATGGGGGATTTTGTGGGTGCTTAGGCACCCCAGGACCCCAGAGAGTCGGCACCTATGACCACATACCTCCACCACTGCCTCATTTTGTCCTCGGGGAAAGGTGCTGGGTGTCCTCTCACATGCAGCAGTATTCAGAAGCGCACACTGGCTGTCTCCAGTGAATTACTTCATAAGATGCTGCTGCTGCTGCATACTTTATCAGCTAATTGCATGTTGATTTGGCCATCAATCTCATCATCTGTCTTGCAATGGCACTTCAGGCCTACTGACTTTTTTTGTAAAATAAATTAAGTGCCTCTTGAATATTAATTCATTGAATAAAAGCATGAAACACTGTTCCCCATATCAGTCAGTCTGGGCTGCTCATGATGTGGGTGGGATAGGGCCTTCTCTGTAGTGGTGCCCCAGCTACAGAATCCTCCCCAGCCCTCCTGGAAGCATGGATGAATACAACACTGCTTCCATTGCTTGGTAAAACACACACTTACTTTCCTAGGCCGTTGCATGTTTTGTTGGATTGCTTTATGAAATTGTTTTGTGCTGTTCTGTTGGTTAATGAATTAAAATTTTAATGAGTTGTTTTATGTAGCTGTTGGAATCCACTCTGTGAACACGAGGTGATGAAAAGTGGTCCATAAATGCAAAAAAGAAAAAAATACAATGTGAATTTTTGTTTGTTGCAAAACAGCTTTGGAGATGGGAGGGGTAGATGGACAACATCACAGATACTAGCCAATCAACTCTTGGCAGAGTTGCTTTCTTCATGGAGAGGGAAATGTTTGTCAAAAGATAATGTTTAGAGCTCTTCAGCTGGAGATGAAAATTTTCATGTCACTTCTGTTTTGCGTGTTTTTTTCCTTGATAACAGCTTATTCCATTAGTTCTAAGAATATTTATAGAATTAATTATGTATGTATAAGGAGGAAGGATCAGATAATGATTAAATTAGTTTAGCAAGCATGGCTTTTCCTACTCTGTGAATTGTTGTTCTGCGAAGGAATAACTAGAGGGCAGGAATGGAGAACCTGTGACCCAATATTGCTGGACAACAATCCCCATCGTTCCTCACCATTGGCCATGAAGGTTGGGGCTGATGGGACTTGGAGTCCACAAACATGAGCAAAGCTTTCCTTTCCTGCTGTGAGGAATCTGCAACATCTTCACAATCCAGCTGTGAGGGAGTGAGGAGAAGCCAGGTCATATATACACTGGCTTTAAGATGTCCTTGGCTTTACTGCTTAGAGAAACCTTAGTTCCCAAGCGCTTTACCAATTTTGCCACAAGATTCATTTTACCACGACTTCAGAATAATGAAGCGGCAGCCACATCAACCTCTCTCAATTATCCGGAGCCATCTTCTTGCACTGCAGCTGAGTGTTCGCCTCTCACAGCTGGCTGATGTCAAGCATGAAATGAAGAGAGGCTCTCAAGATAGTTGCTAACAGACAAAGATCCACAGCGCCTGGCTGGTGTCCTTATTAGCACTCTCAGCAGAGAGCTTGTTTGTTGATCTGAAATAGTATGAGAAGTAATGTGACAACCGGTTGAAGTAGAAGTTTGCCTGACACCACTATGGCCCTATTAAGGCTTCGGCGGAAAGCCTGTACAGTTGCAGTGTCCGACCTAGGGTACGTACACACTGTCTTAATTTTGCAGAAGCCAATGCTCCTGATAAGGTGACAGAGGACAGGTGTCTGCAGCATATTTCATAACAAGCTCCAATTAGCTTTCTTTTCCAGGTGTTGCCTGTCATCCCTGCCTGAACCAGAAACAAGGAACTGCATAAATCCTTTTAAGTGCTTGCTTGATTTGTGCAAAGTCGCCATAAAGTGGAACATCCCCCATGTTCCTCCTCCTCTGTTCCTCCCATGCTCCTCCACCCTCCTTGGAAACACCTGGATGCACATCCACAAATAGCACAAGAATCCATAAAACAAGGAGTTGTGAAATAGTCCTGCTAAGGTGCAGACAGACGGCAAATATTCCTGGAGGTGGGGACAGTGTGCTCTCAAGTAAGTTTGACCAGTCCGATGCCATGTGATGGAGAGCCTGGTGTGAATATTAGAACGGTCAGTCGGTTAGAGAAATCTTAACTAATACTGTGCATATATTTTCAGGGTTTATTTTGGATGGTGACCTCATGTGCCACACTAGGCACCATGGGGAAGGGCAGAATGCACACAGAAGGTCTCATGTTTGACATCTCTTCCCAAAGAGCCACTGCTGGTACAGTTGTACCTCAGAAGCCAAACGGAATCCGTTCCGGAAGTCCATTTGACTTCCGAAAGGTTCGAAAACCAAGGCGCGGCTTCCAATTGGCTGCAGGAAGCTTCTGCAGCCAATTGGAAGCCACGGAACTCATGTCCAACGTTCGGGTTCCAAAGAACGTTCGCAGACCGGAACACTCACTTCCGGGTTTGCAGCGTTCAGGAGCCAAAACATTCGAGTCGCAAGGTGTTTGACTTCCAAGGTATGACAGTACTGAGCTACCAGACTAATGATTTGATTCAGTATAAAGCAGCTTTCTATATTCCTATTCCTTTCTGTGTGTGAGAGAGGCGAAAGGTCTCAGAAGTTACCTACCTGCCACCCACTCTGAAAGTACTTACATTAGAAAATAATTAACATTTTAAAAAGACCACTACTCACCTAATTGGAGGCCCCCTTTTCATCGGTCTGAAGCTTTTAAACTGGTGAGGCATTGTATCCTTGTTTAACACTGCACCTTCAGTGATAATGCAGCCAAACCCATCATGAAATGAAAGGGAGCGAGTTGAAAGAAAACATGACAGCATGCTATTGGTCTTATGAATGCAGAGAAATAATGGACTGCTGCAACTTTCCGTGTGACTCTTGAGAAGCACGAAATTCAAGCTACCCTTTGAACAAAGCTCTTCTCCATACCTGAACATTCATCGGTGAATATAAAAACACAACTTGTCTTCTCTTTCACTTCCAGGATTCCGGGTTAAGATTCCACTATGTGGCTGCTGGAGAGAGGGGCAAGCCGCTTATGCTTCTTCTTCATGGCTTTCCGGAGTTCTGGTAAAACTCTTCCTTTATGTTAGTTTTATGCCACATATGCTTCTGTTTATGAACTACATATGCAAGATCAATACCCATGTGCGTTTCGTTATAGTTATTATTAATCTGTACAGAGGCACCAGCTTCCCTTGACAATTGGGGAGCCCTGACGGGACATCGTGCAATGTCTGAACATTGAGGTGGGCCCAGTCCCCTTAAAAAAAAAACCAACCCAACATTTGGGGGGGTGGGAAACTGCCTCAGCCCCTAGGAATCAGCACCTATGAATCTTTATCCTGCTTTTGTCCAAGAACTCTTAAATTAGTAGCTATTGTATCATACATGCCTTGATCAAGGCATGGTAACTGGTATTACCCATACATGTTGCACATAGCAGACAGGGACCTAAATCCTAATTGTCTACCCGCTACCTGAAAATTTGACATGTGTATGTGTACTTGAAAGGCAATCAAGGTCAGTGTGTATAGGAGTGCAAATTAAACCTTATCAAAGTTGTTTTGCAGGGATGGGGGAACCCATGGCTTTCCACGTGTTGTTGGAGTTCATCTCCCATCATTCCCAACCAACACGGCCAGTGGTCAAGGATGAAGGGAGTTGTATCCCAGCAACATCTCTGGAAGAGCACCGTTCCTGCGCTGTTGTTTGGTTATATGACTTTTTCTGTGGATTTTGCCCTATTAGTTATATTTTATACAGGGGTGCCAACTTGAGTAAAATATTGGGGGGCAGTAATCCCCCCCCCCCATAATCAACCACATGATGTGGTGCATACACACCATTTGAATGGCAATGCCCATCAGTTTGGGGGAGCAGCCCCCCAAAATATTTTATTGGGGGGCGAAGCCCCTAGGAGTTGGCTCCTATGGCTTTATAAATGCCACAAAAGGCTATAGCTTCAAATGTAAAGTATTTACTGTCCAAAATTTGTTTTGTTTTTCATTTTTATTAAAGAGAAAACATTTTTTTAAAAAATCTTACGTTGTAACAAAGGAAAGGAAAGTCAGAGAAAAAAGGGCACCAACTTACCATTTGTGTTCTAGCATATTAAAAGTTACCTTCTTTTCCATAAATCTATCAATCTGCATTCCTAAGAAACATAATAATAAGATACGAAGTAATACAAACTTAGATAAGAGAGCAAACATGAAGGGGTTGAGGATAGCATTTTCTATCATATATTAACCAAAGTCATGTTGCTATTCTTTTTTATATTTACAATGGAAAACTTCATTCTAAGTTTTAAAAAAATGAAAGAAAAAAGTCGGGCATTCCAAATACCAGCAAATACCTTAAAGAAAGACACTAAAGTATCTACCAGTTAATCAGGAACTGATCTTCTACCAGCCTAGGGGCCAAACCAAATATGTATGTATGCTTGAATGTGAGGATCTATGGGCCACTCTGGACAACCTGTTTATTGAGTGTTCATCCTGATTTGCTTGTAAAGATTATGCGGAGGTGACATTATAGCCGATCTTTACTCAGCATTTGTGTTTATTTGTTTCCAGGGCAGTTATACAACAGCAAGCATTTGTCCTACATCCATTCTGATTTACGGGGTGTTTATACATCTTCCTGTTAAGTCATTCTTCTCCACTTTTTAATGCGTTTCACTTTCCAGACCACTGATTTTTTCAAAAACGGATTTGTTGCAAAATAGTGACACTCCGGAGGCACCCTATGTTTGCCGCTATATGGTGGAAGTGAAATACCTAAATTGGCTGTCCCTGACCAAATTATAAAGTTACAAGCTTTAATAATTCCAGCAACTTTAAAACGGAGAAACAGGTACATATTTGCCCTGGACAGTTCATAACCTCACACCCTTGTTCCATGCTCCAGCATCCCACCAGGTCAAACTGGAGTGCATGGGGATGGGAGCAAAACTCACCCACTTCACCTAAACATTTACCTCCCCATGCTGTGCTCCATTAATTCGTACCCCCAACAAGCCAGCTAAGATGTTGGAAGTGACGTCAGCGGGAGCAAAACACAGGGAAGACTCTGGTTCTCTGGGGCTACTTTATTCCCTAGACCAGAGTTTCCCAAACTTAAGTCTCCCACTGTTTTTGAACTACAACTCCCATCATCCCTAGCTAGCAGGACCAGTGGTTAGGGATGATGGGAAGTGTAGTCCAAAAACAGCAGTTTGGGAAACCCTGGTCTAGACAATAATTGTGGGTCTGAAAGTGTGTTTTCTGATCCATCACTGTGGGGTGACATTGATCCTCTTGGCGCCAACTTCTGGTAAGGGTTTCACAATTGAATATCTGCATCTGATGTCCTGTATGAAATTAAAAAGTGAGCTATAAAATGAAAGTTTGGAATAGTTCTGTTTCATATGACTTGAAGGCATTTCCCCCTTCCTTACTTGTGAAATTTGGCCATAACTTGATTAAAATTTGATAGGGCCCAGATAAAATTGCCTCATTAGCTGGGTAGATGACCATCCCTGGTTGACAATATGGCTTGTAGCTTATGTATCTAACTAGTTTAATGGAATATAAGGTAAACAATTTGTTATATAGGCCAACATTAGCATAACACCGCAGTTCACACTGGTGCTATTTTATTTTTTTAAATGCAGTATTGAAATAATTTATGAGGTTAAAAATATGTATGATTGACTGTGGGAGAATCACGGCATAAAGTACTCCAGCTAAAAATACCATAGTTATCTACGCAGATTGTATTTATGATGCTGGTGCCTTTTATTGAAACAAAAAGATGAAATGATCACTGAAGAGCATTTCAAAGTGCCTGAAAAACTTCCACTTTTAAAGAGTGAAAACAAGTTATGCAAGAGTAACTCATATTTACAAAATAGGTTAGCATCTTGTTTCAAGGTTAAAGTTTGGGCAAACAAAATAAATAGTCAAAATAAACTGATATGGAGAAGATGAGAAGGCAAAATTAGCTGATTACATACACAATTGACTGTAAGTATCTCTTAATGTCTTCTTCTTCTTTGGCGATCACTCGTAGCTGAGTAAGATTGTCTTCCATAAACACGGTTTTAACAATGAGTCTGTAAGTGACTGTGGAGGCCAATACTGGATCCACACGCCCTTCCACAGTGGGGACATTGGTTTCCGGGCAGGAGTTGATCATGGTGTGGATTTGCCAAGTGTGACTTCCTCTTAGCACGTTTCTCCCTTGCGTCCCGTGTTCGAGTGTCTTCAAAGCCCATGACACCTTTGGTAAAGCTGTTCTCCAACTGGAGCGCTTGTAGGCCAGTGTTTCCCAGTTATCAGTGTCTATACTACATTTTTAAGATTTGCCTTGAGACAGTCTTTAAACCTCTTTTGTTGACCACCAGCATTACACTTTCCATTTTTAAGTTCGTAATAGAGTAGTTGCTTTGGAAGACGATCATCAGGCATCCGCACAACATGACCAGTCCAACAAAGTTGATGTTGAAGAATCATTGCTTCAACACTGGTGATCTTTGCTTCTTCTTCTTAATGTATAGTCCATATGTATCTACCCAAACCTTAAGTCTGAGTGACTCTGTTGAATGAAGTGAGGCAGATAACCATCAAGATAAGGGCCTTTTTGATAGTGGTACCCCGGCTAAAGAACAGCCTTCCCAGAGAGATTTGCCTGGAACCATCCTTGTGGTCTTTTCATCCTCTCTGTTCACTCCAGGCTTTTAAATAATTTTAAAATCTGTGTTTTAACTTGGGGGGTGCGATGGCTCTTGTTTTCATCTTTGGATTTTTATGGTTTCAGCTCTTATTTTGCATTTAAATTGTTTTCATACTTATTTGTTTTAAGTTGCCCAGAGAGCTTCATGCAATTGGATGTCATACAAATGTTGCAAAACAACAACAACAACAACCCAATAATACAAATAAAAGGGGGGGAATCAATAATAATCTCAAGTCATAGGTGGAAGGGCAGGGTTCAATTCATACATTATTTTTAAAAACAAATTTTTATTGGTTTTTAAACAAATACAATAACCATTAAACACTTACCCAGCAGTACATGTAATTGTGTTTGTTTTCAATCCTTACATTACTGCAGTGGTGACTTGATCATAGAATCATAGAATTGTAGAGTTCAAGGGTATGCCAAAGGTCATTTGATCCAAACCCCTGGGATGCAGGAATCTCATCCACAAGGAAGCTTCTGATCTGACTAGTTAATTGGATAGTCTAAGAATTAATCCAGAGGTAGCCAAGCCAATACCTTCTTTGGGTATGGTTGGACTAAAACTCCCATCATCCCTGACCTTGGCCTTGCAGGTTGGGGATATTGAGAGTCTAGTCCAACATCATTTGGAGATTAGGGTGTGTAAGTCAGTGGGCAAACTCTGATGCTTTTAAAAACCTTTACCTCTATTGCTAAACTTGATCCAAACCTCAAGAGTGCAGCTTCGGACAAGTAGCACGATGCTCATATAGTTTTTGTTCCTAGTAGCAGTTTGGCTACTGTAATAACATATGAATGGGGAATAAGTTTGATGGGAAACAGATATAAAGATTTCATGCTGTGAAATACGTTATAGCCACATGCGAGATGCTAATAATATGCTAATAATTGGCATATTTTCTAAATACGCACATATTTACACTGTTGGGCTTGGGGTATCCTTTGCTCTTGCTTGTCTGAAGAACCTTCATGGTAGTCTAGAGAATTGTCTGAGGTAACTATACACTTCTATGGGTAAAAGCAGCCTGGCCAGTGCTTAGAGAGGGAAACAGAAAGATTCTAAGCTTCTCCCAGAGATAGGTATGATTTATTTATTTTACATAACTGATATGCTATAAATGGGTTTGCAGAAAATAGGACTTGCTTCTCATGAACAGCATTTATAGGGAGATTGGCCCCTGCCTCACAGTTTAAACAACAACAACAGGGCTCTGGGGAAATTGGAGTGGGACTGAAAAAGACGCCATTGTGTTTCCTGAGCACTGCATATTTGGGAAGAAGAGGGGGACTGTGGAGCTTTTGAAAACTGGACCCACCAAAATAAATAGCATCTCCAATGAAAAGAAAATCTATACTTTGGACTATCCAACAATTTATTCAGAGTTTAAAATAATAGAGAGAGAAAGGCAAACAGGATGTGAAGGGAAAAAAATATATAAAATTTCCTTCCAGTAGCACCTTGGAGACCAACTAAGTTTGTTATTGGTACGAGCTTTCGTGTGCATGCACACTCCTTCAGATATATCTTCAGAGAAATCTAGGATATGAAGAGAGATGCAAGATCCTTTTCAAACTATTTTTAACGAAGCTTTTAAAAATATTTTAAATTATTCAGAGTGGTCATGGCCGTTCAGTGACAATGGAAACTGATGGGCAATTAGGCAGCTCTTTGTCCAAGCCATCTTAGAATGCACTTTGAGCCGCCCACCTGAAAGGATGTGTTTTCAGACCAGTTTTGTTTAAGATAATGTGCAGTGGAGAAGACTCCTTTGTGCATTATTCACGGACGGCAATATTGCATCAAGATATCTGGGTTTTTTTATGTGGATCATCTCCATGCAAATGGAGATCTATAAAGGTCCGTTGTTGGGTGTTTGGGAGTGTTGGTGTTGTTGTTTTTATGTGCCAGTCTTAGGTATCAGAAAATTCCTATGCAGATGAAAAGCACAGCTTTATAACACATACTGTGTATGCAGAAAAGCCTTTGCTCAATCCCTAGCAAGGAAGGGAGATGAAAAATGGGAGCACCTAGAAGAAGAGAGGTTGGGGGCCCTGGGAGTAGGGATGTGAGGGACCATAAGGAGAGGGGGGAACAGTCATGAAGAGGGGTGTATGTGAGTGAGAAAAACCCAGCCAGGGAAAGAGATCGGGATTTGTTGTGACAGAGTTGGCTATTAGGGAAAGAGGATTGCAGAAAAAGAGGTGGGTTGGTTGGCAGAGGGGAAATGAGTGAATCAAGAGTTAAGGGATGTACATATCATCATTTGAAGGGATGCAGGTGGCACTGTGGGTTAAACCACAGAGCCTAGGACTTGCCGATCAGAAGGTCGGCGGTTCGAATCCCCGCGACGGGGTGAGCTCCCGTTGCTCGGTGCCTGCTCCTGACAACCTAGCAGTTCAAAAGCATGTCAAAGTGAAAGTAGATAAATAGGTACCGCTCTGGCGGGAAGGTAAACGGCGTTTCCGTGTGCTGCTCTGGTTTGCCAGAAGCGGCTTAATCATGCTGGCCACATGACCCGGAAGCTGTACGCCGGCTCCCTCGGCCAATAAAGCGAGATGAGCGCCGCAACCCCAGAGTCGGCCACGACTGGACCTAATGGTCAGGGGTCCCTTTACAGTGGTACCTCTGGTTATGTACTTAATTCGTTCTGGAGGTCCGTTCTTAACCTGAAACTGTTCTTAACCTGAAGCACCACTTTCGCTAATGGGGCCTCCCACTGCTGCTGCGCTGCTGCCGGTCGATTTCTGTTCTCATCCTGAAGCAAAGTTCTTAACCCGAGGTATTTCTGGGTTAGCGGAGTCTGTAACCTGAAGCGTATGTAACCCGAGGTACCACTGTACTTTATATCATCATTTACTCTGGTTCCAGTGTGCTCCCACCACTGCTGCTTAAAACCGAGTAAACATGACATCAGCCACAATATACATGCATCCTGTAGTTTCTCGAGAAATACTCCTAACTGATGCCTTTCCCATCAAATCAGCTTCCATCCGACTTGAAAACTCAAGCCGCAGTTAAGTTCAGCCGTAACGTGCGTGCCGAAGACACCTTCCTTCAGTAGCAGTTTAGGGGGTTGCAGACATGGGGGAATGAAACAGGTAATGCATTCGGGGCGACCACCACACCCTCTCTGGTGTGCACAGCAAGCGTTAGTGCGACTTGAATCACAGTGCGGGGAAACGACATTGCAGCATTTTAAGCTACTAATGTGTACATACCGTTTACTGAAGAGGAACTGATTTGAGGCAGATGCTGGGTGAGTAATGCATTTGGGAGAAATTTATCAGATGGTGCTTTTCCTATTAATCTTGGGTGAACAAAGTAATTTTAGAGGAATGCGTTTGGAGGTGATTGGGGGAAAATAATGAGCTCGCTTTCTGTGAAACTGGTGTTCTGCTGGAACTGAAAAATGTAGGCTCAAAGGAGTCTACCTGTGCCTGGTTTTATGCTTCCTGTGCCTGGTTTTGCCTTCCATTAAATGGGTGTGCTTCATTGTGCTAGTAACATTTGTGACTAATCACATCCACAGTTGCCATTTTACGACTGACCATACCCCCATGGTAGCCATCTTTGCAATAATGTCCACAACACTTTCTTAAAATTCCCAATGTGCCTTTGGGCTGAAAAGATTGAGATCTTTGCATACTTTCCTGTGCAATCTGGAAATTTCAGAGTCAAAGTTCAATAGTTCTACAGGCATAATTATATGTAGGTGAGGCTCTTCTCCTTGCTAACAACAAGGCAGTTATATAGGCTTAAATGACCAGGTGATGTATAGTACATTATTATTAGCTTTAGTTGCAATAGAATTCATTGCCACACACCGTATATAGCACCTTCCAGGATCCTTTTAATCTTGACCCCTTTGTTATCCAGTCATAGTCAATTATATGTTTAAATGAATAATATTCAAACTCAGGCTATTTGTGCTTATTTAATTCATTTTTCTTATTAACTTCCTAAAATATAATACATTTGAGTGGTTCTACCCAGGTACTACTGGTGAAATTATATGGAAGTACCAAATCACTGACAGCTGTTAATCTTCATCATAAGAGACAGCTGAGATTGACTGAAGAGCTGATTGAGAAATACAGCAGGAAGGAAAAAAATCACAGAATTTCGTTAATTTGCTGCATGTATTACATCTTCTTTTGAGCTGGAGAGCAAACAAGTTTTCTTGCTTTTTATCTTCTGAAAAAGAGCCAAACTTTATCCATCTGATTACTCCTGAGGCCTATTTCTTCTGGTCCAGATAGTCGTTTGTTTGTTTGTTTGTTGTTGTTTTAAAAGGCAAAAAAGATGAGAAAGAAAGCTTTATTTTTACATTATCGAAGTCAATTCAGTACCCTTTTTAAAGGTGCCCAGGGCTACTATAAAGACATACTTTAGCCACATTCATTCCTGTATTTACTCATACAGATATTTCATGAGAGCAAAATGGCAGGGGAAGGCAATGGCCCAGAAATGTCCTCCTTCAAACGGGATACATCTAGCTGCATCAGTTTCCCAGATTATGGCAGAAAGTCTACGAGAAGCTCATGAGGCAGAGCAAAGAGGAGCAGCAAGTCACGGAAGTGGCTGTGTTAACAGTATAGCAATGAAGCATTTTCCTTTCGATGAGCAAGTACTGGAATCTTACTGTATGTTTGGGAACATTTGGGGTCTCCCCACCTCACAATAGGTAACCAGAGCATATCAGTATCAGACAAAGACTCATACGCCTAGCGCTAGATCAGCAAACAATGGCGCAGGTTTCCAGAGAAAGCCCCTCGGCCATAGCTGTCAAGTGTCCCTTATTTGAAGGGACAGTCCCTTATTCCAGCGCCATGTCCCGCTGCTGTCCCTTATTGATGGATGTCCCTTAAATGATGTCCCTTAAATGATGTCCCTTAAATTTCAAAGGAAGCAGCTCCTCTCCCTCCCTCCCTGCCAGCCAGGGAGGAGGGAGGCTCCAACTGTGTTGCTTGGCTGTGTTGCTCACCCAATAAGAAGTCTAAGAACGACTGGGGGTGGAGCTTGCATGCCTTGTGTGTGGCTAGTTAATGCAAGCTGAGGGGGTTTTTGAATGCTGGATGACATTTTGTTGCACGTGCTGCTGCAAACTTTGCAGTGCAAAGCCAGGCCCTTAAGCTGAGGCTGCATAGGCCTTGTGGTGCATGTGATTCAGATTCTATTCAGTTGAACCTCTGGTTACAAAGTTGGTTGGACAGTGTTCTCGAAGCTACCCAGCATGAGTTTGACCAGACTGCAGGAGGACAGGAAGACTGGAGTGCCTGGAACAGGTGAGGCTGCAGGTCCCTTATTTTGGCTGCTGGTCCCTTATTTTCAAGGCTGCTGGTCCCTTATTTTCAAATCTGTAAGTTGACAGCTATGCCCTCGGCCCTAAAGTTGTTTTGCTTTCAGACGACTCGCAGCGTTCTCCTCCCATCTCCAAATTCAAAATTACAGTGGTACCTTGGGCTAAGTACTTAATTCGTTCCGGAGGTCCGTACTTAACCTGAAACTGTTCTTAACCTGAAGCACCACTTTAGCTAATGGGGCCTCCTGCTGCTGCTGCGCTGCCGGAGCACGATTTCTGTTCTCATCCTGAAGCAATGTTCTTAACCTGAAGCACTATTTCTGGGTTTGCTGAGTCTGTAACCTGAAGCGTATGTAACCTGAAGCGTATGTAACCCAAGGTACCACTGTATTAAATTGGCTCCAAGCTGCTTTTCTGTACGACCTCACATGAACTACAGTACAGGCTTTCTCTATATGACTTCCCCTCACAACTCAAATCAGGAGTATTAAACTAGCAAGTATTACCTGGAGAGAGATTCCCAAGTATCAGAAGACTGTCTCCTATAACTAGCTTCCATTGATCATTCTGAGCTATTAACAGTGCATCAAACTAACCAATGATGATATCTCAGGCTCAGGAACCAAGAAGAAAAGAAATTTTTAAAAAATATGGGAAATGTTTATAATGTATATACAAAATCATTGTAAACAGGTTAAAACATTGGCAGGGTTTTAAATGCACTTGTAATGTAATGGAAACTACAGATAATTTAGGACGATGAAGATTTTAGACAAGTATTGATATGCAGATGAAAACAGAATTAAGAGGACCCATGGATGGGTTGGAGAGGAAGTCAGGAGATTCAGAATAATCTGAATACGTGAATGTGTAAGATATCTGGATGTAACTTTATCATTATTCTTTATTGTTTCTCTTTCTTTCTTTCTTTCTTTCTTTTCTTTTTTAACATTGGAAATCAAATTACAAAATAAAAATAAAAATGATGATCTTTCAGGATCCATAACAAGACATCTTTACTAAAGGTGTAGGGACATCGTAGTTACATTCTGCATTGGGCACAGGAGTTAGGCTAGATGATATCCAACTCCGTATTTCTGTGAGGTAAAGTGATGCCTTGTTGATGCGGTGAATGTATCACCTTGTTTTGAGTTGTTTTGATCTGATGCAGCAAGATCAATATTGCGGGTTTTTGCTTCTGTGCAGTTTTTGTTTCTTCTTTTTTTATATAAAAAATGCTGGTATAACATCTTTCTTGAATTCAGGTTTGTGATCTTTTATGTTTCTGGTATGAACTGCTTTTCTAAAAATAAGGTAAAACAGCTTATCAACCTTAAGTAAAAAAAAAAAATACTAGGAAGTAAAACATTTTTCTTCTTTAATAGGTACTCCTGGCGTCATCAAATGCGGGAATTTAAGAGCGAATACCGAGTTGTGGCCTTGGATTTGAGAGGTTACGGAGAAACCGATGCCCCTGCCCAGAGAGAGAATTACAAGCTAGACTGTCTGATTACAGATATAAAGGATATATTGGAGTCTCTTGGTGTGTTAATAGCATCCAAGCTGCCCAGCTTATAATAATCCTAAAATGGGGAACGCTAACATTTTCCCTTTAGCAAATTCTCGTTTCAATATGGCTGTTCATGTGTGCAGTGCATGCTATTTTTCTTAATTTAAATCTTAATTCGGGAAAATTGGGGTGGATTTTTAAAAGCCGCGATTCTTGAGCTGTTTATCAAAAATTCCTTACTTGAATCGGGATGAAAGCGTCAACACATGCAGTGCTCACATGCTGGGAGTTAAATGGAAAGGTCTTTCTCGACAATAAAGCCCAGTAGAAAGACAGCCAGAATGCATTTGCTCCAGGTAGACCACCCGTTGCACGGAAACTACAATTTATCCAGCAGCAAATCCGCATTAAGTTGCCAATGGGAAAATGCAATTCTCTCCCACACCCTGAGCAAATGCAGTTTCTATGGGGAAGATGACTGTAATTCGTTTACAGGCACTTACTGGTTTGATGGCCAGCGCCACAGCTTTCCCCAACCTACATAAATTCTTGGATGGCTGCTTAAGCAGAGAAAAACTCCTCTCCCTCAGCTTCCTCGAGGGTCGTGCTGTTTCATTCTTCTGCGCTGGAACACAGTCTTTTGATATGCCCCCCTCCCCCCCAAAAAGAGGAGCTGTGTATGTGTGGGAATGAAAAGCAGGAAGGCCATCTCCACATAGCAAGACTATCCCTGCCCTCAACCAAACAACATACAAATGAGTTGCTTGCAAGTATTGTATTTGCGATGAAAGAAAGCACATATCTGTGAGGATACAGAGCCTAAGGTAAATTGAGGTAGATGTTAAGCGTCTGGAAAAGGCCAAACGTTTCTATCTGTCGGACCGACAGATATGAAACCACAACAAGCATCTCAATCCATAAGACAGAAGGTTGTAAAAGGGGCTTCATTTTTTGTCCTACCGGCAATCCCCATAACCCATCCTGCCCAGCCCTGCTGCTTGATCAACCCTGGCACCTTCATTTCCATACCTGTCCCTCTTAATAATAGCCCTTTGCTTGCTTCATTGAGTCCCACCATGCTTCTCAATGATGCTTTGGCTCCTGGTCTTAACGCAACTTTTATTTATTCACCCCCAGCTCAGATTGATTCCTGGCACACTGGGGTCTGCGGCCTTGATGCCATCTTGGGCCCTGCCTTGCTTTCTGATAAGCAAGTTGGTGGGATCTCCAAAGTTTCGTTCTTGACATCTGAATCTCTTGCTCATGCCGCATCAGAACAGGGACAGTCTGTATCTAATCAATCCTCCTGCTAGCTGCTTTCATCAGATATGTCCAGTGACCATCTATTTGTGAAAGTATTGACATTTTACACTTGTGGCTCCAGTGCTGTAGAATGGGGTCCCTCTAGAGCTGAGGAACGGTGACTGCATTCCTGAAGAACTCCGAAACCTTTCTTGTAGCCTTTTGTGACTTCTTCCTAGAGCAGGGGTGTGGAACCTGCAGCCCTCCACATGTCGTGGGACCTCAGCTCCCCTCGCCCCAGGTAGCATAGCCAGTGATCAGGGATGATGGGAATTTTAGCAACATCTGGAGGGCCACAGGTTCCCCACCTCTCCCTCGAGGGACTTTTCTGACTGGCTGATGCATTTTCTTGTAATTTTTAAAAATATATTTCTCCTGGTCGTATAATATTGCAGCCTATTTTCCCACCCATGTTGTTATAAGTTGATAAAGGGACGTGGGTGACGCTGTTGTCTAAACCACTGAGCCTCTTAGGCTTGCCGATCGGAAGGTCTGTGGTTCAAATCCACACAATGGACTAAGCTCCCGTTGTTCTGTCCCAGCTTCTGCCAACCTAGCAGTTCTAAAGCACACCATTCCAAGTAGATAAATATGTATCGCTGTGGCGGGAAGGTAAACGGCATTTCTGTGCGCTTTGGCACTCCTCACGGTGTCCTGTTGCGCCAGAAGTGGTTTACTCATGCTGGCCACATGACCCGGAAAAGCTGTCTGCGGACAAACACCGGCTCCCTTGGCCTGAAAAGCGAGATGAGTGCCGCACCCCGTAGTTGCCTTTGACTGGACTTAACCGTCCAGGGTTCCTTTACCTTATAAGTTGCTCTAAAACACGTGCTGGAATATAAATAAACTCCAGTTACGAAAGAGGGGGGAAAGGGCTCTTAAGAAATTTCCCACCTTGTTGCTATGTTGTATCCCGTGATTCTGAAAGCAGTTTATTAATAGAAGCGCCCACCTAGCGTGGTATGAATAATTTGCCAAGGGGTGAGTTGGGGGGGGGGGTGGAATTGAGATGTTGCTACCAGACATACTGCAACTTCTACTGTCATTCCCTTTGATGTGATAATGTATTTGGATGTAACTGCTGGTAAACAACTATCAGAAATCTATTTTTAAATAACAGGGTACAGCAAGTGCGTGCTGATTGGTCACGACTGGGGTGGAATGATTGCTTGGCTAGCTGCTATTTGTTACCCAGAAATGGTGACGAAGCTGATTGTTGTGAATTTCCCCCATCCTTCAGTTTTTACAGGTAAGTTTTGGGGGAGATGGGATCCAATGTTCTATCTGCCTGTAGCATTCTCATCTTTAAGCAGAGATGTGTGGTGCTGTTTTTTCTAGAAAAAAGAGGTGCTAAGCCCCGGTGCCAAGTTAAGAACAGAGTGGATTTGAATTGGAAGAATAAATATATCCAGGTGCGACAAGCCATTAGAGAAAATGGTAGAGCAAACTGCTTCAGAAAAATAAGTACATAAAAAAGCCACATTGGTTCATACCAAAGGCCCATCTAAGTCAGTATTCTGCTCACTCAGTGGCTCACCAGTAGCCAATAGGAAATATTCAAACCCGGACTTCCGGGTTGGCGCCATCGCCGAATGGCGGACTCCCTCCGAGCTCCGGAGGGAGTCTGCTCGGCAGGGGCTGGGTCCTACCGCGCCGGCGACGCGGGGACCCTTCAAAAACCACGGGCACGGAGTCCGTGGACATGGGTGACTCGGCTTGCACCATTAGCGCCCTCCCGACTCGTGAAGGAGCCTTTTTAAAGGCTTCGGATCGGGTGCCGGGGAGTGGCGTGGTGCTTTGAGTCTTCTGCTTTCCCTGCCGAGCGCAGCCGCATGCCATTCGACGGAGAGCGCTGACTTCTTCTATTGAAAATTTGGGCTATTAACAACAACCCGTGAGTAATTGGGAAACCGGGTACAAAATTTCGGATTTGGCACGAGCGGGGGTGATTTAAAAAGGAAGTCAATCCCCCCCCCTACTGTAAGCATTTCAAAACAAGGACTGGGTAACCAAGGTCCAAAGGGAAGTATATTTTTGATAAAAATCATTAATTTCACGAGGGGAAATTATAAGAACTGTGCTGGAGGAGAAGAGTGGAGGGTGAGACGAAAAATGCAACCCCCCCCCTGGGAACCGGGGCGATTCGTGGAGCCTGGTGAAGAGAGACGGAGACTTTGACAGCTGTCAAAGTGGCTGTCAAAGTTGGAGAATATAAAGAGGACTTTGTTATGAGGACTTTGCCGGTTAATTTTGCTACAATTTGCTACAATATGGATATAAACTGTTGGAAAATAAGCAACAATTTGACTTTTGGATTAGAGGATACAAAGTTATTACAATCCCCTAGAGGGGTTTCGGGATATTACAAGAACGGTCGTAAGTGGAAAAATACTCTGGGATTCGCACAGGACTTGTTATCTTCTGGGAAAGCTGCAAAACTGAAATAGTATTTTGTCTACAGAGGTATTTACATTAAAGGAGACAATAGAATTTTCTATTGAAGAAAGGAAGGGACTGGACGTAAGTTTTTGTTCCTGAATAACAAACCTCTGCAGAGATACCAGATTTCTGAATTAGAAAGTTTTAGCAGCTGAACAGGACAAGAAACCTGAGAAAGTGAGGAAAAGAAGAACAAAGGACTGATTACGACACGGAAAGAACAACGGGAGGAGTGGTAAAGATCAAGGAAATTAAAGACCTTTGTTAGATTGGACACTTGAAGTTACATATTATTAATAAATTAAAAGAAAACCGGCAAGATGGAATCGGGGAGAAATTTGGTCATGAATTGAGACTTCCAAGCCGATAATGCATAGACTGATGGATATGGGGAATTCAAACCGGGGAAGGGGGGGGGGGAGATTTGAAATCCAAAGGCTGTGTAACCATCTTTTGAATTTTTCTATATCTTTTATGTATTTATTTTTTACATAACTTACGCATGTCATTTTATTTTGATTGGACGTGTTTAAAAAAAGGGAATTCGTGGAAGGAACTGGGGTGGATCTTGGGGAAAATCTTTTTACTTTTCTTGTTAATGATGTGGGACGGTGGTAAGATTTGTACAATTCAATTTGGATAGTGGGTTAAACAAATTAAGCTTCAAATTGGGAGTGAGAGCTTGTAGAACTAAATTAAGGAAAGGGGAATACAGTCGGGGGGGGAGGGGGGGAGTCCCAGAAAGTAGGCAATGAAAGTAAGGTTTTTAAATATCTTTTTTTCTTTTTCTTTTTCTCTTTGTATTTTTATATTTTTGGAAATTTTAATAAATATGATTTAAAAAAAAAAGGAAATATTCAAACCCATACGTGCTTAGCACTTGTGACTCCCAGCAGCTGCTTTTCAGAGGTATAATGCTTCTGAGACCAGCGTGGATTTGATTTAAATCAAATCAATTTAAATCACGATTTAAATCACTTTTTACAGAAAGACTCATTCTTGCTGGTAGAATCTTAATATTTACAACCAGATGAAGGGTTTCATTTTTGGAATAATAAATTTTCAGAGTAGTTTTTACAGTTATATCAAAAGTTACTGATTTGGTTATACTATTAGAAATACATAGACAGATAATCATGAAATTATTGTGAGGTTTAATAAGTTAACTTTATATTTGGATAACTTTTCTGCTGTACTTTATTGGAAGGAGAAAAATAATCATTTCCTTAATAACAATTTAAACAATTTATTGAACTAAAACAATAACATTATAGCATATGAATCTATGTTTGTTAACTGATGTGGTTAAACAATTTTTAAAAAAAACTTAGACTGAGTTTTAGCACACATGGAAAACTTAAATCCTTATTTCCTGTTGAATAGCCTTTGGGCTATAATGTAACATAAAGAGAAAACTATATTTAGAAAGATTTTCCCTCCAAAAGCATTTATTTTAAAAATCCGATTTAAATTTTAAAAAATCTTTTTAATTTTTTTAAAAAATCATTGATTTTTATCCACCCTGTCTGAGACTGAACATACAGTACAAAGTGTCATGACTAATAGGCATCGATAGCCCACGTGGTCAGAATGAAAGGGAGGTTCAAGTCGGCAGGACCTAGGGTTGCCATATTTCAAAAAGTGAAAACCAGCTTTTTTAAAGACTTCCCTATGATCCAGGACAAAGCACCACCTTTCGGAAATTCCCGAAAGCTTAGCACTTCTGTGTTCACTCCCTCTTGCTTCTGTAAGATTAAGGAGAAAATAAGGTATACGAGCTGCGATCCTAAGTGCAGTTCCTAGAGAATAAGTCTCAGTGAACGTGACTGGACTTCCTTTCTGGGTAAATGTGCATAGGATCTGCAACATTACTAATTCCTAGGTACAAAAGGATCTTAACATTTTATCATAATTCAAGATCATCAGCTTTTCATTTCAATTCACAGGTGTGTTTCCCTTTTCATCATCATCATCATCATCATCATCATCATTTATTTGCCTTTCCACAAAATTGTGCCCAAAGTGCCTCACAGCATATGAAATAAGCCATAATAAATACACCAAGCTAAAAAAAACCAACCCCAAACATGTCTTTTCTTTTCAAGAATACATTCTACGACATCCATCACAAATGATTAAATCTGCCTACTACTACTTCTTCCAAATGCCATGGTTTCCTGAACTTATGTTTACGATAAATGATTTTAAGGTAAGTGTGCTGAGAGAGAGAATTTGTATCGCTTATGGAAACATTTCTGCGCAGAAAGGAAAGGTATGTTTTTAATGCTTCCAACCCGGGATGGACAGATTTCCTTGGCACTACATTGAATACAAACCCACAGGCCCCAACACATTCCAGAACACCTTGGAACTGATTCAGAGCTAGGGAAATTTGAATTGGTCCACATTTATCAGCTTTGCAGTTTCCAAAACAATATGCAGACTGAAACAGACCTATCCTTCAAAATTTTCACTTACCCCAATTTTGCAATGCAGTTCTCCAACCAGTATTTACAAAGACACATATTTATGGGGAAAGTGCACCTAAAAATGAAAATATTCATGAAAAGAATATACCGTATTTTTCGCCCTATAGGACACACTTTTTCCCCTCCAAAAATGAAGGGGAAATCTGTGTGCGTCCTATGGGGCGAATACAGGCTTTCGCTGAAGCTTGGAGAGCGAGAGGGGTCAGTGCGTACCGACCCCTCTCGCTCTCCAGGCTTCAGGAAGCTATCAGCAAGCCTGGGGAGCCTGCGGGAGTTCCCGCAGGGCTCCCTACGCTGCGGATAGCAGCCTGCTGCACGGAGCGTGGGGCGCGCTGAAGCAGAGCGCCCCGCGCTTCGGGCAGACATCGGCCAGCCCCACAACCTCGGGGGACAGCGGGGAGGCGCAGCGCCGCCATCCTGCTGTTCCCCGACCTGGTTTCGGGGGGGAAATAAAGGAAAAATTTTTTTCCTTTATTTCCCCCCCAAAAAACTAGGTGCGTCCTATGGGACAGAGCGTCCTATGGGACAAAAAATACGGTACAGAAATGCATTATATTAGGGAAAACTCACAAAAATTTGTACGTGAGACAAAACTGCATATAAAAATGTGTCTATCATGTGGATTTTTTAAAATACAAAAATGCTAATTGCTGGAAAATGTGGAAAATTGCAGATTGGGGAAAAATGAGAAACTGGGAAAAGTGAAATTGAAATTGAAATATGCTTCCATACTTATTCAGCATAGCCTGTTCTTACCTTGCTTCAGTAGTTTTTAAAATAATCAACTGGGGGTTCATTTTTTGAAATCACGTACTTCTGTAAAGTTGGGGGTTCCACTGAGGCGGCTGATGCCACCTTATTGTCCATAACCTCTGAAGATGGGAAATAGAGGTATGATAACAAAAGTACTTATGAATGAGAACTGTCTAGTAATTTTGGACAGATTTAATTTTTGTTACTTATTTGTTGCCATAGATTCTGAAAAGCCTCTTTACTGGCCAGTCAAGTGGAACTGGAAGGAAGGGCTGCAGGCTAACAACGGAAGATATTGAAGCTTACCTATACGTATTCTCCCAACCAGGTGCACTAACCGGTCCCATTAATCACTATAGAAACCTTTTCAGGTCAGTCTATTGTTCTTTGATCAATCACATAATACGAGACACTGTTCACAAGCACAACCTAGAGGTGTTCGGGTACAGAGTATGGCTTAATTTAGGTGCAGAAGTCATTACCGTGCACTATACACTGTGGGTTAAACCACAGAGCCTAGGACTTGCCGATCAGAAGGTCGGCGGTTCGAATCCCCACGACGGGGTGAGCTCCTGTTGCTCGATCCTAGCTCCTGGCAACCTAGCAGTTCGAAAGCATGTAAAAGTGCAAGTAGATAAATAGGTACCGCTCCAGCGGGAAGGTAAACAGCGTTTCCGTGCGCTGCTCTGGTTCGCCAGAAGCAGCTTAGTCATGCTGGCCACATGACCCGGAAGCTGTACGCTGGCTCCCTCGGCCAATAAAGCGAGATGAGTGCCGCAACCCCAGAGTCGGTCATGACTGGACCTAATGGTCAGGGGTCCCTTTACCTTTACCTTTATACATGGGAACAGAAACATAGCAGTCACTTCTCACAGCACTGAAAGAGATAAAATGGGAGTGTTTGGTGGCCTTATTGTGAATTTTCTACCTTGAAACTCAGTTCAGACTCTCTTAAATGCCTCTGGGGCGTGGGGGAGGAAGGACAAAACTAGTTTGGAAATGGATGTTCAGCCAGGGGGTATATGACTTTTCTTAATGTGAAATTATCTAGAGGAGGGAGGATGGTAAATGTTATGTATGCAGCGTAGGCTAAGCCCAGGCTGCATGCATTCCATTGCAGACTTACTTCTTGATGTCTCCTGGAGCGCAGGAGCTTCAGCTGCAGAACAAAAGTCGGGAAGGATTCTAAAACGCTCCAGTGGTATTTGCTGGTAGCTGGCAAGCAGCCAATCCCTGCTGCGATAGGGCCGGTGTTGTGATTTGCTAGTTGCAGCATAAGGCCACCTATCACAGGCAGGCTGGGCCGGCTTAAGGTATATATACTGGGCCAAGTGCCCCCATTTGTCATTCTTGTTCCTGATGCGTCATTAAATTCTCTTGAGCTGAACCTAGGCCTCGAGTCCTGCACGAACCCACCTACCCTTCAGTAATGTCACTTGAAAGTTGCGGTCTAATTTGCCTTTAATACGGGATGAGTTTATATGAAGTGAAAAGCCCTGTTTTCCTTTCTTCCTTATAAATATGTCCTCATGCGACATAACTGGGATATAGGCTGATAACCAATTGTGGCACACTTGCCTAGTGGACTTCTGCTTGTGCAACTAGCACTCCCCATTCCTGCCTTCCCATGTGCTCCTGAAATCCGCTCCATAGGGTTCTCCAACCCTCTGGAGCAGATGGGGGTTGCATTGCCACAAGAGAGAGAAAGGAGCAGTTCAACTCTGGTCACACAAAGCTAGTAGTAGCCCCAGATTGTATTTTGTATCCCTACATGAATCGAAAGAAGGTAGGTCCAGATAAACATGGCAGTGCAGAAATATATACAGACCTGTGTCCACACTGGCTACACAAGTTAGCCTGATTTCAGGTTGGATCTCTCTTGGTGGATTGAAGTGACAGACTATGAAATGGAATTAAACCTGATCTGTTTGTCCCGATTTTTAAAATAATAAGATCTTTATTTTCTTTTATTTTTTTAAAGTTGCCTGCCTCTGCAGCACCATGAGGTCACCATGCCCACTCTGTTGCTGTGGGGAGAAAAAGATCCCTTCATGGAGGTTGAGATGGCAGAAATCACAAGGATTTATGTAAAAAATCAGTTTAGACTTACGATTCTGTCCGAAGCCAGCCACTGGCTCCAACAAGATCAGCCTGACATTGTGAACAAGTTGATATGGACTTTCCTGAAAGAAGAGTCAAGAAAAAGAGAGTGACTGTTGTTGTTTTTTGCTGGCACAATCTAAATGTTAAAATTAATTGTGATCAGGGCCATATTTGCAGCAAACCTTAGACCTGAGCTCTGCTAGAGAAAATGTTTTTCAATGTACTGTACGTATTGATGCCAATGTTATTACAAGAAGGTGGTGTAAGACTCTGTAATGTTAATGTTGGTTTTACCTGTATTCTGTATTTTGCACATGAAACACTTGCCTTAAAAATGTTTGTGCTTGTACAATAAGGAACTCATAGAAAGTTGCTTAGTTTTGGTTACTCACTTGCTTTAAAATTCTAATGTGTGGTGCCTTCAACAAATTTATAATGATTAATCAGTGCAGGGGTACCAGATGTAAAAGAGGTTATTATTGGTATGATGATCAATTTTCATTCTACTGGTTGGAATTTTTTTTACTGTATTTTTACCATTAAAAATGTTAACAGGTCTTTTGGTCTACATATTACTGCAAAAGCCTAAAGAAAACAAAACTTGTGTCTGGGCACATTTTGAGATCCTAAAGTGACAAATCAGATGTAATTGTGCTAAGTTGATAGCTGCTTGTCCGGTGATGTAAACTGGGGAAAAAACCTAGGATGTATACACATAGTGTTTCAACAACTAAAATAGAGAATGAAGAACTATGATGACGACTTATGTATCCTAGTATTTGCCTTGTTCTAATAAACTGCAACTGACTTGGTGCCCTGTACCCAGCTCTTTATAGTGAGTTTTCTAAATGTATGACAGAAAACACGATGTATCTATTCATGATTGGTTGACTCCTTTGTGATATCATTATCCCAATTACCAGGGAGGCATTGCCCATCCTAATCCCCTCTTGCTGTGGGACTGTAACCTATCTGCACCATACATTTAAAGCAGTATCATACCAGAGAAGCCTTCCCCAAAGAATTATGGGAAGTTTGTTAAGGTTGCTGCCGGTTGCTAGGAGGCTATTACCACCTTCACAAAACTGCAAGTTTTAATGGTTTAATGATCCATACCTCTTCCCAGGGAATTCTGGGCATTGAAGCTCTGTGAAGGAAATTGGGGTCTGTGGGTTAAACCACAGAGCCTAGGGCTTGCCGATCAGAAGGTTGGCGGTTCGAATCCCCGCGACAGGGTGAGCTCCTGTTGCTTGGTCCCTGCTCCTGCCAACCTAGCAGTTCAAAAGCACGTCAAAGTGCAAGTAGATAAATAGGTACCGCTCCGGCGGGAAGGTAAACGGCGTTTCTGTGCACTGCTCTGGTTCGCCAGAAGCGGCTTAGTCATGCTAGCCACATGACCCGGAAGCTGAATGCCGGCTCCCTCGGCCAATAAAGCGAGATGAGCGCCGCAACCCCCGAGTCCGCCATGACTGGACCTAATGGTCAGGGGTCCCTTTACCTTTGAGAACACTGCACTCTTAACAAAGTTAGGGCTGCCGTATGTCAAAGTCTGAATGGACATGCGGGCGGGGGGGGGGGATTTCCGAAAAGGCGCTTTGTCCTGGATCAATGAAAAATCACGTTTTTTTGGGGGGGGGGAAGCTCAACCCATTTCCGGATCTTCCTAAAATAAAGCTCAACAATTTTGGAGTCTTCCTAAAAAAGCTTTTTATTCCCTTTCAATCCATGTGGAGAAATCACACAGAACCAGATCTAAGTCCTATTCATGCAACATATTTTTTTTTACTTTTTGAAAAATGGCTTCAATACATAACAAAGTACTTCATTGAAATCTAGCTAACTTGGCATCAGATCAGCGGAATTCAAACACCATCCAATCTCTACTTCTCCTCTGCCGCGTCCCAGTGACACCCCTGCCAGTTTTCTATACGAGTCCGCGGCTCCGGATCACCGGGATCCTTCTGTATCCAAGCCCCGCCGCCCACTTCTTTTCTCCCCGCCTGCAGCCGCACCAAACCACGTGCGCCCCAGGATGGTAAACAACACGGAGGCGGGGCTCGACGGAGAGCCGCTTCTCGATTGGTCTTCTCCTCCCCGCTGCCCAATGAGGCGAAGGGAAGGGGTGGGCCTCTTCTCGGGCCGCCGCTTCTAAACAGAAGGCGAGAGTTTCGAGACGCTCCCTTCGCCGAGCGCCGCTTGCGCCCTGGGGGAGACAAAGCGGAGCGTGAGCGGCCGAGGCGGCGCCGCAGCTCTCAGGGACCGTCGGCTAATTCTGAGCCGGAAGTCGGGCTGCCTGGCCGGCTTCATGGCGCGCTGGGGCGGCGGCGCCTCGTCCAAGGGCCCCGCGAGGGCCGCGGAAAGAGAAGGGAAAGGCGGCGAGAAGGCCTCGTCCGAGAGGCGGAGGCTGAAGGAGGCGGTGGCTGAGCGGCTGAGGCAGGATGTGGAAAGGTAGGAGGAGGAGACCCCAACATGGGCGAGCGCTTTCTTTTAGGATACCGCCCAAATGGTTGAGCTTATTTTGAGGAAACCATCGGGATTATTGAGCGTTTTTTTTTATTTATAAGGAAAACCCCCAAATTGTGGAGATTCTTTGTAGGAAGGCCCCCAATTTGTGGAGACTTTTCTTTTAGGAAGACCCCACAGTTGTTGAATTCTTCTTTACAAAAACACTTGATTGACTTGCCTATGATCAAGAACAAAGGGCCACCTTTTGGAAATAACCCCCCCCCATGTCAATTCCACGTTTGAAATGCCAGTACTCTTAGGAAAATCCAGACGTGTGTCAGCCCTAGACTTGGTACAAGAAAGTGGGGAGGGGGTCACATGCACTCACCTTCAGGCCAATCTGCAGGATGTTCTTAGCATCACTAAACCCCGGCGTGGCTCTTCCCATGTGCAGGTTGCTTAGGAGAGGGGCATGTGGGAAGCAACAGCACAGGCAGTCCCAACATGCACATGACCCCCCCCCCCCGTGTGGCGCCTGCTAGTTTTGCCACCCCCACCCCATTTTCTTCATAAATCACCCAAGGTGTTTGTAATGCACGAATAGAACCACTGAAGTATAAAAGCACTGCGATTTCTCCATTATAATATAAAGTAAGCAAATAAACTGTTATTAGTGCAATTATCTGAGCTTTTTTATGGAGACTACCAGGCATAGGTGCCTGAGCACCCACAAAATTCCCCATGAAGGGGCCAGGCAACCAAAAATTTTGGTGCCAGGGCCATGTACGCAGCCCTGTGCACACAACCCTTTTACCAAGGTGTGGCGATCACTCAGGGTCCCTGGACATTTCAACATCTATTGATCACTGTACCACCACCCAAGCCCTACCTGGTACAATACTGAGTCCAGTCAGGGTTAAATTGGAACATAAACTTCTGTTTATTTATTGCAGTTTAACAAGTGTGTGGTTTCATAAACAGTATCGGTCAATTACAATCATGGGGTGCCTATCCAGACCTATAACTTCCGCTACCTGCTCTCACTCACTAAACCACCTCTCAGATATTTACTTGTCTTCCTAGCTCCTAACTGTTCCTGACTCAGGTTATTTCACTACACTAACTCAACCTACCCACAGACTCTATCCCAATTCACTCCCACTCCAACCAACCACCCAACTCCCAAGGAACTCCTCCCTTCGCCCCTCCCAGAGCTGGTTTTATAGTCCCTCTGACTCCACCCCCTGGGTTCTGATTGAGTAACCTGTTTAACTATTTCACCTCCAGCACTCTCATATGTTAACGTCACACGGGGTTGCTTATTAATCATGCAATTTTAGAGTTGGAAGGTATCATGAGAGTCATCTAGTCCAACTCCCTTCGACGCAGGAATCTCTTGCTTAACGTGGCGTTTCAAACTCATGATTCCGAGATTAAGAGCCTCATATGCTATCGTCTGAGCTATTCCAGCTGATGGAATAATTGTTCCTCCCTGGAGACTAATTGCTAGGGGATGCCCTTCTGGGACCTGTTTTTCCATCAGTGCTTTGGAAAGAACTTTCTATCAAGGAAGAGGTCGCTTTCCCGAGTCCTCCCTCCAAGCTTCTAATAATTCGCACATAGGCACCAAACAGATTATCAGACTTTATTGGCATCTTCTCTGGCACCAGCTACAGACGTCAAATGGCAGCCTAATCTACAGCATGTTCTCTCCTCCCCTCGCCAGGTTAACTCGAAGATTTATAGGGGCTGGGGAATGCTGGCAGCCAGCCAGCCCCATCACCTGCTCCCACTTCAGGAACTAATTGCTACCACCTGCCTGAGGGGCCCCACCCAGCGATACTTGTTTACAGAATCACTACTTCATGACACTTTCATTCTCCACTCCTTGGAGAAAGTTGCAGTTTTCAAGATTTGAGAAAAAGCAAGGGATGGATGCAGGCTTCAGCATGCTCCAAGTAGGTCCACTGAAATAATGGGGCATAAGTAGTTGTCACGGCTAACTTAAATCCCATTGGTTTCAGGGGGTCTGTTCTTGCCATGTCTGAGCTCCTGTCTGCACGATACATTTAAAGCAGCATCATAGCACGTTAAACAGTCATGGCTTCCCCCAAAGAATTCTGGGAGCTGTAGGTGGTTCAGAATTGCTTAGAGTCACTAGGAGACCCGTATTGACCTCCCAGAGCCCCAATTCTTAGAGTAGTTAAATAATCGGTTCTTCCCAGGGCACACTAGGAATTGTGCCTCTGTGCAGAATCTCAGCTCCCTGCCTCGCCTGCTCTCTGAAGCTACAGCTTTCCCAGTAGCTAAACAGAAATGAAAGGTAAAGAAAGAAAGAAATTGCAAGTCTTGGAATAGCAAGAAGCAGGGAGAGAGAAAACACAGGAGAGGAAGTGAGTTTCGCAATGGGCCTGGTTGTTCGTATTATCGAACAGCTGGATGTGAGTCCGATCCGGTGCTGGCGCCAGGTTTGGGGTTGCTGTTGGGCAAAATCTCTGTGGGGGACCCTTCCAAAAGTTGCTCACTTCATTTTCCTTCCAGTGCCCACTTGCTTGTGCCTTTTGTCAGGGTCTTGTCTGTGCAGCTGTCCTGGGGGAAAAATAAGCATAAAGCACTGTGGCTTGCTCTTGTCAGCTCACACAGGTGAACAGGACAGCAGGGAGGAATAGGAGGGCACCTCCACAGGTTGGTATGTACTGAGCAGGTGACCAGTCATCCTGGCTGTTGGTGCCACCCCTGTTCCAGTTAATTTCAGTGCCACCTACCATCTGGGTAGCTGGTTATTGGAGGATGGCATGTGAGCAAGCATAGCACTTTGTTTTAGACATCCAAGAAAGAAACATATTCTGAACTCCATTTTGAGCTCAATGTGTGATGCTCTCTCTGTTGTGTTTCACAGGCTTCTTAAGGAAGAAATCCAAACTGATGTCACTTTCCATGTTGGCGGCGCTTTCTTCCGAGCTCACAAGGGAGTGCTTCTAGCAAGAGTTCCCAGTTTTTTCTCCCATGTTGCTGGAAGAGTGTTAAACAGTCCAAACCATGGTGAAGTTTTGTATCTGGAGAATTTGGAACCCTCTGAATTTAAAACATTCCTGCAGTAAGTTTCCACTCTCACCTGCCCCCTTAAAAAATGTAGTTCGAGTCAGTATTGTGATAGATCTGGTGACAGTTAAGAAACTTGTTTTCAGCCTGGTAGTTTTGATAGCAGACCATCAGTTTGTCCAATTATAATGGTTCTCTAGGCATCAAGGAATGATCCTGATACTTAGATTGGGGAACAAGGAATTTGGGAAGAGTGAATTCTCCCACCCACCCCACTCTACGATATGTTAAAAGAATGGTGCCCCACCTTTTTTTTTTAACACTGTAGATATGAACCCATAACCAATCATCAACAGACCAGAATATATATTTTTGATACGTCTGTTTCTTAATATTTGACAATATGAAATTGGAAGGGAGGTAGCTAAAGTGGAGGTAAAAGGGGTAGCTGACAGAGTGATGGCCAGCAAGTTGTAAGAGTGTACTTAACTGCAAGATGACTATGGGATAGTCTTAGTACTCATGAATTAAATGGAAAGAGGTGTGATTTGCATTGAGTAACAATGGTCTGCTTTCTCCATGAAACTGCATTTCCTCATGCCTACTGGCTAGTTAGATGACTTTGTTAAAAAGGTTATTTTTTCATTAGAGATGCTTCTTGTATGTGGGAGAGAAACTCTTCTCTTTCTTAGAATTTTAAATGTTTTCACCAAGGATATATGAAAGAACTATAATGTCTATTCTACATTTTCTGCAAACTTATGCTCACTACTTGAGAGTAAGTGTGTGACTTGGGGAGCAACCCTAAGACCCTGGCTATCACACATTGTGGCAATTAGTTCCATAAGTAAATTACATACTCTGTGAGAAAGTATTTTTCTTTTGTCTGTACCAAATTTACCACCAATCAATTTTATTGGGTGATGTGGGCGACCTGGAGCAAGGCCTCAGTGTTTGGTCTCTGTTCCTTGTTCCAGCTCTCTCACTCCAATGGAAGTTACTGGTTGCATATCCAATAATTTATGCACCATTCATGAATTTATAAAATTACTTCAATTTGGTACCTCAGAGAGGTGGCAGAATGCCCTTGATCTGAGACTCTGAGGCAGTGTTAGAAACTCAGATATATAATCTAATCGCCAAATGGCACCTTAAACCTAAGTTACGGTTTCCACAATGGAATGTCTAGGCACCTTTTTTGCAGTTGAACTTCCTATTATTATTACTACTACTACTATTATTATTATTAATTTCTCTACCACTTTATATTTTAAAGAAAAAAATCTCAAAAAGGTTTACAACACATTAAAAGATCAAATAAAGCAACCCAGAATAAAACAAATGCTAGCTTCCAGGAAACTCTTCAGAACCTTCTTTAAGTGACATTTGGCTTTCCTCAGATTTATTTACCTAGTGCCCCATAGCAGAAGAAATATAGGAAGTCAGCGTGGTGTAGTGCTTAGAGTGTCTGACTAGGACATGGGAGATCAGGGTTCAAATTTGAAGCTCACTGGGTGACCTTGGAGCCAGTCGCAACCTCTTAACCTGCCTCACAAGGTCACTGTAGAGATTAATTGAGGAGGATGAGCCATTTACTCCTTGGAGGAAAAGGTGAGATGTAAATGCAACAAATAAGTAATTCTTCTGACCTGCTTAAGGAAGCTGGAGGGGCCAGCCAGATGGAGCGGTTATTTGCCAACATCCACATGGTCCCAAATGGACCAGCACCTGGTGCCTGGCTAATTTCTGAGGTTGTCAGAGGGTGGTTTAGCTCGTCCTGAGGTTGTCTGCAAGTGTGCACCTTTATTTTGCTCCAAACAAGTGAATGGTTCCAATTTACAGGTGTGTAAAGCCCGCCAGTGTTGGGGATGCTAGAATCCTCCTGGGGTTCCTAAGTGTCTTTGCACAAATCCAACACCTAGGAGAGCTCATTACAATATAGAGGCTCCCTTTGTGGCTGTGCTGAATGTTACACTCGTCATCAAGACTGGGTAATTTTGTCAAAATCAAGACACGTTCTTAGATAATTTTCTGGTTCTTTAATCCTCTCCTTTAGAGGATTGGTGTTCCTCACAGGATGCAGGGCAGGTCATTTTTTATGTGGCCCAGGAGCCAATTGCTACATGAAATGCGCGAGAAGCGGGATTGATGCTTTTATTGCTCTTGCTGAGTGGGAGTCTCTTCTGTGAACAGGTTTCTTCAACTGAGGTTAAGTGACATGGCCGCTGAGAGCCTGTGGTATATTGGAGAACTGCATATTAGACATTCCCTTTGTAATGTATAGAGTGAGCAGCATATTGCTTAATTAAATGTGATCTTCAGGCCTACAGGGAAGAGGCTATGCTAATTCAAGCTACTTTTTAGAACAGACATCCTACTTTTACAGAGATTCCCAGGGAATACCACAGTTTTTGATTACCAGATATTATTATTATTATTTGCCCATATTTAGATGGGGCAAAACAGTAGTTACATCAGCTTTACAGGTTAGAGGTAGAAGACCGTGAATTCCTATTTTAATTTTAACCACCCTGCTGTAATTATTCCCCGTTTCCCACTTAAAAATAAAATAAAATCCATTCCATTTCTTACCCTTCTGTCTTGTAAACTTGACAGTGTTCTGGTTTTTAATAGGACCTGTGCAAATCTAAGTGTGAATGCCATTGGCCGTGCCACCAATTAAAAAGGAGAAATGCTGTTCTCACTGTACGTACAGCTTGACAAGTAAAAGATTTTTGTCAATTCCAATTAGCAGCTGCATAATTAAATGAATTGGCGCAATGCAGGAAACTTTGGAAAAAATAGAGCAATGGAATTTTTACTCTTCCCAACAGACAGCAAAAGCAAAGGTTTGCATTACAGCTGTGTGTGTGAAAATAATTTCCCCCTGTATTCTGAAATACAAATATGCAAAAGCTTCCCAGAGAACTTTAATAAGGAAAAAACAATAGATTGACAGGACTATCGTTCAAATTTAGCATTCCAATATATGTAGCAAATAAGCTTATTTATCACTAAAAAGAATCTCTTGTGAATATGTCTCCTTTCAGCTGAATGAAAATAATTTTCAGTATATTTGCCATCTGTCTCAGTTTGACAGGCAGTTTATCAGGAGCAGGTACTCAGTTGGTTTTCAATATTTGGAAACCAGTGTTTTTGCTGTGGTTATTAGCAAAGAGTTCTGTTTTGGTTCTTTGTACCAAGCCTCTGGTATTAGAATGAAGAGGCAGGATTTTGAAATGTGTGAGACTTTGGATTTGCATTTTATCCACATTGGAGAAATTTGCAGGTGTAAAATGATGTATTCTTCCCAACAATTAAATTTTCCCTCTTTGAGAAATAGAGAGGTCTTGCTAACATTGCCAAGTCATGCAGGATATTTTTTACACATCTGGAACTGAATCCTGAGTTCCATTGGCTTTTATCACAGGAGTACTGCAGTGCAGCAAAAACAGCTGTGGTCAGAAACTATACTACTGTACTAGGATTTGCACAAGAAAACTAGTAATATGTGGTTATGCAAATATTTGCCAGTCTAGGCTATGATCCTTATCAACACTCTAACGTTAACAGAAATTGTAAATGTTGGTAATGCTGTACGGTCTGATTATATTGTTAAGTTAGTCCAGTTTGGTTGAAATTGATTTCAGTCTATTTCTACAGTTTACTTTTGTGACTCGGAGTCTTTAAGCGTAATTGAATTTCCTTATCGCTATCTGTAGCTTGCGAAATGAAACAAAATCTATATGTGGAAATAAGGATTTTTATCAGTTTCAGCAGCTATTAGAGGCAGTAATCCTATTTCTGGATTTTTAATTTATTTTGGGGGCGAGGGGGTATCTTCTATTTCATCCTTGTGTCCTTCAGTAAAAAAAAATGTATTTAAAGCTTTGTTTTTCAAACGCCTGACTTATTTTAATTCTTCTTTGAAAGCAGTTCTTTTATTCTGTCTTAATTGTTTTCCCATTCTTCAAATGTTCAGGAAGATAAAGCTTACGATTCAGTCCTACATATGCCTACTCAGCATGGTATGTAGGATTGCAGCCTTAATTTCAAATTTGACATTTTTAGTGAAAAAAGTTTGCAGTTGGAGCCTCATTACCCCGTATAATCAACATCACCCAAACCTCAAATCCAACTTACCGTCTTTTTCGCTCTATAGGACGCACTTTTTCCCCTCCAAAAATTAAGGGGAAATGTGTGTGGTTCCTATAGAGCGAATGCAGGCTCCTTGGCTTCAGCGATAGCAACGCGAAGCCTCCGAAGCGCAGAGGGAGTGCTCCCTCCACACTCCGGAGGATTCGTGTTGCTTTCCCTGAAGCCTGGAGAGCGAGAGGGATTGGTGTGCACCAACCCCTCTCGCTCTCCAGGCTTCAGGGATAGCCGCCTGAAGACTCTCCTGGCTTCAGCGAAAGGAACCTGAAGCCTCCGGAGTGCAGCGGGAACTTGCGCTGCGCTCTGAAGACTTCAGGGATAACCACCTGAAGCCTCTGGAGCGCAGCGGGAGGTCCTGCTTCGCTCCGGAGGCTTCGGGTCCCTTTTGCTGAAGCCGGGAGAGCAAGACTCTCCTGGCTTCAGCAGAGAGGGAGAGCTGCGCAGCGCCCCTTCAGCCAAGCGGGAGGACAAATGGAAGGGGCTCCGTTTCTCCTGCCGCTTCGCTGAAGGGGCGCTGAGCAGAGAGGGGGAGAATATTTTTTTCTTGTTCTCCACCTCTAAAACAAGGTGCGTCCTATGGTCGGGTGCGTCCTATAGAGCAAAAAATACGGTGGTACTTTGAGTCTCTAATGGGCTTTGTCTATTGCTGGTGTCCTCTTGTTATAAATACAGTGGTACCTCGGGTTACAGATGCTGCAGGTTACAGACTCCGCTAACCCAGAAATAGTACCTTGGGTTAAGAACTTTGTTTCAGGATGGATGAGAACAGAAATCGCATGGCAGCAGCACGGCGGCAGCAGGAAGCCCCATTAGCTAAAGTGGTACCTCAGGTTAAGAACAGTTTCAGGTTAAGAACGGACCTGCAGAACGAATTAAGTTCTTAACCCGAGGTACCACTGTACCAGTTCCTGACAACAGATTGTTCCTGTCCATTTAAACTTCTGGTTATCATCAAGTTTCTTGGTAGATTCACAAGGTATTTAAATAAATCCTTTATTTGCACAGTGCTGACTTCAATAACAGCCCAAGAACTCCCTTTATCCAGAGCTGCTGGTCACTGGCGACAGCCTCTTGTTACTCTTTCCTACCCATTGTACCCCTTCACCAGCCACTGAATAGCTCCATTGGTTAGAGTGTGGTGCTGATAATGCCAAGGCTGCAGGTCCGATCCCCATATGGGACAGCTGTGTATTCTTTCAGGGGGTTGGATGAGATGATCCTCAGGGTCTCTTCCATCTCTACGGTTCTATGATTCTGTTTGGGACAGGTTGGTCTGACTGAGGAACCGAGACAGAATCATCTGCTTTAGAGCCTTACAGTAGCAGCCCGTGTGATGGGGCACAACTGCCTTCCAAACAGGGCTGTCCCTGCTGCTTGCCTGGGTGTGCATGTTCAGGTGGCGGGAGCACTGGGTTGGTTCTGCTAGTGCAGCTGCACAGTCCCAATGTTGCTGCTCCATCTGGGTGATCTGCAGTGATCAGGAGCGCAGCTCAGCCTCACCATGTGTGCTGCTCCTAGGACCTACAGTTGTACCTCGGGTTAAGAACTTAATTCGTTCCGGAGGTCCGTTCTTAACCTGAAACTGTTCTTAACCTGAGACACCACTTTAGCTAATGGGGCCTCCCGCTGCCGCCACACCGCCGGAACACGATTTCTGTTCTCATCTTGAAGCAAAGTTCTTAACCCGAGGTACTATTTCTGAGTTAGCGGAGTCTGTAACCTGAAGAGTCTGTAACCCGAGGTACCACTGTATTATTATTATTGCTATTGTTATTATTATTATTATTTATTCATTTAATTTCTATATTGCTTTATATTTTTAAGAAAAAAAATCTCAAAGTGGGTTACAACACATTAAAATATCAAAGGAACCAAGCCGCAATAAAACAAAGTCAAATATAAAGTATACAGTCAAGGCAACATAATTAATAGTAAAAACAAAAACATTATCTTAAAGATTTCAAAATAAAACATTACAAAGGATGTCAACTATAGAATATGTATCTTATGCATACAAAGTTAACAAACAAAAAAATCTTAAACATTTCATTTAAAAAAAAACTTTTATTTATGCAGTTTTAGCAGCTTTTATACACACATTGTACAGTATCCATCACTCCTCTTTTTGGAAGACTTCCCAATCCATCTCTCTGTGGCATTCTATGGAAATCTTGATCTGCCGCATATTCTAATATTTCACCCATTATCATCTCATGTCTTCCTTTTTTGTTATCTGCTGCTCATAGGTTAACTCGTACTTATAAGTTAAATTATATATTGTACCCTCTTAAGATAATTTCCAAAACACCTCCACTCCTCTTTAAATTCTCCTTATTCCTTAGTTTTCATGATCATGGTTACTAATTCTATGTATTCGATCAATTTGTTTGGCCAAGTTTCCTTCGTGGGTATCTCCTCTTCTTTCCATTTTTCCGTATATACTATTCTAGCTGCAGCAGTCGCACACAGAAAGACATTGAGTGCCTTTTTTGGAATGTCATTGCCTATCATCCCTATGAGAAAGGCCTCTGGTCTTTTGGGAAATGTGTGTTTTATGATCATTTCCCAATACTCTCTAGCATGTTTACACGACCACCACAAATCAGCTTTAATATTCAATATCGGTATCAATCTTTATTTTGGTCACAGACCAGCGTAAGATAAAAGCATATGGACAAACTGAACACATCAGACTTAAAGCAGGTAAGGGGTAAAAACTAATCATCTTAAACATTTCAAAAGGAAACATTGCTAAATAAATATAAAATGCAAATAATTTAAAACGGCATAATTACCAAGAGAATAAAATACTATCATAAGCGTAGAACACATCTGCTGCTGTTGCTGCCAGTCCTGCCAATGGTAGTTCATGGTGGCTGGTGGCTATAGAAGCTCAGGCTTGGTGGCCTGGGTCTGTGCTAAGAAACAACCAATATATATTGGTTGCATATTGATATTGGCTCCAATGTGTCACCTGACCTCCACGGAGCAGAAAGCAATAATACCGTCTACAGTGCTGCTGCTTTTTTTTCTAGAAAAAGAGGTGCAGGAACTCCCACCTTTTGGAACAGACAACCCAACGTTGTTGAGCTTTTGTGTTTTTAGACAGTCTTTTTCCTTATAAAAGCAAGCTGTCAGGGAACTGACATCGGAGCTAGAGGTGGAGGGGAGGCTCTCAAATGATGCTGGAGAAGGGCCCAGCAGGAAGAGAGGCAGCTCAGCAGATGGGGAAGCAAATCAGCGCAACACCAGGGATAAGGAGGGGCAGATGGGGGAATCGGAGAGAGGGCTCCCAGACTCTTCACTGGACACCAGCGGGGAGAGCACTGGTCCTCCGCTACCCACGCCCTCCCTGCTCAGAAGACTTCCGCGCAGAGAAAGTAGGAGGAGACTGGGTGTCAAACAACTTTTATGTTGGAAAAGGTTTAAGAAACACCCACTGACGGATTCTGCCAGCGACTGAGGCAGCCACAAATTGAAGGGCTGTCCAGACAGAAAGGTTTAACAAGGCAACATAGCCAGGAGAGGCGGCAACTTACGCACGAGCAATCTCATACCATTATACAAGCCTTTGTCCATGTATGAATTTTCTGAAAGGCAGGACTTCTGCAGGATTTTTTTTTGCGTTAGTAGCTGCTATCGGGAATTGGTCTGCTCTAAGAGAGTGAAGGCGACATGGGTTGTTTTCCACAACACAGCATCTTGCTCCCAATGTGCTTCAGTTGTTGTGAGATCGGTGAGTGCTGCCTCCCGTGGCTAGGTCAATGCAGCAGGGAATACGGCAGCGTTCTTGGGCAGATAGAGAGAACTCCACAAATATTAAACATTTATTAACCTGGCCAATTATAATAGATTGAAACGTACGGAGAACTCTCCCTACTTCAAAAAGCACAGAAGCTTCCGAGTTGCATTAAAATACAGAGCATGAGTACATAGTCTGCCTGCTTTCTCAATTCTGTATTTCTGTCCTCCTCTTTATATAGACATTTCAGCTTCCTGTCTCGAGCAGCTTCAGAATGGCTGGTATCGTTTAGCTTGTTTACTGCTAAGGCTGTCATTCCTTTTAGCTTCTGTTCTACATGCTATTTTTAAAGTTATTGTTTGTTTGTAATGGAAAAATTCAAAGTGATGTGTACCTTGTCTCCGAATGAAGGGGCATGGAAGTCTTAATGCTGTTTTGTTTTCCTCCTGCTCCATAATAGAGATGTGTAGTGTAGCTCTCAGTCTAGCAGATCCAGAAGAAATTCTAGGATCAGCTATTTTGTGTATGTGGAAGGTCCATAAGCACAGGATTGGATCATAGGGCCATTTAACACAGCATTCTCTTTCCTGCAGAGGCCAATCGGATGCCTCTGTGGGGCACAGAAAACCAACAACTCTCCCATCTTGTTATTCACTTCTCCCACCTGCAGTAATTGGTATTTACTGCCACCTTTTGCTTCATCTGCCCAACACTGTCCATTGGGCTTGCGCAAGCCAGACTTGCCCTGCTAATATGCACTATGCTGGTGAACCATTCCTTAACGTTGTCATCTCCTAGTGTCACTTTCATGGCTAAATTTCCTCTACGTGCTTACCAGGTCTGCTGCTAGGAGTCTTCAGTCTGCAGACAGCAGAAGTTACGCTCCATGGATTCCATGCTGCACCTTCTGCAGAGAGGGACTACCATGTCAAAAGCTACCATGTCTTGCTGCAAATGTTCTGTAACCATGTAAGACAGGGGTCGGCAAAGTTTCTGTGGCTTGGGCTGGTTCACAGTCCCGCAGACGCTGCAGTGGGCCAGAGTGCGCATGCACATGCATGCGCAAACGCTATTTCCGGCACGGAGGAGGCGTGTGCAGCTTCCCATTGGCTGCAGGAGCTTCCTGCAGCCAATGGGAAACCAGCCAGCATCGCAGAAGGCAGTCCCCACTCTGCTCTGCGCCAGTTTAGTGCGGTGCATGGGAACCGGGCAACGGGGTCCCCGAGTGGGCAGTGGGGGTCCATGGGCCGGTTAAACGACTCCCATTGGCCGCTTGTGGCCCATGGGCCTTAGGTTGCCGACCCCTGATGTAAGAGATCTCTAAGCTGCCTGTTATATTAGCTGGGGCAAGTATATGAAAGAAGGGTCATTCTGGCAGGAGCAGACTTTGGTAATCTTTCGTAATATGGCGCTCTGTACAAAGCCAAAATTTGACACTCTCAAAAGGATCTCTTCAATTATGGATCTTCTCAAATTTGCACCCCCTTGGCTGGGCCCCTCCATGCAGGGGAACCTCCCCCCCCCACATCACCCTAAATCCGGCGTTGATTCCGGACTGTTTATTGTTATTCTTTCATTATTTCTAATGAAACCTTAGTTAATAATCCTGTGCTCTTAACTGGAGGAGATTCTCTGTAATCTTGTCTCATCCCACGTTTACGCCTTTTGTCTTTTTGGCCTAGTTGCTGCAAAAGTATGTGTTTAACTTGAGGTGGATAGGATAGTCAGAGATGGAAAGTTGGCAGCATTTCGTTGACCATCTCTTCCCGATTATGAAATGCTGTTCCCCAGAGAAGCTTACCTGCTGCCAAGAATGATGTATTTTTAGTGCCACATTAAATTGACTTTAGATTCTTAGGGTCTGTTAGTTTTTATGCTTTATTTATATTCAGTTTCTTGCTGAACTGCTGGTGTGTGTGTGTGTTTTTAACAGGATCTTTGGAGAGTGTTAAATATTGTTTCTATAGGTTTCACTAAGTCTTTGTACGGAACAGCAGGGGAAGGGAACAGTGAGATGCACTGCTGTTTTAACCCAAGAGGCCTGAGGTAGCCAACATGGAATCTTTTAGGTGTTGTTGGATTCCAACTCACATCAGCCCCAGTCAGCATGGCCGGTGGTCAGGGATGATGGGAATTGTAGTCCAACAACATCTGGAGGGCACTGTGTTGCAACAGTTGGTAGCTTTTGCATCATATGTGTCTTTTAGGGTGAATGGGCAGCTCTTTTCTCCCCAGATTTACTAATCTGCTCCAGGTATTGGGATAAACTGCAAGGTGCTTTGTTTGTTTTTTTAGAGATGGAGACAGCTTGTCAAATGTGCGTGGAGAAGTGCAAAGAAGAGAAATGGGTGTTTGATTCAGAGGCAAATGCACGTGTCATTTGGGGGGTAGTGACTGGGGGAGGCTGAGTTCACAAAAACATGGCACTGACCCCCTATTTAAAGGTGCCTCTGTATGCTCCCAGGAGTTTCGGGGTGATCTTACAGAAAACCTGCATCTTGTCTTTTTCTGCAGAATGATTTGTAATTCAAGGCATGTGGGTAAATAGTGATTTAAATAAAAAAGAAGGTTGACCCCAGTGTCTTTAGGTAGAGCATGGGACAGAGTCAGACCTGCTTTCCCAAAGCTGTTTCAATTCCCATGGGCCAAACACAACTCCAGAATCCAAAGAGATGTATGTGATGCTGCTTCTCCTCCCTCTTCCAGCAAGAAGCATTCCAGTTGGAAGGAAATGGACTTTGTTCTTCCCTTCCCCAAATGCTGTACTTTCCCCCATAAGAATGAACAGCAGCTGTTCAATCTATGGGAGGAAGTTATGGGGTGCCCTTGGGGGACTTAGTCTGTTGAATAAACCTGTGCCCCTTGGGCAATGAGAATCAAACTTGGACTTGTCCTCACAGCTTGCAATCAGTTTATTGGTCATGCTAGAGTGTGACAGAATATGTAGAAATGACTATTTCTCCTTTCCTGCATAGGCCAAAGTCATTATTTGTTTATTGCGTTGTTGGAAAGCCTGTCAACCCCACAAGTGATGATCAAGATTTTAGCAGTCCAGTCAGCGTACTCTCCCAAAGGGGAGAAGAATTTTGCAACCTTAATTTAGATGACTGTCTGATAACGGAGTGTTACAGCTTCCAGGCAGGAAGATTATCTTGTATTTTCCTGGAATTATTATAAATTGACTAATAAATACAGACAAGTTTCATCTGATTGCAGTGCACAGTTTAGAATGTCTGTCTGGAGGTTGTTTTCAGAACAGATTTGGACAAGAGTGTTTATGCCTTAAAGGGCACAGCATACTCTTTAACACTCCATAAATTCATGCATATTGCCAAGCAAGTCTTTCAAGGAAATAGTTATCTGGAAGTCTTCCCCCCAAAAACTAGCCTGCGTTATTTAGCTACTCAGAGGCAATCCTGTTTTTCTTGTTTTTTAAACACCCTTGCCCTTTATGGCTTTCTTGAAGGTTGCATGACACTTTCGTCTGTCTTGTTGTAAAAGACTTTGAGAACTGATGAGGCTGTTTTTGTTATTGTTGGCAGTAAATGAACACTTTAGAGGGGAAAACCAGGAAGTGATCCAAAGGGCTGCTCATTCTAAGTCTACATCACAGGATCTTCAAGTTATAATCTGGCATGTTTGGGTCGTGCTTTTTTTCCTGTGCATATCCCCATGCAGCTGTATTTTATGTACATCTTCTCTCGCTAGGTCTGCTTGAATCTGATTATGCTGGGATAATGTGGTTCTCTATCAGATGCACGGTTGCGAGTTTGCTTTTTAAATAGGCCAGAAAGTAACACAGGGGGGGAAAGCAAACAAAAAAACCTCAGAGAGGTTAGGCTGGCCTCAACTAGAGCCAGGGCTTTCTCGGCTGCGGCTCCAATCTGGTGGAACGCTCTGTCACAAGAGACTAGGGCCCTGCGGGACCTGACATCTTTCCGCAAGGCCTGCAAGACAGAGTTGTTCCACCAGGCCTTTGGTCAGGGCCCAGCCTGACTCCCACCTCCGGCAACCTACACAGAACTTTGCTCAACGGTTGCCATTAATTTGATTTTAATTAATTTTTATAATGAAATGTTCTAGAATGTTGGACTATTTAATTGTTTGATTATTTATTTGTTGTTAGCCGCCCTGAGCCTGGCTTTGGCTGGGGAGGGCGGGATATAAATAAAATTTATTATTATTATTATTATTATAGTTGTAGCATAATCTCTGTTGCATGCATGGGCCCTCCCTGTAGAATAACTAGTTTTTGAAACTATTGAATCATTCTAGATGATTGTGCATAGGAACATAGAAAACTGCCTTATGCTGAGTTAGGCAATTGGTCTATTGAACCCAGTATTTTTCGCATGGTCTGGCAGTGGCTTTCCACTTTTTCAAGTGGGGATTTCTCTCCCAGCCTTACCTGAAGATTCTGGGAATTAAACCTGGAACTTTTGATCTACAGTAGCATGGAGGTGTGGCTCTTCCCCCATTATCAAATCTTCAACAACTAGTTTCTTGATCAGCAATTTGTTTCCTTCCTCAGCCACTTTCAGAGAGGTTGGGAACGCTGGTCTGGTCTTGAATTGCCCATCCTTTAAAGCTGCCTTTTTTATTTCTAGAATGACAACTAAGAAGCCAGATGGCAGAAGCCTCATGGACCAGGTTTGGTTCAGGGATGTTGCATTGTAAAGTACTATTTCTCTAGCAGATGCGCTATTAGGAAAATACACTTTTAAGATGTACCTGGGAGATATTTTTTTCTCCTGGTTGAATTAATTTGCAATAACTGCTGTTTTTAAAATGTCTTGGATTTTTGAGTACTCTGTATATTAAAATATAATTAGGTTTTAGTGTTTGGCACAGCCTCACTTACCGAAATGATTGAGATGGAGGGCAAGTAAAGCAATGTATTGTGGTATTATTAGATTTCAATTGTAGGGCAGGGTTCTGTTTTGCTATTTGTTTTGGACAACTACTTAAGGATAGGCACCATTAACTTCATGAGATTTGGTAGTCAAAACCACATTTTGAATTATGCAGTGCGTAAAACTTTCTATGAAGTCTGATCCTTTGTGGGCGTCCTCAGAGGCAAGTCCCATTGAAGTCAGTGGGACTCCCTTCCAAATATATGTGCATGGGATTACAGCCTGACTCTCTCTTCCTAGGGTCGTGTATTCATCCGGAAACGTCAAAGAGTCTGAGCAAGCGATTCTCAAGAAAGAAATATCAAAGCCTAGCTCCACAAAGGAACATGAAAGTGTGGACGTCAGCAATCTGCTGAATGGTGAAATATTCGCTGGACAGTGCCTAGAAAATCATGAAAGGACATCTGGTTATCAGTATTCCTTAAGTGGAGCCCTAGAAACAGAAGCTGCTGCTTCCCCTTTTATTGCAAATGAAATTCCTGGAGAAGATGCTGCTGCTGCTGTTGATGCTGAAGGCAATGCAGTTGTGTCAGGTGAGGTTAAACCGGTGGCGTTTGGATTTCCTTTTGTTACTTAAATGCCAGTGTGGGTTTGTTAACCATCTGAAACAAGGTTTGCCGTTGCTGCGCTTGCAATGTCGAGTTTAATATTCTTCGCTGTAACTTGGCTCCTGAGTAATGAGCCTTGTGCTGGTTAGACAGGACTGTAGGGATGTGTAGCCGCAGCAACTCTTACACCCACCTATTGTGTAAGAGCGGAGATGCTGTAGTGCCGAGCATTTTGTGGAGTTACGGAGTTTGCTTAAAGCATTGTTAGCCCACTCTTCCATTGGAAAGGTACCCTGAGGCTCACACAAGATCAATAAAAACAACAACCAAGGCATATTGTAAGCCTGCAGGCAAGATGTAACAGTGCGGTCCTACACATGTCTCTTCAGAAGTCCTGGTGAGTTCATCTTTCTCCAAAGTGGGTTTAGGATTGCAGACCATTTCCCGGACATGAGAACCGCCAGTACATGCCTTTGGGCTCAAACTCCATTTATTGACCCTCATCCAGCCCACAACTGTTCAGATTAGAGCTGGGCGATATCTGGTTTTCAACACTGTGATATCACCAGCTAGGCACTGTGATATACCCATATATCACCCTGTCTGAAATAAGGGTGGAGCTATGTTGAGGCATTGGCTGGCATCCCAGTTTTTCCTGCATCATGATTTCTGTCGGTGCCTACTCTTGTGATTCGCTGCCCCTTGCAGAAGGCAGGGGAGAACTGAGCCGGCAGAGTTACCAGGGTCTGCAGGAATCGAGAGAAGCGTTGGCTGGCTTCGTGGTTTCCCCCACATTGTGATTTTCGCATAGTGCACTCCCACACTGTGATTCACGATATATCGCCAAGTCAAAAATTTTGAAACTGATACCACGATACGGACTTCAAACTGATTTTGGACAATATATGGATATATTGCCCAGCCCTAGTCCAGATCATGGACAGCCTCCCCTGACTCAGCTGTTACATAGAAATAGGGCTGGATGGCATCAGCCCATTGATGACACTTTGCCCCCAAACAACTAATGACCACACTTGGTTGCTTTATATTGGGAACAAGTGGTACAGCATAGTGCAAACACTATGGCCCTGAAACTCATGATCCCAATGCTACTCTTACTGACCGGACTGTGAATTAACATCTCCAGGGGATGCTTGGGGGAAAGTCTCAGGGTGTATCCCTGTCTATGGAATAAACTCCCCTACAAAGTGCAGTAAGCGCCAGTGTTAACATTTGTCAGCAACTGAAGACACACCTCTTTCCCCATGCATTTGGGAGGGATTTAGAGATGTTCAGATGTTCAGGGATTGAGGTTTTAGAGATGTTCCTTTTTTATTACCTGTTTCCTATGTTACTGAGGCTGTATATTTTATTAATGTGAAATTCCACAGAGCTTTTCTTTTAGGATATGTTTCTATTCCAGGACCTTATGGTGGAGGATGGTCTCATAACAATTTATTTTTCTTCGTTCCAGATGATTCTAAAATAGAAACAGCATCTTGCTTAGGAAAAGACCTATTGATGCTCTGCAAGAAATCTTGGTTTTCGGATCTTACTATATGGATTGACAGAAAACAATTTCAAGTGCACAGGTACTTCAAGAGACTAGCATTTTTTTTAAAAAAAGAAGAAGCTTGGTGCATTTTTGGGGTGGGTGGAACAACATCCAGAAATGTCTGTGGGTTGTATCTAATTAAGCTATACTTGGAGTCAGTGGAGTAGACCCATTGACATTAATGACTTAGGTTAGTCATGTCCATTAATATCAGTGGGACTACTTTGAGTAGGTTGCATTGCATACAGTTCAATATGTGTGATCTTCGATGGAGAAGAGCTAATCTAACACTAGATAAAACTGGCATTGATTTAGCAACAGTGTGTTGAGTTTTTAAATATTCCCCTCCTGCAAGGAAAGCTTAGTTTAGCGAGCGAGAGAAAAAGAATACAGCTGTTTGCTCCTTAAAGCTCTTGGTCCTCAAAATAAATAAGCAAACGTTTTACCAGAATAAATCATATTGAAAAGATTGCAGAGTGTTAATAGCTGAATTACTGTTAAGCTGCAGATCTGCCCTCAAAAGAGGTATTTCCTCATTTGGAAGGAAGATGAAAGATCTGTGATGGGGGAAAATTGTGGTGTTCTGTGTTCAAAGTGGGAGAAAACCCCAGGTGCCTAAGAATTTGAGAAATTCTTCCAGCCTTGTTTTGTGGATAATGAAAATGAATTGTGGATTAGCTGTTAACTGGAGGCATTTCAGAATGGTAGCATTTTTCCACATTCTGTGACAAATCGGATTAAATTGCCAGGGATCCTGGGAGAAATAAGTATGCAGTGAGCAGACACGCATTAGTAGGTAAAGGGCAAATAATTTCAACCTTTTTTAGCAGCTTTCCTAAAATAAATATTTGTATCTAGTAGAATAATGTTTACTCCCCACCCCACCCCACCCTTCCCTCTCTCAGGGCCATTTTATGTGCCAGATCTTGTTACTTTGCTGCTATGCTGAATGGGAGCTGGGCCGAAAGCTCTCAAGAGCACATCACTCTTCAAGGGTAAGTTGTTTTGCAAGTCGTATGGGAGCAAAGGTAGGCAATTTAAAATCACTGCAAATGCGGAGCAGCCATGCTGCATACCAAGCAATTCAAATTAATCTGTCCTGACTCTCTTATTTGGTGCAGTATATTTTGAGCAACAGTCCTAAATTTTGGCTAGTGGGAAACCTCTGTGAATTGAGAACCTGCATCTATCTATTTGCATCAAACCGTCAACTGGAAGAGTTAAAAATGGGAAAGTTCTTCATTGCAATTAAATTCAATGAGGAAGTAACGTCCCTTCTCTGCTTTTAGCATGACTTGCTGACCTGTTAGATGGGTAGTAAACAAATTCTAAAGGCAATGTTGGAAAGACATTGCTGTGTCTTGCCTCCCTGGAACAAATTCTTAATAATAATAATAATAATAATAATGATAATAATAGTAATAATAATAATAATAATTTATTATTTATACCCCGCCCATCTGGCTGGGCTTCCCCGGCCACTCTGGGCGGCTTCCAAAAGAATATTAAAATCCTATAATACATCAAACATTAAAAGCTTCCCGAAACAGGGCTGCCTTCAGATGTCTTCTAAAAGCCTGGTAGTTGTTGTTCTCTTTGACATCTGGTGGGAGGGTGTTCCACAGGGAAGGCGCCACTACCGAGAAGGCCCTCTGCCTGGTTCCCTGTAACTTGGCTTCTCGCAGTGAGGGAACCGCCAGAAGGCCCTCGGCGCTGGACCTCAGTGTCCGGGTAGAACGATGGGGGTGGAGACGCTCCTTCAGATATACTGGACCAAGGCCGTTTAGGGCTTTAAAGGTCAGCACCAACACTTTGAATTGTGCTCGGAAACGTACTGGGAGCCAATGTAGGTCTTTCAAGACCGGTGTTATGCGGTCTCTGCGGCCGCTCCCAGTCACCAGTCTAGCTGCCGCATTCTGGATTAGTTGTAGTTTCCAGGTCACCTTCAAAGGTAGCCCCACGTAGAGCACATTGCAGTAATCCAAGCGGGAGATAACCAGAGCATGCACCACTCTGGCGAGGCAGTCTGCAGGCAGATAGGGCCTGCGTACCAGATGGAGCTGGTAAACAGCTGCCCTGGACACAGATTTGACCTGTGCCTACAAATTCTTTGTAGGGGAACAGTTAGGGGCAGAGGTGCCAGCTTGCTAGGGTGACGGGGTTGGGCGGCGTCACACGGGTGAGCATCATGCTTCCGACAGCACTGATATGTGTCGGCACTGATATGAACCATGCGTAAGGCTAATGGGAACCCATTTAAAACCACAATTGCGATGCTGGAATAATGGTATCATCTCTGGGGAGAGGTTTTTCTTGTCGCCCATGTCTCTCCCAGCGCCCGGGGATGTTATTGGGGTAGGCTATGTATGGGGGCGCTGTATTCCTACTAGTGCTAACGTTATGTGTGAGACCGCTTGGCCAGTATATTTTTTTGATGAGAACTTGGTACAGGGTGTCTATCAATTAGTGCTTGTTGGCAGGATTGTTGCAGTCTATATGTAAATTGAGATTTCTTTTCCTAGGGAGTGGTTACCCCACTTAAATGACGCGTTACACAATTGCATATCCTGGTTTAAGGGACGCTTTAGTTAGCCTTGAATCAGGGCTGGCAACTACTCAACCATACTTGGGAGTTGGGGCCTGGTGCTCCAGAGAGGAGTGCAGATTCTTGAGGCTGTTGCCCATTTTACCTGGGAGCTGTCACTGGGCTTGTACTGGTCACTGTAGGTCTAACAGTTTAAGCAGGTTTTTGTAGCCATTTGTACAATAAGAGCAGCGCACATGGCGAATAGCAAAGCAAGCTGACTGCCTTGGTTCATGGATTACTTAACACTTGACTGTGGATTAAGAATTACGGATTCATAAAACTCCAAATCTGCTTTCCTTGTCGCCTTAGAAAACGCATTAACTGAGCATTCCTTGTACAGGTGCTCTGACTTTTAATTTGTGCAATATCATACAGCCTTCCCTTTGAATAAGATCCATCTCAGCATAGTGATATTTTCCTTTGAGTAAACATGAGGTTTGCTCTGCACATCTGTGGGGATATAAAGCTGTCATTGCACTGTGATGACGAAGTGAAAATAAAAACTAGCTTTCTTCTGCTCTTACATATGTTGAACATGGTTCTATATACCTGGTGGTGTGATGCTAGATGCTTTTTTTCCTCAGCCGAGTCAGATGCATCTTATCTGCGACAAAGCCCGTGACCGCTTTTCCTATTGTGCTGGCTGGAAGTCAGGCAGCACCTATATTTCTTGACGGGGGGGTGTCTGTTTCACCAGAGTGTCTCAGATGGAACCACAGTCTCAGTATTTCTGATGATGGCGCTTAAGACCCGTTGACCAGGTTCAGCCAGAATGCCAAATCATGGTTTTGTTCTATGACAGGCATGTCCAATCACAAGTTGGCTGTGATCTACCAACATGTATCAAAAAATGGCAGTGATCTACCACTGTCTGAAGTCATTTGTTAAGTAAATAAATAAATGGATGGATGGATCTTTATTTCACAGATACAGTAGTTATGTTTGGATACCATTATGACAGATCCAAATAGTTACTAGGTGGACAAGTGACTAAACAAGTGAGAAAAGTCAAACTGTATTTTTATATTAGTTTGCACAGATCTGAGGAGCCAGCTTCTCCCTGTCTCTCCCCTGTCAAAGGGAGCCGCACAGCTGATGTGGATCCCAATAGTGCTTGCCCGCACTAAGCCCACCTCCCCTTTTCCAGCAGCATTGCACAGACCTCTCCCCAGCTCCCTCGCACCTCCCTCTGTCTCCCTGCGCGCGCTGCTCAGGGTTGCATTGCTGTGGAGGCTAGCGGCGGCGGCTGCTGCTGCATCTGAGGTTGCAGAGAAAGGCCCTGCGATGGACCAGAAACAATCCCACGGTCCACTCGGGGCTCGCAATCAACGTGTTGTACATGGCTGTTCTATGAGAACAAGTGGAAGAAAGCTTGGGCTCACATGACTCTTCTCTTATGCACACAGAGTAATTACTGTGGTGTGTCATTGTTTTTGAACTGGCCCAGTAGGCTTCGGTGCTTGCTCCACAAATGAGGATTGCAAGCCCAGATTGAATCTGGCGCCACCGTGGCAAATCATCTTATACACTGTCCTGCCCTTTTGTAGATTTTCCTGTTGCCGTTATAAACGTTTGATAGTACAGTGCATATGGCTTATCCTGAAATAATGAAAATGCTGTTTAAGAGACCAGCTGTCAAGACAGCAGGGCTACTCGTTCGTGCTGTTTTTATGGCTACCTCATGTGTTTGCATGCAGCTAGACAACTGTGTTGATTTTTTGTCATTTAACCCAAAATAACTAATTTCACTTTTATTGAATGCTCCTCAAACATATTTAACGTTGCCACATGTTGCAGTATGTACAGTTGTTCCCGTTTATCACGTTGGAAGCTGTACCCCGAAATGCAAGCTTAATTCTCAGGAACACAGTGGGTTGCGTTCTGAGTTGCTCTTCATTCTCAAGAGGGCTCCTTCCACTCACAGAAAGCATTCTAATTCAGCAGAGGTGCTGGCTGCAGGAAGCGGGTGGCGAGAGAGATAACTTTTGCTGATTCATCATGCAGTTCTGGATGGTCCTCTGACCTTGCAGGGAAGACTTGAAAGGGCTGCAGAAGGAATTTGGTGAAAATTGCCTCTTCAGTGGTGCCACCCTCTGGGTGGCATTCTAGATCCATGCAACCAACGCAGGTGTTTGTGTTCACTACGATAAAATGGTCTTTGTCCCGCTGCAATAAAATATACATTCCTCAGTACTTTTGTGTGTTCTGTATATTGACCCCTGACTTACTCTGTGACCCTGACAAGCAAGGTCCAGATTAGATTGACAAGGCAAAGGTAGTTGGAGAGGACCCTGGGTACATCAAATGAGTTAACAGCTGTAGAAGCTACTTGGGTGTAGGGTTCTCCCACACACATCATTCCTCCCCCAACCGTAATTCCAAAATATTCCACGTATGGCAACCAGTAGAAGCACCCACCAATGTGTGTATGCAAGGAGATGGGGGAGATGGAAAATGTGAACCTATGACTCCTGGACCACTTTTTGCAGTAGTAGACCGTGGTTTGGTATGTGTTCTGAATCTTCCTGTTATGACTGTATCTGCCTCTGATCTTCTCTGGAGGAGCTTAGTTTTAATCTCTTATAAAAGGCATTTTAATCTGCTGAAGATTTCTTCGGAAAGCCTTAGAAATAAGTACAACCCCTGCCATTTTAGTGATGGGGAATCTCATAAAGATGATTTAATCTTTAGATCGCACAATCTTAAAAGCACTTGTTCCTAAGCAGTGTTGGCACACTTGCCTGGGTGGTTAGCAAATAAGGGGGTTGTAGCCAAGGACTAGATTGCTAGAGCTCTTGTAAAGCTGTTCTTGTGAGAATCCAGCTTTTCACATTTTTAGCTGTTGGGGAATGTGACCCATGTATAATTTTAGATTGCATTAGTGGTATTACTTTACCTTGATGCGGTTTCATTTTATAATATGACAGGGCTCGGTGAACCACTTAGGGTTTATAAAACGTGAACCACCTATTTTATTTCACAGATGCTGGTGTCTGTAATGATTTTTCTTTCTGTTTTGCAGCTTAAACCATGTAGAGATGACTGTCATTCTGCATTTTATCTATGGAGGAATTTTGGATTTCCCAAACAAAGCAGATGCTGGGTATGTGTCAAGTTTTGTTATTTTTAATTGCATACCATGCCTGTTCTGCTTCCACCATTCCACATTAAAATAGAAAGTATGTCACAAAATCTCTAAACTAAAATGGCAAGAGTGCCAGGAATAATTATTATTGCACTATAATTATGTTTGAAGTACTGCAAAAAGGGGTGTGTGTCTTATTTTACTCGGCAGCTGAGCTGATGGGGTAGTAGTGATGAAGGATACTCTGTGGGAAGGAGGGGAAATATTTGGTACTTGGGTTACTGTTTATTGCTGCACTATGAAGGGTCTGGAAAACCTGCCATTTTTATTCATCTCACTCACGAAACCCAAAATCCCATCCATGACCTTTGCCCTCTTTAAGTCCTCCTCTTCCTGGATGCCGTGTAACCCTTTTACCAAGTCTAATGACTAGTCACCACATTCAAAGTGCCATTGCTCCATTATATGAAGACGTGAAGGAATGCAGCAAACTTGGTAAAGCTAAACAGATGTGGGTCAGGTTCGTTCCTGAGTGGGAGACCATCTAGGGAAGTGGATAACATTTAGGCATCCAACCCCTGCTTAAAAACCTCCAAGGAGGAAGAGTCTTATCACCTTCCAGGGGAGTCTCTTCCGCTATCAAACAGCTCTTAACCATCACAACGTTCTTCCTGATGTTTAGTCAGAATCCCCTTCTTTGTAACTTGAATCCATTGGTTTGAGTCCAACCCCCTGGAGCAGGAGAAAACAAGCTTGCTGAATCTCAGGGCCACAATTACCTCAAGGATTGCCTCTGCCCATATAAACCAACTGGGAGTCTGTGATACTCATCTGAGGCCTTCTCCATGAGAGGTCCATGAGAGGGTGGCAACACAAAAGCAGGTCTTTTCTGCAGTGGCTCCCCACCTGTGGAATGTTCTCCCCAGAGATGTTTGCCTGGCACCTTCATTATACATCTTTAGGCACCAGGCAAAAACATTCCTATTCAACCATGCCTTTGGTTGATATTCTGCTGCCTTTAACATGTGCTTATGGGAGCGGGGGTTATTGTTTTCTTTTTGTTCTATTTATTTGAGCTTTTATCTTCTATTTTCATCTTGTGAACTGCACTGAGATCTTTGGATGAAACGTGGTATATAAATGTAATAAATAACAATAATAATAATCTTCCATGCGACAGCCCTTTAGATATTTGAAGATGGCTATCCCATATCTTCTCAGTCCTTGAACTTTGGTAATGCCTTTTGCTTGGCTGTGAAAGGATAGAGAGGCCCCATGTATATGTTGGAAACTAGCCACCCGTGCAAAAGTAAATGTGCATTCATTGTTCTATCTACTTTTGCCTCTGGCCTCTTCTGTCACTGGCGTGTGTCCCCAGAAGGTTGCTAAAAAGGGACTGAAAAAATGTTTACCACTGCAATGTATAGCATGAATTACCAATCTGAGGTTTATATAACAGGGTTGCAAGGCTTACCCCTTAATTTTTTACTGGTATACTAGATCCCTTTGGAAATGTTGCTGTACTTGGCTCTCAAAAAAATATGAGTGGTAATGCAGTCATTTAGATTCACTTGTCTGAATGTGATGCAGATTACTATGGAATGATTCCATTATAAGCAGGATTCTCTTCTGTATAATTTTTATTATTACTTTTACTCCAGTTCCATACTGAACATTGCAGACATGTATGGGCTAGAGGGCCTAAGAGACGTAGCTATATATGTTCTGAAAAGAGACTACTGCAACTTTTTTCACAAGGTGTGTTCCAATGTTTATTTTTTTCTATTTTGACGATAGCAATAAAAGCCAAACGGCTCCAAATTCTTGATCAAATCTTCAGTCTAGGTATTGCAGGCCAGAGTGTTGAGTTGGAAAGCCCTCACTGTGTCTGCTTGGTAACCTTTTGTAATTGATATGCTAGAATTATAAATAGGAATAAAATGCAAATTTTAAAATGGATTTAAAAGTTGCTTTAAGCAATTCTGTGAAAGTGGAATAAAATGTTCCTTAAATACGTGAAGTAGGTGTAAGATCTAAAAATTTTGTTGTTCATGGAAACCATTTTTTCATCTATAAATCAGGTTGCAAATTGTATTATGGCAAATGTGCGGGATATTTTTTTAGATTGGTGGTTTCCATCTTGTTTCTTGGAAGTCTCTTAAGGTGTCCTCAATGAGAAGAACAGTTGCAGTGGGCAAGCTTGCTTTGAAAGGCAAGACCCTTTGCCTACTGCTACTGAGCTTGAGTGCACTCTTAGTTCATACTCTCAGTGTGATGCAGTAGGCCTGGCTCTGGTGCTCCACATGGGTTGAATTCAAAATCCTCCACAATGCATGGAGTTTCTGAGACAGACCTAGGTTATATTGGGGGGGGGGATTTATCATTAGAAAACTTCCCCAGAAGTAGGAAGTTTGAAAACATATCATTTTAAGAGAAGCAGTAAAGATGCCCAGCTGCAGAATGAATAACGAACTGTTGATTATTATTTTTTGAAGTCTGGATCAGAGTGATCCAGTTTGTACACACAAATACAAGTGATCTGTTTACTTGAAAGCATTCCCTATTGCAATTAGCAACTTTCATATCTCTCAAAGGTTCTAAAAGTACAGTAAATATGCTTATATCTTTACAATTTTAGCCTGTGCCTGGGAAGCACCAGCCTGTTATCGAATGTCTAGCTATTGCCCATTTGACAGGAGCAGAAAGCCTTTATGATGCTTGCATGAAGTAAGTGAGTTAAACTGTTTTGATTCTTTCTTTCTTTGCTTCATCACTTTAAGTTTTGAGAAAACTGTTGAAAAACAGCAGGCGCATATCATTTCTTAAACTCTCTGACTTGTAACGGGAAAATACTTTGCAGCTGCTCACATATGTGACGGGACATCTGATGGATTGATTTGTCTAAGCACGATATTTCCTTTGAACAGGTGGATGGTACAGCATTTTGTAAGATGTTGGTCAGAGAAGAGCTTTGCTAGCTTATCCCCTGAGCTTCAGAATAATTGTCTTAGCATGTTGATAAACTCTTTGGTAAGTCTGTTTGCTTGCTTTCAAATAAAAAAAGCATTGACACTAATACAGCTCACTACCTGCCTTGATTTCACTTCATGTACCGAAGTGACAGTTTTGTTTCATTGTGTCTTAAGATTTCCAGCCTTGGATAATATATAACCTCTAGTGGAAAGTGTGGCTATTAGAAGACTTTTGATACACCATTTCCAATTAGCATAATTTAAGTGGTGCTAACGTCAGCATAATTTAGGTAGCAAGTTTGCTGTTGGTTTGTGTATTTAAATGTTCTAAGCAATCTTATGATGTTAAAAACATAACACATCATTCAAATAAGAAGTTTGATTGATCATTAGGCTGTAACATTTTTATATGTTGAAATAGTGTAGAAACTACATATTCCGTGTAGTATGTATTGTTTTATGTATTGTATTATGTATTGTTTTAAGAGTCCACAGAATGCTGCCCATCTTTTGATGGAAGCCAACCGGCTGATCGGGAGTCTTCCCCGAGTGAAGTGTACTGAAACAGCTCTTCTCTTGGCATCTAGACTGCAAGAAGAGTGTGTAGCATTTATGGTGGCACATTTCCCCGACGTAATACAAAGCGAGAGCTTTTTTGCCCTGCTACAGGTAAAAATCTATCTGATTGATGCCAATGTTATAGCAAACGATACCATAGGCTGGGATTAGTTGTCACTAGAAACTGGGCTTTCGAAGCAGTGAACGATCTCTCCACCCGCCGAGATAAAGTGGCTGCAGCTGCTTGGTTATTTTTTAGGACGGGTTGCAATGCTACAGTCTTATATGCACTTTACCTGGTAGTACATCCCACTGAACTTAGTGGGGTTTGCTTCTGAGTAGAGATAGGGTTGTGATGTTAGGCACCCTTCTATTTCAGCGGGCTTGTGAACTTTCAGTTAGTGTAGGGATCACCAGTCTAGTGCCTGAGGACGCACATGTGCCCCAGGAACCCCTTCCCCATTGCAGTTAGTCTTGAAAGGGGCATTCTGATATAGCCAGCAGAACAGGTTGTGGGGTGTTATGGGTTGTGCGGGGTGGGCTTGGACAACAGCTTATCTGATTTGTGGATGTGCCTCCTCTGGCCCCAGAGAAATTGGTAACCCCTGGGTTATGGAATAAGTTGTTGAAATTTAAGTTGGTGACTGTTCTCGTCTTGAATTGTTGGTTTTGTTTTGTTTTCTGCACAGTCGTACCTTGGTTGTTGAACGCCTTGGTGCTCGGACGTTTTGGCTCCCAAAACGCCACAAACCAGGAAGTGAGTGTTCCGGTTTGTGAACGTTCTTGGGAACCCGAATATTCGACACGGCTTCAACGGCTTCCGATCGGCTGCAGAAGCCGCGCTTTGGTTTCTGAACATTTTGGAAGTCAAATCGACTTCCGGAACAGATTCCATTCGACTTCCGAGATACGACTGTATTTAATACTTTATTATTATTTTGTTATTTATTAAATTTGTATACTGCCCTATAACTGTAGGGCGGCTGACAACACAAAGTTACAATGTAGGAAGTGCAAAAGACATAATAAAAATAAATAAAACATAACAAAAGCAATCAAGACAATACACTCTCCAACAAAAGCCTCTAAACTTTCCAGCCCACAAACACAAAAATCCAAAGTAACATATAAAATTTAACAACAATTTAAAGCAGCACCCACCCAAGTTAGAACCCCATCGCTGTTAAAACAATAATTTTATCACTTGTAAGCCATTGTGCTAAGCAAATATGGCTCTACTTTAAATCAGATAACGGTGTTTGGGAGCTGCCTGGTTGGTGTTGACTTAGAACTTGTTCTCGTATTCAGTGTGTTATACGTATTTCCTTATGTTTTTCCTGTAATGAACCAACAATCTTGGTTAAAAAGTCAACCTGTCTCTGGACTTGGTGTTCACCTTGCACCTAAACCTCCTATACAAGCTACAAAGCGTTTTGAGTTCATTGGCAGTGGCAAAAAAAAATGAAAGAAGCACAAATACCTGAGCTTGCATTTACACAAAATGAGATTGAAACAACCAGTTTCCCTGACATTCTCTTTGTTTACCCAAGTTTTCCTGGGCTCTGGCTCTTAATTGTTTTTTATTTTCTACACTGCTCAGTTATATTTGTGAGCATTTTGTTTTTCTCTTTTTTAAAAAATCTTACTGTCTTTTCTGTTCATGTCTCTATGCAAACTGCTTAGATTTTTATTGTATTAAAATGTTATCAATAAATAGATGTGGACATACCAACACTAGCCCCTGTATCTTCAGGACTTTTGTCCATGCTAGTTCTTCATGCAGACATCATTTTTACACACCTGGATATAAATGGCATTGTTACCTGCTTGAGATTCTCGAGGGCATTTTGCTGGCCACTGTTTGAGATAGTATTAGATTTCCGCCCCCCCTTCCATCATGGAGATGGGGAAGTGTGACAAAATATAGCCTAAATGACCAATCTAAGATCTGCCACCAAAATGCATTCTCTCTCTCTCTCTCAATTTCAACTGACTGCTTCTATAATGTCTTCTAGTCTCAGGCCATGAGCAGTGAACCTGACCTCCTTGATCAAGTGTTTGAAGCAGTTGAGAAGGGTGTTGGCACTGAAAACAGTTGCAGTCTTCTTACAGCCATGGACACTTTGCTAAATTCTGCAAAAGTGAAGGACACGGTAGGTCTTACAAAAATTTCAAAGGGAAAAATATTCTGCTGTTGAAATCTGGCTAATGAATTAACTTCCTAAAATATTTACACTTTGTGCTCATCCTTGGCTCAAGTGACTTGCTATAAGTAGAACCTGCAACAAAACATTGCTTATGCTGTGTGCTCCTTTCGGGGTTCGTGCCGCCCATCCTCTCTTCTGTTAATATGCTTATTCAGTTTCTCGCTTCCTTTCCATTTTTCCTCCAATAGGAGCACCAAATGCACCCGGTACTCACCAGGCTGTTTTCTAAAGTTTTGTTTTTGCCCTTCTGCAAACCGTGGCCCCAATCCCCCAAGCCTGCTAACAACTCCCTCTTATGTGTTAATGCTGTTTTAGTCTGCTTAAGAATTGGCACTCCAGGAACCGGTTTGCTGCTAGTACATAGGATGGGAGCTCTGTGTACATGCTTCTTTCCCTCAGCCCCTTTTCTGTTCTGGCACAACAGTATGTAAGCATGTCCTTGTAAGTCTTGGATGAAATCAGTGGTTCTGCGATCTTAAGGAAGCTCGCTTGCGAGTCATTCTTCCTGTGCTGTTCCTCTGCAAAATGGGTCTAGTTCATTCAAAGGTGCTGCAGTGAAAAATGTGCTGCATTATGAGGCTGCAGGTACAGAGTGGCTTGGTGCTTTCCACCTCTGTAGCTGCCAGTCTGCTCAAACGCTGTTTCGGGGGTTCCTTAACTTTCAATATAGGCTTCCTCTTTTATTTAGAGAAACATGAGTGGTTGTATTAGATATTTGGAGGCAGGGGAGCCTGAAAAGTTCACATATACATGGGGGACATTCTATGTATCTTTCTGAATCGCAGCCCATGTCTTTGAGTTGGAGCAAGCAGCAAGGTAATGGCTGTGTAATTTGAATGGACAATTAAGTTATCACAATACCCAAATTTAGAAGATGAGGTCTTGTGGTGGTGGTGGTTTGGTTTGGGGTTGTTTTCCAACTTGGAGTCTGAAGTATCACTCTTACGTTGGGATGGGGAATCACTCTTTAGCATTTCTGTTGAAGAGGTATGTACAGTAGCTGCTTGAGTAGCATCCTTAATCTTACTAGCTTCATGTTGTGTTCCTTGGCAAATGGATTAGTATAGTTTCTTTCCCCCTTGTTTTCAGGAAAATGAATGACTCGTAGAAGCTTGGGAAATCCCAAAATTCAGAATTGCTTATGTCTTACTGATCCTGGGGTACATCAGTGCATGTTCACTTAAACCAGCCTTTCTCAACCTTTGGATCCCCAGATGTTGTTGAACTACAACTCCCATCACCCCTAGCTAGCAAGGCCAGAGATCAGGGATGATGGGAGTTGTAGTCCAACAACATCTGGGGACCCACAGGTTGAGAACCACTGACTTAAACTTTATATCCCCTCACATTTTAATGTTTAGCACTACAAATATATTAGTTGCAACCAAATCATCCTTTAGATTCAGTGCCTATTCAGCTCAGGGTTCAGAGTTGAACATTTTTTTGTTGAACGATCTCTAGTTGAACAGGGCTGGGGAAAATATCTATGTAAGATACTAGAGAGCTGGATTTGAAACTCACAGCCAGGCCAAATTGAAAGCAGCCGTTTAGATGGACAATTGACCTGACTTGGCAAGAAGTAGCTTCCTTTTATTAAAATATGTTCCTTATCCCTGAGAGCCTACAGGGATCAGCAGCAGAAAATAAAGTATCCAGTTACTTGGTTATTAATTTATTTGTCGCTGGTTCACACAAACCTTGACTTAGTATGAATCTGTGGGCTCCCAGAGAAGAGAAAGCAGTTTCTTTGCTCCTCCCCAGTCATATTTGTTGCCATTGGCTGTCCAAACCTGGATTTGTGGTTAAGCTCTCTCCAGACCTAACCACAAAAAACCTGTCAGTTTGGAGAGAGTTTTAACCACAAGCCCAGGTTCAGACAACACACTAAACCAAACCTTGGCTTTGTAGTAGCAAAAAACTCCCCCAGTGAGGAGTAAAGCAAATGCAAGCTTTTCTCCAGGAGCCCGTGTGTTCATGCTAAACTGCTTCTCCCAATACGATCTGAACTGGACCCTGCAATTGTCATAGGAGGCCCTTCTTTGTGTGCCTCCTCCACGAGACGTTTGGAGGGTGGCAGCATGAGAACGGGCCTTCTCTGCAGTGGCTCCCTCAGTTTGTGGGCTGCTCTCCCCACTGAGGTTTGCCTCACATCATCATCATCATCATATCTTTAGGCGCCAGGCAAATACATTCCTCTATAACCAGGCCTTTGGTCTTTTAACTATCTGTGGCCTTTTAGATGTGGGCAGGGTGTTTTGAATGTATTTTTTCCTCTTAGTTTTAATGTATCTATGTGGAGCTGGGATTGTCTGTCTGTGTGGTTGCTTGCAAGTAGCTTCTGGTTGTCCTGGGCAAGATAAAGCGACTGGAAAATTTAATAAATTAAATAATAGAGCTAAAAACAAGGTGTGGCTTGCTGGGATATATAAACCAGTCCACTGTATACTTAGGACTGGATGAATGCATTCGACATTTAAAGAGACCATCTTATGCTAGTGAAGGCAAAGGTTATTCATATATTTCTTTGGAATATATATATATTTTAAAGATTTTACAAGTATTTGATGAGACTACCGTGTTTTTGTGTAAAACACAATTGTAATTCTAAAAATGAATTTTAGCAATGTCCTGGATGTTGCCCGTTGAGCTGCCAGGGTTTAAAATCTGACATGATGAGCTCTTGTAAACAGAAACCACATAGATTATTCTGTATGATTGCAATCCTCGTCTATTGTTGACTTACTCAGCAAGGGTGATGAAAATTTAATCAGATGCATTATTGGCCCCCAGAGGATTTGACCTTGTAGTGACATAGCCGAGAGTAAAAAAGCTATGAAGGGATTCATTTGTGGTGGGAAAAAAAAGAAAAAAGGGAGGGGGCTATATTTTTTAATGAGCTACAGCTTTTGTGGGAGTGGCTTGGTTTCAAGCTGTGCAAAATTATGGTGCAGGACAATTGGCCTTTGCAAAACCGCGTATGCATCTCTTCGGCAATCATAAAATCTAAGTGATGACATCATTGATCTTGCTTAAAGAGTAAGTAGATTCTGCAAAGGAATAATGACTGGTTGCTATGACAATGTGGCTCTTTCCAGCTGCTGATTTTCTTACTTGGAACGCAGGGGTTTACGTGCAGGATCCAGACTCTGCGTGATAAGCTGTGGATCTTCCTGGTTCAGTCGTTTTATGCTGTTCGTCACACACAGAGCTGGAAGCTGCTGAAGGCAGACGATCAACAGAACATACAAGCAGGTAGGCGAGCTGTCGAGAGCTTAGCACGTTGCGTAACAGCTGTGCCCTTATTAAAGAAATGAGAGGAGCTGGCAATTAATGATAGCTGGGAGAATATGTTGATGAGCCTTCTGCTCTCAAATAGCGCATAATAATTTAACAAAAACGCTCCAAATATCCTGCTCTGCCAGCTTCAAGCATGGAAGCCAAGTGATTGTATGTCCCTATTGTGAACGACGCCGCTTGCATGTTATTACTGCAGATATGTGGAATCAAATAAATAGGTAGGCTGTCTTTTGTTTGTACTTAGAATATTGAAAAATGGGATTTATTTTAAGCACGTGGGCAGGGTAGAAAGAATTCTATACCAAGCTGATGGCTGGTTTAGTACATGTAGCAGATGGAGGGTTTTAGTTTGCATTCCATACCATGGAAAGCTTTAATTTTGCCTAATAACAGATCCTGCTTACGGTCAACCTCACAATTGATATGGTGCTGTTGTTGCTGCAGAAGAATCTTCACGGAAGCTTCATAGCGGCCGCTGAAATGTAAGCAGCAGAATTTGAGCCTTTAAACAAAAGGAGTCTTGCTGTGGCTCCTTTGCCTCCCCTTTGTTTTCAAATGTATGGAACAAAATCTTGCAGATGAGGTACCTGAAAATGGCTTCAGGGCAATGCTTCTGTATTTGTGCTGTGGTCATGTAGTTTCTTTAATCAGGAAAGCAAGCTACATATTCAGGATTACAGCATTTTGCAAAGCAGTTGGGTGGCAATAAACGAATGTTTGAAAAACAGCAATACCTCCTTGCTTGTATTAAGAACAATCTGGATAAGCTAAATTGTGGGGTGTTATTTAAAGGCTGTAACTTCTGCTCCCCCCCCCTTCGTTTCCTGATTATCAGTGGCTCAAAGTCGTGTTGGGAATAGAATTGGTTTTGGAGAGTCAGACTCCATCATTCTAAAAAGTGCTTTATAGTGTAAAAGTACTAGGTTCTATAGATGTGAGACAGTAACCAACCCTGTGTTTGCGAAGTTAGTGTTGTGCCTTCAGCCACTAATGTGGTTTTGTGCTTTCAAATAATCTGCAGCATTCATTCTTGCATTTTAATTATAATATCCTAAAAACAGAAATATGTCATTATTTGCAATTGTATGTATTTGTATAAGCAGAAACTGGACATATTTTCCTTTGGCAGCTATTGGAATGTTCACATGAACTTTCAGAGAAGCATATAATTTCATTTAGGGATTGCAGGAGACTGCAGGGTTTTGTTTTGTGTTTTTAATGGCAGTAATAATAGGCTAAGAAATAGAGATAAGCTCTTCAGTTTATGGGTTTCCAATGGAACAACTCGTATTTGTACTGATGTGTTACGATATGTGTGTACACACACACACACACACACACATATATATATATATATATATATATATATATATATATATATGATAGAGGCATCCCTAAAAATAAACCTCATTATGCCATTTTCAGCCTCATGGCTTTCCTTCTAGAACAGAGGTTCACCGAGGAACTAAATGAACAAGGGTGTTTTTTGGGTGGTAAAATTTACTCTTACATGCATATTTTATGAAAGCAATAATATGTATCTAGTGCAGTCATTTTTAGAGTGGATGGAGTGAAATGCTTTACAGAATCCAGGCACATAAATCTTGCTCCCTGGCAAAGGCTACTCTGAACCAAGTGCACTTCCTCTCATGTTTGCATCTGTCTAGTGTAGGTTACGTAAGCACTGCAGAAATCTCACATCTGGGAGCTTCAGCGAAGCATGCTCTATTTGGAAACTTCATATATGATGAGCTATGTCGCCAGGCCAAAAAGGCTTGTGTGATCACCTCAGAATAACCAAAACATAGCTTTGCTTACAGAGGAAATACAGATTCACAGTAATTGTTCAAAACTACAGAAGTGAGATAACAAGGAGGCACTTGTGTGTTAAAGGAATGTCATGGCCTACAATAAAGTTGCCTACAGCTGCAAATAAACCAACTCGTTCGTCAGAATAATTTGTGGCTCCATTCTTTTCAAAAATGGAACAAATATACAATTTAAGGGATCCTTTCTAGAACCTGCATATTTTCCTTCACTCTGCACTTCAGGTCAAAAACTGCTATCATTTCTTAATTACTTGTGGTCTAAAATGTGACTCCTTTCTCAAATGCTGTCCTGTTTTACGTAAAGGTTATTTTCCCTGAAGCTTCATTCCTTTTCTCCAGTATTTCTTTCTAAAGAAAGATATTCTTTTCTTATACAGCTGCTTTTGATAAAGGCGATGATAGAAGACCTACCAAAAAGCCCGTATTCACTAGTTCTCAGGTAAAACTACTACAACAAAAAATACCACAAGCTAGTAGTGTGTTAGCCAACTTCATTTCCTTGTAATTTTGACTGAGCTAATATACACCTATGATCATCTTGACACTATATTTTTTTGTTTCTTTGGGTGGGGAGAGGGCAGGGTAAGTGAACTTTCCCATTGAAGGAAGAGGTTGTTTTAGGAATAGTCAATACTCTCAACCCCAAAAGAAGCAGTTTGCATTCTATTTCTCCTTGTAGGCATCTCTGAAATGCTTTTTAAAAAATAAAAGCATATTTTTTCCATGTTGCAACACAAATAGTGTCCTACCTAGTGAATGGAGCTATTCAGTTTATTCATCCCATCAAATAAATACCCAGTGGACCTCCATATTTGGAGAGATTTTTGTGAGAGATTCCAACCCTAAATAAGGGGGTGGTGATGCATACAGTCGTACCTTGGTTTTCGAACAGCTTAGTTCATGAACAACTTGGAACTCGAACGTCGCAAACCCGGAAGTAAGCGTTCTGGTTTGCGAACTTTGCCTCGGAAGTTGAACGTCCGGTGAGGCTTCTGCAGCTTCCGATTGGCTGCAAGGCGCTCCTGCAGCCAATTGGAAGCCGAACCTTGGTTTCTGAATGTTTCGGAAGTACTGGACTTCATTTACAGGTACATTTAGAATCTGCAAAACTAGAATCCTAGAAAAATGCCCGTGCCAGGAGTGGGGGAAGGATGGACTTCCATTTCAAGGACTCTTTGAAGATGCATTGCATCTCTGTGTTCTGTACATGGAACATCAGGCCTTCCAGTGTCTTCAGGGGAAGACTTACTTTAGTCTTCAATGGTGTTCCTAGAGTTTTACTTTTACTTGCCTGAAGGAATGTTTCCAGTTATTTTTATATATGGAAAAGCAAAAGATAAACTGTATGCTCCAGAAGAATTATGATGTGAAGTGCTTTCTAGTCTCTGGTGACCCCATCCACTGAGAATGAAGCCTGTTCAAATATGTTCACCTCTGGCCCAAGTGCTGAGAAGTGACTTTTATATAAATTACGGCACAATTTTATGCATATCTCAGAAGTCCGTCCCACCATATCCGATGGAGCTTTCTCCTTAGGAAGCAAGCATGCCAGCTTGCCCCTGCAGTTGAGGGGGCTGGCGCAGTGACGTCAGCATGCCATGTGACATCGCGCAATGTGTTGACATGTTGCAGGCATGCCGTGTGGTGTGCCGCACGAGTTGTGCGATTAAGGTGAGCGTGTTGTGCGGCGTTTGTGTGCAGCCACTGGAATTTTGAGGGGCCCTGGCCCCCTCCTTGAAAATTTGGGGGGCCCTTACGCAACCTTAGATGTTTAAACTAGCTGTTGTTTCTAAACCTCCGAAATGGAGATAAGAACGTTTTCTTCAAGTGTGGTTAGTTAAGACTCATGCTGAACTAAATAGCTAAGTTTTCAGAGTAAGTAACTGTGACTCTCCTACTGTTTTCCTTTCTTTTCTGAATTATCATATTTTTCTCCTCCCAGTTAAACAGATGCACTACTGACAGTTCTGGTCTAAAGCATCCTGCTTTGAAAGCATACAGAAAGCAAAACAGTTGGGGTGGTTCCTGCACTAATCAGGATAAAATGAAATCTGATGGATTAGGAGCATCTGGGCACACATCGGCTACCAACAGGAACGGCACTAATAAGGCTTTGAAACATGACGATTTAAAGGGGAAAGACAACAAAAAAGCCGTTTGCAAGATGATGAAAGAGTCCAAAATGGGGGAGAAAACGCCTTCGCCCAAGGCTAGAGCTGTTATAAAGCCCAAAACTGAAAATAATGGAAATGCTAAGGCCGAAAGCTTGCTTACCAAACAGGATTCCGAACGGTCTTTATCCGCTAGCGGACACAAAAATGTGGGAAGTGGCAAAGCCTCAAAAAATCAAGAAGGTAAAACTGCAGGTGCTAGACCCAAAGTACTCCCTGGAAGCTCAAGTGTACAGATTAAAGCAAAACCTTTGAAGAAGACCAGTGGAAAGGAATCTCCCTCTCTTATGGGCACAGAAACTCTAAGCAAGTCCACTAACTCCAGCACAGATCTACGGATGTCCATTGAACAGCTCGATGAACTGAAAGAGGAAAAATTAACAGATGAAGGCAAAAAGCACTCAGGTAATAGAGATTCCCTTTGGACCTGCCTCACAGATCGTTCACTGCAAAACAGGGGAAAAAATATGTTAAAAAATCACTTCTAAGTGGATTGTGATTTTTTTTATTTGATTTTTATAATTTAATGTTTTGATTGTAGAAAGGAAATTTAGATTGGTAAAATATGGACAGATACATAGCTAATCCTTTGAAAAATCTTCACAGAATTTTGAACAGCTGTTTGAAGATGAGGGTAAAATATATTTATTCCTTTGAGTATTTTTTTACTTTACATCTAATACATTTCATTTAGCTGCCATTACCTGGGGATGTCAGCTAAATTTGCAATCATAAGCTTAGGTTATTTGAATAGGAAGCATTTGGAGCAACTGTGGATAATCAAGGTTCATCTTTTGGGGAGGAAGTGGTTGAAGCTAAAAGAGTGTACAGTGGTGCCCCGCAAGACGAATGCCTCGCAAGACGAAAAACCCGCTAGATGAAAGGGTTTTCCGTTTTTCGATGCGCTTCGCAAGACGAATTTCCCTATGGGCTTGCTTCACAAAACGAAAAAGTCTTGCGAATCTTGCGATTTTTTTCGCTCCCCCCCCTTTTTCTAAGCTGCTAAGCCGCTAATAGCCTTTAAGCCACTAAGCCTTTAATAGCTGCTAAACCGCTAATAGCGCTAATCCGCTAAGCCTCTAATAGGGTTGCTTCGCAAGACGAAAAAACCGCTAGACGAAGAGACTCGCGGAACGGATTAATTTCGTCTTGCGAGGCACCACTGTATTTAAACCATGAGATTTGAACTTTCCAGCAGATGCTCATTACATGGGTCTCTTTACTGTCTAATTCTATTTTTATTTTATCATACAGCTTTGAAAACAAAGCCTGCTTCGAAGATGTCTAATGGAGCTCCTGCTAAAAAACATGTTAATGATCTTGAGGCTAATGGTTCCATGAACAGGTCTGTTGGAAGTTGGGCTACTAGTTTTTCCATATTAATAGGATTTTATTTCCCTGTTGAAAATGAGGTTCATCAAGACAAAACATTCTAAAACTTGTGTGTTTGTTCCAGGTTGTGTATTCTGGTTTATATTTGGATGAAGCAAGAAATTATAATTATTTTTGTTATATTCTCAGGACTTCGCATCATCCAACCATTTCTTTCTGGCACCATTCCCATGCTTGCCACAAAATTCTGCTTCCCAGATTCCTTAGAGAATTCAAGAGGACTATGGGGAGAGAGTGCTCTCACATTTGGGGAAGTTTTTTTAATTAAAAAAATGTGTTTTTCTTATTGCTTGTTACACTCTCCCTACCTTAACACTGATAAGCTCTCACCCTCTCCTATGAGTCCTCAACATGTGCCAGAGGAGTGGGATTGGGGGCAACAGCCAGAATTTGTGAACCCCAGAATTCTATAGAGTTTTGTTTCATTGCTGCTTTATACCTCAACCCCTCCCTAAAGATCATTTGAGACTCTCCATTTTGCAACTGTAAAATAATAACAGGATTCTGAGCTCTCTCAGTAATGGAGAGACAAGCTATATAGTCAACAAGAGATGTTGTTGCTTGTTAACATCCTATTTTCTCCCTTTTTAATCTACTATGACTTTTTTTTCTTAGAGGCATTTTGTGCTTTTTCACATAGAAACGCATGTAGGGCATGCAGATGCTTCAGTATCATGTTAACCTTCTAGATCTTTAATCTTACAAATAATTCAAGCAGCGTGTTTCTGTTTTCAGTGTAAAGAAATGCACTGGAAAGGGCAACAACGAACCCCTACCGCAGGCAGTTTTGAAGAAAAGGGGAAATGAATCTGGCAACTCTACCATGCAACAGAAGACAAAAAACGTAGCTAACACTGTGAAAAATCAAGGTAAAGATTTGTCCTGTACGTGTAATGCTGACTTTGTATAAACCATTTCCAAACTGGGAATCTTTGTCAGAGATGCATGTGGTTAGATGACTAAACTGCAAAGCTAGGCACCCTTTCTTGGAGTAAGCGCCATTGAATTATACAGGTGTAACTTTCAAGGAACCATGCATTGTATTGAAGTGTAAGTAAAACTCAGATCCATTTGGGGGCATTCATAGGAGTGCTGCTCATCACTAATTTGCAGGGGCCATCTAATTAAGTTACAATGCCATACCTTCTTTTAGTGGTATGTGAGAAATCAATTTATAGTTTTCAAAACTAACCATGTGGCTAGTGTAATTACAGATCTCAAATATAGTGTAATAAATGCAGTCATAATACTGCAAAGACTTCTTTCCCTTTTAACGTAATTAATGATGGCAGTGTTCTAAGTTTTAGCCTAGTGATTGCTAGCTCTTGCCTGTTCCACAGTATGGTTCTGGTTAGTAGTGATGATGCTTCCACAAAGGACAACTTTAATCTTCTGTTCATTTTTGGTCTATTTGTGTTTGAGTGTCCTTTTGAAGTTCTTTTTGTATGGAAAGTCCTGACACAGTTGACATTCACTGCTCCTTCATATAATACACTCTGCAAATTGGAATGTAGCGTAACCTTTAGATTTTTGTTTCGGTAGGTCCACCAGGAGAGACCCCAAATCTACTGAAGCCTGGACTTTCTCCTAAGCAAAATGAAGAAAAAAACATGACCCAATATCTAACTCAATCAGAGAAGCAACCTTCATCAAAGAAAAAGTCTAAATCTCCACAGACAGCTTCAGTTAAAGCCACAGCAAAAATAATAATAACATCCAAAACCCAAAACCATTCAAAGAAGAGTGAAATGGTGAACAATAAAGACCAAAAACAGAAAATAGTTACAGGGCAACCTGCTCCAAAGCTTTCTTCTTCAAGCCAGAAGCATTCCAGAAGTGAATCACCAGTTCAGAAGAATTTACATGCAGAAGGGCAAAAAAATTCAACTTCGTTGGGAACTCAGTTACATAGCAGTAACAAATCTAGCCCTGGGAAGAAGAACAACAGCAGAACATCTTTGCTTGAGATAGATAAGAGGCACATACCTGATTCAGAAAAAGTGACCCCTCTTGAAGAGAGAGACACGAAAGGAAATTTGGAACATCATTGTGTTGCAGAGCTGAAAACTGAAAAGATAGCAAAACAGGTTCATAAGAATGAAGATGATAAATCACTTGTAAACAAAACAACTGTACAAGAATTGCAGCATGTCCGAGAAGAGAAGGGTGTGACTTGTGCAAATGTTAGCCAGAATCCTGCAATTTTAGCTTCTAAAGAATTGAAGTGCAAAATACTTCCTGATTCTGTTGCCTACCAGAATCTCTTGGAACATACAGGAGAGAACCTTTTAACACAAGTAACATCGGTCGGTTGCAAATCTAATGATACCTCAAAGGATGTTAACTATCTTGAAGATCCATTGCACAGCTTGTCTGAAACAGCCAATGACAGCTCTAACTCTGAACATGAGGGGAGGAAATCTTCTAAGGTCTGTATAATGGGTTCTGAAAGCGCCGATGAATTCTCTGATAAATCTGTCTTGACTGAATCCCAATCGGCTACCGTGGAATCAGATGCTGCTTCAAAATCTTTTGTAGAGCATGTTGCAGAAAAATGCTCATCTAAAGACACCGATACCACAGAGACCCCAGAGAGCCATGAGAACTCAGAGGCCCCCTTTGCAGATCATTGGAATCTGAGTTCCAGCGCACTTGATCCAAAAGAAAGCCCTGAATCGGACACTGGCAGTGCAACGACATCATCCGACGATATAAAGCCAAGATCGGAAGACTATGATGCAGGAGGATCTCAGGATGACGAGGGGTCAAATGAAAGAGGGATTTCAAAGTGCAGCACTATGATATGCCATGATTTCCTTGGCAGAAGCAGCAGTGATACAAGTACACCCGAAGAACTCAAAATCTATGACACAAGTCTGAGGATAGAAGTGAAAATGAAAAAGGAAAACTCTGATCTCTTCCGTGTTATTTCAACAAGTGATGATGAGATCCCTAGAAAAAGGCCTGAAACGTGGCTGCACCAAGGTGATGAGAAAAGGGGTGGTTCCAGGGGGAATAATGCTAATTTTGCCGCTGCACAGTTTCCTCAAGAAGCTGATCAGGTCTCCTCTTCGGCTGATGAAACGGAAGATGAAAAGTCTGAAACGGAAAACGTCATAGAAAACCTGCCTCCACCAGAAATCCCTGTTCAGCAGTTCCATGGAATTGTGAATCTCGCATTTGAAGATGCAGCAGAAAATGATACTGAAAGTCAAGAATTCCCTGCCACCAAAAACTTTAAGCGTTCAGTATTGCTTTCAGTGGATGAATGTGAAGAATTGGGATCTGACGATGGTGGAGAGGTCCACACCTCCCTCCAGCGTTCTCTGGATGCTGCAACGCCTTCTGATGTGTTTGATGGCATTTCCCATGAGGATCATGGCAAGACATTTTATTCAAGATACTCCTTGGAGATAGAAGACGGATTCCTGGAGTGTAAGGAGAATGATGAGGAAAGGTTAGAGAAAAGTGAGAATGCTTCTGTAGACCCTTGTGGCAATGAGCAAAAACCCAAGGAGAAGAGTACTCCAGTTATGGAACAGAAGCCTGCCGAGAAAGATTTGATTGTGAGACATAGTCCGTCTCCTGCAGAAGTTAAGGAAAACGCCAAGAGTGAAGAGAACAATGAATTTCAGTGTAATAAAGTCTCAGACAATGACACAAAATCTCAAGGAAGACCATGTCACCTGGATCTTCATCAAAGAGATAATACTGAGTTACAAAAGAACAATTCTGCAAAACCTGTAGACCCAAGTAGGAGTCATATACTGATTCAGGAAGGCCACGTGAAAGAGATTGATTCAGCATCTACTGAATACGCTAACTCTGCTTTATCCGCAGGTAACGTACAGAAATAAAAGCATTAAGTTCCTCAAGATATTACGTATTAGTGGAATATTAGATTTATAGTTGGGTTTGAGACACTAACTCTAGCAAATACCTTTAGAAATTTTATCCAAACTGTTATAGAATTAAATGCTTATGTTTCAAACAAAATCTTAAGTTGCATACCATATTCTCGACCATAATAGAATATGTATGACGCTGTCCAGTGGGCAGTTGGGAATATTTATCATGGGCAAAGCAGAGAGTGGGATGCTGTTCCCTGCTCTTGAGTTCATTTTTGACCCAATAGAACATAGGCAGTATCATCTTTTAATGGAAACTTGGCTATCCATTGGTTCAGCAGCCTATATGATTCACGTAAATATATATCTATATCTATATATATCTATATCAAAGTGGGATGTGCAATAAGTGCATTAATCTTCTCAATTAAAAGTGCTCTGCGTATTTGCCTTTTAAGAGCTATATTCATTATTGTTTCTGTCTTGCACAGAGCTAGGGTCTCCTCTTAAGCTGCTGTTGGATTCAGTGGAACCCTTGCCATTGGCTTCAGCAGAAGCTGGCCTATACTCTTAAGATACTTTTTCAGAATTATTGTAGTTCTAAGTTTTGCCAGTGAAAAAATAATTTCTTTTTAAAAAGAGAAAGGTCAGCTTTAAAACAAACAGTTAATATTTTAAACATATGCTTGCTTCACACGGTTAGGTAACTTCTTGTCTAGTTTTGTGTCTTCCTTAAAACAGGGATTCAACTCGGTACCCCCAAAGTACAACACAGAGAACCTGAATCTTTCAAACTTCTGTGTATTTAAGAGTTATAAACTGATGATTTGTGTTCTGAAGAACCATACGAATGGATGACTTATCAAGCTGTACTTCTTTTTGTTTGCTTGTCCTTGCTTGCAGCTGCCCTTTGCATGTGCAATACTTAAATATTAAGCCTGTGAATAAACCATTTGTTTTCGCCCCTTTGAGGTTGACTTGGCTTAAGTCACTGTTTGGTGATCATGTCCTTCCTTTCGTTTTCCCCTCCCTCGCTCTGCTCCTTCCTATTTTAAGTTATTATTTTAGTGGTTTTAGAAATCCATGTGCATTAAATGTTGGTTTACATGACTTGTCATTTTCTGTATCAGAAATTTTTTCCAATTATGGAGGTTTATTGTCAATTGCCAGTGGTGATTGCTGCTTTATTTATAAGCCGTACTTCGTTTCATTTACTTTTTTAAATGCATTTTTAAAAATGGCTCAAATATTTGTGGACTTTGTATACAAGTTACATTTTTCCTTACCTCTTTAATCTGGTTGGATTGGTCCTGATGCATTGAGTGAAGTATGCTGTACAAAAGCCCTGCGAAAGGGGAAAGCCTGTGCAATTTTTACAATGTGTAGTATTGTGAATTATTTCAGGAGACATAGATGATTGTGACAGATTGACACAAACCTGCATGTATGAGCATCGGCCTCCAAAAACCCTTTCTCCAATTTACGAGATGGATGTTGGAGAAGCTTTTGAGCAGAGGATGGAGTCGGAACTGAACATTCTAGATGTGGATTTTGAAGATCAGCCGTTTGCAGAACAGGACTGGACTCTTCTCAGGCAACTGTTATCTGACCAGGAGTCAAACTTAGACATCAAAAACTCTGTTCCTGAAGACCTTAACTTAGCACAATATCTCATCAACCAGACACTTTTTCTGGCACGAGACAGTTCACAACCTCAGGGTAAAGCACAGATTGACACTTTCAGTAGGTGGACTGAACTGATATCTCCACTGGATGATTCTTCAGCAAGCATCACAGTGGCAAGTTTTTCCTCTGAAGATTGTTCTTCCCCTCAAGGGGAATGGACAATTCTTGAACTAGAAACCCATCATTGAAGTGATCAAGTGTTTTGAGACAGGACTCCTCCCCTCTTCTTTTCCCTGTACCTCTGCAAGTAAATAGGTGATGCAATATTTCTATACAATAATAAATACTGCATCCGTCAAGAAGAGTCAGTCCTTGATATTGAAATGATCCTTTCTTTAAGTGGTCCGTTTCTAATTTAAGATTTAAACACAGGTAAAATAAACTTTTGAGATTTAAGGTGGATGTTTTCTAAAAACTATTTTCAAGCATGTCTTCTTTTCTTTCTCTTCCTAGACTTAGGAAATTAGATGCCCTGTAAGAAAATGCTTTGACTTACTCTCTCCTTTTTTCATTCATCACTTACTCATACATTTCTAAATGCTCAATGAATTAAAATATGAATGCAGAATAAGTATTGCTATCCTTTCTTCTTCCATTGCTCTCCATACATAGTGACTTGGTGACTTCTTCAAAGATAAGCGATTCACAGTGATTACATCAAAAGATGTGTGCCAACAGTACTTTCAATTCTAGAAATGTGTGTTTGGATTTGCAGGAAATAATAATAATAATGCAACTGTTTCTGAATTTATTTATAAACAGCAGCATGTTTGGGTTGTTTTCTCCAGGTTGATTTTTTGTACCTTTTTTGTTTTTGAAAATTCAATAAATTTCTAAATTGTTTAAATCTAAGATTGCACAGGAGTTACTGGAAGGGATACATAGTGTTCTTTTTCTAGGAAGAAATAAATGTTTACAGTGTTGTTAAATTGAAGGGGGGGGAACCTCATGAATTATTTATAGAAAATCTAATACAGTTAACAGGTTTTTTTCTTTTAAGATGGTATTTAATAGCATGAGACAAGTGAAATATAATGAAGTAGTTTGCTCATTTGAAATTTCAAATGTATTTGGATTCCTTAGAGTGTATTCGGTAGCACACTTCCCTTATCAAATGACACTTTTAAAGGATTGGTATTCATATTTTTTGATCCAGAGCCTTTTTCCCAGTTACAGCTTATTATCTCGGGGGGCGGGGGGAGCGATCTGGCTAATAGTGCAGAAACAGTGAAACACAATATTATCTATATGTGGTTTTCTGATTTCCTCTTCAATATGCATCCTATTTACTCTGTGACAAGAGAAAATTGGAATCCACTTCATAGGGAGTTCTTACCATCCAAGTTCCAATGTAGATGGAACACTCAGATACTGATTTTTGTGTTCTATGATGCTCACTTAAATAAACTTAAGATGGATGGACCTTTTTGCTGTGAAGTAATTGGGCAAGATTTACCTGTCAGTGGAAGCCCTGCACAAAGACTTCTGTTTGCCCTGCCCCGCATGCTCTCCTGACCTTTGCTTTGGTGGGATGGAGAACCCATAGTACATCACATGAGGGAAGGAGAGGGGAGATCCGGCAGGCTGTAGTGCTTGTGCAGTTGTAGCATTTGTCATAGCGCAAAGTTGAGTTCCACCCATTTTATTTTAGTAACGCATGTGGAAATGCAGATTTTGAAGGATTCATGATTTCATTCTTCCTTCTCTGCCTATACTTAAAGGTAAAGGAACCTCTGACCATTAGGTCCAGTCATGGCCAACTCTGGGGTTGCGGCGCTCATCTCGCTTTATTGGCTGAGGGAGCCGGCGTACAGCTTCCGGGTCATGTGGCCAGCATGACTAAGCCGCTTCTGGCGAACCAGAGCAGCGCACGGAAACACCGTTTAACTTCCCGCCGGAGCGGTACCTATTTATCTACTTGCACTTGACGTGCTTTTGAACTGTTAGGTTGGCAGGAGCAGGGACTGAGCAACGGGAGCTCACCCCGTTGCGGGGACTCGAACCGCCGACCTTCTGATCAGCAAGTCCTAGGCTCTGTGGTTTAACCCACAGCGCCACCCGCGTCCCACTGCCTATACTTAATAAATTTAAAAAGTAATTAAGATACTTGCATAGTGCAGTTCCACTAAGAAAAATTCCCAGCTTTCAATGAAAATACATGAAAACATTAAAGGAAAACACCTAAATATCACACACACGTGCCAGAAATTAAAAATTGTAGAAACTGTAATGCGGAGATAGAAAAGCAGCATAGAGATTAACATGGGCTTTCGTGGAAAGGTCATTCCAAAGGTGCGGTTCAGATTCCTGTGGGCAGAGGTGGTCCTCCTGATCTTTGGCTCCAAGAGCCATTCAGGGCTTCAAAGGTAAGCACTAGCAAGTTGAACTTTGAAACAGACCAACACCCAGTACAGTTGTTCAAAGACTGGCAACATGTAATCCATTTGGCTGGTCTCAGTAGCCCAGTGACCATTTTGTACTAGCGGTTTGCAATAAGACTTCAATGGCATTGTGAAAACCGGTGCAGGTATTGGCAATGCATAACGGCTTCCCGTGTACTTCAATAGTTAAATTTTTATTTCTGACAAACGTTGGGATTCATTTTGTAGCAAACATTTGGTGTACGTAATGAGGAAGAAAGTTGAATACATGTGGCAGGAAAAGAATAAAGCTTATGCTGTGTCAGCTCTTCCTATTTCACTTACCCTTATTTTAAAAAGATTTTATTAAAGATAAATATAATGAGTATAATATCATAAAATTCCCCAGTAAAAATTGTGACGACACCCCCGCCGCATCCTCCTCTTTCTACAGCATGATGAATTCACAATAAATGTCTTTACAATCTTCAATCAGCTTCCAAAGTCACATTCACACATTCAGTGCTCCAAACGTCCATCAAAGAGAGTCATATCTGATAATAACTTTAGTCTCATACATGTTTTAATAGTCTATTCCTATGTCTAAATATCCGATGTAGCTTGAGGAAGATTATCTGCCTGTCTGTGATCTTTGGTGTAGAAAATAAAGGACCACCATATTGTGACAAATGTCTCTGGTTTTTGTTTTCCATGGGAAACAATATTATGGGTGACCTTTTCTGCTGTTGCTTGCATCATATATTTTTATACCAAAATTCCAGAGTAAATCCTTGTAGCTTCTGCTGTGTTTGTGCTATTGCCAATCGTGCAGTGACAAGAAAATAGGCAGTGAACCTTTTATAAAGCTGTTTATTGGCATCCTCAAAAATAGTAAGGAAAGCCGATTGTGGGCTAATAATACTTCTCTTTTCAATGTTGTTTAAATTTCTTTTGCTAGGAGGGAGATGGCAAATTGGCTCTGGCCATTTGGTTTTCAAGTGGAAAAGTTCCTTTGGTCTGGCATGACGATGGGGAGGAGGAAGAGGATTCAGGCAAGGGGTGGAGCCGGGCTTGGGACACACCACCTGGGGATGAAGTACTTGCAGGTTGACACAGGATAGTGAGGGGAGCCAGAGTCAAAAGGGGCCCTGCCTCCATGAACACAGTGGGCTCTGAGGCATAGGGAGTAGTGGGAGATATGCTCTAGGTCAGGCATAGGCAAACTCGACCCTCCAGATGTTTTGGGACTACAACTCCCAATCCTTATCTAACAGGACCAGTGGTCAAGGATGATGAGAGTTGTAGTCCCAAAACATCTGGAGGGCCGAGTTTGCCTATGCCTGCTCTAGGTGGCTGAGGCAGACAGCCCAGCTCCCTAGTTGGCCAGGTGGTACTCGCTATCACTGGGAGGAGAGTGATTTCTCAGCTGGAGTAGGCTCAGGACAGGTGAGGGTCACCTGCCTCATTAAGACCAGGTGCTGCACTCAGCAGGCAAAGCAGCAAAGGGCAGCAGAGCTAAGGGGCTGTGTCTGCTCAGCTGTCCATGTTGATGGATCTCTGCTTGGATGCTCCAGGTCCACTACGGGAATGGTGCTTCTGGTGGGACTTTGGACATATGGATTGACCCCAGACCGTGTTTCCCGACTGTTGAACTTGGAATACTGCCTTGCCTGCCAGGTAGCCCCAGGGATCAGGACAATGTCCATAGCAACATTTAGCATGAAAGAAGAGCATATGGTGGAAGGGTAGGATATCTGACAGAAAAGCTGTGGAGGTGTCCCCAGGGAGTGGACCCAAGCAACGACACTTGGCCAGTTCCCCACCCCCTGGGGAATCCCTGGACCGAGGCCTGCCTGCCACTGGTCCATCCGTAGTCAGGCCTGCAGTCCTACCCAGGCTGACAAAGCCTATGGCCAGGCCACAATGCAGCCTGTTTAAGGTAAGCGGACTTGTCTTATCCTTTGCCTTAGGCTGGAAAATGTCTGGAGCCGGCCCTACTAGTCCCTAGAGCAGTGATGGCCAAACTTGGCCCTCCATCTGTTTTGGGACTACAACTCCCCTCATCCTTAGCTAACAGGACCAGTGGTCAGGGATGATGGGAATTGTAGTCCCAAAACAGCTGGAGGGCCAAGTTTGGCCATCACTACCCTAAAGTACAATCAAAGAGGCCAAGCTGCAGGGATGGGGCAGAAATTCAATTCAGTTTGCATTTAAAGGTGAATCGACCAAATCTACACTTTCTGTTGGATTGAAATTAAGTGGCTTCTAGCTATACAGGCTTTAAAGTTATATATAGATCAAGATTAAGGATTAGGATTAAAAAAGTTAAAAGAAATGGAAAATTGGCTTTTAAGAGGTAAAAATTTAATGTTACATTATATTAAGATTAAGGATTGGGATTAAAAAGAGGAAAGAAATTGCTGGACAAACAAAATGAACTGGAATACAAAAGAGGGAGGTATGAGGAGGTCCAGAAAATAAGTAAATTTAAAAGTGGTGATGAAAAGGTGGCATTGTTTTTAACTGTTTTCTTTTTTGTCCTTTGTTTTTTGTTTTATTTGTATTATGTATTGTGTATTTTTGAATTGTGTATTTTTCTTTTTTCTTTTTAATTCTTTTTTACTGATGTGTTCTTTTTATTGGAAACTCTAATAAATATCATTTTTTAAAAAAACACAAATCTACACTTTCTGAAGCAATACGAGAATCAAAGCACAGCCGTTCTTTTAAATTCACACTTAACTGAATTTTGCAAAAAAAATTGTTTACAAAAATACATACATTGGGGGTCCGTGTGCATAAAAAAATAACACAGCAGTGAAAATAACATACAAACTGTATTACATTGCTTCCAAAAATGTCAAAATTGCATACAGAAATATCAGACATTCACACTAGGATGTTGGGGAAATTTCAGGAGGATTTTTTTAAAAAATTGCAATTGCAGAAATGTGGAGAACTGAATTTAACATTGGTGAGATTAGAAACAACCCAAATAGATAGATCCTTATATTCCCACAGAACTATAAACAAAGAATTCACTAGTTCAGAAATTCTCTGCCATAAACTTGGTGGTCTCTGGCAAGCCAACACCTCTTAGCCCTTGGTGGTTCAAGACCAGCTACTGGGTCTCAAGAGCAACGCTACTCCCATTCAAATATCTGACAAAAGGTTAGGCTTCCCAAGTGCATGTTTGGGTTATAGTTGTGTCCCGACTCTGAAAAGGTTGAATACTATTACTGTTATCTCTCTACTGTAAATATGAAGCTTATTCCAAGTATTATGCCCACTTTAGAGAGATTATTGAGAGAATGTGGGAAGCACATCAAGTACTTTGAAGTGCATTAGAAATGCTAGATATTATACTTATTGAAGAAACTTGTGCTGAGCTTTTTGGAGAAAAGGCATGATACAATTAAGCATGTATTTGACCTAAGATCGTCATTAAAAACGTGACACTTCTGAAATGCTCTCCAAGGTGAGAAAATTTCATAAGCACTGAGGCTTGATTCACTCAAGTGGCATTTGTTTTTCTTTGCATTCAGTTACACGGCAGGAAGCAGGGAATTTTTTTAGCGTGGTCCAGCTCTTTAGTCCTGGGTGAGTCGCTGCGATTGACAGTGTCTACATGTAAGAAGCTGGTTCGCATGCCTCCCCTCGGTGGCATCGTATACACATGTACACAATCAATTGGAGAATACAAACTTTGTGTAGATTGTGTCTCTAAAGATATGCTTGATGTGCTGAGTTGGCCAGGTACGATATTGTTAAAGGTGTGGTCTTGATCATGAGGTCTTCTCCCTCTTAAGCAGAGATGGGGAATTGGGGCCCTCCTAGATGTTGCCAAATATTGGTCATGTTTGCTATGGCTGCTGGAAGGTAAAGTCCAGCAATATCTGAAGGGCCACAGGGTCCCCATCCCTGCTCTCAAGTAAAACAATCCAAAATCATGGTAGGTGCAGTTATAGTAAATTAGAAGGATTGGCTGTAGTGTCTATTTGTTTCTCTCTAAGTAGATATTCTCCGCATAATATTCTCTGGCTGTAGCCTGTTGGCTCTTCAGCCTGCACCTATCAAGAAATAAAGATTTATGTCCTGGACGATTTCAGTTTAAAAGGATATAATTGTGCATCGGTGTGTGAATATTTCATGACACTACGATAAGTTATCCACTTGATATATGACGTAGTACCTAAGGACAGGCAAAATAATAATAATAGGAAGAAGTGCTCAGTTAATTGCATTGGTAATGATTTCAGCAGACTAAAAAATGGAAAGGGAGCTGGTGTACTAGAAGCCCATCCTGAAAAATAAGCTTTCTACCTCTTCCTTGAAGAGGCAAAACTCATAGCAAAGTGTGAGAGGCTGCCATACTGCTTGCAACGCTGTGAGCACAGCTCAATGGGGTGAGACATTCGTTCCCAGAAATCACCCGAAGTTTATTTCTAGCGGTTTCTGACCCCGACACAACACCCCTAAGCAGACTGTACTTAGGGCAGTCTCTGGTATCTCCACATAAAAGGATACACTCTTCCACCACACTTGAGGGAAGTTGGCTAGTTTAAGGAGTGGGGAAAGAAGGCTGCCTGGTCTACACATTTAGGTCCCTCAGCAATGGGGCTATCTTTGCTGGTTTAAGGTGGAACAGCGGAGGGGCTGCTACGGTTGCCCCCCAGCATCTGCTCCCTGAGGGGTTGCCTCACTCTGTTGAATGTTTGGGCTGACCCCATTACTGAGTGAAGACGGGAGTTTGCCTCACCATTTTTCTTGCGAAGGCACAAGAACTGAGGAGACACCGAACGTAGATGAATACTAAGCAAGCTAGTCATGCTCCAGTATTATTAAGCACGACTACCTTCCTGTAAGATTTCTAGGCTTCTTTCCAAATATCCCCCTTGCAGGAAAATATTTGAAATGGCAGGCTTTCAGATCAGCGAACTAAAATTGCAATTCCTATATTGAGAAAAGCTTTGACCCTTTTGTCGGAGCGCCTTCAGTCTTTTCCCTGGGTAGTTTGCCTTTCTGTACTGAATGGGGAAACCTCATACTGTGTACTTTATTAATGTCGTTCTCATTGAATTTTTAAAAAATGCTTTAGATAGAATAGACTTCCACACGAACATGATCACATGCAGTAACGCAAAGTTTTATTACAACAATCCTCTGTAACATTAACCCTTAACCCTGTCCTGCTTTTTTTAAAAAACAAAAACCCAGTATTATTTAACTGAGCATTTGATTTTAGTAGTAATTCTGCTTTTGCCTTAAGTTAATTTAGTCAGTTATGGTGGATACATCTACATAATTTATCAAGTTCATTCAGTTGTAAGTGTAGAGTGGGGTTTTTTAAATTTTATTTAAAATTGTGCAAGTAAAGTAAGGAGGAGAAGGAATGGAATGCGGGAGCGGAGTTGAACAACTGAGTTCTTATTCATTTATTTTTATTTTTTTATTTTTATTAAATTTGTATACCACCCTTCATCCATATATCACAGGGGAAGAGTGGAGAAGGAGATCCCTTGTTTATCCCAATACCTTGCCCCCCCCCCAAATCCAGAATTTGAGAGTGAGTTAAAAACAGAAACATCATTTCATTGCGCCCATACCAAAGGAGAACACTGTTTCCTCAGTGGCATGCTTTTTTGAATTTGTCTGTAAATTGAAAGTTGCCAGTTTTAAAAACAAATAAACGGGGTGGGGATGAGGGAAAGAAAAGCTCTGTAGGGTATATTCTGCAAGTGCCACTGGCAAGTTAACCAGGCTCCCTTGGCTGTGATACCAGAAGAGCTAGGCCTCAAAGCCAGCCTCCATTACTGGCGTTCCATAATGGTGTCTCTTAGAAAAGTTGTGAGGGGGACCTTGACTGAGGGGCCAGAGCTCAGCTTTTGCAGGGCCTGGGCTAAGTAGGAATGAGTGTCAATAGATTAGGAAGCTCTAGAAGCCTTCGCTTCCCACACAGTCCTTAGCAAGCCTTAGTGACAAAACTGCCACATCCAAGCTCTCTCTTGTACGCCGCTTTTTATTGAACGTTGTGAGGAATTACTAAGCCATTCTTGACTGGCATGACTCACAATGCCATAATGCTGACTAGAATTCTAACTTCATAAGCGGCGTTAGAAGTGGAGATATGAAAGCTAAGAGCTAAGCGGCACCTTAAACCGAGATTACAGGCACAACAACAGAATGTTTTCTGTTTTTGTTTTATAATAAGAATCATAGGCTTGTCCTGCGTCAGGAATTTTCCTGACACGTTTCCAGGTGTAAAAATGGCGTGGGGGGGGGGTTTGCCGAATCGGCAAAATGTCAGTGAAAACCCGGATGTATGGTAACGCAATGGAAAAAGTAGCGGAAACAGTTCCAAAAGCTTAAAATTACTATTTGGGGTGGGGAGGTTTCCCCAGAAAAAGTTGACAATTTGGGTTTGTTCCCCAAAAAACCTCAAGGGCACCCAGGGTTGCAGGTTCAAGCTGGCACTCCTTGCCCCAAATCAGAACTTGAAGCTGGGGTCTCTTTGGTGTATGCACAGTATATTCAAAATATCCACTTTGCCACACTTTGAAACACACAGTGCCTCTGTAGAACAGAAAGGGGGCAAACCTAGTATTAAAGTACCCTTATTGTGAGGCCACAGAGTGGTAAATGGGGACTTTATGAGTTAACTGCAACAAATTATAATGATCTGCTCTCTGTGGAGTGTCTCACTTAGTACCCTAACCTTTTCCTAATGTTGTAACAGAAAAGGTGCTTACTGTATGGGAAAAGGTGAAAAAACTTGAATGCCCACAGAATTATTAGCTCTGTTAGCAGATCCTCCAAGTGCCCCTATTTTCCAGGGACGTCCCTGATTTAGAGACGTCATCCTGGTTTCTGATTTGAACCCGGAATACCCCCCTTTTCCTTAGGATGTTCCTATTTTCATTGGAGAAATGTTGGAGGGTATGGCATTATCCAACCCCCGAGCCGTCTAAAGGCAATCCTGTATAGGGAAGGGTTTTTTTTAATGTTTAATGTTTTAATTATATATGTTGGAAGCCGCCCAGAGTGGCTAGGGGCAACCCAATAAGATGTGTGGGGTATAAGTAGTAAAATTATCATTCTGGAATGGGACGTCCCTATTTTCATTGGAGAAATGTTGGAGGGTATGGTTAGGCCTGTGTGTCTACTAAATGTTTATGACAGTCTCGCTCATAGATGGTTTGCAAACTCTGCATTCAGATGGTTGGGATCTGTATTGCTGAGCCACCTTGAAGTTATAATTCACCTCAGAGTATCACTAACAGTGCTTGATTGACTCATAGTAATAACCAGAACAAGGACTGCACTTGGGGAAAGTGCCTTTTTCTCTTCAAGGCCTTTTTGATTCAATGGAAGCTTGTTTCTGGTGCATGTACAAATGTTTTGCACAGTTGAAAGAGAGTGAGTGCACCGTTTCCCAGGGCTAAAAATAGTCAAGAGCTATACATGTCTAATCTGAAGCTTCATTGAGCTCAATGGGACTTACTCTTAACTAAGTGTGCTTAGAATTCCTAAAAGTGGAGTTCATCTCTTATATTTTGTAAATGACACCTTCTCTTTGCACTTTACTTCTCCTCTAGCATTATCAAAACTCAGTATAACGTGACTTGTTATATTAATGCTATTTATAAGGTGCAAACAAAGGTCCCACTACTTTCCCTTCTCAGTTTGTAGTGTTCCGTAAGTGTCTGGTACTGCAGAAACTTTGGTGACTGTGTCAACATGGCGGAAGGCCGTGGGCAAGAAAAGACACGGTGGACTGCAACCGTAATTGTGAGTTCATCTCTTCAGGTACTGTATCCTACCATTTGTTCGTACAAGTTGCTCTAGCCTCGCAAAGGGTCACAAAATAAATGGGGCTGTGTATTCCACCCTTTCTAGGAACACCTAATATAGAAGAGAGAGCCATGGCATCAAAGCTTAACAACAATGTCAGAACACAGCTCTACCATGTCCTCATATGACTGGGATTAAGGCCTCCAGATTAGAGAGGGTAGTCTGCAAACAGATTTAAGACCCACCACCTTTTAAATTAAAATTAAAATTAACCGCTGTGTTGCATTAAGGAATTGACCGACATTGAAGCATAGTGTAATGGGAAGCACAATTCTTTAAGCAGCGAAAACTCCAAAAGTGCAGAGGGCACTCAGGTTAAACCAGTCCAACTGACACTGCTATCCCATTAGGTTTCAGGGGGGGCACCCGGCTCCTTCAGAGCGCCCAGGAAATCCCACAGTTCTGACCACAGTTTGAGTCCAAAATTGCCAATCAATTGTGCTCTTTCCTATTGTCAAATAAACCCAAGTGGCCAGGGGAAGGCACAGAAATACACTTGCTTTTTTTGTTCTAGCACTCCCCTTCCACAAGTATCTCCAGTTATTTAGTTACTGTGGCATCATATTGACCCTAGCGTACATTACCAAGGGGATACTAAACAGATCTGGCTAGGGCTATTTACTTAACGAAAGAAACTGGTTTGATGATTTTACCAGTCCTCTTCTTCTCCAGACCTGTCTTATAGCTGCAGAATTACAGTACTGCGTTGGAAGAGGCCCCAGGAGGTGTTTTAGTTTAATCCCCCAAAACGCATAACAATATTTTAATTCCATTAAATCTGTGTAGTGGCTGTTCAGAAGTGAGATTTTCTGATAAAGCATGCTTACAGCAGTCGACTTCTTATATTCCTGTGCTTTCCCCCACCCCAAACACTCCAGAGGGGTTAAATGCCATGATCAAAGAGCATCGACCATATTAATATGTCCATATCAATGAAATCTAAAACACTAATGGCCTGGCTAGAACAAAAGCACAAAACAGAAGACCTTGCTTTATCAGATCAAAGGCCCATCTAATCCAGCATTCTCTTCTCACAGTGGCCAATCAGATGCCTATTGGATGCCCAATAAAGGACATGAGTGCAATAACACACTCTCCACTTTTATTTCCCAGGAACTTGGTATTCAGAGGCATGCCCAGTAGCACACAACCATTCTGACTCTAGTAGCCACTGATAAACTTTACCCTCCTTGAACTTCTCTAATTTTCCTTTAAAGACCCGTTCTGACGAATAGCGTTGAACTAGGACCCGGGAGACTGGGGTTCAAATCCTCACTCAGTCATCAAGCTCACTGGGTGACCGTGGGTCAGTCACTACCTGTCATCAGAATCTACCTCACAGGGTGGTTTGGAGGATAACATGGAGAGGAGGAGAGCCATGTATATTACCTGAGCTCCTGGGTGTATAAAAGCAAATGTAAATAAATAAATACCGTATTTTTCACCCTATAGGGCGCACTTATTTTTTTGGGGGGGAATAAAGGGGGAAAAATATTTTCCCCCCCCCCGAGCCCCAAAGGGCAAAGAAACCATGACAGCGAGCGGGATGGATCCCGCTCACTGTGCTGTCTTCGCTTTTAGCCTCGGGGCTGGGGGTCCAGGGGCGAAGGCGAGGTTGCGCTCAACCTCGCCATCACTCCCGGAGCTTGCTTGCGGGGCTGGGGGCAGGGGAAGCCCGAGCTTCCCCCAACCCCAGCCCCCAGAACGGGTCTGGGAGCGATGGGGAGGTTGTGCAACCTCGCCATCGCTCCCGGAGCTTGCTTGCAGGGCTGGGGTCGGGGGAAGCCCAAGCTTCCCCTGACCCCAGCCCCCAGAACAGGCAATTGCCTGCAAGCCTTGCAAGTTCCCGCCGGGCTCCCAAGGCTTGCGGATAGCTTCCTGAAGCCTGGAGAGCGAGAGGGGTCGGTTCGCACCGACGCCTCTCGCTCTCCAGGCTTCAGGGAAAGCCTGCATTCGCCCCACAGGACGCACACACATTTCCCCTTCATTTTTGGAGGGGAAAAAGTGCGTCCTATAGGGCGAAAAATACGGTAGTTGGGGGCTAACTTCCATCCTTCTTGGGATGTTCCCAATTTGTAAAAGTGACTGAAAGAAAATAGGGTGAGTGAGCTGGAGTCTATAAGTGTTGTGTTTTGCACTTGGAAGACTTTTACATCAGAATCATAGAATCATAGAATAGAATCATAGAATCATAGAGTTGGAAGAGACCACAAGGGCCATCGAGTCCAACCCCCTGCCAAGCAGGAAACACCATCAGAGCACTCCTGACATATGGTTGTCAAGCCTCTGCTTAAAGACCTCCAAAGAAGGAGACTCCACCACACTCCTTGGCAGCAAATTCCACTGTCGAACAGCTCTTACTGTCAGGAAATTCTTCCTAATGTTTAGGTGGAATCTTCTTTCTTGTAGTTTGGATCCATTGCTCCGTGTCCGCTTCTCTGGAGCAGCAGAAAACAACCTTTCTCCCTCCTCTATGTGACATCCTTTTATATATTTGAACATGGCTATCATATCACCCCTTAACCTCCTCTTCTCCAGGCTAAACATGCCCAGCTCCCTTAGCCGTTCCTCATAAGGCATCGTTTCCAGGCCTTTGACCATTTTGGTTGCCCTCCTCTGGACACGTTCCATTTTGTCAATGTCCTTCTTGAACTGTGGTGCCCAGAACTGGACACAGTACTCCAGGTGAGGTCTGACCAGAGCAGAATACAGTGGCACTATTACTTCCCTTGATCTAGATGCTATACTCCTATTGATGCAGCCCAGAATTGCATTGGCTTTTTAGCTGCCGCGTCACACTGTTGGTTCATGTCAAGTTTGTGGTCAACCAAGACTCCTAGATCCTTTTCACACGTACTGCTCTCAAGCCAGGTGTCCCCATCTTGTATTTGTGCCTCTCATTTTTTTGCCCAAGTGCAATACTTTACATTTCTCCCTGTTAAAATTCATCTTGTTTGTTTTGGCCCAGTTCTCTAATCTGTCAAGGTCGTTTTGAAGTGTGATCCTGTCCTCTGGGGTGTTAGCCACCCCTCCCAATTTGGTGTCATCTGCAAATTTGATCAGGATGCCCTTGAGTCCATCATCCAAGTCGTTGATAAAGATGTTGAATAAGACCGGGCCCAAGACAGAACCCTGTGGCACTCCACTAGTCACTCTTCTCCAGGATGAAGAGGAACCATTGATGAGCACCCTTTGGGTTCGGTCAGTCAGCCAGTTACAAATCCACTGAGTGGTAGCATAGTCAAGACCACATTTTACCAGCTTCTTTACAAGAATATCATGAGGCACCTTGTCAAATGCCTTGCTGAAATCAAGGTAGGCTACATCCACTGCGTTCCCTTCATCCACCAGGCTTGTAATTCTGTCAAAAAACGAGATCAGGTTAGTCTGACATGACTTATTTTTCAGAAATCCATGCTGACTATTGGTGATCACAGCATTCCTTTCTAGGTGCTCACAGACTGTTTGCTTAATGATCTGCTCCAGAATCTTCCCTGGTATTGATGTCAGACTGACTGGGCGGTAATTATTTGGGTCCTCTCTTTTCCCCTTTTTGAAAATAGGGACAACATTTGCCCTCCTCCAGTCTGCCGGGACTTCGCCTGTTCTCCAGGAATTCTCAAAGATGACTGCCAGTGGTTCTGAGATCACATCTGCCAGTTCTTTTAATACTCTTGGATGCAGCTCATCTGGCCCTGGAGACTTGAATACATCTAAACTAGCCAAGTATTCTTGTACTATCTCCTTAGTTATTCTGGGCTGTGTTTCCTTTGCTGAATCATTTGCTCCAAATTCTTCAGGTCGGGCATTGTTTTCTTTATCGGAGAAGACTGAGGCAAAGAAGGCATTGAGGAGTTCAGCTCTTTCTGTGTCCCCTGTTTGCATTTCACCATCTTCTCCTCTGAGTGACCCCACTGTTTCTTTGTTCTTCCTTTTGCTACGGACATACCCATAAAAGCCTTTTTTGTTGCTTTTAACCTCTCTAGCAAGCCTGAGTTCATTCTGTGCTTTAGCTTTTCTGACTTTGTGTCTACACGTGCTGGCTATTTGTTTGAATTCCTCTTTGGTGGTTTCCCCCCTTTCCATTTTTGTACACATCCTTTTTTAATCTTAACTCAGTTAAAAGTTCTTTAGATAGCCACCCTGGCTTCTTTAGGCACCTTCCATGTTTCCGTCTCATTGGTATTGCCTGACGTTGTGCTTTTAGTATCTCCCTCTTAACAAACTCCCAGCCATCATGAACTCCCTTTCCTTTTAGTATTACTGTCCATGGGATCTCACCCAGCACTTCCCTAAGTTTTATGAAGTCAGCTTTCTTAAAGTCAAGAAATTGAGTCCTAGTATGCTTGGCTGCTCCCTTTCCGCTGTATAGTAAACTTCAGAAGAGCATGATCACTCGCGCCTAATGATCCTTCCACTTCTACCCCACTAACCAGGTCATCAACATTGGTTAGGACCAGATCTAAAATGGCTGTTCCTCTTGTTGCTTCTCCCACTTTCTGGACAATGAAGTTGTCTGCAAGGCCAGTGAGGAATCTGTTTGACCTTATGCTCTTGGCTGAGTTTGACATCCAACAAATATCCGGGTAATTGAAGTCCCCCATTACTACTATCTCCCTTCCTTTTGCATGCTTGGCCATCTGTTCCAGGAAGGCATCATCTATGTCCTCCGTTTGGCTTGGGGATCTATAGTAAACTCCCACAGTGAGGTCACTGTTATTCTTCTCTCCCTTAATTTTGACCCAAATGCTCTCACTTTGGCTTTGAGGTTCTAAATCTTGGATCTCTTCACAGGTATACACATCCCTGACATATAACGCCACTCCTCCTCCTTTCTTGTCTGGTCTGTTTCTCTGAAATAGATTGTATCCCCCATTATTACATTCCAATCGTGGGACTTATCCCACCAGGTTTCAGTGATGCCTATTATGTCATATTTAGTTTGCTGTACCAAGAGCTCAAGCTCATCTTGTTTATTTCCCATGCTTTGCGCATTAGTGTACAGACATTGAAGTCCATTAATCATTCCCCGTGACTCTTATTTAAGGATTTTTCCTCCCACCACTAGGTCTGTGTGCTGTTTGCTCCATTTGGTCTATGACATTTGGATGATCATCTTCATCAATTGATAGACTCCTACCTTCAGGAGCACTATCTCCCTCCCCCACATTAGTCAGTTTAAAGCCCTCCTGATGAGGTTTCTGAGATTTTTGGCAAAAACATTTCTCCCAACCGTTGTGAGGTGCAGCCCATCGCTTGCCAGAAGTCCATCTTCAAGAAACTGCAGTCCGTGATCTAAGAATCCAAACCGTTCCTGTTTACACCATTTGCGAAGCCAGCTGTTCACTTCCACTATTTTCCCCTCTCTCCCTGGGCCACGTCGTTCAACTGGGAGGACAGATGAGATCACAATTTGTGCATTTAATTGCTTCAATTTCCTGCCTAGAGCCTCGTAGTCTCTTTTGATCTTCTGGAGGCTATTGCTTGCAGTGTCATTGGTTCCCACATGAACCAAGAGGAAGGGGTATTTGTCAGTGGGTTTTATGATTCCTTGCAGTCGTTCAGTTACATCTTGGATCTTAGCCCCGGGAGACAGCACACTTCCCGAGACATCTTGTCAGGCCCACAGATCACTGCTTCTGTTCCCCTCAGTAGGAATCCCCTATCACCACTACACGCCTCCTCTTAGGTTTGGCCGGGGTTCTTCCGTGAGCTGTCCGCTCCAAGGTCGCCTGCACATCCCTGAGGACTGACTTTGCTGCTCGTCTTCATATACCTGATCGACTGTAATGAGGGAGAGATCCTCAAATGGAGTCTGCTCTTCGTCTTCCATGCTAGGGAGAGGACCTCAAAGCGATTGTGTATTTCTAAACAATCAGAGCGAACCCTGGGCCTCCTACTTCTTTGAGTCACGTTTCTCCATATATCTGGCTCCTGTGTTGGTGAACTAGCGTCCTTCTCAGGGGAGTCCCCTGTCTCCTCCTTGGTGAAGACGGTGTGCTCTGTTGCTTCCAAGAAGAGCTCCAGCTCTCTAATTCTTTGTAGCGTAGCTACACGTTCCTCCAGTTGCTGGACTTTGTCTTGTAAGAGGGCAATCAACATGCAATTGCTGCAGGTAAAGCTGCCTGCAACCTTTGGCAAGATGGCAAGCATTGCGCAGGAACCGCAGGCGACTGCAGCTGTTCCCTCCCCCTCCATCTTGAGAACGTGTCGTTGGGGGTGGCTACAGTGGTCCTCCATCATAAAAAGCGTGAAGACAGGAAAAATAACTCCCCCCACAAAAAAAACCTAGGTCTTCCCCCAACAAACGTTTGAGACTAGCTCCCCTAAATCTAAAAGATGGATCAAACTGCGTGCGCCGCTAGGCGCGCGCCGCTGCCCTGCAATCTCAGGAATGATGTGGGAGACGCACTCTCTTATGGCTGTTAAGTGCCACTTCCTATCAGGTTGTAAGAAACCCTTTCTTCCTCCAACACTTGCAGTAGCAGCACCACCTCCGTGACATTTAGAATTGTTGCCCACCTGAGGCCATCCCTGCTTCCCAACAAACAAAGTGGCTTTTGCATTGACTTTTTGTTAGTACAGCCAGTGCTCGCCAATGTGTTCCCCTTCCCTCCTTTTCCCCTCTGGAGCCTTCCTTTAGTTCGTTAATAGCAATTACAGGATGCAATGAACAGTCATAATGACAAACAGGCGATGCAGAAAGTGCTATAGATGTTTTTATCTGGGTTCTCCTTGCTTTCAGGAAGCATTTTGATTGATTAATCTATAATGTTGATCTTTGTTACTCTTTTAATGCAGTTTTTTTATTAGTTTCCCTTTTCTTGTTGACAGGAACAGTTCTTGGAGGCAGTACATTGTCATTGCACATGCTGACATTGTTTTTGATTTATAGAATAGAAAGAAACTTGGCTAGCTTATTTTAAGATGAAAACTTGATTGATGGGATACCTGGGTAATCTGTGACCCTCCGGATGCAGCTGGTCTACAGCTTGCAACATCTCTGGCTGGGGCTAATGGGAAACAGGCCCTCTTTAAAAGCTCCTGCTGCATTTGGAATACGTCTTCTGTCCATTCCTATCCTTTTTCTGGGTCCACCTTACTTTCCTGACTGTTTTAATGAACAGAAGGGGAATGGGATGACAGAGGCAGGAGGAACCGACAGGAGAAGACTCAAACATTTTCTCATTGCATTGGGGAGTTTAATGGATGGCTCTCCAGGCTGCAACTGGGACAACTGTTAAGTTCTGTTGTATGGCAAGCTAAACACAAAGCACCCTGGTTATAATGAGCAATATTTTAATGAAAAGGATGCATGTTTTATAATATACGTTAGCTTAGTGGGAAGAGGAGTAAAGGTTAAAAAATGCTGTAGATATTTCTGACTCTCTCTTTTTTGTCATTATAATAGAACCCAATTAACTTTATTTAGAACTGGTGAGCATGTTTTAATCCTGTATTTTATAACTTATTTAGGGTCATGAAATTTCAATGTCCCTACAAAATCAGCAACACCGGGTTCGATATTCAGATACAGTGGAAAATGGATCAATAATTTTCTCTCTTTCTGGTACAGTATCTTAAATTATGGGAAATGTGACCATTAATATTTATTTATTTATTTTATATTTAATTCAATTTATTTATATTTCATTTAATGTATTTATTATTTATTTTTATTTATTTCATTAAATATATACACTACTTGATTGTATGTGTGTTTATAATCTCAAAGCGCTCTACAGGGCTACTTAACCTGTAGCATTCAATATGGAAATTAAGAGTGACAAGTTGTACACATGGTGGTCTTGCAGCATCCCTACAACATAATTTGGGTCATGGTATCAATATGCTTTACATCCAGTGAATTTTATGGAGGGCGTAATCTCAGTCTCTATAACTGACTCTTTAGAAATCCCCCAAAGCCAAGAACTTTGTTATCTTTCTCCCAAACTGGACATATTCACATCTGAAGGAAATTTTAGAATGCTTGTAGCCAGATATAAATAGCAGAAAATGATCCTGTAGACTTATAAGCAAGGCAGAATAATTTTAAACCATTTTAAGCTATGAATGTTGAGTTTCACAGTACAGTTCAACAAAAAAACTCTTGTTTGTTATTATTTTGTTCACTTAAATAAATCACTAACAATTTACTAAATTCTCTGTTTAAAAGAGACAGTCCCTACCCATTGGTTTAAAATGTAAATAGACATCACACAAAAGGAAAAAGGATGAGGAGGAAAGAGGAAGACAAGCAAATTCATGTATACATTTTTAATGTGTTCCTCATCTTCCTATCCTAATTTGAGAATCACTGTAATAAACTAAGCAGATAGGATCAGGACACTGTAGAAACAATTAGCCCCCTTTCATCTGTTTGTATGGGGCTTCCAAGTAAACACCCAGGAAATGGATGAAAGAGTAGCAATGAGTCTATCTTCCACGTTCATATGCTTAGGACTACAGCTTTATATGAACAAAACTCTATTTCAGTAGTAAATATACCAACTATATATGTATTTGACTATTTTTTATATGCAGGTAAGTCTGACTTGATCACCATATTTCTTCTTGCCCAGGAATTGCATTTTTGCTGGTCGATGCTCAAGGCTTATTTTTCACAGAGAGAGAGGTTTTATTTGAAAGAATAAAGAAGTTCATGACCATCCACAGGAATGGATTTTTGCTTTTGTCAGCTGCTCGTCATGGACCAAAAGAATGGGATGGGATGTTCAGAGTTCAGCAGAGGTATGAAATTTAAAAAAAAACCAATAGTTTGTTTTATTAGTAAAGGAAACTAGGTACAATAATATGAAGTGTTTGCTTAATTATCAAAGATGTAGGTGAATTTGATTTTGCTCAAATAATTTAGCCAAAGAATAAAAACCCCGTTGTCATATTGCAGTATATAAGAAAATGATGCATCTCGGTCAGTATGACTTGGCATACTCAAGTTTGATAACATGAGTCAATTTTGGAAATTTAACAAGTCATCATTCCCTAAGTACAAGAGAACACCATTTTGTGTTTCCTTTTCAGAGACTGAGGGTCCTATCCTTGGAAGGCAACCTGGAAGTAAATCCTGTTGATTTCAATGAGACTTACTTCCATGCAAGTATTTGTTAAGACTGCAGCATAAGTTCTGATAGTCTAAAAATGAGAATTACGCTTTTGAAAGTCCAGATCATTATGCCAACAAAAAAGCAATTGGCAGGGGTAGTACAACCTAACTGAGGGCGTGGCAGTACAGTGGTACCTCGGGTTACATACGCTTCAGGTTACATTTGCTTCAGGTTACAGACTCCGCTAACCCAGAAATAGTACCTTGGGTTAAGAACTTTGCTTCAGGATGAGAAGAGAAATCATGCAGTGGCAGCACAGCAGCAGCAGGAGGCCCCATTAGCTAAAGTGGTGCTTCAGGTTAAGAACAGTTTCAGGTTAAGAATGGACCTCGGGAATGAATTAAGTATGTAACCAGAGGTACCACTGTAGTACTGCAAGAACAGAGCATATCCTGGAGTAACAGGATGCTTCAATATTAAATGGATGGTACAATATTAAGTTTATGTTCAATGTCTTAAAAGTGAGCTAGGAAATTGTCCCATCTGATCATAATGGCCACTATTGGTAACATAATTATCTCTGTGTGTTCTCTCCTGCATTTAATTTCCCTCTGACCTCCTTGTTTAAATTCCTCCTCCCCTGCCCTCTCTCTGTTTGTCTGCAACTTGGGCAAACACTTCATGCAAACCTTACGGTCCACAAATAACATCTTGCTGAAGACAATGCTGAAACACTTTGGGAAATAAACAAAATTGGAAATTTTTTTTGTGACCCTTTAGCTTGGCCTTTTTCTTTTTATTTCATCTTCGGTGTAGCCCTCTTGTTTTCCATGTAGCTCAGTAACGTGTACTCCTGATTGTAGTGACCGCCTGGGGTTTAAGGAAGGCGTCTTTTCCATCACCTGAATTCTTGGTGCAAAGAAAATATAGAGAAAGGAGAATTCCTGGATGTCAGGCTCCAAGCCTGGGAACAGTGGTAGGGAAGGACTTTGACTACCTTCTGCTATCCCAATCCTAGTGAAAATGAAGTACCAGCTTTTGCAAAATCCCAATTTGCTGCAATCATATTAACATACCCTTATGTAACAGCATGCTCCAATTCTAGTCCATGCTGTAAAAAATATGAATACTGTACTTAGCATGATTGACATTTTGAGGGTTGTTTCAGGTTCCTAGGCAGCAATTTACGAATAATCCCAGTCCACAATGCCGCTGAAGCTATTAAACTCATGCTAACTATAGCAAAAGTAAGTAGCAGAATTTTATTGTCAAATAATAACGTACAGCAAAACAGCTATGACAATATAGAATACATCAACTAGAGCCAGGGCTTTCTCGGCTGCGGCTCCAATCTGGTGGAACGCTCTGTCACAAGAGACTAGGGCCCTGCGGGACCTGACATCTTTCCGCAGGGCCTGCAAGACAGAGCTGTTCCACCAGGCTTTTGGTCAGGGCACAGCCTGACTCCCTCCTCTGGCAATCTGCACAGAATTTTGCTTAATGGTTGCCATCAATTTGATTTTAATTAATTTTTATAATGAAATGTTTTTAGAATGTTGGATTATTCGATTGTTGTTAGCCGCCCTGAGCCCGGCTTCGGCTGGGGAGGGCGGGATATAAATAAAATTTATTATTATTATTATTATTATTATTATTATTATCAATAGGATTTCCACATACTTTTTTGAAAAGTCTCTCGTACATGCTAAGCATGTAACTACATCTAAAATGAGCCAATGTGGTTTAGTGTTTTCAGTGCCAAACAAGAACAGGGAAGGTTCTGGTATAAATTCCTATTCAGTCATGAAACTCATTGGCTAACCCTTACAGGGCTGTTGTGATTTATTTATTTTTAAAGGAGGGTGGGAAGAATAACCAAGGATATCCTTGGAGGAAAAGTGACATGTAAGTGAATAAAATAGTTATTTGCTATTTGTTGCTTGTAATACCAATTATAGATACTTGACTGGCAGATATATATAGGACCTAATGCTTAATGTGATATATGAATAAGATACAATACTTCTACATAAATACTTCTGGCAATTATTATTTAAGAATATATACCGTACCTAATTTTTAAAAAGTGTTCCCTGTAGTTTACTTTGCAGCAAAACCAGAAATAGAATTAAAGACTAAGACTATTTTAAACTATGCTCTTCAAAATAACTACTTGTTCCTTTAAAGAGTTACTTCAGTTTAACCTAAGGTTTTTCTTTCAATCACACCAATATAAAATCAGAATTAAAGTATTAAATTTTAAGCCTTTTAAAATCTAGTCACTTGACTACGAGTCATTTGTAGACTTTAATTTCAAAATAGAAGCCAAAATTATCTGAAACAGGACCCTGCAAGTAAAATCTGTTATTTTACAAACCCTCTTTAGTACTTTCCCTCAGGATCTTTCTTTCTTGCAGAAAGAATCCAAAGTTATTTTCAACTCTTATGCTGTATTAATTGCACAAACCATTACTATAACCTGCTTTATTTCTCTCCTTGTAAAGACTACTTCAAAACCGCATCTGGACAACATTCGCTACAGAATGCTAATGGCAAAGACACAGATTGTAGAACAAAGCTGTGTTTGGAAAATGCTTCATCAGTGTCAACTGGCTTGTAGTTTTGTAAACACCACTTAATATTTTATTCAAAAAAGTTTGGCCATGTTTATTTGCAAAATAGTCTCAATTTTGTGCTTTTAAAAAATGTATCCACAAAGCAATAAGCATGTCACTTTGGAAAGTGCATTTTTGGATGTTGCATTCAGAATTAAAATCAGTGTGTGATTTCTTAGTTTAATTTCCTGTATAACCATCCAAGACATATTACTGTTCACTTGAAATAGATAGCCAGATGTAAAATACTGAGGAAGAATGGTCATTATTCAAGAGTAACACCTTTTAAAAATGTACATAACTTTGCAAATAAATGGCATAGTTGTAGCCTACCCAATTTAATATTTTCTTTTCTAAGAATTATTTAGAACTTGTTATTCTTTTATTTCCATAAAGGAAAATCTCTTACTAAACATTTTGTATATTTAAGTCAATGAACTCCCATCTCCCAGACTTTTCATTCTGATCCACTTGTACTTGCTCAGATATATTTCCAGAAATGACCAAGGAAATTTGCAGTGAGGAATTTACTCATAGTTGAAATGGTAGATAGGATAACTCACCTTTATGTAATCTTAATGTAACATCATAATGATACGCTGGTGGGCCTTGCTGCTATGAGGTGATTCAATTTTCTCCAAGTAACTGTTTAATCGGCCTACATCTAACAGTGCTGCAACATGCTGCTATATATCTCCAAATCAGTTCTATAATACAGTGGTGCCTCGCAAGACGAAATTAATCCGTTCCGCGAGAGTCTTCGTCTAGCGGTTTTTTCGTCTTGCGAAGCAAGCCCATTGACGGATTAGCGCTATTAGCGCTATTAGCGGTTTAGCGGCTATTAAAGGCTTAAAGGCTTAGGGGATTAGCTGCTAAAAGGCTATTAAAGGCTATTAAAGGCTTAGCAGATTAGATAAAGGGGGGGAAAAGCGAAAAAAAAATTTCAAGACTCGCAAGACATTTTCGTCTTGCGAAGCAAGCCCATAGGGGAATTCGTCCTGCGAAGCAACTCCAAAACGGAAAACCCTTTCGTCTAGTGGTTTTTCCGTCTTGCGAGGCATTCGTCTTGCGGGGCACCACTGTAACTGAAATGGGTTCTTAGTATCTACACTGCAAGTTTAGAATGTACTCTCTCTAATGTTAATACAGCACATGGCAATTTTATATTTATTCCCATATCCTACATCTTGAGGCATTTGGTGTTCTCTTACTTTTCTTGCGGGTATGATGTAATGCCAGTAAGGGAATTTATCACTTTTATTTTTTGCTTTTTCCTTGCTATTTTCTGAATACTTGAGGCCTTACCAAATAGGTTGGCTGTTTTCTAAGTGGTGTATTTTGGGTGGTGAAAATTAGAGGCCCATCACAGGGTGTGTATAAACCTGTGCCTAAGGGGAAAAAATTGAAAATCTTCTGCTGTTCTGATCAATGAAAAAGAATCCTTGAGAGAGAACACGTGTTCCCATTTCTGTTTTGCCATTACATTGAATCATGTGCTTTATGTCACAGTAGGGTTATAAAACAGGCTGTGCCATGAAAAAGTTCACTGTGTTACCCACCCACCCATGAAACCTCATAGTTATAGATGCTCCTGGGAGTTCTGCCAACCAAAAACATTGCCAGAGGCTTCCTTTCACTGATCTTGGCCGGGCATTTTTAATGAATGCTAAGACACACTTCTACACGTATTTTGTAAAAATACCAATCAGGTTTAACAATTCCTTTAAAATCTGAAGGTGTAGAAAAAGTATTCTTGAACCTTCTTTTCCAGCAGCTATATAATGACGACTTGGTGTATACTTAAAAGGTTGGTATTTTTATCTTTTCAAGTAAAGTCATAATGACAGAAGTAGAAACAGTGCACAATGTGAAACACTATTGGGATAAGGGAGGCAGAAAGCATCACTTGATCCTAGTAGTTTCTTCAGCTGCAGCATTTGTTTTGGTTTCAATGAGTTCTTCTACCCTGGCAAGAACACTCTCTATCAAATCAAATGTGTAAAGAGCCGAGTGGAGAACCTGAAATATTAGAGAAAATTAATGTTATTTATTGCATATTTACCAGTTTGTATTCACTTTGAATACAAAAGAAACCTAAAGCCCACCTTCCGACATTTTAGCAGCTTCTCCAAAATTAGACCACTCACCTGAAGCTCCATTTCAGTTGTCATGTGGGGCATCTTTTCTCCAGCTACTGTTAAAGAGCAAATCTTCTTGGAAACATGAGATTCTATAACATGAGATTCACACAAGAATAAGTGTGTATCTACTTGATAGGCAAAACTAGACAAACTCACATCATATGGCAAAATCAATTCTGAACTTTTATTTTTTAAAGAGCCACAGATTTCTGATCTTTGTGACCAAAAATAACTACTTTCCAATGGCAGAGTACAGGTTTGGCCATCAGAACATCTTGGTCTCAGTCCTTTCATTTTCATTTAAAGATCTTGGGGAAAGATCTCTGCCTAAAGCCTTGATGAAATGCTGCCAGGACAGATGGTACAGGACTGCAGTCTCACACAAAAATCATGACAAATATGTCTGCTTTTCTCTCTTTTAATCTCTATAGTCTTTTGTCTAAAATGCAGTCTGCCTTTCCTGCCTCGATCTATTTGCACACAATTTCTAAACCTTACATACACACACGGATAATGAAGTCAACTAACCTCTTTTGTTATCTTTTTTATTCTTTATTTCTGCTTCATAATGTGCTCTTGACATATTAAGTCCAGTGTGCAAGGGCTTCAGGAAATTTCTTTCAATTTTGCAAAGTTCTGTCCACACACAGGTCTTAGGAAAGAAAGAAGGGGGGGGGGGAGGAATCAGTTTGTAATGTTGCAGTGAGAGCCACGAGGCTAACAGAGTGTTTTCTTCAGGCACATAATCTGCTGGTCTAAGGAAGGAAAGGAGTTTAAGAAGTATCCTGTAATGCTGACCTATATTGCAATCTGCTAAATCCATGTAGCCTCTCCAGCCTTCTAACTGCAGCATTTGGCATACTTGTAAATGAGGCTTCAATGTTATCTTTGCTAATGTGTCCTATGGAAAAGATCTGCATAACTTGTCTCTAATCCAGCCCAGTACTGCCCCACCAGCAACATGTTGCGGTGTGACAGATATTTCAAAGTCACACACCTTGCTGGGCAGTCACTGAATCTGGCTGCTTGGCTACCAATTGTGTAAGGACCATGAAATAAGCTTCACAGATTCTAAACTTCTGGCTAGCTTTTTTCTTGACTGAGATTAAGAAAAATAGGTTTTACTACTGACTTGCTACAATTTAAACCCTTGAGAGTTGCTGTTTTTTAAAATGCTCTTGCGACTGGCAATCAAATGAAAATACTGATCTAGGACTGTCAAAGAGTTCCCCTCCTCTCTAGGCAATTCAGAAAACAGGTTTTTCCTGTGTTAAGAGATGTACAGAAATTCTCTTCTCCAGTTTATTTATTATAATCAAAGTACAATGTATTTTGTAAGCAAACAACTTGTGTGGTATTCAAAGCCGTATCAAAGAATAGTTATTATGGACGAGTAGAAGTGTGCGTGATGGTTTACTTATCATGCCTGTTCCATTTAGAGGATCTATGCTGCTGTACAATATATAGCAGTCCAAAGATGCAAGTTTCTTTTTTGCTTGCAGTGTTTAACATGCCAATTCCTGGTTAACAATGTATTTGCTCCCCTACTGACACAGAACTTATTGGTGTTTTTTGGGATAAGTGGTCTACCTAGAGTTGAAGCAGCCAGAAAACTAAAGCTACATTGGCTTTTTTTAAGTGGCAATGAACCTCAGCTAAATGGTGCACACTCAAGAGCATTAGGAAATAAATCTGATGCTGAGCCTGTGGCAATATTTAAATCTAAATTGCTCCTTTGATTATCTCAGTCCATTTATCCATCAAGATGCAGCAGCTGGATAGGGATATGAGAATGCAAAAACCACCATATCAATCATAAGCCGTTTCACTTGAAAGTGCTACAACCGTTGAATGTTTAGCTAGAGCAGCACTATGAATACTCAATGTTGTAGGATGTGTTAAGGCCAGAGATGGGCAGAGGAGTTTGTGCATAGGTGGAGCAGGGAGAAATGGGCTGATTAGTGCAGCTGTGCCTTTTGTGACAATGCAAATGCCAAATACACAGTAAAAAATAATCATGTAGAGAAAGGTGCACAGTGGTAAACATCACTGAAATTCAAAATAAAGTTTTCAACTGATAAGCTTTAACTAATAAGCTTCATGGGTAGGATTGCCCCAGACTACTCCTTACTAAGCTGTAGCTCAAAATGTATTTTATTCACCGTTCCTCACCTTCAGGTTGTTTCTGCTTTGGTGGCTAAAGAACAGAAATTTCCAGTAAAGTGCTCAGTAGGAAACCATCTATTGCTGGTACAATTATAGTTTTAAGATATCCTCTGACTCTTTGCACAAGCCCTTCCCAAGGAAACCTGAATATGTCAACCTTACTCTTAACTTTAGTCTGTACAGATAGGAAGACAGGAATTGGAGTTCCCCTCTCAGACACCAGAGTCAAAAGAGCTCGATTATTCCCATAAACTACAGCTCTAATGGTACCCAGATGTTCTGAATGTGCCACATATACCGTACTTTTCTCTTTATAACACGCAGATTTTTTCTCCTAAAAAGTAAGGGGAAATGTCTGTGTGTGTTATTGAGCGAATGTGTGGTCCCTGGAGCCGACCCTCCCGAGCGCAGGGGCAAAAATCAGGCAAAAATCCAATCGCGCGCATCAGGGAGAAGGGAGCTCCGTGAGAGAGGAAGCTGTTGCTTTCCTGCATTCTGCCTCAGAGTCTTACTGCCCACCCTCTTCTGTTTCGGTTGCTATTTGCTCAAACGGAACAAAGAGCAGGCAAATCCCCTCCCCTCCAGGCAAGCAGAGGGGAAAGGAAAGGATTGCGTCCTTCCTTCTAATTCCTCTCCGTGCTCCGGTGCTGCTGCGTTTTAGGGACTCCCAGGCAGCCGGAAAACATGCAGGTGGGAGAGAGAGAGAGAGAGAGAGGGCTGGCTTGGGTGTGTGTGTGGGGAAAAACTTTTGCCTTCCTTTCCTCCCTCCCGTTAAACCCCTCTCCTGCATTCTTAGCCAGCTGCTTCTCTGCACACCCCTCTCGTGCTCCTTGTCCCTTCTGTGTTTTTCCTTCCCTCCCCACTTAAAACGTGGTTACAAAGCACGGATCCACATAGATCCTCAGGATCTTTGCATTGGGTCACCCAAATTCACCATCAGATCACATTACATGTCCATGGCTACAGCCTGCACCAAAAAAATCACGCACCCACTGCTGCTTGGGGCTGCAATGGTGCAAAAACGTGGTTACAAAGCATGGATTCACATGGATCCTCAGGATCTTTGCATTGGGTCACCCCAAATTCACCATCAGATCACATTACATGCCCATGGCTACAGCCTGCACCAAAAAAATCATGTACCCACTGTTGCCTGGGGCCACAATGGTGTAAAAACGTGGTTACAAAGAACAGATCCACAGGGATTCTCAGGATTTTTGCACTGGGCTACCCCAAACTCACCATCAGATCACATGTCTGTGGCCACAGCATGAGGTATAAAAATGATACATCCACTGTTTCATTCAGAATTTCCCCCCCTTGTTTTCCTCCTCTAAAAACGATGTGCGTGTTATGGTCAGGTGCGTGTTATAGAGCGAAAAATACGGTACTTCCTGCAGCCTCCACTCTTCAAAGGCTGAATGGGAGTGTCTGTATTACTACGGCAGGGAAAATCTCATCTAGATCAGGAGGGAGTTAGATTCTATGCCCCATTGTACCCTAGAAGTGACCCAAGGCTTGACACCATGGGAAATAAAAGCCTTTAACCCTGCCACTCTTGTTCAGTCTAAGGTATTGGCAAGATCTCCTGACCATGGTAGGCTTCCAATTTCCAAATGATTCGCAAAAGCGATTAAAAAATTGAGATGTCTAACACACATTGTCTTAATTAAACAACTCTGAAATGCATTGATTCCAAACTGGATACAGGAAAGTCACTTACTAGTTATACACACTAAACTGCAATTTCAGAAACAGTAAAATGGGAATAATCCAAAATTAGGTGTACCTAAATCCCACTGAAATAAAAGGGATTTCAATGGAACCTCATCATGCACAACCCCTCAAATAATCGAAATCCACTAAAATCAGTAGGTTTTAATACTGATCCAAATCAGGTTGTGTGCTTGATTGATGCACCCTAACTTCAAACTAATATTTGTTAATAAAAACTGATATGTAAGGTAGTTTACATGATTAGCAAGTTAACTATTTATATAAAGCTGGGGTGCAAGGTCTTCAAAAACAGATTTCAGTGAACAGGGCAACGGTATTAAATACACTCAGAAAATGGAGGTGAAGCGTTGCTTCTGCTAGAGAGGCATAAAATTATTTTCCAGATCAGAATAGAACCCTCCAAACTGGGCTGCCTTCAAGATGCTGAGCTATTTGCCCTCTGGCAGAGCTGAATTTAGCTAAAGACAACAGTTCAGTAAAGCATGTTTACAGCAGCAATTATATTGCTGTTATCTGGCTTTGCTGCTCTCTCTTTTTCTTATTGATTTCAAGAGCTTTGCTTGCAATGCTAAATTCAGCCTACTCATCGCCTTGACACAACAAGATGAGACTTCACATCTTATATAATAAGAGGCATGCTAAGCACTGCTTTAGGTAGTCTCAGAATAGAAGATACTAGGGTGCACTCTCATATTACTTTACTGTGGGGGTGGAAGAGGAGAAGAAATCTTAAAATGATTAGCAGTCTCTCCTGTTAAGAAAATTGGTATTCATCATGGACTGTTTAAGATGGACATAAATACATATTTTATTCAAATAAACCCATCACTCCTGCTATTGTCAGAATTGGCTTAAATCAACTGTCAAGCTGAAATTCAGTTCAAGTGCCCTATTGTACGGTTGACCTGTTTAGAGGATGGAGCTGCAGAAAAGGATAGAAAATGAAGGAGCTTCATCCCAGTTGAAAATTAAAGAATAAATGCTTCAAGGCTAAGTTGTCTAAAGACTCATAAATAAACCCTGACATTGCTATTTTATCCCCTACATACTGAGAAGGAATAGAACATTCATGGAAAAATTCTCTGCAATGAAGTAGCATATTTAAAAATAAAAAAGTACTTTCAAATTCCAAATGTCTTGTAGAGATATATTTAGGGAAATATGCAAAATTCAGAGATTTAAAACTTTGTTTTTATGTAACCAAGGAAGCATTATTTACATGTGGCAATTCAATTTCTGCTCCGGTACACATAGACAAAAAAAGAGCTTTATCACATTTAAGAGTATTTCAACTGCATTCTTTTTCACAAATCTTCAGTGATTGTTAACACATCTCTTTCTCTCACACACATGCACGCTCTCACACACCCCAATGTAGCAGGGTCTTTTTTTTAATTCATCACTTACTTGATTATCATTTTCATTATCCTTAATGACTAAATATCGCAGCAGGTTTAGTGATGCCATAATCCTGCAAATTAGAAATATAGAATCAATCCCTTGCAGTCTACATTTTTCTTCCACAGAAGGATTAATTCCTCCACTGGAGGAATTAATGTGAAACAGGTTATGCTGGAATACAAAACAGATCTTGCAAAAATGAAGAAAAGATGGAGCAGGCTAGATTCCCCTCCCTCCTGTAGAGAATCCCTGGAAAACCTTTGCAGACTTTTATAGTTTATCAAGTGGAATTAGCCAGTTATACCCAAATGAACTCCTTTGGAGTGTTAAATTACAGTAAAACTGGGCAAGTAATTTAGCAGGTATAATATAGTACTCCAAGGCAACTGGTTTAAAAAGCAGTAAAACATACAAGATAACAACTGAAATCTTTCTTGGTTGACCAATAAACTATACTGATTGTCGGGGGGGGGGGGGGGAGGTAAATCATTCAATTTGAATCTTGCTTATTTCCAACAGAATAACCATCCTACTGGATTGCCTGTCTCACTGAAACTACATAGCTAGCCCACTTTCCCACTATAGTCATGTCTTTTTGTATCTGTATGTCATGAGATGAACAGAAGGCAGCTTTCTTTAGGCATGTACAGTAACAGAAAATCGAGCCAATGCCCCAAACTCACTATTTGAAGTGGTAATATCACATACAGAACATAACTTGCCTTCCAAATAATTTCTTCAGCAATCAAAAATCAAAACCAAAAAAATCAAACAGTGATACATGGAAAGCCACCTTATAGAGGATCAGACCACTGATCCATCTATCTCAGTATTGTCTGCACTGACCAGGGTTTCAGAGGCAAGAGACTCTCCCAGCTCTATCTGGACATGCCAGGGACTGAACTTAGGATGCATGCAAGGCAGATGATCCACCACTCATCAACCCTAGTGGTGACCACTAGGCAGAAGTGAAAAGTCTTTGCCGTCTACAACAACCCTTTCTCAACTCTCACACATTCATTCAACTCTGGATTGCCCAAAAGATGCTACAGGCAAGCTCAGCTTCTCGTCACTTCTCCTCATTCCATTGATATCAGAAAGGTCCAAATGTGACGTCTCAAAACCAGATTCCACAGAGGTTTTGTAAGCTAAAGCATACCTCTCTGATCAGGAGCCAATAATAGCAGGCTGGCTTATAACCAGGCTTTCATTTATCCTTTGGTACCAATTCCTTGAGTCCTCTGGAAAGCACAAATGAGATGAAGGATGGAGGCTTTTTCTTCCCCAAGTCTCCATTCAAAGTGGGGGAGGGGGAACACAGGGGGAGAATTGCCAATTAGTGTTTCTTTTCTCCAAATTGAAGGGCAAGTGACATAGGCAGCTAAGAGTCCTCCTTGCCAGAGGGTACAGAGTGCTTACTTTCTTGGCAATCAGATTTATGTACATCTATCCTCAGCTCCATGAACTGCCAAGCCCAAGAAAACGATTGCATTAACAAAGGTTCTATAGTTTCCTTTAGAGGAAAGTTTCCAGAAAATGTCCAGCCCCTCTAATGGCCATTTAGACTGCCTGGGGATTCTCGATGAATAAAGATGCTGGACATTGGTACAGTTTGGAGTTCCTGCAGCAGAGGTACAAGTTCAATGCTCTTTAAAGCCCACTAAAAGACAAGATGAAATCTGATTCACATTTTAATACTTACAGTTAGGAACATGGTCTTAATTACTGAAAGTCAAAAGCAAAAGACCCAAAGATTATTTCCCCCCAAAATTGCAGTTCTAGTCTGATGGGCTTCTGATCACCTGTAGATCTTAGTGCAGAAAGCTCTGGTAAAATAGGCTAAGTGTTAGTAAACTTAAGTTAAGTTGCCAACATTGTTTTAAAAGCTGCACTGAAGGTAGCTGGGGGGGCGGGGGCTCAGCAAAAATACTTTTGCAATTATTTCTCACCTGTCTGAGTTCTGAAGGAGATCAGTTTCAGCACCTTCAGGAAGTGACAGTATTATGTCTAACAGTGAGGCCAACTGGAGTCCAGTGAAAAACTTACTTCCCGTTGTACTCTGAAAAGCAACATACAGAATAAGAAACAGTTGATATGTTCTTTGTGCAGCCAGGAGATGAGCAAGTTCCAGAAAAGAAACTACTAACTTTGTATTCCAGTTGCATTATATGAGCAACCATATATTATTGCTTCTTACTCTTGCCTAAAATAGACGCAGATTGCAGGCAAGGCTAAGTCAAACAGGTAAGGCTCATTGCTCATTTGCAACAGAATGACTGGGAAGGTGCAAAGTGGCGGTGATCTGCTCTCTGGAAGCCTGTTTGCTTGTTCACTCATGCCAGGCTATGGTTTGAGTCAGCATTATGGGTGAACGATGACACAGTCTTTCCACAACATTGCATTATTATTTAATTCCTTTCCCTTTAAGATTGATCCTTAGGATTTAAAACAGGTTCAAGATGAGAATTGTTCCAGTACACCACCAATGACCACTAAACCCAAATAGTATAATAATAATTAGAATAAAGTGTTGCGTACATTTCTATGAATGTGTTTAAGCTACATGAATCATACAGCTTTGCAAGGTTTGGGATTTTTAAAGAGGTGTCACATTTTAAAATGTCCTCTTAACTCTACCACAAAGATGTGGTAATAAGTGGGAATGCCTCAGCAAGAAAAGAGATAAATGCACTTTATAACACGTGCTCTGAAAGATAGTTGTGCTACATGAAAAAGGCCCTTTCTATGATCACTTGCATTTTCAAGTACTGTTTTCTCTGTTTTTACAAAAACTACCATGAACAGTGTGTATCCATGGACCACTTTGAACCCCCACAGGTGTACATTTTTTCCACTTTCTTATCTTCAGTAACCTTCCTTACCTGTAAGGATAAATCAATTTGATTTTTAATATTCTGAATGATGAATCCTTCTACCCCAGAATGGTTACTTGTCTTCAACAAACATCTGCGACACAAAAGATAGAAAAGGAAATATTATGCCCCAAACCATATAATTGCAACACAACTAGAGAATAAAAGACTGCAATAAAAATAAGGCCAATTTATGGTAAAATAAATTAATAGTTATTGGAACTCTAAATTGCCTGATTTTGAGGGGTAATTTGAGAACAGACATACCTGAACAACGTGAATTTCCCCTCTTCTTCAAACTTCTCTATATACAATTGTAAAATCTTTAAACTCTTCTTTCTCTAAATGGAAGCAGACGTAGCAAGGAGGGGATCAGGAAAACTACACTTCAGATGCAACACTTCTAAAAACACATGACACCCAGTTACGTACCAGATGTTCAAAAGGGCACAGCGTCATGACCTTTACCAAATCCTGCCAGTACAAAAAGGAAAAATACAAATTATAAAATGGAAATTCAGATAACACAACTCCACTGAGAGCGAAAACAAATTTAAAATGCTGTTTAAAAAGAACTAACTTGCAACTCACAAAAATAAAGGCAATAGAGCAGTAAAGCTGTAACTCCGTCCTTAAGCCACAATACTGCACATACACATTTTGGAGGGGTCAGGGCAGTAAGCGATCTTGTAAGTGTACTAGCTGCAATAAAGGCAGAGAGAAGTGGATTAAGGAGAGAGTGACAGAGATGCATCAACTCAAGATACTGTATTATGTCCAAGACAGCCACAAGATTATAGCGAGAAGAAAAGAAGTCCATTAACTGGTTGATTCTCTATGTAATATAATCTACTTAAGTGAGCACTTTGTGCAGTCTGCATACATGCGAAAGAGAATTGAGTTATGCTCACAATGTTTCTATATTCCTGCTGGAGCCTTCTCACATCATAGTTCTGGGGAAATCCTATTCACATCCTCATTTTGACCAACAAAAGAACCATCTTATGCTCTACATTTCATTTTGCACACTTAAAAGGTGGGAAAACCCACTGCAATTATCTGGGTGACTTCTCCTCTTACAACATTTTGTTCTTCTGCTCCTATATGCTTCAAGCTGCCATCCTAAGTTCACGCTTACTAGAGAGTCAAGTTCTACTCTGGTCAGTGGGACTTAGTAAAGATTCAAAGGATTTGGCTGGAAGTTTCAAAAATACTCATAATCAAAACAGCAACTAGTAAAGGGAAGTGTTCAAGAGGCTGCGCTTCAGATATCACATTAGGATGTATTTTGGATTTGGGGGGGAAATGCAGGAGCAAAAGCTTGGCTTTGCATTTAAAATATAGGATGAGGTTCTGAAAGTGTTCACAAACTTTCATTCCGATTCAGGTAAGTAGCAGTGTTGGTCTGACGCAGTCGAAATAAAAAAAATAAAAAAATGCCCAGTACCATCTTATAGACCAACTAAGTTTGTTCTGGTATAAGCTTTCATGTGCATGCACACTTCTTCAGATACACTGAAACAGAAGTCACCAGACCCTTATATATAGTGGGAGGGTGGGGTGGGGTATGTTTCAATGTACTCATTTCACTGCATTTTGTTGCCCCCTTTGAAAATGGAGAAAGGGCTTACACTGCTATTCTAACTTGAAACATACATGTACTGAATTTGATAGCCATGTCTTCAAAGTTCTATGAAGTTTTGGGATAGACTTCACTTCACTTTGCCATTTACCAATACTCTACAGGACTATTTAACGTAGGTGGAGGCGAAGCTTCATTTTTTGCTCTAAAAATATCTACAAGGAGCACATCCCAGAAAATGAAAGAAATAAAATCTTAAAAAGAACGTATGCTGAAAGCTTTAAGCCTTAGATTGAAGGTTTTAAATGTTTGTTTGTATCAGCCTGTTTAGTTAGCCCCGTCTGAAGCCTTTTTGTATTAGTCATATTAAAACGCTGGGTAAATAATTAAAGCTTATATTCTTTTCAAAGCACTTGGGAAATAACACATTAGAAAGTGTAGCATGAGTAATTAAAAGTTTATGGTTTCCATCATATTACCTGAGGTGTTGTAATGAAGCCTTTGAACTCCAAATACTCAAGCAAAAGGCTATTATCTTCCAGCCTCAGTAGACAGTTCTCCAATAGCGCCTACAAATTAAGTTAATACAGTAGATTGATTTTGAAGGACCATGGGTATTAATCTCATTTGTGCAATATGAACATTTCCCAACTGATAGAACAGAAAACTGGGCAGAACAGAGCAACCACTATGAGCTTTAAAGAACTGCCCATGTAAGCATCGTAACGTTTTCTGTGCAATTGAACCAACGGATGGAGGCGAATGTACCTCTGTTTTGGGGCGACACACGAAGGCAGGACTTTAAAGTACTGGACAAACGAGTACTTTAGAAGTCCTACATTTAACTGGAATGCAAGTCCCGCATTGAATTGGGAGCCACTTTCGTTTTCAGTTAGCAAAATGGTCGCTACTATGGCAAATGGGGTAGAAGTTAGGAGGCAGGACCTAGAACGCACAAGGACCTTTCCGAAATGCCATGATTCTCCGTACACAAGATTAGTGGGATCCCGGTCAGCAAGGATCCTATCAGGGTTTGCCTTCCGCATGCCACATTCTTATTGAGCCCTCTGAAGTGAATGGGGGAAAGGTGTGTTCAGGAGGCATCACTGGGGTAGTGGCTAAACCTGCTTCCTGATGACCCTGGGAATCAAGCCTCTTCTAGTTTAATAGCCCTACCTTTTCTTCACTGTAGCCCCATCCTGGGTTCTGTTTTTAAGGCTACATGAACAACATACATTTAAAGCACATGGCTTCCTTCCAAGAATCTGGGGAACTGTAGTTCACCCCTCACAGACATACAATCCCTAAGTACTCATAACAAACTACAGACTCCAGGATTTGGGCCACAGGGGAGTCATGTGCTTTAAATATACACAGCCTTAGTCGTGCCTGACAGGATGTTGGGAATTTGCAGATTCAATAGAACGGGCTTTATCCATTCCGAGCAAATATGCTTAGACTGTTTCAATGTAGCCATGTTTTCAGACTCTACATGAAGGCCTGAATTAAAAGTGTCCCCAGGGCTTTTGACAGTGTTTTAAAAACACCAGCAAAAATACAGCACAATCTGTCAAGCGTGCCTCCATTTATTTTCAGCTGCAGAGGGTGCAACTCCTCAGCAAACTACATTCAAATTAATAGGGCCTGGTTGCTTAGCAACAGTGTTTAATGGATTAGGCCAGGAGGGACGGCAGCTCAGGAGGAGGAGGAGATGTGCTTTGAATGCGGAAGGGCCCAAGTTCAATCCCTGGCACTTGAAGTTAAAAGGATCAGGTAGAAGATGAGGAGAGAGACCTTTGCTTCGGGCCACAAAGAGCCACAGCTAGTCATCCAGAGTATAGACAATACTCGGCTAGGGACTGACCAATGGTAATCTGGTTTACAGCACGTCCAGCTTATGCCTTTCCAATTGCTATGTCAGGCATTTAAACTTTGTGCAAGTGCACATGCTACAGATAGAAGCATGCTTAGGGGCAAGTCATGCTGCAGCCGTAAAGATACCTGCTTAGAAGTAAACTCCATGGAAACGCATGCAGCTGAAATGAATGCCAATAAAGCTATATGCGGAATCAAGAGTGATGCCGGCCAATCCTACTTCCGTATAAAGAAACAAGTCACACCGAGTTCAGGGAGACTTACTCCGAGGTAGACATACAATGAAGGCCGCAAACTCACATCCATCTCATCATTTAAAACAGGGGTGGCTAACCCTCAAGTTTGGAGGCTTAATCAGCCTCCACAGCAATTATCTCTCCTCCCTCCCAATGTCTCTTTTTTGCCAGAAACAGCAAAAACGTATTTTATTATTAGACAGTGATGGGGTGCACAGATGAAGATTGTTCCCTCAGCTGTAATCAGATTGTTCATTTGATAAGCAGGCAGGGGGCACTCCTTCCTCTCAGCTGATCTGCATGGATCAGGTGGTGGGGCTGTGTGCCCCCATAGGTCAGAGTGTTTGCAGGGTGGCTGCACCTTCCGTTGGTACCCAAGCCGCCACAGGTTGGCCAAGGGTGAATGTGGTCCTTGGGCCAAAAAAAAAAAAAAAAGGACACCTCCATTAATTTACAAAAACCAACATGATAACAATAGCCAGCAAGACTTTCTGAAAGCACAGGGAATGGTAGCATGTATATAAACACTGCACTTACAAGTCCTTTTGATAAAATAGATTCTTCTGTCCTGCAAAAAAATTAAAACACTTATCAGTTTAAAAATGCCAGTTAAAAATCCATCTTTTGTTGCCCTTTTGTTGCCAGTGTGGTGTAGTGGATAAGAGCGGTAGTCTCGTAATCTGGGGAACCAGGTTCGCGTCTCCGCTCCTCCACATGCAGCTGCTGGGTGATCTTGGGCCAGTCACACTTCTCTGAGGTCTCTCAGCCCCACTCACCTCACAGAGTGTTTGTTGTGGGGGAGGAAGGGAAAGGAGAATGTTAGCCGCTTTGAGACTCCTGAAGGGGAGTGAAAGGCGAGATATCAAATCCAAACTCTTCTTTCTCTTAACAGCCAAGATGTGCTCTGTTTCCAACATATTAGCCTCAGACCTCCTTCCTAAGCAACTATTTTGCAAAGGGTCATCAATTTGAGCAATTTCCTGTGATGCTTTTGTAGGTGCCTGGGTTATGCAAACAATCCTGCCTAAGTCACATGGTACTCCTGTAGGTCAGATCCTGCACCAACTTTTGCTACAATTCCTCACTCCACTTGCAATCTACTGCTGTGACGGTTGCCACCCTCCCCAACCCAAGTGTATGAATGTAGATGACCACTCTTGGAAGAACAGATCTCCTTAGGTTAAAGAAGCAGCATTATCCTTTGAAGCTGGAGTTTAGGTACCAATTTTGGGAGGCTCAAGCCTTCACTGTCACAGCTACTACATTTTCAAAAGGCACAAAGCTGCCTCAGCGTGATTTTTTTGGTTTAAGCTTCTTTAACTATATTTTTTATTAAAGCATCGTTCCCTTTCATGAACAGGCTGATAATAACAGGAACAAAAGAGAAAAGGGATGGATAGCTTACCTTTTCAACAGAACTTCAACATGCACCATGTTGCACTGCAGAATGTATGATGGGCTACAATAAAGAGTAATTCATAAGTATAACCTACAAGATACACAAAATCTAGGCAAGAAAGTAACATCCATTCTATGTTAAACCATGGGTGGAGAACCTATCGCCCTCCAGATGTTGTTATGCTTAAAACAGGTGTAGCTGTAGCCTATCAGTGCAAGTGACAACATACAGCATGCCAGCCATATGAATAAGTTCACAACAGATGCTATCCCACAATTTTTTTTATTAACTTGCCTGCCCACTGTTATATACATATGTAACCAAGGGCTTGTCTACACTTACCTTTTGTCATGCTTTTTCCAGGCACAGGTCCGTGCTTTAAATGCCTGTGTCTGAGCATTTTATTTTATTTTTGCCCAGAATTTTCCCTATGAAAATCTGCTCTCTAGTTCTCAATCACAGCAAATGTTAATTCTGGTTTCCCACAGATTGGCGTTTGCTCCGACTGATCGCTAAAGAGCAGGTTTTCACGGGGAAAGTTCTGGAGCAAAAATAAAAGGGTGCTTGAGACATGGAGCTTTAAAGCAAGGACTGTGCCTGGAAAGAGCACCGAGAAGGTAGGTGTGGGTAAGCCCTAAATTTCAACTACAAAAGAAAACCATCTTCTGTTAAGCTTTGTGGTGATTATAAGCTGTCAGGCTTTGGGAAATCAGCTTCCTCCCCCGTGGCAGTAAATAAGATGATCAAATGAAAGGAACACCTTACCAGTTAGATTCTTTAATAATCACAATGAGAGACAAAAGAACATGTCTCCCTAGAAATGGCGGTGCTCCCAATTAAGACTCACTCCCCCTTCCGTCCCTATTAATCTACGCCACTCTTACGTCTTATAATCTGAGCTTGTGCCCTCTGCGTTTTCAGTTCTGAGACTTTCTGAGCTCTTCTCGACTTTGGGGAGGGCAGTGGAGGAATGCTGTCCAACAACTGTGAATCTATTACTCCTCTCTCTCCCAGTGTTTCTTCTTCTTCTAGCTGTTCCCCATCCAGTATTTCCCAGCTTCTGCCATCTGAACTAGGCCCCTCTGCAAACCACTGTTCCAAATCTACGCTGTCCTCCTGTTCCTGGGAAGATTCGGGATCAGGGGGAGGGGGTGGCTCCCACCATTCCTCCTCAGCACAGTCCCTGACACAAGCCTCCAATCCCTCTCTTTTTAAAGTACTTACTTGAAGACGACTGGAAGGCAATCCATACCAAAGCAGTCCTGAACAAACACCATATAAGACAGACATGCCAGAGACTCTGCTGATTGCTCTTTCTCCATTTCCAGTATGTCCTCATCCCAGCATTCATATTTGCGTCTATCCCAAGAGAATACCTTTGGGAGCAATTCTCTAATATCCAGCAAAATGCCCTATTGAAAAAAAGAAGAGGACTTGCTGTTTTCCATGCCTGGAGATATATACAGTGAGCAAGATACATCAAAGTGATAGGAAAGAAATAGATTTTTTTTTCATAAATGTGTTTTTGTATTTAAATTTCATTAATATTATATTTCATTAATTTATCAATCACCTTTAACATAAGTCACAAGGTGATTTGCAATCACACAATAAACACACACACACACACACACACACACGTACATATAATATTTAACTCTCCCACAAATATAACACAACAAACACTCACGGCAGCAACCTATTTTTAAAAAATACTCCAACCTGCTGAAAAAGCTTGTCAAAGCAAAGCATGTCTTTAGTTGCTTTTAAAAAGGCTGAAATAGTGGGTGCCTGTCATAATTCAACAGGGATGGTGTTCCACAAAACAGAAATAATCTAAACTTCTCCTTAGATACAGCTTTTGCTTTTTGTTATAATAGTAATAATTTTATTATTTATACCCCAGCCATCTGGCTGGGTTGCTCCAGCTACTCTGGGCAGCTTCCAACACATATAAAAACATTTTTTTTTAAAAAATCAAACATTAAAACCACCTGATACAGGGCTGCCTTCAGATGTCTTCTAAAAGTTGTATAGTTATTCATCTCCTTGACATCTGAGAGGGCGTTAGATGCAACCTTCTCTTTTCACTAATATTTTTATATCTTTTTATAACACTTCGAGGATATATACATATATATATACACACACTGGGGTGTGTGTGTGTGTGTGTGTGTATATATATATATATATATATATATATATATATATATATATGGAAAGTTGTGTTTGCATATAATAAACACCAATGATGGTGGCACCCTAAAATATCCTCAACTCAAAATATGTTAACAGCCATAATAGAATACAGGTTTAAATCAGATATGTGACCACCTGTTCAAACTACCAAATTACAAGCTCTATTTTGGTTCACTGTTACGTTACAAAAAGCCAAATATACAAGCATGTGCAGCCTGAGGTTCCCCTACCCCCCACACCTTAGAGAATCCATATATGAATCCTGAAAATGGGAGGAGGAAGTCTGTTATTTCACAAGTATTAAAAATGGCAAAAAACACCACTACCAAATAAACACTCAAGGTGCACTTACTAGTATGTCCGCAGCAAACTGCCTTAGGGAATACTGAGGAGGATCTTCAGGCAATTGATCCAGCTCTGCCATTAGCAGGGGATATTTCAAGCTTTTCAGGCAACTGAAAACCAAAGCGTTCAAGCACGTTACAGGAAGCATTCATGATAACCGCTAACAAAGGCATCAGTAACGGACATTGAAATTGAAGGAAAGAAAGAACACACCTTGGAATTTAGGAACTGGCACAATGCCAAGAAATAGTTGAAATACTGAATTTATTTTGTAAAAACAAGCCTTGTCGCTTAGAACCTGAAGGAAGAAAGGCAGGATATACAAGCCCTGCAGCTACCGAAGACTTTGCTGGTTTGGGGTGGCGGGAAAGAGAAATGTGTGGGACCTTAAGAAAAAACTGAAGTCCACAACTTGTGGGCTTTTTTCTTGGTTTTTTTTATGCCCTGCAACTTATCAATGGATTCTGCTCTATTACTTTGAAATAGTTGAAATACTGAATTATTTTTTAAAAAAAATAAGCTTTGTCACTTAGAACCTGAAGGAAAGAAGGCAGGGTACAGAAGCCCAGGAAGTCCCTCACGTAAAGACAAGTAAGCAGCCTATGTGTTGGCGGTATATTTCTTACTTTGCTTGTCAGCCCAATGCTCAAACATGTTTGTCTGCTGGCAAACACATAGCACCATGCTTTATTATAAAACCACTTTAAGCAAAAGTTATGTGTGTGTGGGGGGGTACTTACTATTTTAGCAATTCCTCCTTCAGTTCTTTGTAATCTTCACCTGATGAGGTCTCCATGTGTTTAACAACCTCCTCCACAAAAGGATTCACAAAAGGTGTTAAAGCATTACAACACTGGCAAAGACCATGCTTGTCTTCTTGTAGTTGTTGCTTTGTGTAAGGTACTGGCAGAAGCGAAATCTGGTTCAAAATGGTAGACAATGACAACCCCACCGAATAGGCTTTCTTATTATGGAGTTTCAGAAGCACTAAAACAAAGAAAAACAATTCCAAAATGCTCGTTATGTTGTAATGATTAGATATACATTTTTTTTCCATCCAAGAAGGAACTGAGTAAAACGGGGTTGTTGAATCGACACCAGCTGTTGCTTCTAAGCTTCACCATGGTCTCATTCAGAAATGGACATTCACCTTCTCCCTGAGATGCTCTATGGAGCTCAGAAGCTTTAATATCATTGCCATTGGAACGTGGTACAATAAAAGCCAACACCTCTCCCTTTCAAGTTATATAATGCAATGCAAAAAAGTTAAATCTACTTTAGAACTGGAATATACAGTCGTACCTTGGAAGCCAAACAGAATCCATTCCAGAAGTCTGTTCAACTTCCAAAACATTCAGAAACCAAGGCGCAGCTTCCGATTGGCTGCAGGAATCTCCCGCAACCAATCGGAAGCCACGGAAGCCACGCCAGACGTTTGGGTTCCAAAAGAACGTTCGCAAACTGGCTCGCTTCCGGGTTTGCGGCGTTCAGGAACCAAAACGTTTGAGTGCCAAGGCGTTTGGCTTCCGAGGTACGACTGTATGTAGCTGGTTTTTCAATCATATCCTCTCCCACTGAAAATTAACAATGTTAGATAGGAAGCCCATAGGTTGGTAACCAAGTTATTATGGGCTTTGATATACACACTGGATTTTTTAACTTCTCTTTTGGAACAGCAGACACAAATACAAACCCCATGCTAAACTAATTTTGCTCTGGATTCTCAAGGTAATCTTGGGCAGGTTCTTATCTCAGCCTCAGCTTTCTTTCAATAAGAAGGAAAGGGTTAATAGTGGAGGAGCCCAGCAACCAGGAATGGGCAGAATAGAAGAGCTTCCCCATTCTGTGCTTCCTGCTGCAACCCCTCGTTGGGTCCACCATCACCCAAAAGCAGCTGCGGGGACCCTCTGGAACGACACCCAATGCTTCTGGATTAGTGAAATAGTAAAGATCATGGACTCTCCTCAGTGGAAGCAGAGATGTTCCTACTTGTGCGGCTGCATCGTCTGATCCAAGACAGTATTTCCACCCACAGAGTGGTGATTGGGATGAAGGAGGAGATAAATTGTTGCTCAGGGTTGTTGCAAGGATAAAAAAAAAAAGGAGAGAAAGAGAATCTCCATTCCAGTGCATCGCTGGGAGTGGATTTGCACCTCAGCATGGTGGTGGCAGTGAAAGCAGCTGGCATTTCTGGTGCATGATGGGAAAGATGGGTATGTCTAAGAGACCAAGTAGCCAATCAGCAAAAGCTAGGCTCCTGTAGGATGGGCAGAGCTCAGGAGCAAACCTGGGTGAAGACTTCACCAACACAGGTCCGCTCTAGGGATCTAAAGGAGAGAGAGACTCAATGGCACAGTTTTGCTTTAACTTTCCCTCTCATCTTGGCTGTGGCTGTCCTCATGGAGTAGTTCAGCTCACTCTTCAGACCAGGCTTTCTCAACCTCGGCCCTCCAGATGTTTTTGGCCTACAACTCCCATGATCCCTAGCTAGCAGGACCAGTGGTCAGGGATGGTGGGAATTGTAGTCTCAAAACATCTGGAGGGCTGAAGTTGAGGAAGCCTGCTTTAGACCTTGCTAATTGCTACGGACAGCAGTCACGAAATTAAAAGACGCCTGCTTCTTGGGAGAAAAGCAATGACAAAGCTAGACAGCATCCTAAAAAGCAGAGATATCATCTTGCCAACAAAGGTCCGTATAGTTAAAGCTATGGTTTTCCCAGTAGTGATGTATGGAAGTGAGAGTTGGACCATAAAGAAGGCTGATCGCCGAAGAATTGATGCTTTTGAATTATGGTGCTGGAGGAGACTCTTGAGAGTCCCATGGACTGCAAGAAGATCAAACCTATCCATTCTTAAGGAAATCAGCCCTGAGCGCTCACTAGGACAGATTGTGAAGCTGAGGCTCCAATACTTTGGCCACCTCATGAGAAGAGAAGACTCCCTGGAAAAGACCCTGATGTTGGGAAAGATGGAGGGCACAAGGAGAAGGGGACGACAGAGGACAAGATGGTTGGACAGTGTTCTCGAAGCTACCAGCATGAGTTTGGCCAAACTGCGGGAGGCAGTGGAAGACAGGAGTGTCTGGCGTGCTCTGGTCCATGGGGTCACGAAGAGTCGGACACAACTAAATGACTAAACAACAACAACAAATTGCTATGGACACCTGCCAGTTACTGCACTCAGGGCCCGGGATTGGCTAGGTGTTGCCTGTTTCATAGCAATTGCCACAAGTGTTTGGTGGAAGGGGCATGGGGCTGGATCCTTAGTGGGGATGGGAGAGCAGCACTTCCTGTCTAGAAGCCCAACTCAGGAGCTAATAAGCCACAGTGTCAATCTCCAAACAGGGTCTGCCAAAAGTGAGTTGCACTATGCAGGAACCATCATGCTGGTCAACTCTGGGTGCCAATCAACCGGCAGGCAGGCTGGTTGACCACTGAATAAACACCCAAGGCCTACATCAAACCTATTGTGGCCTAATTTTAACCCAACACACGTTCTTCTGGTCTTCATTCGCCGCCTGCACAGCTTGTCACAGACTCACTGCAAACATGTATGTTGCTTAGAGGGCAGAATTAAAAGGGATACCAAAGATGGAAATAGGAAGCAGTCCCGACCAAAGAAGACTGGCAAACCAAGTTAATGGAGGACGTTGAAATGGCGAAATTAACTGGAAAGCTCAGAAATCAAGATGACAAGAAATTTTAAAAAGAATGGGAAATATTTATCACGTATTTGCAAAAGTATTGTTAAACAGGTTAATACATTGGAAGGATTTTAAGAACACTTGTAATTTTTAAAAATAGTATAGGAAATTTGAGGTAGAAAAAATAATTTGGAATAGAAATGATATGCAGTTGAAAAGAAAATTAAAGGAACCGGGGTGGGGGGGGAGTCACGGGATTCAGAGAATTCCATTTTATGGATTTGATACTGGTTGCTGTTGTGTTTGTTGTTGTTTGTTGTTGGTTCTGTTGTTTTTGTTGAAAATTTAATAAAAATATTAGATAGACAGATAGATGATAGATAGATAGATAGATAGATAGATAGATAGAATTAAAAGGCATATATATCATGTAGAGATAATATATAAGTACTAGTAAACAATAATACCACCATCACTTAGGATGCTGTCCCTTAAAAAGTCACAAGTGAACGACATCTCTTAACTGGCAAGGTGCTCCACCACCCTCTCTTGTGTCCAGTATCCAGAAAATAAATGCTCATTACCTTCCTGCAGAGGCTTCAGTAAAATCAAAATAGTTTGAGACCTATATTCCCCGGAGGCTTGTTCAATCTGCTCCAAGAAACCCAGCACAAGCTCTTTGGGACTGCACAGCTGCAAGAAAGGAAAAAGCCAGGTATTTGTTGCTCGTAATGTTTATTTTTGACATCGTTTGATAACAAGCCACCATTTTTACAATGACAAGCATACGGCAAACCAGTGCATCTTATACAATAATAAATGGCATCTACCCTATTCTTAAAAACCCATAAAATGCAAAATTAAACAGTTTTCGGTTGTTCAGTCATTAACTCCGCATATGCTTGCATAAAAGATCTAAAATTATCCATGCACGTGCTAGAAAATCTTACCCAAGGCAACCTCCTCTACAACTCCAGTTTGAAAGGCACACTAAGCAAGGGGCTGCCAAGGTTTTTCTGAGTCAGTGGCTACATCTGTGATTTTGAGAAAATGCTGTGGGCACCAGTCACAAAATGGTTGCGGTGGGAGTACGGCATAACACAAAACAGCTGCCACATCCAAAGCAGCAGAGAAAGAGACAGGATCACAAAACTGTGGGCGTCCAATCCATGCACTCAATGAAATGTTTAAGGCGGCATGTTCAGTGTGAGGCCGAGTCAGTGCAAACAGGAAACGAGAAGGGCAGCAAACAGTCTCTTGTGCATTTTGAGGGGATATTTACAGAGACCTTTTGTTGGCACCATAGAAAGCACAGCTGGTTGCACTAGCGTCTGTGGGCACCACATATTGGCAACCCCAACACTAAGCCAAACCATGGAGGAACAGAGTGGCTGCAATCTCCTCCCTTGTGAACCTGTGCAGTTGCATGCTTAGCATTACATGCAAACTGGGTCACAGTCTCAAGCAATACAATCTAGAATTCCAGCCTCACTTATGCAGATTTAACTAACCTAATCCACCTGGTCCCTTGTTGCTCATTTAAGTACAGTCGTACCTCGGAAGTCAAACAGAATCCGTTCCAGAAGTCAGTTCGACTTCCGAAACATTCAGCTTCCAAAGTGTGGCTTCTGATTGGCTGTAGGAAGCTCCTGCAGCTAATCGGAAGCCGTGGAAGCCCTGTCAGATGTTCAGTTTCCAAAAGAACGTTTGAAAACCGGAATATTCACTTCTGGTTTTCAATTGTTCGGGAGCCGAAACGTTCGACTCCCAAGGCGTTCGGGAGCCGAGGTACGACTGTAAACTCTTTCTCTCTCCACAGAAGGACCACCATTCTCCCTATCCTCACACACTTCCACACACAAACATTACTCCCTCAAGGAGCTTAGATCCTAAGAATGTCTCCTAACCCCATCAATCAGTGAAGAGGAAAGCTAAAATATACTCTTTAGAAGAGTCCCGGCTATAAGGATAGACGCTGTGATTTACCTCCATCAACTTATCTAATATTTTCAGGCAGTGTTCTCTCTCAACTTCATCTTGCTTATACTTCACCAGGCACCTGATTAAAGGACCAACAAGATTCCAGCCCATGCTTTTGACAATAACCTATAGGGGGGGAAAGTTCCAAAAGGCAATTTATATGACAACAACAAAATGTGCATTGTGTGCTTTGCTTAAGAAAGCCAGTAATAAACACCCTGCAGCTGCAATTGTAATATTTATGTATAGCTAAATAATGGTTTGCTGAGAACATGCCAGTATTGGGAGCAACAATAGCAGCTTGAAACATCACTATTGAAAAATACAAAAAAGGTATTTCTGCATAGAGACACAAGTCCACCCACAGGTTGCCTGCACCATTTACTTAGTTACGGAGATAGTAGGAAGAGACTAAAGATGGGGAATTGTCTAATGAGGAACTGTTGAGATGGAGTCTTTAAAAACACTGACTTGCTATGGAAGAGATGAAAGTACCAGAAAGGAGTTACACTGTGGTGCTGGCAATGCCCAGGTTGCAGGTTTGATCCCTGTATGGGACAGCTGCATATTCCTGCATTGCAGGGAAGTGGACTAGATGATGCTCAGAGTCCCTTCCAACTCTACAATTCTATGATTCTATGAAAAGACTATATGCAAAGGAGTAGCTCTCCTGCCTTGGGAGATCTATATTAGAGCAAGACTGGGAAAATACAAGATTAAGCTTGTTATACTGCAAATATTACTTGCCCTGCAATTAAGAGGAAAGTGTAGAGAGAACTTGCTAACTGTGCTGCAGCCAAACCAACTGCGACTTCTTTATGAGGGTTCAGAGGAATCTGGTGTCCCCCCTAACAAATGAAGTTCAGTGTCTGCTGTTTCCTTATACCTATGAGACCCAAGCCAAGATCCAGGAAAGGCCAGAAGAATGCCTCCTTGCTGTAATCTCCTTTTATAGTTTTTGTTTTGGTGCAATTCAAAAACAGAAATCTTCCTCCCAAAAGAGAGACTAGCCCCAAAACAAAGCAACGCAGGAGGGGTGGATGCCACAGAGTGAACAATCTATCACCTAACTGGAGGAAAGGAAAAAGGTAGGCCCTGTGCTAGTAAATATCAAGGATTAGAATATTAATAAAGGAGAAGAGCTTAGTAAATGTTAGGAGTCAATATTATTAGAAATATGAATTTGGAGAACTGTCATACAGGTGATATAATGAAATTCAGTTAGAGGGGATGTGAGGAAGTCAGTTATTAATGTTATGTGAATTAGATATATGAAGAAATAATTCTTTTTTGTGTTTAGCTTATTGTATTGTAAAGTATTTTTCTTTGTTGTGTGTTTTGTAATGTCTTTTTTGTCGTAAATGTGGAAAACCAATAAATATTTTTGGAAGAATTTGGGGGGGTCTGGCTCAGTGACATTTCAGAACACAGGCATGTGTGGAAAACTCCCATGACATCCTAAGTTTATAAACTGTCAGGCCACAGGGTGGAAGCCCAGTCAGTCATAGGGGTTAATTCCTTTAATTCCAACCGTTTTAATAAGGCTCCCTTGCCTTGCTGGCCAAAGGGAGTGAGCCTGGATGTTCCTAAGAAATGCAACTGAATGTTATTGCCCCAGCAATGTGTGCGTGGCCAAAATCTGTACAGTTACCTCCAGCTGGTTTTAGTAGTTATGACACAAACATGTATTTTAAACTCACCTTGTTTTTCTCATTTTGAACAACTTCCAGTACATCGGCGACATATCCTTCTTCAAAGCACTTCTGTCCCGCAACTTGAAAAAGGTTGAAGTCTTCCCCTTTGAAATCCTCTTCTTCCAGAATTTGCTAGAACACATGTTTCCCATTGTAATTCACAATATGCAATTAAAATGCACAACACTTTAGCTTCACGATGCTATACTGATTCCGTATTAAGCCGAACAAGATTCTTTAGTCACATACAGAAGAAATCTGTCAGCAAGTTCAGAGACTTAGGGTTGTATTCAATGCAGCGCTAAGGAGATTGTTCCCTCAAGCAGCCCAAAATGCTCGTGCTGAAAGAACAACCTCCCCTTTTCTCCTTTGGGGTTCTCCCAACCCAGAATATTTGGGGAGGACACAGTAGCAGGAGAGGAGGGGAAAATCCTGCAGTAGCAGGCATCCTTGTGCAAGCTCTCCCTAGTGGAATGAATGAATTGAATATGGTCCTTTGTATTTCCCCCAAAAGCACGGTCTTTTCGAATTATTGTCTCCAAACTACTGCCTATTAATAAGGCTTCGACACAAAGTGTTTTTGCTTTTGCTAGGCAAATGAAGGGTAGTAGCAACAGTCCCCAAACAGAAGAACAGAGTGGACGATCAATTAATGTTGTACTGTGTTACCTGTAGAGTAAGGATGAGGAAACCCAAGCCCAGAGACAACATGGGGGTCATCCTGGCCTCTTGACCCACCCCTCAGGATTCTCCCCAAGCCACATTCTCACTAGCAACAGATCACATCCTCCTTGAATGCTTTTGCCTGGCTGGGATGCACCCTTGAATTATGACAATGCCTCTTGTTTGCCTAGACAGATGGGAAGGTGAGGGTATGTCCACAGAAACCTCTGAGTTTTGTGTGGTTGGATATTACCTAATGCATAAACCCATCTCCCACTGGCTTGCAGCCCCCAGAAGTTTCCTCACAAGGGCATGTAAAAACAATTAGATCAGTAGGTTTTGCCATTTGGTATAGTTTCACAAGCAAAACAATCACTTACACATCTTTGTATGATGTCTCGAAGTTCATCTTCAGCCATTATTTCCTGATCTTCAAGGACTCTATCACAAATTAAAAAGACAGACTTGAATGAGACTCACTTTAAACTAAATCAGAACTGGTTGAATGTCTTTCTTTTCCTTTTCCCTCCTGCTGACATTCTCCAACAGAAAGTTATGGACAGACCAGCTAGAAAACTACTGAAGTAAGTCAGCAAAGGTAGGGTGCTGCCTTGTAGAGAATCAGACTCTTGTACCTCTGTATTGACTACACCAGGAGGAGTCAATGTAATGTCCTCCAGTTATTGGGATTCCCGTCAGTTGCAGTCAACACTGGCCAATGCCATGGGATGATGGGAGTTTTAGTCAGCAGCATCTGCAGGAGAACCACACTGGCTATCTATGTCCAGTTCTCCAGGCCTCCAGACAAACTAGGCATTTTGGGGTACTTCTTAGGGCTCATGTGCCCCAGCAGGGCAGACTAGGGTGGCTCTCCCACCCATCACAAGCTTGGCAATGCGGCTGTCATGCTCCTTGTCACACATTTATTTACCAGGCAGCAACATTGTTAATGGCCAGAGAACCAATTAGATTGAGGATTTACATGGTGGCAGGCTTCCATTACCATTTTTTAGCCCACCGGTGAGCAATTGAGTGACCTTGGAATCTGCAACAGCACCACTGCCAGGGAGCCCAAGCGGTGGCAGGTCCTAAAGTAAACTAATCAATGCATCAGCAAGTTCAGCTTTATTTATTTGGGCCTGAATAGAGACAATGGCTTCCTTCCCCACTGCAGATGTTCATTAACCAAGATCCGTCACCTAGGCTGTTATATCAGCACTGCTGCTGTAAAGGGTTACCATACTGATCCTGCATAGGTCCTAGCGCTAACCCAAATGCGGTAATCTGTACTTTTTGTGCCTTTTAATCCCCTCCACCATGACACCTTGAAGATGCGTCTGATGAAGTGGACTGAAGTCCATGAAAGCTTACACCATAATGCATTCATCCCAAAGCAGCCTCTCACAAACCTGGTGCTCTCCAGATAGACTCAAATAGACTCCCATTTGTCCTGGCAAATGGAGGTGGGAAGGCAGCCTCAACATCCATTGCTCTCCTACTTATAAGGGAAGCTTTTCAAGTCCTTTTAATCCGAATTAAATGCGGCACGCCTCAGGCTTCCTGCAGCCTATGGAGCATATTATTACAGTTCTGCTGAGTGCTGCTGTGGCATATCCACACCTTTATATTTTTATGCAATTAAAAAAAAGAAGAGAGAAATGCGAGAGGGGTCCTTTTATGTTTCATTTGAAGCAGTTAAAAAAAAAAAAAGATACCAGAACGGTTAAAGTGAAAAAAGCTGGGAGTTCAGTTGCTTACAAACCAGGGTTTCCCAAACTTGGGTTTCTGGACTACAACTCCCATCGTCCCTAGCTAGCAGGGCCAGTAGCCAGGAATGATGGGAAGTGTAGTCCAAAAACAACAACTGGAAGACCCAACTTTGGGAATCTGTGCTATAAACGGAGAGAAACGGGTTTGCTGCTCTATCCCTTCTCTCTATCCCTTTTTTCTTTTTTAATTGTCAGCCCACCATGAACTAAAGACGACTCCGCTTACCCGAAGGAGCAGCCCCGCCGCAACCTCAACTGGGCCTTGTGGCGAAGGCGGCCGCCGGCAGCAGCAGAAGCGCCGCCCCACCCGACAGCACCTCGGCGGTTGAGAGCTCAGAGGCGGCGATGGCGGAAGACAAGCCGCGGAGCGCCGCCCAGGCTAGGAGCCGCCATCGCGCAGGTAAACGGGAGACGACGGCGTTTTCTCGCGCGCACCCCCCTTTTCCTTCCGTGGGCCGTTCCTCCCCGCTTCCTGTGCGTGCGTAGCGAACGGGGAGGGACGAACCAACCGGCGTTCCTGGAGGGGTGACCGCGAGGCGAAAGAATTGCGGGGGGGGGGGGAGGGATTGAAGGCGTCGGGAGTGAGAGGACAAAATGCCCCCCATGCCACACAGACAGTGCGAGACTCCTCCACGCACCTAGGGGCCCGAGGTCCCTTCAGCCCCTCCCATAAAATATTTGAGGGGGCAGGCCTCCCCACAAGCTGTTGGGCATTCAAATGGTGTGCCTTGTGGTCTATTAGGGTTTACCCCCCCCCCCCCAGTATTTTATTCAAGTTTACAGTATGGGCATGGCCAGGATTTTTTGTTGTTGGGAAAGTTGAGCTTTTTTTGGGGGGGGGGAGATAGCCCCCAAAGTTGTTTTTTTGTAAGTGGGTGTGGTGGGCAGAACTATAGTTGATCGAGAATTTTTACTCATTTTTGAGGATTTACATGCATGCCTGGCGCCTGCTAAGTCCACCCAAACTCCTTTTGCTGTGTGCTTCGGTTTTTAACATTGGGCTTGCTTTCCTAGGAAGCGACCACCACTGAATAGGATGGGTCCCTGCTTTTGACAAATGTGGCATAGGTTTGCGCTCTTAAGAGGGCAATTCCCTATAAAGTTACTACTGAGTGTTTCCTGTGGGAAATGTTCCTCTGCAAAACATGGCTGGGATCGAGGTTGGGTGGCCACCTGCCAGGGATGATTCCTTCAGCTGTGGTTCCCACACTGCAAAGGGTTGGGATAGACCAGCCTTTGGGGTCCCTTCAAACTCTACAGGATTCTGTGTTGCACACCTGCCATTTCATCAGGGGCAGGGGAACCTCACCCAACACAGCCAGAGGACTTGCTTTCAATTAAGCTCACATGGCTCACGCACTCAAATCGGGCCAGACTGTAGCTAAGCGGAAAGCGCTGCATATATATGGGGAGTTAACCGACTCCCCCCCCCCCTTGGCGGTGCTTTTCTGCCTTTGCCCACGGCTACATGAGGAGATACGTACAGCACCTGTTAAACTCTGCTGTCAGAAAACGGCCTTGCCAAAATAAAACGTAGGACCTCAATTTACAAGGGTGGCGTTCAGGGAAACGGCAGGGCTTCGTCATGTGCACAGGATTCTCTTATGGGTCATACGTGTAAGGTGGTGCCCATTTACTTAGGTATAATAAATAGGCTCATGCAAACTGTTCTTCAAAATGTTGAAATACTGCTTAGCCTAGTCCTGGCCCTTTAACAGGAGACTGGAACAAATTTTAACCTGTGACACGTTTCCTGGCACAGAGATGTAAGGAGAAAGCACCACTTGCTTAAATTTGGCCTCTGAGGCTGCCACTTAAAGGAGCAACACCGGGACAGAGACTTGGCAACTCTGCCAATGAAGTGATTGGTCCTGTAAAGTATTTCAATTCTGTTTATGAGTGCATAATATAATAGCCTTTCAGCTTACCCATCTTCCATCTATTCATTCAGTATTGCTAATTTGGGCTACGATGGCCTTCTGTAAACAAGCCTGGGCAGTAAACATGTAAAAACAACTTTTTTCCACAGTTTAACTTTCCTGAAACTGTGTATGTGATAATGATTCAAATATATTAATTGGCACTTAGTGGTGTTGCGTATTTACCTGGACTCTTGTTCTGCAGGGCAAGTAGTCATCTTTGCAGATGGTAAAAGTTCGCTCTAAAATTACACATGCAACCAAAGACAAATTGCAAAAGTCTCCTTATGCTTTATGGCGTGCTTCTGCAGTGTACATTCAGCTTTTTTCTCTAAGTATTTGCATACATAATTATAGAGAACTTTCGTTTCCAGACACCTGTATAATACAATTCACAAACTTCTATAAGCAGACACCAATGTACTAAATGCATTAAAATGCATGAAAGCACTTTTTTTTGAAAAGAGACTCATGAAAAGTATTCCCCAAATGTCTTAAGTCAGTATAATCATTTGTTTGCATGTTATTATTTTTAGGAAAGAAACAGTCGAGTGCTTTGAAAAATGAAGATGCTGCACAAAGGTATCATATCTCTAAACATAGCATAGTTAAACCAAATACTGTTAAACCAACAACATCTGCAAGGCCACAGGTTTCCTATACCTTGTGTTATTCATATGGTTAATTTGTTCTCTTGTAGGAAGGCGGCGCTTGAAGCTGCCATTAGAAAGAAGATTGAAGCTGAGCGAAAAGCCTTGCAGGTTGTCGAACGTCTGTTGGAAGAAGATATTACAGAAGAATTCCTTGTGGATTGTGTAGGTCCTCTTTTTCTTGGCAAGTTTAATACTGCTTTGTGTTTCAAAAAGTTTGTTGTTACTGTTGGATAAGCTTTTGCCAGCCTCCTGTATATCATCTGCACACTCATTCCAGTCCAGACGTAGTTTGCAGACACTTAGCAATGCATTTCCGTGTTTGCTCAGGAATGAGTCCCACTGTTTTAAATGAGGCTTACTGAATGAAAGTGTTCTGTGTTCCAGTGCACAAGTCCCATTAAAATCAAAGGCGCATCTTACGTTTGCATTCTTTGTCCCTTCAATTTTCATGCAGAGATGCATATACCTATTAGAAACTTACAGACTGCTTGTGGCTAACCTAAGTTTCTCTGATTTTAGTTAAATCATAGCTCATTAAGGCAGGATACGGTAGCAAAGTTGGGACAAAGGAGGGGTCTTCTTTTGCTTAAAACAGGAAATAGTGTGACAAGCTTGAGGGTGGAATTTTAAAAATATGGCACACTGTGGATGGTCCTGAAGTATGACCGGCTTTTCCCAGAGTGGTACATTCAAGATTTCCAGTCATAGTAAATTGCTTGTGGTAGAAATAGAACAGAGCTTAGGAGTTAGGGAGTTCCTTGATCTTTTTAATGCTACTCTGTACAGTTCAGGCTGCGACCCAATACACCCTTATGTGGGAGTAAGTCCCCTTGAACAAAGTGGGTCTTACATCTGACTAGGCATGCATAGGGTTGTGGTGTCAGATGATTGTTTAGATCTCCTCAACCCTGAAAAGAGTTTTGGTCTCTACCAAACAACCCATATTAATGCCTTCTCTTAGGGCAGGGCATTTTCAGCCCACGGGCTGCATTGGACACTCCACTCCTTCTTTATTTGCTCCTCTCTTGCAAGCAGCAGGTGTCCTGGAAGATTTGAGGGAGTAGCAGATACTACGGAGTCCCATCAGATATTTGTAATCCCATCCAGACAAACAAGAGGCATTATCAGAGTTCAAGGACATATTCCAGCCAGGCATAAACACTCAAAGTGTGAAACAGTGCCAACAAGGGGTGTGGCTTGTAGAAAAAGGGACGTGGTATGAGAAGAGCTCAAAGGACCAGAGACAGACAGACCTAGAGTTTGTCCCCCACCCCTGCAGGCCTGATGTTCCCCATCATTGCTGTAAGGCATTTTCTGTTCCCCGATTTTGCAGATGGATGCACTGAAGTGGGAAGATAGTGACTTCTCTAAGGCTGCACAATGAGCTCATCATGGAGATGAGTCTGAAATGGGAGACTTCCTTGTTTGTAACTCAGACTCTTAGTTTTCAGGGCTCCTACATATTCTGACAGCCCAATCTGAGGCACTTTTCCTTTGGGTGTTGGTGGGAGACTCCATGGATTTCCATGAAAATGACTTCCAGTAAAAACAAACAAAACAATGTTTTATTACAATTTCAGAACTTAATGTTTCATTCTTTAAAATCCTTCTAAGAGAGTAAGGTACATTGCACTCTTGCTGGGCGACCCTAATCAAATTGAATGTTGCAGCCACCTACTTGGAAATAAGCCTCATTGAAGAAAATGTGACTTCTGAGTAATCATAATTACATAGTCGTGCATATAAGCACCACAAGTGATGGCAGCTGGAAGATGTGCATCATTTATGCAAAATATTTTAAGCGGTCTCTGTTCTGTTCCATCCTGCCAGAGGAAAAGCAGTTGTTGCTTCTTTGTTTTCATTCAGAAAAAAATTAGAGAGAGAATCTAAAAGACAGACTCCCTTTGTCATTGTTCGCAGTTTCTGTTCCTTTTCCAATTTTCTGCTGCTTTGTTTTCTCGAAAACGCTTTTTCCTATTCTAAACTTTTTATTTGTTTTGAGTTTCAAGGCAGTACCCTGTAACTTACATCTGTGTGTTTTCATATTTTCAGGGGAAGATTATAACACCTCCTCACTATAAGGATGTTGTGGAAGAACGCTTTATCATCAAGTTGTGTGGCTACCCCATATGCCGAAAGAGGCTACAGAATGTAAGAATCTATGAGTGGCTTCTTTATATTTCTGCAGTTTTGCATCTGTCTTCCTGTGTTGGAGTGTGGTGTCTGGTCAACTGAACTTCACTGGTGCATGGACAGGAATCCTTGGTCATCTTTGTGTAGATCAGCCTTCCATAATCTGATGCCTTCCAGATAATATGGACTGTAACTCCCATCAGCTCCAGCCAGCATGGCCAGTAGTTAGGGCTGATAGAAGTTGTAGTTCAAAATTCTGTAGGGCACCATGTTGGAGAAGGTTGGTTGAGAGACAGTGGTTTGGCCAAAGTCACCTAGTAAGCTAACTGGCTAAGTGAGGATTTGAACCCAGGGCTCCACAGCTTTAGATGATTATTTAATTTATATGCCATTTAATGCCCAAGCAGTTTACAAGAACAAAACCCAATTAAACGAGCATTAAATACAAGCACCCATAATTAAAATGCCCAATTAAAATAAACAATAAAACAGTCTCATCAAAACACCAACATATAAAGATCCATAATTAAAATATGCAATAAAGCAATCCCATTAAAACAGCACAGTAATTAAAACGGGAGACTTGAGTCAAGATTATCTGTTTGCACATTGGCCACCTTTCCCTCCCCAGTGTGGCCAAGATAGGAGATCAAAAGCTTTTGCTTCTATTTTCGACTAACTGCAGCTTAGCATTAGGTTTGAATTCAGACAAAATGTGGTTAGTCTTAACTATGATTTACCCAAACAAGCCAACTTCAAACCTTGGTTTATGAAGCTGGCATGTTTCAATAAACCATAGTTAATATTAGCCACAGTTTAGGTTTTGGATGTAATGCTAAACTATGGTTGATCAAAAATGGAAGCAAAAGCTTTTGATCTTGCAGTTGCACCAGAGGAGCACAAGGCTCATGTACATAACAATGCACCATAGTTCATTGCTGTGTCCAATTCAGGTATTTGGCTTTTCTTACAGAGGGTAAGGATTTGTATTTTTAAAAATTGATATAGCTTAGGTGGGGCAGCATGTTGCTCTCCACGTCTCAAGACTTCAAATGCAAGCTGAAGTCCTCAGCATTTAAACAAAAAATGTCAGCAATTTTCAGAAGTGTGGTTTAAGAAGCTCAGTTCAACATAATGTGGTTTGATCAGTAGTGTTAATTATGGAATATTCTTTTAGAGGAGAGGAATGCTAAAAGGAGCACTGACACATTTGCAAAACAGTGTTTGTGATTTATTTATTTTTAGGTGCCAAAACAAAAGTACAAAATATCAACCAAAACAAACAAAGTGTATGATATTACTGAAAGAAAGGTAAGTTTAAAAGCTGGTTGTTACATTATCATTTCTTCGTTTATTGTTGTTTAGCAAGAAATTGGTTCAGTGTTGCCGAGGGCTCTAGAGGTGTAATGCTGGCTGCATGCAAGGTTCTGGGTTGCTATTTCTTGCTGCTGTTGGCTTCTTCAGCTCTTTAAGTTCCTTTGCCAAGTACCTCTTCATGCCCTACCAATTCAGAGCCACAGAAAGAGCAACTTGCAGCGTAATGAAGTCAGTACAAGCTGATTTGCTGAGCTTTGTGACACATGACTAGATTGCAACTCAGAGGCAGAGAATAATTGCTCTTGCATTGCATCCTACTTCCTGTTCTTAGCAACTGGTCTTAAAATGTTAATAATCTGTATTCAGTGTGTTAGCTGATTCTTCACACTCACCAATCTATTAAAGTTTTTATCAAGTTTATATCTATTTTGTTAAGTATAAAACTGACATTTGCTGTTCTCTTGGGGGGGGCAGTGTTTTTGCAGTAACTTCTGCTACAGAGCATCAAAATACTTCGAAGCTCAGATTTCAAAAAGTCCTGTGTGGCTGCGAGAAGAAGAAAGGTAATTGGATAATGTTGTTTGGCTAGGCCCAGGGTTTTGTTCTTGGGCATCATTTGAAAGGGAAACAACACCAAAAACATGCGTAGAAAAATACACTATTCTTTTCTTTTCAGTGCATTTCAAGATAATACCCTTTGTCAAAAGATGTAGCCCAGGGATGGAGAAGATTTTTTTCCAGCTGGCTATTCAGGTGCAATAGCAGGCTCAAACCCTTATTAACCTCTTAAGCATGGTCAATCTAGCTGAACTGCATGACTGTATTTAAAGAGCTGAGGGAGGAACTTGGTTCAGGAATATCCAGCTAAGGCAGAGGGTAGCAAACCTCTGACCCACTTGCATAAGCCTCTCCATGTGGCCCCACAAGGCCATTTTGGCCAAGCCATGCCTATGGCCACCCACCCTACACCTGATTTCATACATGTAGCAGATTAACAGCCTGGGTGAATGGTTTTGCTGGTAACTTTGAAGCCAGAGTTTTGTTGGGTCTGGGGCAGGTAATGGCTCAGTTGAAATGTGGTTTGTGGGCTGATCTGATCAGCAGTGCCTGCCAAGCCCTGTGCAAATCTGTATGCACATAGGCTTCCAAGGCCTAATGATCAGCTGTTTGTTGGGTCTTGTGAAACCCTTTGGAAAGTGGGAGGCTATGTGTCCCCCCAGGATCTGCCTCCTGTTGTGAGCATTAGGTCTGCTCCTTCCAGCTCTGCTGGATCAGGCCCCATTTCAAATCTACTGTATCTGTCTTTTTAAAGGCAGGATTACCTTGCCTAATCTTATTAGAGCAGCTGTCCTAATTTTAGCAACAATACCAAAGGGGACTGTGATTCAGTCTTTGGAAACAGGACACTTGCCTAATAGACTCTTAGAGTAGACCTAGTCAACCTAGGAGGTAGGAAAGGAATCTGACTAGGCTAAAGAGAAAAATTGTGACTTGCAAATTACCAAGTTGCCACTGGGTGTCACCATCTCACTATTCGGAGGCAAAATGCCACAGAAATACAGCAAAAAAACCCACCACCTTATTAAAGGCCAGTTCCAGGTAACACATGTGGATATTGATTAAAAAATCAGAACCAATAATCTATTACTAGGTATCAGTCCTGAATAGATTATTTCTAAATTCCAGAAGTTGGAAGAACATTTTCTTTTTGTGCTTTCAGACCAAAAAAGTAAAACTTCACTTGAATTGCATGAAGTTATTCTGAGATAAGTGCAGTATCCAAAAGTATGTTGCTGCGAGGCTTTCTTTTTTTTCCCATTTAAATGATGCCAGCTTTAGAAACCTGCCCACCTCCCACCCAATAGTGATGCTAAACACATTGCAAAAAAATCATTGCCAACACATATAGTCCTTGATCCAGGAATAGTTGCACCCAAAAAGGTTTTTCTAAAGACAAAATAACATGGAAGTGAAGACAACTCCTGACATATCACAGAGTCATATCAGAAAGAGCTGCTGAGCACCAGTTTTAGGTATTTTTATGATACTTTAAGGATTCCCCCCCCAAAATACTTTGTAAGAGCACATTTTCACCTGGAACTGCATTGTTCTTCCATGGCCTTTGGAATCGCCTCCAGCATAATGCTGCCCCATCGCCATCAGGTCCAAATTGAGCAGTTGGAATGGATGCAAAGAACATTTCTGGCTAGGATTGTTTTCTCCCGATACATTCTAAGCCAGTAGCAGACATCAGGATAGGGTGATGGTCAGTACTGTATTAGTTCCATTGCCAGTGAGTTTGCACCTTGCTGACCGGCCCCTTGCCCCTCCCACTCTTCTTCCAGCAAACAGCAGCAGTGACCCATCTTCCTGGAGGTCAGATAAGTGCTGCTACCCTGCTCCGTCATCTGTTACCGTTCTTAGCCCAGCTATTTGAAGATTCAAGTTTTAGTCTTAAACATGCATAACTGGGGAGTAAGCACCAGTGAAAGCAGCGGGACTTACTTCTGAGTAAACATGCTGTGCTGTATGTTTTTCAAACTTATCCTGATGCTTCCTATTCATGTGCCTTTAGGCACGTAAACGTGCAGGTCAGAACTTACCATTAGCAGTGGTTCTCCTCTCCTCTCCCCAAATTATTGGATCTGATTAGGTGGGTTAATGTTGTTTACCAGCCTGGATAGCTCAGTTGGTTAGAGCACTGTGCTGATAATGCCAAGGTTGCAGGTTTGATCCAGCTGCCTATTCCTGCATTGCAGGGGGTTGGACTAGATGATCCTCAGGGTGCCTTCCAACTCTACAGGTCTATGATAAACCTTTTAAATCATTGCCAGACTACTCTAGCTGTAAACCCCAGTTCTCGAATCATTGCTCAAAATCAATTTAATTTCTAAAATGCACTTTTTTTGTTTTCCAAGGCCACCAGACATTGAATTGCTGAAGGATGGGGAAAGGTACGGTAGAAGTGGTGGTTTCATTTATGTATCCACAATCTGGTTGAAAGAAGTCTTTGATTTCCTGTTCTCTTCTGTCACACGGCCACGGCTCTTGCCGGCCTCCAGAAAGAGCTGTTTGCCTTGATTGTTTCCCCCTTTTGTGATGGCGAAGGGTCTGTTTGATCTGTATGATTTACAGCTGCCCCTAGTGCTGCGGCACAATCGGACCTGTTGAAACATGACACAAGCACAGTGTTTGCTCTCGGGCCCGAAGCATCGGTGTTTTGTATGTGACTTTCTTTGTAACTGAAATGAGACCAATTATATGTGCCGAAAGCTTGTTTACATCTTCAGGTAAAATGTCAAATGGGCAGATCCACTGGTTTTGTATTCATTTAAAAGGAGAGAGAAAGCTTTGGCTGGATCTGCAATCTGGTGGGTTTTGTGTGTGCGTGTTTCAATGGCTTTATTTTGCTTGGTTTCTAGTGGTCCATACTTCGTCTGCATCTAGAGCAGAATGCAATTTCACAGCAGTTGCTCTTCTAGTATATCACTGGGGGCAGTGCTTGTTGTCATAGAAATAGTTAGGATCTATTTATTTGGTCTTTTAAAAATCCCTTTCTTTACAAATCCAGAAATTATTAAACTGGTGTTTCTCAAAGGTCCAGTTGCTTAGGTACACTTTATCCCCATGTGCAAAATTACTTTATTGGCCCAAATGTAAGACACACCCACAAATAAGATGCATCTTTAAAATTCAAGGCTTATTTACGGGTGTGACCCGCCTCCCAGCACTACCTCCCCAAGCTGTCGCCGGCCGCTCGCCCCGTTCAGGGCAGTAGTGCCAGGAGGCGGGCGGGCAGCGCTCAGTTCCGAATATAAGCTGCACTTTAACTTTTCACAAACAGAATTTGGGGCGGAAAGTGTAGCTTATATTCAGGCCAATACAGTACTTCAGAGGGAACGTCTGCCTCCACATCAGCCTGCCCGTTGGCAGAAAGCATCAATCATCTGGGGCTCTCCTCTGGGTGACGCTGCTGTCAAAAGCGAGGCAGGTGGCAGCTAGGGAGAGAGAGGCCCCATCTGCACGATGCATTTAAAGCAGTAACATACCACTTTAAACAGCGATGGCTTCCTCCAAAGGATCCTGGGAACTGTAGTTCGTTAAGTCTGGAGAGTTGTTAGGAAACACTTCACAAAGCTACGATTCCCACAGTGGTTTAATTGTCCGTCTTTCTTTCCAGGGAACTCTGGGACTTGCAGCTCTATGAGAGGGTCTCCTAACAACTCTCAGTTCCCTTAACAAACAAACCTGGGAACAAACAGTTCCCAGGATTCTCTGGGGGAAGCTACGACTATTAAAAATGGCACAATGGTGCCTTTCAGTGTCATGGATGTGAGCCCCACATTGGGTAGAAGATTCCTGCATTGCAGGGGATCCCTTTCAGCTCTACAATTTTATGATTCTGTGAAAAGTGTAGTATAGATAATGGCAGAGAGAGAAAGAGAGCCTTCTCAGTGGTGGTACTCGGTGTAACTCCCTCCCTAGGAAAACACACTTGTCATGAATGTGAAGACCGTCTCTCTCTTCAGATCTCTAGTTAATAAACATGCTTGTTGGTTTGTTTGTTATTAATTTATGGCAGGCATAGGCAAACTCGGCCCTCCAGATGTTTTGGGACTACAACTCCCATGATCCCTAGCTAACAGCACCAGTGGTCAGCAGGGATGATGGGAACTGTAGTCCCAACACATCTGGAGGGCCGAGTTTGCCTATGCCTGATTTATGGCTTGCCTCAAGACATACCATAAAAACAGCTAAAATAGTGACAAGAACAAATTTTAAAACATGAAAATGGGTTTAGAATCAATGCAAAACAAACACCTAAAGCAGAAACCTTTTCACTCAGCTGGGAAAGCCTGTTGAAGCAAACAAACAAAAAACGAATCAGTTATTTGCAGAAAATGGGTGCCTTCCATATCTCTACAGGATGCTGTTCCGTAGAACGGGAGCAGCCACGCTGAAAGTTGCTGTGATGCTTTTATAGCTGCCAGATTCTCCTTTCACTTATTTTATCCTTTTTTGTTTTGTCAATGTGTTTTTATATTTGTTTGCTTCCCCACCCCCAACAGTGGCCACTCTGGGAAGGAAGTAAAATTAGTCAACGAAGCAATCAACACTTTAGACATTGAAAACCCTCTTCCAGCAGCGACCCAGGGCGACTCCAGCATAGACAGTGAGAGCAGCAGTGAGGCCGAACAAGAATTCATATCCTCCGTTCTGCAAGAAAAGAGTGTACATCCATTGCCCAGAAAGGGTATTCTCAAAGCGAAGTGCATGCGGAGAGCACAACCCAAACCTAGCAATGCAGACGCCTCAATTGATGATGCCGCAGAGCAGTTAAGTCGGTGCAAATTAGACACTCGAGAAAAAGAAAATGTTCTGGATAGCTCTCGGATTAAAGGAGCTCCTGTTTCTCTATCCAGTCCTACTTCTGAAACTGTCCGGCTCTCTGAAGGCTTTGGCGATAGCTCCAGCGGCTCGCAAGTAGTTTTCCTGGGTGTGAGCCCAAAAGGGGCAGAACTGTTTAAAAGGTTGCTTGCCAAATCGAAACAGGCTGCAAAGCCTAGCTGGGAAGGCCCAGCCAACCCCCCCACTGCCAAATGTAGCTTGCTAGAAGGGCTGAGGCAGACCTTTACTGAATGGAAGACTGAGGAAACGGTGAAGCTCCTCCACGGCAGCGACGCCGCAGCCACCTATGTCCCACAGACCTCTCCGGCAGCTGACCATGAGGAAGAGGAGGAGCTTGACGAGGATGACTTGGAGAGTGTTGATGAACCTAACAAGGCCGCTTCTGAGAGAGGCGCCCAGAACCCTCTGAGCCAGCCGTTGCCTTTCAAGGCCTCGAGTCCAGCAGCGAAACCTATACCCAGCTACGAGAAACTGAAAGAAGAGACCTCGCAGTTAGAGTTAAAGGTGCAGGAATTTTACAGAGGAAACTTCGCCTTAGGCGAAGAAGATCTGGCAACCGTGTCGAGAGGGGAGCAGCATCACAGCAATGACAATGTAAGTATCTTGCTGGAGAAATAGGCTGGTTAAAGACATGCACACACCCCCTCCTCCCCAAAAAAGCAGTCTTTTTGTAAACCTTGATTTATGAAAGAACTCTGTGCATCAAAGCCGAACAATAATAATACCGTATTTACTCGAATGTAATGCACACCTTTATTTGGCCAAAATATACCGTGAAAATTAGGGCACGCATTAGATTTGATGGCGTGTTTACATTCATCAGCAGATACTTTTTTGGATTTTGAGGTTTTGAAAATTGAGGTGCGCGTTAGATTCATTGTCAAATACGACAATAACAATGCAGATGTAACAATGAAGGTAAAAGATTAGGAGCAGCGCCTTGGGTGCACGCCTGCCTCCTGTCTGTTCACACACTGTCCTTCATTCTCACGTGCAAATTCCACCCCACCTCCTGCTTCCCTTTTTGGAACTGAAAATGGTCTACATTACAAGTTTTTGCCAACTGTAGCTAGTATCCAACGAAGTCTGATGCTAGCGAGACCAGTGGTCAGGGATGATGGGAATTGTAGTCCGAAAACAGCCAGAGACTCAAGTTTGGGAAACCCTGCTCTGAATCAGTATAAGGCAGCTTCCTATGTTAAACGTTAGTCTTTCTAGCTTTGCATTGTCTGCATTGACTGGTAGAGGCTGTCTGGGGTTTCAGGCAGAGATTTCCCCCAGCCTTACCTAGGGAAGTTGGGGGTTGAATCTGGGACCTTTGGCATGCAAAGCAGATTATCTACCACTGAGCTATGGCCCTCCTGTGCAGCATATTTTATGTCACCACCCCCCAAAAAATACTTTTGTTGTGCCCTGTAGGGTGATCATCAGCGGCCCCCTGCCCTCCCGCTTGTAGATTCTAAAGCTCAGCAGCAGATTCGGACACGGATTGTCCTCGAAAAGCTTCGGAAAGTGTAAGTACTTCTTTCACACCTGCTGTTCAGACACCCAGAAGGGAGCCATTTGTTGAATTGGGAGAATCACTTAAGGGGTGAGACTAAATTGCGAGCGTAGGCTAAAGTCCAGCAAAGCTAAATATAGTTTTTTTAATTAACCATTCATGACCAGTGTTCTCAAGGGAGTACATTCGCTAATAAATGGCCTGATTTTGCTTTCTTTCCAGTTTGCCTGCTGTTTTGGGCCCTCTTCGGATTCCTCTTGGGGATGTTTACAGTGAACTTAAAGATCTCGTTAAGACTTTCAGGTAAGCAGAAAAGACTCTTTTCCCAAAACATTTTTTATTGATTTTCCAAATTTATAGACAAACAAACATAAATCCTAACTATAATTGTTCCACTATTGTTAACATTGTTAGGTGACTTCCTCGAATCCCCCTGGCTGAGTTTCAATGTATATCATTGTAAGAGTTTTCCAAAACTAATTTCTCATAAAATTTACTTAGTCAATTAACATCTTTCTTTCTTATCATATTAACTTTAAACATATTATTCTATAACATCACATATTTAATTCCTAAGCCAATCTGGTATTTGCAAGTATTTCTGTTTAAGTTATCTTAACATATTTAGCTAAATAGTCTTTAAATTTCATCCATTCCTCCTGGTACTCCTCCTCCTTCTGGTCGCGGACTCTTCCGGTCAGGTCGGCTAGCTCCCAAAAATCCATCATCTTCATCTGCCATTCCTCCACGGTTGGCACTTCTTGTGTTTTCCAGGTTTTTGGCTAACAAAATCCTAGCAGCAGAAAAGACTCTCAGAGCTGACTGCTGAGATAGCTCGGTCGGTAGAACATGAGACTCTTAATCTCAGGGTTGTGGGATTGAGGCCCACATTGAGCAAAAGATTCCTTCATTGCATGGGGTTGGGCTAGATGACCTTTGTGATCCCAACTTTATGATTCTTAAGCGGCACCAGTGAGTTGCAAGCTACTATCCCTTATTGTGAGAACATGGGTAAAGAATTAGAGTCCTAAAGTTGGAGTGATACTTGTGGGTCATTGTGTCTGGCCAAGTTTCCTAAAGCAGGGTGGCTGAAGGCTAAATCCGGCTCCTATGTATTCAAAAGCATGCTTATTTTACCTAGCGTGCACATCTGAAATAATAGAGAATTTGTAGTGTAAAATCTGGCATCTTGCCCATAATCTGATATCTTTACTCAGAATTTTCTTATTTTTGTTTTGCATGTTAAAACCAAGCTTCCAGTCCTGGGTTTCAAAGGTTTAGCAAATTGTGTTGGCTTTGTTGTTGTTGCTTCAAGGGTTCAGGAAGTGGGAGTTCTATATTGGTCTTCATATTCACAATCTGTCCTTACCAAAGCAATGAAAACCCCCACCTTCTGCAAACTAAAGTAAGCAAATATGTACATCCATCAGAATATCACTGTGATCCTAAAAGTAATCTTGTCTGAATTCATTAGATTAAAGCTGCACATGAAGGCAGTTGCAGTTTGTATATTCTGATTGCAGAGTTTCTGGTGTTTACGTTTCGGAGATTTCTTTTAAGCACAAAAATAAAGACTTCACTATGAAATATGCTGAGTTTGGAAGGGACTCTGTGTGTGTGTGTGTGTGTGTGTGAGAGAGAGAGAGAGAGAGAGAGAAAGAGTCGGGGGAAAGGAAGAACACAACCTCATCATTTTTCATTCTTGAAAAATGATGCAACTGTTCCTTTTTAATTAAGTAGTAAGCCACATATAGGGGCGCAGGTGGCGCTGTGGGTTAAACCACAGAGCCTAGGACTTGCAGATCAGAAGGTCGGCGGTTCAAATCCCCTTGACGGGGTGAGCTCCCGTTGTTTGGTCCCTGCTCCTGCCAACCTAGCAGTTCAAAAGCATGTCAAAGTGCAAGTAGATAAATAGGTACCGCTCCGGCGGAAAGGTAAACAGCGTTTCCGTGCGCTGCTCTGGTTCGCCATAAGCGGCTTAGTTATGCTGGCCACATGACCTGGAAGCTGTACTCCGGCTCCCTCGGCCAATAAAGCGAGATGAGCGCCGCAACCCCAGAGTCGGCCACAACTGGACCTAATGGTCAGGGGTCCCTTTACCTTAAGCCACCTATAACATGTTATGGTAGGTGAGTGAGAAATAAATGATAGCAATGAAATTGTTCAATCGCTTGTTTAGAGTTCACTGGTTATGAATGTAATCTGTAGCCTGGTACCATGTTGTCAGAATGCAGAGAGCATGTGTTCAGGTACATCTGGAATCTTCCCCAACTGTTCTGCATTTCTCTTTCCATCTTCTTCTGACATTTTCACTTTTACGGTCTCCTCTTCAACCTATGACCCCTCTGCCTGCCCCACCTCTCTTGATACCATTGGCTTAGCTGCCCTGATGTCATGGATCTGCTTAGGCCCTGCACAGCTGTGTGGCAGGAAGGGAGTGCTTGGGAGGCCTTTAGAAGTGGAATTCCAGGGGCCACACGATTGTTAGCTCTGCGTGTCGTGAATTTTTGGGAGAGGCAAACCAAAATGGACATAATATGGAACATTCTAAGTCTTAAAATATTTTTAAAAGTTTAGAAGATCATTAGGTGAGTGTATTTCTGCTCAGTGTATTTTTGGTGACCTGTACACTTGGTTATTTATTAGCTATGGGTTGTGACGGATTATGGTGGTTAGCACTGATGAGGAAATTAAGGTCGCCTTTCCTTCGAAGGGAGGCAGAGAGAGGAAGGATCAACTTTAAGAGACATATTATTCCACCTTCAGTGACCTCATGCAATCTTAATGCTATCTTGCTTTCCTAACTGCCTTCTTTCATTCTGGAAGCAAACCATTGTGCATTATATCGGCACTAGTGGGTTTTTGTTTGTTTTTTGTGCTAACCATGGCTACCTCCTTTGCAACCATGATTGGAAATGGATTTGCAAACCACGGTCATAATGCAATGCTGCATTCATTTAGCTCCAGAAATTAAAGACGATAGGTAAAATTGTGCGTCAGGAGGAAGCCCAAGTCTGTGGCCTGTCAGATATTGTTGAACTACAACCCCCATCATGCCTGACCATTGGTCATGTTGGCTGGAGCTGAAGAGGGTTTGAGTCCAATAACAACTAAAGGGCCTCCGGTTCACCATTCATGATGCCCAGCAATAATCTTTTGTAAAGACAATTGTGACTAAAATTAAAACCATCGGCACTTGTCAGATGAAATTACATTAATTACAGCTTGGTATGTGGCTAAAAGGCAATGTTGTAATAGCAAAGCAAGAATTAAAAGAATAATGGTGGTAAGACAGGTATTTCTTTTGTGTGTTTGAGTCTGAAAGAAGCCCTGCTCTAAAAATGCATGGTTCATTATGAAGGGGAATTTAGCTACAAAAACAAACAACCGCCACCCCCAACGACGGTTAAAAGAGCGTGTGGTGAACTGAGCAACAGCCATTTTCAGCTCCATTGGTTTTTAAAGGAGCGCGTGCCGTTCATCCTTGGCTGTGCACCATTTTATTCAATCTCCACTGCTGGGAAGTACACTAAAGAGTTCTCTGGAGACGTTTTAGGAACAGTTATAGTTCTTCCTAAGCAAAGTCCCTCAGTGCCTGTATGCTTTTGTTACGAAAGCTGAGATGTCAAATAATCTCCAGAGCCGTCTGGGTCATTTTGTTGACGAGCGAAGAAGGGAGCAGCGGGAGGGGGGGTGCTGAATAAAGAAGCCAAATGAAGAAGTTTGCATAAAACGGTCCTCAATATTTCTAGACTCGTTTTTTGGACTTGGAATTTTCCAAGTGGAAGAAGAGGAGTAGAGGTTTAGGTCATGGCTGGGGAACCTGTAGCCCTTTAGATCAGAGCTTTCCAAACTGTGTCGCGACATGTTAAGTGTGTAGGTGTGTCACACGAATGCTCTCCGCACTCTTCCCAGGGCTGGAAAGGGTTAGTTTAACCTCCAGTTTGCTAGTAAAACTGAATTACTGTGTCACGAAATGATGCAAAACTGAATTACTGTGTTGCGAAATGATGCATGTCCAAAAAAGTGTGTCACCAACATGAAAAATTTGGAAAGCTCTGCTTTAGATGCTGCAGGACTTTAAAGCCCCATCACCCCTGACCATTGCAGGCTGAGGCAGAGGAGAATTGTAGTCCAGGAACAGCTACAGGCCAGTAGGTTCCCTGGCTCTGCTTTAGACCTTTTCAACTGGCAGCTGGTTTTGCTAGTGCTCTACTTGGTCTAAGGCAGAATTCAAACCATGTTCACCTCTGAATGAATGGTCTTCGGCTTATTACATGCACTTTTACCTTACACGGTGTGGATGTTAACTATACAACCTTCAGAAGACATCTGAAGGCAGCCCTATATAGGGAAGTTTTTAATGTTTAATGTTTTCTTATGTTATTATATGTGCTGGAAGCAAAGTGGCTGGGGCAACCCAGTCAGATGGGCGGAGTACAAATAATAAAATTATTATGATTATAAGTGAAACCACCATTGCTTCCAGCCTTGGTTAAACTTGCCACCTCCAACCAAATGTTTGTGGTGTGTTTCATTTCCGGAGGATTTGCATTTGAAAGGCACATGCATTTTGCCTGACATATAGCAAAGCGATATGGGCTACTAACTTTTAAAAGATGAGAAATTCTATTTTCCACCCTATTGACTTGTGCCGCGCCGAGGCAAATAGTGTTAGCCGGCAGAACTAGTGAACCATTTCTACATGGGACATGCTCTTGACTGTTTCCTGAAAGCTTTCTTTCTCTTCTGAGGCCTTGGCGTCAATGCACAGCTTGTCTCTGAAAGCAACTGCCCTTTCCCTGCTCCTCATTATTTAAGGCTTCACACCTGTAGGTTGCATGCTTCCTTCTTGAAGCGGCTCCTTCGCTACCGCTGTGCAGGTGAGAAACTTGCTCTGGGACAAGAGTTGGAGCTGACGGCTTCTGGCTTGAGGAACCCCGGCCTCTCCTCCCGTCTAGCCATGCAGCCGTCTCTGCCTTGCCTTGTTCCGCGGAGCGGATTGTTGGTGTCTCCGCTGTAAGGAGCATATTGATGGCAACAACTAGTGTTGAGACCTTGCCAATCAATACTGACATTGAATGAGAGTTAATTGACACAAATAACTGCATCTCTCCGTTTGTGTACGAGAATGATGCCTTCTTGAGCTGTGATCAATAGTGCCTCCTTGTAGGGCACTGAAACAAAGCCGCGTTCTCTGCTGTTTGACAGAGTTCTCCCCAGTGATTTTTGGACCTGTCTCTTCCATTGTATCTCATTGGGGCCGATTAGCTGGAAGGTTACATATGAATTGCCTGTCAGAATGATTCTGTCAGGCCTTTCTTTGTAAGTGTTTAGCACTGTCATCAGCATAGAGTCCAGACCTTCAGCCTTTTGTTCCGTCTCTTATTTGCAAGTACGCCTCACTATGCATAGAGTGGGGCTTTTTCCATACTGCCACAAGCCCTTAAAAAATTTAAAATTAAAAAAAAAAACTCTTCCGAAGATGTTTTCCTGGAAGCAAATCCTACAGAGCAGTGTTAGAAACTCAGCTATATAAGCTAGCTGCCAAATGGCTCCTTAAACCAAGGTTACAGTTGTGAAAATGGAATGACTAGTTGCCATTTTGGGGCAAAGGATGGACTGGCTGTGATTGATTCTCAGTTAAACATCTGGCAATTGATCTAGGACTAGGTTAAGAGCTTTGAGAATTTTTAAAAAAGAAAAGTTGCTTGATCCAGGGACATTCCACACATATATTGGCCTATTCCGACCTCTCTTTCTTAATGGTGACTGCTCCTGCTCAGGCTGCACAGGAAGAGCAATTTGGTTCCAGAAATTCATTCTGATTGCGCAGGTAAAATAGAATTGATAGCATTCGACAAGATGGAGTATTAGTATGTGAAAACAGTCCAGATCCAGTGATCCCTAGGCATGCACTTCCAGATGGTGGAGATGTCAGGTGTCATCCTGGTACCCAGGCATCTTCACTTGGTCACAAGTAGTCAAAAGCCAGGTGCAAAATGCGCCTGGCGCCTGGCTAATTTCAAACACTGCTATGGAGTTCAGTGGCGCTTCCTTCCTAGTCAGTTGCGCATCGGCTTTAATTAACATTAGATGATCTGCTTCATATCTGATTAGGACCAGGATGCAAGAATCTCCTTAGCGGGGGGGTGGGGGGGTTGAACTTAATTATCAATTAATGATATTTCTGTATGTTTTCCTAAAGATAATATGTGCCATCATTTTGTATGCCTTTTCCAAGATGATATTGGAAGTTTATTTTCAGAGTACTTTTCCAAACTGAGTAGAAAAGAACCATGTGGGTGGCAGGGTAAGGGATGGAAAGAAAGGAAGAAGTAGTAAATTCCTGCATTGCAGGGGGTTGGACTAGATGACCCTTGTGGTCCCTTCCAACTCGTATGATTCTACGATTTTATGATTCTATGTTTTCAAAACATTGTCACTGAGTGCTACCATGAGCTTCTTTGAGAGAAGGGACAGTATTGTTGGCATCCACCTGTCTCTAGAGACAATGGAGTGTGCCTCTGGGGGTGCTGTCAAACTGTGGCGTTCGTTACTTCCCTGGGGCGCAAGCCTGGGCCGTGTCAATGGAGATCCTGGACTGCCCAGATGACAGTCTTTGATGTGGTCCAAAGGAAAGCTGAGCAAGACGTTTGGCACCAGCTTGGCTGCAGGAGTCATCGAAAGGAGATATACAAGGTGTCATCCAACTATCTTAGGGACTCCACTCTGGATTTGTGTAGAATTTACTGCTTAGCCTTTTCTTTTTAATAATTTATTTATTTTATTAACATATAAAACACATACATATACATTTACACAATACAGGCACACAACGCACTACCTAATTTTCATAACATAAAACATACCTACATTATTCTATATAATACCTACCTATACTATACATATCAACATACCTACACACCTACCCCATACGGACACTCACCAAGTGACTTGACTTCCAGCCGTTCTTGTTACGCTACTATATTTTTCCAACTAGCTTAAACGCATTTCAGTATTTCTTTAATCTCTTCTTTTATCTTAACTCTACTCTCCTTTCAAAAAGTGAAAGGAGTGGGCTATCTTTCAGGAATACATCAACATTTATGTGGAAAAAGTAGAATTTCTGACAGATACTGAGTGAATCCAGAAAATGATTTACTGCTTAGCCTTTTCTTCTCCCAAAGATATCCCGTAAGGTAGCGAAGGTTGAGTTCAATAAATCAGTAAAACCAGACACAGGTATGACTCTAAAGAAAGGAATTCTGGTGCTTTGTAAATGTTTATTGTGCTGTAATATTGGTCCTGCAGGAGTCAGTAGACCAGGGGTGGGTAGCCTCGGGGCTAGGGGCCAGATGTGGTCCTCCAAAGCTTTTCTGTCCAACCCTTGAGATTTTCCCCATGCTGCAAACTTTTCCCAAGCTACATCCTTCCCCAGTCGTCCTTTGCACCCTCTGTTTATTGCCTGGATGGAGCGTGTCCTTGAATTTCTCTGGTAATGCCATTTGCTTACTCAAAGGGAGGGTAGAGATGGGTGCGTCAAAACTAGTCTATTGTACTAATGCAATATTTACATTTGTGGCTCCTCCCAGTTTTGGCTCTGGCCCCCTGCACTACTGCATATGGCCCCTGGAAGGTTGCTCTGGGGCTGAAAAAGCTTTTCTGTTCCTGCCCCCACCTAGACTCCAGCTGTGGAAGTATGAATTGTGATGCCCTGTGCAAGATGTTAATTTTATGTATGACTTGCTTTTCTTGCCTGAACATGCATGGGGAGACCTCAGTTCATATCTCTGTGGGCCGTGTAGCTTGCTGGGCGACCTTAGTCCTCTAACTGTCTCTCTGATTTATCTTCTTCGGTGTTTCCCAACCTTGGGTCTCCAGCTGTTTTTGCACTACAACTTCCACCATCCCTAGCTAGCAAGACCAGTGGTCACGGATGATGGTAACTATAGTCCAAAAACAGCTGGAGACCCAAGGTTGGGAAACATAATTTGCATTTTTGCATAGTAAAGGTAAAGGGACCCCTGAACATTAGGTCCAGTCATGGCCGACTCTGGGGTTGCGGCGCTCATCTTGCTTTATTGGCCAAGGGAGCCGGTGTACAGCTTCCGGGTCATGTGGCCAGCATGACTAAGCCGCTTCTGGCAACCAGAGCAGCACATGGAAACGCCGTTTACCTTCCTGCCGGAGCGGTACCTATTTATCTACTTGTACTTTGACTTGCTTTTGAACTGCTAGGTTGGCAGGAGTGGGGACCGAGCAACGGGAGCTCACCCCATCGCGGGGATTCGAACCACCAACCTTCTGATCGGCAAATCCTAGGCTCTGTGGTTTAACCCACAGCGCCACCCGCGTCCCTTTTTGCATAGTATACCCCCAATTAATAAGAAGGCATCTGTCATTTTTAAAGGCTGCCATCGAATGTGAAAAGTGGAAGCAGTTTTACATTTCTTATATTGCCATTGAAATGATACCTCTTTCATCAAATAACCCTGGTTTGGATGAATTATGTATAGAACCTTTTACCTATAGATAATTTTGTGTGAGCAAGCCCATTTTTTTAAAAAAGTAGACTTAAAAAGTTGACATTATTGGTTTTACATCACTCTTAACAATTTCTGAAATAATACAACTGTTAATGCTCGTGGTTGTTTTTTTTCCAGGTTAACAAATACAAATATTATTCACAAAACTCCCGTATGGACCCTGATTGCCATTGTGCTTTTGTCCGTGTAAGTACTACAACTTAATTCATTTCTTCTCGATCTTTTGTTAAGTTTATTAGCAGCAACAGAATTGTGCTAATGGGCCTTCAGTGTTGCTGAGTGGTCAGCTGGTTAAGTAAGAGAGGCGTAGTCATTAATCTGGCAGTTTTGTTGGCTATATCTTGTCAGCATCTTGCAGTGGGGACAAGAAAGTAGAAAAATAGGGCATGAGGGTGACCTTGGAGAGTCAAATAGGGTATTGCCTTTCCTTCCCATAAAGTCTGCAGAAAGTTAATTTCTTAGGCTTGGAAATGGAGAGAATGGTTTTTGGTTCTTTCAGCCATTAGCAAGCTACCTTGCCGTCTACTCATATCTGTTTATTTTTATTTATTTGGTGCATTTTTCTTCTGTCTGTCTTCCATGATGGCACTCTCAGGGTGGTTTGTGATGGGTTCCCAGTTAGCTGGGTCTCCCATCCAGGTGCTGACTTTAAATCAGGCCTGCTTTAAATCCGGAAAGGTGGTTGCATCATGTGCCCTGCGACCATAAGTGTCTAAAGGTAGCCATGAAGGAGCACACATTCTGTGCCTCAAACATTTAATATACACCCCCTCCAAAAAAAAATTGTGAGTGGGGAAGAAGGGCTAAGGTGATTCTGTAACTTGCACTGCACATTATCACATTGTGCTGAAATCAGGAGTGGGGACCCTGTGGCCCTTCAGTATGTATATTTCTTTTTAGTGGTGGTTGAAATGACCATGATGGTTGTAACAACAAATTCATTCATTCATTTGGAGCATCACAGATTCTCCAACCCGGGTTTAAATATTTCTGATGCATGTTAAGGTCCTCTCTTTTTCTCAAGCAAAAGCAGTGAAACACGAAAACTGCTGACGTACCATTTGCAAGGCTGCCTGGCTATAATTGGTGTCAGATATATACATTGTCAACAAATTCTGCCCAAGCATTTTGTTTGTGTGTCTGTGTCTCTTTAATTATGCATTCCCTTACATGATTTAAGCAGGCCTTTTAATTTGGATTATGTAAGCTTTCCCTGCCTCCATTTAATCAACACGTTATTTCTGAAACGACCTCCGATATCCACCTCACCAGAATGCTTTACCTCCCCTCCATAGATGTGAGGCGGGGATCGTCTGAGGAGGGCAGTGCATTCTGCACATGCTCTTATTTCCCTCTCTCCTTTCTTTTATATATTCCCAGAGTAAAGCTTGGCTTTTGAAACAGATTCTGCAGCTAGGCCCTTTCTTAAGTGAAAAACTGCTGTTCTTTGTTTTAGTTCAGCCTTGCTGATTTAGACATTTCATTGATACCCCAAAGCTTCTTTGACACACTTGCCCTGGGGACCGCATGAATCAAGGGTCCTAATGAGCTAAGTTTCAAGTTTAGTTCCCTCGCTTTGTTATCCAAGTAGTTGCATAGACCTGGGATGCAATCTAACAAAGTGTAGCATTAGCACACAGAACATTTGTGCCCCTCTTCAGCTGCCCGCACATGCAACTGGGTCCCAGAAAACTGGGCACGGTGTCCTAGCGGCTACGAGATGACTGCCTGCCCTATTCTGTTTTGAGGTTCTTGCATTTACAGTCATGCCTTGGGTTGAATGTGCTTCAGGTTGAGCGCTTTCGAGTTGCGCTCCATGGCAACCCGGAAGTAACAGAGCGCGTTACTTCTGGGTTTCACCGCTCGCACATGCGCAGATTCTCAAAATGACGTCATGCGCGGAAGCGGCGAAACGCGACCAGCAGATGCGCCGTTGCGTCTTACGTTCTGTTCAGGATGCGAACAGGGCTCCAGAACGGATCCCATTCGCATCCCAAGGTACCACTGTACTGCAATCACTTGCAAAGCCTCCTCCCGGAGAGCAGTAGGACGGGAAACATAATATCAGCACACGGATCCTGCCGTTAAATGGCAGAGGGGAAAATGTTTCACAGCATCTGAAGGCACTTTGTAAACTGTGTTTTAAAAGCTGGCACTAGTTATTCTGTCTTTATTTATATATATATATATATATATATATATATATATATATATATATATATGAAATCACTGGTGGCTTTTTTAAAAAAATGTCGTGGTCTACCTTTTAGTTAAGAGTTGAAACCATCGAGCAATCTTTGTACGGCTTTCAGCTTGAATTACAAGATTGCGAAAATCTTACTTCGAAGGCTGTTTATTACCGCCCTGCTGCTTCTCCTCCTTTTGGGCTTGCTGGGTCACTGGAGTCTATAGGGCAGCCAATGTGCTTGCCAGCCATTCACAGATCCAGATGTGTTGTAGGCCAGCCCCATAGCATCCCCAGAACTGCACTTACTTTGATCTTGCTTCAGTCTGACACATTGTTCTGCTTTTGTTGTCCCAGGGAAGGCTATACCAGTAGGCATTAGAGCAGGCTTCAATGAGCCTTACATCAGTGTCACCCCGGCCAGATACTGCTCAAATGATTCATTAAATCAGAACACAGAAAGTAACTTTACTTGAATGCCTTGGTATAAATTTTTTATCAACCGTAAGAACAAATCTTTTGTCATTTTTTTCCCCCTCTACACTTTTCTGGTTGAATTCCTAATGTGTGAAACAGATCTTATGAATTTTTCAAGTGGTGTCTTTACATTTAATAAAAGGGTGCCTGTTTTGTTCACAAGTAAATATGTGTGTCTCTGCGATGAGCCGTAAATGTTTTCAGACCTAAATGATTTAAGTTTGTTAACCGCCCTCCCCCCACAAACCCTCTAATACCAAACTTCCTAGGAATAGGACCATCTATCTGTGTCACCAAACAGGTGTACTCTACTTCTATCTTCTATAAGAGGCAGGTGCTCTAATAATAGTGTGGTCTGTTGGACTTCCAGCTTGGGGGACCTGGATTTAAATACCTGCTTAGTCACAATGTTCATTACGTTACCTGGAGCCAGTCACTGACTCTTAGTCTACCCTACCTTACACAGTTGTTAGGGGGTATAAAACAAAATAATTCCCATGTATGTCATCTTGTACTCCTTAAGAGAGACAATGCAGATAGCAAATGTAATTTTAAAACCTAGGCTGCTATATTGGGTACCAAAACTGCAATTTTTTTGAGTCCTTTTCAAACAGCTCTCCAAAAATCTGGTCATGAACTGGCATTGAGTGCTGATGAGTTGTGTATAATATGATATAAAAAGTTAAAGCCAGACTGGCCTCTTTACAGATTATGAAACAGTCAACAGGTTGTATATGTGGCCGTGTATAAGCTACAGTCTACACAGCAGATCAAGATAGGCGGCCAGTTTAAACTTGAGTTTTCTGAGCCAATCTCAAACTTCTGTGGGGCAAGGTGACTGTGTGGGTGGTTGCTGAACAACTCCAGGCATGCCTGGAGGATGCAGACCATTTGGATCCCTTCCAGTCAGGTTTCAGGCCTCGTCATTGGACTGAAACTGCTTTGTCATGCTGGACAATGATCTCCGGTGGGCTAGGGACAGAGGTGAAAACTGTTTCCTGGTCCTTCTGGATCTCTCAGCAGCCTTTGATACCATCAACCATGACATCCTTCTGGACTGACTAGAGGAGCTGGGGGCACTGTTATATAGTGGTTCCACTCCTTCCTCCTGGGCCGTGTTCAGAAAGTGGTATTGGGTGATGAGTGTTCACACCCCTGGGCTCTCACTTGTGGGGTGCCTCAGGGCTCCGTCTTCTCCCCCATTCTTTTTAACATCTATGTGAAGCCACTGGGAGAGATCATCAGGGGGTTTGGGCTGGGTGTTCATCAGTATGCGGATGATACCCAGCTCTACCTCTACTTTAAATCGGAGCCAGTGAAGGCAGTGAATATCCTGTGTGAGTGTCTGGATGCGGTTGGAGGATGGATGGCAGCTAACAGATGGAGGTTGAATCCCGACAAGACAGAAGTACTTGGGGGCAGGGGGCGGGCAGCTATGGGAGACTCCCTGGTCCTGAATGGGGTAACTGTGCCCCTGAAGGACCAATGCGCAGCCTGGGAGTCATTTTGAACTCACAGCTGTCCATGGAGGCACAGGTCAATTCTGTGTTCAGGGCCCCTGTCTACCAGCTCCATCTGGTATGCAGGCTCAGACCCTACCTGCCCGCGGACTGTCTTGCCAGAGGGGTACTTGCTCTGGTTATCTCCCACTTAGATTACTGCAATGCACTCTACGTGGGGCTACCTTTGAAGGTGACCTGGAAACTACAATTAATCCAGAATGCGGCAGCTAGACTGGTGACTGGGAGTGGTCGCTGAGACCATATAACATCAGTCCTGAGCATTGGCTCCCAGTATGTTTCCGAGCACAATTCAAAGTGTTGTTGCTGACCTTTAAAGCCCTAAACGGCTTCGGTTCTGTAAACCTGAAGGAGCGTCTCCACCCCCATTGTTCAGCTTGGACACTGAGGTCCAGTGCCGAGGGCCTTCTGGCGGTTCCCTCACTGCAAGAAGTGAGGTTACAGGGAACTAGGCAGAGGGCCTTCTCAGCAGTGGTGCCCTCCCAGTGGAACACCCTCCCATCAGATGTTGGGGAGATAAAGAATTACACAACTTTAGAAAACATTGGAAGGCAGCTCTGTATCGGGAAGTTTTTAATATCTTGACATTTTATTTTTTATATTTTGCTGGAAGCCTCCAGAGTGGCTTGGGAAACCCAGCCAGATGGGTGGGCTATAAACAATAAAATTGTTATTCTTAGTAGCTGATGCCAAGCCCATAATACACGGTTTGGAATTCTGAATGCAATCTTCATCCTTTTGATGGAATATCTGTGAACCTTATGGTTCAGAGTTGATCAGGCTTCTTAGCAGAAGTTACCAGAAACAATGTAGACTCAAAAATTAACTGAAACATTTGCTTTGATTTGTAATGCATATTCACAAAAGGTTGCATTCCTAAGAGAGGTGGCCATACGTTGTTCCAAGTCCTTGTGTGTAATACACCCACCCTCAGCTTTTGACTTGGTGTGTTTCTGCAAGAGCAAAAAACAGGCATTGATTTTGGATGCGTGCTTGAGATACATATGCAAGCGGCTGGTCTATAATTATATTTTGAGAGGGATTCATGTTCCTATGTAGCAGCATTGTTTTGTACTTTCTGCAGGTCCCATGGTGATATTATAAAGTAGTTTATTTTTGTTTTCCAATGTGTTTCTTATCAATGTCTGAATGCCTTGTTTGGCTTTCATTCCTAAGGATCAACTATTCCCCCTACTGCATGTTCTTTGTTCCAATCTGAATATTTCACTGCTGCAACAGAAAGCTGGAGGAACAATTCGTTACACTTTTACATTTCTATCAAAATATTGATGTATTCCTATTGTAATAAAATAAAACTTCTGGCAAATACAACTCCCACTACTCCCCACCCCCAATATCTTTACTGGATATCAACTGAATTAGGTAAACAGATACAAATAAGATATCTAAAAGATGCATGCTAGGATTGGCAACGGGTTGCTCTGTACCTCAGCCAGGACACTTGGCTGTTGTTAGCGAATACCCCTGGTACAGTCTAATGGAAAGCTTTCAAGATAATCTCCAGAAACGTCCACTTTCATTTTATTTATCTGATCGGGCTGATTCCAGTGAACTGTGGTCAGTTGCATCTACAAAGCCCGTGCAACAGTTTCCCACCCCCCTTCCTTCCCCATCCCTTAAAAGCTTTAGAGACTTTCCAAATGTTCTGGGAGTAGCGTGGCAAAGCGTTGGGACTCCGTAAGTCAAACGGACTCAAAACGGCCACGATGGCTATGGAAAAGCCATCGCTTAAAAATGCGCACTTTAGGAGAATGTGTCATGCGGAGAGAGAGACTCCAGAGGCTTGCTTTACGAGACGTAGCAACACAGAGACAGAAAGATCTGCATACAAGGGCTTTGTACATAATGCAAAGGAAAACGCAACTGTTGCCTGAAACTCCTCTGAACCCTTACAGTGGTCAACGTGATCAAGCTGTTGCAAGCAAGTTTATACAGAACGTTAATCTCCAGAGGGCTTACTTATTTTTAATAATAATAATAATAATAATAATAATTTATTATTTATGCCCTGCCCATCTGGCTGGGTTTCCCCAGCCACTCTGGGCAGCTCCCAATATAATAATAATAATAATAATAATAATAATAATAATAATGCAGCAATAAAATGTCAAACATTAATAGCTTTCCTAAGCAGGGCTGCCTTCAGATGTCTCCTAAAAGTCAGATAGTTGTTTATTTCATTGACATCTGATGGGAGGGCATTCCACAAGGTGGGCACCACTGCTGAGAAGCCCCTCTGCCTAGTTCCCTGTAACCTCACTTCTTGCAGTGAGGAAACCGCCAGAACGCCCTTGGCACTGGACCTCAGTGTCCGGGCTGAACGATGTGGGTGGAGATGCTCCTTCAGGTATACAGAACCGAGGCTGTTTAGAGCTTTAAAGGTCAGCACCAACACTTTGAATTGTGCTTGGAAACGTACTGGGAGCCAATGTAGGTCTTTCAGGACCGGTGTTATATGGTCTGGGTCACCAATCTAGCTACCGCATTCTGGATTAGTTGCAGTTTCCAGGGCACCTTCAAAAGTAGCCCCACGTAGAGCACATTGCAGTAGTCCAACCGGGAGATAAGTAGAGCATGCACAACTCTCCGCGGGCAGGTAGGGTCTCAGCCTGCGTACCAGATGGAGCTGGTAGACAGCTGCCCTGGACACAGAATTAACCTTTTAAATAGGCAAAGGACTGGGGATGACTCCATAAAACTGAGCTACACCTGATGTTGGTTGCATGGCTTAGGCTTGAGCTGATGCTTTTCCTTTTATAAATGACCAATGTGCGGGTCATCAGATTTGGAACATAAGGCGCGCCTGCAAGATCAGGCCAACGCCACACTTAGTCCAGCATTCTCTTCTCACAGTGGCCAACCACATACATGGACCTGGGCACGAGAGCACTCTCTCCTCTTGCATTTTCTAGCAACTGGTACTCAGAACCATGTTGCCATGGAGACAGAGCATAGCCAGACCATTGGTCTGTCTTGCTCAATGTTATTGACACTGACTGGCAGGGACTTTCCAGGGTTTTAGGCAGGATTCCTTCCTAGTCCTATCTGCTGCAGATTGAACCTGGCATATTTTGCATGCAAAGCAGGCGAACCCTTCCGAACACATCACGCTGTTGCATTGACCAGGACTCAACCCCACGTCTCCCATGTGGCAGGCGAGAATTCCACCACTGAACCATCAGCCAGATGTCACCGACAGGACGTCTCACTGCCACTATCTGATCAAATTCGGATGCAAATCACCTTGCTTCCCTTTGCTGGTTACACCCAGCCTGTGTTAGCGCTGCAGAGCTAGATATATTTGTCTCCTGTGCAAAAGAGGCGAAGAGCTAACAAGAGGACCTTTGTGATCTCCTCACACTGGTGGGAAAGGAGAATCAAAATCTTGAATTCCCAGTTCCTTGAGAAGAGGAATTGATTGTCAAACCACTCTGGGAGGAGAATAGGGGGTCTCCTCACACCCTTAACAAACTACAGCTTCCAAGATTCTTTGAGGGAAGCCACAACTGCTAAAAGTGGCATAATGCTGCTTTAAACATATAGTTCAGAGGAGGACTTCAATGATGATGATGATGATGATGATGATGATGAATTTATATATACCCGGAGGTCTCAGGGTGGTTCACAGTACAGTGGTACCTTGGGTTAAGTACTTAATTTGTTCCGGAGGTCCGTTCTTAACCTGAAACTGTTCTTAACCTGAAGCACCACTTTAGCTAATGGGGCCTCCCACTGCCGCCGCGCCACCGGAGCACGATTTCTGTTCTCAACCTGAAGCAAAGTTCTTAACCTGAAGCACTATTTCTGGGTTAGTGGAGTCTGTAACCTGAAGCATATGTAACCTGAAGCGTATGTAACCCGAGGTACCACTGTATTCATAAAATATTAGCAAGTACTTCTAGTAGGACCGCTGAAATCAGTGGGATTTAAATTAGTTATGACTTTTGCTTCTAGCGTTCTATTCTAAGCGTGATGCTGGGTGGAATCGATGGTAGTGCTAAGTTAAATAAAGCTAGTGTCGAACTTGAGTCCCAGCTTGGCCCATAAGTGACATCAGGTGTGGGGCATGGAGAGATGCAGCTGCAAAGGAGCAGTTGGGAGCTTCAAGTGAGCTCCAATAGCTCAGTCGGTACAGCATGAAACTCTTAACCTCAGAGTCATGGGTTCAAGCCCCACGATGGGCAAACGATTCCTGCATTGCAGGGGGTTGGACTGTGCATGACCCTTGTGGTCCCTTCCAAATATACAATTCTATGATTCTTGTTCCTCAAGGAGCCTCCTTGGCCAGGCAGATCAGCTGTTTTGTGCTGAAAGCAAGCACCTTTAAAGAGGATCGCTTTTGAAGAGGCCCAGCTCCCTCAAAGGAAAAAACGTCAACGTGCAGACATGATATGACTCTAGTCTGTCCTGCAGTTAGACAGAGTTGGGTTTGCAGTCTCCCCCTTTGAAGGTGCTCGGTCACAGCCAATCAGACCACTGGCACTGGTCGTGTGTCCTTCAAAGAGAAGTAGTGGGCTGAGCAACCCTGCCCACCTGTCAAAATGACCCACAGGGGATTGTGGGCGGTTGGGATCCAGCCCTTTGCTTGGACGATGTCCCACACAGCTGCACTAGTGGGTCGTTTTGCAAAAGCAGAGGTTCTGTAACAACTGCACTTGTATGCCTAATGCTTAGAAGATAGGAAAATCGACGGGGGGGTTTCTATTATACAGTGGTACCTCGGGTTACATACGCTTCAGGTTACATACACTTCAGGTTACAGACTCCGCTAACCCAGACATAGTACCTCGGGTTAAGAACTTGGCTTCAGGATGAGAACAGAAATCGTGCTCCGGCGGCGCGGCAGCAGCAGGAGGCCCCATAGACTAAAGCGGTGCTTCAGGTTAAGGACAGTTCCAGGTTAAGAACGGACCTCTGGAATGAATTAAGTACTTAACCCGAGGTACTACTGTATTTTCTTTAGCACAAGCTCTTCTATAATGATTCTGCCAGCGGACCTGTTGCGTTGCATCCCTGTGTTACACAATATTGAGAAACAGATCTCTGCTAGTGCAAGATCCCTTGTGCTGGTGGGTCTGATGCACTGGATCCAACCCTTTCTCTTCTGCATTTTCATGGTTGAGGGTTTATCCACACTTTTTTTGCCATGCTCTTTCCAGGCACAGGTCTCTGCTTTGAAGCTCTGTGGCCCCCCCCAAAAAAACCTGCTCTTTAAAGCTGCAGTGCAACAAACAGAGCTTTAAAGCGCGGACCACGCCTGGAAAGCGCAGAAGGTGAGTGTGCGCAAGCACCTTAGTTTCGTTGAAAGGCAGTTTCCTCCTGCCTCTTATGTTGTTGTCCTGGGCATTCTGCATGGCCCAAAGCAAATCAAGAAACACAATTCCAAAAGTCCATTCTCCACCTTATGCAAAGACACTCTGCTGTAATCAGAGTAGCTCTGAAGAAAAGACAACCTGAAGTTATTGCACTTCCACTGGACTGCCACCAACAGGATTTAGGCATAAAAGCTTGGCACCGAAATGACTTTGGGTTCACCCATCGGACAAACCTGTTTGAGGCATTATCAGAGGATAAATGGCACAGAGCATTTGTTGTATCTGTGATTGGAAACGCATCCGCTTCCTATTAATGCCTAACTTTAATATATTCAATACAAACATTTGCAACCTTGAAGCACTCTCCATCTGTTAAAATGAAAACATGCTGGCTGGCTGGAGCCTTTTGGTTCAAAGCATCATTTTTATTGCCTGCCTTCCAAAGAATATGACGACAATGTTAGTCCCAGTAATTTTGCATTGATATGCAAAGTTGGAAGGGGTGTGTGTTTATACCAAGTGTACCCATACCAATGGTAATCATTCAAAAATCCTCCCAAATCAATTGGCTGAAATCTAGGCTAACTGCATGTTGATTCTGGCCATGAGACACTCCCTTGGAGGAAGGTGGGGGGGAGGAATGTTTGCTGATTTCTTCTGCAACCACTTGTACCCCTTGAAAAGCTGCTGCAGAGGATCAAGGGACCCTCCAAAAAAGGGTGGGATGTGGCCCTTAGTGATGCAAAGGAAAGGGGAGATTGCAAAAATCCTCTTCTTCATCTAGTGGTTCCCAACCTTTTTTTGGCCACACCCCACCTAAGCATCTCTAAAACCCTGATCCCACCCCCACCCCCCGTGACATATAATTCTTATTATTCAAAAAGTGAATTCCTATTCACTTGGAGGAGGCCTAAAAGGCCATTCACTGTTAATAACTCATTCTTTAATTGCCCCCCTTAAAAATCAAATTTTCCCCCCTGTGGGGCATGTGCCCCATGTTGGGAACCACGGATCTAAATCTTGATCCATTCCGCAAACAGAAAAATGTGAATACACTTTTATTTTCTTGGGTACTTTAACATTAAGACCTTTTTAAAGTGCATTTAGCTTGGCTGTATTAACGTTTTCCTGCTAGTGGTTTTATTTATTCTAATTTGCTCTGGCACGGTTCACACAACACAAAGCTGTGGCTCATTTAAATATGCAAACCAAGCAGACTGAGCATGGTTTATTTCTACCAAGCAGCCACTGTCTGAAACCATGGCTTGCCTGGCTTGCTCTAACTGTGAGTTGGCATTATGTCTGAACCCAGCAGCCTTGCTTAAGCCATGGGCTTGTTTGGCTACCCCATCCCAGACATTTCCCAGGCTACAACGCCACAAGACAGAGCAGATGAAAAACAAAACAAGCCACAGCTTGTTTTCTTGTCTGCCAGAGAATTTGTGGTTTGTAGAACAAACAATGATTAAAAACAAACCATGGCTTGGTATTCTTTATTCAAGGGGGAGGGCCGTTGCCGTTGTTCGTTTCACTTCTCTAAATCTTTATGGTTTTCAGTGTTATTGTTAGTCGCTCAGAGAAAGTTGATTATTAAGTGGTAGACAAATAAAATAAACAAATGCGAACCTCTAAATTATCACTGGTCTCTGTCTTAAGTGTGCATGGAGGAGATTCTTCATTTCCTTCAGGATTTCTTCCCCCATTTAATTCTGGGCAAGTGTCCTTCCCTGTCAGGTGCTTGGTCCTGTCTCTGACACTGAAATGAATGACTTCCATGGCCCTTTCCATGTTTCGGATTTATAAGGATATTTGTACCCGATTTTGAGAGCCTCCAATGAAGGCCTGCAAATCAGCTAATCATAAAAAAGACGGTACAAATATTCAGAGTTCACATTGTTCAGTGCGAGCCCCACTGAAAGTACTGGGAGTTGTGTTTTGTGTGCTGCCCAGTATGACAGGAGTGCAGGGCAAGTAATCGGAGTGAAGTATTAAGCGGTGCACCATACATGTACTTAACTTTTGCAATGTATTTTCATTTTGGATGTTCTTAAATGCTTGCGCAAGGAGGCTGCAAGGTTCCCCCCTTCCCGCAGCCCCCAAAGTCATCTCTTTATTCAGCTGCCTTATTCCAGGTGTTTGGCTTTGCTTGTTGGCTTGAAACGAAGATAAGCAGATTATTGTTTTAGAAAGTTTAAAACGAAGGTATGATCAGTTTTATGGTTGTAGTTTCCATAGTAACTGGGTGCAGGTGAGTAAATTCATAGAGTCTTGTATTGATGATATGTTTACCTAAGTGGATTATTCTGGCATTCTTCCATCTGCTTCTCCCTTTGCATCTGAATCCGTATTTCCCTAAGTTTTTCCATAAGCATTTTGTAAAGTACTATAAAGTGGTGCATGGCTTCTTTGTGATGCATTTTTATTTTTTATGCATTCTAGAGATTTATGAGTCTGTGTTTTTTTATTAAAAAAATCCACTGTCTTTCATATCTGCTAAATATTTTGGAAACCTGTTCATCTCTTTGCCTGTTCTCTATGCATTTGGTCACGTCTCAAAGATGTCATAAACAAATTTTGCACCATGGTTACTGAGACCCAAGAAACAGCTTTTTTCTCTGTTACAGAGTCTGTTCCCTTCCCTCCCCTTTGTGTTTTCACAAAAGCCCTGTAAGGTAGGCTAGGTTGAACTCCACCCCCCTTTTTAAATATATCTCCCGCCTTTCTGCACAAGAGTACCCAAGGTGGTGGCCTGGCTCCCTCACATCCCATAACCTATTGCTTCTGCAACAATGAATAACTTAAGATTTCCCTGGCTTGGCGTCTTGCAGGTGGCAGTGTGCAACTCTCACCATCATTGACCAGTGGCAAAACTGGCTGGGACTGATGGGAGTGATGTCCCAAAACATCTGGGGGTCACCAGGTTGGGGAAGGCTGCTTAAGGTCACTCAGCTTCAGTGGCTGAACAAGGATATTGAATTTGGGTCTGTTTGATCTGAGACTCTGTCCTCTGCCCCACATTTGACGCTGTTCAGTTTCATTTGTTAGCTGCACAGGTAATGATTTATATCTCCTACCACATTCACTTCCTGCCAACCTAGCAGTTCGAAAGCACGTCAAAAGTGCAAGTAGATAAATAGGTACCGTAAACGGCGTTTCCGTGCGCTGCTCTGGTTCGCCAGAAGTGGCTTAGTCATGCTGCCCACATGACCTGGAAGCTGTACGCCGGCTCCCTCGGCCAATAAAGCGAGATGAGCGCTGCAACCCCAGAGTCGGCGACGACTGGACCTAGTGGTCAGGGGTACCTTTACATTTACCACATTCACATAATAGAAAGATTGCCTTCCCTTTAAAACATGAGTAATAGAATCGTATTTCTAATAAACACTAATGACTTTTCAAGTTGGCAATTCCTAGCTTGCAAGCAGGTTAGTTGTTCTGCGAGGTTCTTTAAAAAAAATAATTAAGGATGGACAAATTGGTCAGTTTTTATTTTTTGGTCGTTTCCCCACATTTCAGCATATATATATATATATATATATATATATATATGCCCTCCCGAAAAATCAGCAGTCTTTCAGTGTGCCATTTTCCTCACATACACATTTTTGCAAACAATTTCTCCTAATATAATGGATTTTGTATGCTTGTTTTTGCTAATATGGACATTGGTTGGTTGGATCACAAAAGCTGGAGAAGTGTGCATTGCAAAAGATAGCTGCAGTTTGGTTCATGTATTGTTTTGGGAAGGACAAATTGCATTAAAATACAGACCAATCCAAATTTCTCCTCCAGCCCTAGTTCTTTATGTGCCTTGTGCAGATTGTTGCCTCACTATACTGATTCTCCATACCCTTAACAGTATAAGGAAGTTCTTCTGTATAAATATACCCACCCCCCATTTGTCTATTGATGAAAGGATTTTATTATAATGCTCCATTGATACGACATCTTTGAAGTAAGCTCTTTGCATTTGTTATCTGTGATAGCCAGCAGCTGACAGACACAAAAGGGTTGCCTTTCTCTTGCAGGAGAAATGGCCAGGTGTAGCTTGGACAGTGTGTGGGGGGAGACAGACCTTTAATTCTGTTTCTTTGTATGCAGAAGGCTGCAGGTTCAATCCCTGGCATCTCCAGGTGAGTCTGGAAAAGACTTGCTGTCTAAAACCCCGCAAAGCTGCTTTCAGCCAGCATAGACAGTCAGGAATCAGCTGGCCAATGATCTGACTCAGTAGAAGGTATCTTCCTATGCTCCTGAGTCCTGAACTGTAGAGGTGTGTTTATAGGTAATGACCAGCACTTTAAATTGAGCCTGGAAATGGAGCGACAGCCAGTGGAGCTGATTTGCAGATTTCAAACACTGGCTCTGGGCAAAACTTTTGCTGCTCCACTTTGTAGCAGCTAAAGCCCAGTCTGCCTCTCTCTGTCTCTCTCTCTCTCTCTCTAATTTTTATTAAATTTCCTGTTTTACCATTTAGAAAATTCATTTAAACAACCTTAAAATATCAAATACCCTTCTTCTCTTTCTATGGTTCATTTTGCAAAGCATAAATCCCTGCATATTTTATATAAACTAAGCCATCCAGTATTCCATTATTACTTCCATCAAAACTTATTTACACTGTTGAATTTATCTTAATGCTGCCAACGTTTTCAAGCGTACACAATTTCCCCCCATTTCGTCAATAAACATTTTCCAATCTTCTTTAAACGAATGTTATTCTTCTCTTATTCTACAAGTTGGATCCGCAAGCTGTGCATATTCCATCAGTTTAAGTTGCCATTCTTCTTTGGTTGAAACTCCGCTCGATTTCCATTTGGGGGCTAACAGTACACGGGACGGTGTAGTGGCGTACATAAATAACCCTGTTGCTGTATCGGTGTCCTACTGATCAAGTTCCACTTCCTTCCTGTCTGGATTAATGAAGGGGATCTCTACATGCAAGAAGCCGTTGGCAAGTGAGTTACTTTGAGAGAAAGCTGGTCTTAACATAAGAAGAGACCTGTTGGATCAGGCTAAAAGCCCACATACTCCAACATCATGTTCTCACCATGGGAAGCTAAATCATAGAATTATAGAGTTGGAAGGGACCCCGTGGGTCATCTAGTCCAACCCCTTGCAACGCAGGAATAGATTCTGCCTGTGGAAAGCCTGCAAGCATCAAACTAGAAAGAACCAGACCATATAAACAGCTTTATCGAGTTAGAGAGACCCAGTTGCTCTGTTTAATGCAAGGGAACAGTTTTTCGTCCCTTCAGCTGTGAGCAATATCAATACCGGGCTTGCATATCAGAAGTGAAAAGTGAAACCATCTCTCCCCGCCCCCGCCCCCCCGCCGTGCTTTTGCTTTCATGCTTTTCTGAAAATAGCCAACCATTATTGTGATTAAATCAGGGCTCGGCTGGGCTGCAAGAGGTGAGCCTGCCAGCAGTGGGAGCAGTCAGCTAAGTTAACATTTGGTTGAACTTCAGTACTTGCACGATGATGGGTTGAAAGCGTTTGTGCGTTGGGGTGGTTGTTGTTTTTTTGCAGCATTGATTCAAGTGTATTGCCTGTAAGTGTACAAAACACACACACACACACACACACACACACACGAATGAATCATTTAGTTTTGTTTCCCATCAAAGAATAAAAGAACTTGCGTCAACGCCAGGCTGTGAACCCATCAGCATACCCGAATGAAATTTTAAATAAAACATAGGCAGCACTTGATCTGCAAAATTCATCTTCGCTGTAAGTAAAGGAGCTTTGGGTGGCACTTAAAACTGGACTCCAAGTAGCCTTTGTTCTTTAAGAGGATTCAGTATCTGTTAAAGCAGATGTCAAATATGGAAATCAAAATGTAGGCCAATCTGTTCTTATGATTCATCGAAGTAAATGCAAGCCTGCCCTGTTGGTAAAATGTGTGTGCATTTTGGGGTGAAAATTGGCACAGGCTTTCCCCCTTCCTCTGCTATTCATAGGCCAGTATTAAAACATCTAGTGTAAATATTTACTATTAAAAATAAAAGTTTTGCAGAGCAATCTTAAATGGGGCCAGAGAGAACCAGAGCAGCTGAGTGAACATTGCATCTGAAAGGGTGGAAGGTGGGGGTGGGGGTGTAATTTATATTTTTGCAATGTGTGCAGCCTAGCTAGGAGGCCTATGGATTTAGATCTCTTGGATCTAAGACCTCAGACACCCTGCCCCCCGAACACCCTATTTTTGCTGGTTACCAGCAAAGAGCGACCTGTTTGTAGGTTGACAGGCTAGCAGAGAGGGGCCTACTGAGCATCCTCAAGCACACCAGCTATCAACATGGAGGGATTAGGACTGCAGCCTTGGATTACTTTTGTTCCGATAAAATTGGCTTGATCGGGAATTTCAAATGGCGTGAAAACCTTGCGCTGGGTCTGCCCTTAAACATGCTGCATGTGGATGTTGGTAAGCTAGATGCTCCCATTCAAGACCAGCCATCAAATATTCATGCATTCTAATGGAAAATCTTCACTCTAGAGGCACCTGGGTTCTTTTTTTGTTTTTTTTTTGCTTTTAACACGATTCTCCCTGCCACAATGTGTGTTTTGTCGAGCTTGCATTTAAAACTTAAATGCAAGTTACAAGGGAAGACTTTTAAAACTTAGCTCCCGATAACAAAAATGTCCGAAGGAGGCAGTAATAATTGGCAGTCGGTCGATCCAAATGTGAAGATTTTAAGCAACGCAACAGAAACATTGGAATATGGCTGGGGTGTGTGTGTAAGACATAATACAATAAACACGATGAGAAGTAGAACAGAAGTAAGCGTAAGTCAGTGAAAACCCGTCAAATGACATGATTCTCAAATCCAGCTGAGCCCGCTATTTAACTAGATTTTGATTTCCATCAAGCCATTTTCAAGATTTAGTTTTATTGGTAACTGTTTGCCTTCATGTAACGTACAAAAATAAAATTGAGATAACTGATAAAATCAGACTTATCCAGTAACTTAATGTGATTTTTTTAAAATCAGGGTACCACTTTTTTTTAAAAAAGCAGATCAGTATTTCCTTCCAGTGCCTTATGTCAGAAAATAATTAAACAGAGAATGAGGGAGATCCTTCCCCTCAATGAAACCACAGTGGCGGAATGAGATGTTGTATGATATTTTTTGCTAATCTGACTTCAAGGACTGTAGGAGGCACTAATTGGAATCTAGGAAAGGTTCTTTCCTTCCTCAGACAGAATTAATTAATCTTAAGTAATTGATTATCTGGACCTGGTTCATATTTAAATAAACTATACCAGTGAATATCTTTACTGATGCTACTTCTACACTATACATTTAAAGCAATATTAAAACACTTTACACAGTCATGGCTTCCCCCAAAGAATCCTGGGAATTAACAGTTTTGTTACATCTCCTTTTCTTTATATACATAGAAACTTGTGGATTAAGGAGGTTTCATATTAGAAAAACTCGTAAGTTTTAATCATAATTTTATTTGGTTTATTTTATATGGTTGTTTTTGCAATGTTTTTGCAATGATGGCACCCTTCTGATGTGTGAAAGCTCCGCTTCAAATCTGGGATACGGCATTTGGCAGATTCGCCGCAGGTTTGATTCCCATTTATCTTGATCCATACACAGAATCATGTGAATGAGTTAACCTTTCACCACTTTGATGTACTCACTAACAAAGTAGTAAAGAGCTCTGAACTGGCAGGATGGTAGTCCTATTAATGTGGTTGCAATATGCACACATGTTCTCCAGCAGTGTGGATCACTCCATGGGGAAACTGATTACATGGAGCATTGTGTGTGTGTGTGTGTGTGTGTGTGTGAGAGAGAGAGAGAAATTCTTTTGTTCTTTCTTACAGCGCAATTTTAAGCCGTGTCCACTCGGAAGAAAATCAGTTTCCCCATGGAGCAATCCACACGTTGTTGTTGTTGTTATACTTCATAATAGCACACTTTTCACCGAATACATATTCCTCCTATTACATCACACATTTCATCTATTATACATTCTTCTATTTCATATATTAACCACCACAAGCAGTTCAAAAGGCCACAGATAGCTCATCTGCCAGGCCTTTGGCTAATAAAACGGTGTTTTGGACTGGCACCTAAAGATACGCAATGAAGGCAGGAGGAGAGATTCCTTGGAGAGAGCATTCCACAAACGGGGAGCCCAGCACACAAAAATGTCTGCTCTCCTGTGGCCACCTTCTGGGCCTCTCCTGGAACAGAGCTTTAAAATTTCATAAAGGGGAACAAACCGCTTGCAAGATGTCAGTACCATGGGTTGCATTGACCCTGCACTGGGGTAAGGAAAGCTGCCCTTCGCTCAGGCCCACCGAACAGTGAATGGTTAAGTCAGGTCATGATACGATCATGTGGATCCATTCTGAGTGAATGCACAGATTACCGTGGTCAGTAGCTGCCACAGTAGGATTCTACATAGCACATCGCTTCAAATACAATTAGATAAAGGAAATTAACGAGCTATGGGCATTTGAATCAGAAAACTTCATTCAGGAAAGAAGGCTATGATGGTAGACAAGGAGGTCAGAATAACATTACAATAGGCCCTTTCATCGCTTTTAAGGCGCCAGATTGTGTAGATTAATTTAAATCACAAGAGTCTGTGCTGAAATAAATAATGTCATTCATGCAGTTATCTGTGACTGATCAACCAAATAAACCAATTACATGATGAAATATTTTTAACATCTCATGATATGCTTTACTAGCGGTTTTCAAGGACTCTGCAAGTTCTAGAGATCATGAATACCCCCAAAATACAGATTAGAGCGCAATCTCATAGTAGCCTAGCCAGCAATAGAAACCCCTTCTTTGCTCTGATGCTGAAACACTCAGAATACCAGGGCTGGTTTAGCAAAAGTCATGGACTTTAATGTGCTGGAATGTGTGTGAGAATGTGTGGCACATGCACACTAAGTATGTAAGAGGCTGGGAAAGGGAGGGAGGCATAAAGGGCATAAAATAAATCTATAACCACATTCTGGAGTTTTGGAAATGGCTTTACCTTGCCCCCAAGCTACGGGATTCCCTCTTCACAGAGGCACATCTGGTACCTTCATCCTTTACCTTTTTGAGACCTAAGATATAAATGTTTTAGGACCCGGCTTACTCTTCTGATTGCAGATTTCTTTAGAATATCAGCCACAGGGCTGTGAAGATTAGCTAAAGATGGGTTGGGATCCTCTCACCACAATATTCTCAGAATCAGAATATTCAGAACTAATTAACAATTTAAGTCAAACAGATATCCAGCATTAATGGAAGTCCATTCGACACACTTTACATGTATTTCTTTATTCATTTATTTTATTAGATTTGCATACCACCCTTCATCCAAAGATCACAGGGCCGTTCACAACATAAAAGTACAAAATGAGAACACAAAATACGTAATGAAACAAAAGCAAACCAATAAACACACACACCGCACACATTTAAAATGACGTATAATACATTGCACACACTTTTGTAAATCAACAAGTAAGGAGTTCAAAGCTTCCATACATAGCTATAGAGAAATCTATTAACCTAGCAGGTTCCTATTCCGAGGGAGCTTTCTGAAAACTGAACAGTTTCTCAGAATGAGGCTCAAGCTGCAAAAAAACCCCACAACCTTTTGCAGTGCGTCTTGACCTGCATGTAGTTGGCAACTGAAAGGGCAAAGAAAAAGTAGCTGAACTTTGTGCGGAGAAATGAGAAAGCAGAGCAGAATTAGGCAGAACGTTTCCAATAAAAATTCTACGGCTGACACAGTTGGTATTAGCTGGTTGTGCACTGTATATTCCAACTGTCAGCCTCTGGGACAAATTCTCACTGGGGCAACCTATGGGACAGTCTATCAACAGTGTGCAACACCTTCGTTGAAAGTGCTACGCTGGTTGCCAATTTGCTACCCAGCTAGATTCAGGGTTTTCCTACTGGGTTATAAAGCCCTATATGCATCTGGGCAGGATCTGAGAAGCTGCCTTTCCCCTTCCATCCCACCCTGGTCACTCAGAGGTGTGTGTGGAAGAAGACCTGCTAATGCTGCCACATGTCCCTGCGGCGAAAGTCTTCTAAGTGTTTTAGCACCAGTTCTCTGGAATTCTCTTGCCTCAAAAGTGAAGCAACGTCCGGCATTCTGCTATTTTTGACGTTTGTTGAAGACATTTCTTTTCTCCCACGCTTTCTCAAATCAATCAGTTTTGTTTCTGTGGTTTTAAACACTTTCTGGTTTTCAAGTTTTTGGGGGGTGTTTTTTGGTTTTGAAATAATATATAATTTGAAATAATAAGTGTTGAATTATAACAATACAAAATACATATCCATATTTAGAGATTTCTCTGAATCTCCAGACTTCCCACCCTCTCCTCCATGAGTCCTATTGTCAACCTTTTCAACTGCATATTGTTTCATAATCCATATTTTATATCTCTCCATATTGTCCATGATATTTGCTACATTGCAAGTGTTATTAGAATCCTGCTAATGTTTTCATCTGCTTACAATGGTCTCCTAGATAAATTATCATTTCCCCCCATTCTTTATTGAAATCTTCTTGGTTCCTGAGCTTTCTGGTCAGTTTTGCCAGTTTGACATATTCCAACAGCTTGGTTTGCCATTCCTCTCTGGTAGGGACTTTGTATTCTTTTCGTCTCTGGGCTAGTAGCATACATAAAAAGTCTTTTCTGCTCTTTTGGGATATTAGTACCTCCAATTCCTAATAAAAAAAGGTCCTGGTTTTTTTAATAAAAGTTATTTTCAAGTTTTTATGCTGACTTTTTATCTGTATTAGGTTTTATATTCTATTTCGGAACACTGCTTGGGTATTGCCTAAATGGAGGGCACTTTATAAATGTTGGGGGGGGGATGATGTCTCTTCCATACAAGTGATGTCTTTAACCAATGGGTCTCAAACCTTTCCCAACGTGCAAAGACAGGCTCTGGCAGATTGAGCAGATAAGACAAATAGTCTAACGGTCAAGAAGGCGTTTTCTGCACGTGCTGTAGAGGGGAGTGAGGGGCAGGTGGGGCTTGTCAACATGGGAAGGGAGCCCATTTGGGAGAAAGGAAACTCTGATCCCAAACTTCCACTGCCTTGTGGGATATCTTCGGGAGAAGAAAAAAGCTAAGGAGCAAACCCTACATAGATCTGAATGGCTGGAGCATCAATTTACCTGCACTGTAGAAGTCCCAGAATGCTGCCAAAAGTGGGTGAGCCTCACACCACCGCACTTTTCAAACATCATTTTGGAGGAAGAACCTCTCTGTTTTATTTCTCCTCATTATCAAATGTGATCTCGTTTGCCTCTGAAAAGTATTCTTAGTTTCTTTTCTCTCTCTGGACTCTATGTCTGCTCTATTCCCGTCACTCTGCTAAGTTCGGCTGTGCAAGGGTAAATCTTTGCGCTAATTGAACAAGAATCTTGGTGCTACTTTGGATAAAAGCTACCGGATTTCAGCCTTAGGCTTCACTTCTAATCCCACTTACTTGGGAGTAAACCGCCTTGAAATCAGTAAGGCTTACTTTAGACTGGACTTGGTTAGAATCACACTCAAGTTTGGCTCCAAAAGCCTAAGCACTCCTGCTTTCCATATTGTGAAAGCATTTCAACCCCTCAATCATTTTAGTTGCCATTTTCCTGGTTCTGTAATATCCTTTTTCCAGGGGTTGTTGCCCCCAAAGTATTCCAAGCAGGTCTATATCATTGATATAATAGTGGCATTTTGAGACTGTCACTCATGGAAGATCTCAGGAATGGCGCTGGGAGCAGCCCAGATGACTTTTATCTGAACATCCAGTCTCTCCTCCACCTGTGGCTCAGGGGTGCCATGGAAAAAGCAGAACTCTTAAACATTAAACAAGATGCAGGATCTTTTTCATGACAACCTTTTAACATGATTAAGTCAAGGCGTGATGGGTCATTTGGGGTTTATGTTTCACTCTGCTCCTTGGGACGCTTCTAATGAATGTCACGATGTCAGATTTCAGATGCGGAATGTGCATTTTAAGTAAGCAGTTCTTAAGAAATCTTCCCCCGTCATATTGCTTAACTGTTGTTGGGCAAATGATTTATTGAAGCTCCCGAGGCAGCAGAACATGGACTGTAGGACTGTTGGTTTTTGTCTGTGTATGCGTTAAGGGCTACACTGAATTATTTTATTGTAAGTGCGCACTGATACATCATGCCTTGCGCTCGGGGAGACGTTTTCTGTACAATCACATTCCATTAAATATTTAGCTTTGAAAAAACAAAGCCATGAAATTTACTAACTAGCCTGGCATTGTAGGATTGCTAGAGCTGTCTGTAGCGGCTCATTGGATGGGGCAAAGCCGTACACTAGCTTCCCAGCAAGTGGGTCTCTGTGGTTTACTGGGAAGGAGCTGGCGAGGCAGGAGGAAAGGTCAGTACGTTGCGCAGGATAGACTAGGCTGGCGCGTTTGCACGGCAAGGACTTCCCTGCCACCTCTGAGGAACAGTGAACAGTGACCCACTTGCCAGGAAGTTCACTTAGTATTTCCACCCCACTGGACGAGACACTCCTGCTTGCAGTCCTACCTGCACCTGTGTCTTCTTGAATTTATTTGGACTTGCACCTGAAGAAAACGATATAAGATTGTGCTACATGGCAGCAGTAATGATGATGATGATGATATTAGTAGTAGTAGTACCCCACCCATCTGGCTAGGCTTCCCCAGCCACTCTGGGTGGCTTCCAGCAGAATATAAAAAACATAATAAAACGTCAAACGTCAAAAACTTCCCAATACAAAGCTGCCTTCAGGTGTCTTCTAAAAATTGTGTCATTCTTTATCTCCTTGACATCTGATGGGAGGGTGTTCTACAGGAGGGCGATACTACCCAGAAGGCCCTCTGCCTGATTCCCTGCAACTTCACTTCTCACAGTGAGGTAACCACCAGAAGGCCCTCAATGCTGGACCTCAGTGTATGGGCTGAACAATGGGGGTGGAGACAGACGCTCCTTCAGGTATACAGGGCCGAGACTGTTTAGGGCTTTAAAGGTCAGCACCAGCACTTTGAATTGTGCTCAGAAACATCCTGGGAGCCAGTGAAAATCCATTATGACCAGTGTTATATGGACCCGGCAGCCACTGCCAGTCACAAGTCTAGCTGCCACATTCTGGATCTTTCTCATACTTTGAATAATAGAATTGTAGAGTTGTAGTAGTCCAACTGCCTGCAATGCAGGAATATGCAGCTGTCCCATACAGGGATCAAACCTGCAACCTGGGCATTACCAGCGCCATGCTCTAACCAACTGAGCTATCTTACCTAGGATTAAGTCCCACTGAGCCCTCACTTATTGTAACACTAAGTTGAACTGTGGCTTGCCTTCTGGCAGTACTGCAGGAGTGGACAAGGGGCAATGTGTCCGTGATTTTCATCCTATGCTACTGTCACTGTAGTCCTGTCTTGGGGAAGGCTACAGTCCTATACACATTTACCTGGGACATCCTTTGCTGATCAACAGGGCATACTTCACTGTACGTATATCAGCTGCTTTTATTATATTAGGACAAATCCAGTAATTGCAATATAATCTGTGGGTTAGACTGAGCAATGTGCATTCAATTCTGCACGGATGTAGTCTGGTACATCGGTGTTAGTGAAAATAACCTTCGCTGCAAAACGTCTACAAGATTTACTTTCAGGTTTAAAAAAAGGGGGGAGAATTAAAATATTCTAATACTAGAGTACTTGAGTGCATATTATTACCGCACTGGCAGATTCTGCTTACAGGGAAAGTATTTTATAAAAAGCTAGGGATTTATCATTTCTGCATTTTGTTAGGGAAGAGGGAGAATTGCAAATGCTGTTCATGTTAACCAGCTGTCGCTTAATAGCTTGCTTAATAGTAGCCCGGTGCTGCTGCTTGTCTTAACATGAGTTTTCACTCAGCTTTTTCTTGTGTAGCATCTGTGGAGTAGGCAGCTTAATAGGGGTCTGTCGTTTGGATGTACTCTTGACACTCTAGCTTTTTCTTAGCTTTGCCAAGGCCTATTTGCCATATGCTGGATGGAAGGGTATCAAGGCTGCACTGCTTTCTCGTCTGTGATCTGATGCATGGTACATTTTTTGTTTCTCTGCGTAGGTGGCCGCCTATAGGCAAACCTTGAATTATTGCCTTACTACTTAGAAGTAATTGTGGAGTGGGGTGGGGGAGTTAGATGATTGCAAAGGGAAAGGGAGAGACATTTCTTAAAGCCAAGGTTGCAACATGCTAGCTCAGTTAGCTTTCTGCCCCCACTGCCCTATAGCAGCCCCGGGGGGGGGGGGGACTTTAGCATTGGCATGTTGCAGAGAATTCTGGAGAGCCATTTAGGATGCCCACTCAGTTCTTGATGATGAGCTGCCCCTTGGCCTCACGTGAACTGAAGGTGTGCCCTAGGGCGTTCCCATGAATCCTCTATGACTGCACATTACAGTGGGGATTCAGTAGAGGGGGCCGCCTCAGGTCCAGTGACCAAAACTGGCCTCTCTGTATAGGTTTCAGGACTTTGCCTGGTCTACACTGCCTCCTCAGCCACAACTGTTCTGCCCAGGCCACATTCCTCACTGACTCAACTTCACACCCCAATTATTTTTTTGCCGGAATGTGTCCTTGAATTTTTACATGGCTTCTTACTTGCCTGGACGGAGGACAGTGTCAGGGCAGGTGTCCGGAGCAGATCAGCAATAACTCACACGGCTTCAGGGAGCTCTTTATTCAAAGAAACCAGGCAGCTCAGGAGGCCAGGCCTAGGGAGCACAGCAACTCTTTCTGGCAGAACTTGCCCCTATGAGGCAGTTGCGAGGACTGAAGGTCCCCGCTTTCCCACAGCTCCCTAAGGCTCCTCTTCCCCTGGTTCCTTCCCAAGCAATCTGAGGCTCTTTTGTCTTGCCTGTCTCTGCTCTGCCCTCTTCATACCTCTTCAGGTTCTGGGGGACCAGGGGAAGGGGAGCTTATCACAGCAGGAGGGGGAGACCCCCTGGCTTCCTCACCAGCCTGACTCATTGCTACCTCTTGGCCCCCTTTTTCTCTGCCTCTGCCACTGATTCTGGACTGCTGTCTGCCACAGCCTCTTCCTGCTCACTAAACCCCGTTGCCTCTTCAGCTTCCAACACCCCCTCCTCCTCCCAGTCTGTTCCCTCTGATACTTCTGACCACTCATCGTTGTCCTGCTAGCAATCCCCTGGCTCTGAGTCTTCTCCCCTTGGGGGTCCCCTGGGGGTTCCCCAGCTGGTGCCTCCCACCACTCCTCTGCATCCAGCCAGCCCATGACAGATAGAGAGAGGTGCTCTAGTGTGTCTAGAAAGTAGCCTAGCAGGCAATGGTAATATTTACACCCACTGCACCGTCTGCTTTTACCTCTGGCCCTGCCTGTCACTTTCATATGGCCCCCAGAAGGTTAACCAGTAATGAATGTGGCCCTCAGTCTGAAAAAAGGTTCCCTATCCCCGATTTCCTACCTTTCATTCAAGGGCTTAAGCCACTGTACATGGTTTTCTTCCCACCCCCATGTTATCCTCACAACCAGCTTGTGAGGTAGGTGTGGCTGCCTTTGAGTGGGCCAGGGTCACCCAGTAAGCTTTGTGGATTTCAACTTGGGTCCCACCCACTCAGTCCAACATTCTTAAGCTCTATGCCAGCCTCGTTCTTCCAAGTAAGCTTATCCATTGCTGATCTCCCAGTTGAGAAATTCCTGCCAAGCTTCTGAAGAACCCCCCGAGTTCCCTCAAACACAGTTTCAAAACCACTTCCCTTTGGTGCTGTGGTCTCTGCTAACATGGGCAAAGCTTGCTGCTGAATCAAAAAGCTACTAGTTAGGGAAGGGGGAAAGTTTTGGAGGGCTGCTCTGAACCTTCAGGGTCTGCGAAAGTGGCTTCATGGCCAAAGCATTGCAAATGCCTCTGATCACTCGGGGTGCTGTTAGTCCAATTGCTGTTGTGTTGGGATTTTTTTAACTTTAGAATTGAGGTGCATATGAAATGATGGAAACCCTTAACCTGCTGGCAGCTTTACCGTTCTGTGTTCACATGTGACAGACTGCTTTTTCTTCTTACGGACTGACATTTTACCTCCTGAGTTCAACACCTTTTTAAAAAAAAAAAAGCCACACACACGTACAGTGCTGTTAAGGGAGGAAATCAGCGGTGGATCTTTTAAAATAGTAACAAGATTTTCTTCTCGTCATTCTGAGCTTCATAAAATGATAACTTGAGCTGCTTATCTGTTGGTCTGACCGTTGCTTCTTGCTATGGCTCTTCCAAAGCCTGATTTCGGATGCTTCAAGGAGCCAAGGCACAGCGAAGAAAATGCACTGCTCTGATTGCCTCTCGCTCTCTCCCCATTGATCTGCCTTTTCCGAGAGTTATTTTATCCATATTTTATGTGCCCACGGGCAGTGGGTAAAGTTAAATTAAATAACCATCTGAAAGGCCTCTGTTCTGTGGGGAAGTTTCCTGGCGTTTTGTAGAAATCATGAAATGTAACAAGGCAAGTTCAGTATATTTATCAAAACAAACAAACACATACACAGCTTATAGAATCGTAGAATTGAAGAGTTGGAAGGGACCATGAGCTTCATCTAGTTCAACTCCATTATGCAGAAATCTCAACTAAAGCATCCATGACCAATGGCCATCCAACCTAACTGGCCTATAATTTCTGACCACCACCCAATCCCTTCTTTGTTACAGTGACCACTTTCAAATCCTATGATACAGAGGCCGATTTTAGTGACAAGTTGTATATTTTTGATGGAACTTCAGCAATTTCACATTTGAGTTCTAAGAACTCTTCAACAGATACTCTCCAGACCCTTGCCGGTCAATAAGACCTTGAACTTGTCACAAATACTTGTCATTCATCAGGCTCCCTTCATGGAAGAATCAGTTCAGGCACAAGTATCAGCCCTGTGTCTTCTGCGGTGAAGACAGATGCAAAGATGCATATCCTTGTGTGTTATCTGGGTCCACTGTCCACAATTATTGCCCATGACTTCCTAAGCGCAAAAGGTTGCATGACTCTTCTGTATTGGGACTTTGGTGTCAAATATCATATCCTAATGAATAGTCCTGAAGCATTATGTGTGGTTGCACTGACTTGTGTCAGGAATTCCCCTTGGATGTGCTTCTGCTGATTTAGTAATTGTATTTGGCAAGGGATATACAATGGTACCTCAGGTTAAGTACTTAATTCGTTCCAGAGGTCCATACTTAACCTGAAACTGTTCTTAACCTGAAGCACCACTTTAGCTAATGGGGCCTCCTGCTGCTAATGCCGCGCCGCCGGAGTACGATTTCTGTTCTCATCCTGAAGCAAAGTGCTTAACCTGAAGCACTATTTCTGGGTTAGCAGAGTCTGTAACCTGAAGTGTATGTAACCTGAAGCGTATGTAACCTGAGGTACCACTGTATTTGATGTTTAATAATTACTGGACTTTATTACAGTTTCCTCTGGGTTATATGAAAGGGACTGTTTTCTCCCCTCTCTCACACCCTATTCGGAACTGTAAATATGTATATTTTTAAATATTCAACATCGTGTTTCAGGTTGTCACAAAACATTCCCATCTTTGCAAGTTCCCAGCACAGCCAAGGATATTCGCAGTTCCTGGCTACTTTGCTTGAAGAATTACACTTCAAAAATGAAGATTTTGAAAGTTTAACAAGAATATTCAGAAGCGATAGTCTTCCATACTGGTAAGTTCTTCTTTCATTCGTGCCCCATCTGCCACAACTTCATCTTGTCTATGAGTGGAATCCAGTGGCTCCATGTGATGACAGAAGGGGATACTTTTGCTAATGGAGGGATAGAGGTGATTTTTGCTCCATGGAGGGAACATCCAGAGCAGGGTAGAAGGTTGTATTCAGGCTTGCAGTAAGAAGAGCAAATTGGCAAACAAAACAAAAAAACACACACACACACCCCAAAACCTTCCTCCCCCTGCTCTTCTGTAAGTGTTTGAAGGATCCAAAACCCTTCCATAAGCACAAAGATCTCAGTTGGATTCCACCCAGTGTCATTAAAAATATAAGCACGCCGGTTGCATTGGAGGGGTGAGAGAGGAGGAGTTGACGTGGAAATGACTGGGACCGAAAGATAAGATTATTGCTTATCAAGATGGTTCCATTTGTCTCTTTAACCTTGTGTGATCACTAAAAACATTTAATAAACACCACTTTGGAATGAGTTAGCAAAAGCCTTCAATTTAAGGCAGAGCATCACTCTGGTCAGTGCTTGTTTGGCCCCAGCCAAAGCATTCCGTTCAGTTACATGTTACCACATTGTAGGAAGGATGTGGACAAGCCAGAGGAGATTGAGAGGACAGGAGCGAGGTGATAAAAAGGTTTTAAAACAGAAGATGCATGAAGCAAGATTGATAGGGCCCAAGTATGTACATATTCAGGCCACAAAAAGCTGATTTGGCAGGAAGGCAAGATTGCAAAAAACCCAAACTGCGCACACACATATACACACACACTTATTTATTTTTGCAAACGGCTCTTTCCACTGACACTGAGGGAAGTAGGTTAGCACCACAAGCCTATATGTAGTTTCCCTCTGGTAGATTCCAATTGAAGGGAAACAAATGATTTGTGTAATTTCTCCCTCATTCCAGAGGCATGACAGAGGAAAGGGAGGCCTTTGATGTTCCTCTCCTGGCCTGCCCCAGTATGGCTTATTTTTGGCCTCTCCAACATCACAGCTCCATCTTCATGGGAGCACCAGCTGTTAACTTTTCTTCAGCATCCTGACAGCAGCTTGCAAGTTCAGATCTCCCTCTCAGAAGATGTCTTTCTCTGCCCTTGGACATTGTTATCATTTAACATAATTCAGTATTTATTTACTGTTTTCTGTTTCCATGTATAGATGAACTTTTTCACACAGTTAGGGCTTGATACTTTTGGGACATTACAGATTAAGAGGGATTTTTATATTTTAGAGTTCATATCAAATGCCACTGAATCAGATGGCATTCACCGGATTAAGCATATCACTGAAAATGAAACTGTAATACAGTAGGTTTGATAATGATGCTTTCATGATATCGATGGAACTTTTCTTTGTTCTTTTATCTGCAGAATAAGTTGACCATCATGCGCTTCTTTTTCTACGCTGAAATTGGATCAAGATGTGAAGTGACACTGCCAAACAAATTAAATTAAGTACACCAAATGGGGAAAACAACAAAAATAAAACCTCTGTAATTCACCATTGAATTTAACACAACCATTGAATACATCAAGCCAAACTGAAGCTCTTGTATGATGAATATTTTTCATCTTTCTCATTTCTTCAGATAAGTGGGCTATGCTAAGATTTGGACACTGAGACAGATCATCTTTCCGGGTCTTTCACTATTTTCATCAAGTTGCCCTAATGGAGGGGTGGCTGTCCAGATCCTACTGGACTTCAGCTTCTATTAGCCACAGCCATCATGTCCTTTGTTCAGGGATTATGGGAGTTGTAGTCCACCAACATTTGTAGAGCAAAAGGTTCTTCATCACTATAATGGAACACCAACATTTTGTGTGTGTGGCCGTGTGCCATTAACTTCCTAAGGAAATTGTGTCATTCAGCATTTCTGAAAAGTTAAAGCAAATCTAAGGTGCAATTCTTTGATTCCCCCCCCCCCCCGAAAGAAGTGCCTTAGTAAAGTATATCAAAGAAACATAATCTGAATTGTCATTGCAGTAGTCACAAAATAATATAACATCCTATGGTTATTATGATATGGAACTTCTTAATAAAGTGCTTATTTTGCTTATTTACTTGATTGTTTGATTTCTATCCCACCTTTCTTTCAAGGAGTTCCAGAGAAGATCCATGGTTCTTCTCCTCTCATTTTATTTATTGGAGTACTTTCTCACCAAGCACCCTATCAGACTTCGTTTTGCTCTACGATGGTATTGTACTGTGGAGGTTTCCATCCTCAGCTTTTAAGATTGCATTACAAAATCCCTGATTGCATCTTCAGAAACCAGAGAGCGCCCGTTCCTTTCCACAATTATGTTCCACGTAGCGTATTGCCTTTACAGTATCTGCAGTTAGGTCAGTTGCTTGGCAGCCTACTTTGCCAGCACAATCCTGCTCCTTCCAAATGTGTTTTGAGGGGCATCCACAGAAGGGGGTCTGAGCCTGAGTGCGCTGGGCAGGATCTATAAAAGAGCAAAATAATATTGTTGTTTTTGTCAACTCCCAAGCCCTTTCTTTTCACCAGGTCTTTATTTTTACATTTCCTGTCAGCTTAGCAGCATGATTTTTACAGGTTTATTTTGGGCTCAGTGCTTAGTCTTCTACAACCATTTGAGCTTACATTTTTTTAAAAAAGGGTTAGTCTTGTAATCTTTTAAGAGGATGTATTTGTATCTGAATAATAAATCCATTTAACACACACACCCAATTTCAACTTGTTAATTGCTAGAACTCTTAACTTGACTGCCCTTTTCCATCTCCAGCACGTTTGGTGGATTTTTTTGGTGGGGGAGGGGGATACGGGCTTTGTTTTCCCTCCCTTTGCTCATAAGGTGGAGTCGGTCAAGGTGCTATTTTCCTTTACAGTCCTATTATTCAGAAGGCAAATTGAGCCAGGTGAAAGATGCACATTTTTTACTTTGGGGGACAAAGTCCCATTTACTATAAAGATGAGATTGTCTAGCATAGGTGATCTTATTTCTAAGTAGGAAGTGCTGCCATTGGGTATAGGCAGAACATGGAGAATCCTCATGCTTAAAGTATAGATCTTCGGGAGAATCAGCTCTCTAATTTTATAACTTTTTTTTTTTTTACCAACTTTTCCTGGCTCCCTTGCCCCCTCCCAGGAATTCAGGTAGTCACAGTTTGATGAAGGTGTTGAAACTTGGTTAGAGATCCCAGGACCTCCACATAGGTTCAGGGGTTATGAGTACAGTTGTACCTTGGAAGTCTAACAGAATCCATTCCAGAAGTCTGTTTGGCTTCCAAAAATAGCTCACAAACCAGAACAGTCACTTCCAGGTTTGTGGCGTTCGGGAGCCAAAACGTTAGAGAACAAAGCTGTTCAGAAACCAAGGTATGACTGTTCAAGACCCCTCAAACTATCGCCCCATAAGTCTCCTGGACATTGTGTATAAACTTTACACTCGCTACCTGCTAAATAAACTGGTTGACTGGGCTGACCACTCTAACCTGCTTAATCCGGAACAGGCAGGGTTTAGAAAGGGCCATAGTACAACAGGCCATTGTTTGGTACTACAGACAATGATAGATAAGTATACAAAGGTACATAAGAGCAAACTTTTTGTGGCTTTCGTAGATCTCACATCCGCTTTTGATTCAATCTGTAGGGACAAATTATGGCAAAAATTATATGAAACAGATATTGATAGACGACTTCTCAAAATACTTAGAGAGTTACATTCAGACACCACAGTTAAAATCAGAACTGGGATGTCAGGCAACTATACTGATCCACTGCCACTGGGGAAAGGGGTTAAACAGGGCTGTTTGTTAGCGCCGTTCCTCTTTAATTTCTATATAAATGACATTGTTCAACATATGGCAAAGTATAAGTCATCAGCTCCTGCCCTGGAAGGCAAACACCTGAATATATTACTATATGCTGATGACATGGCTGTCATGGCACTTACTCGAAGGGGCCTACATAGCATGCTGGAGGGGCTCGCAGCTTATTGTTCCCAAAACTCTCTAAAGATAAATTATGACAAAACAAAAATTGTGGTATTTACTAGAGCTCGCCACACATTTAGATGGTCTTTAGATGAACACAAAATTGAACAGTGTCCTTTTTTTAAATATCTTGGTATCACTTTCCAAGCTACATCTAGCTGGCTTGCCCACTTCAAGACTGTAGCCCTTCTAACACGTAGGACAATCGGTGCCCTGCTCAGCTTTTTTTATTCGAGGGAGGGCAACTGGTGATCCCGGCATTAAAAGCTTTTGTTGGAAAAGTGATTCCCCAGATGCTATATGGAGTAGAACTCTGGGGATGGAATCAGAAGCTGTTAGAACGGCTTGAAATCTTCCAAAATTTTTACCTCAGAAGAATTCTAGGCCTCCCTCAGAGTACTCCGGCAGCTCTCCTAAGAGTGGAAGTAGGATTACCTTCTGTGTCTGCCAGGGCCCACTTAAGATTCCTGCGTTTTTCACCAACCTCACAGATGCCCCGAACACCTTATTGGCTAAACAAGCCTTTGTATTATTACAAAATAATACTACTTGGCATAAAAACCTACTAGATATCCTATCCAGATACAATCTACCTGAGTTTAATACCCTTAAATTGTGGAGCCCTGATAAAGTTCGGGAATGGATCTTTGAAAAAGACGCCTTTTGGACTCCACAAAGATAAAAACTCTGGGTTTTCCTACTGGTTTCCCGAGTAAAAGCAGTCAAAATCTGTGCCAACTACTTGGTGGAGATCACTGACCCCACCCTTCGGAGAGCTTTCACTATGGCACGGTTTCAAACACTGCCAACTGCATATCTGACCGGTAGATTCACAAAAACCCCAGTAGAACATCGTTTATGCCCTTGCCTTATGAAAATTAAAGAGGATCTTACACATTACCTCCTCTATTGCCCCATCTACTCGAGCTTTAGAGACGCATTGCTGCAAATTATACCCAACTCTATAACCAATCCTGAAGATAGAGTAAAATTTTTGTTAGTTGATGCAAACCCACGTATTACCCATGTGGTAGCGGTTTTTGTGATAAAGGCCATGAAAGCCAGGGAAAGATTTATGGATGACAATGTAAAGACCCCTTCATCGTCTGTTTAACTCGTTGCTCGTTTTCCCTCTCTTTCTATTTTGTAGGATGAAGGTTTTGTTGGCGTAGTATGTAATGAATTTTAATATTTTTTTTAACTATCGTTGTGTTAATGTTTGTGTACAGGCATGGTCCTCACAATAAACGGATTTGATTGATTGACTGTTCAAGGACTGCTTTTTAACTTCAAAAAGGTTTGCAGACAAATAACCCCATTCCAATGCTAATTTTTATCATTTTCAGCTCTGTTAACGGAGGGGAAAGTAATGCTATCTTGACTTTTTCCTTCGATTAAGGTACTATGGGCATTTTTTTCCAGCCGGAATTCACCAGAACCCATTTCTGGCACCTGTCAGGTGGACGCCATTGCCACCATAACCTATTTTTCTAGAAAAAATAGCACTGGGCACAAGACCAAAAAAATGTTCTCCGATTCCGCCCACTTTTCTTTCCCTAGTTCCCATCTCAGTTTGCCACGTCTTTTGTAAGGAAGGTAGGCTTGAATGAAGAACATGCAAAAGAAGAAGAAATTGGGTGGTAACAGAAAAAGGGTGAGAAGAAACAAATGGCGGGAGGAGGACAGTTATAGGTGCAAAGAGATGTACAAGAGTTGTGTAAAGAAAAGGGGGAGTTAATTGGGATGGGGATTTCCTTCCAACGAGGCTGTTCAGATGAAGTCAGCAAAAATGGCGGAGGCTGGGTCATCCTGAGTGAAGCACTTGGAAGCCACTCAGAAAATCTAGAATAAACCTAAGCAAGTACAGTAGTACCTTGGTTGTCAAACTTAATCTGCTCCTGGAGTCAGTTCGACTCACGGAACCGTTTGGAAACCAAGGCACAGCTTCTGATTGGCTGCAGGAGCTTACAGCACTCAATCGGAAGCTGCAGAAGCCGCGTTGGACGTTTGGCTTCCAGTAAACATTTGTAAACCTGGGTTTTCGGCTTTCAGGAGCCAAAACATATAAGTACCAAGGCATTCAAGAACCAAGGTCCGACTGTATTGCAGACTTATGCATATATGTATAATTGGTGCACTTTATTTTAGTTTTAACTTTTATATTTTGTTGGTTTCAGAATTTATCGTTTCTATTATTGTAATAATAATAATAACAATAATAGAGATTTGTGGTTCCCCTCAGTCTGTTCCTTCAGCTGCGGCTGTGCTCTGACCTTTCCATGAACCAAGATGAAGCAGAGCTTTCCAACCCAACCCTCCTGCTGACAACACTAAAAGCTGCACTGATTCGCTCAGAATAGTCGCGGGGAGAACTTAACTAAACCTCTCTCCCAAAATGCGTCTCTCTAGATAGCCGTAGCAGTAGCCTCTTGAATGAAGCAGCTGGGGAGAATTGTGCCCATTCCCGATGTGGCGATGCATCGCTCACAGACAGACACACGCTAGCATGCCTGCAGATGAGCTGGGCTGGACTCCAACTGAGCCGCTGCGTGAGCGGAACAATTTTCACTCTTGCAACAGAATGTCCCCTCCCTTTCCTCCCACCAGCCCACATGTGCCTTGCATGCACACACCCACACCTTTCCTCCAGGAGGGAGGAATCCTCCTTCTGGGGGTGCTGGAGGGAAGGAGGGGAAATTTCCCTTGTGTGAGCAGAAATCATTTTTGCAAATGAGGGCTGGATGGATTCAGCCCTGTTTTGGTACACTTCTGTACAGCCCAAATCTTCCAGGTGACTCACCATTTAAAATGGACAAAGTACAAAAACAATCAACGGCCCTAAAAACTGTCCGCACATGAAGGCACCAGCAGCACAAAATAAAAGCGAGCTTTGAACCACATGGCAGCATGAAATGGGCAGGGAGCCGTTCAAAACTAGCAAGGGAAGGCAAAAAATAGTTTGAAAACTGGAAAGCATTGGATGTTTAATAACTTGGGAGAAGAGAAACGTATTCATCTGATGCTGAAAAACTTATAATATGGGTGCCAGGGGAACATCTCTGGGGAGAGCAACTGGTACACCTCTTCCAAGAAGGGCTTTTCCTGAGTAATCATCCACCCCACCTCATTAGGCAGCAGAATCTGGATAATGTCCTCCAATGAAGATCTTATGGTGGTCTATCTATGTAGATGCCTCCTCTGATATGTGATACAGTCTCATGGGTTTCTTGTATATTTAATTGCTTGGGTGTGAATAGAAATGGAAGTCAAAATGGCAAACTCCAAGCAGAAGTCAGTTGCACCAACTAGCATTCTATGAAATCAGGACTCTGGGGTACAACATTTTACACCAGTGTAATGCGGGTGGCGCTGTGGGTTAAACCACAGAGCCTAGGGCTTGCCAATCGGAAGGTCAGCGGTTTGAATCCCCGCGATGGAGTGAGCTCCAATTGCTTGGTCCCTGCTCCTGCCTACCTAGCAGTTCAAAAGCACGTCAAAGTGCAAGTAGATAAAAGGTACCACTTCGGTGGGAAGGTAAACGGCATTTCCGTGCGCTGCCCCGGTTTGCCAGAAGTGGCTTAGTCATGCTGGCCACATGACCCGGAAGCTGTACACCAGCTCCCTCAGCCAATAAAGCAAGATGAGCGCTGCAACCCCAGAGTCGGCCACGACTGGACCTAATGGTCAGGGGTCCCTTTACCTTTAGTGCTACCAGAAGTCTCACACAGGGATACATTCTAGAGGAATACAGGGTCCCATTCGATCAGCTTTTAGGAAATGTAATCCTGTTGCTTGTACTAGCACACGAGACTTATTGAAATCTATCAGATTGTTCACACATTCTGCTGAACACACCACAAGCTGCCTGTACACATGCACAATGTGTGAGAGTGTACACTTGTTGATTTATACAGTTCCAATTTGTGAACACAGTCTGAACACTGAGCATTACATGTGGGTTACTGTGAGTGTACAACTCGACCCTTTGTGTTCACAAATTGTGCACTTGTTCAATGTAATGTGTGAACGCCCCTTCCGAGACCTAGGCTTGAGCAGCAAGTTCTATTCGATTGCTCTCAGCAGTGCTTGGTCATTACAAACCTTATATGGTGCCCTATGAGTCATACGGCTGTGTGACAACACCTTTTCAAATATCACACCAGTGGGGCAGCAATAACTAACTTGGGATCAAAATCAAGCCCTACTTTGTGTGTCATCCCGCCAAAGTGAAGCACTTTTAATTCACATTTCATTCAACATAAATTTTCCAAGCATGTGCTGAAATGTCTCCTGCTAAAATCTGAGAAATCTGAAAGTGCTGGGTTGTGCCCAACATTTGCTCTCTCAAGCGACTGGCAAATTAAACTTGCAACTCACATATTTAGCTGATTTCTGCAATTCATCGCCTGTGAATTGCTCTCATTTATGTCTGTTTCACTTGTAAGAAAACACTGATATTAAGAATTGAGAGTGGTGCACAGCCCCTTTGCATCTTCTCCATTCTTCCCTCCATGCATGCGGGAATTTGCTGCTACTAATCCCCTCAACCTCTTTCCATGAACATACAGCTGCACCCTCGTGACCGCTGTTTGCTCCTAAAGGCTGGCCTGCAAAGGGATCATGTGCACAATTTCAAGCGGAAGTGTTGTGAGATTCGATTGTCCATGTTAAGGCTTCTGAATCTAGGGTATGTGGCCGATACAACAAGGATCTAGGGTTTAGGGTTTGGCTCTGTCCCAGGTTCATGAAGCGTTATTCTCACATTTCACGTTCATGTGTGCATGCTTATATTATCTGCTTAAAAGCATCTAAGGCAAGAGGTTGCATCTTAATTCCGATTACTATCTGAAAGGTTATCTGTCTCTGGAAAGCTTCATCTACAATATGCAGGTGTTATTTGTGGCAATGGAAAGGCACTTTGCACATGTTCAGATGCACTGTTGTAAATTCACCTGCCCTGTGTCTTAAGCTCTACTGCTGAAAACCAGTAAGCCCTGGAAATTAAACATTACGAAGCTAATTGTTATCTACATTTGGGCTGTAGACTGTACAATTGTAAAATCCATTTCAAAGCAGAAGCAGACCAGATTTGTTTAAAAATCATTGAAGTTCAACCTACGGTCTGCAGATCTGATTCCCGTGAACCATTCGAACTTTTCATATATGCTAAGGATTAAATCACCTTCCTCCCCTTTCTGAAAGCCTCTCTCCGTGTGAAAAAAAGCAGATAGAGGTGATTGCTTTAAAAACCACACACCTGCTGCAATACCTTTTTCGGCATCAAAGCCAGCAGAGAGGCAACGGATGTGGCTTGGGGTTGGAGGAAAAAGCGCTTCGTTTTGTTTGCTGCCCTCTGAATAACAAAAGTAATTTTGAACAATATTTGCCGCCGGGGGTTTAAAGGAGTTTTAAAGTTGCTGGGGTTTAAAGCAGTTCGCACAGAGCTCTGAATTCGCCATCCGTCTCAGCAATAAAAGACGACTTTCCATGCATTGTTTATGCTCAGCTCCTGATGCACTCCCGGATAATGTAACATGGCATCAGCCTTTCCTGCAAGTAAATATTCTGGTACAGTTTTCTTTTTTTAAGCTTTCTGATATGTCCATTACATTGACCGCTCCCATCCTAACATTCTCATATCCTCAACTGCCCCTATTGCCAGCTTTAAGATTCCTGTATGGCAGGCGGGATACAACTTTTTTGAGCATCACTGAGTATCAAACTGTTATGTCCCCAAATTAATCAGGGTGTGGCAGAAGGGCTGTAGCTCAGTCTCCAGGTAGGCTGGGAAGGACTTCTACCTGAAACCCTGGAGGACAGCTGCCAGTGAAGAACAGGTGATACCAAGCTAGATGGAGCAATGGCCTGACTCTGTATAAGGCAGATTTCCTGGGTTCCAGTGATGTGGGAGCAAATCTCGTGGTTTGTGCAGCATGTGAAGAAGTACTCTCTCATCTGTCCTGAACGTCTTTCAACATTCACCAAATGGGCGCTGGTTCTCATATTATGAATGGGAGAAAAACATCTCTCCACTTTTTCCACACCACAACACTCACAAAGATCTGAGGGTAGGCATTCGGAGGTACGAAACGTCGCAAACAAAGCCTCCCCTGAACACGTGTATGCTCCAAAGCTCTCTCAAATTAATGCAGCAGATTTTCAGGTGTAGAGGGAATCCCACAGAAGTTGGATGCTTCCACTGATGTAAATAGGGGAATTATGTGCACGAGCTCCGTATGGACATTAGTGCGCCTGCGCACCTAA